GACAGGTGCTACCCAACTTCCGATGCCACCTCACGAAACGGCACCGCATGCAAGTAACATGAAACGAGCTGCTGCAGCTTCTGCTGCAGCTACTTCAGCCAGCAATGGTGGTAGTACATGCGGGCAAGGCGGCTACAAAACGCAGCGACCGGAAGTAAGCAGTTGTCCTAGACACCGTAGCGGTACCAGTGTTGTAACGGCCAGTACCGCTCAGCGACAAAACTTGGTAGCTGGATAAGGACTGCAGGAATAGGCAGGACTCTGCATGTTAAGGATGAGCTGTAAAAGATGGATTTGGATCGAATTGTCGTCCCTTTGGACCATGTCAGAGAAGGGATAGGATAGGCACTGACGACATGACTCTCCTTTACTGTTCTATGCTTTCACAACGAATCTTTTCACGGCGAATGCAAAATGTCACATATCAGCATATCAGCTAAGGTTACGCCCATCGCTGCCTCTCGCGTCACCGCAGTCGTCTCGCGGCCCGACCCGGAAACCGGCTCGCTTCAAACCTTAGTCTGCTGCAACGCCGGTATCTGCCCTCTTCTCTTGGAAGACCAACCGTTCGAGCTCCCTGCTCCCACCAAAGCAGCAACCAACGATAACAACAACAACACCAACAACACCAGCAGCGGCTCCCTCGCCGGCAGCAACCCCGCCACCACCACCACTGCAACCACCACCACCACAACCGCCGCCACCACCGCAGCACCCTGCATGACAAACACAGCCCTGCGACTAGGCCCTCCGCTGTCCTGCTCAAGCCCCACCCTGCGCGACCTCGACACCGCAACCCGCCACGTCATCGCAGCCGCCTACGAGCCGCTCTCGGACGTGGTGGTGCTGTGCGTGCCGGCGGGGCGCCAGCAGGCGGTGCGGGCGGCCTTCGGGGACGGTCACCGGGCCGCGCTGCTGTCTCTGGATCGCGCCAACGTCCTGACATGCATCTGCGAGCTGGAGGTGACGGTTCCCAGCACGCTGAGGCTGGTGGCGGGCCGGCCGGGAGTGGTGTACCTGGCTAGTCAGGCGGGGTCCACAGTTGACATCCAACGGCTGGAGCTGGACGGTGGCGGTGGTGGCAGCAGCGGTAGCGCTGGAACTAGCAGCAGCGGTAGCGGCAGCAGCGGTAGCAGCAGCAAGCTGGTTCGAATGTACGGCGGTTCAGGTACCTTGACGTACAGTCCAGCCTCGGACACGCTGTTGTGGGCCTGTGCAAGCGCGGTGTATCAGTTCCAAGCGGAGGGCTTCAGTCGGAAGCTGTCCGGCTGCCCGGACACGCCGACCCAGCTGGACGGCCCTCTTGACACCGCCCGCTTCAGCTGCATACATGACCTCGCCGCCGACCCTGATGCCGGACATGTGTTTGTGCTAGACGGCGGAGCGCTGCGGGTTATCACGCTGGCGCCCCGCCGGCGGCAGCGGCAGTACGACAGTGACGGTGCTGGCGGCAGCGGCGGTGACGGCGGCGGCGGCAGCGGCGGTGGCCATGTTGTCACGCTGCTTCCAGACATCCTCACCAAGGCCAGCAGCCTCCGGCTGGCGGCGCTTCCCGGAGGCAGCGGCGGCGGCGGCGGCGGCGGCAGGGTAGTACTGTACGGTAGCTCGCTGCAGCACATGCTGCTGGTGGATGCGGCGGCAGGGGAGGCGGGGAGCATGATGGGGATGGGGATGGGGATGATGTGGGGGCTGAGCGGGTACGAACTGTACGATATGGGTGATGGAGGCGTTGGTGGTGGTGACGGTGGTTGGGGTGGTGGCGGTAGGGATGGAGGAGGAGGGGAGGGTGCGGGTGCGGTGGCTGCGGACCTTTGGGCTCTGCTGCAGGAGGGGCAGGGGCAGGGGATGGAGGATGGTAATGCAAGCAGCGGTGGCAGCGGCGCTGTTGCAGATGTGGTTCTCACGGCCGGCGGTCGCTGCTTCCCCGCCCACCGCGCCATCCTCGCCGCGCGCTGCCCCTACTTCCGCAAGCTCTTCACCAGCGACTTTGCCGACAGCACCGCCCGTGAGATCGCCCTGCCGGACGCGCACCCCGACGCGCTGTCGCTGGTGCTGCGCTACCTGTACACTGGCGGCTGCGGCGGCCCGCAGCAGCCGCTGCCCGCCCCGCTGCTGCACCCGCTGGCCGAGCTGGCGGACCGGCTGCTGCTGCCGGCGCTGAGCGAGGTGGCGGGTCGGGAGGTGCTGCGACGGGTGCGGCCGGGCAGTGCGGTGCGCGAGCTGCTGTGGGCGGAGCGGGCGGGGCTGGGGCGGCTGGCGGGGCGGCTGGAGGAGTGGCTGGCGGCGCGGGTGTGGCAGGTGGGGCAGCAGGCGCCGGAGAGCTTGGAGGAGCTGGTGGCGGGGGGCAGTCCGGAGCTGGTGAGGCGGCTGCTGATGCGGCGGTGAGGGGGTAGGAGGGGGCCTAGGAAGAGGAGGCCGTGAGCGCGGGGAGGAAGAATGTGGGCTCCGGCTAGGGATGGCGAGGATGAGGCAGATGGGAGGGGCACGAGCCCACCTGAGTGGTTACTTCCGAACAGAAAAGGAGCTCCTAAGGAGTCAGTGGCTGCATGGATGGGTGGTTGATGGAGGATGACGTGGGGAAGGGTGGTGAGCAGGGCTGGGGGCCCGGTGGTATGTGCCAGCTGCCGGCGTGTCAGCTGACAGGTTTCATGGTCGGATCTGGGTGCGCTGTGATGCCTGCGTGTGCGGTGTTCGGGTTCCTCATGCCGGAGGGCGTATGCGCCCGCTATAGTACAATCCTAAAGATTCCGTCGTTCGTCCTACACTGTAAGGTAATAACATTAGGTGGTGGTGGTGGTATGGTGGGAGCTCCGAAACACGAATGTGAGCTGGTCAGCTGGGAACTGCTGCCGCTGTGCGGCATTCGTGGGCGTGCAGCTGTTGGTTGGGTGGGTGCAGGAAAGGGACTAATAATGGGAACAGCGTCAGGGCAAGAGGGGTTATGAGCTGACAAGTAAGCAAGTATGTCTCCAGACGTTGTCACCGCTGAACAACCAGCACATAATAGTCGTGACTGACGTGCATGGTGTGTTGTAAAGGATTTAAGGCGGAGGATCACGACGTGCTGAGGGCACCGGTAATAGCATCAAACCCTCCTAGTTAAGCACTCCATGCGATGCCGCCCTGTCACCCGCCGCACAGCCCCGTATCCGCATGTTAGAATTGCGCAAGTCGTTAGCGCCCATCGCGTGCAGCAGCGAACAACACACACCACAAAGCAACACCTCCTCCTCACATCAAACCAGCAACAGCAGCCCAGATGAAGAAACGTCTGATGAAGGACCCCGTTTAATTAAGAATCGATAACCAGTGAGGTCTTCCTATCTCCTCAACTCTTCCGGTTTCCAGCCCGCAACATCTCCAAAACAGCAACCAAGAGCATAAATAAAATACTGAAGTTCTAATGGATAGATTATATAGCCGCGAACCTGACCCCACCGAGCCTATCCGTACGCACTCTGCGCAAATCATGCATGCATGGCGTGACGGTACGACGGCCGTAACCTCAACCTGTACTTAAGAACCAACCTACTAGTACATATTCCTCTCTCGAACACTGCTCATACGACCAAACAACGAAAGTAGGTATGAGCGCACCACGCACACCGGGACTTGCCTCCTCGAGCCGAAACGATTCCGCTTCCATCTCACAGGCCCCCTTGGCAAGCTGACTCAACGACAGACCTTCTTCACTGGTAAGCTGATGAAAGTGTAATAAATTGCCTAACGCGCAAGACATGAAGAGCGCGTATCGGTAGATGGTTAGTACCGGTAATGCGGCCTTATTAGTAGCTACGTTCGCGCTCTCGCATAGTCACAACACGGCCATCATACTTTAAGTCATCAGTTGGTAACCTTTCGCAGATCATCGTACCCTTTTGGTAATTATCGTCAACAGCAAAGTTCAACCGACAACCTGCTCGCACGGACTGCGTCACAAGCGCCACGTTACCAGCCATCCTACAACACTGCCAAGTCCGTGACAACCTCTGGGCCGCTGTCTCCAGAGTCCCTGCCAAGTCCGCTTGCGATGTACGCCCCCACGTGAGTTACCGGGTTACGCTATTCACTTTGTGCAGTACACGTATAGCTAGGTGTTACACAACTGAAACGCTAAGCAAACGTCCCATACTGAGGGCTGGCAAGGCCGAAACGCGTCGGGGCGTGCCTTCCCTGTTATGTAATGCATTCTATGCATCCTTGCTTGCCTTCTACCTGCACAAGCTGAACGTCCCATCCTGACTTCATACACTTACGGTTCGCTTGCATAACGAATGCCGTATTACCGGTACAGCTTACGGCATACCTGCACTTGCCTCCTGCTGAAAGATCTATTGACCCGGATCTTTCCCTCGGTGGATGCTGTGTATGACCTCTGCTTCAGTACATACATGGAACAGATGGAGGATTATGTTTGATACAACCGTTCGTGCTCCTGGCTTGCATGTGTTATCCACAATTACCGTGCTTTATGTGGCTTCCACTTTCCATTGCTCTTCAAACATGATCTTCGTACGTCTTCCTTGTCTTCCGCCCACACCAGGGCTAAAACCAATACGGCGCGGCGCACGCCCCTTGGATTAACGAGGCGGCTGCTCAGCTGCCTGGGTTGTGTGCTGGGTTGCCTGCTGACCTGGCTGTTCTGGCTGACCTGGCTGCTGCTGACGGTGCCGGGACTGGTGCTGCTGGCGCTCCTGGCGCTCGCCGTGTGTGGAGCGCCTGGGTGAGTTGACAGCAGGAGCCCCTGGCCCTCACGCTGTTTGAAGCAGCCGTCCTCCCCTTGTGCCAGGTTGCAAAAATTCGCCGCCCTTCTGGCATTCCCTCACGTGCGTAGGCCTGAAACGCATCCCAACTTGCGCCTATTCCCGCTAACCTTCCGCGAAGCTAGATGCACGTCTCTGCTAGACGGAACACCCTATGACTTCCCTCCCTTACTTCCCTCGTACTACCCTCCCATGCCAGGCGTGAGGAAAGGCCGTGGGACAACAGGTACCGTGGACTACTGCTTGAATTTGCAGAGGACTTCATGCGGAGCCTTTTGGATTGTGCGGGGTGGCTGAAGGGAAAGCTTCAGGAGTGGTGAAGGGCGGGGGGGACTGGAAGTGCGAAGCCATGAGTGGCGGGGAGTAATGGAAGTGGGCTGCGGCTGTGTGTAGACAACTGGCCGCGAGGAGGAGGGGCTGGGGCTGTGTGCCGAGTAGCATGACGCGTGAGGAGCATGTGAACAAGGTGTCCGCCTTGGGGGCCACTTCGCTCGCATAGGACTAAGCTGGGAGGTTCTGAAGGTTCGATGGCCACAAGGCCGCTGTCGGGTTGACTCGTGGGGGCACTGGAAAGGTGATGAGCTAGGCTGGGCCTAATTGGATGCCGGCATTCCCAGCGGACAGGTTTTTGATTGGTTTCGTGCGCGCTTTGTATATACATGTATATGGGCCGGAGCAGTTAGGAACAGTATGTCTCAAATTGTGACTATCACTTATGAGCTGGAGGTTGTAGGTAGGCTACAGCTAGACAGCATGATAAAGCAGGAGGAGAAGCCAATAGTTAACAGGTCACGGGACACTGCTGACCCTGTGTTATCGACGAGCAAGCCTTCTAATATGGACACAGCCTTCCAGGACACAGCCCCCCATGAGAGGATCTGAATACAGTGGGGTAAAAATGACCCCTCCTTGTAAGTACTTCCTGCGTTCAAACCATGTCACCTGCCGCATCCGCTTGTTCAAACCGTGAAGCCCCCCGCACGTGCACCAGCATGCAGCAGCGCACATCACACACCACACAGGCTTCGTGAAGGCCAGCTGCCACATTTCGGTGGCTTCGGCAAAAGCTCAGCATCGTTACCCCATTATGCATGCTCGCCGCTGCACAGGTGACCCACGGGTCACAAGCACCCCGCTACCATTACCGCCACCCGACATAACCCATACAGGGGAGCGCACCACCTATGTATGCACCACTGGGCACCACCACCAGCAACAGCACCACCACCACCAGCGGCACCAGCAGCATTAGCAGTCTGGCCCTGCAGCACCACTAACACCATTAACACCAACAGCACCACCCTCAGCACCTTCAACGGCAGCAGCACCTTCAGCACGCTCAGCAGCACCCTCAGCACCAGCATCACCAGCACCCGCCGCAGCGCTCCCTCCGCTGCCGGCCCCCTGCTCCGGGAAAAACATGGCGGCTGTGTTGGTGTAGATCTGCTCCGCCAGCGGCTCCAGCTCGGTGATGCCCTTCACACCCGCAATCACCTCCAGCACTTGACTGTGGCATGGAGGGGAAGTGGCATGGAGGGAAACCAGGAAAGGAAGCTTGGAAGAAAGGAAGGAAGGAAAGGAAGAAGGAACCGGAAGAGAGAGCCGCGGGTGAGAACGGAGGGATGACTATATGACAAACGAGGCAGGGGGAAAGAAAGAAGCGGTGCATGCGACAGTGACGCGTCTAACGCACGTGCCTTATGGACAGCACAACCCCGCTCCTACCCTGATCGCTTCCCACCTTATGCCCTTCTCCTCCTCCTCCCAAAACCACAGCCGCCCGGCATCCTGCCTCCCAGCCCCGCCCCAGCGCCAGTCCTCAACCATGATGCACCCCAGGGTAGAGCCTTTGGAGTCCGACGGTTAGGCAACCTCCTCCTCTTCTCCCCCAGCCCCCGCCCCGCCCCCTCACCGTATGTTTGCGGGCTCATTGCGGCTCTTCACCTGGCACCCGGCCGAGTGCTTCTTGCGGTCCTTGGCGCCGCTGCTGCCGGCCAGGGCAGCCGGGGACAGGAACTTGCGGCCCGCATGGGTGGGGCGGATCTCGCACCTGGGAGCAGGAGGAGGAGGAGGTGGGGTTGGAAGAGGGGTTGGGAGGGGAGGGCTGTTGCCGGTCCCACTCCTGCCCTGGTGGGTAGCCTTCTTCCTCATGACCGCCCAACTTCACCCCACTCCTAGCCCTGTTAGCCCCACCCCGATCCCGCGTCCCTACCACGGGCAGTCCGTCTCTATCATGATCCGCTCCGTGGGCAGTGTCGCCACCACCGCCAGGTTGGCCTCGCTCTTCAGGGAGCAGCCGTTCAGACCTGCAGCGGGGGGGTGGGGAGAGGGGAGGGGAGGAGGGGAGGGGAGGGGAATAGAAGAATACCCAATGTGTTGAATGAGAATGGCAAACAGGACGACAAGGAAGGTAAGGGTTGGAACTTGGAAGCCACAAGGCGTACCGAACCTGTCTCGCACCGCATTGCCAGCAGACTCCATGCAGCCCCCCACCCCCCTATGCAGGACCCAAACCCCATGCACCCCCCCATGCAGCCCCAGCCCGGCTCCGCACACCCACCCACCCACCAATGGCCAGCTGCGGCAGCTGCAGCACCGCCGCCGCCTCCTCCGCGCTCCCGTCGAAGGAGTGTACGACACCCCCTCGCGGCATGTCCGCTGCGTGGCGCCGTACGATATCCAGGAAGTCCCCCGCGGCGGCGCGCAGGTGCAGGAACCTGGGAACCGGTAGAGGTGGGGGGCGGGAGGATGAGGTGAGTGGGGTGAGGATGAAAACATAAAGAAGCAGTGAAGGGGGTGGAATGGAGGGTTGAGATGTGGGAGAGTAATTGCGACACCCTCTCCCCTCCTCCTCCCGTTCCGCCGCTCCCCCCACACCTACATGGGTAGCCCCGACTCGCGCGCCAGCTGGAACTGGCCCTCGAAGTGGCGCCGCTGGCTGGGCGCGTCGCAGAAGTGCAGCCGGTCGTAGTCTGCGGCAGGGGAGGGGGCAGCAGGTGGTGGTGGTGGTGGTGGTGGTGGGGGTCGGGGTCATCGGTAGGTGGTGTGGTAAGCAATGGAGTCCGGGAAGCAGGGACGTTGAGGAGTTGCAACCCTTGGATGGTAGCTGGTTGGGAGCCCCGCCCAGGCTTTTGTCGGCTTGCCTTGCTGCCGCTTCCATCCCAGACGCCATCCTGACCCGTTTTGGGCCCCCGCAGGCCCCGGCTGTAGTTTCCTTAGGAACGGCTTGGTTACTCTCTGACCCTTCTTTCCTCACCATGCCCCCCCACCCTCTTGCCCTCCCCTCCCCTCACCCCACCTAATGCGGAATCTTCATCCCTATGAATACCCTCACCCCGCCCTCTCTCCCCGCCTCACCTAGTCCGCACTCGCCCACCGCCACCACCTTCCCCAGCCGCTGCCCCTCCCGCAGCACCGCCGCGAGCTCCTGCGCACAAATACACACACGCAGTGACATCATCTTCAAACAATTCAGTACGTTTCCACTCGCGGCCTACTCTCGGCCAGTTTTCTTTCCTAACAAACGCTGGCAGCACAGGCAGCATGCCCTCATTTCCCAAGCTCACACGATGCAGCATGCAACACGCAGCAACACAAAAGGCACAGGCGCTAGGGCAGCCCCCCACTCTGCCCCCTTCTCCTGAGCCCCACCACCCCTCCCCTCCCCAGCCCGCGGCTCAGTCTACCTAATCTCCCCCCCCAGCCCCACCTGCATGTAGGCCTGCGGTCCCCCCGGGTGCGCCTCGAACTCCCCGCAGCGGGTGGGGTGGCAACCCACCGTGCAGAACAACCGCTCTGACGGGGTGGGGGAGTGGACGTGGGAGCGGCAGTGGGGTACCGGTACCTAACTTACAATGCGTTCATGACACCAGTGTGTTGATAACGCGTTGTTGCGACAGGGTGGTCAGGAGTACCGGTACCTTATGCTCATGGATACTGGTACCAGGTTAATTAACTGGTATGAGCTATGCCAACGCCCAACGCCTTGGAGAAGCTCCTTCGTATACAGGTAAGCTGCGTACACCTTTTCTTCTTCTTCCTGTCGTGTCGTATACCCACCATCGGTCTGCGCCAGCTGCAGCGCCCGCCGCGACTCCTCCAGACTGCCCGCGGTGATGATCAGCCGGCTCACACCCGCAGCCCAGGCGCGCTGCAGTACGGCAGTTAGGTCAGGCGGGTGGTACGACTTGTCATTGTACTGCCCGCCGTACATGTCATCTAGCAGGTTGGCGCCGATGTCTGTGTGGGTGTGGGTAACGGCAGTGATTGATGGGTGTGACAAGGGTTGGGAAATTGGGGTGTGGAATGGGACTTGGGAGTGTGATGATAAGTGGTGTGGAGGTAAGGGTGAACTGGGAGGGGCAGACAGTTTGATCGTAGAGTGTGTTAGCACGTCATGTGGTCAGCAACACACCTATGAAACGCATCTTGGTGGGAGGAAAGGCAGGAACAGCGGGGGCTAGGGATGAATGTGGCACTGAATGCCGGGTAGCAGCCCCCGCAGGCTTGTCCGCGCTCCGTGGCACGTCTGATATTCCGTAAACGCGTTTACTCCTGCTATCGTTCGCACTGGTATTTAGGCGTCTGTGCAGGAAGCCGGTGTGAACCGCCGCGGTCTGTCTGTGCTGATGCAACCTCAAGCGGCCTGGTAAGCTACAAGCAATCTGCAAGTATGCCTTCGAGTGGAATTGATAGGCCGATATCATAAGGAATCACAATGCCGTGTGTAGCGCTTTCACGCAAAGTGCATGTCCGAGTCTACTTTATGCTAGCTCTCACTTTCACTGATTGCATTATTTCTTACAATAATGTCGCCCACATATGTGACGATGCTTGCAAGTGTAGCTGCAATCCCGTCGAAGCCGTCGTTGCTACTGCCGTGAATGACAAGTTGATGGATACGTGGACAGCAAATCCAGGCAATACGTTGCTTTATTTATAAGGCGTTTGTTGCCATGCGGCCAGCAATGATGCAGCCCACATTACAGGGCCCTGTCGGCCAGGCAGGCGCTGCGTTGCGACCCCAGCTTCTGGCGCTCCATGGCTGGCGAACCAGCGCCGCTGTACTACAACAACAGGTATTAACAGGTCGCCACTAGACGAGTGCTCGTCGAGGCATAGTTGCGTGCCCGCTTCCATCCCGGCATGCGGTCCATCACAACGTCCAAGCGCGCTCTGCATCGCATGGAGCAGTCCGCTGCATTACCTTTTTCCATATTCGCCTTTCCTCCCATATTCGCCTTGCTTGAGGGAACCGCAGCTCAGGTTGTCCGGCATGGACGCGACATTGCGAGAAGTGGCTGACGTTACCTGTCTGGGCGCGCCCCACGCCGCACGAGGCCCGCCCACACCTGACGTGCAGCGCATCTTCAAGCCGCCTTTCTTTGAATGGTGGGACGCTGTTCAGGTGAGTGCTGCTAGGGAGGTAAAGAAGAAACTAGGGAACTGGGGAGGGGCCTCTGCGCAACGCATGCATCGATAGTGAGGGCACTGACCCTGCCTGCTTCCCTCTGTTCCTATCGTCTAACATTCAGACCCCATCTAAACGAAATGCAACAGCCCCATTGATCGCTGCCCTCCGTTGGGAATAAGGTGACATCCGGACAGACAGCTGCTATCCTTGCTTCCACTCCCTCTCCCATTCATTTTCACTTTCCTAATCCCCGCTCTCTCCATGATCTGGTTTGGTTTGGTTTCTCTGTGACCCCCAGGACCCTGTTACCTCCGTCGTATCGTATGAGGGAGTCGAACAGTCGCTCGCCGCCGTCGAAGCCGAGCTACGGCGACTGACAGCGGCGGCGGTGGCGCTGCGGGCGGCGGCAGCAACACAGCCGGGGGCGACTGGAGCAGCATCAGCAGCCACCGCTGCCGCTGCTGCATCAAAAGGGACAGCGCCGCCGCCACCGACGACGACGACGACGGTGGCGACGGAGGGATGCGCAGCTGCATCAGGGGGGGTAACTGGGAGCACGGGGGGGCTGCCGCCTGATGTGCCTGCAGTGGGTCTTATTGGCTTCTCTCAGGGGGCTTCGCTGGCAGCGCTGGTGGCGGCGCTACAGGCGCGTGGAGAGCGGTTCCAGGTGGGGGCATTGAGTTGGTTGGTGGGGTGTAAGCTGCCGTTGGGAGTCGTACAAGGTTTTGGAGGCGGATGAGCATATGGGATGGGACATGGGAGCTTCAGGTTGGCACTGTCTATCAACCCGCGCTTGCAGCCCCCCCGTCATACCTCTGTTCCCCAATAACCTCTCCCTTTACGTCTGCCCCTATTAATAAGAGTATCCAAACACCGTTACCCTACCGTTACTCCCCCGCCACAGGACCTCCCGCCGCTGCGCTGCGTGGTCCTCATAGCGGGCAGCATGGTCCGCGACCCGGCCTTCTCCCACCTGTACAACTCCCAGCACCCCACCGCCGCCTCCACCACTGCCCACCACCGCACAAGCAGCAGCAACAACCACAACGACACTGGTAATGGTTCCGGCGGCGGCAGCAGCAGCAGCAGCCGGGCGCATGCGCCTCTCCTTCCCGGCCCACCACCAATGCCGTACACATCTGTACCACCAGCAGGACCGCCCTTACCCTCGTTCTCGTCTTCGCCGTCTCATCTTCTGTCGGTCCCAAGCTGTCACCTGCTAGGCGCCGCTGATCCGCTGCTCAGACGCAGCGAGCAGCTTGTGGGCTGCTTCGAGTCGCCGCTCGTCTTGAGGCACCAGCAGGGTAAGGAGCGGGGGAAATACGGTGGCGAAACAACAGGTTTAGTCCGAATGGGACTGTCAGGATGATTTGGGGTGAACAGACAGCAGCACATTTGGGTTGGGCAGGCGAAGGGGGGAATGGCTGCGGGAAGAGAAGGGCATGGCTGGGGGCTGGGAGCTGGCAAGCCGTTTGGATAAATGGGCATGCAGGGATGGAAGCGGGAAGGAAACTCTTTAGTGGGTGTGGGCACATGTGCAACAACAGGTGAAGCGTGTATGAGGCAAAGGGTTTGCGATGAAATAGAGCGGGGGGCCCGGTTGGTAATTGCTTGCGACAACACTGTTTCTGATGCTGGGTATATGTGGAACGGGGAACCCCAATTTTGACCCAGGGTAGCTTTTTAGGGGGCAATGGTGTCTCCAGCATGCTTCCAGGAGGGGAGGTTGAAGAGATCAAGACCAGCCGCCAGACGACAGAAGCGGGGATGGGGAGGGTCGGAAATGCATGTGAGGGCATTGGAAGGCGAGGATTCAGAAAGTTTAAAGTCCTATGAAGATTTACCACGACCTGCCATGTCGCACTGTGCCTTCCCCTCAAGCCCTGGTTGTTTAATGACTGCCTGGACCTGTTATGCCTGTTCACAGGACACGTTGTTCCCCGCCTGCCTCCCCAAGAGCGGCAGCAGCTGATGGAATTCCTACGCAAAAGTTTATTGCAGCCGCAACCTTCACTGGCCTAGCGGAGAGCCATCCACGAATGGTCGACGGATTTCCTGAATACGGGTTTGCGCAAATGCGAGCAATCGTGCGCCCTTGCCGGCAATATGCAGGTGTTAAGCTGCCTGACTGCGGTATGGGCATTGCTCGCTGAATGCGTTACTCATGCTACGAGCGAGTGATGTACGCTTAGCCAGAAGCGTGCCGATGTGTTTGGCTATGCCCATATCTATACTCGTGTGGATTTTGCAAGGGCAGCTTAGTTTAGCTTGGGAGCTTTCGGGTAACTCAATTGGCGAAGCAAAGCAATTTTTCGACGGACGTCGATAGCGCCTACGTTTGTGCATTACATACTGAAGATTTTTGACATTTTACATGGCATAAACGCGCGCGGAAATCGTACCTTCGCCGTTGTATGACGCGTCAACCCCCGTGAGCGACCTTTCGAAAGGGTCTGCACGATTGCGAACATGCGTACGCCTATGCTACCTTATATATTCAAATACTATACACTACTTCTGTCAAGGCTTACCTACTGGTACACCGGCAACTTTAATATTGCACATATTCCAGCTGTCGGTGGGCAATTGCCAAGGCAAAACGTTTCAAAGCCGCAGGTAGCAAATTTACTGTATTCTTTGTCCGTAAGCCTACAAGCACTGCACAGTAGGCGTAGTCAAGCAGGCTGCCAACGCGGTCCATTATTCGGGCTGGTCTTCATCACGCAAGGGTCCTTGCGTAATTTCGCAAACTACTCTAGCTAACGACAATGGTAAATCGTTAGGTTAATGTGCCTCTTCTGCTTAGGAACATGGTTATAAGTGAACAACTAAGCGGTTATTTGACGAACTGCAGGGTTGCACCGCGTCCTCCCCAGCAGCCACCTGCCCGGCGTCGGCATGCCCGGCAGCAGCCGGTTCCAAGTGCCCCAAAAGCGTAAGGCGCTCACCATCTTTTGGCTCATGTGCGCTCGATTTGCTCAAGTAGTGACCCCCGCGGCTCCTTAACTGCAGGGAGCCTCCCTTTTCGAGAGGCTGGGTGGGTCGGCCGCAGTTGATGCCGCTGTTGATATCTTCTACCAGAAGATCATGGCTGACTCCCAGCTGGCACCCTTCTTTGAGGGCATCGATATGGACCGTCAAAGGAAGAAGCAGGTATATTCTGGGGGTTGTTGCAACGGTCAAGCATCCCAGGCTAGCAGTTTTTACCCTTGGGGTTCACACGACCCCCCCCTACATGCATTCAACTTTAAGCTGTCCCTGGGTCTCACATGTAGTCATGTCACCCCTCAGTGAAGCGAACGGCCCCTCCGCCTTGTACCACCTCCAGGCCAACTTCCTGACCTTTGCCTTCGGCGGGTCGTCAACCTACGGGGGCAAGAACCTTTTCGCCGCCCACAAGAAGCTGATTGAGGAGAAGGGGCTCAACGAGTCCCACTTCGACCTCGTGGCGGGGCATCTGGTGGCTACCCTGCGCCAGCTGAAGGTGGCTGAGGTAGGTATCGGTTTGAAGCCCGTCTGGAAAGCGCGTCTGGTGCGTGGCGATGCTTCCTGCGCGCTGCTTTAGCGAATGCACCCACCCGACCAGCGCCGTCAAGAAGAAAGTAGCCTACCCCTGCATCCCTGCTGAGCTGCAGCCATAGTTTGATACTGCAAGCACGCCTTTCCCGCGACTCCTGACGCCTCTGTCCTGACCCCTCTGCGTGCAGGACCTGGTCAGCGAGGTTGTCGCAATCGTTGGGCCCACCAAGAACGCCATCTTTGGCAAGGCAAGTCGTGCAGCCCTGCACTTTCCTTAGGACCTCCTATTCCTCATTGTAGCTTTGTGGTAAGCTTCATACCGGTTTGGTATTGCTGTTGTAGGAGGAGAAGACCCTGTTTGAGAAGCTGGGCGGCGCCGCGGCCGTTGAGGCGGCGGTCGACATCTTCTACCAGAAGATCATGGCCGACAAGGAGCTGGCACCCTTCTTTGACGGCATTGACATGAAGCGCCAACGCAAGAAGCAGGTGGGCTTGCGGCGAGGGCAACAGCTGGGTAGCAACGCTGTGCCATTTAATCAATGCGTTCCCGGGCAAGATGTCTCTCCAGCACCCATGCTTACACGCGCCATGTTGCTTACACGCGGTTTGGTGCTTTACGCAGGCCGACTTCCTGACCTTCGCCTTCGGCGGCTCAAAGACGTACAGCGGCAAGACGCTGGCTGCGTCCCACAAGAAGCTGATTGAGGAGCAGGGCCTCAATGAGCGGCACTTCGACCTCGTGGCGGGGCACCTGGTGGCTACCCTGCGCCAGCTGGGCGTGTCCGAGGTAAGGACTTCGTAGTGCTATGATGAGTCCATACGCTGCCCACTTGTCATGAGGATTTCAAAGAACATCACGGCCGCTAGCCCTCTAGAGCTCATAATTTCCTGTTTTCGTCCGTGCAGGAGCTGATCAATGAGGTGGTGGCCGTGGTGGGGCCAACCAAGGCGGCCATTTTCGCCAAGGTAAGTCTTACGACTTGCTCTCGAGATACCGGTAACATCTAGCATGCGCGGTAGTGCATGTCTTGCCTGCTTGTCCTGTGCGCTTTTGCAGGCTTTCCGTGCCCGGCCATGCGCATGACATGCCGTCTTGTTGCGACTACGTTCCCTGGTGCTTCAGGAGCCTACCCTGTTTGAAAAGCTGGGCGGCCAGCCGGCGGTGGACGCAGCTGTCGACATTTTCTACAACAAGATCATGGCCGACAAGGAGCTGGCGCCCTTCTTCGATGGCATTGACATGAAGCGCCAACGCAAGAAGCAGGTGGGCTCGCGGCGACACCTGTGGGGACGGCCGGGCCGATTAGCTTGGTGACGTCGTCTTATCCCCAACGGCTGGCAGCGCAAACCGCGGCCCATCACCCATGGAGTGCCTATGCTGACACCTGTAATATTCTTCCCATCGCTTTACACAGGCCGACTTCCTGACCTTTGCGTTCGGCGGCTCGAAGACGTACAGCGGCAAGACGCTGGCTGCGTCTCACAAGAAGCTCATTGAGGAGAAAGGCCTGAACGAGCGGCACTTTGACCTCGTGGCGGGGCACCTGGTCTCCACGCTGCAGGACCTGAAAGTGGCTGAGGTGGGGATCGTTTGGGCTTCTGTGTATTGTGGGGTTATGAGGGTTGCACTTCGCAACGTGTTAGGCTCTATGTAGGGCGACTGTGACTAGCTGTGCACCGCCACCTACCAAGAGCGCCTCAACGATAACGTGTACCCCCTTTGCATTGCCTACAGAACCTGATCAACGAGGTGGTGGCGGTTGTGGGGCCAACCAAGGAGGCCATCTTCGGCAAGGTGAGTTTGGCCTTGCCTTATTGTCCGACCTATCCCGGCCATGTCAAGTTCGTACCTGAGCTGCTTTGCGGCATGCACGCCGTGCAGGAGCCCACCCTGTTCGAGAAGCTGGGCGGCGCCGCCGCCGTTGAGGGGGCGGTTGACATCTTCTACCAGAGGATCATGGCCGACAAGCAGCTGGCGCCCTTCTTTGAGGGCATCGACATGAAGCGCCAGCGCAAGAAGCAGGTGAGCTCGCGGCGAGGACAGCAGCTGGGTAGCAAGCTATTAGCCCTGTTCGCTTTACTTGCTCATATTTTACCCCAGTACCCATGCAACGCCCGAGCTTACACGCTCTTTGTCGCTTTATGCAGGGCGACTTCCTGACCTACGCCTTCGGCGGCTCGAAGACGTACGCTGGCAACACACTGTACGCGTCCCACAAGAAGCTGATTGAGGAGAAGGGCCTGAACGAGTCTCACTTCGACCTCGTGGCGGGGCACCTGGTGGCTACCCTGCGCCAGCTGGGCGTGTCCGAGGTGGGCGGGTTGCGGTGGCTGCACTTCCACTCGCATGGTGCAACCTCATGATTACGTGCTGCCCTGGACAGCAATGCTGGCTTGCGTCTGGCAGCATTCCATTTCCCCCGTTTTGCATAATATTCACAAGTCACCCCCGCCTTTGCCGTATGCGGTTCACGTGCTTTCACCTCCAGGAGCTGATCAACGAGGTGGTGGCGATTGTGGGGCCAACCAAGGAGGCCATCTTCAAGGTCAGTCTCATTGCCGCCACTTGAGCTCAGTTAACGAGGACTTTGGGGAACTTTGCTTGTGGGAGTAGAGCCCTAGGGGTCCTGAGCCAGTCCATTGATCATGTGCTTTTCATACATGCCCTGCAGGAGCCCACCCTGTTTGAGAAGCTGGGCGGCCAGCCAGCGGTTGACGCAGCTGTCGACATTTTCTACAACAAGATCATGGCTGACAAGCAGCTGGCGCCCTTCTTTGAGGGCATCGACATGCAGCGCCAGCGCAAGAAGCAGGTGAACCCTAGGCGACCTGACGGTCGTGGCGTTGTATCCGTTGGTTAACGAAACTGTGTAACCAAGAATGTGGTTAACGAATCTCCGTGTAGGAATCCCACCACACACATACCATAACAATCCCGACCTATTTCCCCCTCGCCCTGCTTGCATAACTCAGGCCGACTTCATGACCTTCGCGTTCGGCGGCTCGAAAACCTACGGCGGCAAGGCGTTGTATGCTGCCCACAAGAAGCTGATTGAGGAGAAGGGGCTCAACGAGTCCCACTTCGACCTCGTGGCGGGGCACCTGGTCACCACCCTGCAGGAGCTGGGTGTCGCCGAGGTAAGGGTTTGCATTGTATCCATGTTGGGAGCTTGAATTATATCTCGGTTGGGTTGCCTTGGCCACGGGGTATATGGGTGAGCTGGGACGTGTTTGCAGCTGATGCCACTAACCCGTGACCCATGGGTCACTTGTGACCATCTGGCCATTGGTACCACACGATCATGATCACAGCTTGCAGTTGATGTGCCTTGTAGCATCGGCCTAAATCGTACATCTCCCTGACCTGCAGGCCCTGATCAACGATGTGGTTGCCGTAGTGCTCCCGACCAAGGACGCCATCTTTGGCGGGCGCTGCTAAATAACTCGGAGGAGCTTTAAATATTCCGTATGCATACTGCTTCTGTTTAAACGCGCATAGCTACCTGCGAGAGCCCTGCCGTTGTGGGCCTTCCCGTGTAGAGGCAAAGCAGGATAGCACCCTACCTACCTATCGAACACTTGCGCTCGATTCGGTTGCTTCATAACACGTGATACTATGTTACGCCTGCAATGTGTTGCTCGTGACCAAGCCATGTTAATGTCTAATATCATTTTTGTGGCATGGGTCGCACCAGCGGCCCTGACGTTGTTACCGTAGCGTATATGTTGACCTGTTGCAAGATGACCTTGTGTGCTAGGTTATTGACCTCTTTAATACCGGTATAAAGACGGTTGAAGTTGTGGACGAGGGTGTAGCCAACGCTCTTGACAATTGACTAAACTGTTGCCTTCAAGTTGTGCATTGGGTGATCCTTGCCGGGTGTTGTCATGTAACCCACCCTGCACAGTTTTTCACGGCGGATTTATGGAATAGTTGATGCGTACGAGCGAGATATGCTTACAGCCGTACAATGTGCACGCGGTAGCCTTTCTTCGATGTCGACAGTTATGTGTACCTGTGAGAAATGCATGCGGGTGACTAATATGCGCGCAATTTAAGTATCCAGGCTTCTATGTTGTGAACTAGACTAATGGGTTGTTCGATGCTGTGACGATCATGACTTGCTTGTAGTCTTCCACAGCCCCTGCTATTCGTCCTTCTCTGCTTACAACGCCCACGCGTTGTACCACGTCTGTAATGCTTTAAGGAGCATGCCATGTCTCACGCGGCCCAATTAGGAAGCTTAGGATTACACTGTAGGACCACTGGAGTAAGGAGTCCGTACTGGCCGATCGTTAGCCGTACATTCCAGCAGAGCGTTGACCGCCCTACCCCAGGGGGCACACCAGGCCCGACAGGAAGGCCGCAAACCACCTACACCAAGCACGAACAGCCGAAGTACCAAGTACAGAGGGCCACAGGGCCCAAGAATGAACTTAAGGAACAATGTCCGAAGGGGGACATCCCGCACTGAGGAGGGAGCTGAAGACTAAGTGACAGACCATGTGTCACCAACACCAAACACACATGGCCGCAGACCGAGGAAAAGCCACTCTAGGCCCCTAGGTCAGAAGTAGACCAACCAGGGTCACAATCATGGAGAACTAAGGGGAGAACCGGAATCAGGCGGCCCACAAAATACAACACGGCCACCCTGACGGGCAAGGAACGGGTGGTCCGACGGGACCGAGGCCCAGCCCCGGGGGATGATACCTAAACTGGCGAACGAGGATACCCTAGCCCAGAAATCAACAACCACCTCGGCGCCGATTTGTCGCAGACGACCAGGGTGAACAGGTGTACGTGAATCCCAATCACGATACAAGTACTGGCGGCCTCTCTCCAGTGCCGCCAGAGCAGCCAAAGCCTCGACATCCCAAACGACGGGCTGAATCCCACGTGGGGGCAAGACAAGCCACAGCTGGGACCGTGAAAACGCAACACTGTGAGGCCCCGCCGCAACCCCCATAACCGCACCCATAGCCTCATAGGTTCCGAGCAACACAGCAGTCCCAGAACAAATGCCGGCGCAACCAACACTGCCCACCACCCGACATGGCAACACCGCATGGACAGTACCTTACCAACTCGCGATCCCCAGCGGCCGCACGTGCAACGTGTGAGGCCCAATTAGGCGGTACACGGCCACCCACGTCCTTGAATACCGTATTGCCGTGCGCGGTGTTGGTTGCACTGGTTACCAAGTACCGGTATGCATGTGGTCTTCCAACCGTCACATCGTCCAAGACCGCTCCACTAGGCGGTACAAGTCCATGGTTTTCATCGCTTTCCCATCAGCGATGGGGAACTTATTGCCTGCCTAGTTTCCCCAATACAAGCACTGCTTTTCGGTTATTGTTCAGTAATTCCTTCCCAGGACAGCTACAATCACCGTGGGATACGACTGAAGCCGTTATCACCGTGATACGACTGAAGCCATTCTGTCCGCCGTTCATGCACCTCTTGTTCAGATTCAGCACAGTTCATCGCGTTTTGCCGTAACGAGACAACAGGAGCTGCTACAGGGGGCAAAGGGGCGTTACGCTGCGATTTGGACAGGGCACGAGCAGTCACAAACCATGAAGGTACGTGGCTATCTGGATGTTCAGGAGAACAGTAAGGTAAGGGGAAGCCAAGGAGGACGCTGCGTACCCCATGCTTTGTAGCATGGTGCGTTGGCGGGGGTAAGGGATGACTGGGCTGAAGTTTAGACGGGACGTCTGTATCGGCGGCGAGGGCAACGGCATAGTTCCTGGGACCACGGGACCCGAAGAAGGGTCCAAGACACACGCTCAAGTCGGACATGGGGATCTGCGTGCAGGCCTGACCGATGCCCTTTACATCCGTAAGCTTGTAAGCCCGGCTGGGTCAGGGAGGGTTGTGTCAGCAGATTAGCTCGAGTATACTAGAATCAAGGGGTAGTAGGCTGTTGGAGGCTGCATGGTAAATACGCCGTGAGGAAGAAGGCCGGCCATCAGGGAATCAGGGACCATCTTCGCTTGGGCATGAACGGGCATGAACGGAGCTGGGGTCATGCCGGGTCTGGCGTGATCACGGCTTCAGCTTGACATCGTGCTGGCAATGACGCAAGTATGCAAATTCAGGGTCGCCTAGGCGCTGTGGGAGCTTCGCTAAAGGAGCGAACGGAAGAATGGGACACTCAGGCGGCAAGCTTCATCTATCTAGTCCTGCCTGCACTCAGGACTGCATGACGGTAATAATACAATCGTGCACAGTACAGGAGAAACTGACCGAGCCGCTAAAACCGGGTGTTGTCAAGCAATGGTGGTTAGCTCCTCGAGTCACGTGAGAGAACCCTGCTTTGCAAGATCTCAACGGTCGATCTCAGGCATGCTGAGTGCTTATAGCTACGGATCACTGCCTTCTCATTATGCCGAGGCGCATTTAACTCGATAGGGGTTATGGGGGAACGTGTACAGTAAACCCGGTGTCGTTGGTTATGGACATGTGCACCTCTCCCCAGAAGCGCACGGTGACATTCCTCGCTCCATATATGGAACGTGAAGCCATTATATCTAATACGCTAAGCATTTTAAGAGAACTGGCACGTGCGATGCACAGCCACCTCGACGCATGCTTGCGCTATCGGACTTGTTTTCCGATTCAGATCTAGGGCGTTAATAGCGTAGTGTCATTATGGCCATTAACATTTAATAACCAATAATAACAATAACTTAGTACGCAGTGACCTTCATCTAACGGTGTGTTAACGGCAAGTTGCGTGAAATTACATTTAACAGCATGGTCCTTAGGCACGTTCTCACTTTGCAAAGCGATAACCATAGTACCAATTGGATCCTTGTAGAGAAAGATGCCGGTACACCCGCAAGTAAACGTGTATACGACAGATCTAGTAGGGGACAATCCAGCCGGTACCATGCACGGCACATCTACTTTTGGAATCCCAGTTCAATGAACGACAGTCCTATGGCGGTACAACCCTAGGATCCGGGCAATAAAGACCCCCGTTGCAGCATTATTTTTCACACAACTTGTCCTCAGCAAGTAATAAGGGACAACCCTTAAAAGTGTACCAAAGGCAATTGGCTTGCCTGCACATCGCTCAAGTCGTTGATAGATCTAGTGGATCGGGCTCCACCCTTGGCAACGCAATGGCCCTCCAGGCTCACTCCCGCTCGCTGCAGCAGCGTGGCTCCAGCCGCGCCTTCTCGCAGTCTTGCCAGCCCCCTAAGCGCGTCCTGTTGGGCAAGTGCCGCGTAAGCACTGCCGAGCGGGTGAGCTTGCTCGGAAAGGTTGTTAGGATTGATTGCCGACCGTTCTGTGGCGACCAGCGCTCTGGAAATTGACACTGCCTGGTAACGATCTTCTTTTCTATTGTTGCCCAACAGGGAATTCAAGCCGAGAACTACGTCAAGCATGCCCCGGTGACCCTGCTGCGCCCTGGCGTCGACACCGAGGACAGGTAAGAATGGCAATCTTCCTTAACTGGGCTAAGGCTCTAAGGTCAATTCAATAAATGAATAATGATGCAATTGCTTTTGCGAGGACTGGACACTGACCCACATTTCGCGACGTAATGCGGCTCCTAACAGAGACCTGACACTTTCCACATCTTTTCCTCCACAGCGTGCGCGCTCGTTTCGAGAAGGTCATCCGCGATGCCCAGGACTCTATCTGCGCTGCTATCTCCGAGATTGATGGCAAGCCTTTCCACCAGGATGCCTGGACCCGCGCCGACGGTGGCGGTGGCATCACCCGCGTGCTGGCTGACGGCAACGTGTGGGAGAAGGCCGGTGTCAACGTGTCGGTAGTCTACGGCACCATGCCTCCTGAGGCTTACCGGTAAGGGTGGCTTCGAAGTTAGTTGACTCTTCGCTCCATACCGAAGACCGGATCTGCATTCTTCCTTTCCCATTGTTTATTAATATTAGATTTGGTGGATCGTGTGGCTTATTTGCGTTGTCATACTGGCCGGGTCTGTAGTCTTTCCAAACCGTTTTCTCAGCCCAGCCTCCTCCTCCTCCTCTCCTCCTCCACCCACAGCGCTGCCACCAGCAACGCCACCGTCAACAAGAACAAGAGCGATGCTGGCCGCGTGCCCTTCTTCGCCGCCGGTATCTCCTCCGTGATGCACCCGCGCAACCCCCACTGCCCCACCATGCACTTCAACTACCGCTACTTCGAGACCGAGGAGTGGAACGGCATTCCCGGGCAGTGGTGGTTCGGTGGCGGCACCGACATCACCCCCATCTACATCGATGAGGAGGACATGAAGCACTTCCACGGCACCTACAAGGCGGTGAGTCGATGGCTGTGTCGTTGACTGTCCTTGTTCTTCAATCAACCAGCGCTGCATGCAAGCAAGCTGCCGGCCTGCTTGCTTGCCTACTGTTGCAACCATCAGCACCCTCTCATTTGCTTGCTACTGCTGTGCTGTGCTGCTTGCCATCCGACCAATTCACCTCTCCCCCGCCTCCCCTATCCTCTGCCCTCTCCCCTGCTTCCCCCCTCCAGGTGTGCGACCGCCACGACCCCGCCTACTACGAGCGCTTCCGCAAGTGGTGCGATGAGTACTTCACCATCAAGCACCGCGGCGAGACTCGCGGCCTGGGCGGCATCTTCTTCGATGACCTCAACGACAAGTGAGTAACAGCATTCGGTCGGCGTCCTTGCCTGAGCTCCGCAGCTGTTGTTGGCTTGGCATGCGTCGCATCCCGATCCCTCTCTTGCGGCTGCCTCATGATCTTGGATCTGGATCTTGGACTTACCCTTTGTCCCGCCCGCCTTCCCGCCTTTCCTCCCCCAGGGAGCCCGAGAAGCTCATTGCCTTTGCCAAGGACGCCGTGAACCACGTCGCCGAGGCCTACTGCCCCATCATCAAGAAGCACATCAACGACCCCTTCACCGCCGAGGAGAAGGAGTGGCAGCAGGTGGGCAGCAGCACCCGCTTGCCTGCTCGCTTGCTCTGTCGGTTTCTTGCCTGTAGCTGTTACCTGATCCTTCCATGCATGCCTGCGCGCGGTGCCTTGTTCCCTTGTGAACGCGCACTGCAACGCTCCTCTTCCTGCACTAGCTGCAACCATCCGCCGCTCACAACAATTCTGACCCCTCTCCTCCCCTCCTTTCCCTCCCCCTCCCGCCTGCCCCCAACAGCTGCGCCGCGGCCGCTACGTTGAGTTCAACCTGGTGTACGACCGCGGCACCACCTTCGGCCTCAAGACCGGCGGCCGCACCGAGTCCATCCTCATGAGCATGCCCAAGACCGCCCAGTGGGCGTACGACTACGAGCCCGCCGCCGGCACCCGCGAGGCTGCGTTCCTGGAGGCTGCCCGCAACCCCCGCGTGTGGGTTTAAGGTGTGGGCCTAAGGGTTGAAAGCCTGAAGGTCCCTGTAAGCAGCTGCTGGGGCTTTTTGAGGAAGCAGTACCTGCCATGGGTGGGTGCGCGACTGGGCTTTTCGGCGCTCTCTTGTTTCTCTTTCTCTTCTGTTGGGATTGGGATTGCATGTGTAGGTGGTGTGTGAAAATAGGTGGGCGCATGTGCGTGTTGAGTGGTGATGCTGCGTTTTGCGTGTGAATGCAAGTAGCCTTAGGTAGTAAGCGCGTGAAAATAGAGGTGCCGCCCGCAGGCAGCCGCCGAAGGGCGTGCGCTGGCGCTGGGTGTGTATCTTTAGGCATGGAGCAAGTGGGGAGCAGAGATGATAATTTGTAGTTTTACCGCCCGGACAGGGAGGCTTGATGACTACCCGCGTCCGCGGGGATTCTTTGTTTACCGTGAACAAATCATGCTGTAGGACATGCTTTATGTATTGTTACACATCCATCCTTGACCGAACCTTTAGGCACTGGAATTGACTTTGCGCGTGAGAGCGTTAGGGGATGTATAGACCCTAATGCTGCAGATTCTTGGTTTTGCGGACGGCTTGGCGTGCTATCTGTGATGTCGTCAGCAACCGCAATGGGTTTGTTGTCGATGATGCCTCCAGCCACCCCAGCCAATGCTGCGTCGCTCGGGCCGTTGCTGCTGTACTGTACTACCGCCGTTTGTAGCAGTCTTGTGGTTTATGGCCCCTGGGAGTGTAACTGTGGGTTTGAAGCATCCCATGGATGTTTTGCCCACACAACACATGTAACAATACAAGATATAACTACCTACTTTTGTCAGTTCAATGCACGATACGATGACAACCACGCATGCGGCGGGGGAAGCATAGGTGTGGTTGACTAACTGGGCACTTGTTCCAGCTGATTCTCTCATGTACGTTACATATCACATGCGACGGGTGGGATATCGTAGAGCACTTGCCACGACAGGACTTACGTCACCATCCTGTCAACCTGACACGACCCAGCACAAACTGCAGGTTTTGGTTGTACCTTGTATGAGGTTGGCACGCCCATAGCCTTAGACCCAAATCGTCCTTGCCATAACATTACGCCTACTAGAGGAGAAGTGCATTAGACTGCCGCCATATAGCAGAATTGGGAGGAACTGGTTGCTGAAAGCATGCTTGACCAAGCGTAGAGCTAAAACGCTGCCCGCAGGCATTTGAGGATCCATAAGTTATCTTCGTTTCGAGAAACCCAGAAAATTGTGGGAGCTCCCGCTTTGCGTCGGTCCGCGTGGATTGCCAGCACGATCCGAGTTTGACTCGTTTGAGTCAGTACCTTTTACGACAAAGCATACAACCACACAACTTACCGCTCTCCTGCTATTGCTAATATCATCCAATAGCTGCCTTTTACATAATACTCTTAACTTTAAAACTATAGTCCTAAATCGTAGCGCTGTTGTAAACCTCACACGGATGCTGTCCGCTGCGCTACGAGGCACGCCTCCTGTTACTATAGGAAGTCAGTCAACGTCACTGCAGCCAAGGTTGCCACCTGTGCTACAGCAGCCGCAGCCGCCATCTCGCACTGTGTTGTCGTCCAGTGTTTCCTCGTTAGAGGAGCCGCTTTTTGAGAGCCCCCGCGCCCCGACCGTCGGCGCTCCAATTGCTACAGTTTCTGCGGCGCAAGCTGATGCAGATGCGGATGCTTTCGACACCGGTGATGAACTGGAAGGGGACGTTTTTGGAGCAGCCGATGATTTGGACGATGGCCCGTCAGCGCGCTCAAGCCAAACCCATCCTTCTCATCATTTGTTCCTAAGCACACCGGGTGCTCCGGGGCCTTTGGCTTCTTCTGTCACTGCTTCGACGCCGGTGACCCTGCTAAGCGCGGGTCCGTCCGGAGAGTAAGTCGCCTTCTTCAACGCATATGCCATCATGGCGTTTCAAATGAGATTTGGCAACGCCGGTCATTATGAAAGTCTACCCTGGCGTTCGGCCTAGATTGTTAGCCTACCCTTTCCAAGTCTGACCTCTCCCCGTCTCTGCTGGTCCCTGTCCCTTGCCTCAGGTTCACAATCGGACAAGCAGCAATGGGCGCGAAAGGAAGCATAGGAGACTTGCAGGCCGAACTTGAGCATCTCACGTCTTGTGGAGGGGGAAGGGTATCCAGACCAATTGGCATTCCGCGGGCGGCGCCTTTCATGTCGTCCACCTACCACCCAGCAGCTGGCGCGTTCATGCAGGGCTTTGTGCCTCCGCATGAAATCGCAGCGGCTTCCGTACGGGATTCCGACCCCATGGTACGTGAAGGGCACGCAGGGCAATCCATTAGGCATCCGTCTCAGCCTTGCTTGCCATTGATCAATAGTCGTATGGATACACCGCTCGCTCCATAGGCCTCCCTCCATCTGGGTCTTTACCCTCCATCTGGGCTTCAATTGCCAATTGCAGATCATGCACAGCCACCGACACAAGAGCACTGCTGAGCGGCTGCGCACGGCAGTGTTTGAGCAGACGGGCTTCATGAGCGTGACCACCGCGGCCGCCTTCCTGCAAACCAGCCAAATGGCGCAGCCCAGTAGGCGTTCTTAAGCTCAGCTCGCAGAAGAAAACTGGAAATGAACACTTTAATCATGTTTGGGTTATTGGCGGCAAAGAAAATGCGAGGGCTGTTGAATTAATACTCGAGACAGGCCTCAGCTTGCGGATGGAGGTCGGAGCGGTGGTTAAACCGGTGCGTTATGCGGAAGTGCCGCTGCTTTTGGTGGAGTATTGTACTGTAAAAAAACTGTGTTGAGGCCACTTCTTGGACCATCGTTGGCCCTTGAGGAGTGGAGCTCATTTGTACCTTCTTGTGTTCCCCAGAGGCATCGTGTTGCAGTACGCAAAAATACGGCAGTACGTGATGTTGCACCCGTACGACCGTTTGGCAGTTGTAAAGTAGGACACGGCGGTGGAATTGCGCCCGCGGCGCCCGCACCTACTGTAGCCGTTGTCACGGTGGGTAGATTAGGAGTGTGTGCGCGTCTTCTTCGTATCGTTTTCACGTGATGATGAATGAACCCAGACAGAAAGGAACAATACGCCGTTGTTTTCGGCGTTGTTGACGTTTGTAAGGTAAGGAGAGAGAGTAGAGAGAAAGGGTGAAAGGTCATAGGTTTGGCAGACTGTGGTTGGTCTGTCGCTACAGGCTCTTCGGCGGACTTTGCCGGTGCGGCGCAAGAGGTTGTGCGGCTTGTGTCTCTTTTCTTCTTTTATAGTGTTACGTCGAGTTTGTTAGACAAGTATGCCAGTGACGTCACTCATTGCAGAAGGTGTTTTTCAGTTTCATAAGAGGAGGTTTCCCAATTGCTAACCAAGTTTGGCAAGACTGCGATGGCTCTCAAATGCTGCGAAGCCTGGGCCCCTTCTTGTGGCGTGGGTGTTTGGTTGTGTATTTGGTAGTAGGGTTACTGATCAGCTGAGGAGTGGAGATGGAATAGTACGCCAAAGACGTGCGGGGGCATGCTTGATATCGTATACCGTATTGCGTCCTAGTAGCACAGGAGGCATAGAGCCAAACAGCTGGGTAGTTCGCTCCGTTCTTTGCTGGAGAGGACGCGAACTGAAACCGCTGATGACCCCTAACCGTATTTTGTTGTGGGGTTCCATTGCCCCTTGGGGTCCTCGGTATCGGGGCCCCGTGGACGAGAGAGCGGGTTGGGCTCATGTGCGACAGGTGGTGCACGTGCGCGCCTGGGAGGGGGTGTGCCTTCACGTGCTCATGACGTTACAGTCATAAATTGCTTGCAGAGTTGTGTTTTACGGTGGTGGTGGTGGCGGCAGCGGCGGGTGCGATACGATGCGCTGTACAGTCGGGGGGGCTTTCCTTGCCTGGCATACAAACAACGCGTTTCTTGGTTGCAGCCAGCGGTGCACAAAGGCACATGCATTGTTGCTGCTGTTGCGCCTTATCCGCACGACTCTTGCTGCTATTGCCAGCACACCCGTATTGATTCTTTCCCTTTATGGATTCGCGAGGTGGCGCCTTAAGGTCCTTACCAACTGTCGTGTCCGCCAAGAGTGCTGAGGCGCGATAGGAGGGGTGACTTTTTATCTGTTGATGCATGTGCAGTGTTGGTTTTTGGATGGTGGCGTCTCCTAACTCCCTCATCACGAGCCAGCGTTTGGGAGGGAACGTAGCCCTCAATGGGTTAAAATATCTTTTTTCATCGCAAGTTAATAAGCATGTTGCGTGTTTCTTTGCCGCCATGCAACGGAGTGCTCGAAAACAGGCCGCGCCGTACTGCGAGAGGCCCGCTGGTTGTTGCGGTAAATGCCTGGTAGCTCTGGCGGCCTCACGAGCGAGCATGCATATGAGGGCGTACCAGGTTGTTAGGTGGGGCATACGCACCCGCGCTCCGCTTTGTTGCACAGCATTACACGGACATTACGAGCGTCATTGCAAGGATCCTGACGCTGATCGTTTTGTGCATTGTATGGCCATGTAAAGCTGTCGAATCTCTCCTAGTTATCTGCTAGGGTGTTAAGCAGGCGGAAATGAAGACAGCATCAGTTTACTGTCGTACCATCGTCGACAGTACAACACCAGCTCAGCGGTACGATTCCATAGGTCACGTCTGCTTACAAGTGCCTCCTTGTTGTTACTCATCAGGCACTTCGACCACAACACAGCTGTCACTAGCCCGCATCTTGTGGGTCAGCACTGAACCTATCCTAGTCCAGATACCGATCAGACACAGATCAGATTAGCCGCCCTTCCTCACCATCACAATCCGACATGACTGTACCCACGCATGCTGGGAAGAGGTGTATCACTACAGCGTGTCCTGTTCACGGGCTTCTTAATCGGTGCTTCCCTGTCACCTGATACCGCGCTGAAAGCACCCTCCGATTGTATCAAGCGGCCAAGCTCAAGCCCCCTGCTCCCACTGCGTATGTGCATGTTGGCTCCATGCGCCGGCTCCCACCCGGCAATGACAACCTTTCAACCTGGCCTTCCATCTTCACAACAACAATACCCTGTACGATACCTTCATCGGGGCTCCCAACTTGATAAAAGCAACGGACGCAGAGGGTCGACACAATGGCTCAGTAGCCGGCGCCTGACCACAACCGCGCCTACACAGTCATCTAGTCATTTGGGAAAGAAGGAAGAAAGAGAGAAAACACGCGCGCTCGCCAACGCAGCACGTCCTTCGGTCCTCCGAAGGGATCACGTCGGGGCTTCAAACCCTGACCCCCACCCCACGACGCCTATATAATAGGTATGACCAATGCTGGTTTCGCTGCGAACAGCTGAGCACACCTCGTACAATCCTACCCTGCCTGCTTTGCTTGGCCGGAACCCTCCAAAGTAATGCCTCGAGTCCTCCAATCGTCACCCTCCAACCCGCTTCGTGGCAGGCGCATGCAGCGGCAAAGCAGAACCGCTGCAGCCCAAACATGTCCCAGGATAAAAGATAGCGGACGTCGTCGTCGAAATATGCACTGACATGAGTCTTCTCCACTAACAGTACTGGTAGTATCATATTCGAACCTCTTCAGAGTGTTTGGCACCACTCCAAAGTCCGAACCCATCCCTAGCAGGAATCCCTCAAGAACACGCAATCCTACATACGCACACATGTCGCCTCCCCGACATTGGTAACATTGTGTTACGACACCACCACTACCACAGCAGCACACAAGGGATCTGAATACGTTGGGTCGAGTGCACGAATGACGGAATGATGACGATGTACGCGATGATGAGGTGAAGAAAGCAAATTTTGGAAATTCAAAGAATCCTCAAAAGTTGCATGGGCAAGTACGTAATTGTTGAGCGATGCAAGATACGCTGTCGCGGTGGGCGGATACCACCACAAGTTGCTTGCACCTTGCACCATCCCACCCCTCCTTCCCTCACCCCTCCTTACCCATGCTTGTTTGCGTGCTCAGAAAACTGGCCCCACCTAAGCGCCCAAGCCTCGTCGGGTGTGCCCTCCCGGCACTGCACCAAGCACCAAGCACTGCTATATTGTTATTTATTATTATTCGTTTTATCCTAATACCTGGCTCTTGTATCCTTCAAATTTCGCTTCCTCACCCAAAACCTCATCTTCGAACTCAAAACCAAAACGCACCCATTGTGCCGTACCAAGTACCAAGTACCAAAAGCAGCAGCAACAATATATTATTTAAATTTAAACAAACATACACTAAGCGAATGGAGCAATCCATCCTTCCGCTATATATGTGACAAGTTCTGTGGTGTAAGAACACCTGCTCGGCCACCCCGCACGATGACGTCGCGAGCCTAGCAAGCATCCACCTCAAACATCAGCAAAAACAACAAACCCGACAACAACAAACGCAACACGACAATCGAAATACGTTTTTCCTCCTCGTGGCCGGTGCTATTAAGCAACACACACAGTGGCTCCAGGGGTGAGCTACCGACTGGTGTAACAGCCCCTACGTGTGCAGCTGTGCATGTCGCTAGTCTCGCTACAGCGGACAGCCACGCACCCAGGCATGCACCAGCCGCTCTACACAGGTCCCCAGCTCAACCAGACGGCCCACTGCCGGAAGCCAACACCCCACCCTGCCCACCAGCGGCCCCTGCTGCAGCGGCTCCAGCAGGTACCGCCGCCGCCGCTCCTCCCACTGCTGCCACCCTCCTCACCCCCCCTCCCCGCGCACTCCCCTCCACGGCACCCCCCACGCCCCCCGTCACCACCTCCGCACCTCCCACCCCCCTCACCAGGGCGTTGCTGCCGCTGCTGCTGCTGCCGCCGCCCGCGCCGCCCGCCCCACTCGTCTCATGCCGATCTTGCTGCTGCTGCTGCTGTGGCGGTGGCGGCGGACCCACCCAGCTCGCGGCAGTCGGCATCGGAACCGCAGTGGCAGCTGCGGGGCGGGAGTTGCTGCCGCTCGTGGAGTTGCTGTTATCCGCAGCAGCAGCAGCAGCAGCAGCCACAGCCGCGCCAGCAGCCACAGCGAAGGCAGGGCAGGGCAAGTAAGGGCGGGAAAGGGCAGGGGGCAGGGTGCGTTGGGGCAGACAACACAGACCTGGAGTGCGGGCAAGGGAGGGTTGGTAGGGCTGCCCCACCTGAGTGCTTGCTTGCATGGGGCGTCGCATGCCATGGGATGGGGTATGCGGTAGGACGGGGGATCAGGGCAATGGGAAGGAGGAGGAGGAGGAAGAGGAGGAGGAGCAAGGGTGGGGCGGGGGAGGGCGGTACAGAGGAAGAGGCTAACCGTGATGCCACCCGACGTATCCCACCAACACCTAAATACCGTGAAAGCCCCATGCCCTCTCACCTCAAAGCTGACAACCTACGTCCCGGCTTGCACCCAGGTGACATGACGACACCACCGGCACCACCACCACCACCACCACCGCCCGCCGGGGCGCTGCTGGTGTTGTTGTTGTCGGCGCCGGTCGTGACGCAGGCCAGTGCTGCTGCCACAACCGGCCTCTGGCTGCTGCCCCCGGCGTGATGCGCGGGCGGCGGGTTGAGGCAGCGATCCGCCTCCCTGTGGGTCACACACACACATACATACCGGGGTGGCAAGGGGGGATGCGTTCAGCCACATGCAGGTCAGCGCACCTGCTGCCTCGCCGTCAGGATGGACAGCCCCTTGCGAGTGGCCCAAAGATGTTACCCCACAAACTGCCGCACAGCAACAACAACAGCAACAACAATAGCAACAACAACAGCAACAGCAACAGCAACAGCAACAGCAACAACACCAAAACAGCGGCAGCGAACCCACTTGTTCTCCGCAATGGTCGCCACCCCCGGCGCGAGTGGGAGGGGGTGCAGTCCGGAGATGTCGGCGGCCTCAGCTCGGGGGCACGGGCCGGACTGCCAGGCCTGCGTGCCGGTCACCCAGTAGGTGGACATGACACCCTGGGGGTGCGGGTGGGAAAAAAAGAAATTCCAAAGTGTGGTGTGATAATGATATAAGTTGCTGACAATCCCTGGTGGAATGAACCGTGAGTCGAGCCGAAATGGTGGTGAAAGCAAAGCGAGCTAAACTTACCGAACTTACCAATTATGGAGAAACCTTACCATAGGCTTGGGCATGTGGGGAGGCTGCTGAAGGTGAGGTGGAGACCCACCGCGCCGTGGGGCATACGCCAACAGCAGGAACAGCACAACACGAGCACTCATAAAAAACAACACAGACCGACACATGATAAAACACGTACCTAGGTACACAAAGGGAGGGGGGGTGGGAAGGAGGCGGGTAAAAAATAAAATAGGTTTAACAACGAGTCCCAATCCCATATCCCGACTCATGCAGTGAGCGCATTCGGAGACACTATCCTAAAGGAGGGGGGAAGGAGGGGGGTTGGGGTGGGAACGATGCGCATGGAAAAGGAATCTCCTCTTTCCGCGGGGGTGACTCCCTTCAGTCCACACGCCATCCAGCAGCAGAACCCAATAACCCAAACTCCAACCAAGCCCGACCCAAACCCTACCAACTCTCCCCACACCGTACCTTGCCCTTCACCGGGATCTCTGTGCAGGGTACGGCAGCGGTGTGTATGTCGTACAACAGCCGCCGTACAACCGCACGTCATGATGCGAGGTACGGCAGACGTGGTGATGATGAAGTTGGCGATGGCGTTACCATTGCAGGCAGCGCGGGGTTGGAAGGGGCACGCAGGGACAGGGGGGGGGACAGGGCGCAAGGTGAAACCGTGCAGGACTCTGGCAGGAGCAGCGGCGGCGGCGATGTACATGGAGGGCTAACGGACAGGGGAGTCGGGCGTTGAGCCAGGCCTGCACTGGGTTGCCGCTACCGGTATCGTGACAAAGATGAGCTCGTACCCTGGACTTATCCCCGCCTGCCCGCCCTCCCTGTCTCCCTTACAAGTGCTTAACCCTCCCCCCCCTCCCTCCCCCCCGGCTCAGTTAACCGAACCCTCCCCCCCTCCCTCCCTCCCGCGCGCCTCACCCCCTCGCGGCTCCAGCGTGAAGCCCCCCGCCTGCCCCAGCAGCTCCGCGGTGGCGGCGCTGACGTGGATGCGCATGGGGCTGCCGTTGCTCTCCATGCGGCTGGCCGTGTTGACGGTATCTGGGGGGAAGGAGGGGAGGGGAGGGGAGGGGAGAGGAGGGGTAAAACATATTGAGACACCGACGATGCAACGGACGAGCTGTATGACAAGGAGGGGGGGGAAGGGTAAGTGCAGGGGCAAGGAGGGAGCGTCACCTTATCCCCCAAGCACCCTCCCCGTCCCTCATTACCCCCTCTATACCCCCGCTTCATCCCCCCCTCGCCCCTCCCCCTGTGGTTTCCTATGGTTCGGTACGGTCTTTGAACCCCCTCGCCCCCCACCCTTATTATTACTTTTTTACCCCCTTACCCCCGAACAACGTGTACTTGGGTGCCTTGCGCCCCACCACCGCCGCCACCGCGGGGCCCGAGTGGACCCCCACTCGTATCTTCACCACGTGCCCCCCCGCCAGCACCTTGGTGCTGTGTGTGTTTTTTGGGGAGGGGGGGGGGAGTTGGGGGGGGAGGGCTGAGTGGGAGGGGAGAAGGGAAGGGGACAGTACGTAGGAGCTGAGAGGGCTGTAATACACAGCACGCATGGCGGCTGCGCGCCCATCTGGGTGACCCCCCAGGGGCACTGCTGCAGCCACCGCCCCGCAGCCTCCAACCCCCAAACATCATAACATACCCCATAACTAACCCCTTGCCCTCCCTCTCCCCCCCTTCAGACCTGGTGAGTAGGATCATGTCAAGCGCCATCTGCGCCACTCGAGCCGCCGCGGCAGCTGCGCCCTCCACATCCGACTCGGGGGCGCCTCCTACCAGCATGAAAGCATCTTGGGGGGTGGAGGGGAAGAGTGGGGTTGAAGAGAGATGACCCAGATGAGTTTGTTATGTTCATGCAAAACACACACACAAAAAAACACGTGTACGGGTACGTCACATGCCCTCCTCCTCCCCCCCCTCTTCTCCCGCACCTCCGATGGTGTCCAGTTTGTAGAGCTTGTGCTTCTCCGCCAGGTTGTCTGAGAGGGGGGGTTGCGGGGAGGAGGGGGGGGGGCGCGGGGAGGAGGGGGTTGGGAGACCCAAGCCATAGGGGCGGAGGCAGGGAGGAAGGGGTTAGGAACAGCTTTGCTACCGTATTACCGGAAAATTATTTGTCAACCAACCAACAAAGGACTAACGAGGAAAACGGGTACAAATACACAGCAGTATACATACAGGCCTACCCACATACAGCTGATTGAGTGATTTATACTGTACGGCAACCCAACCAACCAACCCCCCAACCACCTACCGAACTCGACGTACAGCTCATCCAGCATCTGTACGACCTCGATGGGCGCCATCTGGGCGCTCATGGTGGTGTACGACACGATCTGTGCACGGGTGTGTTTCGTGTGCGTGGGGGGGGAGGGGAAGGGGAAGGGGAGGGGTGCAGGATGTGTGTTGGGAAACCAGTTAGTTGCGGCGTCCATCCCCACAGCACAAGTAGAGCTAAGAGGCACAAGTAGAGCTGAGAGGCACAAGTAGAGCTAAGCAGCACAAGTAGAGCTAAGAGGCACAAGTAGGCCTCAGCGCCTCATCACAGCCCCTTGTTTTCGCTCTTCCTCCCCCAACACTCACATCCGAGAAGAGAACGGTGACCACTTCGAAGGATTCGGTGAACACCTTGCCTCGGCGGAGGGTGCTGATGACCTGCGGGTGGTTAGGAGTTGTTAGGGGGGGCTAGGGGGGTGGGGCTCAGCTCGGGAGGTGGTGGGAGGGAAGGAAAATGGGATGCGGGGGCCAAAGCGGTGACTTGAAGTCTTGCATACATGCATGCATGCATGCTAGGTGGGGGTACACCCAACCCCACCCCCACCCCCACCCACCTTGGTCAGCTTTACCGTCCGACCCCCACCCCCACCTTTTTTGGGATCATGGCATGCAGCAGCCGCATGTGCTGGCGCCGGTTGACCAGCACCAGGAACAGCAGCAGGCTCAGCAGCACCGCCAGCACCACCGTGACGGCCGCCATGGGGGAGCGCCAGGCCGGGCACCAGCCGGCCGCCAGGTGTGCGTACAGTGTCAGCTGCGCGCCCTCCACTCTGATGAGGGCGGACACGGGGGATAGCAGACGCTACGGGAGGGGGAGGGGGAGTGAAGGGGGTTACGAGCGGAGGAGCGCGGAGGGGAGGATAGGGTTATCGAAAGGAAAGGGGTAACATAAATATACTTATACTAGTACTGGCGTACATGCGTGTCACTGACAGGGGAGGGTACGGTCCATACCCACCTGCTACAGGTACCCATCCTCACCGCTCCCCCGACTCCCCCCGCCCCACAAACACACACACGCAAAACACACACACACACACAGTACGTTTCGCCTCGCGGCCAGTTATTTTAACACACACACGCACCTCGTGCAGGTCGTAGTACACCAGCGGTCGGGCGGCCCCGGGCTTCCTGGGGGGCAGCCGATTGTTGGTGGCGTTGAGGGGAACAGCCTGTGGGGGGGGGCAGTGCAGGGGGGTGCATGCGAGGTGGTGGAGTGGAGGGAGAGAGAAAGGGGGGAGGGGCGCGCACGTCGAGTGCAAGGGAGCAGGCCGAAACACTACGCGTCCCTTCCTAGTAAAGCGCCGCAAGACAGGGCAAGGCGAACGGAAGAACGGGGGGCCATGCGTGCAGTGGTGAGCGGGAGAAGAGGCGCGTGCACGGGCGGTGTATGCGTAGACATGGGCTGGGTTGGATTCACCCCTGCCACCATCACCACCACCCCCTCCTCGCCCCCAGCCCCGCACCTGCACTCCGCTGCTCCAGGCCACCGCCAGCTCGTGGGAGCCATTGGCCAGGTCGGGACGAGCCTGCGGGGGGAGGAGGTGTGGGGGTGAGATGGGGGGGTCAAAGACCATACCGAACCATAGGAAGCCACAGCTTGGGGGGGAGAATGAGATGAGCGGATCAGACGCGGGGAAGCACGGGGAAGCGGGGCAAGGTGAGGAGGAGGGTTGGGTTAAGACGACTCCACTCGTGGCCAGTTTCCGTAACACACACAAGGACACAACCCCTTACAACCCTCCCTCCCTCCCTGCTGCCGTACAACCCTCCCTCCCTCCCTGCTGCCATATAACCCTCCCTCCCAGTTTCCTTAAAACACCGCCCCCCCCATACACACACACGCCCCCACACACGGCGGCCAGTTTTCCTAACACACACGCCCTCCCCCCTCCCCCACCTGCAGCAGCTCCTTCCTCAGCACGGGTCGAGCCAGCACGTACTCGTAGCCTTGCAGCTCCAGGTCCTCCAGCTGCGTCACGTTCTCGCGCAACACGTCCCAGCTGATCAGCACCGTTGTGAGGCCCCACCTGGGAGGAGGGGGGGGAGGGGGTAAGAAGGAAGGGGGGGGGAGGGGTTTTGATAAACACACGCGGCAAGAGACGGATGCGGAGACGGCCCGCTACGGCACGATATGCACACACACTCACACATGCGAACCTATCCCAACTGCTTGCTCTTGTTTTACTCAACTACACACACTCACACATGCGCGCATGTGCGCGGCCAGTCTTGTACTCAACGCACACCAAGGCACCATGAAATAGAAGTCCTATACGCACGGCTGTCGTGTACTGACGCGCGTTGTATGTAACATAAAATACGGTAGTAACCGGTATGCGAACCCGCTCGCATGCTTACCATTTCGTGGAGGTTGCGTTGTCGTACATGTAGGGCGCGTACGGCGTGTCCGTGAGGTTGGGTCCGAGCTGCACACGCGGGGGGGTCTGCCAGGCTCCGAGTGTGCCATGCACGTAGGGCGGGATGTCGAAGGTGGCGTTGGCGGGGGCGGGGGTGATATTGATGGAGAGCATGGCGACCATACCTATGCCGCCTGCTGGGAGGGAGCAGGTACCGTATGGGGGGTCAAAGACCATACCAAACCATAGGAGACCACAAGTTAGGGCAAAGCAGGTACGGGGTGGAGGAGGTAAGAAAAGAGCAAACCATAGGGAACCACAAATTAGAGAGGAGGAGGAGGAGGAGGATGGTGCCGATAAGGGAGACAAGAAGGCCAAGCCGGGGCTTGCATGGAGGGAGGAGGAGGAGGGGCGGCACCCTATTGTGTGTTTGGGATCACCGTAGCTGCAAGATACAGGCTGCGAGGGGGGCTGTGTGCTGTGTGCGTGTCAGAGGATTCACATGCGGGGAATGCTCTGGGGAGTCGTACAGTGTGCTGCTCGGACCCACCCTGTGTGAGGTTGTAGGGCCCGATGATGGTGAGGTTGCGTGTGCTGATGGCCTGTAGCACCTTGTCCTGATTGTATCTGAAGAGGGGAGGGAGGGTAACAGGAAGGAGGGAGTCAGAGACCATGTCAAGGGGGGGGAGGGGAGGGGAGGAGGAGGATAGGGAGGAAGGCGCGGAACGGGGCGTGCGGTTGATGGGCAGCGCAGGCAAGCAGCAAGTAAGCAGGAAGGAAAGCAGGCTTGTCGTTTCCTTCCTTCCTGCCAAGTGTACCGTATACGGTATCCCATTCCCTTGCGCACAGCACAGCTCACGCCGCACCATCAAACCCGCTGTCACCTCCCCCTCCTCCGTTCCCCCTCACAGCAACCTCAACCGCACCCACCCCAGCACCCACTTGTCCTGCAGCCAGTCCTTCCCGATGGCCCGCCAGTTGAGGTCATCCGCGGGGCTGCTGCCGTTGAGCGGGACCATGGTGTAAATCACCCTGCGCGTGTGCATGGGGGGGGGGGGAAGGGTGTTAAGTAGACTGTATGTCCAGTATGTGTAGTTGAGTAGAACAAGAGCAAGCAGTTGGGATAGGTTCGCATGTGAACCGCAAGGACAAGCAAACAGAGGCAAAACAGAGGTAATCAAACCTGAACCATAACGCAATAACTGCTGAAATAGCTGGTGCTGGATGTAAGACGAGTGGTGGGTTGACGGCGCATGTCGGTGATGCTGATGGTGTCGGCTGTATGTGTGTGTAAAGGCAGCTGAGCTGCTGCTGCGTGTGTCCAAACCGGTAACATGTCCAGCCCAACCACCGAGCTGCATGTCAGCCGGCTTGCGCTGCTGCTTTCAGTATGCAGCACTCAGAGCTCAGGGATCCTCAGAGCTCCTAACCGCCACAGGTTGCACCGCCCCCGCCCCCGCCCCCCGCCCCGCAGTCACCAACCCGTTGGGTATGAGTGAGAGCGACGGCAATCCCCACCCCCAGCCACTCCCCCCTTGTAACCATCCCCATGCAACCGTCCCCTTGCCCTAACAGCATACAGCATCCCCCCCACTCGTCCCCTCACCCACCCGTTGGGTATGAGCGAGAGCGTGAGCACGCTGCCCGCCTTGGACAGCCGGATCATCTCCAGAGCCATGGGCGGGAAGCTGCCGTTGACGGCGGGCCAGGAGGGGTCGCGGCGCACGTAGACGCTGGAGGTGGGGGAGTGGGGGTCAAGGACCCATGTCATCCCAAAACATTGGGGATTAAGATAAACTGAGCTGCGTTGAAACACACATGGATGGATTGGGGAGGGGCGGGGGAAGGGGAGGGGGGAGGGGAGGGCGGGAGGCAAGCAGGGGGTTCCTGCCTCCCCGCCTGACCCCTAACCCCCAACCCTGTCTCCCCACCCACCCCCCACCTGCCCCCGACCCTGCCTCCCCACCTGCACACGTAGGCAGGCATGAAGGCCTTGGCCAGCTCCGTCTCCAAGTACAGTGCCTTGTCGCGAACAACCTGGGTGCATGCGGGTGGGGGGAAAAGTATAGATAAGTGCACCCAGATAAGTGCGGGAGGGCGGGGCACACGTGTGCCATGGGGAATGACATGGGGCGCAGGTAGGCCATGAGGGGAGCGGCTACTCAGAGGGATGCGGGCCTGCGGCTACATGCGCGCATGCGAGAGCCGCTGCCGCTGCTACCACAGCACACGCAGCGGCAATGCTTGGGGCACTGTTGCTGCCGTTGCTGCTGCTCCTGCTGGTGATCACCCCTGAACACACACACACACACACATGTGACATCCCAGTACGTTCCTACTCGCGGCCAGTTTCCTGAACACACACACATGTGTGTTATTTTAACACATGTGTGTGTGTTCACATGCGCGGCTTGGGGTACTGTGGGTTGCTGGGGGCCGCACCTGCTGTGCCACCTGGCGCCTGTGCTCCGTCTCCTGGGCAGCACTCGCGTACACCGCCCACAGGCCGCCTCCCAGCAGCAGCAGGAGCAGCAGCAGCGGGATGAAGGCGACCTTGGGATCGCGCCTGACCGTTGTCATAACGGTCTGCGAGGGTTGGAACCGCATGCAAGGGTAGCGGTAAGCGGGGAGCGGGGAGAGGACGTGGACGTGGTGATGAGTAGTGAAGGAAGGTCGGTGATGATGGTGACGGGAAGGGGCTAGGGGATTGTAAGGCCCAGACGAGACAGGAGGCTAATGGATCGCTGGACCAGGGTTGGTGGGTTTGCGCGCACCTTGGTGTCCGTACAAATTGCTTGCCATGCACTCTGCGCGGTTGAAACCTGCTGCTCTTGGACCTTGACGCCTTTGGTTAGATCCCATATGCTCTTGTCGACTTCTAACTGGCCCTTGCTTCCAGCCCGAAGCCCAGACAGCCCGCTGAGAACGGAGGCATGGTCTTGCTTGTTCTTCCTGTCACGGAAGCTTCCTAAGGCAGAGTTAATGCGCTGAGTGAAGGACTGAAATGCTGGATATTGTTCATGGGCTAAGTTAATGGTGGATGCCTCCCGGGTTGGTCCGTCGCTTTCGCTCATTCCGTTCGAATAGTACTGTCAACACTTGGATTCCTAGCCACACAACTACATATCTCGTGGTTCCCTTTCGGTTGGTGTTCTTCGTTGCGGGAAACGCTGTCGTTGCGCAGCGTTACGACTCAGTATGGTAGGATGCCGTACGCAATATACGCTAGCCGGTATCAAGCAGTACACAAGCAATGGTGTATTTTAGCAGTGTAACATGCACTCCCGCCAGTGCTATCTTTCGTAGTCTGGGTGTATACCACATTCGCGAGAAGAAAAGGGTCCCACAGCACTGGCGATGGAGGTTATCAATATGTTTTGCATATCTACATCAGTATACATGTATTTACTCTCACCTCGTGATTAGGTCCGAGCCAAAGTTGAAGTGAAAAGCGGCTTCAGGGTAACTTCGATGCCGCAACGTTTTACCTGAAGTAACTTGCAAGAAGCTCAGAAAGCCGCTGCCAAATTGATGCTGCCGAGTTAAACCCACAGCGACAGGACCTTCCCTGTTGCTACACTCAAGAGGATGGGACGAAACGTTGTGGTAGGGACAGGAGCATGTGTGCATCCTGCGTCAAAGAGACGGAAGTGTCCTTACACCTTCCCTCAGGAGGGGTTTCATAGATTCGGCCAACCATAATCTATGAAACCCCTATAAACAGAAGGTTTAGCTCTCCTGAGCGGGTGTCTGGGCAGGCGGGGGGAATTGCTGGGAGACTATTGGAAGCCATCGACATCCCCTGACGCGGGTAAGTGGCCGTCACAGCGCTAGCATTGCCGCCTCCCTAGCTATCTACGGACCTTCAACGCCATTCCTCGGCCTGCTAACAACTGCTGGGACAATCTTTTGCTGCACCCAAGACCCGCTTGGTGCATTCTCTTGCAGCCCGTTACCGCCCAAGCGGGCGTCTTAGCTGCATCCGCAGCAGCAGAATGCGCTTTGCCAGGTTTGCATGCTGCCCCACTCCGCCCTTACAGCAGTCTGTCACATACATTTCACGTCAGCAGCCCCTTTGCGTCATCAGGACAGGTTTTCGGGGGAATGGTTTGGCGTACGGCAACGGGAAGTGCTGCACCTAGCCAGTGCGAGGGGCAAGGCAAGGCAAGCAAAGTCACCTCTTCGCTTTCTAAACTTTGTTTAGTGGGAAGGGCCCACTATTGGCCCTCTAGTGCATGCTAGGAAGTGGGGGTTAGTACGCAGGGCATCATCCGCGCAATTGGCGCGATATACGTAGGCACCCCACAAACAATTATAGGTCACGCAGTGCAAGGTGATGCAGGAATTGCGCGTACTGCACAGCGAGCAAGCATGCGTGGCGAGCCGTGCTAGCTCTGTGCTGCTACTGTGCGGCTTTGCGGAAGTGCGAAATGTTTGCAGATAGCAGCCGCGCATAGATTCTTAATGCTGTTGCGTGTTCGTGTGTGGCATATGTACAAGTGAAAACAAATTCCTACCATATTGCCGTGCAAAGTCCTGTCTGGCAATTTGTCAACGGCAATGGACAATCAGTCCTGACATCTGAGCATATTATTCCTAGGCAAACGTGAGTTCCAGGGGGAGATAGTGCTAAGCGTACTGCGGGGCGGCGACCATCCTTGCGGCGCAACTCCTAGTGATGCGCCGCAGAAAGCGCAATGACACCCTACAAGCTATTGCATGACACATGTAGTTCTGGTTTCTATGCCGTAAGTCTTTTTACCATACAATTAAGGCATGTATTTCCAACGTACATTCGTATTCGCGTACGAGGCAACGCCCTCGCAACCAGCGGCAGTCTGAAAAAATTGCAGAGTGGTTGACGTCTCTCCCTTGCTCTGTATCACCTCCTATGACATTGCATTAATGATTTAACAAAGGCAGACGCGCGTTGATAGGTTAGGCGACTTCAACATGGAAGCAGAGGACGAACCATGGAATGAGAATGACTATACTTTTGAGAGACGTCGCCTTACTGTTCACAAGAAGGGTGGGCACAATTATTTTCGCACTTCTCCGACGTTTCGCTTGCTTACAATTGTGCCTGGTCCTCCAGAGCACACGGAAGACCCGGACTATGAGCAGCCACATACACACCTTCATGTGACTGCGCAAGCTGAGCAGGAGGTTGAAGGCGATATGGTGCTGGACTCGGGTGCGACCTAAGCAATGCTTGACGGGCTGTCCTAGGATGCGCAATTAACGCCATCGGTCTGCACGGACAGGTCCACAGCTGGTCCTCCCCAAGTCGGAGGTTTGCTGCTTGGTAGGACAGCGCTTTATTCTGCAAGCCGTAGCAACTGTCCCAGACAGGTCTTGCAGTTTGGGAGTAACAATGACACCTTTTTGCAACCTCTGACGACAAATTTGACGCCTTCTGCTGCAGGTGAAGGTGCGTCTGGAGCCGAGGTTTGGAACGTTTCGTTATACCGCGGTTTTGCAAGCGTCTTTAGCGAGTAACTTACTGGCTTGCAGGGTTGCCATGCGGATTTATCGAGGAGTAAGGCATACTATCGTCGTTTTCGGATATGTGAAGCGCATATGAAGTCCATGAGCTTGAGCATTGAGGGCCGGTCTTGCCGCTTCTGCCAACAGTGCGGCAAATTCCACCTGGTAGGTATATATCTACTCTGCATTTTCCATGATGAATGGACGCTTGTCGTCGTATGGCCACATATGCCGTCAACGGGCCTGAACTCCCGCCCTTTTTCGCGCCTTTCCTGCAGGTTGAGGAGTTTGACGGTCTGAATAGGTGAGTAAAGCAGCTTATTGAAGCCTGCCTTTGCTAAGAGAGTCGGCTGTGTTGGGTGCTGGCGTTACTGGACTTTCGTGGATGGGAGAAGGTGCTGCCTGATGTGCGGCCGAATGCCACTAAATGTCAACTCAGAACTGCAACCCGATCCTGTTTGTCCCCACAGGAATTGCCGAAAGGCACTTATGATACGGTTCTATAAGCGGCGAAATCTGCCCGTGACGTCGTTCAGGTGTGTGGTGCAACACAGCACGGCTTCACCTCTTGACGCGCAGTACGGCAGCATAGATGCTGCTTGGATAAGAAACCAAGCTTCCACTCTTCACGCACGAAAGCCGAGCACGTCGCCGGGCAAGCATAGCCTTCTGACCGTCCATGCATTATGATCGTCCCGCATGGCTTCCTGCCGCCTACTCAACACTCGTCAAGTCCATCTTTACAAGCATGCCTGACTCTGTCCTCCCCACCTCTTCCTCTACTCCACTGCGCGGTGCTTCCTACCGAACAGCCGGCCAGAAGCTGAGGTAAGAGCGCCTTGCATCAGGGTTTGGTCATGGGCACCATACTTTGCTTACCGTATCCGCTGCCCAACGTGATAACACCATCGGCTTGAACACGCCCTTTGCTCTAACACCTGGTCTGCACCCTCCCGCGCACCCCACACTCTTCTCGAAAAGGCTGCTGCAGCGGCAGCAAAGGCAGCGGCGGCCGCCGCCGCCCGGCAGCATGCGGAAACAGGGCGGGAACCCCGCAAGCGCGGCAGGCCCCGCGCACCGCGTCCCGACATTGAGGAGGATGATTACGTGGGGGCCAACAGCGGCGGCAGCGATGGTGGCGGCACCCAGCCCGAGGCCTTCGAGGGTTGCTCCCTTCCCGGCAACACCGCCGCCGCACGCGCGGCCGCTGCTGCCGGCTTCGACGCCAGCCTACAAGCAGCCTACATCGCTGCGTCGCGGGGCTTCCAGGGCACCGGGTCGGGAGTGAACCCGGGCATGCTGCCAGCAACAGCCATCGGGCCCCCCGGCTACAGCCAGGGCATTGTGCGTATGGCGGGTATCGAGGTTGCGCCCGAGGTGCCTGAGGACCGCTCCATGCTGCCCGCGGCGCGGAAGCGCCGCCCGCAGGCAAAGGCCCTTGCCGCGGCGGCGGCGGGAGCCCCCTCAAAGCTCGGCCGTGGCCCAGTGATGACGGCTCCATTGGGGGGCTCGCTCGATTTGGACGGTGACGACGACAACGACATGCTCAAGAACCAGCAGGGCAGCGCTGACCCAGATCAGCCCCTTGGTGGTGGCAACAGCCTGCTGCTGGCGAATGGGCTGCAGCTGCCGCCCTCGCTGACGGGTATCACGCTGGAGGGCATGACGGTGGAGGACATGCACGCGCACATCCAGGCGCAGGTGGCGGCTCAGGTGCAGGCGCAGCTGCAGCTGGCGGCACAGGCGGAGGCGGCGCACATGCAGCGAGGCGGAAGCGGAGGCGGCGCAAACGGAGGGCCCCCTGCAGGTGCAGCTGCTGCTGGCGGTGCTAGCAGCACTGGGATTGGAGGGGTTGGATTCGCCAGAAGCAGCGGCGGCCTTGGTGTGGGACTTGGTGGTGTTGCCGGCCTGGGGACGCTGGGACTGGGAGGGCTCCTGGGCCCGGGGCTGGGGCTAGGGCTGGGAGAAGGGGCGGCGGCCGTGCGCTACTTGCAAGGACAGCCGTCGGCGCAGCTGCCGCGTCTTACAGGCGGCGTAGGCGGCGGCGGTGGGGGGATGATGGGCGGCCTGGGCGCCTGTGGCAGCGGTTGCGGCAGCGGCCAGGGCTCTCAGTCGAGGAGCAGTTCCAGTCACAGCAGCCAGGGGCGCCAACAGGACAGGGGCCAGCAGGGACAGCGACGGTTGGAGCTGCAGGAGCCGCCGCCGGGCCCGGGGGGACTTGGGTCGGACGGCGGCGGCACAGGGCTGACTGCTGCTGGTGCTGCTGCTGCTGCTGGCGGTGCTGGTGACGTGGCGGCCCCGCGGAGGCCGGACAATGCGCTTGCCGCGTTGGGTGCTGCGCTGGCTGGGGCAGGGGTGGATGTGGGTCAGCTGCTGGCTGGGGCGGGGCGGGGTGAGGGCGGGGCGGCGGCTCAGCTGCAGCTGGCGAGCCTGCTGCTGGGGGCCGGCGGTGGCGGCGGCTTGGGGGCCGGAGGGCTGCCGCAGGAGCGGCAGTTGGGGGCCAAGGGCTTGCAGGTGGGGGGCGGCGGTGGCGGCGGTGCTGGAGTGGTGGGGGAGGGCGGGTGGCTGCTGCATGGACTGCGTGCGACGGCGGCGCAGCAGCAGCATGGGGAGGTGAGGGGGTTGGGCTAGAGTCCCGGAGGGAAGCAGGGAGGTGATGATGCATGTGTTGCGGCTCTGCTTGGAGAGCGCGGGTTCTTGGTCGATGTGCAGGCATGGAAGCGGACGGGTAACACGTCCAGTGGTGCGTAGGGGCAGTGGGGGGCTGTAGGGCGCAACATGTGGCGGTGGTACACCTTGCTGCTTATCGTACATTTACTATCTTGGACATCCCGCCTTCCTGTTCTGTATGCCGACGTGCCTTCCCGCAGGGCGTTGACCCCGAGGAGGAGCAGCGGAGCGGCGGAGCAGCCGGCGGCGCGGCGCCCCAACGAGGCCAGCAGCAGCAGCAACTCATACGCGACAGGACCCTAGTCGGCAGCGGCGGCGGCGGTGGCGCCATTATGGAGACCCTGCTGCCATCCTTGCCAATCATGGTCAAGCAAGAGACTGGCGCCGAGCTCCAGCTCGATCCCGCATCCGGCCTCGGCGTTGCAAGTGCAGCGCGGCAGCAGCTCCGGCGGGGCACAGGCGTCGCTGTGTCGGCGCTTGGCCGCTCCGGGCAGCAGCAACAGAACCCCCCGCAACACCGAACCAGCCAGGCAGCAGGCCCGCTGCTGTCGCTGCGAGGCAATGGACTGGCCGGAGCTGCTGCTGCTGCTGGCGGCGGCGGTGGGAGTGGGAGTGGAGAAGGAGGAGGAAGAGGGGTTGTTATCGGTCCCCGCGGTGCTGTTCCGTCACTGGACCGTATGGGGCTCCTGGCAGCGGCCGGCGGCTTCCTGGGGCTCGCAGCGGAGGGTGGAGGCGGTGGTAGGGGCGCAGCGCCGGTGCAGGTTGAGGGGTTGCTTGGCGGTGCCCCCGACGGGAACAGCGGCGGTGGCGGCAGCCTCCCCGGGCTTGGGAGCGGCGATGTCAGCATCATCGCGGGCAGTGCTCGGGCTCTGCATCTGGACACAACTTCTTACTCCTTGCAGCTGCCTCAGGGCAAGCAGGGCCGCCAGTTGACTGTGGCAGGCGGCGGCTCTGGTAGCGGTGGCGGTGGCGGTGGTGCTGCTGCTGAAGGCCAGGGGTATGGGCTGGCGGATTCGGCGGGTCGTGGCGGCAACGACGCTGATAACAACATGGACAGGACCAAGAACAACAACGGCTCCGCAGGCGGTTCCGGTTCCGGTGGTGTTTGCATTGGTGGTGGAGCGCCTTCTGCCATTGCACGGCTGCTGTCACAGCTGCCCATCGGGCAGCAGCTCGACTTCCTGCAGCAGCTGCCGCATGAGGAGATGGCGGAACTGCTGCCGCAGCTGCCGTTGTCGCAGCAGGTGGAGTTGCTGAAGGAGCTGCAGAATGAGCGACGCGCGCGTACGGCAGTGGCTGCGGCAGTTGCGGTGGCAGCTGCGCAACAGGATCTGCAGCAGCAGGAGCAACAGCAGCAACAGCAGCAACAGCAGCGGCTACGCCAGACGTTGGACCTGCAGCAGCAGTCGCAGATGCTTCAGCTTCCTACCAGCGCTACCCAACAGCAGCTGCTGCTACAGCAGCAACAGCGGCTATTGGTGATGAAGGGCGGAGATGGCCTGGGAGATGCTGGCAATAGGGACAGCACCGGTCAGGGTAGCAGTGGAGGCGGTGTCGGAATCAGCTTGGCGCTTGATTTGGGTCAGGGGCAAGGACTGGGGTCCGGAGGTTCCGGCACTGCCGCCGTCCTGTCGCGTCTGGCTGGGCTAGCTTCGGGGGCTGCACCGCCACGGGGACACTCCACGCTTGCTTCCCTGGTTGTTAGCCAGCAACTCCAACAACAGCAACAACAACAGCAGTTGACGCGAATGCAGCGGCAGCCGCAGCAGCAGGCTGGTAAACCTGAGCAGGCATCGCCGGCGCTTAGCAGCATGCAGCAGCAGCAGCCAACAACCCAGCCTCCTCCACAGCGTCAGCTACAGCTGTCGCAGCAGCTGTCATTACAGCAGCAGCAGCAACAACAACAAGGCAGCAACCAAATGTCTTGGCTGCCGCCTTCTCTTCTTTCCCTGCCTCAGCAAGGACATCAGCAGTTACAGCAGCGCCTGCAGCAGCTACAGCAGCAGCAACAGCAGCAGCTGGCGGAGGACGAGCCTGCAGCGAGCAGCGCTGTGGGCGTGGGGCCGCTGAACCTGACCTCCCTGGTGCAGGCGGGTGTGAGCACACGACTGCAGCGGCTGCCGGACGGCACAACGCAGGTCGTGTTGGAGCTGCCGGGGCCGCCCGCAGCGGCAGCAGCAGCAGCGGGCACGGCGGCAGCGACGGATGCGGCGATGACAAGTAGTGCAGCGCCGCAAGCGTCCGTGGCCAGCCTTGTGCGATTGCAGCAGCAGCTGTTGCTGCAGGAGCAGCGGTCGCAGACAGGTGAGGGATTGAGGGTGTGTGGAAGAAAGCAGCATTGGATGTGTGGGAGCCAGGGACTGCACTGGGCGGAGGGACATGGTGTGTCAAGAAAATGGGGACGAGGAAAAAGCAGTCCTGCTTGTAAAGAACAACTGTCTGCTCTGCTTACCATGTCTGCTTTCCCTGTAGCCCAACACCTCTATGCCCGCTCTGCTAACCTATTGCAGCGCCACTCGGCACGGGACCCGGCGGCGGCGGGGCCCCAGTCGGCGCAGGCGACGCTGCTGCCGCTGTCGGCGCCCCGGCGTCGGACGGCTGCACTGGCCTCCTCTTACCGCCTGTCAACGGCACCGTGCTGCGGACACTGACCCGTGGGTCTGCTGGTGCCGGGGCGGGGTCGGGTGCTGCTGCTCAGGGGCCCACACGGAGCGGTACGGCGCTTGGGGCTGCGGCCGACGGCCGTGGTAATGGCGGCGGCGGCGCGCAGGCCGCTGCAGGTAAGGAAGGAGAGGTGTGCTAGGTCCCCTGTTGGGTGAAGGAGGCCAGCTAGGCTAGCTTCGGGGACGGGGCACCTCTCTGAATGCCCACCCGCATGCGGCCTCCGTTCCTCACCCTCCTCGTCCCTTCCCCTCCCGCTCGTGCCGCAGCACCCGCGGCTCCCTCCTCCTCCTCAGCGGCTGTCACTGGCGGCGGCGGCAATGGCGGCTCCTCAGCCGGCCTGCTGGAGTACCGCTGCGAGGAGGCTCTGGAGCGGCTGAGTGTGAAGCTGCACGGGGTACGGCCCGAGCAGCTGGCGCCCGATGTGGCGAAGCGCATGCGCGCCTGGCTGCAGGGCATGGATGCGGTCACGTTGCAGGTCAGGCAGGGGGCGGGGTGGGGAGGGGGTAGTGAAGGGGAGGGGCTTACATTATTACCTGTCCGTGTATAATATGGTTTGGGTGCCGCCTAAGGCCCTGTCTACCATTATTTGCAATTGCACCACCCTTTCCTGCCGGTGAGGATACATGGGTCTTCCTAATAATCGGGCCTGGTGTGTCCCTTTGCGCTTGCCCCACCTCACCCCTGCCCTCACCCCTGCCCTCCTCCGCCCCTCCACAGGGCACACTGCGCTCCGGCTGCGTCAACCTCGTGCTGGACGTGAGCCGCAACCTCCGCAGCACCAGCAGCAGCAGCGAATGGCTTGGCAGCTCTTTAGTAAGGCCAATCAAGCGGCCAACGGCTCATGCCTCGTCTCGCAGCGCTCCCGAGGGGAGGAGGCATGGCAGCGGCTGCTGCGCAGGCCAGGTGGTAGCACCGGAGGAAGGGTCAGCGAAGGCGGTGGCGGCGGCGGCGGCGGAGGAGTGGGCTCATGCTGCGGTTGCAGCAGCAGCAGCAGCTAGGGAGCCGGAGCAGCTGCCGGGGGCAGCTGTGGGTGCGGAGAGCGCTGCTGCTACCGAAGCGGAGGCATTGCCAACCTCCGAGGGCATGAGCAAGGGTGCGCATGCGGATATGGATGCAGTTGGGGCTGCACGCGTAGCCTCGGATTTGGACGCGAACGCAGGCGATGATGCGGATCGCATGGCAGCAGCAGCAGTGGCGGCGGCTCTGGGTATAGAAGTGGGGCCGGGTAGCGGAGCGGATTGCGCTGCTGTCGCGGCTGCGGCTGCGGCACGAGGTGTCCGTGTAATGGTGCAAGTGGGGTGTCGGGTGGTGTACCCGCCGGCGGGGCAGCAGCAGGCGGGGCAGCGGCATTCTCGGCAGCGCTTGCCGGAGGTGCATGAGCTGGCTCCTCTAGCGGTGGTGCGAGGTGCGTGGGGGTGGGGAGCTGGGGGCGGGGTCGGGGGTCTGAAGAGTTGTCGCCGCTGCGGATTCAGGGAAAGGTTAAGGCATGTTCCCAGCGAACCAAGCTTTTTAAGGCCGCTAATACGGTACTGCTGCCATCACCTGCCATCACCACAAATGCAACCACATGGAACTCCTGTGTATTCCACTCCCTTGCTCCTTGCGTTTGTCCGCAGGTGAGCCCGCCGTGCTGCACATGTCGGGTCGCGCTCTGGCGGACCCCGCTGCGCGCCTGCACGCCCGCCTCAACGGCCGCCGTGTTCACGTGCTGGTGCAGTCGGAGCACGAACTCGCCCAAGCGACCCATGGGTCAGTCCACCAGGGCCAAGATGCACACGCGATGGCCTTGGTTTGCGCAGAGGCTTCCACCCCGGCCGGCAATAGCAGCAGCAGCTGCCGTTGTTTCATTGGAAGCAACAGCAGCTGCCAGGACGGCTGTCGTGGTTGTCAGGACACTGGAGTGAGCATCGCCTCTGGCAACAGCGATGGAACAGGCTGCTGCGAACACATGGACGATCACAAGGACGGGCCTGCTTTGCCTTCCCAACCGGCATCGCCGCCACCAGCAGCAGCAGCAGCAGCGGACCAAGAGGAAGAGGAGGAGCAGCAGCGGCAGGAGGAGGAGGAGGAGCCCAGCAGCCCGGTGTTTGTGTTTCTTGAGGAGTCCCCGCCCGAGGTTGGGCTGGCCGTGCTGGAGTGGGAGGGCGGTGACGGCAGCGGCGTGCTGGGCGCCTGGTGGCCGCTGCTGGTCGCACCGTGCGGGCAGGTGGCGGCGGAGGTGAATGCGCTGGCCGCGGAGGAGGGGAAGGAGAAGGGGGCGGAGGAGGAGGAGGAAGGGCTGCTGGGGGAGCAGGAGGAGGGTGGGGCTGGCGAGGCGCCCTGGTTGCATGCGCTGCTTACTGATCTGGGGCTTGTGCTCGACGCGGTGTACAACAACACCCCCCCAGCCAACCCGGGGCCACCCAACGCCGCCAGCAACACGGAGGCCTCGGGTTTGGAGCCGGATGTGCTCGCCAGCCTCACTCGGCGGGCTGAGAGGCTGCTGCCCTTCTGCCTGGCACGGTGAGCGCAGAGGGGGGATTACCGTAGAGGGGAGCAGCAGCGCCTTAGCACTGGCGAGTTGGAGGAGGTGGGAGGGAACTCTCCACCGTGTTAGATGTAGGTGGCGGAGCTGCAGCTAGGACTGAAACCGGTAGATATTTGGCCAGGCCTGTTAGATATTGGCAAAGCAAAGCTACGGCAACCTGTCCCACTCTCGGTTGGTCGGATTGGCTTCCCTGTGAGCCCCTTTGGCCAACCTGACGTCAGGATGATTAGACCTTGACAGCTTGTTTGACCTGGCGTGGGCTCAGCCTTGACCGTTCTCCCTCCCCTCCTTCCCGCCCCCTTCCTCTCAGGTCTATGCCGCGCACGGCGGCTGCGGTGGCCCGCTTCCTAACCGTCGTTGCACAGCTGCCCCTGCCTGAGCCCCACGCTGCTGCCCTGCAGCGGCTGCTGCAGCAGCAGCAGCAACAACCCCCGCAGACTCAGCAGCAACCCCCTCGCCAGCTACACACTGAGCCTACCCAACCACACCCTTTTCCGTGCCTCCAAGCCCCCCTCCTCCTTTCGCGCCTTCATGACAGCAGTGGCAGCCGCGATGACGACGGCCGGTGCTCCCATGATGCAGCGCTTACAGGCACTGAGCTACTGCAAGAGCGACAGTCGCAGCAACCGCAACAGGGGCATCCTGTTTTTCAGCAGGAGGCCCTCCTGTCGGCACCATCCCCACCGTCATCTCCCGCAGCTGCTTCGTCGCCTTGGTGGCGTCCCCCGCCCCTGCTGGTCCCCGGATCGCCCCCATGCAGCGACGTATGGGGCGCTGTTGCGTTCGAGGACACCGCATGCGGCTCCTGTTCCTCAACATCCTCCTGGTCTTGGCTGCAGGAGTCAGTGCCCAGCATGGATGGCGGCAGCTGCAGGAGCAGCAGCAGGAGCGGCAGGAGCAGCTGCTGTGGTGCCAGTGATGCTGCTGCGGAGGGGGCGGAAGCAGGCGGCATAGGTTGTGCTCGTGTGGACCCACCAAGGGATGCAGTCGTGAGCGCGCGTGGCGGTGTGGCGTTGGCTGATTCCAGCTGGTGTTGCTGATACCAGGTCAGAGGGGTGGGTATGGGTCAAACAAAGCCCATGCACTCGTCTAGCCGGGTGAAACGTTCTTTCCTGGGTTCCGCCCAGGGTGACATCCAGGGTCTTCAACCCCTTCATGGTCGGGGCACCGCCCTGAGCATTCCGGCTGCAAGCGCCAGCCTGCGAAAGTTGTCATGCGGGTGCTGCTTGTGCGGGTGCGCTGTTGGTGACATTTCGGTTCAACTCAATGCCAATAAGTGGGTCCCGGTGGTATGCGGTGTACCCGTGCACCGCGCTCCATGCACAGTAGGGGTGCATGTAGGGGATGTGTTGTTCGGTTTTTGCGTGGCTAGGTTCCTGCCTTCAAAACAGAGTGCACCAGTGCTTCTGGTGCACTCTGTTTTGAAGGCAGAGAGCAGCCATGGTGGCAACAACACTGATGATGCTGCATTGGGGGCTGGTGGCTGAAACCGCAGCAGCCCTCTTCAGCTACGTCGAGCGTTTCTTAAACAGGGGTTGCGCGTGTGCGTTCAGCGCCGTTTGGGTGGAGTTGTGCAGTACGGAATGCGCGGCAGTCAGGCTTGGCTGATGGATGCAGAGGGACCGAGGACTTGTAGGCTGGCGACGACAGGTGGCATGCAACCGGTGCGTGTCCAGTCAAAACATGGTTGTACTGCCATGCAATTGGACGGCGTGTTGGATTCTTCTTGTCCTGCCGTTGTCGACATTCAGGAGGCGACATCACCTCGAGCAAAGGGCGTTGCGAGTTGGCATTGGCAACCAACGCTGCAGAGGAAGAGGAAGAGTCGCGAAAGACGCGGTACGCACTCGGCTGTCGCGCGGTCAAGCTAGATCACCAACAGCTGTCGTGTTTCGTACATGGGAACACTGGGAAGGGGTACTAGGGTGCCTCGGTATTAGGGTTGTGGGACATACACGCGCATGTATTAGGGGCAAACGAAGGCCACTCAGCGGAAGTCTCGTCCTTCTTTGCATGATGTGTTGTTTAACCGAGCTAGCAGTAATATTGCAGTTGCAATGTGTGTGCTGTGCATTGCTGCTATGTGGTGCGTGTGTATTGGTGTGTGAAAAACTGGCGGATATGAGAAGGCTGACCGTGTGGGGGCACGCACATCCTTCCATTACCCACCACACCACAAGCCGGACACAATACTTTCGCGGCTCTGTGCGCTAACGCACAGAGCCGTTGTCCTGCTGGTGGAGCCCCTTTTGCTTTTGCCTGGACGACATCTGGACGATAACCGGATTCATCCGTTTGGTGTGGAGGCATGCGGGGTTTTGCACTCGCCTGACAGCAACGAGACATGTGTCCCAGCTTCTGGAAGTGGTTGTGGATTCAGCAGGGGATGTTTCATCATTACGCTGAAGTTACGACAATCGCGATCGGTAGCGATGCGGTGGGTGTCTTTCAAGATGTGTTAGTATTCGGACGTACGGTACGTACGCTTGGGCCAAGTTTGTGTGCTTGGACGGAGTGCCTAAAATTGCCAAATAAACTTGGAGTATCTCGCCTTTGCTATGGTCTCTTTCAATGCCTTGAACTCTTGTCCAGGGTGGTGACATGACACTATGGTTGTGTCATGGATTATGATGCTGGCTTGACGGAGCTCTGCTACTTCTTATGTCTCGGCTTGTATTTCGATAAGCGGCAACATGATGACGTTGATCGTTCGGCATTAGCGCTTCTTGTAGGTGCCATGGCAGGACCCGGCGGGTATAGCCAGGGCTGTGTCGGCATGGGCACGTGCCAAGGCACGTGTCCGACGGGACATTGTCTGACCCTTAACGCAGGGAGGCTTAAGGCATGCGCTGTGTTCCTAGGCTTCAGTGCATGCCTTACGGTGCCGGTACGTAATGGAACGGGGAACGGCCCCTGGTTATTGAGGGGCGTGGGGAATCTGCGCATGTACCGGACGAGCGCGCAGAGGGTATATGTCACATAGATGTGGGCGTTACCACACGTTAGGGCGTTTGGATATTCATGTGTCTTTTCAACCGTTTTTGCTTACTATGTTTTGCCGGTGTTCGGACCTTGGCGTTGAAGATGTGTGCAACTCTGCTAGCAGGCTGCACGAGCGGCGGTTCGAGACCCTGCATGCTAGTAGAAGAAGAGCAAGAGCGGGAGAGTCACCCTTCACTCATGGGATTGTTGCTGCATGTGACTCGGGTTTGTCGTACATGCATGTACGTAGGACTTTGTTGAAGCGACGCGGGATGCGAGGTGACTGAGGATTTGACCTGGACTACAATGGAACAACAGCAGCAGAGCTGTTGCGCGCTCGTCTCTTTCCGCATGTCACGTGTACACGTACTTGTAGATGCGCGTGTGTACATATGTCCATGTCCCACCAAATCGCAGTTCGGGGAATCACTGTAGTTGGCGGTCTTGCAGGTCTCTATCCACGAACCACAATCTATCCACCTCGTGTTCTTGTGAGGTGGCGATGAAGGTAATGGCGGCAGTGGTGTGGTGGCAGTGGTGGAGCAGGATGCGGGTCGGAACGGACGGTGGGTGTTGTGCGGGTGGCCTGCAGCAGCACCTGCCTGGATGGGCAGCGTGTGTATCTACAGCGTGTGTCATAGCCAGATAACCAGGGCTTGCCTCCATTTGAAACGCTGTTCTACAGCGTCTGGGTCAGTTTGTAAGTGAGCACTGCTTAGTAAGTGAGCACTAAGCATGCGGTTGCGGCTCCTGCGTAGGGTGTGCCTTATGCTCTAGGTCCAGGGTTTGTGTGTCGGTGGGAGAGCCATGTTAAGAAGGCGAGCCTGGGCTAGTTTGCTAAGAGGAGGTACTAAATTTACATTATGGACTGTCTGCCTCATGCACTAACGTACATCGCAGCTACCTTGAACCAGCATGCCCAACTGCGGGGGAATCTGCCTATCGCATTGCTCGACACGGCCCCACCACTGACACCGACCTACTACCGAGACCAAAACGCATCAAATCTGTACGGAACTCAGCTGACTTGTCACACAAGCTCGGAAGGGGCGAGGGCACTGGCACGACAAACCTGGCACCCGGCCCCCCTTCATCGCCTACACCGCCCCGTTCTGCTCCACTAGCTTATAGCAAGAGGCAAACCAGGTACACATCACCGGCATCGAACGTCTTGGGCAACCGTGAACACTTGCTCCGCTTGCCAGCCATCAGCTGTCCACCTGACTCCGTTGATGCAGCTATCTCTATTTTACCCCCAGCTGCCCCCAGCTGGCTGCCCCGCGTGTCAGTCCCCAAGCGGATCCAGCAGGGGGTTGCTGGAGGTGAGGTTGTGCGGGCGGCTGAGTGGGTTGCGGTCGTCGGAGTGCAGCGAGTCGAAGGGGTCATTGAAGGCGGAGCGCAGGTAGCGCTCGATGGCGCGACCGCGAGCCTGCTGGGCCTCCACACTGGAGGGTGGGTTGGTTGGCAGGGCAGGGATTAGGTGCCGGTACACGGTACACCAGAGCAGGGAGGGAAAAGGGTAGGACCAAGACGGGGGAAGGAGGGAGGCGGGTGGGTGGACGACAGGGAGGAGGACAGGGGCAGGGAAGGAAGAGTGGAGATGGAGGGTTTGTGGGGGGTCACATATGATGCCAGGCCAGTATTCGCGCGCGCATCCAGTATGGTGCGCTTTTGCCCGACCCACCTCATGATGTGTCGATGCCGGGCAATCTTTTGGTCTAAAGTCTCCGCGGCCAACTCCTCTTGGACGATGGATGCTACCAGTTCGCCACCACCACGCCGTGCCTCAGCCGCGCTGCGCTTCCGTCCTTGGTGCTGGCCCTGAGAGTTCTGCTGCTCTTGTTTTTGCTGCTGCTGTCGTTGCGCTGCTTGCGAGTCAAAGCCTAGGCCACGCGTCCCCTTGGGCATGACCGGCTCGATGGGATCCCGCCGACCCCGTTCGTCCGCGCCTAGTCCCATCCCAACGCTCCACCCAGCTTTCTTAAGGAGTTTAAAGCCAACATTGTCGGCCTGGATGTGGCCCGTCCACACCCTGGAGGTTTGCGCTTGGACCTGCGCCCCATGGGACCGTAAATGGCTGCCGCTGCTGGGCTGTCCTCTCCCGCTGGTGCTTGGGAGTTCTGCGTCTGTGACGGATTTTGCAGAGGTGTAAGGTTCTAGGACGTGAAAACCGCTAGACCTGAAGGATGTCGTCAGCCCGGACCTGTAAAACAGCCGAGAGTACGGATAAGCGCCACCGGCTTGTGATAATACATGGAATGCGAACTATAGTACCTAGCATTTCTGCTTTCTCCGCGGTCCAGCTCCATCCCTGCCATTGGCCCAGAGGGCTAGCCCTATGGCTTTCGCACTTTCCAGCTACGCAACTTCCCTGGCAGCTGGCTTTACCTCCTAAAGGTTGGTTTGACAGGCCCTATTATATGCCTAGCAGTAATAAGAGTCAACGACTGCAAGTTGCCTGCGCCAGAACAGGTAGCTAGGGAAGCGAAAGAAGTACCACAACAAAGAGCTTACAAATGTCAATTGCAGATACAGAAACCTTCTTCTCTCTGCGGAAGCGCATGCGCTGGGTTGTTGAGTTCGTTGCACGCATGCCGTACCGCAAGACCGGTAGGCCGTCCGCCTGTTCCCTCAGACTCCCCTGTAATCCTCGCATTCTCAGAAACCCCCGGGTTAGGGATTGCAGTCCTACGATCCACTACACCTTCTTTTCTACCCCCTGCACGCTACGAGGATTGTTGGGTGTTGCGCAGACACAGTAACAGCAGACTCCCCTGCCTCAACCCCATGTGTGCACTTCACTTTGACCATGTGCGCCATAGGTCGTGACCGTGGTTCATAGGCCGTGGCCGTGGTTTGGTAGCCACTAGGGCAGATCCTTAACGCACGCTGCAGTGTGTATACCAGTCGTAAGTTACATTATGGTGCCTCAGCTTGCAGAGGAAATGCTTATCATAGGATAGTGGCTTGCATAAGGATCATCTGGAAGGCTCGACAAGACTTGCGTGGGAGATGACCTCGTGCATTATGTTCGCTGGACGACCCAGTACGAAGCTCTGTGCGGCTTTCCTCAAAGCCGTGCATAAAATTATACGCTGATCTACCGGAATTGCGGCATTTCCGACCACATGCTCGTCATTGAAAGCGGCGTCTGTGGTATCCTTAACGCGACAACTACGACGCTGATTGGCTGGGACGAACCTGTGCAATGGCTCCAGGCGTGATTGAACCCTTCGCAGCCTAAGAGCCCGGCAAAGTACAACTTCGGAAGCCAATGTAGAGTAGAATACTGTACCATGCATAGGGCACGGTATGAAACGCGCGTGGTCGCCAGCCGTACATCCAAATCGCTGATCAAAGATGAACGCATTCGCATTTCTTTATTGGAGCAATGATACCGTGTCTAATCATATGTAGTTGTATATAGTTTACACCGAATCAAAAGCAGCATCCTTGCAGAGAAGGCGGCCGGCACATCATCACGAACCCGAGTTCTTGACGCTCCGATGGCCGATAGCGATCTCGTAGTATACTCATAAAGCTTTACACGTTACGGCGCTTTATCTGGTTGCTGGTTTGGGACGCCAAGGGGTTTCTCGGCACTGGTGTGCAGGTTTCGCCTGGAACACACCTGTGGCATGGGTAGTAACAGCCGTTTGAGTGCCCACTGTAGTTAACTCATAAGTGCCCTTCTTCGGCACCAGCACAAGTAGTTCGGGATGCAAGCCGTCGACCAACGGTCGGCCGACTGAAAGACAAACTAGCCATGTCGCAAGGCCAACACTGTCTACCTACAACGTCGAAAACACATAGATAGATATATGCACGTGACACAAAAGCCAAGCCTTCCTAGTGCGAACTGAACTCTGATCATTGTTGCACGGCGACAAATGTCCGTCTTATCTTGAAAGAACCGTCGTAGACATCTATGATTCTGAAGCATTCGCAGCAACCTTATTTTCCCAAAACGTTGTGTAGACAGTGTTTTCATCATGCACCATACATAGCAATCGAACGAGAGTACCTGACCCGAACCCGCCTTCCGCGTTGCCCGCTTCTGCAAGCCCTAAACTGACCACACCACACAGCCGTCGCATATTTCAACATCGCAAGCGCGTTATACGGTTTGGTTATTGCAACAAAGTGTGTTATCGTCGAGGGGATCCTTGGGCATCCCACTGTGAAAATGGACCACCCTGTGGCGCGGTCCCTAATCGCCACGACTTATATCAACCTGGGCAATGGATCCGTCATCGTTCCGGAAAACGAGTGTTTTTGCTTGGTAAGCGTCGGCGCCGACCTTCTTCATGGTTGGTCCTTCCACCATGCGCATGGCCATACTGAAGCCCTTCGCCGTGCCCGCACCCGCAGAGCTGGCTTAAGCCAAGGGGAACACCGTTACAAAAGAAGGTACGCTGACCGCGCTTGTAGTTACGCGCGTCACGTGTTAGCGCCATGGTTGTGACTCGCTATTAGCAGAACTCACGGCGCTGCCCTTTTTATGCGTCGCAGGTTGCAAACGGCATGCAATGGTAGGTGATTGGAGCTCGAGTGTTGGCCTAACTCATGAGCAACGCAACAAAGTCGGCTTTTTGCTCAACAAACCTCGCTCTTCGCCCTTTCCGGGGCATTTTCACACTCTCGCGAAGTTTAATAGTAAAGCGGCATATAATACACTCATATATCAGTCGCATAGTACAAGGCACAGCAACTCCTAAGACAACCTAATAACAGCAAGTCCTTTAGGGTCATACTCTCATACAGCACAAGCTGCACAACGGTACATACATACAATACCCACGCGGCCCTCTCTGGCTCGTCGCCCGCAAGCCCATTGTTGCATGACCGTTCCCCCCCAGCTTGAACCACGCATTACCATTCTGTTCCGCCACCTTCTTTTTCTTTGTACCCAACCGCCCACGCCCACATGGCTCACATGTTGCAACCCATATTACCGCCTTATCCCTCAGTCAGTTAGTTGTTTCCTCTTTACCCCCACACATGTACTCAATCACAGGTTTGCTTTCGGATTCTCAGTCCTCCTGCTGATGTACTACGCCTACCAGACATGGAAGTCCATTTGCGGCTGGGAGGAGGTGTACGTGTGCGTTGTTGAGGTGAGTTCTCCGCAGCAGCGGCAGCCGTGATATCAACTCCAGAGGCCCGTTAGGGTACAACGCCGTCAGCTGCCAGTCTTTTGCATGCCTCGTCCTCCGCACCAGGGATATGTACAGTGCACACACAGCTCTCCCACAGCTGCGCCCTGAGCACCTGAAGCACTGAAGCATGCCCCTTCCCCAAATCTTCCACCGGTTCTGAACCGCTGCCTCCTGCTCTCTTCCTTCCTCCTCCTCCCCGTGTGACCTTTCAGTTGACCAAGGTCGTTGTCGAGTTCTTCCATGTAAGCAAGCGCCAACCGTCAACTGGGCCAAACGAACTCTTGTCTTGTGTAGTAGCTGGCTGTTAGCGGTCTTCTTCTTTCTTGTGTGGGCAATGAACACCGGTGGACGTTTGGGGGGGCACCCTTCATGGGTATCGATGAGGACACACTCCCTCCCTCCCTTGCACCGCGCCCCGCTGCCAACAACATCCGACTGCACCTAGAAACCCACCCCCACTCTACCACTGTTTCTATCTAAAACCCTAAAACCGTTAAACCGCAGGAGTTTGACAACCCAGCAATGCTACAGCTCTCCGGCGGCAACCGGCTGTTGTGGCTTCGGTACTGCGAATGGCTGCTGACTTGTCCGGTGAGCGTTGCTGCGGTTGGGGGCGAACGTTAGGGGCGTGTGTTGGGCTCAAGGCGCACAAGCTGCATCATGCATCATGCATATGCACTGGATAAAAGCAGCGGCGTCTGCTGTGGTGCACCTGGAGGGGGTGTCAAGGGCGGGAGGCAACGCTGCTTGCACGCTGGATGTGCCCATGGCCTAAGACGATTTGCGACATGTGCACCATGGCTCCACTTGCCTGCCTGCCTGCATGCATGTTGCGCCCTACTCTATCGCCAATCGTACCAAGTAAGGCCCCGGTGGTGCAGCGCCCTTAGTCGCCATGCAGTCGTGAACCAGCCGTGATCGCGGTCGGTGCTCCTCCTCACACGCACACACCCATGCTTGCTTGTGTGACCGCGCAGGTCATTCTTATCCACCTCTCCAACTTGACGGGCTTAAGCGAGGACTACAGTCGGCGGACCATGCAGCTGCTGGTGTCAGATATCGGCACCATTGTGTGGGGAGCAACTGCAGCCATGGCAAAAGGACCCGCCAAGGCAAGCACAGCCTGGGATGGGCAGCAGCAGGGTGGATAAGCTAGCTAGGATAGGTTGGGATAGGCAGAGTGGTTTGGCCTTACCCCTCCTGTCAGCCCCAAGCGGTGCGCGTCCGTTGATGACGTAATTGCACGCAATCGCTGTGCCTCTCGGCGGCGCTGTTGTTAGCGCTTAAAATTTAACTAAATTAGAGGGGTTTGATTAGAGGTCGAGGGTTTTTCGGGATGGGCGGAATGGTAGTTGCCAGGGTTGCTCACAAGTAAGGTGCTACAGACATGCCGGTGTACGGGGCGCAGTTGCATGCGAGAGGTGTTGTTTTCTCCGCAGGAGCCGGTGCGTGCTTGACGGGCCCCTCACCCCTGCTTATGCTTACTTTGCAGATCGGCTTCTTCATCCTGGGATGCCTGTACGGCTCCACCACCTACTTCCATGCGGCGAAGGTAGGATAGATAGGGCCGCCTGCCGCCGCCAAACCTAGCAACGCTGGGAACTTGCAAGCTTGTAGCAAGCTTGTAGCCGTGTCCAGCGTCCAGAGGGATTCCAAGCCGTCAATGCCGTTGCTCCCAGGGTCAACCACTCCCTGCCCCCTTCCGGTTGCCTCTGCCCCTTCCACAACTTTGACCCTGCCTCCTCCCTAATCAAACCTTGACAAAACCGGATGTTTGGCATTTGGCTCACATCTCCTCGGCTTGGCAATTGGTCCTGCCCCCCAATTGCCATTCTGGCCAGGTATATATCGAGTCCTACAACGCCATTCCCAAGGGGCAGTGCCGTGTGCTGGTTCGAGCTATGGCTTGGATCTTCTTCGCGACGTGGGGATTCTATCCCGTGCTCTTCCTGCTGGGGCCCGAGGGCTACGGCGTTATGTCCATGTACGGTAGGTGTACGGCAGCGTTTACGGTACTTGGTGTACGGCAGCGACCTCCTTGGGTTTACGGTGTTGCTTCTTATCTCACCTTGCCATACGCCGAGTATGCCGGTAATTCCATTCTACCGCGGATTGAAGCTGATCGGAGTAGTACCAAGTCTTATAGTAGTGTAGGCTTTACTTGAGCCGCGGTTGTCTGTTGTGTCAATCGATCACACATCATCCGGTTGTCGTAGCACCTACGCGCACTCACAACCGTACGTACGGCATTTCCCGTTTCACCGGCTGCTGTTGTTGAAGCTGCTGCTGCTTCCTTTGCCCGCTGCCTCCAGGCTCGACCATTAGTCATACCGCCGTAGATTTGCTGTCTAAGAACGTGTGGGGCCTGCTGGGGCACCACCTGCGCAGGAAGGTGCGTGCGTGTGCAGCTGTGCACCTCTTTCAATGATGCAGAAAAGACTTCCGAAAAAGTCCTTCCAAAAGACTTGAAGGAACCCCTTCACACGGCTCCCTCCCTTTCTCCAGCCTCAGTAGCACCGTGGTTGCTTGCGGTCAACGCACCTCACCTCCGCCTGCGCTTCCATCTATATTATCTTCCGTCCCAATAATTCCATGCTTTCAACCCCTAAAGAACTCTGTGACCGTGACTCCAATCTGTGAACCGTTGGGTGGTGCTGCAATTTGCGACCGTGACTCCAATCTGTGAACCGTTGGGTGTGTGCTGCAACCTGCGTGTGTACGACAGGTTCATGAGAGCATGGTCGTACCCATCTAAACCGCTTCCAACGGCTTCGCGCCACCAATTGTGCCCTGCCACTGAGGTAAGGCGTGTGTAAGTTGTGCCCGGTGAGGCTGTCGGTCTCAGGCGTATTGCGCCTATACCGTTAGTCCGTTAGCCCAGCATGATGATGCCTGCTGCGATGATCTGCCCTGCCATGCTGGTTTCCCATTGTCGGTACCCCACGCCTCTCTCACTCCACATGTGTCCGCTTTGCCCTCACAGTCCTCTTTCTTCAACTCAACCAACCAAGAAGAACTATGTTTGGCTACGGCTGCGACAGCCTCTGCTCTGTCATCCTTCGCAGCAACGACACGGCGGCCGCCCGTCCGGGCGGCGATAAGGCAGCTGAGAGGAGGTGAGAGTGGTCGGGACGCTAAGTAAGTGGGAGAGCGAGAGCGCGCGGTGATTGAAAGAAGAGGATGTTCTTGCATTTCATCCATGTGAGGGAGTTGTCGTGGTGCGGCGACGAGAGAAGAGGTGAAGGCGATGGGGCGTATGCCAGCAGATGCGATGAATGTGCTAAATAGAAGCGGAGGGAAAAAGAAATGTAAGGAACATGTTGCTTGGTTGATTTGAGGAGAGTAATGCTTGAGTGGTTGTTAGTTACCGTTGCAATCACAACTGACTGAGGGCGTATCAAGAGAGGTTTTGTTCGTCGTTGGGGAGGTGCACGGTCATGGAAAGGCCGGCATGTCGCAGGTTGGCAAGGGGTCGAAGATTGATGATTGGTCAGGTTGAGAGATCTCGGGTGTATGCGTGGATGATGCAGCGAAGGAGTGGGTCAGCGGAGACGAGAGGAAGGGCTTCCAACGGTGAGAGGCGAGGCAGGATGCGACCTGAAGAGTACACGTAAGGGTCATGGGACTATCTAGAGACACTATCTAGCCCATCACTGTACACTTCTATCGCTCTGTTGCGTTTACTGCGTGCAAACGGAGCTGTTGAGGAGAGGTTGGTTTGTGGTGTGAACAGGCGGGGCAGTGCGGCTGTCCGTGACCCATGGGTCACAAGGGCAAGGGCTGACAGAGTATTGGAGTACTGTGGAAGGCAATTGATCAGGATCAGGATGGGTGGCGGATCGGAACACCTAAGGCATGACACCGCGTGCATGTCAAGTCGCGGCCCATGCTTACTAGGTTGCTATCCACAGCTCGAGGCGGTTCATTGCCTTGTTCTTAGCTCCATCAAGTAGGCCGGTGTGTAGGTCTTGCTTTTTGGAAGTGGTAATCTGTGTAGCAGGAAAGGCAGGAGTGTGGAGATGCACGTGCGAGGGGTTGGGTTTTGAAGCGTCCTTCATACACACAAATGCACAGGCGCATTCGTGATCGCACGTCAATTCGTACAAAAAGCACCAATTGAGGGCCCGCTCGCTGTTTTTTGGTTGCTGGAGCCAACACCACTGCTGCTGTATGTGCCGCAAGGCACGCTCGCTAACGTATAAAACTAGTGTGGAGGAGGATCGGCATGTATGCCGATGTGGTGCGGTTGCTGTCCCTGCCATGGCGGGTTGCGGGTTGTCAAACACCGCTATACAAGCAAGTTCTCGGAACATGGAAAGTTCTGCGTCTGCGGGATGGGTTGTACAACAAGGGGTGCTGCTTTTGCGAGGGTTGCAGGATTTCAATGTGTTTTGGAGGGAAGTTGTGTGCTGATGAGAGGTAAGGCTGTCTTCTCCCGGCCACATGCCTTGCAATGCCTTGCAACGGACAACTGCATGTGCTAACGTGCATTTTGGGGGGTATACGAGGGTGGTTCGGAACGACACTAGAGTGTTGGTCAACTGCATCGTTGATGTTGGGGTGGGGTGGGATGTGTGATGGGATGAATGGTGGGACCTGGAGCAGGAGTCTCGCACGCGTAAACAAAACTGACTCGCTTTGCGCTAGTTGCCTTTTGGTATGGCGTACGCCTGTGATGAGGGATTTGTTTTCGTTAAAACATAGCGGCAGGGCTGGAGGCTAGGTTCGCTATTTGGGTGGTCCACGGCCTCCTGTTTGTTCCATGCTAAAGCGCTGTTTCATTGGCACATGCAAGCATGTGGGCGGATCGCTGTGAACACCTTTCCGCGTGCTTTTGCTGTGCTCCCATTTCGGCGTTCATGATACCTGTCGCCTGCGCATTTCGTGTTCCCGTTTCGTGGCCCCCTTGTGTCCCGTGTCCAAGACGTACCGGCCATGTTCCAGGAGCGAGGCTTGCTGAGTCATGTGTTTTTTTGCCTGCTGTTTCAGACTAGGTACGCCGTCTCTACTAGGGAAAGCTGTTTTGAAGGCTGGAGTAAGGTTGCAGCACACCCCGCCGGCGTATCGTAAGCGCGGACTGGCATAAATGGCAGCAGAGATGGTGTGTTTCACTGGTTTGTTGGGTTGTACTACTGTCCACATCGTATGTGTTGTACGACCACCATGCGTCGCTGTGTTGTGTGCACGAGCGGCATCACCGTTATTGAGAGCGTTGAGAGCATTGCTGGGTATGGCTAGCCGGTACGCTATGTTGCAGTACGGGATGGTTACGGTACGGGCGACCTTCATTATGGCATCAATTGCGATTGCGATATAGTTACCATCCCCAACATCACCTTGTGTCATCAAGCTGCTACAGGCGATGTGCGTCTTAGGCAGTGACGTATTTCCCTTTCTTTTTCACAATTTGGACTCAACATGCATTTATTGTAGTCTCTTGTTGCAAACTTTTTGCAATAACCGAGTGACGTCCTCTGCCATATGCGTTGTTTAGCGTCTGTGAGGTTGTGCTGTCGGCATCATGCTACGGCGCGGCAGGGCTTCGCGCAACTGTCCCTGTTTATGACTAAGATGCATACTCCCTTTGAGAACTTCCGCGTCCTCCATACATTCCGTACAAACTAGGGACACGGCACTGGCTGCCGCTCGCGTGTTTTCGGGATACAGCATTAACGTACCTTAAGAGGATGTGCCCTTCTAATGTATGTGTTGCCGCTTGGAAATAATGAATCCTGCCCCTTCTTATCCTCCTTACAAGGCGTATGTGGTGCATGTAAGGATAAACTGATAGAATAAAATGTGTACTGTAAGAACGCATCTCGTGTTAAGGAGTTTACAATGGTCCTATATCTGCCCGCTTTGCCTTGCCTTTGCTGGCATGTATGTCCTTGCGACAAGGGTAGGCCAAAAAGGGGCGGCAGGGGGTGGGTGCAAAGCACCCGCCGAGACACCCAAACACAACTGCGTGGGTCGCTTATCCCTAGATATTCTTTAGGTTAGCTTTAATCAGGACTCAGATATTGGGCTCTGAGCTTCTTTGCATGGGGTGTTGGTGTCCCCAGCGTAAAATTGGGTATCACCGCAATGTGTTGATGCGCTCCAGGGATTGCGCCTGCCAGGGAGCTAGGACGATACTGGAGTAGGCTCCGCACGGATCATATCACTTGCCAACAGTTACGTCGTCTGGCTATACATTTAGGGCGTTCACTCCTTGGGCGCCGCTTAAGGATGACATCGTAACCGGTACAAGCCCGGCACATGTCGGGCACTCTTAGCGCACTTCTGCGTCCATTAGCACAGTGAGCTTTCAAATAACCAGGTGTGGTAAGGAGCTGTGAGGGGTTAAGGCCTTAATGCTGATGACGTCTGGAGGCGCAAGTGCACGGGTAGGCTTGCAACCGAATCCGGTCAGCCATTGGCACACCGCCCAATTACTCAGCTCTGTTTAGCTTGAGGACCCCCTGAAAACCAAAGTGGGCTTCGCGCTTACTAAAAGAGTGCGTATCAAATTTGGACGATTGATACGGATTATGATACGGTCCCCTGCGGAACCCCAAACTTGTCGGAACAGGCCCAAATAATATTCGGTTACCTGTTTCATTACAAAATAAAAGGCGGCAAGAATGTAAATGTTGGCTTGAGCAGGGGAGTTATTGACCCAATTGCAAAGTTACTTGGCTGTGTCGTGACTTGGAAACGCCGTACAGGATGTCCGTTTCGTAGCCAATCATACTTGCTCAGAGGGCAAACCACGGTATATTTACTTCTTGCTTTATTATAGCCTCTGGGCACTTGAAGAAGCTTTAGGGTCGCCATTGGTTTGGTCCTTCCGAAGAAATGGACCACCCGGTGGCTCGGTCCTTGGCGTCGGGGTTTACCCCAACATATTATAACTTGGGTAATGGTTCCGTTATCGTCCCGGAGAATGAGTGTTTTTGCATGGTAAGCCGAAGCAATTGGCCTATGGTGCTGTGCTCTTCGCCACTTGGTGGCAGGCTTCTAACTCGCAGCTCTGAACTTAGGAATGGACGAAGTCAAAGGGCTCAGACATAGAGATGAAGGTGAGCTTGGGCGCTTGCAGGATGCTCCTGCCACGCTACCTCTGGTCCCAAGTACTGATTCTTCGGTTACTGCATTTCGCAGGTCGCCAATGGATTGCAATGGTGCGTTTAACATACATATTGTTCCACCTCGAAGCTTGTGTCTTTCCTTTACCGAGACACAGTGGCCATGCCGCTTCCTTGCACACCTCATCGGGCTCCCTACCTTATGGTTGCATTTGGTATCGAAAGGCGCCCATAACATATATAGGCTCAAGCGGTCCTGTTTTGCTGTTCGCAGTATCATGCGCAATGCCTTCTCACCCCTTTGAAAGTCGCATTGCGGAGATACAGAGCGCACAATGTAGTCATTACCAAGTAGAGTAACCGTGTTGCTTTTGTTAACATAAGTCCACTTCAAACCTCCGCTCCCTCTTGGCGCTTGCATCGCTTGCAGGGCTGCATTCGCCCTCTCCGTTGTCATTCTTATCTTCTACGCTTATGAGACCTGGAAAACAACATGTGGTTGGGAGGAGGTGTACGTTTGCTGCCTTGAGGTGGGTCCTGCTCCATCGCACCTCATGCTCTGAGCCGTCGGTATGTCGCGGCAAGCCGATTCACGCCCCAAACCCCGCGCCCCTTGCTTTCTTGCAGTTGACCAAGGTCATCATCGAGTTCTTCCATGTAAGTTACTCTGTCGACGATGACGCTTCATCTCTTGTTCGCATCTTCCTGCCCTTTCGTCCCTCGCTTCCCCACCTCCAGCGAAATTCATCTTCGGCTATTTCCCATGGACCATTCATGTATTTCTCCCCCTTGCGCTTCCCAGGAGTTCGACACGCCCTGCCTGCTTCACCTGTCAAGCGGCAACCGAGTACTATGGCTTCGATACAGCGAATGGCTGATGACGTGTCCTGTAAGTTGCCTATGTACCTAACGAGACACCTAAGGAGCTCGCGTTCACGAACGGCGGCTTTGGGTTGCCTGGAACTAAAAAAGCCTCACATCTTTGCTTTCCCACGCGCAGGTCATTCTGATCCACCTCTCCAACTTAACCGGCTTGAAAAATGATTACAATAAACGGACCATGCGCCTGCTGGTATCTGATATCGGCACCATTGTGTGGGGTGCCACGGCAGCCATGTCCACCGGTTATGTACGGGTAAGCTGCTGGGGGTTCAGTTTGGATGTAATGGAAGTGGATTGGTACTGAGCCGCGAGAAACGCCGAGACAGCGCCAGAGGTGGTCATATCGGCCGCTTGCATTCAATAGTTGCTGCACGCTTGCCGGAAGCGAGACAGGACGTGACAGGACTGTGTGAGTTCATCCGTGACGACGGGTCGTTTGATCAGTCCATTGTTTCCTTGTTGCGCAGGCTATCTTCTTCGTGCTCGGCTGCATGTACGGTGCGAACACCTTTTTCCACGCTGCCAAGGTGAACATGGCAGGGCAACCATTTGGGGCCTTGGGTTGCAGGGCTCGTGGTTTGACACCCTATGGGACGTTTTGTCTTCCACTTTGACCTCCTCCGATACCGGTACCCCACGTGTGTGTGCTTGCGTCGCGGACCACCTGCTGTGCCCCCCCCCCCATACGCCCCTGCAAGCGTCTCCCTTTGATGTTCGGCCCCAACCAACTAACCGCCAACCGCTAACCGCCAACCAACCTGCACAGGTCTACATCGAGTCCTACCACACGGTGCCCAAGGGTCGATGCCGCCTGGTCGTCCGCGCTATGGCCTGGTTGTTCTTCGCGTCGTGGGGCATGTTCCCGGTTCTCTTCCTGCTGGGGCCCGAGGGCTTTGGCCACATTAGCCTCTACGGTAAGCACTCCGTACGCAGCACACCTCCCTGGCCCCTCTGCAGCTCCTTCCCCATCTTGAGCGTTTCTTGGCCGACATGTCGCACAGCACCCCCATGCTCCTGACCCGTCCCCTCATGCACCTGGCACCTCCCCCCCCCTCCGGTTGCATTTATCTATGTTCCCCCCCCCGGTTTATCTAACCCCCCGGTTGCGCTCCCCCCAGGCTCCACCATTGGGCACACCGTCATCGACCTGATGTCCAAGAACGGCTGGGGTATGCTGGGCCACTACCTGCGTGTCAAGGTAGGGGGCGCAGGAGAACCACACGTTTTCTAACACGCAGACCTGTGACTTGTGCCGTGGCTTGGCCGTCGCTGCTGCTCCTGCTGCTGCTGCCCTTGGGGCCCTTCGCTGCCTGCCATTGCTCGCACCCTAGTAGTGCTGCCCCTCCGTTGGGACGTGTGTGCAATGCATTTGCTTTCATAACCATGCCCCTACAGCCCTGAACCCTGCCCCGGCCCTCCCCTTTGTATGATTAACCCCTGTCAAACCTCTCGTCCCTCACCCCTCCTTAACGCTCCCCTCCTTCCCTCTCGCCCCTCTTGCCTCCTCGCTGTTCCCTCAGATCCACGAGCACATCCTGCTGTACGGCGACATCCGCAAGACCACCAAGATCAAGGTGGCGGGTGAGGAGCTGGAGGTGGAGACCATGGTGGCGGAGGAGGACGAAGACACCGTGAAGAAGGGCACCGGGCAGTACGCCAGTCGCGAGTCCTTCATCGTCATGCGCGACAAGTGAGAGATCGAGGGAGAGAGGGAGGGCTATGGGGGTTGCTGTGGGATGGTGTGCGGTCGCGTACCCACACACACAGAGACCTGCTTCCTCCTCTTCGCTTATTCCCCCCTTTCCTCTCCGCAACTATAATGCCTTTGCCCCACGCTCACCACAGGCTGAAGGAGAAGGGCTACGAGGTCCGAGCCTCGCTGGACGCCTCCGGAGTCGACAACCACAACCCCCCCGCCGGCAAGGCCGCCCTCGAGATGGGCAAGATGCAGGGCGGCGGTGGCCTCGACGCCAACATGATGGGTGGCATGGGCGGCGTGGCGGGCGGCATGCCCAGCATTGCCCCCGGCCGTGTCATCCTCGCCGTCCCCGACATCTCCATGGTGGATTTCTTCCGTGAGCAATTCGCGCAGCTGCCCGTTCCCTACGAGGTCGTCCCCGCGCTGGGAGTCGACAACACGCTGCAGCTGGTGCAACAGGCCGCTGCGCTGGGTGGTTGTGACTTTGTGCTCATGCACCCCGAGTTCTTGCGGGACCGCAGCCCGGCTGGGCTGGCAGGTCGGCTGCGAACCATGGGTCAGCGCACCGCCGCGTTCGGTTGGGCGCAGCTGGGGCCGGTTCGTGACCTGATTGAGAGCTCCGGGCTGGACGGGTGGCTGGAGGGACCGAGTTTCGGAGCGGGAGTGAGCTTGCAGAGCCTGGCGGTGCTGATTGCGCGCATGCAGCAGAAGAAGATGGCGGCCATGATGGGCGGAGGCATGATGGGTGGCGGCATGGGAATGGGTGGCATGGGGATGGGTAAGTTGAGGAGTAAACTGCCTGCGAGTAGGAACGTAGTGGATTGTGCGTGCCTTCGTCTAAGGGTCGTGTTTCCACTGCTGCTTCCGCTACGTCCGCTGCGTATTGTTGCATCTTCGCGTCCGTTCGTACCTCTCCGGATTGTTGTCTTCCTAATCCGCCCGCACACCTTCCCCTGCAGGTGGTGGTGTGATGGGCGGCGCCATGGGTATGATGAACCCCGCCATGGGCATGGCTGGCGGCATGGGAATGGGAATGGGGGGCATGGGCAGCATGGGCAGCATGGGCATGCAGATGGGTGCCGCCGCCAACGCCGCCATGCTGCAACAGCAGCAGCAGCAGCTCATGATGGGCATGGGCAACAACGGTAACGCCAACGCCATGGGCGGCAGCGGGCTGGCGTCGCCGCAGCAGAGCGGCCTCTTCGCCTCCTCCATGGGCCAGAACGCAGGTGCCGGCGGCGCTGCTGCCAACGGCGGAATGCTGCAGCACCAGATGAGTGGTCTCATGAACAGCGGTAAGTGATGGTTGGGTAATTCCATGGCAAACATGGACACATGTCCGCGGGGTGCTATTACTTGCAGGCAGTGACGTTCTGCCTCCTTGCCTCCCCGTCACACGAGCACGTCACAGGTGTTTCCTCTTTACCCCGCCCCCTTTCGCCACGCAGTTCCAATTACCCTCTCCCCTTACTCGCACCCCATCACCCGCAGGCATGCAGTCCCCGGGCTCCACTCGCATCGGCACCAACCCGCTCTTCAACGCCGCTCCCTCGCCGCTCAGCTCCCAGCCAGGAGAGGCCATGGGTGGCGGTGCTGCTGCTGCTGCTGCCGGCGGCGCGGCTGCCTCGGGCCCGCTGGCCTCCCCTGCTGCGGGAGCTGCGGGTGGCGGCGCCGCGGGCGGTGCCTCCGAGGCGGAGATGCTCATGCAACTGATGAACGAGATCAACCGCCTCAAGTCGGAGTTGGGAGAGCAGCACTGAGGGTTGCTGGTCTGCTGACATGTGACACCTGACTGACGCACACGGGGAGGGAAGTAAGGCCGAGGTGTTGTGGTTGATGAGGTTGATGGGAGGTGGCGCGAGGAGGCTTGGGGAGGCGTTCCAGGATTAAATCGGGTTGGTGGGTATGTGTCGTTACCAAATTGTTATGGCAGGTGGTTTATGTGTTTTACGTCTCGGTACATCTCGGTATATGTCTTTACACGACTATTGTTGAAAGCAGGCATGGTTGTATGGTTGTAAATGGTAGGTTTTGGATGGATCGAATACCGTTCCTCTGTTTGTTATGGGAGGGCGGATGTATGCAGGGTTGCCTGTTTAGCCTTCATGACTGGAGGCGATTGGGTGGGGCTTCGGAGTTGGGGGTTTAGCAAAGTGCTTTGGCAGCCGTACCGCAAGCTACCGTACACATCTTGTCCGTACACAGCTTGCCGTATCTTGGGCTGTTAGGGGCGTGTCTCTTGATTCAGCCCTCTACTTGCCTTGCTGTCCTGCCCGCGTTGCCTGGGCTGGGTTTCTGTTAAATCGTACGGCCTTAGGGGAGCAATAATGATTGTGGGATTCATTTCTTGCGTGACACTTTTTCGGTGGGTATGCGATGAGGGGCTGCTATGTCTTTAGCCGGCCGTTCGCGCGTGATTACGCTTTATCGACATAAAAGAAGTTATAACAAGCTTTAGCGTTTGATGGACATCACCGTACAGAGTGATCGTATAGGGTGGTGAATCTCTGATTATCCACAGCTGTGCGAGTTTCTCGTATATCGGCCTGCGTCCGCCTGCCTCGAGCGATTGTATGTGACCCAATCGCCGTTTGGAGGTGTGTGATCCCGTCCCAGTCTAGCTGCATAGTCCTGCCTGGTGTGCATGCTGGTGCTGCGGTTGCGGCTGCTGCTGCTGCTGTATTTTAGCGGCTGCTGCAGTTGCTTCTTGGAGCTAGCTTTGTTTTTCCTTTGCATCCCTGGGGATTGGGCGACGCCGAGAGGAGGCCACTTGGCCGGTGGCAGCACAAAGGGTGAAGAGGCGAGGAGCGATATGCGGCATGTGTGTGTGTGTGATTCTGCTCAATCGCGGCACGGAATTCTGGGCCGGGATTGACTCGCGCACGCGCATGCAGCGGCGCATGGAGGGTTAAGCGGATCTACTGAAGCGGCATCTTTACTGTATTTGACTTTGTGATTATTGCCGGGCAGTGGTTGTTGATTGATGATGAGATCTGGGGCGACGATGCACGCGCGCTGTGCGCGGGGCAAGTTGTGATTTGCGAGAAGACGAAATATTGTTTGCTCCGGAGCTCTGTTGCGAAGGGGGTCCTGGTAGAGCCTCCTTGTGACTGCTGCCTGAGGGGGAGGGAGGAGAGCGGCGAATGCGGAGAGGCATTCGTCGTGTGCTCCGCCGGTCGAGCCGGAGTTTGCCTCCCTGTGACACTGGGTCTTGGTCTCTTGATTGTGTGATGTGTGAGCATGCATACCGGTACCAATAAAGATGACACATGCGTGCAGAGGTCTGTTTCTGCGTGCCTGCATGACCTCTGCGTGCGTGCAGGGGATGTCTCCTTGCGCGCACGTATGTGTATGTGTGTGAAAGATGTGACATGTGATGCATCTTGGTACGTCAATTAGGTTGCTGTTGCTGCGAAACGGGGGGGAGGCTAACTTGCCGTGTCGCTGACTTGCTGTTGCTGATGCGCGAGGAAAGGCGTGTTGCTGGTTGCTGTTGTTGAAATGAAAGTTCAAATCGGTTGAATTTGCTGCCGGCGCACTTTAGTACAGTAGTTGCGCTAGCGCTGCCGTACTGTTGTTTGGTTTGGCAGCAGTTGCTGGAAGTTCGTCGTTGATCCCCTCGTCATTTATCGTATAAACATGGAAGGCGGGGTGTGTTTTCGTGAAGTTTGTGTGCATCTGGTTATTGTGTTTGCTGCCTTCCGTCGGAATGTGTATCCGACTTGGAAGGTCCAGGCCTAGTGATGGCTTCGAGTTGCTTGTCGTGAGTTGCTCATTAGTTGCGTGCATGTGTATATGTACTTGTATATCCAAAGCCTCCTGTATCCGGGAGCCCCTGTAACTTACCGGGTTACACTATGACTCGCCTGTACCTTAGTGTGGGGAGCAAGCACAGCCATAGGCCATATACCGGTGCCGCACGCGACATGCGGAGCATAGGAACCATGGGAAGTAATGAAGCGCCAACCAGAATACATGTAGGCTGTCGTGTCGTGCAGCATCTCCTTTCGCGGGTGGTGTCACTCGTAGGTGAATGGTGTTGCCGGCACGTACACCCACGACGCCTCAGTTCCCGAAGTGGCTGAAACTTGTTGCATTCATGACCATCTCCGTCCTCCTTTGTTGGGGTTGCAACAGCTACATTGATCGCTCGTCGAGCTCAAGTCCCCGTGTTCCCCGCCAGCTCAGGCTTGCCGTACCGAACAATCTGGCTGAACTACGCTTTTGTTCCAAAGTGCTGTAAATCAGCGGCTTTTCAGATTAGATTGCTTGCTTAAAAGTGATACGATTGCACCTGTTAGCGAGCCCAGCAAACTGTTACAAGGGTCAACTTCTTTTGGTCCTTTGAGCTCAAATAATAAAGCAAGTGATTAAGTTCCCAACTTATATCTTTCACACAACTACAGCGCCAACCGTGATAACTGTGACACCATGGACATCCAATTCCAGATTCGTCAGAACGCGATGGAAATGCAGGAGTACATGAAGGACCTCTTCGATTGGCAGAAATCCATTAAGAAAAAAGAACGAGCGTTAGCAGCCTCTGGTGGAGCTGATCAAGCCACCGCACCAGCACCAAGGGGCCGCGCCAGCGGAGCCGTGGCACCTGCTCCAGCGGAGCTCATGCAGCCAGCGCTAGGCCCCAAGGCCGCAAGCTCAACTCCGAAACCAAAGCCAGCTACCTCATCTTCCAGCAAGCAGGGCGCGAAGGAACCCATCGCGAAAACTGCCGCGGCACACACCTACTCCTCCTACCAGAAGTGGGATAAGTTCGATGTGGACGCCGCGCTCGCATCAGACGACGATGAGAATGCCGCTGCCAGATCCCCCAGCAGCTCTAGCAGCAGCCGACAAAAGTCCACCAAAGCCGCTTCCACTGCCAGCCCTGCTGGTGCCGCCAACAAGCCAAGTAGCACAACCACCACCACCAACAACAGCAGTACCGCCACTGCCACCACCGCTTCAACCGCTACGCGCACACCCCAACCACCCGCAGCAGCATCCTCTCCCGCCGCTCCTGCTGCTGCTGCTCCTCCTCCTCCCGGCATCACCCTCACCGCCCACGACCCCTCCCAGCCTCAGGGTGACGACCTGCTGCGACCCGTCGCCACCACTCGCACAAACGCCCCCAAGAGCGTTCCCACTGCACCCCCTGCTACCACCGCAGGAGCAGCAGCAGCCGGCGCTGCCGCTGCTGCTGCCGCTGCTGCTTCAGCAACCACCACCACCACCACGGCTGCTTCACCCACCGGCCACGCAGCAGCAGCAGCAGCGCCGCTGCCGCCCATTCGCAACAGCCAGCCCACCACCGCGGATGCCTGGAGGGCCCGCGGCAACGACCTGTTCAAAGCCGGCGAGTACGACAGCGCGTTCGAGTGCTACAGCCGCTCGGTGGAGCTGCAGCCCACGTGTCTGGGGCATGCGAACCGGGCCATGGCGTTGCTGAAACTCGGCAGGTGGCAGGTGGGTGTGCTTGTTGTCCACGTGCATGGCGTCGGGTGGGTGCGTGCAACCCTCCCTCCTCTGTGCAACCCTCCTTACCCCTCCATGCACCCTCCTCACCCCTCCGTGCACCCTCCTTGCCTCTCTCACCTTCCTTACCATCCCCTCACCCACAAACCCTCTACCCACCCCCCACAACCACCCCCACCCCTGCTTCCCCAGGACGCTGTCGCCGACTGTACGGCAGCCATCTGCCTGGACCCCGCCTACGTCAAGGCCTACCAGCGCCGTGCAGCAGCCCACCGGCAGCTGGGGTCGGCGCTGCAGGCGGCTCGAGACTGGGAAGCGGCGTTGCGGCTGGAGCCGGAGAACCGTGCCTCCGCAGCGGACCGGGATGCGGCCCTGGAGGCGCTGTGGGAGGAGCAGAAGCTGCAGCCGCCGTCGCGGCGGGTGGGGCTGCCGCTGAGCGTGGTGGGGGTGGCGGAGGAGGCGGTGGAGAAGGAGGAAAAGGAGGAGGAGGGGTTGCCGCAGAAGCGGCGGAAGGAGGAGGTTGCTGCGTCGGCAGAGGCTTCCTTCGCATCGGCAACAGCGGCGGCTGGCGCTGGTGCGGTCGTTGATGGCGCTGTTGGTACTGCTTCTACGTCTGGATCCGCCGCCGCCGCAGCAGCAGCAGCACCAGCTTTAACGTCCCAATCGCCAACAGCAGCAACACCGCCCGCAGCGTTGGCTGCAGCTGCGGAAGGTGCTCCTTCGTCTCGCGACCCCACCCCACAACCCCCCACGTCACCAACTTCTCCAACTACTCCCGCCACGGTTATTGCTGCCACTCTTCCCGTTGCAGCGGCAGCATCCGCATCCTCACCTGCCGCTGCTGCTACATTGGTTACCCCTCATCCCGCAGCACCCGCACCCGCCACCGCAGCACCCGCACCCGCCACCGCTGCCCCCGCCGCCCCCCGCGGCCCTCCACGCACCAGTGTTGAGTTCGAGGCCGCCTGGCGCAGTCTGGGCGGCGACATAGCGCGTCAGGCAGCCTATCTGTCCGCCATCCCGCCCGCCAGCCTGGCTACCGTGTTCAAGAGCAGCCTCACGGCGCCCGTGCTTGCGGCCATGGTGCGCTGCATGCTGGCGGCAATGATGCCACCGTCACCTCCACCGTCGTTACCTCCTCAGCAGCAGCAGCCTCAGCCGCCAGCAGAGCTACAAGAGCAGCAGCCGCATGCGTGCGCTGCTGCCCTTGCGGATGGGGTTGCACACCAGCAGCAGGAGCAGGCACAGCAGGAGCAGGCACAGCAGCAGCAGCAGGTGGCGTGTATGGCTGCCGCGCAGGGTGTGGCGCTGCTGGAGGGGCTGAGCAAGGTGCCGCGGTTCGACCTGATGTCGCTTGCGGTGGCCTCCCGAGAGCGCGGGGAGCTGCGGGCGGCATGGGAGCGGCTGGAGGAGGCTTGGGGGAGTGGGAGTGGGAGCGGAGGGGTGGCGGAGGTAGAGGGGGCTTTGGAAGGGCTGAAGGCGTTGAGGAAGAAGTACCGGTTGTGAGGGAGGGAGGGAAGGAGAGGGGGTTGGGGAAGGTGGGGGTTTAAAGGGGCGTGGGCTTGGGTGGGTTGAGAGGGCGGGTGAGGGGTGTTGCGCTGGCGAGAGCGGATGTTGGGTTGAGGCCTGGGAAGGTATCGTGCATGGATTGGGTAGTTGGGTAAGAGAGGACGAGGGCAGAGGGGTGGGAGTCAGGTGGGGACGAGCAGATGGGAGAGGACGGAGTGGCCGCAGGCGGCCGCACCCGTTCATGTTAAGGAGGGCATGCCAGTAAAGGCGTGACATGTAACAGTCTGTGCCTGGCGTTCATTGACCGCCAGCAGGGGAACAATACCCAGTAATCTCCGTACTGCACCGCAGTACACCTGCCCAACACCTACTGCCTAACCGTGAGTACCGGTACATCCTGCTTCCCTTTTAACCTCTCAGTGTGGATAAGCGGATAACAATGTGGCTATGTCGAGTACGCCCCCCCCCCGTGTACAAGGGGAGACCCCTTGTCTCCGGTGCCTACCTAACAACCTCCGCTAGACAAGCTACTTGGACCCCCTGCCTGACGCAGCTATACAACACATCCTGGGCTGTGTACCGTGCATTCACTAGGCCCTAACAGCTTGTGATGCCCCATGTCGACAGTGACCACTATAAGCGAGTTGGCCCCATGTTCCGAACTAACCAGTGAGAACCAGCGAGCACCTAATCGTTGCGTCCCAACCCTCCCCGCCCGCAGCAACCTCGTGACACCCTGCCGCCCTACTACCGCTGCACCATCATCAGCTCCGGAGGCACCTCCATCTCCCACCGCTCATCAACGTAACCCTGCACACCGACCCCCCGACCTGCCCCCCTGCTGCTGCTGCTGTCCCTGCCCCTCCTGTGCTGCTCACCCCTGCCCGCGCTGCTGCTGTCCCTGCCCCTCTCCATTTCGGCACTCCTGCTGCTGTCCCTGCGCCTACCCCTGCGGTCACTCTCCCGCCTGCGTTCGTGCCTGTCCTCCCTGCTCCTCTCCCTGCTCTTCCTCCTGCTCCCCTCCCTGCTCCTGTCCCTGTTCCTGCTCCTGCCGATGCGCCTCTCAGCCACGCCATTGCCGTCGCCTCTCCTCCGTCCTCCCAGCCTACAACTCCTGCTCCCCCTCCTCCGATCCCGGCTTCCACTCCTGCTCCTACTCCTGCTCCCATGCCGGGCCCTGCTCCTGCTGCTCCTCTTCCGGCCCCTGCTGACCACCACGGCACGCTCCTCACCGCCACGAGGACCCCTGCTGCTGCCGCGCCCCCGCATCTCCACCCGCCCCTTCCCCTCTTCCACCAGCTCCCCACCCGCAACCCCACCACCACCACCACCACCACTACTACCAACAGGTCTCCCGGCGGTCACCACCCCAGCAGCCACCGCCGGCGGCCCCCACAGCACGGAACTGCCCCCGGGCCCCTCGTCCCAGCGACTCCTGACCCGCTGACACCGCTCAGCCCCTCGTTGTCCTCCCAGTTCTTCTCTAGAATGATGGACCCCGGGATCAGCACCGCCTGCTGCTGCTGCTGGGGCTGCTGAGGCTGCATGGCCGCCACTGCCGGCGCCGGCGCCTACCGCTATGCCCTGCTGCTGCTGGTCATCGTCGTCCTCGCTTTGCCCATCCGCCGTCAGGTCTACCATCTCCGCCGACGAAGCTGCTGCAGGAGAGTGACGGAGACGGGGGTGGACTGTAGCGTGTCCATGCCGCCTCTGATGCTGCTGCTGCTGTTGTTGTTGCTGTTGGGGTTGCTGTTGGGGTTGCTGCCCATGCTGTTGTTGTCCTGGGTGTCTGTGCACTTGGTGCCCGGGCAGTGGCGCTGCTGCCGCTGCCGGGGCTGCTGCCGGGGCCAGGCCGTAGCGCACGCTTGCATCGTAGGCTTGCATGGTAAGCCCCGAGAGCGCAAAGCACCTGAAGCAGCAGGGGGAGTGGAGGAGTGGGCAGGGTGGGTACTGTACGGTGTACGCGACTGAGAGGGAAGTTCTCAGCGTGCTTCGAATGTCACCTCCGTATCATACCTACCCTCTAGCAAACCCTCTAACAAGGGGAACCGGGAACACTCGGATGGAACTGCATGCCAATGGCAAATTCCCATTCCCATTCCCGGTCACCCCTAGCCAACCACCCGGGAAGACCCAGACCCTCGCCTCGGCCCCCACCCTCGCCTCACCTCAGCTCGTGCCAGAAGTGAGCTGCCCGGTCGAACAGGAACGGACGAAGCGCCGCCACAGGTCCCTCCGCCGCCGCCGCCGCTGCAGCTGCAGCACCCTCTGCAGGCGGCCGAGTAGCACCTCCCTCCGACACCCGGCGGCCCGCAGCAAGCTGCCGCTGCTGCTGCCGCTCAGGTGCCGCTGCTGCTGGTGCTGTAACGTCATGCTGTTGTTGCTGCTGTTGAGGTGCTGTTGTCGCCTCCGCCGCCGCTGCTGCTGCTGCTGTCCCAGCGGCCGCCTCCGCCGCCCAATCCCGCTGCCAGCCGAACGTTTCCACTAGACCCACCACCAGCGCCCTGAGCAGCGTGAGGTCCTGGGGATGGGAGAAGGGGTAAAGAGGAAACAACTAACTGACTGAGGGATAAGGCGTCAACATGGGTTGCATCATGTGAGCCAGCCCGACCCGCCCAACCCGAACAAGGGAGAAGGGGGGGGAGCGTGCAACAAAATCACGCGGGTGAGGGCAACGAGAAAACGGGCAAGGCAAGCAAAGGCTCTGGGGCATCAAGGGAAAACCGCTGCTGTAGGATGCGTAAGCGAGTTCCAGGGATACCGGTCACGAGCTGCCGGAGTGGAGAACATGCAGCGAGAAGGGGAACCCAAGGGATGCGCGCGAAGCAGCAGACCCAACGGGGGCCAACTACGGGTGGGTAGCAGCCCCTCCCTTCCCTCACGCCTCACCCTCCCTCGTGTCCCCGAGCCCTGCCCGCCGCCTCTCCAGCACGGATCCCCACTTCTCCAGCACCCGCACACCCGCCCCGCACCGCCCCACCCACTCGCTTACCGACGTTCCCAGCAGCGCCCGCAACTCCCGCGTCACCCACTCCTCCACCACTTGCCGCCCGCGTCCCGCCAGCAACCGCCCTGCACCCGCTGCTGCTACTGCCGCCGTCACCACCGCCGCGGGAACCGCAGCAGGGGCAGCAGGCGCTGACCAACGGCTCCTGCGTGCATCCCGCGTCGCCCCCGCCGCCCCTACCGCGGGTCTTACTGCTCCAGTCGCCCACAGCCCTCTGTCGTACACTCGACGCCGCGCCGCCACCTCCGCAGCCTCCGCCGCGGCCGCCGTCACCGCCGCCGGCAGCCGCGGCGGCGCCACCAGCTGCTGCTGCTGCTGCCATCCGCCCACTGCGTCGCTGCTTGCTCTCCAACCGCTGTCAGCTCCTGCCGCAATGCCTCCAGAAAAGGGGACATCCGCACCGCCGCCGCCAGCAGCAGTACCGGCGGAGGCAGCAGCCAAGCGCTGTTGCAGCCGGAAGAAGTACGGCCGTGGCTGAGGTTGCGGCTGCTGCTGCTGCTGCCGCCGACGGTTCTGCCCCTGTGAGCTCCCTGCTGCTGCTGCTGCTGAGGGTCCTGCCACCGCCGCCGCCTCCGCTGCTTCGGAGGCGGTAGCGGAAGGGTTGAAGGCGCGAAGGTGTCGATCTGCCCCAGTGGCTTGACGGAAGCGCGGTGGCGCGAGACGACGCTCTGGAGGGAAGGAAAGGAGAAATGTACGACATAAGCAGCACTGCAGCGGCAGCCTAGAACCCAACAGCGCAATGTTGGGTACTAGCCGCCCCGCCCCTGTCCACAACCCACAATTGGTTTCCCTTACTCATCCCATTTAACCCGTCATACCCGCTCCCGCACACACACCCTCTTAGACCCTCTCATCCGCTGCCGCCCTCACACCCGCTGCTGCTGGACCCTCACCCGTTCCCGCCAGTCGGTCCGCGATGCGGTGCAGCTGCGCGGCCAGCTCCGCGGTGTCACCTGGGCGGGAGAGCGCCATAAGTCCGTGCAGGCTGCCACTGCCACTGCCAGCAGCAGCAGCAGCAGCAGCAGCGGTAGGGCCACCGCCGTCATGGTAGCTACTGCCGGCGGAACCGCTGGGCCCCTGCTGGCCCTGCCCTTCGCGCCCGGGTTGTGGGAGCTGCGGGTGGTGGTGATGGTGGCCGTGGCTTTGGTTGTGGTAGTGATCGACGTGATGCAGCTGCCAGTGGTCGAGAAGGGTGTGAGCAGCGTAGATGGCGGCGGTGGAAGTGGTGTAGGCGGAGTGCGGGGGCGGTGAGGGCGGGATGTCGACCTGCATGTACTCCGCATCGCTTCGGATGTCCGTCAGGTAGGTGTGGATGCGGCGCTAGGGAGGGAAGGGGAGGAAGAGGAGGGGAGAGATAGAGAGGTAGGATACAACTTCTCATGTGTGATAAAGTGTATACTGTTTTGTACCATGGACGGACATCGGATGTTGCATTCTTTGACTTCCACAGGATACAACAACGAAGCCCTGTCTTGGCACTTGTGCAAATTTCACATGTTCAAGTCCCTGTACTGAGGGGCACCACGTCGAAATCGTCGGTCATCGAGACCTACTTTGCACAGAGGACACAGTCTTTTTACGCGGAGCCATTCCGTCAGGCAACGCCGACAGAAGGCGTGCATACATCCCGTGACTGCTTTCTCCCTGGGGTCCAAGATGTCGGTCAGGCCTGCAGTGGCAGAAGGAGGTCAACCGAAGGCTTGAAGGCGGTGTTGCCAAATGCCATGCTGCCATGACGTTGAAGGTCGAATCTTCAACCGGCGCAGGCGATCCAAATAAGGGTTCATGCTTACAGATCGGACAGCTGGGAAGCGGCTCGTAGTCCTTGGAAACGGATTCGTCGTCATCGCTGGAGCTCACGACTTCTTCTGCGCAACACTTATGCCTGGAGCCGTCGCTGCCACTGGTATTCATTTGTCTTACGACCCCATGCGTTCCTCATCCAGGGCTTGAAGGTGCTCAACAAAGCCGCGGACGACTCTCCAACGACTGAGTATTGCAGTTTGTGAAGGCCCAAGAAGGCGTCAGTTGTCCGTGTCGATAAAAGCTCGGCATGTGATAATGCTAACGAGGGAAAAGCGATGAAGCTCCTTCCGTTGTAACTTCTTTCAAAGCCTTACTCACCACACCAGGATGTATCCCAGGCAAGGAAATCAGAAAGCACCAGCATAAAGCTCTGTCCTCTATATGCAAAAATTGCAGCACGGACAAAAAGAATTAGCGCGATAAATAGGACACCACGTAAGTTGACCCAGGGACCAGCGTACAGCGGAGCCGCGCAACGTGGGCCAATTTACCGGGCCAACAGGTCCTCCTGGTTATGGCCCGCTTCTAGGATGGAGTTTCTTTCCATTTGCCTGTTCGGACTGTTCGGATGCGCACGCCAGCCTTTTGCCGCTCACCATGACCTCCTCAACATGCCAACCCAAGCCAAGAGCCAGGCTTATGCTCATGCCAACCACCACACAACACAAGCACCAATACACGAAGAACTTCCCTTCAAAAGCCCCCTAAAGGGCACAGCCTTAGCCCACGACGCCAAGCGCCTGCCATGCTGCAGCTGAGCCCGAAGCCATCACGTCCCACCCCTTCCAACAGCTTTTACATACTCATCCAACATTGCTGTACTTAAACTGCCTTTGCCTAAGCCATACTACCAATTTTCTGCCTCCCCTCCAAATGCCCCGACCCATTTTCTTCCCGCTACCCCCTTCCGTCCTTCACACCCCTCTAATCCCGGGTCTGCCCCTCCCCTAAATCCCTTGTCCTCCCTACATGCCCTCCCTCTCTTTCAAAACACATGCAACACTGGCCGCCAAGCCAGATCACTAGTCTTCCGTTGATTCTTTATTTTACGGGCCATGGGGAGGAGACCCTTCCCCCATGCCCCCCCCTCGGCCTCGGGCTTGTCCCCTGTACTTACACATTGGTTATTCTTCTTCCAGCCCCCCCCCCCGCCTGCTCAGTTGCTCCCCAGCTGCGCCCCGCTGCGCACCCGGTACCCCCTGGGCACGCACCAGGGCGCCAGACTCACCCCCTCGGACAGCATGGAGGAGGTCTGCGGCTCCGTCAGGGCCAGCACCTGGGGAGGGGGAGGGGGGCGGGAGGTGAGGGGGGTGGAGGGGGGAGGTGAGGGGGGTGGAGGGGGTGGAGGGGGGTGGAGAAGAAATGAGGGGTGAAGCACAGTCCCCTGGCCCGAAAGGCAGGCGAGTCGTACCAAACACACACACACACACACAGAACGCCTCGCGGCCAGTTATTTAAACACACACAGAACGCATGCGGCTACTACTACCGTGCCCCACCGTACACCGTGTCTACTTATCCGTACTGTTCCGCATTCAGGTTCCGTACTTTTCCGTACCTTTTCGTACAGCGCATCATTGGTTGCGATGAGCGAGCGATCGAACACCGAGTACGCCAGTCCGTCCCCGGTGGTGGCCCGGCCGCCCGCCTCCTCCAGGATGATCAGCCCCGCCGCCACGTCCCAGGGCTTCAGGTTGTACTGCCAGTAGGCGTCGATGGAGCCTGGGGGGTAAAAGGGGAGAGAGGGGGGTAAAGATAAAGAAACTCACGGGGCAACTAACCTCCCAGGGCACCCCCCGCCGGCCCCCAGTGTGCCCCCCCCCCTGGTCAGTTAGTTGTTTCCTCTTTACCGCCTCTGGCTGCCTTGCAGGCGCACCGTGAGAGGACCGCGTGAGATGCAGGGGAAGAGGGGATGTACCCCAAACATGCACCCACCCACCCACCATCCTAGGTTCACAGGTGAGCCCCCGGAGTAGCCACGCAACCCCCCTCCCCCCGGGACTGTGAGGCGCGTCTCCTGACCTCCCGCCCCCTGCCCCCTCTTTCTCCTCCCCTCCTGACTCCTCCCGCCCTCCCGCACCCCCCCCCGCCCCCACCTGCTGCCAGGTGGCACAGGTTTGCTGCCGCCGCTCCCGACATGCGCACCCCGCGGCAGGAGTCGCTGAAGGAGCGGTGCAGGGCGGCCAGCTGAGGCCACATGTCGGGCTGGGAGACCATCTCGGTGGCCTGGGGGGTAGGGGGGGAGGGGGGGAAGGGGGTTCAAAGACCATAACAAACCATAGGAGACCTGGCCTGGGGGGAGGGGGGAGGGGTTGGTTTTTGCTGGCTCAAGCCAACACACCTGCCGCTGCTTCTCTCTCTCCTCCTTCATGGGCGGCTCCCTCCCCTGCCCTCCCTTCCTTCCCTGTTCAGGATTCCGTGTACCCCTGCTTGCGCAGGGAGTAACCCTCCCCCTTCCGCTTGGGGCACCCTGCCGCCACCTATGCCTTCACTTGCGGTCTGGTATTTCTTTGCCCCCCTCCTCCCTGCCCCCCGCCCCGCCCCGCCCCTCCTCCCCCCTCACCACCAGTGCATCCCGCAGCTCCTTCACGCGGCTCACAAACACCTGCTGCCCGTCCATGAACGCGCCCCCGTTGCGGCTGGCGCTGAACACCCGCGTGTGCCACCCCCGCCCCGCACCCCCCGGCAGGAACTCCACCACACAGCCAGCGACCGGGGTGGCGTGCCGTACCACCCCAACAGACACGCAGAAGGAGGGGTAGCCGTGCGCGAAGTTGACGGTACCGTCCAGCGGGTCAACACACCTGGGGGCGGGGGGGGCAGGGGAGGGGAGGTGTGTGTGTGTGTGGTGGTGGTGGTGGGGGGTGTTGAGGAGACTAGCCGCGAGGAGAAGCGTATCGTGTGTGTCTTGGGACCAGTGTAAGACATGTGTACGATACAGGAATTGCTGTAGTAGGAGGGCCCTTCAATAACTGTGGCGGTAACCGATGCCGTGCAGTACGCAAGTAAAAACCCTTTCCCCGGCTTCCCTCACCCCTCCCTCCGCCTCCCCTCCCCTCACCACAAGTAGTCGCTGCTCACATCCCCCAGCACGCCGCCCTCCTCCCCCAGCACCGCATGCGAGGGGAAGGCGGCGCGGATGGCGCCCACCACCGCCGCCTCGCTGGCCTTGTCGGTTTCGGTGACTACAGTGGGCGGAGGGAGGGAAGGAACATACCAAAGGGGGTCAAAGACCATATGAAGGTGGGATGGGAGAGGGAGGGGGGGCAGCGAGAGGGGACGTGGGCAGCTTGGAAGGTAGCCTACAGGACGTTAGAGCACAGTCCAGGCCGCCTCCAAAACAGTGCCAAAAGGATGCCAAAGCGCTTCACCACGCCCCCTTCCCTCGTCCATCTCCCTCTTCCTTCCAGCTTCCGGCGACCTCTTCTCTCCACTCCGCTCCACACCCACCCCAACCCAAGTAGTGACCCCCCCACACCCCCACACCCCCCACCCCCATGCGCCCACCAATGTCGGTGCCCTCCTTGCGGGAGATGGTCCGCGGCTTGTCCAGCGCGCCCATGACAACCTGGGCAGGGGTGGGGTGGGGTGGGGGAGTGGGGGAGTGGTAAAGAAGAATGGGCAGGTGGGGTAGGGTGGGGTGCACCCAGGGGCTGTAGAGGCGCTGTGTCCGCGCCCGCAGGAATCCGGGGAGAGGGTGATTTGGGTGAGCAATGGGAGGTGCGGCGGTGGTGCCGGTAGGTCGTACGTGCTGGGGTTTGGGGCAACGATACAGGGGTGTTGCATGTCTTGGCTTAGCACGCTGTTCTCATAGGTCTCACGAGGAGTGCGACTGACTGAATGAGGGAAATCAGGCAGGCATTTTGCGTCCGGGAGTGGTTTAAGAGGTCGCCGCGTTGTTTAGTTCCCGCGCTGCGTTGAGGACTGGCGGCGGCATGGATAGCTTAATGGCTTGGGTGTCGTACTGCTGTATAAGCAGGCTGCTTAGCTGTACAAGGGTGGTGTTGCCACCACTGCTGTCACTATCCACGCCCAAACAATGAACCCAACCGGTCCCCGATGCGTGTAAGTGGCAGGCGATCAGCGCATCTTGCTCTGTGATTGGGGGACGCGGGGATTGGCCATTACCCTGCTCAGGATTTTTGGTCCAAGGAGCTACCCACGGTTAGCACCCTTACCTCAGCACCCAATTGAGCAGCTTTCTTGGCAACGCTAAGAAGCTCCTCCGTAGGAACCTTTCCGGCCCGGACGACCAGCGTCTTCCTGCCCCGGGCGCCGATCGCTGCCGAGCTCAAGAGCTTTGGGCCAGCCATGCATCTGGAAAGCATGCCATTTTTATGGGAGAGAGATGGAGCCGTTCGCATATTCATGCTTTACTGTCGGGTGAGAGGCCAATGGACCCGAAAGGTATCGTCAATTGGTTCGAGAGCGTTGGCCTGGTGAATTCCGGCGCCGAAACTGCTCCTAACAATGCTCAAGCCGGAGTAACAAGATGTCTTAGCTGACTGGAAGATAATGCTAGGACCTGATGCATCAACCAACGCCCCATCGAGGTTACCATCAGTGTCGTACCATCTGTACCCAAGACAAAGGTTGCATTCATTCGCGCTTTACTGCTCTAAACTCAATGTCTTCGATGCCGTTACACTGCACGACAGTCATTGTCAAAGGGTATCCTTCGCTTGCTGTGATGAACTTCTGAGGACGGGCTTTCCCTCTGGTACTATTTATGATGTAAGCTATTGACGAAAGGCAACCGTGACTCCCTTCTGGCGTTCTGCTTTAACTGCAAAATTCGTCCAGATCTGGCTCGGCTAGAGAAACTCGCCCATCCTTACGAACATCCGAGCTTGCATTGCACACCACTGCGGTCGGTTAATGACTCTTCTTCCGCCAGTCTTGAATACCTATGATCTCAGGGGTTAAGGTTTGCCCAGGCTGCTGCTCCCTAGTAAAGACCCTAACGGCAGCAGTCCATCTGTGCCCGGAGGCACAACCTTGCCTGTTGTCGAGCAAAGAATGTTCATGATCGAGAATCTCTGCATGCTACATGTATCTTGCAGGTTTAGCAATACGGCAGTTCGTGTTGCTAACATGCTATCGCTCAGTTAACCGCTAGTTGTCGCCTTACGTTAGACCCGTGCAAAAACCCAAAATATATGTCGTCGCAAATAAGATATTTAGCAGAAGCGGCATTGCAGTAGTAACACCTCGCCGTATCGCAAGCATACCGTCAGTAGCTTGCCTATTACGTTCTCTTTCTTAAAATTCTTCCGTAGAGTACATGGTGTGAATTTGATAATGTAGTATTATTTAGGATATGGTACTTGCTCGTGTGTTTGGGCGCCCGCCGGTGCTTGCGGTCAGTCGTCTGATGTCGTCTCAGATGACCTATCTGGCGCTGCTACTGATCCTTGGCGGGATGTTACATGGGGCTGTCTCTAAGCGTCCCAACATCATTGTCATCATGACGGTATGTCGATCAAGTCTGGCTTCCGATTCTCAATTTACGAACCCATTTGCCCGTGGACACCCTATCATGAAGCCCTCAGCCCTCTTCCTAAGGGGACATATAGCTCATCCACACACACGCGCTAGCTTAGTATGCCTCAATTCTCCCGCTTTGGAAATCAGGTTTGTGGATGCGCAAGCGACTCACCTACCATCTTCCGCTCATCCTCTTTTCCAACTCGTCTAGCCTTCCTATCGCACCACGGCCTGGCACTATGTCACTCATTCCCCCTTCCTCCATCCCGCCTGTACACTCCTCTCCTCCCCATCAGTTCACCTAATCCGCATTACACCCTAGCGTTATCAGTCCCTTCCCTCCCGACACCTTGGCCTCCTCCCAGCACTTCATTTCCCGCCACTTCCTTTGCGCTGCAGCAACAGCGTTTCCCCATGCTTTCCTCCAGCTTCTTACCCCTTCTTGTTCTTGCCTTACAAAGGGCTTCCCGGTCCCGTGTGCTTCATCTTACTGTATTACCCGCTTAGGGGGTTGTGCCCAAGTCCACCCAACCTGCCAGTACCCGCGTGCCCGTCATTTCCCTCCCACCCAATACTGTCTCTCTCTCTCTCTCTTTCACGCGCGTGTATGTGGTTATTCCTCTCACTTGTCCTGCGGCATCCCAACGCCTCCCTTCCCCATTGCCTTGCCCTCACTTGCGGACCTATGAGGTTTGGATTCTCCCTGACTCCCTTTCCAAACCCCTCCCTCTCCTCCCTCTTCTCCCTCCCTTCCCCCCCCCCTCCGTGGGCGACCAAGACTACATGCTCAACTCCACGCACCCGCACCACACCACTGTACACGCATGCGTGTGTGTATTTCCACCCTCCCAACCCCGCCCTCCCCCCGCCCTCCCCCCTGGCATGCCCCAGGATGACCAGGACTACATGCTCAACTCCACGCACCCCGCCTACATGCCCAACCTGGATCGTCTGATGCGCCGGAGAGGTACGTAGGTGGGGCACCGGGACTCGTACACATGGGTTGGAGAGAGTAGCCAACCCCCGTTCGTAAAGGGGGTGTGGGCGTCGGGTTGGGCGGTGTAAACCCCACCTTCCTCCCTCGCAGCCGGTGTCTGCTTCGTTTTCCGCCCTCTCCTAACAGCCCCTTACACTCCTTATTTCCCGCTCCCCCTCCCTTAAGGTCTGGAGGTGCAGCACTTCATCACCTCGGTGGCCAGCTGCTGCCCCTCCCGCACCTCCTTCCTGACCGGCAGGTGGGGCTCTGGGTGGGGCGGGGAGAGGAAGTAATGCCGTACCTCCTCGTTCGGGAAGGGGAGGGGGAAGTGTTTCGCATCCTTTCGGGCTTTTGTAGTCTTTGGTGCACGGTTCCCTAGGATGCTTCCCCGACTTACGAATACCTCCTATGAGTACCCTCGCTCCCTGCACCTCACTTGCCCCTCACTTACCAACCGCTGCCAGGTTCTGTCACAACACCAACATCACCTCCAACGCATGGCCGCGAGGTGACCCATGGGTCGTCAGTGGGAGAGGGGCGGGACGGGACTAGAAGGGAGAGGCATTAGGAAAGCATGTCACTGCGTGTCTTACGTGCCTCTGCCCTCTCGTCATCATGTTGGCTCTCCTCCGTTTCCGTCGTCATGTCTGTACGGGTCAGGTCAGGTCAGGTTGGGTCATGCCAGCGGTCCTAGGACAGTGCCGTGGAGACGTTGGAATGGACGCACGCATGCATGCATACCTGTACGCCCCCCACTCCGCTCCCGCTCCCGCCCCCTCCCTCACCCCTGCAGGTGGTTTCGTGAAGTTCATGATGGAGGGTCTGGACCAGCAGTACCTGCCTGTGTGGCTGCAGGTGGGCGGGCTGGGGGCGGCGGGCTGGGGGCGGCGGGCTGGGGGCGCGTTGGTCGTTGCTGGTTGGGGTGCTGCTAGCTAGCTGCTCTGGGGGGGCGGGGTTTGGGGCCTCCGACTGCCGCTGCTGCTGCTGGTTTTTTGCTGCTGTCCTAGTTAGGCTGCCACTGGTAGCACTGTATTGCATAGTACGGCAGCTACAGGGCATCATCGTGTCTCGGTACCGTTCGATACCACTTCGCACTCCTGTACCCACATCTCCTCCTCCACCTCCTCCTTCCTTACCCCCCCCCCAGTCCGCGGGTTACGACACGCACCTGGTGGGCAAGCTGCTCAACGGCTTCACGAAGGACAGCGCACAGGGCATGGGCTGCCCTCGGGGCTGGACCTCGCAGGGTAGGTGGGGGGTCGAATTAGACCAAACCATTGGAGACCACGATAGAAAGGTCAGCTCTCAGCTGAGTGTCTTGAGCGGGTTAAATGGCTTGAAAGGGTTGGACTACTCAGGACTACTTGGTAATTTCTCTTACCTCTTGGTGTTTCCCCTCCTCCGCCTTCCCTCCTACCATACCGCGCCCACCCCGCCCCCGAATACCTCCGCCTGCAGCGCCGCTCATTCTGGGCGACACCGGCGGATCGGAGGAGCTGACCACCGGTGATGTGAGTGGCGGCGGTAGTGGTGGCGGTGGTGGGGGAGACTGCGCTTGCCTGCCCCTACCGGCATGCATGGCCTCACCGCCCCTCACCGTCTTTCTTGCTCGATCGCTTCCCTCCTTGCTTGGCTTCACTTGCCTCCTTTCGTCCTTTCTTCTCGCCTTCCTTCCATCTCCATGAACTGCACACCGTAAGCCTACATACACCCCACACCCCACCCCACACCCCACACCCCACCCCAGTCCACCAAGTTCCTGACCAACTGCTCCCAGCTGGAGGTGTTCCCGGGTGTGTTCAAGGAGGTCGCCATCCGGGAGAAAGCGCTGCGCATCATCGAGTAGGTGTGCGTTTGCGTGGCAACAACACTGGCCGCGGGTGTAGGAACGTACTGCAAGTATTGCCGAGGATGAAGTCCACAGGAAGAACGCCGCGAGAGAAGAAGCGGTTGCTGTCATTTGGATATGTAGAATCCTCTGCGGGTGCTGGAGGTCAGTTTGTTTACTCTGCTACTCTGGTACGTACAGGAGTGCCGTACGTCTCTGTTTTTGCCGCTTTTTTTCTCTTTGCCTCGGGCCCGCAGCCAGGCCGCCTCCTCCGCCGCCTCCAAGCCGTTCTTCCTGCTGATGACTGGGTTCGCCCCGCACGACTCGTTGGGTGGTACGGACGCCGTACCTGACGTGGAGGCCAAGTACCGCAACCTCTACCCGAATGTGACGCTGCCAAAGGTAAGAGGGAAGAGGTACCGGTAGATGCTGAGATGGAGGGGATAAAAACGTAAAGCCAAGCAACTGACTGCTCCTGCTCCTGCTACTGCTACTACTACTGCTGCTCACTCCCCTCTTGGACTCGCTGAACAGAGCCCTAATTTCGGCGTGAGGACTCCGCTCAAGATCGGATACTATTGGCCCACGGAATCGGCGGACATGGTAGGGAAAGGGTAAAAACAAATGAAGAGTGAAGCAACGGAGGGGCAACGGAGGGTGGGCGGGTGAATCCTCCCACCATAAGCAAAACGGCACAATGCTCCCAGAGCCCGCCATGCGGCGTACTACGTACTAAACACGCACTTCCCAAACCCCTTCCCGCACTCCTCTCCTTTCCTCCTTCAAACCCTCCTCGCACCACCCACCACCCGCCCCGCTGCTGCAGATCCCCGCCCTCACCGCACGCTACCGCGCCCGCCTGCAGTCACTCCGAACTGTGGACGACACGCTGGCGGCGGTGGTGTCGCGACTGGCTTGTCGGGGGATGCTGGAGGACACGGTGATCATGTACACTTCCGACAACGGGTTCAAGCTGGGGAACCATGACATTGGGCAGGAGAAGTTCACACAGTACGAGGTAGGTGGGGTGGAAGGTATAGGGCTGGTATACGGCATTGAGCACACGCCGGCACGCGTGTATCTATCTGCACGCGTTTGCAGCGCATGTGTATGTAAGGTATAGTAGGCATCGGTGTGTGTATACTACCGTCTATGATGATGTACGTCAGACTGGCATTACGTACGTATGCCGTACAGATGTGTACGATACAGATGTACGGGCGGCGTCCTCCTACGGTACATCCCATTTGTCTTGCCCTCACTTGTGGTTTGGTACTCCCTCTGACCCGCTCTCCCCGCAACGGTTTGGTCGTTTTATTTCCCCCCCCCCCTCTCTTAGGAGGACGTGCGGCTGCCGCTCTTCCTGGCCGGTCCGGGTGTGCCTCGGGGCGCGGCGGTTGGGCCTGAGATGCAGGTGCAGATGACGGACCTCACCGCCACTGTCATGTGGCTGGCAGGTGACCGGGGGGACACGGGCAGCCAGATGGGCGCATGAGGGGTTCAGAAAGAAACACCAACCATGGGGGCCACGGGAGACATGGGGGCTTGTGGAAGTTATATAAGGGGTCAGGGGCTGTGCGAATTGCTGGCGTTGGGAGAGTTCCTCGGACTGCCGTACCACCATGCATGGCGCCGGGGCAATCATCAGCCAGGATGCCCTCTTACGTTATCAGTCATCCTACCCAGCGTATCCAACAACCAGCCGCCCAACCAACCGACCCCGTCCAACCACCAGGTGCCAGCCCAGGCAACACCCCCATTGACGGAGCTCCCATTCCGCTTCAAGACCTGTACAATCTGTACGGCAACCAAACCGCTAGCGCCGCTGCCGGCACACCGCCTGATAGTAATATGGCCTACTACTGCAAGCCGTCACCTCCGCCGGATCCCCCCTTGCCGCCGACGGAACCGAGTACCCCCTCGCCGGTGCCGCCGCCGCTGCCGGCGCCATTACCCCCGCCGACGCCTCACCGCCAGCCCCCCGGGCCACCGTCGCCGCGTCCTTCGCCGCCGCGTCCCCCGTCGACGCTTTCCTCCGCACCACCGCCGCTGTCACCGCCGCCTCGGCCGCCGTCACCGCTACCGCCGACACTACTGCCGCCATCACCTCTGCCGCCGCCGCCGCCGTCGCTGCCGCGGCCACGGCCGTTGCCACCGCCACCGCCGCCGCCGCTGCCATCACCTTTACCACCGCCGCCGCCAACACCACCACCACCGCCGCCGCCTCCACTACCGTCTCCGCTGCTGCCACCGCCGCCAGGTCGCAAGCCTCGCACGCCGTCGCCACATCCTCCGCCACCGATGCTTCGCCCGCCGTCGCCGCGTCCTCCGCCTCCGTCGCCTCCACCACCGTCGCCTCCACCTCCGTCGCCTCCACCTCCGTCGCCTCCACCTCCGTCGCCTCCACCTCCGTCGCCTCCACCTCCGTCGCCTCCACCTCCGTCGCCTCCACCTCCGTCGCCTCCACCACCGTCGCCTCCACCACCATCGCCTCCACCACCGTCGCCTCCACCACCATCGCCTCCACCACCGTCGCCTTCACCTCCGTCGCCTCCACCACCGTCGCCTCCACCTTCGTCGCCTCCACCTCCGTCGCCTCCACCTCCGTCGCCTCCCGCGGCCCCACCACTGTCGCCTCCACCACCATCACCTCGACCACCATCGCCTCCACCTCCGTCGCCTCCAGCACCATCGCCTCCACCTCCGTCGCCTCCACCACCGTCGCCTCCACCACCATCACCTCCACCACCATCGCCTCCACCTCCGTCGCCTCCACCACCATCGCCTCCACCTCCGTCGCCTCCACCTCCGTCGCCTCCACCACCATCACCTCGACCACCATCGCCTCCACCTCCGTCGCCTCCACCACCATCGCCTCCACCTCCGTCGCCTCCACCACCGTCGCCTCCACCACCATCACCTCGACCACCATCGCCTCCACTTCCGTCGCCTCCACCACCATCGCCTCCACCACCATCGCCTCCACCACCGTCGCCTCCACCACCGTCGCCTCCACCACCGTCGCCTCCACCACCGTCGCCTCCACCACCATCACCTCGACCACCATCGCCTCCACTTCCGTCGCCTCCACCACCATCGCCTCCACCACCATCGCCTCCACCACCGTCGCCTCCACCACCGTCGCCTCCACCACCGTCGCCTCCACCTCCGTCGCCAGTGTTGCCGCCTCCTCCGCCAACGCCTTCTTCCTCACCGCCATTGCCTCCGCCGCCGTCGCCGCTTCCGCCATTGCAGTCACCCCCTTTGGCAACCCCACCTCCTATATTACCTCTGCCACTGTCCTCGCCGCCACCATCACCACCGCCGGCACCGCCGCCGCCGTCGCCGCGTCCTCCATCGTCACTGCTGCCGCCGTCGCCGCCTCCGCCGTCGCCCTCATTGCCGCCACCGCCATCACCGCCTGCACCATCGCTGCGACCGCCGCCGTCACCACTGCCGCAGCCTCCACCAGCGCCCCCTGCTCCTTCCTTGCCCTCATCGCCACGCCGGAAGCTGCCCCGGCCGCCGCCTGCGCTTCCACCACCCGCAGCCGTGCCGCTGCCTTCGCCGCCGCCGCCACCGCAACCCTCGCTGCCGCCAAAACCCTCCTCGCATCCGTCTCCGGAACCCTCGCAGCCGAGACGCCCTCCCGTTCCTCAGCCGCCGCAGCTCCCGGCGATACTACGGTTGCCGCCACGGCCTGTGCTCGCTTCGCCGCCGCCGCCACCACCGCCGGCGATTCCTCGGGAAACGTCGTCACCGCCGCCAGCGAAGGCAAAACGATCACCACCGCCGCCGAAGCCCTTGCCCCCGCCATTGCTGCTGACGTCACCTCCTCCGTCGACCTCACATGCGCCTACGTCGCCGCCACGGCCGGCATCACCACCATCGCCGTTGCCGCCGCTGCCACGGCCATCACCACCGCCGCCAGCGTCACTAACGCCTCCGCCGCTGCCTCGCCCGTCACCACCGCCGCCGGCGTCACCGCCTCTGCAGAGCCTTTCATCACCGCCACCGCCTCCGTCGCCGCTATCGCCGCCGCCGCCTTCAACTCCGCCGTCATTACCGGTACCACCCTCCCCGCCGCCAAAGTCTTTCCGTATCCCCAGGGCGCCCCGTCTGCCACCCGGCCCACCTCCATCCCCCATGCCACCGCCTTCCCCGCCCCCACGGCCTCCCAGCCCTCCCAAAAAGCAATCCACCAAGCCTCCTCCGCCGCCGCTGCCTTCGCCTCCTGCGAGTCCTCTCGCCTTCAACGCCACCTCAGCCGCCGCCGCCGCCACTTCCTCGCCGGCTGCCGTTGTCGCCGCAGCGCCGCTGCTGACTCGTCACCGCCGCGGCCGCCAGCTTCGGCACTACCGTTGGGCCCTGGAAAGCAGCTCCACGACGCCGTTGGTTACCGTTGGTTCGGTTGGATCCGTTGCTGGCTCCAGCGACGGCGGTACGACAAGCGGTACGACATGCGGTACGACAGGCATGCCAACGATTCCGCAACTGCTTGGGAACTGGCGGCCGGCGGGTTGGACGTGGCAGCATGATCTATGGCTGGAGGTGAGTTCACTTTCCGGTGGCGGCGGTAGTGCCGGAGGTTAGGGGGCTGGAGGTGTAAAATTAGCAGGCACAGGTACGCCCTGTTTTGTTAGTAGAATACAATTAGGAGATTGTACGACCTACGTCGTTAAAGATTGTGCACCAGCATATAGCCCTTCAATTTCCGCGCACCCTTTACAAGGTCCTTCACCTTCCTCCCTTTCTCCACGCTTCACTTCCATGCTGCAATCCAATCTTCCCTCTTTGGGGCTGCTAACCACACACACACACACGGTGCGGCTGCTGGTTCTGGTGCTGACTACGGCGTCTTTGCTCGCAGGTACGCAATGCGCGTTTGCACGCACGCATGCACAGCATTGTGGTGTCTCATCTGCGTGTCCAGAGCGGGGGCTCCCGGCGTCGAGCTTTGGTCAGCGGGCTTTAGTTCTCGGTAGTATTTTAGTTTATTCCGACACCATCAGCATCACCGACATGCGTCGTCACTCATCACTCGCCACTCTTCTTACATCCAGCAACAGCCATTTAAGCAGTTTTCTGTATTACGGTTCAGGTTCGGTCAACTTTGTTTTGCCTGTACTCGCGGTTCACATGCGAACCTCTCCCCATTGCTTGCTCCTGTCCTACTCAACTACACACACACACACAGGATCACGCGGCGCCTCTGGGCCTCAAGCCCTGGGTTGACAGCCTGCGCTCCGCCGTCGCCAATGCTACAGCCACCACCGCCACCACTAGCGGCGTTTCCTCCGCCACCTCCGCCGCCGTCATCAACGCTGCCGCCGCCACTGCTGCCATCCGGCAGGCCCCGCTGCCGCCGGTGTCCAGCGAACTACTGGTGGAGTACTCCATGCAACGTGTACGGCAGGCTGTGGCGGAGGCGCATGCCGTACTGCAACAACGGGCGGCAGCAGCAGCGGCGGCGGCAGATGCGGCGGCGGCGGCGGTGGCAGATGCGGCGGCTGAGGACGTGGCTGAGGAGGGCCAGGAGCTGGACATGGCTCGGACCGATGCTCGGCGGTTGGCGGTGTCTGCAGCGGCGAACAGCAGCAGTGGGGACAGCGGCAGCAGCGGGGGAGGAGCGCCCCTGCCGGCTAGCCGTTTGGCGACCTGGAGCAACATGTGAGCTGTCAGCAGTGTCAGCTGGTCACTACTTGAATGTGCTTAAACGTTCTGCATTGTTGCCCCTGCCTTGGTGCCATGCCAGCTCTGAGCAACCTAAAAATACACAGCAAATCACATCCCACCTTCCCACTCCCCCCAACCTCCCTTGTCTCGCTGTCTCTCCCTCCCTTCCCTGCAGCGGTCTTATCGAATCCTGGTTGGACTCCGTGTTCAAGGGCAAGAGCTACCGAGCACTGCGGGCGTGTAGCAGCTTCCAGGCCTTCGGGGGAACCGCCAATTGGACGTGCTACAAGTGAGCGGCGGAAGGGGGGGGAGGAAAAGAGAGCGGGCAGGGGAGGGAGGGGAGGGGGGCTGGGGTAGTGTTTTAAGATGCAGGGAGGCGAGGCCGCTTCCGGCCCGAGGGCGGGAGAGGCCGGCAAAGGGGGTTTCCGGGGCCGAAGCATGCTTACCTCCCTTGCTCGCTCGCTCCTATCGCCTGGCCCCCCCAGGTCATCCAGTTTGCCAGTTTTCTTCCTTTTTACCCCCACCTCCGGGTATCCTTCTCCCCCCTCTTCCCCCTCAAAGGTACACCGTCATGTGCAACCCGGTGGCCAAGCAAACCCCCGTGCTGACCAACCTGGAGCTCTACGACCTGGGACAGGACCCGGCGGAGGTGAAGGACAGGTGGGGCCAGCAGCAACAAACCCTTCCCTCCTTTTCCTGGGCACCCGGAAAGGGGTTTCATGGCAGCAGAATCCGAGCTCCTAAAATACCGTGGTTGAAGGGAAATCACACTGCGGCACCACCCTACATCCTGTGCGCCCTTCCTTCCTATGTTCCTCTCTCTCTCCCTCTCGCGTCTGATGTGTGTACGGTACGGCGCCCGTACGGCACCCAATCCCCCATCATTCGTACAGGTCAAAGCTGCCCTGGTCGGTGTCAACCACCAAACTGATTGACCGACTGGATGCCGTACTAACCATCATGTCGTACTGCAGCGGAGCGCTGTGCAGGTACGGCAGTTGGGTACTGCTAACGGTAGAACCCAACTGACAAGCCGAGCCGCAATCGCTAAATGCATGCGCGCACCCGCTTTGTGGATGTGTGCGTGTGTGTGAGGGGGGGTTGTACTACCGTACTGTACTCGCATGCGCTTATTACATGCCGAGTCACCGTTTTGTATTGCTCCCTGTTGTGTCGCTGCTGCTGCTTCCTACTGCTCCGCTCCTTCCTTCGGGTCATTGCTCTTATTGCACAAAACATGGCTGCCTTGATTGGCTGCGCGGTTCCAACCATGTACCCCTTTTGATGACCCATGGGTCGCAGGAACCCGTTTCTCCGCATTCACCCGGATGGCAGGTGAGCCCAGCAGCGCGTCTGGCAACCGGCGGGTTTGTGACCTTGTGAAGAAGACTGCGTGGTGCTTTACGCACTCCCTACTGCCGCAGTCATAAAGAGCTTTACCTGTGTGCATCTGTGCACACCTCATCGGCACCTTGAACTTCTGTGTCATCATCCGGCTGCCTCAACCCCCGCATGCGTTAACAACCCTCCTCCTTCCCAACCAAAACCCCATCCGTCCCCCCAGCGTCACCAACCTGGCTCAGGCAATGGCGGCCCAGTACGACGGTTTGTACGGCAGTTTCAAAAAACTGTCGTACAGCAAGTGCCAAATGTAAGGAGGTCCCGGGATGGTGGCGTGTATTATTGTATTAAGGGTCAACAATTGGGAAGAAATATAACACAGGCATGAGCTGAGCTTCGGCTTACGTCGGACATACATGGTCGTTGTGTTAAATCTGTGCTGAGGACTCTCTTTCCTTTTACCTTACTCCAAACCTTCCTTATGATCCCTTCGTCTACGCGGCAGTTACTCCCCCACCCCACCCCCCATGTTACTCCCTCCTTAACCCCCACCTTCCGTCGTCCCCCCAGCTACTACGATCCAACCACCGAGGAGCCCGACCCATTCCTCGCCGGTATCACCGACCAACCGCCGCAACTGCCGCCGCCGCCATCACCCAGCCCAACGCCCCGACCACCGCCGTTGCCCTCGCCGCCGCGACGGCCGCCCTCACCCGCAGCAGCGCCGCCGCCGCCGCCGCCCCGGTGACAGACTCTGATGACGTACATCTAGCTGGACGCACTGTTGAGGAGGTGTGGTACATGCCAGCTAGGGATATACGATGTGAAGGGGAGGGGGCATTTAGGTATAGGTACTCTTGAGCTGCCCTGCGCTTGCTGCTGAAAAGCAGTGAGGGAGATGGAGGGGCATAGATGGTTGCAGTTGCTGGCAACCTCCTTCCTGATGCAAGGTAGTCGAGTGCATGCGAAGCATTTTAAAGTTTCAATGTCTGCTGCTGCTGCTGCATTTTGGGTGCTTCTTCTGTCATTCTCCACGATTCGTACATCCGTACCGAAACAGCGATTGAGTGCGGGTGGGTTGCTACGGATGGGTGCTCAGATTGGGTGTGCAGGTGGTGGGGTCGATGGCGCAAATCTGCACACCGCAAGTACGTAGCTACGGCACGTGGAATCAATTTATGTATTTTGACATAGGATGCTTAACCAATAGTATCGCCTAGACTCCTTATTAGCTGCAGCTGCATCACTTCATTAGTCGCGCTTCATTGCTACATATTGCAACCTGCGTGCATGCATTAGTACAATGTTCAGTAGTACCCGTACTTGCTCCGACGTTCCGGCAATTGTTCGACGGCGGCCATGTTGTGGCAGCTTGAGTACCGTGACAGGGGTCAATCGCACACATTGACGCCGTGCCCTTTGAGGATACCGGCAAGCAGCAGCTCGACAGGGGCATTGCTGCTCGACTGTTGCTGTCCGCTGCGTTTTACTGTTGCGTTGGTATTACCACTGTTGTTGTGGTCGTTGTTTTTTAATGTTGGTGTTTTTCATCATCATCAACGTCAATCACCGTAGCTGCTCCTATCAGTGTAGCATTGCTGTCCATTGCGTTTTAGTTGTCATGTTGTGGCATGCATGTGGAGATTGTCTACTCGCAATGTGGGGTCGCACGTGGTCACGCAATGTCGTACACTTCACCTGGTGGTTTCTGTGACCACCTCAACTGCGACCCCCCTGCTAGGCAAGATCAGCTGCGCACATCGCCGCATGCTAGCAGGAATCGGACAGTCAGGGACAGGCACGTGGGGAGATGGCGTCGACATGAAGCACCGTGCTGAATCGCGTTAAAGGAGTGTAGCTGCGTGTACTAGGCCGTACAAGGCACACGAGGGTACGCCATGTAAGGGAACGGCCCTCTGGGTGCATGACGCGGGAAGAAGCCGCCTACACCCCCCAGTCAAAGACCACCTTTCACCGCAAGCCCAGCCTTGTTCCTCCTATCCGCTTACTCGCTGCATGGACCACCTTTCGCCATCCATCACTGCGGGCAGGGGGGCACCGTAAGCAGCCGCCCCTCCATCCCCAAGTACTCGGCAACACCGGGCTCCTGCAGACACCAACCCACCACCGCCACCACCGCCTCCAACATACCATCGCCCAGCCGCGCTAAACCCACACGCCGTCTTCCGACCACCCCTCCCCATATCCACAACCCTGCATCCCCCTCCCTGCTCCCACCGCCCTCCAACAGCCCCTTCCCCGTATCTCCTCATCTGGGATTACTGCGTCTCCTACTCTCTACCTTCAGGGCCTGCTGCTCCCCCTGCTGGCGCCTTGGCTCCCTTGAACCCCAGATCCAGCACCGGCGCCTTGGCCCACCGCCGCTGCTCCGCCTCCTCGTCATGTACGACATACCTGCAGTACAGGGCAGTATTGCAGTACAGGGCAGTCCCTGCTTGTCAACAAGCCTGTGCAAACACGCGTCTTGGGCTCTTGGCAGCAACGAATGTACGACACGGTTGGCAGAAGGAAAGCGGGCATTTCCTCATTAGGCCTTGATAAAAACACGAAGGTAGCCACAAAGTATGAAGGCAAGAAACACCCCCGCACCTGAGCCCTCTCAAGACCCTCCCCCATGTGTTTCTCTCCTCCACCACCAGTCCACCACCCCTGCTCCCCGTCCCCCGTCTCGGCTCCCACCCACCACTCTGGCCGCGTGACGTGGGGGTTCATGCGGTAGTTCTGCAGCAGCTCCTCGCCCTCCCGCAGCGCCCGAGTGGACACCAGCACCAGCAGCCGCACCACACCGCCGGGAGGGGAGAACAACTCCTCCGCCCGCAGCTCCCCAGGGGCTCGCTTCCTGCGCTGCTGCTGCCCCTGCCCTTGCCCTTCCTTTCCCTCGTTACCCTCAGCCTTGCCACCGCTGGCACTGCTGCTACCACTGCTACCAACGCCGCTGCTGCGTTTCTTCTTGCCACCGTCGTCTTCCTCCTCCTCCTCCTCATCGTCCTCGTCTTCATCTTCCTTGCCGTACGGGTCGTAGTGCAGGGGCGGCTGCAGGGAGGGCAGGTAGGCCCGCAGCCAGGGCCGGGCGGGCGTGTTGAGTGCGGGGTGGTCTAGCGGCAGGTCCAGAGCCGCCTCCAACACGTTGGGGGACTGACCTGGAGGCGGGGGGCGCGAAGGGTGGAGTGGGGAGAGGAGAGGGGATTAGGTAGATTGAGCCGCGGGGAATACCCCTGCTTTACCCTTCCCAACCCGATAATTGTTTTCCCCTCCCCACCCGGCCCCCTGCCCTGCGCCCCCCTCACCCCTGCCCGGGTGGTTGACCCAGTGCGCCAGTGCCAGCGGGTGGCGCCCCTCCAGCAGGGCCAGTGAGGCGGACAGCGGACCCGCCCAACCCCACCAGGAGGGGGGGGAGGGGGGGGAGGAGGAGGAGGAGGAGGTGGGGGTGGGGGTGGTAGGGGAGGAAGAGGGGGAGGAGGTCCCCCCCGGGTCGCCCCGGCCCCAGGGTTTGGAGTCCACGATGCTTTGGTCGTATCGGCAGCTGAGGAAGGGGTTGTCGGTGTCCACCTGGGGCAGTGCGGGGGAGGGGGGGAGGGGAAGGAGGGGGAGGGGGGGTTAAAAGAAGAGCATATCCTATGTGTTGTGTGACCGTGGTGGGAGTGGTGGGAGGAAGGAGCAGAAGGAAGGCACGGTGCATGGCAGGGGAGGATGGGAGAGGCAGCCTCTCCTAACGGTACCGCCAGAACCAATCCCCTACGCCTCGCTATCGCTCCGAGCTAGCTTGCTGCATGTATTGGTGCTTTACGACAGCCTCCCTACCCTCCCTACCCTCCTTCCTCGTTGTTTCACTTATATATTGTTTCTACCCTCCTTCCTCCCGTCCCCTCGCCGTCCTTCTGTTCTTCTTCTGTCCCCGCCCCTCCCCAGTTCCCGGACCCCCTGCTGTCCCCGCCTCTCCGCTGTCCCCGCCCCTGCCCCCTCCGCTGTCATCCCCCCCCCTATTAACCCCCTCACCCTCGGGTAGTTGGGCATGTGCGCCAGCTGTGTGCGGCCGTACAGCACCCCGGGGAAGATGGCCACCACACTGCCCGGTCGTACATCCCCGCCGCTCACGAATAACCCCGTGCCTGGGGCAGCGGGGGAGGAGGGCGTGTGTGTGTGTGTATGGGGGGGTGGGCATGTGAGGGGACAGGCGGCCTGGCAGGAGTGGGGGCTGAGAGGGAGGAGGAAGGGGGGAGAACTGGCACTGGAGGCGTTGGAGAGGACGAGGCAAGGCAAGGCAAGCTTGTGTGTTACAAACACGTGGCAAACAGGGACAAGCAGGGGCGCCACTCAGGCCAACCTCCACCTCCACCACCCACTCGCACCTACGCCCCAATCCCAGCGAAGCTCCATCCCCCCCTCCCTCCCTCCCCACCTGCTTCCGGGTGCGGCACGGAGGAGGGCCGCAGCTCCAGCCCGAACCCCACCCGCTGCCGCAACTCCGCCGCCACCGCCCCGGCACTCAACACCGCACCACCACCACTGCCACCACTGCTGCCCCCTCTGCTACCATCGCAGCTTGCAACTGCTCCTGCTCCTCCAGCTCCTTGCTCTTGCTGCTGCAACTGCTGCAGCCCACCGCTAGCCGGTGCTGGCCCTGCCCCTGCTGCTCCCCCTGCCTCATCCCTCCGCGTGAAGCTCCTGACCAGCTTGGTGAACCCGGACGCATCCCGATCCAGCCGGCGTTGAGTACGGCGGTGTACGGCGGTGAGGGAGGTGGCGGCATGGGCGGGGTCGCAAGCCTGGGAGGTAAGGGAGGGAGGGAGGGAGGGAGGGAGGTGAGACAAGGAGGTTTGTGACATGTCGGTGCCGTACATGTCGTGAGGGTACTGCCGTACCTGAGTCAGGATGTCGTGCAGGTGCTCCGCAACCGCTATAACCTGGCGGGAGAGCTCGGCATTCACCTCGGCACGGACCGCGGAAGGCTCCAGGGAGTGGGTCTGGGAGGGGGCGGGATGTGAAAGGGGATGAGGATGTGTCTCCGCCGCCTGTCCCAGCGACGTACTTATTTCCCCCTTTGCACCCCAGCGGTTCAAGGGAAGCCGAACATCGCATATTGTTACAATTAGTGTTTGTACGCGCATTCTTGCCTTGAGGATGAGCTGCTGCATGTTGACCGACTTCCCCTGCGCAGCCGCCCTATGGAGATGCGTCAGGATGTACAAGCGCTGCATATCCAGCTCCTGCTGCAACTGACGCGGCTTGGGCAGGCTGATCTTGCCGATTACCCATGACGCAAAGCGGCTTGACATCAGCGAGCGCCACATTTTTCCTTTAGTTTGAAGTGCGTACTGTGTAGGTAGTTATGAATCACTTATGTTTGCCTGCTTATACTCAATGGCTTCATCGTGGCAAGGAGTACTGTGGTGGTCGCCGCTTTAATCCTAGGCCGGCCAACCAAAGACGAACAGATATCAAAAAAGAGCCCAGAGCAACTTATGATGTTCTTGCAAGGTAAGAGCGACTGGGTATTGGAGCATCACTAATGCCTGCTTGCCGTAACGAGGCGTACAATGCCGTATATCGTCGCATTCGCGGCGTTTTGTTTGCTATATTGCATCCAAGCTACTTGTGAGGTTTAGTACCTCCACCAAATTTTGTCTCTGCCATACTGCTTCTGCACCCTTCACATGGATTGCAACATGGATGGCTAGCCTATGCACGCATCCCTTCCCTTACTGCATTTAAGATGCCTGGAGCCCCTGGGATGCACATGTCTCCTTTCCCGCTGTGTCTGCTGCTGCTGCTGCCATCCCTTGCTATTGCCCTCCTGCATTCCTCGCACACCCCCTTTCCTTCCTACACAGCCCCTTACCAACCCGGGAACCACTGTAGCTACCACCTCCCCAACTGGCATGCACCACTTCCTCCCACAACACCCCATGTAAGCCACCGGCCTCCATCTTGGCCTGCCAGTCGGCCGTCGGGCTGCGTGCTGCATTGAAGCACGCTTTGAAGGCGATGCCGTACATGACGACATGACTAAGATCCCAGTAGGGCTTCTCCTCTTCCTCCTCCTCCTCATCACTCTCCTCGTCCTCCTCGTCCCCCTCCTCCTCACCCACCTCCTCATCCACCTCGTCCCCCTCCTCATTCATCTCGACCAGGGCCTCAGTGTCTTGGCCGTCATCATTGAACGCATCCCCCTGCAGCTGCTTCAACGTACCCAGGTCGCAGCCCCACACTGCCCCACACAGCTGCCTCCAACAAGCCTGCTCGGCTGATCTCCTGAAAGAGGCGCTGCTGCAGCCGTCCCACGATATCAGTGTGTACCTCTGAACATAGCTGCTTAAAGGGTGTTTCCGATCAAGATACAGCACTGAGTCAGGAGCACAAATCTACCGTGTTGAGAATAAAGGATTGGAACCGTGCTGTGCGTGCTATGGCATGTATGTACTGCAGAGGCAAGCACGCGTACCATGACCGGCGTAACGCATGTCGAATTAGACTACGGGTTGCTACCTTTGTAACTGGTTGACATTTAGGCTTTATGGGACGCTCGTATGGATGGACCAAGCTGGCCAACTGAGCTGCCCGATTGGGCGACCGCGGAAGACCAATTCCATAGCTTTTGCGACGGCATTGTCAAACTAGCAACCCAAACAGCACAATTACTGTTCCAGGATAAAAAGGACATACAACGTGCTAAGGAATTGGCTCGTCGCCGGGCTCAGCGCAGAATGGCACAAGTCATCTTGGCGGCCGCGCCCGCTGCGCTTGGCGCTTGGGTGGTGGCTGCCAACTTGTTATCGCAGGATGCCGCGACCATCATATTGCCCGCCCAGCTGCAGGCATTGGTGGACTTCTTGCGTGGGATGCGGTGAGCCACGACTCCCATTCCCTAGCTTTTTACCAATCCTGAGCCCTTTGGTTTTACCCTGCGACTGTTGTCAACGTTTAGAATCATACCCAAATCGCGTCTTCGGCTCAACTCCGTTTTCCAACTCACTCATCCCGTACACACTCGCAAGTCACCTAATAAGCCACACTTTCTGCACAACACCCCTCTCACTGCCTCTATCCCTCTACCTCCTCCCATGCACTCACCACCCGACTGGCCTCGCGGCCGGTTATTTCAACACACGCCCTTCCATCCATTCCCGTCCCCTCGCTTCACCATTCCCGTCCCGTCCTCCACCCCTCCCTGGGATTCCCTCCACTTTCCTCCCTCCCCATCCCCACCTTCAGCTCCCGTCGCCGCCAAGCGGCTCGCCGCCGCCTCGCCCACCACCTTTCCCCCGCCGCCGCCGACCGCGAATGGCTCTTCGGCGTCCTGCCGCCCCCAGTCACAGCCAACATCCTCGCCCGCCTCGACCCACTCAGCCGTAAGGCCCTGCGAGCCGTTAACCGCCGTTGTCGGTTGGCGGTTGGCGGCGCAACGACCCGGCTTCTGTTGGACCCCATTGGGCTGCGACGGTGGCGGGTGGCGCCGCTGGGGCTTGTGTTCCCGGGTTTGCGGGAGCTGCATGTGGGGGGGTCAGGGGGCGGGGGCGGGGGCAGGGCGGGGAGAGGGGTGAGTCATGCTGGTGGGGAGGGGGGAGGAGGGGGAGGTGGGGGAGGGGTGGCTGGCGCGTTGGTTGGGTTCCTGGAGGCGGGTGCGGTGGCGGGGCTGCCGAGGCTGGAGCTGCTGGACCTGAGCAGGTGCGGAGGAAGGAGGGGGGAGGAGAAGAAGGGAGGAGGAGCGCTCTGGAGTGCCCAGACCACCCCACGCCAGAACCCGACTCACAACCCGCAAAACTCGCATGCTTCCTCCATCCTCGCCAGGTGGCGCCGCCCCGCCTGCTACTTCACCCGGCGCGAGTGGATCGCCTTCGTCTCCGCCCTGCCACATGCCGTGATCCATGGTTCCGCCAACAACAGCAGCGGCGGCTGCTTCACCTCCATGCCGCCGCCTGGGGGGCACCATCATCATCAGCCTCATCAGCCTCACAACCACCAGCTACCTCACCAGCCTCACCATCACCACCAGCTACCCCACCAGCAGCCCCTGTGTGTGCGTCTGGACTGGCGGGTGCTGCCGCTGCGCAGTGTGTGGTCGCCCCCCGCCCAGCTGCCCGAGTGGCAGGGGGCGCTGTGGGCGCTGGGGCTGCTGGCCAGGAGGAGGCCGCAGGTGGGGGCGGGGGGAGGGGCTGCGTGCATGTTGGGGCTGGCCGCCCGACGACAAGCTGGAGGGCATCGCAAGGCCTTGCTGGGGACTCTCTTTCGCCACCTCCTTCTCCCTTGCCGCAACCCTGCTTCTTCCCTTGCCTTTCCCCACCTTTACCCAGATCCGTATCGAGCTGGAGGGCCCCCCGCTGCCGCTGCCCGGCCCCGCCACCCTGCGGGCCTTCCGGGGACTGATTGGGCCGGCAGGAGGGGGAGGAGGGGGAGGAGGAGCAGGAGGGGGGTCGGCAGTACGGCGGCTGGCTGTGAGCATGCAGCAGGTGGCCCCCTGGAGCCTCCACAGGTGCGCAGCGGGGGGCACACGCGGGGGGGGAGGGGGAGAGGGTGCGGAGGGAAGCGTGTTGAGGCTGGGGTTTGGGGGGTTGGGGATGTCACAAGACGCTAGAATGCAATACACAGACGCACACGCACGCGCACACGCGACCTGCTGGTATCAGCTACGCTGGGGGCTGCTAGCTCCACTGTTCGTGCGTACTTCCAGTGCCGCACCCCTGACTGAGACCACCCTCCCTGCCCCCGCTGCCCCCGCTCCCCCACTGCCCAGGTTCGACCAGCTGTGTTGGCTGGGGGGTGTGCGGCAGCTGACGTTGCGGCTGCCGGCGGAGGTGGCGGCGGGGGAGGTGCTGGGGCACATGCAGGTGGGTGTGTGTGGGGTGGGATGTGGGGGTGGGAAGGCCTGACCGTGCGTTTCCATGTGACGAGGCGCCACCAGGTGTCGGGAAGTTGGGAGCTTCAGCTTCTGCTCCAGATCTCGCAGCCCGGTGCGGTGCACTTCTCGCCCTCACGCACCTCCGCTTCCGCAGTTCCGCTTACGCACCTCCTCTTAACGCACCTCCTCCCCCCCTGCATCCCGCATGCACAGGAGTTGCGGTGGTTGGAGCTGCTAGCCCTGCCGGGGAGCACCCTGGGGGACAGGGACCTGCCGGTAAGGAGGGGGAGGAGGCGAGGGGAGGGGAGGAGGGGAGAAGGGGACGGCAAGCAGTGAACATGGCCGGTTGGGGCATGTGAGGGGGGGGGATGGACGGAGGGCTAGTAGGGCTGGCTAGTGAAGGAGGGCAGAATAGAGGGGGCGGTGGTAGGGATGCGCCCATGAACCCAGCTACCCACGTGCACCCTCGGACTCATCTCGCCATGCCTCCTCCTCCGTTCCAACCTACCACCACCGCCCCCCTCCCCCCCTCCCCTGCTCCCAGGCGCTAGCTCGGCTGCGGGGGCTGCGAACACTGGTGGTGAGGGTGTCGTCGTAGCGCGGCAGGGGTTGGGGACGGGGTGTGCTTGGGAGGGCGAGGCTGCTACCGGTAACCTTGCTGCTGCTGCTTGCCGCCTGACGTCTGACGCCTTTCAAAATGTCCGGCCTCCGCAGCATCCGCATGTGCCCCTGCTCGGCTCTCCCTACCCCGCCCACCGCCTTTTACCCCCTCCTGCCATACCCCTTCCTGCCATACCCCCTGCACGTCTCCCTCCACCCTCCCACGCTTTCAGCCCCCCCCCTCGCACCTCGTTCCTCGTAGGTGGGCGGCCTGGTGCTTCTGGGCGCCCCTTCCTCCGCCTCCCCTCCTGCTGCAGCCGCGGTTGCTGCTGGGAACCCCTCCTCCTCCCTTCCTCCTCTTCCTCTTTCTCGGTCTTCCCATTCCCTGGACCACACCCCTGCACCCGCCCCGCTAACTCCCTCCCTGGAGCGCCTGGTCGTGAGCTGCCGCCTGCATGTGGCTCCCAGCGTGGGGCTGCTGGCGGCGCTGCCGGCGCTGTCGGCCCTCGGGGTGCGAGCGGAGGCGATACGGGGGGGCCGGGGAGCAGCGGAGGCGGCGGGAGGAGGGGTGCCGGCGGCAGCGGCGCCCCTTCCACTGCAACAGCAGCAGCAGCAGCAGCCTCAACAGCAGCAGTTCTGGCTGCTGCCGCAGGCGCTGCCTCCGCCTCCGCAGCAGCAGCAGCCAGCGCTGCAAGCTGCTGGTGCCGCAGCAGCAGCAGGAGGAGGAGGAGGAGGAGGAGGCGCAGGAGGCGGGTTGTTACAGGAGTTGCTGCAACACCAACTGCAACAGCAGCAGCAGCAGCAGCACCCCCACCACCATCATCATCATCAACAGCAGCAGCAGCAGCAGCAGCAACCGGATGTGTGGGCGGCCCCTGCCCCTGCCCCTGCCCCTGCCCACCCGATCAACGGCCCAAACAACAACAACCCGCAACAGCAGCACCTGCGGCAGCATGCCAGCCCGCTTCCCCCGCCTCCGCCTCCCGTGATGCCCCCTGTGAGCCTCCGAGAGGTGTGCGTCATGTTCGATAAGACCCCTAGCAGCATCTCAGCAGCAGCAGGAGGAGCAGCAGCAGCAGCAGCAGGGGGAGCAGCAGCAGCCGAGGCGGAGGCGGCAGTAGCAGGGCTGCTGGCGCAGGCGGCGGTGCTGCCGACGCTGCAGCGGCTGCGGTTGTGGCGGTGTCGCAGTCCGGAGCAAGCAGGCAGGCTGCTGAGACCGCTGGCGGAGGCCATGCAGGTGGGGGGTGTTGCGGGTACGGCTGGGTGGGTGCGGGTACGGGTACGGGGGTGAGCGTGAAGAGGAGTGGGGGTGCGGGGCGGGGGGCGGCGGGCGGTGTGGCGTTCATCTACCTGGGTGGGTGCTGCATGGCTATGGGTGCTGTGTGGCATGCAGGTGAAGCATTGTAGTGCCCCTTCTTGGAGCAACGTCACCTGGACTTCCTACAGCACTGCCCTCTCCTGCGTAATCCGTACGACACCATTACGACACCCTTTCGACACCCGTACGACACCATTACGTAACCCGTACGGCAACCCGTACCGCAGCTGCCACTGGTGTTGTTGGAGCTGCACGACATGGGCCCTCCGGAGGCGGTACGGCTACAGGAGGAGGAGCGGCGCTGGAGGCGGCGGTGCGCGCGGAGGGGGCAGCAGTACGAGGGTGTGGAGGATTCTGAGGCTGAGGTGAGGCGTGGAGGGGCGTGGGGTGGCCCTTGTCGGGGTGGCCCTTGTGGACGAAGGGGGATGGTGGTTGTTGCGGGTTGCTGCTGCGTGCGGGTTTGGCGCGTGTGGTTTAGGATGACGGGTGTTTGCATGGGGGGGGGGGACACCACCACCACGGGGCGAGTGCGGCGGCTGTGCGCTGTGAGTCGCACCACAAGGAGGACGGCGGGGCTGCTGCAGTGCCGTGCATGCGCGTTCGCATGCCTGCCTGCCTGCGTGAAGTGCAATGCCATGGTGCAATGCCAGGATTGTGCCTCAGCGTTCCTCCAACCGTTCCTCCATGCTGCCCCCGCGGCCCCATCTGCTGCCCCTCACCTGCTGCTGTCCGCCGCACTTCACCACAGCAGGAATCGGAATCAGAGCTTGAGGAGGAGGAGGAGCAGGAGGAGGCGGGTGGTGAGGCGTCCGAGCAGGGAGCAGGCGGCAATAGCGGGGAGGTGGACAGCGACGATGTCGACGATGAGGAGGAGGAGGAGGAGGAGGAGGAGGGTGAAGACGACGAGGAGGACGTCTTGAGACGCGCCGTACCCCGTGCATCACCTGCCTCGGCCTCCGCAGCGTCAGACAGCCCAGGCATGGCACGGACCAACGCGGCGGCTGTTGCTGTTGGCAGGGGGGCTAAAGGAGGGGGTGGAGAGCAGCACGAGGAAGAAGGGGACACTGACCGTGATCATGAGGAGGTGGAGGAGGAGGAGGAGGCGGAAGACGGGGACTGTACGGCAGCGCTGCCGCTGACCTCCCTGCTGACGTGGCGCCCCTGGAGCAGCCCCAGCATGCAGCTCGCGGCGCTGCTGCTAGGGTGCTGCCGGAACTTAACACTAGCCGGCGGCGACCCACGGGTCATTCGGGCCATTGCGCAGGTCGGGCGACAAGTTACGATTGCGGCGGCGGCGGCGGCCGCCTCGCGGAGGAGGCGGTCGAGTGCAAACGCAGCGGCTGCCTCTGCAAGGATGCTGGCGGGATCGGCGGTACATTGCGGCAACCGAGCAACGGTTGCAGCCAGGACAACATCAGCAGCATCAGCAGCAGCGCAGGCATGTGTACGGAAGGCGATGTTTAAGAGGCGCAGTACGGCAGTCGAGATTGCCGTACAACGGTTGGTTGTACGGCGGCAGGCGGGGCTGGATGAGTCGTTGTTAAAGGGGTTGTTGCGGGGCCTTCCCGGGTTGCAGGTGCTGGGGGTAGCTGGGTGCGGTGGGGTGGGTGTACGACAAGCCATGGATGCAAGGTGCGAGACGCGCGCGCGGGGGTTGAGCCTGGCTTGGGCATGCGAGGGGTGACAGACGGTTTCTGCTTTAGAGCTTACATAAGCTTGCACACGTTTCCTTGGCAACAGGTGCACTTTGGTCGAACCGGGACCGGTGCTAGCCAGGTAAAGCGCAACCCTGGTAACTTAGGTCATTGCCCAAAGTGTTCTTTGCAGCTTGCAAGACGGCTGCGTTGCCAACTGCGCTGCTAATGCACTTCATGGTCAGTAATAGTTATTCTTATGCCTTTTTGCGCAATTTGCCCTTGGGCCTGCGTATGACGCCTATGGGCTCCAGCAGCAGATGGTGACATGTGGCGAACTATTTGTCGCGATACCACACAGGGATCACCGTGCATCAAGCACTTCGTCTATATTTTCACCACCATACTGTCACCACCATACCCATGCAGGCCAAGAAATACTAGCTTCTTAAGGTCCACGTGCAACATACACGCTTCTGCACATGGCCAGTACTTCCGAGGCGCTGTGTTGTCATAAAACAATCTGCTACGTATAATGTTTGCCATGTATGGATTGTTTCTCCGTCGGCGGATAACTCCCCTGTTACCACTGATAGCTGTCGCCCTCGTACTCGCCCGGATCTAAAAGGATTTTCAGCGACAGATATGTAACATGTCTGCGGTGAACTAAATTCATTTCTTACTTCATTCCTTACTAAATAGGGCCAGGCGCAACAGTAGGTGCGCTGCATGCTTCGGCGCTTTGCGGCGCTGGTTGGCTCAGCCACGGCGTCAATTACCAAGCAACTATCGTCTAATCAAAAAGATATTCTTTACTCGACATACGCTATGGGGGATTCAGCGTTGACTCGGGCGGAGCTTCTGCATCAGCTGCAGGCGCTTGCTCAACATGCTTCAGCAAACGAGGGAACACCCTTGACAGCTGTTGCAGAGCAGCTTGAAGCCCTTGCAAGGCAAATGCGAATGTCATGCAACACAAGCGGTAAGGAAATACCTCCCTCACAACCCCGTCCGGCATGCGCCTTGCTCACCGACCCGAACCTTTTGCATCTGCTCCATACCCCATCACCACCAGCCCGCACGCCATGTCCATCAACCCTCTTAACCCGCTCAGCACACCAACTTCTCGGCAGCCCCAGCCAGCCCAATCCTAATCTTCCCGTGCCAGGCCCCAACCATAACCACCGCAACCACCGACCCATCTTTATCAAGCTTCCCCCACACCCTCTCGCCTTATCCCCGCCCCAACCTCCTGCCCCAACAAGTTGGCGGGCCGGCTAGCACCTCTGCCCCAGCACCAGCACCAGCCGCCCCAGCTCCCAACAGCGGGCCTGGCAGTGCTACTGCTGCTGCTGCTGCTGCAGGCGTTGACGGCGGCAGCGGCAGTAGCCACCTGCTAGGCACCCCAGGGGCCGCGGGCGAGGAGGCTGCTGCTGCCGCTGCTGCTGCTGCTGCCGCGATCACGGAGGTACCGGGGAGCAGCCCTGGTCAGCAGCCCTCTAAGAAGCAGCGGAGAGGTGAGGAGCGGCGATGCGCATGCTGGGTGTGCTGGCTCCATGCACGCACTTCCCCCCTCTCCCCCCTACAATTAGTTTCTTCCTCTTTTCTCCCCCTCTTTACCTCCCCCCCTCCTGTGGCTTCGTATGGTATGGTATGGTCTTCGACCCCCAACACGCCCCTCCAACACCCACCCCCAGCCCCCCGTGAGTTTGACTTCACGCGCTACCGCACCCGCCCCGTGGCGCTGGAGCTGATGTACGTGGGGTGGGCCTTCCAGGGCTTCGCGCGGCAGGACAACACGGACAACACCATCGAGGCGAGCAGACGGGAGGGGGGACGGAGGAGGGGACGGGACATGGGAGGGGAGGGACGGTGCATGGGGGAGCTACGGGAGACGGGGCTGAGGCCCAATGCGCGGCCCACCTCACCAGGGCCACCGCACACCTCTTTCCCGTCCCTTCGCATGCTGGCTTGCTGTCCCCTCCCTCCCTCTCCTTACCTCTCCCTACCTCCCTAACCCCTTCTTTCCCCCCTCTCCCCCCCTCCCCCCCCTCCTCCGCCTCTCCCTCCCCCTCTCAGGGTGTGTTTTTCTCCGCGCTCCGCAAGGTGAAGCTCATCCCCGAGGCAGCCCCCGTGTCGGAGCTGGCCTACTCGCGATGCGGCCGCACGGATGCGGGGGTCAGCGCGCTGGGGCAGGTGGGAGGGGCGGGTGGGGGGTGGCGGTGTGTGTGGAGGGGTGTGGAGGGCCGGGGCAGGGGTAGGGGTGTGTACCTGCGACGCAAAAGTAACCTCGAATTCCATCTCCCCGTCTCCTCTGTCCCCCTGTTCCCTCCCTGCACGGCCCCCCACCCCTCCACCCTCCTCCCCCATTGCTTTGCCCTAACCTGTGGTTTCCTATGTTATGGTGTGTGGCCTTTGGCCCTTTGTCCTCCCCCGCAGGTTGTGGCGCTGCGCCTGCGCTCCTGCGCCCGTCTGGACGAGCCGCTGCCGCCCCCCGAATCCGAGTACGACTACCCGCGCCTCATTAACAAGGCGCTGCCGCCGGAGGTGCGGGTGCTGGGCTGGAGCCCCGTGGCGCCCGAGTTCAATGCGCGGTAGGTGGGTGGTGGTTGGGGTGGTGCTGCTAGTGCTGTTGGGGGTTGGGGTGGTGGGGTTGTGAAGAAAAGGAGAAGTGAAGCAGGTGGGGTGGGGGCGGGAGGGGAGAGAAAGTGGAAAGGGGCAGGGGAAGGGCTGGAGGGGGAGGGAGGAGGAGCAGGGGCAGGGGTATATGAATTGGCTTGGCACCCGGTCTGTCGTATGTGTCCTGCAGAGGCCAGACAGGGTGTTTCATGGCCCTCTGGACTTCCCTCCTTGCGTCCGTTTCACTCCCTGCCTGCTCGGCTCACCCCCCCCCGTGTCTCGTCCTCTTCCCCTCCCGTTTCCTCCCTCCTCTGGGATTGGGACTCCGTTGCCCACTTTTCATTCATTCTTCCCTCCTCCCTCCTCCTCCTCTCCTCCCTCCTCTGCCCCCCCCCCCCCGCAGCTTCAGCGCCCAGTACCGCGAGTACAAGTACTTCATCGTGCAGCAGCGGCTGGGGACTGCAGCGACCAGCCCGCACGTAGCGCCCACCGCAGCCACCACCGGCACCACTACCGCACAATTAGCTCCACCACCTGCACAACAACAACAACAAGAACAATCACAGCAGCAGCCACAGGAGGAGGGCGGGCGGTTACCGGGCTGTGCGGCGGTGTCCACAGGAACAACGGAGGATCAGCTTCAGGAAGGAGCAGCAGGGGCAGCACCAACAGCAACAGCAGCCACAACGGATGTGTCGTACAGTTTGGATCTGGACGCCATGCGGCAGGCTGCGTCGTACTTTGTGGGGGAACACGACTTCCGGAACTTTTGCAAACCGGATGTGACAGCGGTGAGGGAGAACGAGGGAGGAGGGGGAAAAGTAGGAGGAGGGTGGTTGGGGTAGTAATAGTAGCAGGCAAAATAGTAGCAGTAGGCAAAATGGCCTTGCGCCGTCCTCCTCCTCCCTCACCTTCTGCCCCCTACCTTACCGGTACATCCCTCACCCCCCTCCCGACCCCCCTCCCCACGCCTCTCCCTCCCCCTCCCCCCACCCCAGGTCCGCAGCTTCCGCCGCCGCATTCTGTCGTTCACCATCGAGCCGGTGCGGTGCGGCGCGGGTGCGGGGTCACACGAGGTGTATGCGCTGGTGGTGCGCGGGACGGCATTCCTGTGGCACCAGGTGGGGGGTGGGGGGGTGTAATGGGGGGGATTCGGTGCACGGAGCCGCGGGGCGGGGTCTGAGGTGGCAGGGCGGATTAGGGAGCTGAGGCGAGGGTGGAGAGGGGGAAGGAGAGGACTCGTGCAACCACGTGGCCATGCGTGTAATCTATGCACATGGGGGCACAACGCACACAGGGGGCATGGTACATAGCTACACCGCTCGCCCTGGAAAGGTACACACTCTGCTTCCCAACCCCTCCCCTTCATGTCCCTTCACCCCCACCCCACCCCCTCCCAAAGGTCCGCTGCATGGCTGCCGTGTTGCTGATGGTGGGTCGGCGGCAGGAGGCGCCCCAGGTGGTGGCCCGGCTGCTGGACGTGGCGGCCACCCCGCGCAAGCCGCAGTACTCCATGGCACCCGAGGTGAGGGGGGCGCAGGGGGGAGGGGGGAAAGGAAGATGGAGAAGAAGAACCATGCGGGTTGGGTAGGAGAGGGGGATGGTCATGTTTCCATGTAGGGTGCTTGGCCACATGGTCTTGTTCCTACATGTTACCCTCCCGCTCCCTCCTCACCTCATCACCCCTCACCTCCTCACCCCTCACCTCCTCACCCCTCATCCCCCCCTCATCCCCCCCTCACCAGGAGCCTCTGCTGCTGTACGCGTGCGGCTTCTCCGACCTGGCCTTCCGCCGCAGCTCCCCCGCGGTGGCGGCTGCGCTGGGTGACGTGGGCGGGCAGCTGGGGCGGCACCTGGTGGGGGCGGCTCTGACGGCGGAGTGCCACACGCGCATGGCGGCGGATACCAGGTGGGGGGGCCGGGGTGGGGTGGGGTGGAGGGGACTGGGGAGCTGGGTAAAGGGGAAGGACCTAGACACACATGTTGGCAGGTGTGCAACGTTTCAGGTTTGTTCACCTCTGTTTTCCCTCTGTTTTGCCTGTACTTGCGGTTCACATGCGAACTTCTCCCAACTGCTTGCTCTTGTTTCCGCTCAACTACATACCTGTGAGCAGGGTTCAAGCCGCCGTGCTCTAGGAAAGAACAACACTGGCCATGATTTTGCAGCGATAGAAGCAGTAGCGTAGCAGGTCGGGGCGTCAACCGAATGCCTTTCCGCTTCCCCCTCTCTACCGCCCTGCCCCTCACCTCCGCTGTCGGAGCTTGTCGTCTGGGTTGCATGTTATTTCAACAAAATAGGAATTCTTCAATTTTTTCCCGCGCACCTCCGTGACGTCAGGTGTGAGGACGCGGGGAGCAGCAGCGGCGGCAGCGGCAACGGACGCAGCGGTGGTGGAGGTGCGGTGGGTGGTCACATTCCGCTGCTGCGGCGGCAGACGGAGCCGTCGATAGAGGAGCGCATGGCGCGGAGGGGCATTCCCTGGCCGCCGGTTGGGAGCGGGGCGGAGGGGGCGGGCGGGGGCGCGGTTGAGGAGGAGGAGGCGGAGGAGGGTGGGGAAGGTGGCGCAGGGGGCGGAGATGCCATGGTGGAATGATAGAGGTGGCGTGCGGGTTGGTGGTCGCTGATGCGATCTGGGTCGCGGGGTGTGAGGATTTGCTGTGGGACTGCCTGGATGAGGAATAGGAAGGAAGGAGGATGCTCCACATGTAAGGCGTTAAGGCTGTTGACATGGGAGGCTTGCAGGGCGTGTTTGCTGCGTCCTTTGCTCCTGGCCCCCGCGCAGCAGCGTAGCAACGCAGCCCCGCGCATCGTAGTGGTGGCAGCTGTCGAAGTTATGGTTGCGAAGCCGTTGGGGGCTGTGGTGCAAGGATCATGCAAGCGCATACTATAAGCACCACTATGGGCCTACTTAGTTTGTGTGCAGCCTGAGCTGTGCGAAATCTGCAGATGCAAAATCTGTAGATTTTGAAGTCACGCGTTTAATATTTCGCCCAGGGACTGCTACTGTACGATGATAAATTTTAGCTCCGGAACCGTCCAGGAAGGATCGCACGAAACAAAGCGAAACCAATTGGAAACGTCGATATATGGCAAGGGGTATGAACGTATGAAAAGAGCAACGCCACATATGAATATTATGTGGAGAACGACGTCGGAATGGGCAGAGAAGGCTTGTTACTGCCTGAGAAGCGGCACAGAGGAACGTGAAACACAAGAGAGCATTGTAGTATTGTACACCTGAATAGCACAAAGGTGTTATGTAACAACATTAACGGATGCGTGCTGGTGCACTCGTCGTCCAAGCGCATGCTCATGAGCTGAGAAGTGTGCACCTTGCGCTGCGAAGGCTTGAGCCGCGCAGCCCTATCTATGACATTTCGCAGCAAAGAGAGTACACAAGCGTGGCAAAGGTCAGGCAGAACTGGTTGAGCAACGTACTGGCTTCGCTCTTTCGGGCTGGGCGGGTCGGGCTGGCTCACATGTTGCAACCCATGTTGACGCCTTTTCCCTCAGTCAGTTAGTTGTTTCCTCTTTATCCCCCCTCAACCCTACCTCTACCACCCCACCTTCGCCTCACCAGCCCCCACCAACCTGCTACACCACCACCAGTATGTTCCTACTCGCGGCCAGTTTTCTTACCACCATCTTGGACACGCTTTGGGATACATTCCTCGCCTTTGAGGAGCAGCCCACCGCAAATGCACACCTTACTCACCACTTCCTTGCCAATGCAACCAGTCGTGCTCAGTGCCGGCAACGCTCCGCACAACGGCTTGCAGCCTCGCAGGAGGAGGAGGAGGATGACGCCCATGATGCCGCGCTTCTTGCTTTAGCTGCCGTGATGCGTTACAGCAGATAATGTAAGCCGAAGTCAACCAGCCGTACGTCGCCTCCACACCAAGAACCCCAACCCTAACCCACACATCCCGACGCCCCAACCCATGTTTAAGATGCACTAGTGGCCGATTGTGCTGACAGCACCCAGTGTTGCACCTCGATTGCCGGTTGACCCCCTTAATTGAGGGAACGGCTTCTAAGAGCCCCTCCAAACTAGTTGTCCTACTCGAGACGAAACGCAAGCAAACCCCCACTCGCTAGGCGCGACCTCGGGCGGGTGGGTGGGACCTAGGCGGCCACAATCCCGGCAGAGGGATGGCCACCCGATACTATCAATCACAACGGCAGTTAAAAGCACAAACGCGTGGGCAGCCCTGATAGGCTGGGTCGATTTGCCATCGCTGTCGTACACCCATGCAAGCGCGCCATCTGCTTCCACGCACCACGGCAGCTAGCAAGAAACCTACTTCTTCAGTCATACTTCCTTACAGAAGTGGCATCTCCTTCAAGGTGTTGTACACCTCGACCCTTTTCTGATGAGTACGCAGACCTCGCTGCCCAAATCAATGATGACGACGCCCCCGATGCTCATCCCCCTGAAACCTCTCCGCTACCCGCCGCCTCCAGCGCCCCCACTGATCTTCCTGCCTCCCTGGACACCCTCGCCCGCCTACGCTCAATGACCACCACCGCCTCCCTCCCCAACCTTACCGACACTCGCCTTCTATCCTATGTGGCTCGTGCCGTTGAGCGCATCCCTTTGGCTACACCGGGTACTACTCCACACACTCCGAGCTCTGCTTCCCACCCTAGTCCCCAAAGCGCTGTTCCCCACGAACACGCTTCACATATCTTCTTTATTGCTCGCCTTCCATGCGACCCTCCTTGCAATGCCATCCCAACTTCCGCCCGTACGGAACCATTCCAGGTACGTGCCTTGTACATGCGCACTATCGGGCCCCCACCACCGACCGGCCGCACGATACCGGTACTTCCGCCCTTCAGACTACCGGTACGTCCCTGCCGTACCACTCCTACAGCGATCGAGCCCTCTGTGACGCCTCTCAACCGTTCCTTCGTACCTTTCACCTCAGCTCTAGTTCAACGGCGCCTTTCATCTGCACCCATCTTTAAACCATCGCTTCGCATGTCCCCTCGTACGCTCCTCACCCTATTTAACGCCCCTCTACCTCCTCCATGCCACCGTCTTCCTTCCCGTGCTTTCGATACCTTGCCTCCCTTGCCTACCCTCACTGCGCCACTACAACCTGTCCACCACCAAACCCACCGCTATGCATGACAAGTTCCGGCCACTTCATAGCACCTCTGGCCATGCCATAAAGCATGAGGACAACCACCTCCTCGCCCACAAGGTGGTGGGCCACCACTTCGTAAGCTCATGCCACCCAGCTGCAACTTCACAAACCCTCTTCTCAGTCCTTCCCTGCCTCCCTCTGCATTTCCCCCCCCCCCTTTCAGACTCACGGTACCACCCACACTGCCTCTGTGCTCAGCGTGACGATCCCCAGCCATGGCCCCAGCATGGACATTGACCCTCGCCTGCAAGTACCCGTTCGCTGTGACAAGATCATGGGCCGGATCAACGACCGCGACCTCGTGGCCGTCCTTGACTGGCACAATAACCCCGGCGGCCTCCATCACTCCGCCGCCCCAACAGCAGCGGCCGCGCTGCCAGCGATTTCACGTACTCCATCCTGCTCAGCACAGCACCCCAGCACAGCACCCTGCTCTTCATGCGCCTCGAAATCCAGTTCTCCATCTCCTTTGCCCTATCCCTCCAGCCATCTACCGCTCCAATGCTTCCTCACCTCTCTCCTGTATATTCACCCTCCACCTCAGATCACCGGCGCTGCCATCAAGCGCGGCCCCACCCCTGACCCCGCGGTCGGCCTCACCATCAGCATCGGCCCCAACACCTCTCCGCCCCCGCCCTCTGGCGCCACGGCTGCATGTTGATCAACGCGAAGGCTGGCAGTTCCCTTGCTGGCGACGACGACACCTTCTCCCTCGTCGCGGACCACGAGTGCGCTATCATGCCCATTAAGTCAAGCAACACCCTCCTCCTGTCGGTCCTTACCCACCCCAATGTCATCCCCCTCGTCACCCCCTTTGGCGACCCGCTTGGTACGACCTTCAGCAGGACTGTCACCGGCGCCTTCCTGCCGCAAGCCCACAACCCGCTGCACGCTGGGTAAGCTGCCATCACCCTTCCCCTTCTACACCCCCCTTCAGGTTGACATACCGCACTTCCTTCCTTGTGCTCTGCACTAATACTTGTGCTGCTCTCGTGTGGCACAATTGGGTTAGGCGTGTGTTGGCCGCGAGTCGAGCGGACTGTGCTTGCCCCATAAGGTGGAGTCCAGTCCGTTGGCTATGTAGTCAAACAGCTATCGAGTAGATGTGTTGTGAACGGTTCACTCGTACTGGGCGGTTGAAGTTTTAGTGCGCCTGCGCCGGCAATAGCTTCCCGCTTTCATTACGCATGTTCACGCCGCCAACTAGCTTATTTTATAACACCTTCGATTTGCATCTACGTGTTGCCTTATTTCGTTGTACTCTTAGTTTTTCCAAACTTCCCATGGCAATGTCCCATGTCTCCGATGCTAAGGGGCATGGTTCAGTATTGTCCCAGCCACCGCCCAGTGAATAAACGCTACTAAAGGACGCACTAGGCCTACCCCTATGTAAACACCCTCGCACCACCAGCTTGGCTATCCTCCCCTACATCCGCACACCACACACTACCTGCAATCAACAGATTTTGCCCTCTCACCCGACCAAAGGGAGGCTTGATTTCGAAGGCACGCCTTTAACGTTTCGCCCGCAGGGGACTGGTGTACGACAAGAAAACCTGGGGCTCCAGAACCGCTATAGAAGGGTTGCAGCGAAGGACGCAGGAACAACCGTGATGTACGCTCTGACGTTAGCTGTAAAAACGTATGAAAAAAGCTATGTAAATAAAGGCTCCTTCGCGTCGGGCGACGTTCAGACTTCTGGGCTGAGCTTCGGACGTGAAATTGTCAAAGCTAAGGCTGCATTGTACTAGCTTATAGTTACTGGTTACGGACAAAAGCGGTGTAGGCGAAAAGCGTCCGCCGAAAGCGCAAAGGGGCGACGAATTCTAGTTGCGCTCTCAGAGACGTTCTGTGAGCGCGTGAAGCGCTTAGATGCATTAAGCTAGAACATTTTAAATATGTTTCCTTGAAGAGGACGGCGATGGCCTGTCACTTGAGTAGTGCATGCGTTCTGCATTTCCACGCCAAACTCATACTCGCCGCCTGCAATGCTTGCTAACGCGTTACTAGAATGATAGAGAAGCAGAACGGTGAGCCAAAGTGTGCACGTGCGGGCTGCACATGCGCCAAGCAGCTTCACGAACATGAAGGTCAGCACGTGCCCCGACCCAAACCCGCGAGCGGCAGTGCAAGTAGTGTCACGCTCGATCCCAGCGTCTCCACCCTGCCCAGCAAACATCCATGTCTTCCCTGGCCTGCCAAGTACTGACGCCCATGTGGGCATGCGCCAGCCTGCCCAACCCATACACACAGCATTCCCGCTCTGCCCAAAGCCCATAATAACAGGCATGCAGGCATCCATGCTGTGCGCGTGCGGCCCCATGCGTGCTTGAGCTGCCAAGTGCAGGCTGGCATCATCGCCCCCCCTTTGACCTGCTGCATCCCGCCATCATTGCTTTACAAGCCAACCGCATGTGGTGGCTTGAGGTGACATACGCGAGCAAGGAGCACAGGTGCCACATGCCACAGGCAGCTCCATGAACGGGCAGGTCAGCAGGTGGCCTGGGGGCCCTGACTCTCTCTCCCAGTACAGCTTCCAAACGCGCAAGCATTCTGCTCACACCAAAGCGCCCATGCGTGCTGCCTCCCCCTCTCTACCCAACCACTGGCGTGCATGCATCTCCACCCTGCTGGAGTACGTACGTCCATGCATGCAGCGTTCCCCGCTTAGCCTGACAGCTGGCGCCCATACATACCCCCATGCACGCAGGCAATCAGTGCACCTACCCTGCCGGTGTCGGGAAGGGTTGCAGTGCATCTCGGGATGGTGCGTGCTACGGCAGCGCCTGTTTGGGCACACAACACCACCCTGTTCACTGGCCCCCGTGCATGCAACGCATTCACCCTGCATCCAGGCATCCCTGCTGAGTGCATCCCCGCCTGTGCCCAAACTGTGAAAGCACTCATGCATGCAGGCATCACAGTGGTTTCCGAAGACTCGAGCCCATGCGTGCCAGAAGGTGCATGCTGACATCCCCCCTGCCCAAATGCTGTGCGCATGCATCCTCGTGCGTGCTCAAGCTGCCAAGGGGCTAGCTTTCATTCGTGGAAGAACCTCTATACTTTATAAAGACGGGTGTCCATGTGTGGCATCTACGCCTTGCCCAAGCACAGCGCCCAAGCGTGCAAGCGTCCCTCCTCCCGAAATCACAGCGCTCATGCGTGCAGGGCAATCTCCACTTTGCCCAAGTACCAAGCACGTGTGCAGGCAGGCATCCCCGCCGTGCCCTGCTGTTCGTGCAGGCTACCCAACCCTTAACGGCCGAAACCCATACATTCGTGTAGGCAACTACCGGTGCAAAGCATCCGTGCGTGCCGGCATGCTCGCACAGTTCAAGGTTTGCCAATACGACGATTGCCGCAAACACAGGTTGAGTGCAGCAAGAACATGCAAAACGACAGCATCGAGTGAACGCAGCGCGCAAGCAGCACAGATGTGGCATGCCGAAGGCATCCCATGAATGTCAACAGGTGCTCTAGCAAGACGGACCCCTCACTCTCTCCCACTACGGCTCTCAAACGCACAGGTATCCTGCCCATACCAAAGCGCCCACGCGTGCTGGCTCCCTGCTCTTCCCGACCACTGGCTTGCATGCATCTCCATCCTGCTGAAGTATGGGCTAAAGTATGTACACCCGTGCATGCAGCCTTCCCCGCTTTGCCTGACAGCTGGGCCCATGTACCAGTATGTAGACATCCCTGCACCCCCATGCACGCAGGCAAACAAGTATGCGTTGTGCCCCGTCCTGCCAGCGTTGTTCTGGCACCCATGCAAGCATGCATCCCTGCCCTGCCAAGTGCTGGTGTTCATGCGGCCCCAACCCAAGGTATCAGCGCCCGTGGGCGCACGCATTACCGCCCTGCTCACTAGCCCCTGTACACGCAGCATGCGCACCCTTCCTAGACGCCAGCGGGGACGGTGTCCCCACACTGGCCAACTGCGGGATGCAGGGCGTCCATGCATCTTCACCATGCTGAGGTAAGGGCTGAGTACGTCCACCCGTGCATGCAGCCTTTCCCGCTTTGGCTGACAGCTGGCGCCCATACATACCCCCATGCAAACAGGCTATCAGTGCACCTACCCTGCCGGCGCCGGGAAGGGGTGCAGTGTATCTCGCCCAGCCGGGACGGTGTGTGCTGGAGCAGGGCACAATTCATCTCGCCCAGCTGGGGATATGCATCCTCACCCTCTCCCGGTATGACCGCCCTTATGCACACACACACACGCCCAGCTCACGGGCCCTAGCGCGGGCATGCAGGCATCCCTGCCGCGTTCATCCCCGCCCGTGCTTATATTGCGAAAGGGCCAGTGCTCACGCGTGCAGGCATCATCACCCAAGACTACTTGCGCCCATGCGTGCCTTAAGGTGCAGACATCCCCATGTCCACATCACAGCGCCACTATGTGCAGGTGTTATTGCCCATCCATACAGGCATCCGTGTCCTGCCCAACTTCCAAGCACCCGGGCGCGCAGGCATCACCGGGCGAATCACCGTCACTCATACACGCAGCATGCCCAGCCCTGTCCTGCCATAGCCCCCGTCCACGCAGCGTCCGCGCCCTTCCCAAAGGGCTTGCATATGCATGTAGGTATTCCTGCCCTGCTCAATTGAGCTCAGGCAACACAGGAACATCACGGGGAGGGGTGCACTGTATCTAGCCCAGCTGCCCAGGCAGGACTGTGTGTCATACAGCTAAAGCTTAACGTAACTAGCCCTGCCGGGGCGCTTTGCATTCATGCACCGTCCCACCCTGGCCCGGCCCGCGCTTGGAAGCATAGGCGTATGCGCATTTCTTTTGTAAGATTCGGCTTCCTTTCATGCACATAGACGGGCTTAGCACCATGACCTTCTCTTCGACTCACCCCTATGCCTTTCGCTGCCCTGGTTCCCAAACACTTCATTATGCTAAGCGTGCCAGCAGATTTCGCCTTCTCACCCGACCAAAGGGAGGCTTGATGGAGTGGATGGCAACTTGACAACCTTGCCTTGAGCGGCAACGGTTCTGGAGCGAGTAGTTACAACAGCCTACGCCGTCCTTCACCGACAGCTAGCACTGACAACACATGGGAAAAACCGGCACGTTGAGCACGAGCAAGAGCTGCAACAAGCTCGCTACCTGCGTTCAAGGCGGTCTTCCTTGCGCAAAGTACGGCACTTGGGCCGGGCATTCTAAGCGATCAAGGTTTCTTTTTTCCTTCAGTCAGAATATAACAAGAGCAAAATGGCAGAGGAGGACACCGTCAAGGTTGAGGCCCAGGACCCGGCTCCGGAGGTTGAAGTTGACGTCAAGGCCACGGAGGAGGTCATGGACGTTAAAGCCGAGAATGAGGCAGCAGCCGATGACGCGGATGATGTAGGCGAGGGAGAGGAGGAGGAGGAGGCAAATGCTGGCGCCGACGATGCGGCCGCCGTTGGCGATGCTGCTCCATCGACAAGCGAGCCTAGCAACAAACGGCCAGACCCTTCAGGTCCATTGACTTTAGGTTATAAAACCTTCCAAAATGCGAAGGATTGTGCAGAGTACTTCCGGTTTTTGCTGGCTGCAACCCCATTTGACACCGACGTAAACGAGGTGAGCGAAGGCAGCTATTCCAGGGTGCCTGCCGGAAGCTAGAGGAGCTGCTTTACCGTGGGCGGGTTGTGTGCTTGCGTTTACTGTTACGCTTGCGTGCCTTGCAACACTTACTTGCGCCATGCCTACTGTCCACCAACAGCTCTTTACCGAAACAATCAAATTTCCCTTCCCCCCTCCCTATGTGCATAACAGTACGAGTACCGGATACTACTAGACCTGGTGACGAAAGGGCACCCATCCGCGACGGCCAAGGTACGTTGGCAATGTGTCTGTCAATTCCATCCCCTAACAGCACGCTTCATGACATCTGAACCATGTCTCCTTTCCCCTCCCTCGCTCACACCTCTTCCCTCTCCGCCATCTCCTCCTCGCGCCTTCCCCCTCCCTGACCCGCCTCCCTCACCGCGGCCCCTCTCTCTCGCCCCTCGCCCTCTCCTGTGCAGTTTGGCTGCGGCGTGCGCGCCTTCCAGGTTCGCCGCTTCAACAGCGAGAGCGACTCGCGCGCCTTCTACGTGGTGCGCAAGGACGGCACCGCGGAGGACTTTAGCTACATCAAGTGCCTGGGGACACTGTACCCGGGTAGGTGGTGCAGGGCAGGCAGGAAGCCAGAAGAAGGGGAAGCCAGGAGAGGGTGAAGCAGGGACAGGGGCGGATGATCTGCGTCCTTCCCGTTCTTGGATATCCTATACCTGCGATAACACCTGTCCCATCCCCGCCCTCTGGCCTGGCAGGTGAGGTGAACGTGCAGGCTAACAAGCGGCGACGGGAGGAGCGCAGCAGCGACGGGGGCAGCGGGGCGGGCCGGGGGCGAGGCGGCGGCCGTGGAGGGAGAGGTGGCCGGGGTGGCAGGGGAGGCCGGGGCGGGCGAGGGGGTCGGGGCGGCAGGGGCGGCAGGCACTGAGAGTGCCTGGGCCGGGGCGGGGATGCGAGCTGGGGGTGCAGCGTTCTCGCGGGGTTGCTACCGGTTGCGGGGAGCTGGGCTGAACTCTCGTCGTGTTGGCTTGTTTGCCTTGTCGCTGTGGGGACGGGGCGAGGATGCGATGTGGGTCGGGATGCGGGAGAGTCTTGCCCGGGGTCCGGTGCCGGGAATGCACCTCGGCAAACTAGGATAGGCCGGGTGCGACGTCTTGTTGCCCTTGCTGGGTATATAGCTTGTAGGCAGGGCCGTGGTAGGTTCGATGCCCTGGGTAGGTTGTCTGCAGGGGTGGGTCGTTGGGAACGGTTTGAGGCAAGTCACGTGTTGAGACTGGGCCACCGTACACGTGCGCTTGCACGGTAGCAGCGATCGGGGCTGGGCTGTCGTACAGTGTGTTTGCCAGGGCTGGTGTGTGGATTGGGGGATGGGGGTGGCTAGGGTGAGTCACGGGTGGCAGTTGGAGTGGCTTAGAGGCAAGTACCATGAGAAGGGCGTGGGGGTTGGCACGCTTCGTGGCCTGCTGGTGTCGTTCCCGCGGAAACAAGGAGGTTGGCATAACTGCCGAAATGGATACCTTGCCCTTTACCTGTATGGCTTTTACTGTTATGAACATGGGTGTACAACCCAGCGTCATGCTCCAAGTGTTGAGCGACGGTTTGGGGGCCTCTGGATAACCTGTATTGTCCAACTTGCCCAGACGAATGACGAATCAAACCCTTGATTTGGGTTTTGAATGCCGGCCGGGAGGGCATGGGCCGGAGCCCAGAGCCGGTGGTCCTAAAGCTCAAGTAGGTGGGCGGTTTCCTTGGCCGGAACTGAACGACAGCTGCAGGATGCTGGTGGAGCGGGCTAAGCTGAAGTGAAAGGTCAAACCTGCACGAGCTTACGGCTTCTGTTGTTGTAAATAGCGCTTGAACATTTCTGCATAGATTAGTCCGCACGACGTGCGTATCCCGTACGGCAATCACCGCAACACATGTACGCCGTGTCCATGTCGATGTGCTGCTTGCCTCATGGGACTGGTGTTGTAGGGTGTGAGTAACGCCTGTATCGGCGGCCATGGCGGAAGTCCTTGGACTGGAGCAAGAGGACTGGTTCGGTGGAGACAATTGGGATATGTGGTCAGTCCAAATGTATGACTTTCTGGTGCTGAAAGGTCTTAAAGCAACAGTTAGGCAACCAGAAGCGGCGAATGACGACGACCATGAGCGGGCGCTCGCTTACATCCGAAATTCTGTCTCCCGGCAACACCGGCGAACGCTAGCAAAATGCGTGCGCGCGGATGACGCCTGGCGAATGCTGGAGCAGCGGGCTCAATCGGAAATTGAGTCGCGGCTTGACAACTTGGAGTCGCAAGTAATCAGCAACACCGGCAGCGTTGATCGGCGCATCGAAAGGGACGGGCCGGAAGGTGGCGCCGCATCGGCGCGTACCGACTCCGGTGGACAGCAACACCAGCAGCCCCCGACTTCGGAAAGGGAGGAACCTGCCGAGCGTGCTTTCGCCTACACCGTCTTTACCTCGGATCCGGCTTCACCAGAGGACGCGGCTGCCGCCTACCTCTCCTCTGCATGCTCCCACCATTTCACCCCTAGACGCGAGCTCCTGCACGACTTCACCACCGCCACGTCTGTGCGTGGGATGGAGGTGGGCTGTGGCTCGGAGTGCCCCGTCATGGGCATGGGAACGATGCGCATGAGGAGTACGACAGGCGGTGACCTGGAATTCAGATCCACGCTGTACGTGCCGAACGCCTGCCGTACGATCATTTCTGTTTCCAGAATGTTGGACGGCGGTGGCAGCCTGACTTTAAGCGGGGGCGGAGCCGATATCGAGCTCCAAGGGCGTCTCATCCTTACTGCGCGAAGTGCTGGTGGGTCACTGGCGGCGAATGGGGAGCTGCTCCGGGCGCCGGAGTTTGGCGGCGCTGCTGCTGCTGCTGGTGCCGCTGTCGGTGGCGGAGGAGGTAGAGGAGGCGTGGAAGGCAGCCGCCGGCGCAGAGGGGGAGGCAGCAGGGGCAGCAGGCGCGGCGGCGGCGGCAGCACCAGCGGCGCCGCACGGCACGGGTGGGGAGGCTACCAGAATCATACTGTGTAGGCGGCGGCAAGGCGGCGGCAACTGCTAACAGCGCTGAAGGGCTGCGGGTGGAGGGCAGGACAACGGGAAAGTGGAGAGGTGCATGTCGGTCAAGTCGGCAGCAGCAGGGCAGCGGCGCCGTGGCAGCTGCAGCTGCAGCAGTTGCCAGCAGGTGCCATTACCGGTAGCAGCGGCAGGAACAGCAGCAGTAGCGGCGGCGGCGCGAGGTACCAGAGGAAGGAGTACGGCAACAGCAAGTGCAGCGGAGAGCCGGAACGTGGGTTTGGGAGGGAGGGAGGGAGGGAGGGAGGGGGGGAGAGCCGTCGTGCACTGGGCGTAGGGTGTGATGACGGTGGTGGTGGAATGCTGATCGTGTAGGCGAGGCGTCCAAGATGTACCGTAGGCAGGATGTGAAACCCGCTCCGGTTGTGATGCACAGGGCAGGTGGGAAGGAGGGGGTAAGGAGCGGTGGTCTGTAAGGGGGCTCCTGTGTTAGGGGGGCTCCTGTATTAGCGCCTAAAATCGTTCTCGTTGACCGAGTGGCTTTCCTACTGAGGTGTAGGAGACGTTAGCCAGAAACGTTGAGAGGTTGTTGTGCACCAACGAAGAGCTGCAGGAATGAACCCGGCCGTGTACCATACCTGTAGCGAGGGTGCTACAAATACCAATCATTACGGCTGCACAGCATCCTTGGAGGCCTTTTCAGGACCGTTGTTACAATACCTCTTTGTCGGCGTCGACGGAGATATGGGCCAAGCGGAAGTGTGTCACATCGCTTGCTGGAATGCGTTGAAAGAAATGCATTAATGAGGTGTCAACAACAGTGCAAGCAGCAAGATGTGTGTCTGGGACACTCGCCGCAAGGCGACACTGTTGGACAGACGGACGTGTGTGCCGAACATGTACGGTAGCACATCCATGCGGGTCTTTTGCTGCAGTTGCGTTGGAAGATGGTCTCGGGCGTAGTGCCATGCTGCCTGATTGCGTCGTTGGTAAGTAGAGTTGGTGCAGCTGTAGATTTAGATCTCTCTTGGCGGTTAACTATTCGGATGAACAGATGACAATTACACGTGCCACCTACGGCTTGTACGGCAACAATCATACCCGGTACTGGCCACGTACGTCTGACTTGCAAACGGGGCTGGAGCACAACATGGAAAGGGGCCGGTACAAGTTACCTCCCCGCGTCTGGTGTATTGCTGTGCATGCCACAAACACCACCTGAAAAACTGGTATAGCAGGTACTACAGATTTACACGTCATAGCCAACAACCGTACACCCCATTTTCCACTGCCACATTTACAACGCCGCATTTTGCTTCTCCCTGACCAGTTAGGACCAGCATCTCTCCTCCCTTTTTCACTCCAGGGGCAGCCTCCTCATGCCCGCCAGCGCGCGCACCGCCGCCGCATCCGCCCCTCCCTCCGCCAGCGCCCCCCGCGCCAGCTCCCCGAACTCCTCGGGGGCCGCCCCCGCCAGCAGCTGCAACGTCAGCAGCGCGGGGGGCGGTGCCACGTGCAGCGCAGTCATGAGGTTCACAAAGTACTCCACATCGGTGGACAGCTGGATGCCGCCCTGAGGGTGGTGGTGGCGGGGTGGCGGAGCGGGTTGTTGGGTTGGGGGTTAATATCGGAGAGAAGAGCAGGTGGCTCCCTCAGCAACCAAAAACACAAAACCCCTGGGATACGTTTCGCCTTTTCATCACTCCCGCACTCCGCACTCCCCACTCCTCCCCGCCCTCCCCGGCCGCCCCCTCCCCGCCCCCCAGCCACATCCATTTTGGATTGGGACTCCACTGCTTCACTTTTCATTTATCCTTCTCTCCCCCCTCCCCGCCCCCCCATCAGCCCCCACCTGGTGGCTCAGCGCGGGTATCCTGCACACCGCCTCCCCATACATCCCCGCCGCGCCGCTGACCACCTTGTCCAGCCACTCCGCAGCCACCTCCTCCCACTCGGCAGCTGAGTCGCCACCGCCGCCGGCTGCAGCGGCCGCAGCAGCAGCAGCAGCTCCCTCGCCGGTTGCTGAGGTGGCGGAGGTGGCGGAGGCGGGAGCATCGTCGGCTGTGTCTCCCATGAGGACCTGGTGGTGCGTGAGGGGACGCAGGAAAGGGGGAAACATGAGCATGACGTTACACCCGTCCTCGTCAGCTCATCAGCTCCTAAACCCCGGCTATTGTGGTAGCTACAGGCACACAGCGCCCTACCTCGGTGCAATGAGCAACGCGCCCTCCCCTTTGCCCTCCCACCCACCCGCCCTTTTCACACGGTTAGGTTACTACTTCCCACCGGCCCACCCACCCCCACCTCTAGCTGCTGCGGCACCGCCATGAGGTGGTCCCCGATGGCCGTCACGTAGGGCAGCGGGTAGGTGTTGAAGGCGGGCAGGGGCGCCACCCCGCCGTGTGCACCGCCCGCAGAGCCACCCTTGGTCCACTCGGGCAGGCCGGGCAGCGGGGCCAGCAGCGCGGACACACGGGCCAGCAGCACCCCGAACACGGTGGACTGGGGGGAAGGAGGGGAGGGAGGAGGGAGGGAGGAGGGAGGATTATTAGGGATACATAACCCGCATTAGGCTGGAGAGAGGGAGGGAAGAGGGAAGAGGTGAGGGACGTTCGGTAGGAGTCTGGAGAGAGGAGAGGGTCCATCATCCCTCAGCCGCCAGCAACAACCCCAACCGCTCACACAGCATCACCAGTCACCTCACTCCCTAACCCACCTGCACAGTGGCTGAGAAGGCCTCCAGCTGAGCCACCGCCCCAGGCAGCACCATGAACCGTGGGTCACTCAGGCTCGCGCCAAGCTTCACGAGTCGTGCCAGCCGCTCCCCGCGCGCCGCAACCAGCCGCAACGCCACTGGGTCCGCCTCCGCCGCCCCGGACAACGCATGCGGCACCGCAACACCTGACGAGGAGGCGGACGAGGAGGAGGCCGTCGCAGATGCCGCTGCTGCTGTTGCCTCGGCTGCAAACGGCGTGGCACCAGCAGCCCCTCCATGCTGCTGTTGCTGCTGCTGCTGTTGCTGCTGGGATATGGAAGGAGTTGGGGGTGCCGCGGTGAGCGCCTGCAGTCGCGCCACCGCCGTCGCCACCGCCGTCCTCAGCACCGCCTCCAGCCGGCTCACCGCCGCTGAGAGCTCCCGCCCCACCTTGATAAGCTGCAGAACGTTGGCTATGTCCTCACCATCGTCCACTGCCGCTGCCGCTGCCGCTGCGGTAGCCGCCGCTGCTGCAGCTGCGGAGGCGGTGGTGGTAGCAGCCGAGGTGGTGGCGGTGGCGGCTGCCGCCACTCGGGCCCTGTGCCGCTCCCCCAGCCCCGCCACCGCCGCCTGCAGCGCTGCCAGGTAGGCGGACAGCTCGGTGTCGGCTGCCTTGAGCAGCGCGCGCACCTCGCTGCCGCCCGTGAGCGCGTTGCACCTGCGGGGAGGGAGCGGGGAGGGTAGGGGGTGTTTGTGAGGGGGGCGAGGGTGGGCGTTTACGAAACTGGTCACGAGCTGAGCTGTGTGATAAAGATAACCAAGCAGCTGTCTGGTGGGGTGTAGCCTGCAGCGGTGCCCTGGTGCGCCTCCCATCCTCATCAACCCCCCTTCTCCGAGTTCTCCCCACCCCCTTCCCCACCTGTCCACTGCTGCATGCAGCGCCGCAAAGGCGGGCCTGATGGAGCCCGCCAGCCGCGACACCACCGCCCCCGCATCCCCCTCGCCGCCCTCCACTCCCGCTGCCCCCAGCGCTGCCCGCATGTCGGCCTGCAGCTGCGCCGCCTCCAGCTCGCCGTACGCAGCAACCTTGTCCTCCAGGGGGGCGTACAACTGCGGTGGGGGAGGGGGTGGTGGTTAGTTCAAAGGCCATGCCAGGGCGGAGGGGAAACACTTGACACCATGTGACGGGCTCTCTCCCCAGCACAGCCCAGCCCTCACTGCCAAGCCTCCCGCCTCCCCCCCCCCCCACCAGTCCCAGCACCTCCCGCCTCCCCCCCCCCACCAGTCCCAGCACCTCCCGCCTCCCCCCCCACCCACCAGTCCCAGCACCTCCCGCCTCCCCCCCCACCCACCAGTCCCAGCACCTCCCGCCTCCCCCCCCACCCACCAGTCCCAGCACCTCCCGCCTCCCCCCCTACCCACCAGTCCCAGCACCTCCCGCCTCCTGCCCGCCTCCACCTCCCGCAGCAGCTCCCCCAGCGCCCGCCCGCAGCCGCCCAGCTCCCGAGCCAGACCGCCCAGGCAGGACAGCGAGCGGGCGGACGACAGCCGCTCGCGGGCAGCCTTGCTGATCTGGAGGAGGAGTAGGGAAGCGGAAGGAGGTGGGAGGTGGTGCACAAAGAGGAAGAAACACTACCATACACGTTGAGGGACAGTGGCAACATCCCGGGGAGCCACAAGCCCGCCGAACGACCCCCCCCCAAGCCACGCACCCACCGTCCACCAACCCAACATGTGAAACCCCCCGCCACACAGGCGATACAGCCCGCTTGCCCCTCCCTACCCACCTTTCCAAACACCTCCCCGCACAGCGCCCCCATCAGCGCCGCCGCCCTCCCCGGCAGCACCCGCCCGCACCAGCCCGCCTCCGCCTGCAGCAGCGCCAGCAGCCGAGACAGGAACACCGGCAGCCACACGGCGGCAGCCTCCGCGGCGGCCACCCCTCCTGCGGGTGCTGCGGGTGCTGCTGCTGAGGAGGCGGCGGGTGAGGGCCCCGCGTGCTCCTCCCACAACGCATGCACCTGGGCCAGCTTGGTGGTGACGTACAGGCTCTCGATGGTGCCGTACCTGCGTGCGGTGTACGGCATGTGAGACCCCTTGCTCACCTCGCTAACCCACAGCAACAACGGCCCAACCCTGGTTTGCCCAGTCACTATATACTTGGTTTGCTCTTCACACCTCCGTCCTCCTACCCCGATTGCTTTGCCGGTTTGTCCCACCCCTGTGTGGGTTCCTGTGGTTTGGTGCGGTCTTTGACCCACCTGTCCACCGCCAGCAGCAGTCCGCAGAGCTGCTTGACCGCCTCGTCCTCCTGCCCGCGCGCCAGGGCCTCCCGCAGGCTGCCCTCCACCTGCTGCTGCAGCCGGTCCTCCAGCGACCGCAGCTTCTGGCGGCCTGAGGAGGGGCGGAGGAGGGCGAGGAGGGGGAGGGTAAAAAATATATATATGATGAGACACTGACGAAGCAACTGAGGAGGGGGAGGGGGGGGAGAAGGGGAATGCAGCGTAAGGAGGGCGGAGGATGGGAAGTGGGGCGGTGGGAGGAGGAGGGGGAGAGGCTGGGTAGGGAAAAGGAGGTAGGGAGGTAGGGAGAGGTGTGGACGGGTTTGTGAAGTTTGAGGGTAAAGTAGGTAGGGGCCCTGCTAGCGGCAAGGTGGAGGGAATACCTGCTCGGAACTCCGGCACGTCGCCAACAAGGCTGAGACTGTGACGCATGTTGGCGAGGATTTCTGCAACCTTTGGCAGGTCGCCTGCGGCAAAGACCTCCTCCACTTTGAGGAAGAGCCCAGAGAGCTCCGTGGCCTCCTTGAGCGAGTTGCAAGCGTTCTCCATGTTTGCTTTGACGCGATGTAGCTGCGAGATGTGCTGTACGCTGTTGCGTGCCTCGCCAGCGTCGCGCTGCACAGTGTGCGACATGACTTGCACCTGATCTTGCAACCCCTGTATATCTCCTTGCAGCCGATATATCTCCTGGATGGCGAAAGGTATCCTCCGCATGGCCTGGGCGCTGCTGTCGCTGAGTGTTGCTTCAATATCCTCAGAGCTTAGCTGCAAACGCATCTCCAGCTCAGCAAGGAATTTCTCCAGCGGCTCTTCTGCTTGTCGCGTGCTGCAAGCATGGTTTATCCAAGCGATCGGGTCGAACCCGTCTTCCGCAAAGTCTCCTACGTCCGTCATTTTCAGATGGCAGTCTTAAATCTCTATCCCGCACGTTTTAGAAAGCCATGGTCCACGTTACGCTGTTTCCGGGAACGGAAAAGACTTCACTGTTCCCGCGTTGTGCGCTAGGGCGCATGGGCTAGGTAGCAAGTATCGTCCACAAACAGACTATGAAGCCAAACCAAGTTGCTTGCAATTTCAAAGGCATGGGAGCTCCTTCGCTTCCATGTCCTGCAGAGCGGTTGCATCGTCGCGTACGATCTTCGCCACCAAAACGCTGGCACGATTTCTTATAATGTGCATACGCCTTCCTACGTGTACTTATTGACACCTGCTGCTTTTTGGCTCACTACTGTCCCTAGGGGCTAGCTGGGCCAGCGCGCATCACTCCGTTGCATCGCGCAAGTCGCTCATGGCTTTTTAATGCTAAACCAGTAGCGATGGCGGCAACTATTAGCAACAACAATGCACTCTTTAGGGCGCGAACACATTTTTCTGTAGAGTTGCATCCCAGCACAGTCGTCGACGTACATGAGGGCGTGAAGGAGCAGCTAAACTCGCATCTCCTAAGGTGCTGTCAGTTTCAAATACTGGACCTTTAGGCGTGAGGAGCGCCGCCGGTATATCTAGACGACGAACCCCGGCGTTTATTTTTGCGCAGATTCGTTGACGACTTTAATGGCGTATTACTATCATACTCAAATGTCGAAGTCCTTACAAAGAAGGTACGCGTGCGGTGGGCAATCCTTGCATCATTCCGCCGCCCGTGCCGCCGACCCAATTCGCATCTAACTATGGGTACAACGCCTTTGTTAAACTGCAGCCTGTCATCCATCCTTATTTCCCTTACTTCCACCTCGACGTGCGCGCCGACGTGCTGGTCTTCAAACCCGCCCGGGGCATGACGCTGGGTAAGCTCTGCGCGCCACGCAGGCCAGCGCCAGGCCGTCTCGCCAAACCTCTCTCTCACATCCTGCTTCGCAAACATGCACGTGTCTCCACATCCCGTCCACACCCTCAACCCTCCCTCTTCCCTTCCCTATCTGCAGTTGGCCGTGTGAACCACCTGGGCGAGGACTACATCGGCGCGCTGGTGCTGGGGGTGTTCAATGTGACCATCCCCGCGCGCTGCGTCATGGAGGAACTCACATTCCAGTGGGAGGTGAGGCGGGCTGGAGGGTTTGGGTTGGTTGGGTGGGGCTGCATGGGTAGGGTGTGAGCATGGGGTGCTACCCGAGCTTGCTTGGGACTCCCATCAAGGGGCGGAAGAGGAGCTCATGCGCATTACCTCTCCCTCCCTTCCTCCCTTCCTCCCTCCCCTCCTGCCCCTCCAGGAGAACAAGTGGCAGCACTCGCAGCAGCCGGAGCACCAGATCGGCGAGCACAGCTACATCGTGTTCACGGTGGAGGAGTGAGTGGGGGAGGGGTGTGAGGGGGAGGGGTGTGAGGGGTAAAGAGGAGCAACCTGTCACGGTAGCTGGTGGCTGGTGATGCGGCAGGGGGTGGGGGGGGGGTGAGGGGGGTGGCTAGTGGTGGTGTGTTGACGGTTCAGGAGGTTCAGTTCAGCAGCCCCCCTCCCGGGGTCAGGAGGGAGGCCCCTTTCGCCATCTGGGTCGGAGTCCTTTAGGGCTGCGGCGAGTGGAACACGTGTCAGGAAGGCATGTATCCAGTCATCAGCTATGGCAGGTGGACTCTCGGTGCGCTGCTGCGTTTATAACCGCTCCCCTCCCGCCCCGTGTGCCAGCTTGTGCGGGTCATGTGTGCCTACCGGTATTCATCCCGCCCCGCGTCCCTCTCGCCTGCACCCCGTGTCCCCCTCCCTCTCCCCTCCCCCCCAGTGTTCGCGACCATGGGGGCTATTTCCAGATCAGCGGCGCCATGCGGGACAGCCACACCGGCGCAGCGGACTTCCTGCACCCGGGGGTGAAGCTGCCGGAGGCGCCCGCGCTGGACCTGCTGGGTGGGTGGGGCGGGGGGCGTGGTGGTGGGTGGCGGGTATGGGCGCAGTGTGTGTGGGAGACTTGTGTGCCGAGTTGCGGTTGGTGGGTTGCCGTAACCGTGTAGTTGTTGGCTTCGATCATTGCAGCTGTTTACTGTCGTATATGTGGGATGTCGCCTGTCGTGTTGCCATGCCCCTCCCACCATCAAGCAGGTGGAGATGCTGGACTGGAGGGACTCGACGCCGACATGGGGGCTGCCACCCCTGCAACAGCCGCTGCGAATGGAAAGGCCTTCAGGAAAAGGGGGAAACGGAACAAAGACATGCGGAAGAACCAGCAGCAGGGCGGAAAGGCCACGGATAAAAAGGAGGAGGGCAACAAGGCCACGGATAAGAAAGAGGAGGGCAAGGAGAAGGAGAAGAAGGCCAACAAGCGGCGGCGGGAGTCTACGGCTGCTGCTGCTGCTGCTGCCGACGGTGGGCAGGCGGAGGAGGGGCGAGGGGGCAAGCGGCGGAAGACGGCGGATGGCGCAGCGGCTGCGACGACTCCCGCCCCCGCTAAGGGAGCAGCTGCCGCTCCGGCGAAGGCCCCTGCCGTACCCGCGGCATCGGCGCCGGCGGCAGTGCCAACCGCCACCGCCACGGTAGAGACGGTGCCCAACGGCGTTGCCAGTGCTTCCGCAAAGAAGGAAAAGGACAAGAGTAAGGAGAAGGGCAAGGAGGAGAAGAAGCAGAAGGAGAAGGGCAAGGAGGAGAAGAAGGACAAGGGCAAGCAGCGGGCAGGTGGCGCGGCCACGCCCGCTGCTGCGGCTGCTGCGCCGGTTCAGTCAACACCAGCGGCGGTGACGCCGGCAGTAACACCAGCAGCTGCAGCGCCATCGGGGAAAGCAGCTGCGGCAGCTGCTCCTGCGGCTAAGACCCCGGCGGCTAAGACCAAGACCCCGGCGGCTAAGGCTAAGACCCCGGCGGCAGGAGCCGCGGGGGCTGCAGCTGCTGGAGTCCAGGCGGATGGAGTGACGGCTGCCAAGGGTGGGCAAGGGGCGGGGACGAGCGGCGGTGCAGGGGAGGGAGAGCGGCAAGGCGGGAAGGAGTCGAGTAAGAAGAAGGAGAAGGAGGAGAGCGGGAAGGAGTCGAGTAAGAAGAAGGAGAAGGAGGAGAGCGGGAAGGAGTCGAGCAAGAAGAAGGAGAAGGAGGAGAGCGGGAAGGAGTCGAGCAAGAAGGAGAAGAAGAAGGAGAAGGAGGAGGAGGGCGGTGGCGGCAAGGAGTCGAGCAAGAAGGAGAAGAAGGATAAAAAGGATAAGAAGAAGGACCGGGAGCGGGGTCAAGACGGGTAGGGGGGCGGTACGCCGGTTGGTAGTTGGGAGTGTGATGTCTGGGGTGGTTGGGTGAGTGGGTGTGGGGGCATGTGTGTGCTTTGGGGAGCCGTCAGCTACACAGTCCGTCGCACAGCAGAGGCATGGAAGGTAGCGGTGTGTCAGTCAGAAGCGCCTGCTCGTTGGCATCGCTGTAGAGGTGGAGCCGTCAGATGCGCCACGTTTGGGGCAAAGACCGACAATCACACATTCATTCAGGGTGATGGGATGCGGTACTGCTGCTAGGTTACGCACGCTTGGGCTTTAATTGTTGGGGTTGTATGCGAGGGGTAGGTGTATGCGATGGTGTTTTGCTGCTGCTGTGGGTGCGGGACTTCCCTCCCAGCGTTTCGGAACAACACGGACCCTTGTGTGCGGAGTGAGACGCGCTGCGTTCTGGGGTGGTTGCTGTGGACGAGGGGCCTCAGGATGAGTCATATGAAGTAAGAGGAGGCGCAACCTGGGGTGGCTGAGATTGCCGCTGCCAGGGGTGAAGAGGGCATGTAACTTGCTGTTGATCATGCGGTTCGACAGGGTATATGTGTTGCATAGAGGCTTTGCTGTGACATGCGTTCGAGGCAACATCCCGACCAGGACAACAGGACGTGATACGTTGGCTTGTATGTGCCGTTGCCTTGATGCGCGGGGCTATGTCAGGAGGGTAGCTCTTGTTAACGTGATAAGCCGCAGCAGCTGTGTTCAGGATACAAAGCTGTGGTAAATGGTATGTCGTTCGCTCACGTGCGGTGTCCCATATGCTGCTCAACACACATTACCTACCATATCTTTCATTACACGCTGCACGTGTGCCAAGCCTGCCTAGGTGCTTTCGCACTCCAACGCAACCCAACGGTCTAATCCCCCACATGCACATTACGGACAGGCCTTGCGAAACCTCGTGTAGCGTCTTGCGTCTACACGTTCACTTAGCACGCAAGTAGGACACGAGAATGCAACTAGGCGCAACTAGGACGCACCTAGGCGCACCAGGTGTGTATACGACACTGCACCCTAGGTGTGTATACGACACTGCACCCCAGGTGTGTATACGACACTGCACCCCAGGTGTGTATGCGACACTGCACCCCAGGTGTGTATGCGACACTGCACCCCAGGTGTGTATACGACACTGCACCCCAGGTGTGTATACGACACTGCACCCCAGGTGTCTATACGACACTGCACCCCAGGTGTGTATACGACACTGCACCCCAGGTGTGTATACGACACTGCACCCCAGGTGTGTATGCGACACTGCACCCCAGGTGTGTATGCGACACTGCACCCCAGGTGTGTATGCGACACTGCACCCCAGGTGTGTATACGACACTGCACCCCAGGTGTGTATACGACACTGCACCCCAGGTGTGTATACGACACTGCACCCCAGGTGTGTATACGACACTGCACCCCAGGTGTGTATACGACACTGCACCCCAGGTGTGTATACGACACTGCACCCCAGGTGTGTATACGACACTGCACCCCAGGTGTCTATACGACACTGCACCCCAGGTGTGTATACGACACTGCACCCCAGGTGTGTATACGACACTGCACCCCAGGTGTGTATGCGACACTGCACCCCAGGTGTGTATGCGACACTGCACCCCAGGTGTGTATGCGACACTGCACCCTAGGTGTGTATACGACACTGCACCCCAGGTGTGTATACGACACTGCACCCCAGGTGTCTATACGACACTGCACCCCAGGTGTGTATGCGACACTGCACCCCAGGTGTGTATACGACACTGCACCCCAGGTGTGTATACGACACTGCACCCCAGGTGTGTATACGACACTGCACCCCAGGTGTGTATACGACACTGCACCCCATGATGCCATCACAAGACCTCAGCTTCCCACAAAAGCAATCTCTCAGCTACCGGTACTAAACGTCCACAGCACTCAGCATGCGTCAATGTGCACTCGCCACTTCCACTGCGATTCCCGTGCAACCCACGGGTCCAAAATTGTAGCCGCCCGACTGCGTCAACGCGTCAACTGAAGATGTCAGCCCACTAGAAACCGTGCAGATGGAAATGGCATCTTCCCAGCCATCGCCGTGTCTTAACCATCACACTCGCATGCTCTCATTCTCTACCGCAAGCCCTCAGCGCCTTGCCTCGGCGCGCATTGCTGCACTTCCCCTACCCCTAGGCATTCTAGCCAGATGATTCATTCTACCCAAACCACCCGCTACTCCGTCCCTGTACTTTGTCCCCCTCACCCATTCTTGAGCGTCCACGCAGCAACACCGCTTCCTCATCACTGCCGGTGCGCCTTCAGCGCATCCATTGCCCCCTTGCTTCCAGCCATTGTATCAGAGACAAAGCCCTGCAGCCGCGTCAACCGTGCAACCGCCTCCGCCTGCTCCTCCGGCGTTGCGATCGCGCCCGGCACCGGCCCCCCAGCAGCACCAGCCTCCGCTACTGCTCCCACTCCACCACTGCGGCTGCTCACGCTGCCACTCCCATTCCCAGCAGCATCCCCACCGCTGCCAGCACCAGCAGCAGCACCTGATGAGGGCTCCGGAACCCCCCTGGACGGCGACTCGGCCACAGCGCCTGCGTTGTTTCTTTGGACGTCTGTGTGGCTGCTGCTGGTGCTTGTCGCTATGGTTGCGATACCAGGGCCCGAGGAGGGAGGGGAAGGGGCGGAGGGAGAGGAGCTGGGCAGCACGCGGGATCGCGCGGACTTGAGGCCCTGCTGCACGGCTGCCAGCTGCCGCTGCTGCTCCTCGTACTCCGCCTGACGCAGCTGCTGCAGCTCCCGCTCCTTCTGCTCGCGCTCCTCCTGCTCCTGCAAAGGTGAGGCCAAACCAGAGGGGAGGAGAGGGGCAAACGCTTTTGAAATGGGTTTGAAGGGGGAGGAGGGTGTTAGACGTTGGACAGGCTTACGTCTCGCGGAGGCAGAGCAGGAGGGGTACCAGTGAGCTGTTTCCGGTGGCATGGAAAGTTGGTGGCATGGGCGGGCGCTGAACGGGCTTTTACCTTCATAAGCTTTTCTGAGACCTTCGTGGCTTGCTTGGCACGTACGATGGCGGGGAAGAACTGCTCGTTGTTTTCGAGGAGAAGTGCTGACCCGAAGAGCGCTACCGCACCGCCAATGAAAACAGTCCAAATTTTGCCCTTATCCACGGTTTGCTTGGGGAGTGGACGCGCCATCTGCGTCACCACTTGCGGCGACACCGTCTGCAAGCACAACCGGGCGCGAGAGTGAAGCAACGATGCGACGCACTTGTGAAAGTTGGGGTGGCGTGCAGGAGTGCGCGAGCGACGCCATGGTGAGTTCAACGCGACTGCTCGCCATTCACCTGGATTTCCGCTTCCGCTGGAGCAGCCGACAGCCAGAGCAGTCCCGACGCGAGGATACCAGCTGCTGTAACACGCATCGCTGTATGAAGCGCGTCTACATCGTTCTGCAGCGATAAGGTAACAGCTTGAGCAAGGTACAAGCTGCCAAGACGCGTTCTCCCAGAAGCGCCCTCGCTCTGATCTACCTTTCTCCCGTAATTCGATATATGGGCTGCTGGAATCACTTTACGACGACACACAGGCTTGGCGAGTTGGGAAGGACAGCCTATCCCTTTGCTGCAGGCCACAAAGGGTGTAGTCCGCTGATGCAATGGTTGCAAAAGTGACATACTGTGATGAGTACACAACAATCGTTTGGCAGACTGCAGCGCTAGCCTTCAAGTGTCCACACACGCAATATGCCAAACAGAACAATAGAGCACTTGTTATGTAGTGAGCAGTCAAGTGCTTGCATGTATGCCTTACGCCCTAGTGGAAGCGACGGCGACATGGAGGGCAGCTGTTCATAGATTCCACTCATCGGGCCCCGATGTCACCTTTAGGCCCCGTAGCAAGAGATTGGCAACATACTCCATTAAATTAGTGTACTGTCTGCAAATTGCTGGATAAGCTATGGTAAAGGTTGTGTTTTCTCTCCAGCCAGGAAGTTAACTTGCCCGCCAAACGTTCTCCTGTGGCCCAGTGGCTGATTACAGTGGAACCTTATTGCGATGCATTCATAGTTCTTTTATAGACTGTAAGGGGATCGGGAATTCCTAGTTGGCGTAAGGATCTCATCAGCAATGTTTGGGTTCGGAGGTAAGCGTGATTTTTTGACTGATTCCAGGTCTCTAGGCGCCACAGTAGCATGAAAGGATGATTTATGCCACGAGAGGATACTGACAGCTGATGGCGGCCGTGCATAGGTACTGGCTTTGGCCAGCCGGCTCAGCAGCCTGCGCCGGCTTTTGGAGCTCAGCCGGCGAGCCCTTTCGGTAATGCGTTTGGACAGCCAGCACAACCAGCTGCAAGCCCCTTTGGGGCCCCAACTACTAGCACTCCTCTTTTTGGAGCACAGGTGCGCGCCAATTGGTGCAGTTGGCTGCCTGTAACAGCGTTTCTCTCTAACAAATCCCTCGTTGACTTATTTTGCAGAACCCTGCACCAGCGTTTGGCCAAGCAGCTCCGGCTGCTGCGCCCGCTTTTGGAGCGACAACTAGCACAACCGGCTTTGGTGGAGCAAGTTTTGGGGTAAGCCTTGATAACGTTGCCTTTCAGCACCCTCACATACTTTATGCCTTGAACGTTTTCAATTACCTTGTCTGCATGCTGTAGGGGGCCGCTAAACCTGCCGGGTTCGGTGGCTTTGGTGCCACGACCACAGCTGCCCCGAATCCCTTCGGGGCAACGGCACAGGTAAGGTCCCCTTTACTGTGAAACCAATACAAGTTAGGGGCTCGCACGTTTCATGCTCCTGAGAGTTGCCCGGATGGGTTGGGGCAGGCTTTTGCTCCCTCTTCACCTCTTCCTCACAGACCCCCAGGCTCGCCCCCGGCCCCACGCCACGGGCCCCCAACAGCCCTCGTCCCCACCGCTAGCGGCTTACCTTCATCCTCCTTCTCCTTCCGTCTCAACCTACTACTACCCCGGTACCCTCTTCCCACACGACTCTTTTTCAACCCTTGGCCTCGCGTCTGCTGCTTTACTAGTCGGATCCCACGGCTTCGTACCCGCTTACCACCCGCAGACCCCAGGCGCTTTCGGAGCCCCTGCCCAGTCCTCTCCTGCGTTTGGCGCTGGGTTGGGAACTGCCCCTTCCTTTGGTGCTACGCTGGCTCCAACACCCGCGTTCGGCGCCACTTCCGCCCCTGCCTTTGGCGCCCCGCAGTCTACGCCCGCTTTCGGAGGCTTTGGCGCCTCCAGCACCCCTGCCTTTGGCGCCCCAGCGGCGGCGCCCGCTAACCCCTTTGGCGCCCCGGCGGCGACCGGAGGATTTGGAGCCGCGGCGGCGCCCGCTTTCGGATCCGCGCCCGCTGCACCCGGTGGATTCGGAGCCCCTGCCGCTACGACATCTGCGCCTTTTGGTAAGTGTGCTGCTGACCCTTAAGGCTATTGGTCCGATTAATTGAGCACACGGGCCGACATGGACATGCTGATTTGGCTCCGTCAGAGCTAAAGTTGCCATGTTTGGACGAGGATCCTTCGCGTTGGGGGTATGATGCCAAGTTTCGGCTTCTTTCCAGGCCAAGGCGACCTCTTAAACCCTCCTTTTCATTCCCTTTCTGTCCTCTTCCTTCACCAACACCAATGCAGGCAGCACCACGACCAACCTGTTTGGTGCCCCCACCGCCTCGCCGTCGCCCTTTGGCGCTCCCAGCGCCCCACAGCCCAGCACCGGCTTTGGAGGCTTTGGCGCACCGGCTGCCGGCGCAGCCGCTAGCAGCGCCGGCACCCGCAACGTGCCGTACAGCAAGACCAGGGATCCGGACGCGCCTGCCACCGGCCCAGCCACTTTCCTGACCTCCATCTCGGCGCTCGCCAACTTCCAGCCCCCCAACAACGTCAAATCGCATGACGAGCTGCGGTGGGAGGATTACCAGGAGGGAGTGAAGAACCAGAGCGCGGGGCCCGCGCCGGCTGCCGCCGGCGCCTTTGGCGCTGCCGCGTCCCCCACCGGCGCCTTTGGCGGTTTTGGATCAGCGACCGCCCAACCGTCGGCAACCATGTCAACCAGCTTTGGGACCGCTCCCGGGACGCCCAGCCCCTTTGGTGCGCCACCTGCGACTGCATCCTTTGGCGCAACCACCGCTGCGCCGGCGTTTGGCGCTCCGACTAGCCAGCCGTCGTTGTTTGGCACGACGGCAGCTCCCGCCGCGCCGGCGAATCCCTTTGGGACCACGGCTGCGGCCTCGGCGCCGGCGTTTGGGGCGTTTGGTACGGCGGCTCCTGCGGCTGCTAGCCAGCCCTCGCTGTTTGGCACTACGACGACGAACACTGGGTTTGGTGGTGCCACCACCAATGCCTTCGGAACGACTTCGCCGTTTGGAGGTAGGACTGACGAAAGTCCGCGGGGATGTCTTGGGGGTTTCTTAAGCAAGGAGTGTGACGAATCAACCTGTTGTGACTGTTTTTGTGATGTTATCAGCGATGGAGGGCTACTTTCCGGACTAACAGGTTGCATTGCCACTTGCCTGCACTTGCATATGACTGGTTAATAAACGCAACATATCAACTGCCCTTTGTTGTTCGCAGGCGCCTCCTCGGCAGCTACCTTCAGCTTCACAAGCTCGCCTGCGACGTTTGGTGCTGCCTCTGCCCCATCGCTGTTTGGCACCACCGCCGCACCGGCGGCGAGTCCGTTTGGGACCACAACAGGAGCGCTGGGTGCCGTAGGATCCCCCTTTGGTGCGGCATCCTCTGCCTCTGCTTTCGGTAAGTGCTTGATTTCCCGTTTCAATCGATAACCATTACCTATCATCCGTGGAAACGGTTGCTGGATCTAAGCATCCCGGCCCGTCCTTGATCTCTATCTCTCTCTTTCCGTTGCAGGTACAAGCACCTTCCCCGCATTCGGTGCCAACACTGCCGCCAAGCCCGCTGCTCCATCGCCATTTGGAACCACGGCGCCCTCCCCCTTTGGAACCACGGCTCCCGCCGCGGGCGGCGGACTGTTTGGCAACACGGGCTTCAACTTCAACACTCAGCCCGCCTCTACTCCCTCCCTCTTCGGGACCACCACCGCGGGAGCCGCAGCGCCCTTTGGCACCGCCGGCATCTTTGGCACTCCTGCTGCCACGGCTCCTGCTGCCGGTGTTGGGCTGTTTGGTACCACCACCACGGCGGCACCGGCGGCGCCAACGCAGCCCCCGTCGGTTGCCCAGCCAGCGTACGGCAACTTTGGCTCCTTGCCTGCCGTACCGGAGGCCAAGGTGGGCATCACCACTCGCCCAGGACGTATCGCCTCGATCAGCAGCGGCGCTAGCAAGGCGAGCCCGCTGCTGTCGTTGAGGCCCACTCCGGTGCGGTACGGCGCTTCCGTGCGTGCCCGCGTGGACCAGCCGCCTGGACTTGGCCTCGGTCTGGCCAGCGCCCTGCCTCACACGCATGTCGCATCGGGTTTGCTCCCCGCGTCTGCAGCAGGCTCGGACCTCCTGACGCCCCAGGCGCCTGCGGGTGCTGGTGCCGCCGCTGCCGCGGCGGCAGCCGCTGTCGCCGCAGGCGGCAGCGGCCTCCTGCCGCTTCGCCAGAACCCGCACCGTCTGTTCATTGCCGCGCCGCCTCCATCCACGGAGGCAGCTGGCGGCAGCAGCTTCCTCTCGCCTGTGCGGCCGCTGTCGGCGCACCGGGCTGGCACCCCCGACGGCGCAGCAGCTGGCGGCGATGACGACGGCGAGCCCCCCGCCACGGTACTTGAGACTCCCGGCGCCGCTGCGGCCGCAGCCGCTGCGGGTGCTGGAGCCCGCCACGGCGGCCTCAACGGCTACGCCAACGGCTACTCTGGCGGCGCCGTCGCCGCTGCTCCCGCGGGAGCTGGTCCGTCGACGACAGCGGCGGGAGCCGGCCGAGTCGCCGCCTCCGCCGCCGCTCCAGCCTTCCAAGACGCCCCTGCTTCCGAGGCGCACCTCCCGCGGCTGGGACGCCTGGTTGCGGAGGGCTACGCCTTCAGCCCCAATGTGGATGAGCTGCGGCTGCTGCACAGCCAGAACCCGGAGAACCTGGCATCGGTCTCCAACTTCACCGTCTCACGCGCCGGCATCGGTCAGGTCCGCTGGGTGGTACCCGTGGACGTCCGCGGTTTGCCCTTGTACGACATTGTTTCCATTTCGTACGGCGAGGTGCTGTGCTACGCGGATGCCTCGGTCAAGCCGCCACAGGGCCAGGGCCTGAACAAGCCCGCGGAGATCACGTTGTACGGCGTGTACCGCAAGGACAAGGAAACGGGCGCTCAAATTAAGGAGGGCCCTCGCGGTCAGGCGTACGAGAAGCCCCTGCGGCAGATGTGCGCTCGCATGGGCGCCAAGTTCCTCTCGTACAAGGTCGACGGCGGCGTTTGGAAGTTTGAGGTGGAGCACTTTAGCCGCTACGGCCTCATAGACATTGACGATGAGGAGGACGCGGGCGGCGCCGCCGCCGCCGCAGCTGCTGCAGCTCCTGTGGAGGAGGGTGTGGGCGAGGCGCAAGGAGCTGGAGCAGCAGCAACAGCTGTTGGAACCGCACCCAGGCGACTGGGTTTGGGCCTGGGCTCTGCTGAGTCAGAGGTGGCGGAGTTTGGGACGCCTCATCTGTTTGGAGGCCGGGGCCTGGCGGGTGCCGGCCTGCGGGGCTTTGCCTTTGGCGCCATGGGCGGCGGTCCGGCGGCCAGCGCGGCGGGTCGCAGTGGCGGTGCGGCGCTGCTGGCTGGGGCGGCCGGCGGGGAGGAGTCCGAGGTGGAGCCCTCGGTTGGGCTGATGCGGCGGCAGCAGCTGGGGCTGGCGGGACTGCCGGAGGCGGGAGGGTCGGAGGCGACGGGCGGTGGCGTCGCAGGTGGGTGGGCGTGAGGAGGGAGGAAAGTTGGAGTGCTGGAGTTGTGGTGCGACTGATGTGGGTTGCGTGGGGCGGGGAGTGGGAGTCGCGCGTCGTGAGGAGGAAGTTGCCGCTGCTGGTGCTGTTGCTCGCAGTGGTGGTGGCACAATGGGTTCTAAGCTGCTGTTATGGTTGTGGTGCCGTGTGGTTGTGTACCGACCCTGTCTTGCAGTGTTTTTGTCGGAGAGGTCATTAGTCCAAGTTCCTATACTTTACCTTTATTGCGCATCTTGCGCCGCCGAATTGCGTAGAGCCGAAGGCGTTGTGTTGCCAATTACTTTTAGCCTGTATGTTTGGGTGGGTAATAGTGTTGAAGCAGCATAATGCCTAAAAGCTGTGTTGGATGTTGCTGTTGTGCTAATAAAGCCCTTAGCCCAAGCCTTGGCTAGTGCGTGTAGCACTTGCTACCACGCCGAGAGCCGCGACATGTACCATAAGGGAGCCCAAAGCCGCGGTCCTGGCATCATTGTGCGAGCAACTTGGATGTTGGATCCCGTTTTTTCTTCCCTTGCCGCCCTGGTCAGACCACTGAAGCCGTAATGACATTGTTTCCTTTCCGTTGCTTGGCTGGCCGTCGACGTGGCACAGCATACAAGCCAAAACACATGTAAAACCTCAAGAGCCACAACACCACTTGCCCCGTAAGCTACCTGGCTTCATGATACCTGTCGCTACCGCTACCGCTGTTTTCTGCCCGCCCGGCGGCCGGCCTCCCTCCCCTGCCCGCTCGTTTGTCTCACGTGTGTTGTCCCACCGCCACCCCGCTGGTGCGCAGGTGGCGGGGCGACCCATGGGACAGCGGGGGAGGCCGGCAGCCGGGCGGACAGGACACAGCGGTAGCGCTAGCGACACACAAGCCGGCGTGCGTGACCGTGCGGATGATGCGACAGGGCCGTAGAGCTAGCGCAGACAGCGACAGAATTCCGAGGAGCTAGCGGCAATTGCAGTATTAGGAACAGCATTGTAAAGCACGAGGGCTGGAGGGGTTGTGTTGGGTAGTTGCGTTGGGTAGCTTGATTGCTAGGTGGGGTTTTAGGCCGTCTTATGTAGGATTCTCTTGCTCTCTTGACGCACTTGAACATTGGGAGTAGCACATGTTACCCTGGTTTCTTGCTGACGAATACGGACCAAACGTCCTAATCACAGCTAATGGTCCACAGGCCTGTTACCTCGCCAACGCACAACGGTTGGGCAAAGCCCTTAGTAAGATAGCTTCTTAGCAGAGTTGTGATTAACAAAGCACGGCGTGTGTTACAACTGCTTGTTTGAATTTGCACTCGGACAGTGCCTTTAGGGATGAATTACGTGGAGCCTGTTTTTTTTGCTCTACTGACCAACCGAGGAGAAATGTCGTTGGCCGTTGCGTGCGCAGTGCTTCGTGTTTGCCGGTGTTGTAGGAGGTTGCCTTCTCTTTGATGCGTTGCTAGGCCTCGGACAAGTCCCCTTCCCTTATCGTAACGGGCAACGGAAAGCTGGGAAATGTTAGTTGCCACTTCCTCTACGCATGATGTGGTCGGGCGGAATAGTCCGCATTGAGGTTGTCAAGAGTCACCCTAAACACCCATGTTTCAGGTTCGGTATCCGGCCGTTGGGCATGTAAGAATCCCGGCTCAGTGCTATCTCACCTGCCAAGTCGCGTTCCCTTCTAACTTTTAAATATATGTTGCTTCTTTCAGCTGGGCGATGTTCCATGAGAAGCATGCGTTGCGTCTAAACCTCATAGCACATCAACACTGCTGCAAAACATCCCCAGGCATGCACATCTCGTAAAACGCTAGGGGGCCTGTCTTCCCATGAAACCCTCACTCGTGCGCTCCTCCCCTACGGTCAGTGTTTCCGTGGCTCTAATCCCCCCTTATATCCACGCACGCTGACTAACCCCCCAGGCGCCGACCAGGACATGTCGGAGGCGCGCGCCCAGCTGCGGTTCGGAGACGAGCCCGAGGTCTCTGGCGGCGTGGTGGGCCCCGCGGCACCCACCCTCTCCGCCGTCGACCACGATGCTGCCGTAGCGGCGGAACTGGCGGCCGCTGCCGTACAGCAGCAGCAGCAGCCCCCTGCCGTACCGCTCCAACATGCGCTGCCGGGCTCGCTGGCGCATGACCCCATGCGGGTCCGTGCGCTGCATGACGCCTTCTTCGGAGCGGCCGTCGGCGGGGGTGGGGGTGCCGAGCGTGCGCTGCAGACCCGTCAGACGTTGGCGGTGTCAGTTACTGGTGGTGGGGGTGGGGGTGGCGGTGGTAGGCGTGCTGGCGCCTCCGCCGCGGGGGCTGTTGCGGGAGCTGGCGGGGCCCTGGGATCGACGACGTGGCGGAGGCCTCAGGCGGCGCTGGCAGCGGGAGCCCCAGGTGAGGTGACTGAGGTGGCTGGCATGGTGCGGGACGGGGCGGAGGTGGCCTAGAAAGGAGGCTGCGCAATCCCTTCACCCCAGATACATATATAAGCGCTGCACAATCCTGCCTTAACAACTCTCACCCGACTTAATGACACCCTGCCACCGCCGGTGGGGGCGCCCACGTTACTGACGATGTTTGTATGTTGGTGTCCATGTCATGTGCCAATGTTTGCTAACGTGTGTATCTTACATCATGGGCTTGCTGTTATGCCATGCAGCTGCGGTGATGGCGCGGGGAGCAGCTCTGCTGGCGGAGGCGGCTGGCGACACCGGGGCTGCTGCCGGGGGCGGGGGCGGAGGCGTGAGCTCCTCGCCCATCAGCTTGGCGCTGGCTCGCGCTGTGACGGTGCGGCCCGCGGCTGCCCCCGCCGCTGACAGCGCGGCGGTACTGCCGCTGCGGGTAAGAGAGTGCGTACATCACGGCTTTTTCACCGACATATGTGGCTGGGAAAGCAAAGGAGCCCTTCATCACGTGTTGTCCTGCCCGAAATAGTTCGCGAGTCCGTGTTTTTTCGGGGGTTTGACTGGTCCCATCAAGCCTAATGAGGGACATTGTGCCCGCAGGCCTCCTTACCTTCACCCCGTCGTACCTCCTTACCCTTCACCCCCCCTTTTCTCCACCTGGTAACCTACATCCGCTGGCCGCAGGATGTGCGCACTGCGGGCTTCCTCACGGACGCCGGGCTGGCGATGGGGCGGTCCTTCCGCGTGGGCTGGGGACCGGGAGGCAGGCTGGTCGTTCCTGGTGGGTGGATGGATGCTGCGGTTGCAGTAACAGTGCGCGTGTACGGTGTGTCCGTACGAGCCAGGGGGCCAAGGGCATGTGTGGATGGTGGTGAGGGGCGTGGCGGCGGGGAATTTTGGAGGCATTTACGGTAGGAACCACATGCTTGCATGTAGAGGCTGCGTTACACCTTACATGCGTGCCGGAAGGTAACAACGGTGCGCCTGCCTCCCATGCACTCATCTTGGCTGCCCTGTCTCGCCGCACCTGTTGAATGTGCCACCTAAAAAACAGGCGCCGCCGAAGCCACCTCGGCAACGGAGATCTGCATCACGCGGGTCCGAGTGGAGGGCGAGGGAGCTGCGTACGGAGAACTAGCGTACGGCGCTGGCGGCGGCGGTGGCAGCGGGTCCGAGGAGGCTGAGGGCTTGGAGGCGCTGCGGGACCGGCTGCGCGCGGCACTGGAGGTGCAGCTTGCCGCTAGCAGGCCGCAGCAGCAGCAGGTAAGGAACTTGGGATCACGACCCCGTCTTCGGCCTTCTCAGTTGTAATCCTCTCAACCCATGCCTACAGGCTGGAGACGATGACGACGCCGTGGGGAATAGCAGCATTGGCAGCGGCGACGACGGCCCTGCTGTACATGTGCCGTATTGGCGACTCTGCATTGACGCCCGGGAGCTTGCCGTACTGGTGGACCGCCAAGTACGGGTTTGCGAGCAGCAGCTCCAGCAGCTTCTGGGCGGCGGCAGCGGAGGCGACGCCGCCTCCGCCGGCGGCCGCGGCGGCGGCGGTGCTGACGTGGACGCCGACCATCCCGAAGTCGTACGGCTGCGTCATGAGATGGACACGTGGCGGCTTGTGGAGGTTTTGTTCGCCAGGATCGACGGCGAGGTTCCGGAGGGGGATGAGGAGGCTGCAGCCGCAGCGGTCGCAGCCATTGAGGGTGGTGCTGACGCCGCCGGCGGCAGCGGCAGCGCCCGCGGCGCGGACATGATGGTTCTGTCGACCACGCCGCCGTCAACGCCGCTGCCGCAGGCTGCGGCTGCAGTCACGCCTGCGCCGTCTGATTACGACATGGCTGGCGGCAGCGGCGAAGCCGCCGTCGCCGGCGCCGCTGACTCAGCGGCGGCACCCGACGCTGCAGAGCCCCGTACGTTGCTGGCTGCCATGCAACGCCGTGCGCAGCTGAGCATGTGGCTTCAGCGTCAGGCGCGGCGGCGAGTGGAAGCGGACCTCCAGACGGCTGGCAGTCCGGCGGCGGTCGTACTGCACTTGCTGGCGGCGCATCAGCTGGCGGCGGCGATGGGCGCAGCGGCGGCGGCGGGCGACGCCAGGCTGGCCATGTTGATTGCGCGGGTAGGGCCGGGGACGCGAGCTGCGGGCCAACCTGCTTTGCCCCTTTTCCACATCTCTGTACCAGTCTATGTTTGTCTTGATCCTTGGTTTGAACTGCTTTCGCTACCTTGACTTACGCAAGCCCCAGCTAACTCACACCTGCAAATGCGCGCAGGCCGGTAGCCGCTCCTCCGCTAGGTCGCAGTTGGCTGCTCAGCTGACCGTCTGGCAGCGGTCGGGCTTCTCGGAGCACATGGCGGCTGAGAGGCTGGCGGCCTACCACCTGCTGGCGGGGCAGGTGGGGCTGGGGCTGCGGGATACCTGGGCGATCGCTAAGAAAGCTGAGATGTCTTGACTCTTGAGTGTAACGTGCTGCTTGCTGCTAACCCGTATCTCATGTACCCTTCCCGCCAAACAGGTCCTGGAGCCGCAGCGCCTGCTTGCACTGGACTGGCGCCGGCTGCTCGGACTGCATCTCTGGTACGGCACCCACAACACGTCATCGCCCATGACTGCCGTACAGCAGTACCTCGTAGATCGCCACATGGAGCCGGCTGCCGTACCGCACCCGGCGCCGTACCACGTGGAGGGGCTGCAGCCGTCGGCAACAGGCGCCGCCGCCAGCAGCGCCGCCTCCGCCGTCGGCGCCACTGACGTGCAGTGGGAGCTGCTACAGCTCTGGGCGACGACGCCGGCGGCGGCGACGGCCGACTGTCTGGCGGCACAGCAGCTGGCGACGGCTTCCGGGGTGGCGGCGGCGGCGGAGCGTGCGCGAGCGGCGTGGCTGGCTAGCGGGGGCTGTAGCAGGCTGTTGCGGTGTGCGGGCTACAGCCCCAATCCGCTGGACCATAGCCTGGCATGGCACCTCATGACAGCCCTGCAGGTGAGTTGTAGTGCTGGGATGGCTGGGCTAGCTCCAAGGGTGGCGCAGAAAGATGATACGGAAGAAAGACGCGAGCTTAGCGCCTCGCCTGCACTGGCATATCAGCATTGCTCTACTCAACCAGGCCTTCAATCCTCACTTACCCATACACGACACTCTCCTGGTGTTCTCGCACCATCCCGACTCATCATGTACAGGCTGCCAACGTCCTGCCGACACCGGGCGCCGCAGCTTCCTCGGACGCCGGCGCCGCCTCCTCGGCCCTGTCGCATGCCGAGCAAGCCGCCTACGACGCCGAGATGCTGGGCACCACGCTGGAGTTCATCTCGCAGCTGCAGCTGGCGGGCGGGCTGTGCGAGTGGGCGCTGTTCGTGGCCCTCACGCTTCCCGACCTGCCCTCGGCGGGGGGCGCGGCGGTGCGGCGGCGGGTGGTGCGGGAGCTGCTGGCGCTCACCGCACCCGAGTGGATGGGGGACAGGTACGTTACGTTGCTGCATATTTGCGGGTCCTGTTGGTGTAGGAGAACAGCAGTGGTCTCGCTTGGCTCAGCTTGTCACACGCAAAGTTGTTTTGTCCTACGGTACCTTCGGTAATCGAGCAGTAAGTACGATAATTGAGCAGCTCCTCTTTCTTCCCTCCTGTCCCGCCTGTTCACAACTTGCTCTTTTGCTTCCCGCCTTCCCGCCCGCAGCGCTCGCGAGGCCTTCCTCACCTCCACCCTGCAGCTCCCGGAGCCCCTGCTGGCGGAGGCGCGGGCAACATGGGCGCAATACACACGCGATGACGCCGCACGTTGCGCCGCGCTGTTGGCTGCGGGCACCGCCGCCGCCGCCCACGACGTCTTCGCCGCCTCCGTGGCTCCCGGCCTCTTCCTAGCAGGCGCATGGACCGAGCTGGCGCGCCTCGTGGCGGCGCTGGAGCCGGCGGCGGCGGCATTGCCGTCGTGGACAATCGGCGGCGGCTTGTACGGCAACTACTTGGCGTTGTTTGGCCGCCAGTTGACGGCGACGTCGGCGGCGGTTGCGCACCAGCTGCTGCCGCCGCCGGAAGGTGTGGGTCTGCCTGAGCTCCTGGACTTTGCGTCGCAGGTGCAGCAGGCGCAGCTCAGCCTGGATCCAAGGCTGGTGGCAAATGGTACTGCGGCTGGCGGCGCCGCCGCCTCCGCCGGCGGTTCCCCTGGCAGCGATGAGGCCTCTGAGCGCAGTCGCCTGCGGCGGCGGCTGGTGCTGAGTCGCATGGCCGCTAGGGTGCATGGAGCGCTTGTGTCGGCGCCGCCGCCAGCAACAGGGGGCTCTGCAGGTGCGGGGGCTGCCTGGGCGGATCGCAGTGTGGCTCTGCAGGCGGGTCTGGCGCTGCAGGGCTGCACGGCTTCGGAGCTTCAGCTGGGTGGGGTGGCAGTGGCGGTGGCGGAAGCGGGCGCGCGGGTGGTGTGCTCGTCGTGATGCGATCGGGGGAAGGAGGAGTGTTATCAAGTGGGGACTGGGGTGTGGCAGGAAGATGTGGCGCGTGAGTGAGTTTGGTGTCCGGGAAAAGGGCATGGCGTTGGCTGTTGGTGCGGCTGTGCGGTAGGTTGGGGGGGAGAGAAGTGGCTCATGCGCTTGAGGAAGGGACGATGTCGAGGCAAAAGGGCGAAGGCGTTTCGTTTGCAGGCTTACGCCGATTGACATGAGGACAGTACGGGCTAGAGGCGAACCGCACATAAGGACCGTAGGGCCAGGCAAAGGGAGTTTTTGCCTTGCGGCCGAAGGTCCTTAAGAGAACGGAGGCATGCACTCCCACTGGGCTCGTGGATGGGAAGGCTGCCTGTTGTTGCGAGGTGCAGGTTACGGTTTGAAAGGCAGCGTACTGAGGCGCAGGTTGTTATCAGAGTTAGAAATATATGGACGTACTTGTCATGGATGGGCACCAGCCAGGAGCATCGCCCTGTCTAGGTCAAGCTGCGACCATTCCTTGACTGACTTCCCCAGTTGTGTGCTTACAGCTGCATTTATAACGAAGGCCAAACATTAACACTTCTGGCTAGACATACCGGTACAGGGTTGGGCTCATCACCCGTGTTCCCATTCTTAGGGGATCACTGTAAAGTTCACTCATTAAGACACTAGGAATGCAAACAAGATGTCTCGTACATGGGCATCCTTCCCTTCGTTCAGCACACATAAGCCTGCAGAATTGTCTACATATCGGGCCATTGCAAACCCGTCAAACACACCTTTGGCCCGGCATCTGCCAGACACCATCTCCCACATACATGCATGACACTGGTATCCGACATGGAAAGCGGCTACATGAAGCCCCACCCCTCCGTATGGCATCTGGCCATCGCTGGCTCACTGCGGCGCAACTCACTGCTCGGATGAAGGGATTGAGAAAGCTTCAACCTTGTTGATCACGCGCTAAATAGCAGGTACCTAGGCAAGTGGCTTAGGTACAAGAGCCGTCTATGATGAAATCACACATGACATATCGCCTATGACCTAATCACGCATAATGCACTGTCCACTGCTGCCGCTGGTGGCCTCAGTTGGCATCCCGCAGCGCACCTCCCCCTCGCGCCCGCGCGCCCCCACCGGTCCCCTTGTTACCGCCCGCGCCAGCGTTCTCCCTGCCCGGCCTCGCCGCCGCCGCACGGCCGGTGTCGGTCACGGTGCGCGTGACGGTGGACACTCCCTCCACGAACTTGGTGCGGAAGAGCACGCTGGCGTTGGAGAACATGCCCTCCTTGAGCGACACCACGATGAACTGGCTTTCGGGGAAGTTCTCGCGGATCATGCGGCCGATGTTTTGGGTGTGGTTGAGGTCCAGCGCGGCGTCAACCTCGTCCAGGATGTAGATGGGCGCGGGCTTGAACCTGCGGGAGGGGCGCAGCAGCGACACGTGTTGACAACGGGGCACACATGTAGGGTCCTTACAGGGCATTGAGTCCGAGGGAGACAGCGTGCTGGGTACGTGGGCGGAGGAGCTGGAGTCTTAGGACAGCGCCCTAAGTGGACTGCGTCCCCACGCCTTCCTTCGCAAGCAGCGCTTTGCGGCTGTGCGTATGTTGCAGCTACCAGCAAGGCCCACCTGCAGAGCGCCAGGATGAGGGAAAGTGCCAGCAGCGATCGCTGGCCGCCCGACAACTCCGTCAGCGACTCCTTCCACACGTCGCCAAACGCGACCTTCACCTCCAGGCCTGGATAAGGCAGAAGGGGACAAGGTCGTCACGCATTGTTGACGCACGACGGCATGCGGCTGTGCACGCGGCTGTGTTAGTACTGCGCTATGCCTTGAGAAAGGCAACTCGTTCCTTACCGTCCATATATGTGCCGCCTTGCGGTGGCTCCAGCTTAGCCTGGGTGCCGGGCAGGAGGGTCTTAAAGATCTTCCCAAACCACTCGTTGACCTTGCCCCACACGTCCTGCAGCGCCATGCGGCTCTGCTCATCCAGCTCCTCCATGACCTGCACGTGGCGGAGGCGGAGGGGTAACACGCGTCAGCAACCAGGGGCCCTGTGAAGCAACCATTTCCCTACTTTCTAGCTTGCACAGCGCCTATACCAATACCTTTACAAAAGCCCCTGCACCACGCTGTGGCGCCGTGGAAACACACCTGCTGCAGCTTGAGCTTGTCAGCCTCCACCACCTTGCGCTTCTCGCACAGCGAGCGGTGGTCCGCCTCGGCCTTCTCAAGCTGGGACAGCACCTGCACGGGCAGCTCGCCAAAGACACAAGATCAAGAACCGGCATGAGCCGAAGCCCACACAAAGCAACAGCTAGTTTACTTAGCATACATGCTTATCAGCTGCAAGACGGTCCTTTTTCCAAACCTCCTTCACGTAGGAGTATTCCCCAGGACCCATCAGCTCCCCAGGACCCATCAGCTCCCGCCGCTCACCGATGCCTTGACCTTGCCCTTGAGCGCCTCGCTCCGCTCCATTGCCTTCTCGTACTCCCTCCGCATGGCGGCGATGTCCACCCTGTCGAAGCAGTAGTCGCCCGTCCCAAAGTGCTTCTTCTCCGCCGCCACCCAGGTGTGCTCCGCCTCGGTGCGCGCCACCCACTCCACGGACTTCTGGATCTGCTCGCGCTTGCTTTTAATCCTGGATGTGTCAAGGGAGGGGTGAAGAGATAAACGAGAAGTGAGCAAAGGATGAAGGTAGAGGGGTGCAATTGGCTCGGAGTGGAAAGAGGCCACCGCCCAGCGGTCCGTTTGGAGATGCATAAAGGACGGCACGTTTCGTGGACACGCATAGCGCACATGACCGCCAGTACGCAGGCTGACCTCGTTCTTAACAGGCTTCCGACCCATCGGAGGCTCCCTCGATAAACCTACCTGGCCTCGATCTTCTTGATATCCGAGTCGTACTCGGCCGCCTTCTTCACCAGGGCCTCACGCGCCATCTCCAGGGCCCGAATCTCTCCGTCGCACTCCGCCATCCGGTCCTGCGTTGCACGGGCGGACATGCGTAACTACTTGCCTTGCTTCACTTCATTTCCGTTACCCTAATTGCATCGTTGCATGCCAACCCACGTGGCCATATGCCCACATGCGCGGCCTCACCTGCATGGCTTTGAGCCTGCTGGCGGCGGCCGCTGCCGCCTCCTTCGCGACCTTCACCTCATCGGAGAGCTTTGCTACCTCCGCCTCAGCGTCTGTATGGACAACCGGAAGGAAGGTTTGTTACATAACTAGGTATGCCAAGCTACTGACGCACTTAGTCAAACCATGGAAGTTAGAGCATCGACGCAATTCGCCCGGATGGTTCATCAACTCCCAACCCTTCCTTACTCGCAACGCTTTGTTGCGCCGCCGTAATCTGCCCTAGGAGCGCGTCCTTCTCGCCTCCCGCGGCGTCCCGCTCGGCCTGTGCCTTCGCCAGCGCCGTCTCGACAATCCGCAGGGCCTTACGGGCGGCTTCGGCGGCCGACTTGGCTTTTTTGAGCTTGTCTTGGGCCGCCTTGATGCGAGCTCCGCGGTCCTTGTCGAAATCGCGGATCTCACGCTCCAGGGACTGCACCATGCGCATGGAAGGGCAGGGGAGGCAGCGGAACCATGTGAGGTGCGGACACGAGTCCCCGTGTTCGTGTACGCCATGTACGCGACACGCTTGCGGCTAAAGCGGTTCGACATGCAGGAATCAATACCTAATGAAAGATGGTCGTACAACAGCAGAGCTGCAACCCACCTTGGCCAGCTCAATGAGCTCCTTCTTCTTGTTGGCCGCCTCAATTCCCGACTCCTTTGCCGCCGCCAGCTGCTTCTCCGTGGCGTCTGCCGCCGCCACCAGCTGTGCCGCCTCGCTGCCCGCCACCCGCTGCTGTGCCAGCTTGAGGCTGTGCTGCGCCAGCTCCAGCTCCTTGCTGTACCTGAAGTCCGGACCCGAGGCGAGGGGCGTTGCGCATGGGGGCTGAGTGTTAGATGTGTTGCAGGTTCGGTGTGCTGCAGTATGTCATGTCAAGGGTGCGACACGGAGCTCTCAAGGCGAGGCCATCTTGTTATAATACTTAATGTAGCAAAATGAGTCTGGGCTCATTACAATTGTACCCTCTACACATTCAGGCGCCTCGTGCATGGCATGCCCGAGATGCTGGGCGCTTAATCCCAGTTCCCCACGCACTTGGTGTGCTCGCGTGCGGTCGCCTCCATGGCCCCCAAGCGGCCCTCCACATCCGCGAGCTCCCGGGATGCCTGGTTCAGGTTGGCCTGCGCTGCAGCCAGCTCCGTGAGCTTCGCCAGCAGGCAGGCGCGGTTGCCGCGGCTGCCGCCGGTAAGGGTACCTGCGGGAGGGCAAGCGTGTAAGGTATTGGCTGTAGGTGACGGCAAGCTGTGGTGCAAAGCTGTGCAGTGTATGGCTGTCAAGCAACCAGGGTAATCAGCTCCAACGTCTGCAAGCTGGCGTGGACGATGCTTAGGAGGGATGGATGAACTCCGTGTTGCCTGTTTCCTGTGAGTCCCATGAGCCAACCCACTTACCGGCGGGGTTGAAGTCGTCGCCCTCGAGCGACACGCAGCGCACGTGGACCTCGCGGCTGAACGCGAGCTTCCTGGCGGTGCCTCCGTCCTGTGGAGGAAGGCGACAAGGTGCATTCAAGAGCGCAACCCAGAGTTTAGGACTTGCCGTACAATCATACGAGATGCCAACTAACGAACCAAGGATTACATGGAACCTAGTGTCCCGTGGGCACAGGCGACAGAGGGGCCCCGTGCGCGCACCTGGCAGATGAAGACGTTGCCAAAGGCGTAGTGCACGGCCGGAGCGAACCGCGGGTCGAACTGCAGGAAGTCCACTGCGGGGCGCGCCTTGCCGCCGCTCAGCCGGTGCGCCGCCTCCACCAGCTCCCGCCGCATGGGCTCACCTCGCACCTGGGAAAGAGGTAACCCCGAGATGCGGGCTCAAGTTAGTAACTGCGGCGCGACTATCCTAGGAATACATTATATACTGTATGCTAAGCAAGCATGTTGAGCGGCCATAACGAGCTGCCACGTTTTACCCGAACGAGCGATACATGGGTACCCTAGCAACCCGTCAACGCTTCTCCCAGTACTTCTCCTTGCCTTGTTCAGGGGAACCATGGTCGTGCGACGTTTCAGCTGGCCGCGCTCTAGCAGCTCCTTGGCCGTCGCATCGTCATCCACCACCACCTGTAGCAGCAAACAGGTAACACATGAAGACAAGATTGCTTCCAACCGTTCAAAGGATGCATGGATGGCTTAGTGCACCATACAATTACCATCATGCTGCTACAAAAGCTAACGCATCCATGCATGTAAAGTGTTGAGCGTGCACGTCGTGCTGCACATGGCGTGTCTTGCCTGGTAAAGCCTGCCACCCGCCGCCACCTCCAGCGCCAGTGCCGCGGCAGGGTCCGTGACGGTCACCAGCTTCGCCACGGTGCCGTGCACCTTCCGCGTATCGAGGTTGCGGGACGCCGTGTACTCGAACCGCGCACCTGGCACCATCAGGGACCCCAACGGAGGGTCGCACGGTCGCTTAACATGTATAAGCAAGAAAGGAGGACCAACAATGCGAGCTTCCATGCAGCCGACCCAGCATGCGGTGGCCACCTGCCTGGCGACCCCTTAATACACAGAAGTCCGCCCACACGCCCTTCCCCTCCCTACCGTATGTCTCGCCCTCCAGGTTCTTGACCTGGTCGCGGGTGCGTTGTACCACCGCCCTGCACTCGTCGCGACGCGCCTCAAGCTGGCGCATGGCTGGCTCGTCAAAGTGCAGCCCCTGAGGGACAGGAAAAGGAGGAGTTGCACGACGGAAGGGAGCAGACACGATTCGCGCAAAGATGGCGCAACAGCGACGAAGCCCAGGCCATGCTAGCCCCCAGATACCGCACGCACTGAGCCCTCCATTAACCAGTCCGAGCCATGTGTTCCCCACCCTCACTCTCCCTCACTCCTCAGTACCCAGACGCACCTGCAGCCGAGCGGTGCACTCCTCGACCTTGCTCGTGTGCCTCTCCAGCTCCCGGGCCAGGTTGGCGCCCTCCTTCTCCTTGGCCGCTGCCGCCTTGCGCTGCTCCGCCAGCTGCTTGGTGAGGTGCTTCACGGCCAGATCCGCCTCGGCCGCAGCCGCGTCGGCGGCCGTCTGCTGAACCTGCGCGTCCGCCAGCCGCTCTTGCAGAGAGCGGTTTGACTCGTCGCGGCCGTCGCCCGCCTCCGCACCTGAGTAATGTTTGGTAAATGGTCGAGTGACAGTCATGACAGCCCGGACGCAAACATGCAGGTGAGCGCAGGAGCGCCCGTTGAGGGCGGTCCCAGCATTGAAGCAGCATTCCCTAAGTATCAACGCCTGAGCGCTGCGTCCCTGCCCTATGTGCAGCTTTTTGTTCTGCATACGGCACAGGCCGTTTTCCTTAACCAATCGCACCCCAACACCAAGCTCCTCGTCCCCTTTTCAGCCACACCCACCTGCCAGCTCGCGCGTGGCCGCCTCCACAGCTTTCTCCGCCGCCTCCAGCGCGGCCCTGGCCTCGTCACGGCGCTGCTCCGCTGCCGCCACCGCGCCCTCCAAGTCCTGCGCCGCCAGCTCGGCCGCCTGTGCCTGAAGCTTCTTGAGAGCCGCCTGCTCCGACTTGAGCTCGTCCTGCTCGTGCTTCAGCGCGGTGGTGCTGCCGGACAGCCTACATGGCAGGAAGCAGGAGGGAACAGGGGGGAAAGGGGTATGAATACGAGAGGAACGTGAGGAATTCTGGGTTCAGAGCATGGCGGCTAGCTTGCAGCCTGACCCACTTGAGCTGCAGGTCGTCCACCGTCTTCTTCAGTTCCCGCATCTCGCCGCCGCCCTTGATCTCCTTTTCGGTCGCAAGGTCGCGAGCTTGGGCCGCGAGCTCCGCCGCCTCGCGCTGCTTCTCGTCTCGCTCCTCGGCCTTCTTGGCCATGGACTCCTCCATTGCAGCGACCTCCGCTCCGCCCGAGTCGATAAGACTGCAGTTAAGCATGCGTTTAGGCGTCAAGATGCGAGGTAGGCGTGTACGATTTGAATGGGTTTCACATCATCAGTGTCGCGCGGGGTCCAGGCATCCATTGGCACACCGGGCAGGTCAGCAGGACCGTGCTGCGTTGGTCCGGCCCAACAGCACAGCATAGGCCCGCCCAACCTGACCGCGAAACCCACCCCACTGCTCCCCCACCAACACCCAACTGCCACCTGCATGCACCCAATAACAAGCGCCCAACTGCCCCTTCCATGCACCCACCGCGTGCAGTGCACATGGTCGTACGCCAGGCAGAACTTCAGCAGGCGGTCGCGTTGCGAGATGACCGCGTTGTACTCGTTGTACTCGCCGCAGCGCTTGCGTAGCCGCTCCAGTTCCGGCTCCAAGTCCGCCTTAAGCAGCTGTAGGCGAGGAAGGGACGGAAAAAGGGAGCGTTCCAGTAGATTATGGCGTGTGTGCAGTACTGTATACGCTGGTTCGTGTTTTCTGGTCTGAATCCTAGCGCCGGGATTTGTACGGCTACGGCGTCTCTAGGCAAAGCAGTAGCCACCCAGCATTCATAGCCGGAGCCCCCGTACCGCGTCGATCTCCTCCAGGCGCGCCTGCTTCTTTTCCAGCGTCTTTAGCGCGTTCTGCTTCTTCTTCTCGTACATCTTCGTGCCGGATGCCTCTTCCAGCAGCGCCAGGATCTCAGGCGGCTTCATGTTGAGCACCTGCGGTAAGGGCATAAGACGGATGTGACAACTGGATGCGTTAGCCACCAACCGGCCATCTGCTCAGGCTTGCCAGGCCATGCAACAGGCCTCATGCCTGCGTTGGCGTGTGTGACTCCTGTGTCGCGGTAAGCTGGCAGTGTGGCTGACATGCATACCTTGGTGATACGGCCTTGCATGATGAGGAAGGTGGGGTTGTTGACATTGAGTTGCACCGACTGAAAGAGATCCGCCACGCGGCTGCAAAATCATCAGGGCGGGACACACGTAGAGGGTCAGGCGGAACGGCGAGGCGATGCAGTAGTTCCGGCTTGCATGAGGCGTACACGTCGCGCCTGTCGCACTTTAGGGGACGGACAACACATCCCTGGGCCACAGTGAAATAGCTACCATCAATCTGCGGCGATGTGGGTCACGGGACCGCAGAACCCGGCACCTACGTCTCAGTAGCTGCTTGAGAATTGATGAGGTACTTGTTGCGGCCGCCAATGACCACCTGCGCATACCGTGCAAAGGCAGCGAAGGCAACCATTGTCACTGTGTGGCAGTTACGCTAAGGTTCAGCAATCAACCCGGTACCTAGGTTGGCGTGCAGGACTGCACGACAAGGAAGCGGTGTACGAAGCCGAAGTCAGTGCAGCGCGTGGTAGTTCACCTGGCGTGTGACGCTGATGGTGTCCCTGTCCTCAAAGCCCGTTGGGGCCCTCTTGGGATCATCAATGCGGAAGGTGATACACACGGATGCCTTTGTGATGCCAGCCTGGCCTTGTTTGTACACCAGTTCTTGTAAGTTGGTGGCACGGACCTGGGGAGTAAATACGGGGTTCGGGGCGAGTCGGGTGCGGATACATGGACTTTCATGTCGGGAAAAGGGGAAACCCTCCACTTCAGGGAGGTGGTTACTAGCGGGACACGGGCATCTTCTAGGGAAAATAACAGATCATACCAGCCTGCACGAACCTGGCTAAGGTTTTTTATGCCCAAAACAAAGCATATTGAGTCGAGGATGTTGGATTTGCCACTGCCGTTAAGGCCGGTGATGGCATTGAAGCATGGGTCGAAGTTGCTGAGCGTAACACGGTTTGCATATGACTTAAATCCTTCGATGCAAACTTCGCTGATGTACATTCCTCAAGAGGTTGTCTGCTGAAGCGTACAGCCTTCGGCGTCAAGAGTGTTCTTGGCGAAACGTCTCTACGAAGCTACACGTCATGCAATTATTGCAGAGATGTCTGTGACTGCTTGAGGCGTACAAGGAGAGACTTAATTAAATACATGCGTCTGGAACAGCTTGGCTGTCCTAGAATACAGCTGTCGTGTAGCCGTGCAGGAAAGAAGTAAGGAACAGCCGTTAATGTCAGTTTAAGATATGAAAAAGGCTTAGCATGCATCCTCGGAAAGACTGACCGAGGCGTTTGTTGAGGCGTTGCATGGGGCAGCCGTATTTCAAATTATAGCCCATGCACGATGTCCAGCCGATGCGGCAGCAGCTTTATACCTTTGCCTTTTGCTTAACGTAATGAAAAGGTCTAGCTAATAAGCAGAACATAGTAACATAGTTGAACGCCGAAGTTACACGTCGGCTGTAGGGAAGAATGCATATGCTTGCCAAACCCGGTTCTAGCCTGGCAGTTAGCAAAGGCTGCTGTCAACAACAGAAGCAAGTTACTTGTCCAGTAGGGCATTGTACAGCTGCCTCAGCTCCGTCCGCTCGGCCGGATGCTTCTCATCCGGCACTTTGCGCGTCCCAGCTACACTCTAGCCAACCATGTACATCAAGACAATCGGTTGTAGCTAATGCTCTTCCATCATCCTTGACTGCGCCCTGCCAAATGGTATCAGCGGCGGTCCGGTTCTACCACCTGTGCGAAACGAACGATTTCCATGACGTGGCAGGGATCGTAACACCAGACGTTACGTGGAGGTAGGCATGGTTGCGGTTAAATATGCACTTGCGTGGACGTCAGCCCTCCAGAGGGATCGCACCTTCACAATCTTAGGCTGCACGTTATTCTAATAAAGCGAGCTTTATTGTCAATCCCGATGTTGGTGTGCTATTTCGGGGATACGCGGCTGACGTAGATTTCCTGTCTTATCACCCCTGACCCTAGTCCAGAGGAGGCCTTCTGGCCGCATCCTTGCGCTGTAACTGTTTTCACCTCGGCCACCTGGCTTCCCCGTGCCTCATGTCGTGTGCTGCAAGCACGTAAAACGCTTATCCCAGAGGAGCACTGAGCCCTACCCTCCACGCACACGCAGGCAACGCGGCCTGCTCCAGGGGAAGCGGACGTACACAGGCGCGGAGGCGGTGCACACCGCACTCCTAAACATGCATGCAGCTTACCAGGTACGTCCACTCCTCCGCTTCACCTTGCTGGAGTAATCCAATGTATCCACTCTGTGCACGCTGGAACGCCTCCCTCTCAAGGCTCGGTGCCCACGCCCTTGTGTGACGCATACACGTTCTTCCTTCTTGGAACAGGATTTGACGTACACCGTCAACACCTATGCGGAGGAGGAGGGCCGCGTTGCCCTCTTCTGGACGGCCACGGGAACCAATCGCATGGGCCTGTTTGGCATGTCGCCCAGTTTCAAGCGCAGCACCTTTTCAGGTAATAAGTCGTACGCGAAACCAAAGGCTGCGTGGGTACGCACTGGCTGCACACCACCACAGCACCTACAGCCTTTTTGCACCTCCATCCCTTGGGAAGATAAGACCGCTTAACTGACATGCAGCGCACCCCGAAAACGCCACTCACTGAGCTAACACGCCCTGGTGCCCCTCCAGGTGTCAGCCTGGTGCAGCTCCACACGGACGGCCGCATCCGCGAGGTGATCGAGTACCGGCAGCCGACGCACGAAGAGATGGCCGCCTTCCTTCGCCAGGACCTGCCCGACCAGCAGCATGGGGCTGTGGACCGGCTGCTGGCGCGGGGCCACGCGGCGCCCGCCTCCAGCGGCGGCAGCTACTGCCAGCTGCCCGTCACGCGGTCCATCGACCCCATGTGGCGCGTGCGGGCGATGCAGGTCGCCACGGAGTGGGTGGAGAACTGGACGCCGGGGCCTGATCTGGAGGAGATGGTGGGTTGGGGTGGCGGGCAGGGGAATTTAGAAGGGGCACGACTGACTTAAGCCGCATGGTGCTTGGGATAGGGATTTCATCATGACGAGGAGGTTGGTCAGGGACGTTTGGGATTTCCTCGGGCTGCAGTGGATCCCTTGTTGAATATCTTGGCGGCGCACTGCAGGTGCGGGACGACATTGAGGAGTACAACATCTACAGCTGGCCGGATTTTGATCAGGACGTGAAGGGCCGCGACGCCCTGGAGGAGCGCCGCAGCAGGAGCTCCCAGGTATGGTATTGCAGCTCTCGCATGTTTTAAGGTGGTTTAAGGCGGCTAAGCGAGCTTGCCGGCATCAGTATCTGAACATACTGTAATCCCCTTCTTACGCGTCTGCTCCCATGTCACGCGACCAGGACGCGGTGGTCATCCGGGAGACCGTCGCTGACTCCACAACCAACGTCGTCGTCGTGCACTGGTTCGACTTTGAGCAGGCGCCTGCCTCCGCCGCTCGCGCCTCCGCCAGCAGCGCCGCGGCCTCCACCGCCGAACCTGCCAAGGAGTTCGCTGCCATGACGGCGCCTCCGAAGGTCACGCCGCCCAAGCAGCAAGCGGCCCGAACCCCCAGCAGCGTGGAAGTGAAGAACGGCCAGTTGCGGGTGCACCTGTCGCAACCGCCCGCGCGTCGGTCGGCGTTGGGCAGTGAAGACGACATTGGCGGAGAGGTGTTCAGCAGCCCTAGCAGCCGGCTGCACAAGGTTCGGGGCGTCACGCTGTTCAGGTGGGGCAGGGCCATTCTGTCGTGGTTAATGGCGTGCAGTCCCGCGGTACCCCAACTCCTCCTTGCCAGCATTACTTTAGCGCTTAGTGAGTCACTGGGTTACTGAGTACCTCCCCCACATGGGGGATGTTGCCCGGGCATCCCTGAACGCCGTCTGCCCAGGCTCGACGACGACTGCAAGCTGGCCTGGATGGTCACCTTCCGCGAGCTCAAGTGCAAGGAGCTGGACACCTACCTGGTGGACGGGCAGTCGGCGGCCGCCACGGCCGTCCCCCCAGCCTCGCGGTAGCTTGGCTTCTTCGGCAAGAGGACGCAGCAGGCTGTGCATCTGGCAGGCAGGATGAGATACACCAGGCAGCAGCAGGCGGCTCGCATGTGTGGGGAGCGAGGGGCATGCGACCGGAGCCGGCATTCCAGGCTGTAAGATGCGTGGCCGGCGGGGGGCTCCTTTGTTCCTTAGGGTATTGGCTTGGTATGAGGGGTTGATGGTCGACGTCCTCTTCTGTGTGCGTTTGCTTTTGGAGGACATTAGCATGATGATGGGTGACGCAGCAGACACGGGTGGGGTGCAGGAACGGGGCGAGGGTGAGTGTGCGTTGCGGTGCAGTATGTGTGCAGTGTGAAGTATATGTTTGCATGTGTGTGGCATGTGTGCAGGTGGGCAGGTATTGTCTCTGGGGCATCGTCATACGTTGCTTCACGCTACTAGGGCCGCATCATTCCAAAGAATTGCCCAGGATAAGGGCGGTAGCCAGTTGCTGTACGGCTGTCCTACAAGGGATGTACCCCTGGCATGCCGTTCAGTAATAGCATGCGTGTGTGTACAATGTTGTCATATCTGTTTCGGTTGAGGGTGTGCAGGGTGTGAATCTATGTGCACTCGACAACGTAGCTGCTGCTGCGTTGACGGACGCATGGCAGGTAACGGGCCCTTGCTTGGGGGAGTACGACGATATGGATACGGCCAACGAACGTATTAATGTTTAGCATGTGCGCAGGCGGTGAAGAGTGGAAGCAGAAAAGCGCCATTGCGCGCCATAGCAGGCTTTAATAACGGCTATAGTTTTGTGCCTGAGAAAGAATCAATTGGGAGTGGAATGGCATGGTGGGCCTTCAGACGCACAGAAGTGGGCTGCAGGTGTGGCGCGATGCTTGCTTGGAGAGCGTTGTGGGATTTGCTGAGCGGCGGAAAAGGGTTGAACGTGTATGTATGTGTGCTGATTGCCGTGTTGACTTGGTGTACTAAGCTGAAGGTTGGTCCTCGTGTACGGTTCAACGTGTGCAAGACGTGCGATGTAACGTTGGTTGGCGGGGGGGAGCTTCCTTCCTTTGTGTGCATCTGATCAGCAGTGCACCCCACTCAGCGTCCATGGCATAGCCATACGTCCAATGTCAGCGTCGACCCCATCAGGCCTCCACAGCCTCTTGCCGCTATCTGTTGGATTGGCAGCAACATCCCTACTCCGCTTCCATCAACGCCTACACCCCCGTCAGATGACCTTCCCCTCCGGCCCTGCTTCACTCGTCACCGCTGAGCCGCCACCCAAGGACCTTCCAGGCCTCCACCCCGCATGCGTGCTTCCTAATTGCGGCTTGCCCAGTTAAGGAGCATCCGCACAGCATAGGGTGAAAAGGGCTTCCCTGACGAGGCCTACGAGGCTCCCATTCCTACTGCTGCTGCTGCTTCCCCTCGGCCGGCGTCCTCTGCGGTGCCGGCGGCGGCAGCAGGAAGCGTCTGAAGCGCTCCGGGGGCTCCAGGATGGGGGCGGGGCGCAGCGCCGGCCCCACATCGCCCAGCTGCCCGCATGCAGCCATCTCATCGTCTCCTGGCGAAGGGGATGGAAGGGGATGTGGAAAGCGTTTCATAATGAGGGGTTTCATATGGGGGATGTTCGGTACGAGGCAACCAGTTAGCAACGGTGCCACCTGGTATGATTTACCGATATGCGTCCGGGTACGCGAAGAACGCATGGTGTGGGACAGCGTTTCTATCTTACTTCGTTTTTTCGAAAAATTTCTGAAAATGGCACATTTTATAAGGCAGAAAATGACCAAAATCGTCAACGTTCTTTGAGCTTTTTCAGGGCTGGTAATCGTAGAGCCACCTGTGGGATGCGATCGCCTCCTACCACTGATACCGGGAGCACTGTACGCCCTCAGGCTGCTCTCTACCTGCTCCCTTCCTTCAGCCGCACCCAGCCCCACGCATTCAACCATACATACGCCCCTCCCCTTGCCCACATCCCTTACCCCTGCTGTCACGGATAGTGCACACCAGCCCCCTCGAGATGAGGTGCGATCGGAAGGCCGTCACGTCCTCCGGCCTGGAAGGCTGGAAGCGTGTTCCCTCGTGCGGGTTGAACACGATCAGGTTGACCTTGCATTGCACCCGGGACAGCATGGACGCCAGGCTGCAGGGGAAAAAGAAATTCCAAAGTGTGGTATGATAACGATACAAGTTGCTGAGGAAGGGGAAGGGGAGCGGATGGAGCAGGTGGGGGGAGGGGAGAAAGGGGGGAAAGGGAGGATGGAAAGACCTGGCTATTTTTGAGGTCGATAGCGGCAGTGGCAGGTGGGGGTAGGGGAAAGAAGGGGATGAGCAGGTACGGGAGGCGGGGCCACCAAAGACAAAGGCTTAAACGTTACCCAACAACTTTCTCGATCGATCGATAATCTCTGCTGAGCTTTGCGTGCGCACTCCTTTCCTCCCCACTCCTTACCGCTCCGCATCTTCAAGCGTGTCATTGATCCCGTGAAGCAGGGTGTACCCCACGAGCAGGCTGCGAGGAGACTGACCGCCGCCAATACTGTCGCTACTGCTGCTGCTGCTGCTACTGCTTCCACCGCTGATGTCACTGCTGGGTCCGCTGCTGCTACTGCTACCGACGACGTGGCTACTGCCGGTGCTGCCGCAACCGCATGCACCGGTGCTAGCAGCGGAGTTAGCACTGGCCGCAGTATCAACCGCATCGGCGGCGGCAGGACTAGTTGTGTTGCTGCTGCTGTCGCTGCCACATTGAGACGAATCGGCGGCATCCGGCTCAGCCACGGCTGCTACTGCTGCTGTCGCTGCGGCCACCCCACTACTGCCTCCGCCTCCGCCTCTGCTGCTGCTGCTGCTGTCGTCACCCCCGAAGCCCCGAGGTCCCAGAGGCGGCAACCAACGATCCGCTGATAACTCGTCTTCCTCCACCTCCACCCCCTGCACCTCCTCCGCGTCCCCCTGCTGTGGTCCGCTGCACGAGCTTGGACCTGCATGTCGCTGCTGCCCCTGCTGCTGCACATGCACGTCTCCTCCTTCCCCACCTCCGGAGGCTCCGGCCCCCGCTCTGTTCCCATTCTCGCCCTCGCCCTCGTCCTTGGAAGCGACAGCGAGTGGGCTTGTCGTTGTTGGCTGCTGCGGCAGCTGCTGCTGCTGCTCAGGCTGCTGCTGCTGGGGCTGTTGTGTCTTGGGGAAGAGCTCCTGCAGTGTTGCGGTGAGGCAGGCCAGGTCGTAGCGGCGGTTGACTGGCACGATCCAGTCGCGGACCTCATCTGCGGAAGGAGGGAGGGAGAAAGGAGAGGAGAGGACGGGAGAGGTACGGGTGAGGGAAGGGGCAAGAGCGGCAAGGAGGAAGTAGGCAGCGCCTAGTACAATCCGTAATGCTAGCAACAGAGGGTAGGGAAAAGAGCCCGGCGAGGTACACTAGAAGCATGCGGTGCATGCGGGCTAGCTTGCGATGCATGGCAGGTTATCGGTAGCAGATACCAGAGCTCGGAATCCACAAATATCCGGAATAGTTTCCTAGCCTAGCTCCCAGCTCCCAGCTCACCTGTGGTCGCATGCAGCGACAGCGCCACCTGCACCCGGCTGTGTGCCACCAGCCACCGCAGCTCCGGAACCAAACCCACCGTGCTGACCGTGATCTGCAGGGGGGAGGGGGGACAGGGCCGGGTCCGTCACCCTCAGAGGAGGGACAGAGGAGGGACAGGCCGACAGGGGATAATAAAACCTACCGGTAATGCCACCAAGCTGGTGACAATAATAGGGGAGGATAACACGGTAGCCCGCATTTCGTGAAAACAACAAGCCCTCTACCAAACCGCACCCCGGCTGTTGCGCGGTACCTTGTTGGGGCTGATGTGGAGGCCCAGGGGGTGTGAGGCGATGGCGGCAGCTGCAGTGACGGCATGCGGGTTGTGCAGCGGCTCGCCCATGCCCATGAACACCAGGTTGGTGAGCGGGGTGCGGTCGCCTGGGGGGCCGGAGGGAGGGGAGGGGAGGGGAGGGCGGGGCGTCCGGACTCATGCAGTGCGGAGGGGCAGGGAGGGAGGCTGCTGGCAGAGGGACCCCCAGGTGCTATCATGGCTAGTCTGTATACGACCCAGGCGAGGGCCGTAACCCGCCCTCTCATTCTCCTCAAAGCCCTCACCCTCCTCCGCCAGCAGCCTCCTCGCCTCCACCAGCTGCTCCACGATCTGCCCCGCACTCAGCTGCCCCCGCAGCCCCATGCGGCCCGTGAAGCAGAACTGGCAGTTCATGGCGCAACCCACCTTGGGGGGAGGAGGGGGAGGGGGAGGGGGGAAAGGAGGCGGGGGCGTCAGGGGGAGCAGGTAGGTGCGTGCAGGTTTTTGCGTACGAGCGCATACGGTAGTGTACGACAGCATGCGTAATACGACGCACTGTCGGTCGACGCAATGCTGGAACAGTACCCCTCGCGCCGCTGCCATTCGCTCCTCCCTCCTCCTACATCACGCAGGTGTCTCCCAGCCTGTCCCAGCTGTCTTCTTCTTTTCCCCCTTCCTACCTGCGATGACACGCAGAGCGTCAGCCGGTCCCTCCGCCCCTGCTGCCGTACCACCGGGATGATCACCGCCTCCACCGCGCCGCCCGCAGCCGACCCGTGGGTCACCTCGAACTGCAGCTTACGGGTGCCGTCAGCGGCCCGCACCACCCGTTGCAGCCGCAACCCGCCGGACAGGCTCAGCTGCGGGCTGCGAGTTGAGGGTTGCGGGTTGCGGGGCGGGAGGGTACTGATGATAATAAATAGATTTAAGGACCTGGAAGGTACTGGAACACCGGTACTGTCAGGGTAGCTGGAATAACGAGCAGGTACCGCATTCGGGAGGTGGGTAACGGGAAGACAGCTGACAGCCGCCCGACAACACCACGGTCGCAAACACCCCTCCCTCCTTCACCCCTCCCTCCCTCCCTATTCCTCCCTTTTCATTACAGGCCGCCATAATGATTACCCCTTTGCCAGCACTTCTTCCCTTTCTCCCTCCCTCCCTCCCCAGGCCAGCCATCCCACCCGAACCGCTCCAGGAAGGCCGCGCTGAAGCCGTTCTGCCGGCCGCGCGTCTCCTCCAGCCCGCCCACCCAGGCGTCCGCGGCGGGGCTGCGACTGCATGCGGGCGGGTCCGCGTACATCCAGCGCCACAGCTGCAGCGCGCGGCGGGCGGGGGCGGCCTCGCCTGGAGCGTGGCGGCGGGGGGAGGGGGGAAAGAGTGTTGGGAGGGAGGGAGGGAGGGAGGGTGTTGATGTGTGTGTTTCAATGTGCACCGGTGGCACCGTGCGTTGGGGGCTTGAAACCCGCCCGTAGGGAGAATGAAGCACCTCGCTCTCTCCTCTGGGTATCCTTCTCCCTCCCTCCCTAACCCACCCTCCCTCCCGCACCCACCCTCCGCTGCGAACCACTCCTCCAGCTCCGACAGGGTCAGGCACTTGGCCAGCAGCCGGCCGGAGGCGTCCAGCACACCCGACCTGGGGGGTGAGGGGAGGGGAAGAGGGGAGGAGGGGAGATGGGGGCAGGCAAACAACACAGTTGGTGCCAAACACAAACAATGGAAACGAAGGGCATCCAGCCCCCATAAGGCCTCACCTGTCCGGGGGAGGACTCCATGCCGGCCTAGGTGCCTGCTCCTGCGTTTCTTTCTGCTCCTGCGGCTCCTTATAGTGACGTCCGGCAGGGAGCGCGGTGTGCTGGCGCGACTGCTCGGGGACGCAGTCTAAGGGAGCAACAGCTGCGCCGGCAGCGGCTGCAGGGGAGGTGATGGATGCAGCAGTTGGGGCCGTGGAGGCTGGCTGCATCGGGAAAGGGGCAGTTCGGGGAGGAGAAGACAAGAGGGAGTTAGGTTAGGGGCTTGGTGTGTGGGAGGAAGGGGAGAAGCAGGGGTTGCGGGCGTACCAGCGGCAGCCCAGTCGACCCATGGAGGTCCACTAACGCACGGCGAGGTAATGGCACCGCCAATTGCGCGTGAGATAGGGCAATTTCCCGTGGAGCGAGCCGCTGGACATGCGCTGTCCCTAGGCGGGGACACCTGCCGCCGGCGACGAGCGTCATTTAGTGGAATTCCCTCGTCGAATTCGCGGTGTTCATGAACGGGACTTGCTCGGATGTATCCGTAATTACGTTAATGTCTGTTCACCGTGTTGCGAGCAGGATGACTCGCGCAATCCATGCTTGGAACCAGAGCCGTGCATTGAACCACATATTGTCGTGCGATTCTGCGGGACAAGCCTATGTAACCTTTTTGACGCACGGTGTCTTCGGTAATTCTTCATATTTAATATATATTTATATGGTGATTGGGTCTTACAATCCTGCTCATTTTCATCAACCCATTATGCAACACTTGCGTTCTCCCGCCCACCAAATAGCGTCTCGCCTTCGGAACACAGCGCTTCGTCGAACCCATGTACTCGTAGCATCACAGCAGCGACAGCAGAATGGTGATACGGATGGCTCTTTCAAGGTAGGAGTGCCGACAGCGGGATGCCTTGATGCACCTTGTGACAGCTCCTCCCGGATAGTTGAATTCTTAACAGAGCTTTTACCGGACAACCTGGGTTGCGATATTTCGTTCGGGGATGGGACAGGGTCACCTTGACCGACGCAGAACAGCCAGCTCATTTCTAATTCCTCACTCTCGGGAAGCCCCACCTCCGTTCGCACGTGTTATCGGGAGATACCATTTAGTCAGCCGTCCACTGCTGCTTTTAAACCACGACCACAAGCCCTAATCGTGCCCGCCTTCCCTACATAGCAACTATGACACAGCTCAATTTCTGTTCCACTTCCGGCTACATGCTGCCGTTCCTACCTCCAGGTGCTTCACCTGATGCGCCACGGGGTCACGGAGATGAACGACTACCTTGCAGTCAACCGCTATGATGCTCCCGATTTCGTAGACCCGCTGAAGTGAGTTCCTGAGCCTAAGCAGCAGCGAGGGTGGAAAGGGATAGTGCACGGCAAGTCTGGGCGGGATGCCCGGTGCATAGGAGGTTGGTATCGTGGTATGGACTTCCAGCATAGCCTTGGTGATAGAGGAAATGTACGGCATGGGCAGGGGCAGGACGGACGGGGATACCTCAGGTGGCAGGGGGCAGAGCTGACAGGCACGGCACTAGACGGGCACACAGCGATGTGGGTCAAGCGGGAAAGCAAGCCGTTGACGCCGCAGAGGAAAATGCAATGGGTACCGGTATGTCAGCAACTCCCTCACGCCTCACGGCCTCAGTCGTCCTAACACACCTTCTTTGCTGACGCACGCAGGTACGACACGGTCCTCACTGCTCGGGGGCGGGCGAGCGCGCAGGCAGCAGCCAGCGTGGCGGAGCGACTGAGTCCCCCGCCCGAGGTACGGCGTGGGGCGGCCGGGGATGGAGATATGCTGGAGAGGATTGTTTGGTGGATAAAGATTGGGAGATGTAGGTTATGTGAGTTATGGTATTTTAGCAGGGAGGGAGAAAGGGCTCAATCTCTTAACTTTCTCCACCTTGCCCGTGTTGTCCCTCTTCCCTACCTCTCCCGTCCCTCCCCCGCCCTAACCCCCTCCGCAGCTGCTGCTGGTGTCGCCCCTCACTCGGGCGCTCCAGACGGCCCACCTGGCCTTCATGCCGCACTACCGGGGCCCGGTGATGGTCGAGCCACTGGCGAGGGAGAGGGTGGGTGCATGCGGGGGGAGGGGCAAGGCAGCATACCCACCGTCCTCGGCCCCCGCTTATGGCTTTCCTGACCCCTCTCCCCGACCGCTTCCCCGGCCCCCAGGTGTGGCACGCCTCCGACATTGGCAGCAGTCGCGAGCAGCTGCAGCAGGCCTTCCCGGATGGCAGGTGGGCGGCTCGTGTGTGCGTGTTAAGGAAACTGGCCGTGATTCGGAACATGTGTTCAGAAAACTGGCCGTGATTCGGAACATGTGTTAAGAAAACTGGCCGCGAGTTGGAATGCGCTATAATTGCCGGTATATGATGCTTAGGAGGGTTCGGGGGGCTGATGACGGTGAAGTGATGAAGGTGTGTGTGCTGCGCCTGGTGGCTGGGCCGGGGCGGAAGGCCTGCAGTACACGTGCGGTTTCCAGAGCGCTACTTTTCCTAATACCCGCATCCTTCCCAACCCTCAACCCCACCCCGTCGCCGTCACCCCCATCCCTGCTCCTGCCCATCCCCATCACCCGCCCACCACCTCCGCCAAAGCCCCTGCCCCTCTCGCCCCCTTGCAGGTTTCCGCTGAACACGCTGCCGGACGTGTGGTGGTATTGCGTGAAGCCCGAGGACCCGCGCGCCGTGGGGCTGGAGCCGGAAGGTGGGTGCCGGGTGGCGTTGGCTGCGAGCTTGCGATACACGCAAGGGCAGGGAGGGAGAGGGAGGAAGGAAGGGGCTGACAGCATGCATGGGCTACTGGTATGAGGAGCGTGTTGATCCCCAAGTTGCGGGCGTGCGGGGACGCCTTCTTGTGTGTGCGGGGGCGGGTGGGGGGGCGCGGCAATGTCGTAACCAACCATCACCTGCTCGCATGCGAAACCCGCCCATCCCGCAGCTCTCTTCCGCGCTCGCATCGCGGCGCTGCGGCGGCTGCTGGCTGCCCGCCCTGAGCGCAGCATCGCGCTGGTGGCGCACTGGGGGGTGCTGCATGAGCTGACGGGCGGGGTGGAGTTCGCAAACTGCGAGATCCGGAGCTTTGCCATGGAGACGCGGAGGGCAGAGGTGGCGGCAGCCGGGGCGCGGCAAGAAGGAGCAGGGGGAAGTGCTGAGGGCGGGCAGAAACGGTGTGACGGGGTTACAGATTGCGGTGATGGGGGTGAGGGTGGAGAGGTGGAGGTGATGATTCGGGAGCTGCGACTTGAAGAGCAGCGGGAGCAAGCGGCTGCAGTGGTGGGGTAACCCCCGGATGAGAGAGAAACCGATTAGTACCGAATGAGGGCGGGGAAGGGGACCGAACGGAGGTGCGCCGCGTCCAAGACTGAACAGCACGACGGTGGGGTGAGCGCATGGGCTGGTGGTGGTGGGTTGGGGCAGGAGCTGTGACAATTGGGTCTTTATACGGTATAATGAGCCCATTGTGTGCGGGGACAAGAGGGTAGGTATGCACACTCAGGGAGTCTGCAGGTCTGCACAGGTGGCCTACATTTATGTGTACATGTGCCTTCACTTGGATGTATGTATGCCTTTACACTATAGCTGCGGAAGGCTTGCGAACCAGGGGTTGTCATCATAGTTCTGCACAACTGAATTCTTACTTAGGGTATCTAATTATGGTTTGGGCACCCGTGCCTAAACAGAATGCGTCGTGGCCCTGTGATGGCAAGGGGGTATCACAGCAATAAGCCCTTATGTTTTCACGTGTCCTAACACCATATAACCCTCGCTGCCACATGGCTGTGGTTCAAGGAGAGGGGCTGTATGTCTGGTGTACGTTTAGGTACTATCCTGCGAACACTGTTTGTTGAATTACCGGCACTGAGGAGAGGAGAGGATCCATTGTGTACTGCGCTTGGCTCCTTTGGCTCCATTGGTTGGGGTACCTGCCGTACACGGCAGCTTTTGTGCTTGGGGTACACACGTACTGCTAGAGCTGGGGTGCATGTGATGCTGATGCTGTAGAGGGGTGAAGAGCAGTTGCCACCAGTAGAGTTGGCAGTACTGTAAATGTGAGAGAACATGTACGGCACCGTATCTCATTGTAACGGGGTAACTGCGAACGGCGAAAGGTTTAGGTAGGTATAAGTGACACATATTACACTGCACGTCGACATGAATTGGTCTTGAAGCCCAGACCCTTCACGAAGTCCCCCACTAAGCCCTCTCAACAGTTACATCCGCACACACTTCTGCCCAGACGTCCACCACCTCCGTCCGCTAAGCACGGACTAAAGCCTCTGCTTTAGCGCTGGATATCACTAACTGTGCGCCAACACAGACAAAAAATCGCTAAAAGCCCCCCCACCCGCCGCACAGTAGAGCAAAGCAGGCAGCAAAAATGAAGCCTCCTGACCTTATCCATCTAACACATACACGAACGCGGACGCTTCATCTCAAAGCACAGCGCAAATAGGACTGTTGACGTTGTGGCAACGCAGAGAGGTGTACATAGAACGCACCGATAGGAATTAACAAGCTGACACGGGACAAAAATGTCAAAAGACGAGTGGAGCTTAGACAAGTGCACGGACGCATAGGAGCAAGTTCAGCCACACGTAATGAACAACAGGGGGTGGATCCCAACCTCGTACAAGCGCAATCCAACCCCTCAATCTCAGCATCAATAGCCATGATCGTCATACTTTGGCGTCGTCATCACCAGCAGCAGTAGCAGCAACAGCAGCGCACCCGCAAGCGAGGCATGTACGTTTTCTTCAACTCCCGAAGGATTATTGGGACGGACGAGCGAGCGGGCTTTGCGAGCTGATCAGTACTCATGTCTCACCAACCAGCCACATGTACGAATGTGGCTGGGCCACTCTCTTTTCAGGGTTCGTTCCCCAATGAATCCCCAAACCCCAAGCGCCGGCAGGCGCGCCTTAGGGCAGGATTATTATCGACTGCCAACACACGAGAGGGTGAGCAACATATACGATGGCGGGAGCAGTTGCACTGCAATGAGGAAGCATACAAACACCACACCCCGCAAGCGCACAAGCACACATGGATCTCGAATGGGGCGAAACGACAGCGACACAGTTCGTATACCGGTACCTCTTTACTCATACAAGGCGCACACGCACACATACTCACAAAACAGGTGAAATGTTGGGCGAACCAAACGCCGCAACAACCCACCTCGCAGAAGGGCGTCCGTGATCGAAACACACGCGCAGCAATTTGGGCACATCTGTTCACAAGCCGCCGGACAAGAAGTGTCATCATCATAGCACGCACATAATCGGGGCCAGTAAAAAACAAAAAGAAGCATCATCCCTAGGTAACCCGCCCACGCGGCCACACCATACACGGCTGACTACCACCTCATATCCCCATTGGCCCATTCAGCTGCTTAAGCAAGAGAGGATACAGCCCGGAAACGCTACAAGTTTGAATGCGGGTATACACTGCCCGATAGGTCTGGCAACAGCCAACACGCTTGGTCCACCGAGGGGACACACGCCCGACCATCGTCGAATCTCCGTTGTTGTTTCATCGATGTCCGCTTCCTCTCGTTACACCAGACACCCACCTCTGCACAAAGCCCCACGCGACGGCGCGTGAGGTTACGGCGCATATCCAAAGCCACAAACCGCCGACGCCCTTACTTCCGGCATTTCCAAACGCCTTTACATACCGGGCCAAACGCCTTTACATACCGGTAGCCCAGAGCTAAGGCAAGGAAGGGGGCAAAAACTAAACCAGAAACGAAAACCCACGTATCAAAGGTCGGTTCGCATCGGTGTAGTACTGCGACGAAACTTCCATCAGCAATGCACTTAAGCAGGACCCCCACATGTACAGGATACGGTGGCAACCTTCCAGCAAGCGACCAAAGCAGCTGAAAGCGAGCCAAAGACGCTTCGCGCATCAACGGCCCCCAGATGCCACGACACAAGAACCAGTGCACGAGGACACACGACATGGTTGGCTTCCCTATAACACCACCCCTGGAGCCCAGACTAGAACCCAGATGAAGCTCCAATTTGCGGACAGGTCAACACAATTCCGAGTTCAAGTTTGACTGGCGGAACGAGCACCGTTGTGTGCACGATTACGAACCATCCAATTCGTGCCAATGGCGAAGTATTGGAGCAAAAAGCATCGCATTGACCCAACCCTGATTACGAAGCCCTATCCTAATTGCGACCGACTGCTCCGACAGAGATGGATACCCTGGACCGGGTCCTTAGTATACGACGCCATGCCTCCATCCAGCCGAAACCCACCCGCCCCGCTTGGCCCAAAAAACACCCGGGATACCCAATCAGCAGCGAGGAGCAAGCAGACAGAGGGGCATGGCAAATCTATCTCAGGTAATCTTATCAGCATCATCATTGACATCATCTTGATTTGATCATGTTACGACAGACTGCTCCCATCATGTACACACTACGACCACACAAGTGCACACCAACACACACAGACACACACGTACTCGCGGCCAGTTTTCTTAACACACACGCACAAACGAGAACTCTCACACTCTCTCAGCATGTTTTCCCCGCACAGCATAGCACAGCATTAGCTTTGGCAGTAGCAATGCACTAGCGGCAATAGCAGCAGCGGCTGCGAAATGGACGACCTTCCCCACTTCAGCGAGTCCGCCGGAAGGAGCAAGGGTGAGCATGCAGCACTCCTACGACGACATAAGAAAGTTGCCGCAGCGCCAACCGCCGGCCGGGAACAGAGCCGAGCCCCCAGACACAGGCAGCCAACGCAACCGAACCAGCCAGAAAACACAAACAGGGCAGTTCTGAACTTCTCTCAAAAACGCGAAGCCCCCAACACGGCCCACCCAGAAGCACACAAACCTCGCGCCTCTTGGCGGCCAACTTGCTTCCAACAAGGCAACCGACGACAGATTCCCCACTACCGCATATCAATCAGCATCTGCCCGTGCGAAAGGGCTCGGTACATGATCAGCTCATCAGGAGCTCCCTCGTCCCCTTGATAGGCGACAACAGTTGCATCTCCCTTATAAGAGCCGAAACATGCCATATAAGACCACCCAGGCGTGCCCAAAAGCGCAGAAGCCAGAAAAAAGTTTTCCACACGGCCCCCAAAATGAATGCCACCTCACAGCTTACTATAAATTTCCTCTTGACATAATGGTTTCACAAATCTATTACTGGCACCGGCAAGTGCGCGTCCGCCCTGCCCTCCACCCGCCCTCCGCCTTCAGCAAAAAGCCACACCACATGCACCCAGACTTAGTCCTATCCGGAAAATGGATCAGACTAGCGTTATATGAGTAGGTAGAGGCTTTTAAACAGGGTTCCCGGTAAGTGTTTCGACGATCGTAATAGTTTTACTCAGAAATGAAACCACTTGTGACGGACAGGCAAAGCAGCTTCCGCCCGATTGAATAGCCAAATGCTCGGCATGCTCTGCCCTTCCGCAAAGAGACACCAATCGCCATCGATGACAAGATACGACCTGAAGAAAATCTCCTAACCGCTAAAGCAACCAACAAACCCACACAAGGAACAAACCTTGTTGGCCCACACGCCTCATGTCCTTCCAAAGCAGAGTGACTTCAGAGTCAGTATCCCCGCCTCCCCGTCCCTAACACGCCCTATGTTTATAGGGCCACAAATAGCTGTCGTGGACCGGCGCCGTCACACAAAACGGAAGCCAAAGGACGTCATACGCCTGCTGTGCCTCAAAACGGCGCCTGGCCGGGCAATGTGCCTAGCTTCAGCAGCTGCGACAGCGCCCGGCTCTTGTGCGGGTCGATGCGAAGTGGCGAGTCGGGCACCAGACCACACCTGCGGCAAATTTCACAAAGCCAAAATGCGTCATCAATTGGTCCTTACCCAGATCAACCCAATTCAAAACCAACCCGACCCACATCAAATACCCATACCGGCAGTCAACCCGCCTCCTTCGCTCACATGTCCCTCCGCAAGTCACCCCTCCCTCTCACCTGAGCCGTGCCGCAACCTCCTCTGCAGGCGACACTGCCAGACAGCGCTGCAGGTCGCGGCCGAACGCGGCGTCGAAGTCATCTGGGCGCATGCGGCACTCCAGCATGAGCAGCACCGCCACCAGTACCACCACCTCGCGCTCCGGGACCAGCACGTCCTGAGGCAGCGACTGACGCAGCAGCAACTCCACAGCATCGCCGTACAGGCCTGCGATTAGGGCGCACACATCAGGGCATGGCCCCAATTGAAGTTAAAGCATGAGGGGAGCAGGGGATTCATGCAAAGTCCTGAGATACTTCAGTGCATCGAATCTCCCTGCCTTAAAGCGAACCACTACAACGACGCCAAACATGACAACAACACAGCCATCACAGTCACATCACTCACCGTGCACCTTGCGCAGCCGCTCGCTGAAGAACCGCGACTGCACGCGGCGCAGCCCCAGCAGCAGGTGCCGGTGCAGCGCCGCGTGCGCAGCCCAGGGAACCGCCGTGCCGCCCGGCGTGGTGGAGCCGCTCGCTGACCCAGATCCCGGCTGCCCCGCCAGACCTGCAGCCGCCGCCAGCTGACCCGCCGCCGCAGCGCTGCCAGGCGGCGACTGGCCGCACGCCACCGCCGCACCGCCCGCGGCGGCAATGTCCTCCGCGGTTGCGGCCAGCGCGCGACGCATCTCCCACTGGAAGGAGCTGGTAGGGACCTGGCCGCCTGCGGCGGTGGCCACCCCTGGAGCCGCGGCCAGGCAGGCGGGTGTGGTGGGCATCTCGATGCCCATGGCGTGCATCTGGGTGATGGTCCAGATGATCTCCTCCGACCAGCGCCGCGGCTGCAGCAGCGGGTAGGGCGCCAGCTCCGCCGTCAGCAGCAGCAGCGCGCGCGGAGACAGATCATTGAGCAGCTGGCGTGGGAGGGACATGTTGACGGCATGGACCTGCACCGCAGAAGAGAAAGGGGTAAGCAGGATAGCAGGACACTTGGTGGGGGAAACGGACATACTGTGTCGTAGCAGCGTCGGCGTCCAATGCACTGCCATTACTGCATAGGCACGTCGGCTAATGGGACGTGGAATTGCAAGAGAACAAAAGTGCCACGGCGGCGGTCTCCACAGCCGGCGCCCCCCCTTCCTCAACTAGCCCTGACCCAGCTCCCCACCACCGCCCCTCAACCCACCTGGTGTCCCATGGCCTGCACCAGCCTCTTGAGCGTGAGCTGGTAGTTGTGCAGGATGGTGTCCAGGTAGGCTCGGCGCTTGTGAATGCGGCTGAGGCCGTCCACCCACTGCTCTAGAGACACCAGACACAGCTGCCGACCGGCGGGACCAGCCCTGGGGGAGCATATGACGTGAGATGGAATGCATTTTCGCAACCACAACATAGGAGGGCAAAGACGCAAAAGGCGATGCGTAATAGCATGACTGCGTTTAAAGCAATCCGTTGGCTTCCTCCTATACGACATGCAACCAAGAAGAGCTAGCTAACCCACCTCAGCAGCTGCAGGATACGTCCCATCACACGCGGGTCGACGTCCGTCGCCTGCGCGCCACGTGCACGGTGCGCTGCCAGCGCTCGCAGCAGAGCAGCAGCCACCTCGGGCGCCATCGCCGCCACATCCAGCAGCTGCTCCGCAATCACACAGCACAAATGATGCAGCTGCGCATGTGCGCCGCTAAAAGCACCACAAGCGCGAGCGAGCTCCGAAGCGACCTGGGGGCTGACCAGCAGCATGCGACGCAGGGCAGCATCCATGAAAGCTGCGAGGTCGGCGGCGCCTGCACCGCCTGGGGCGGCTGCTGCCGCCGCCACAGCGGCTAGCTGCGCTGCGGCAGCAGAGCCACCCAAGCCCGCAGCAGCAGCGGCTGCCGCCGCTGCCGGTAGCTGCAGACCAGCGGTGGCTGCGCCGCCAAAGGCAAGCAGATCTTCCGTGCGCAACTGCCGGCCAGCCACGTTGGCGGCGGCAACCGCCGCCAGGGACTGTGCGAGCAGCTGTTGTTGTTGTTGTTGCTGCTGCTGTTGCTGCTGCAGGAGTCCGGCAGCAGCGACGGCTTGCTGCTGTTGCTGCTGTCCAAGCGCCAGTGAAGCTGCAGCAGCGAACCCCAGCGCGTCGGCATCCTGCTGCCAAAGCTCGGTGGTTCCATAGGCACCGGTGCCCGAGGGGCGACGCCACTGGATGTCACCGGCCGCCGCGGCCGCCAGGGGTGGTGACGGCGGTGCAATGTCCTGCTCGCTCATGCCCACCATAGAACGGGAGTTGTTGACCAGAGCCTGTAGTTGTTGCAGCTGCTGCAATTGCTGCTGTGCAGCGGCGGCAGCAGCGGCCTGTTGTTGGTGGTGTTGCTGCTGTTGCTGCGCAAGCAGCGCCGCTGCCGCGGCGGCGGCCGTTGCGGCGGCCTGGGAGGTAGGCACCTGCGAACCTAGCTGACCGCCCGCTGCGGCAGCCATGAGCAGCTCGGCAGGAGAAGGTGAGGAAGGAGCCCCAGTGGGAGCATGCTGAGGCTGCAACTGAAGCTGCTGAAGTCTGTCTAACAGCGCATCGCGACTGATGCCGTACAAACCAGCTGCGGCGGCATCTGCTGTAGCACCTGCAACGGCACTCAGATCGATACCACTGCCGCCGGCGCTGAGGAGGACGCTGTTAGGCCCGCTGTTAAGGGTCTGAAGACCGGCGGGGCAGAGCTCGTTGTAGGGGGAAGGCACGTCGCCGCCACTGCAGATGCTGAGGGCGTCGTCAACGCTGCTGACCGCATCGTCAGCATGGCCGCTGCCGCCGCTGCTGTGGCTGTGCGCGGCCCCCTTGCCGTGGTGCTTGTGGTGGCCGTGGCCGTGGTGGCTGTCCTTAGCGGTCGCGGGGGCGGTGACGCGGGCATTATGCGACGCATCCCCGGATGCCGATCCGTAGTTGGCGGTATCCGACAGCCGCCGGGAGAAGATGTTGCCGGCAGCCGCAGCAGATGCTAGCGATGCCGCAACGTCGTCGCTAGAAGAGCCTGGCAGAGCATGGAATGAAGGCCTGCGTGGAGAAATGACGGCGGCGGCAACGTTCTCGGAAGGTGCCGACGAACGGTCTTGGCGTACTTGAATCGCCGCTGTGGCATCAACGACCGCAGGGTTGCCCGCACTGCCAGTGGGGCTTCCCGCGCGGCTGCCAGCAGCACCGCCACCCACGCTGCCAGCCGGGCTAACCTCACCGCATGCAGCACCCGTTCCGTCGGCGGCGACCTCCAGAGCTGCAGGCTTCTTGGTGGCTGCAGCAGCGGTGCCTTGTGCCTGGGGATCCATGCTGTCAGCGCCGAACAGCATCCGCACCAACTGCAGCTCTGCGGCGCCTTGCTGGTCCAGGGAGGGCTGGCGCTCCTCGGGGCCCGGAACATGCGGCACGTTAGCAGCCGCAATCACGGAGGCGTCACTGCACAGCGACGGAATGGTCGACATAGAAGCCCCAACCGGGAAAAAGTCGCTGGCGTGGGCCTTGATGGAGGCGGTGGCAGGCGTCTTGAGCAGGGCGGAAAGAATTGTAGAGACAGCTTTTGGAAGGGCCGCCACCAGTGCCGCGGGCAACGCGGCCTCCAGCACGGCCGGCACGGCAGAGGCCAGAGCTTCAGCCCCGCCAGCGGTCGAGGCGGCGGCTGATGCCGCCGGCAGCGCCGCTGCCATGGCAGTGGGCAACAGGGACGGTAGCAGCCCCGGCAGGACGGTACGCGTTACCTCGGGCAGCAGCGACTGAAGGTGCTGCTGCATTGATACTGAAAGATAGGCGCCATCGGACGCGCCAGACGTCGGGGCGAAGAGGCCACTTCCATGGTTGTCAGCACCATCGATGTCTAGAGCAGCGTTGGATGCCGACAGAGGCATAACAAGGCCGACTGGTTCCGAATCATGGGCGCAGTTGCAACCCTCAGCCTGGCGCCAAAGATCTGGAAGCGAAGCATGCGCCCAGCGACGAGAGTTTATGGGCAAACCAGGCGCTGCGACGTGATCCCCAGCACGCTCGTGCAACGCGCTGTCGAGTGGGCGAGGGGATGAAGGAACAGCAGTGGCAGCGATGGACTCGAACGGTGAACCAGGAGTAGTAGGGCGCAAAGCATCCGTGGCCTGATGTGCGACGTGCGCGTGAGACTGCGACTGCACATCTTCGTCGCCAGCAGTCGAACACGCATCCGCACAGTCGCAGTTGGCAGCAGCGGCAAATGGCGAAGGCTGCGGCCGCATTTGACTTGTAGGCGCATCAGCCGCGAAGCCACTGAACCTCGAGGTCGGCATGTCCGCCTGAACCGCCAAACCGATGTCTCGCGCACAAACAGGACCAGCGCTGCAGTTCGACATCCCCATAGGACAAGGTTAGAAGTACTGAAACGAAGGCTTGCAAGACCAAAAATTGCAAAGCTGCACAAGGGGCCACGTTGACAGATGCGGAATCACCCACCTTCCAGGTGATGCGCCTTTCACACCGTCCAGAATCAAAGTAGTAATTGATGGGGCACGTTCCTCGAGCCGAATGCCGCGTGGCGGCTCCGGGAACGGTGGGAGTGTACCCATCGCAACTGTCTACGAAGATTACGCTTGACCCCTGGTGGACATTGCAAGAGGGGAACGATACTAGCTCAGTAGGCAATACACGAAAAATACTTTAGAACGGCGTAGCGGCGCATACTTCAAGGTCAGGGTAAACGCGGGAGGGTCGCTTCCAGATGGGCACGCGTCCGAACGTTTCCAGCCTAGCAGCAGGTTTAATATGTCTTTTACTAACATCTGGCTCCAACAGGGAAACCCTGACGTCAGGTGCACCTTCCCACGAAAGACAGTCATGACGAACCATGTAACCCTTCCGACTAACCTCAGGCAACCCGGTAGTGACTGCTTAGCCTTCAAGAGACTCGATCTTGGACGGTGTAGAAGCTCAGCGGATGTACGTCGCTCGGCGTGTGCCAGGTTATGGGAAAGCTGGTAGTCGTAATCGCAGAAAACAGAACTCGCAGAAGACTGCACAGCAGACCTTGCTTGTTGTATGTTATATTGCTAACATCAATTGGGCGTTGCGCTTTAAGCCAAAAAAGAGCAACCCTTTTACTCTGTGTATAACAAGCTCGGTCTTCGCAGATAGGTTACTTGGCCAAGATCGTATGGAGAGCTAATAGAGTGTCATAAATCGAGGGAATGAGGTTGGGCGTAATTAGGGTCTGTCACGGACAATTAGGTAATGAATTGCGGAATTGGGACACCACCTGTACATCTGGCGGTCAAGGGCATCACCACCTCATGCAAGATTATGCTTCTACGCTTGTGTACACTTTTCTCGACCCTTTCTATTTACATGCCTAACATATGTAACCTTTGCACCTAACGGTGCGAAGGCCCCGCTAACCGTGCGAAGGCATTCGGTGGTTACCTGGCAGCGTGCTCATCCCGGTCTTAGCGTAATAGGTTAAAAGGCGTAGAATTAATGACTTCGACTGTTCACTCGCTGTCCGTCACGACTTGGACAGGCGTCGTTGCGAACACATGAAGCTCGACGCTGCCATAAGTGTCGTTCCCGGTCTATATTGTTAATCGCCTGCAAAACATGCATTTACTTTCATACATATTGGGGAGGATGTGCTACAATCCAGAATCAGCAAACAATGGGTACCCTGGGCTGCACCGGGGTAGCTGTCATCAGGAAAAAATGCCCTTGCAAGAAAGGAGTGACTACTGAATACCGTACCATGGAGGCTAACTGGTGTGCACTCTTCTAAACTCTCGTCCAGGCAGTATCCAGGCCCAACCTCATCGTCCGGGCAGCACCCAGGCCAAACTCAGATATGGCCAGCACTGTGGCGAAACGGGGGACTCTATTTGGAATCTAGTTAGGTCTTTCTTTAGCTTTTTGGTTGGAACGTAGGTGCCCAGCTAGGCCTGAGCTGCGGTACGGGCAACTGACAACCGGTGACCCATGGTTCTGCAGCAATGAAGTCTGCTTTAACTGTTGGTTATTCGATTGCCATTCCCTTACTTTTAAAGGTCACGTATAAGAGTTTGACAGCCATTACATTCCCAAGGCTCCTTGGCCGACTTCATGCTGTCGGCTTTAATACCGGTACCAGTGCATTGCCGTTGGGCTGTCGTGCCCCATCGTTGGCTCGTGCAGTTTGTGGTCACGGGTGGTGACGCTCGCGGGCATGTCCCATGGTTCAGTTGGATGATGACGGTGCGAATTGCTACTGCCGAGGTGACTGAGTGGTTCCGGTTATAATGGCTGGTATTATCGCAGTTCCTTTGCTTTAAGTGTTGTGGGCTGTGGAGAGATCGCTCTGGCGTGTCCAGAGTATCTGTCGTACAAGTGCCTGTCTTGTTAGGCGGCGCAGTGCCCGGGCTAGGGCACTGCGTTTTGCTCACATACTCATGTACTGCCTGTAAGAACCATGAAGGGCTTCATGCGTTCCTGATCTGCGGCGCAGATCTGCAGCTTACATGCGCGCTTAAACGTAGTCACAACCAGCGATCTCCCAAGCGTTGGGCAGCCCAACGTAGCAGTCACAATAGACAGTAGGTTATCAGTTCCCCGTGGGCCTGGTCAGTCCGCGGCTCAGCCGTCTTGAAGCCCGCCCCAGCACGGGACGAGAGGCGCTGAGGAGCGCTCCACGTCTACAGCAAGACTAGGAGTGCGCCTTCCGGTTACGGGAGGCAGAGACGGAACCAGCAAAACGCAGTGCTGCGTGGAACCAGCGTTGGGGCACGACAGGGCTCATGGGGGAGGATGGGGAGCGTGGACGGGGGTGGGCCCTGTCATAATCCAAGCCGTTCTGTGTTGCGCAAAACAACACAACCCAGATCACCCTTCTCCAGGCAACATCCCAAGGGTCGCCACCAAGTGGCCAACAGTGCTTAGCAGCTATAGACGCCCTGCACGTTCGTAAAAGCACAGCCTGTGCGTCCTAACCCCTTTCAAGCTTGCAAAGCGCCCCTAGTCTCAACGTTAATACCGTACCTGGACTGGAATTGAGGTGCTATGGCGGCACGTAGCTAGCCTTTGCAACGACCAAACCCTACTGAACACGGACAACCCTACTAAACTACTCTTAAGCCGAATAGCGGAATACTCATGTGATAGAGAGTAGCATGAAGATAAACTAAAATGTCAGCTTGCGATTGATGGCGCTGTAGCTTTGCAGCAGGATGGGCGGGCAGCCAGCCACGTGCGCCGCAACACGTGAGCGTTCGGTTAGAACTAAAGCGCACGCAGTTATACCGCTGCAATCATTTGGGTGTACTGAGCCCGGCCAATTTGTATGTCGCAATGCAATGCAATGTTATAGTCTAGCCTCGCTCGCTCGGTATGGTAAGGGCACCTGGGTGTCCGAGGTTCCAGGCACCCGTATAGCAGCGCATTGCAACGCCTGCAGCGGTAAGGAGACACTGTCCATTTACTCGATAATTGAAAGCTGCAGTGACAAAGCTGGCAGTCGTTACGAACGCTTGGAGCTCCAACATACAGTACGGTACTGCACTTCACGTTTTTAGGAAGCGCTGCCATGTCTAGTGTGTTGACGCTTACAAGACTACAACAGATGCGGCTTTATGCGAGGAAGAGACAGCAGCCTGCGGTGCACGTGGCCATTCGACGTCGGTCTCTAGCACGTCGCTTCGGTTGGATACATGCTTCTGCCAGTTCGCCTAGAGAATTGACGACTTTGTTTGGCGATGACGACTTTTACACGATTCTGGGCGTGGTGAGCTTTCTTCAAATGCTTGCATAGATACTCTGCCACCCATCATCCCGCCCCGGTCATTGACGGTCCGAACGCGCATTCTCCTCCCGCCGAACTAACACACGTTGGCTAGTCCCTTGAAGCTGCAGGGCATATGCGCCTTGCGCTGAAAGCCACATGCGTGCTAACCTCCACCCCGAAGCACGCCACATCCCTGGCCGTGAAGCAGGGACCATTCAACGTAACCCCCATGCCGCTGCTGCCCCGCTTCACGCCCCTCCCCGTCCTTTTCTTAACCCGCGCTGCCTAAGCCCCGTACCTTGACTATCCCACCAAACCCACCCAGCAGCCACACAGTTACACACCCGTACCGGCATAGCCATGCCCCTACCTCGTCCCGTATACCGCGACACCCCCTCCCGTTGTAAGCCCAGCGTTCTTAGCGGCACCCACCCGTTCACACCACCCCCACCTGCCCCCATGAAAAAAACATGATGATGCCTTTATCACACGGTCAGTTAGTTGTTTCCTCTTTACCCAACTGCCTCCGGGCCCCACCCGCCCACCCACCCACTGCACGCGCCACCACCCCGCCCAAACAGCCCCCCTCCGCCTCATCCCGCGACATCCGCGCCGCCTACCGCTCCCTCATGCGCCGCTTTCACCCCGACCGGGCCCCCGAGGGACTCCGAGCGCAGCTGCAGGAGCTGTGTGCGCTGTTAAACCAGATTGCGGAGGTGGGTGTTGCGGAGGATGGTATTGCAGCTGAGGCGCGGTGAGAGAGGAGGACGTGAGACGCGGCGGGGTTTCTTCAACACAACACACACACACACGCACTTCTTCACCAATGCAGTCGCCACCATCATCCTGCCGTAAAGCCCATGGACCATGCGATCAGTATGTGACCAGTCAAACGGTCGGACGTGCCCAGACGTGACCCAGGCCGGGTGTATTACCCACAACAGACCCAACCGAAACCCCCAACCAACAACCCCTTCATGCTGTTTGGTTCCCCTCGGACCCCCGTCATGTACGGCAATGCGCTCCTTGCCGTAGACCCTGAGCGATGAGGACTCGAGAGCCTTGTACGACAGGCTAGCTGGATTCTCGTACAGTGCCGTGAACCCCTTCCTGGACAGCAGCTTCGCTCGGGACCAGGTAACTGTGCACAGGTCCGAAACCGTGAAACGGAGGAGGGTAGGGCAGAGCAGAGCTTCCGCCTGCAGCCCAGGGAGCTATGGGAGCTGCTGGGAATCAGGAAATGTGACATAAGGCTGTGAGGAGATCCCTGTTAGGAGCAGGTACGCGCAGTCATACAGGTCTAAGCAGCCCAAGTTTATGTCTTGGTCATACGGTTGGTTAGGTATTAGGTACGGTAGTTTCCTACCTCTTTTCCTCCCGTTTTTTATCCCTTTCCGGTTATGCAGCTATTCGTGGACGAGGTGAGCTGCATCGGCTGCGGCAAGTGCGTGCGCGCGTGTCCGCGCACGTTTGAGATCGAGGCGTCCAAGTACGGCAGAGCTCGAGTCATTTCGCAGGAGGCGGACACGCCAGAGGAAGTACAGGTGCGGGCAGCAGCAACTGAAAGCCACGACAGGAGCTCCTTCCTAGAGCTTGGAATGGTGCTGCCCTTGCTTGAGCCAGCCCGCCTCCCTCTGATTACCGTAGCATATTGCAGCTCGGTACGAGTAACCTCTCCTTTACGTTTTTGCGTGCTGTCCTTGCACCTCCTTGGCCACCACTTGGCCCGCCCTTCCTCCTAAAACCCCAAACACTCCCATGCGCCCTCCTGTTCCTGCTCCTCCCCCTTGCCGTACCATCATGCCGTACCGTACCAAGGTGGCTATCGAGTGCTGCCCCGTGGACTGCATCCATTGGGTGAGTGCGGGTGGCAGGGCAGCGGAGTGGTGGTCGGGGCTTGCGACGTGATGGTCTGCCCCACCGCATTCCTAATCCCCTGTGCATGCGGCATGGTTCAAGAACGTCTAGCGTGGGTTCTTCGGCTTTTACCGGCCCTAGCTGCCCTGGAGGTAGGATTCGCATTTACGTTCCGTTTTCCTTCTCGCCTACCACCCCAACGCTGCCCTCCTCATCGCCCATCACGCCGGTGCCACTCTGCTGCCTGCAGGTATCTCTGCCGCAGCTGTCGCTCCTGGAGACCGCCTTATCGCGCATGGGCCGAGTGGAGGTGTCGGTCATGCAGCGCTTCGGGCGCTCGGGGGGAAACGTGTTTGAGGTGGCGCTCAAGGCATGGGAACGGCGGATGGCTGACTTGGAGGAGCAGGCCGCCTCCGCTGCTGCTGCCTCCCGCAGCAATGGAGGCGGCGCGCGTGTGGATTGGTCCTTCTGGACGGGCGGCGGCAGCCTGCGGTTGGATGAGGAGGCAGAGCAGAGGGCGGCTGCGATGGTGGGTGGGTGGGTGGGTGGGTAGAAGGCGGGTGGATAGGTGCGGGCGGGCAGGCCGCGGAACCTGCATACGTGGAGCGCATGTCGTTCGAAAGGGTGTGATGCTGCAAGATAGAGCTTCACGGGCAGTAATGAATCATTTTGTGAGCCCCGAATGACCCTCGGGCTCTTCAACAATAGACACAGGTTCACCCCCTTCCTCCTCTCACGCTCCTGTCATCGCAAATCCCCCTCCGTGGTTACTCCCATGCTGTGCACCCTCTACTGACAACCCCATGCCTTCAACCTCCCCACTCCCTGCCACAGAATCCGGAGCAACGCCGCATAGCCCGGCTGGCCGCCTCCGCAGCCCGCGCCGCCCGGCTGTGGCACTTCCTGAGCCGCAACCATAACGTGGGAGCCGCGGGGGGCCAACCTGCCGTACTGGCGGACAGCAGTACGGCGTCCCTGGATTGAGGTGGGGAAGAGAGGAAGGATTCCGAGGTTTCATCACTGAAGTGGGGAATAGGAGTGCAGACGAGGAGAATGGCGTGCAGAGTTGGCCGAGCACCCGGAAGAGGGGCTAGCCGGGAAGATAGGAACCAGGATTATGGCTTTGTTGCGTCTCGGGTGGCTAGGGGACAGGCACTGGTCCAGGGATGCCGGGAGAGGAATAGCGATGGCGAATGATTGCTTGGGGCGTCTCGGCGGCAGGGTGTGGCGAAGACGGGGGGGACCCTCGCAGTGAGTGCAAGACGGCGAAGGAGAAATCGCTTGTCCGAGCCATGAGGCATGTGCGTTAGAGTGATCACGTGCCACGTAGCGTTGATGTATCATTATTTACATACGGTAGCTGTACAATATAAAGCCGTACTACCAGGGTAGGATCAAGGTACGACGATAAGCGCAGACACTGCCCTTGTACTATATTCATTTACACGCCCTCTTCCATCGCACGCCATCGATGTGAAGTACGGTAAGCACGTACTGGCAACGGAGACAGCACGCGTACGCTTCCGCCTGGCACCACACGGCTTTCTCAGCACGGTAGAAACACAGCGACTTTAATACCCTGAAGCGCAAGACGACCCAAATCACACAAAGCAGTCACGGCCTTTACCTCCGTGCCGCCAGCCCCGGCGGACAGGGAAAGGCCATGAAAGGAAAGTGCGGAGGTGAATTAATCACAAACGAGCCATACAAACAGAGCCACACGTCACAACGCTGCACGCACAGTACAGCAGGAAGAAGTACCAAACAGGGTCTATGCCCGCACTATACTCATCAGGTAAATTAGGACCAGGATCAAAGGAACGGTATGTATGCCTGCCCCATGCAATCCCTAAAGAGCTAGGCTCAAACTCTTCCACCAAGCGCACATGCAGACCGGGATACGGCACATGTTCGGCACCCAAATGGAATGGAGCCAGATAAATACATAGACGAGGTTTGGGATGATGTATCATGGATTGATTCTTATGTATGCAGCTTGAATAGATCAGCTAGATTGCCTTTGGAGCCGGTAGTTAAGGTCATCCAAAGCAGCCTGCGGCCTGCATCCTCCCATGAAACCCTGCAGCTCACATGCGCCTCTTCACACACATGCCGGGTCCATGGCTCGCCAACCGTCACATGTGCGGCCGCTTCTCCACAAGCATGGCGCAGTCAAAAACAAAGAATGCGTATAGCACAGCACAGCATAATCACCACCAAAACAAAACCCACATAACAGCAATGTTGCTGCCTTCGACATAAGATAGAATATATACGATTACCCCATTCCCAGCACCTTTGCGGGCCCTTTCAGTCCTTCTTCATGTCCTGCCGCCCCAGCTCCCCCACCAACCCACACTGCTGCTGCTGCTGCCGCTCCTCCCGCAGCACCGTCAGCAGCTCACCCGTCACTCCTGCCGTGAAGGAGGTAACCGCCATGGCCACCGTGCTGTGGTCGGCCGCCGCAAGCCACTCAGCAGCCACCCCCAGGCCCAGCCCATAGTGCGAGTGCGCCATCCCCGCCAGCAGCAGCGCCTGGCTCACCAGGTCGACCGCATCGCAGGCCAGGGCCACGGAGAAGAGGCCTGCAGGAGGTGTGAGCCAGTTTACCGGGCATGGTCACAACGTGCAAGGGCAAAGGATGGAGGAGGGTTAAGACGGCAATTCGATCTGGGTCGTGAGCTTTAAGGACGTTAAGCCCTTCGCAGCAGCGGCAAATGCGCAGCTTGGGTTCTCTTCGCCTCGTACCTGCGATGGACTTCCTGCCCGCCGCTGCCTCCGCTCGCACGCGCTCAAAGTCCTTGACCAGCAGCCGAGCCACGAAGAAGAAGCCGACGATGGGGAGGCCGATGGTGGCGCGGCGCGCCATCTGGCGGATGATGCGCTTGTTGAGTGTCCTGCGGGCGAATAGAGGGTTGCGTGCCGGGAGAAGCGTGGAAGGGCATGTCATTCATGAAGAAAAACACATAGTACTGCGTAATTGTTGGAAATGAGCGGTACAGGGCGGTACAGGCAAGAGGTGGAAAACCCGAATCCCATAACACAAAACCCGCGCAAAACCCAGATGGCTAGCATGGCCATAGGCACACGCCCCATCCTGGCAATCCTAATCCTAAGCAACAGCTTTCGTCAAGAACCCGAACTCCAGAGTTACGATAACCGTAAGGGCCCTACCTGAACAGGAACTTGCGCGAGATGCCCTCCGCTCGCCCGCGTGTACGCCGGAACCAAGCGCGCAGCACCGCAACGACGCCGGTGGGGGCGGTGGCGGGCTTCGCCTCATCCACAGCAGCACCTGTGCCGATCTCGGTCTTGGTGGTGGCATCCGAGAAGCTTGGACGCCTTGGGGCGGTGCAGAGGGTGCGATATGCGCCGAACGCCAGCTCCCAGGGGTTCGACGGCAGGGCGACGGTGGAGCCCGTGGCGAAATGGGTCATGCGGGTTGCATGCGGAGAAGTGGAGGAAGGCAGGGTGGTGGATGCCGAGAGGCGGCTTGCAAAGGCGGCTACCACAGCCATTGCCGATGCCCGGGCGCGGTAGATCAGGATGGTGGTGATAGCTGCCGCGGCGGCCCCGAGGTTGGAAGCTTGGAGGTTGGGTTGTTGTTGCGGCGCTGTTAGGGGCGAGGATGCGGTGAAGCCTCGCGGGATAACGGGTCTGGATAAGCTCGGCGAAAAGCTGGGTTCTTTTATGTTGCTCAAGAGGTTGCTTGGCAGGCCGGACAGAACTGAAGCTGACAGCTCGTCGTCCGAAGGCTGCGAGGACTGGTGATGCAGCAGCTTGACGGTTTGGTCAACTGTTACAGCAGGGAACATCGTCGAAGGGTCGTCGCTGCTGGCGTTGTCGACGAGGCAGGTAGGGCAGCGCATGTTTGTGTTGACGATCTTGATGTTGGTGCGGGAGCAGAGGCCGGTGATGCGGCATAACCTCGAGGATTGAAGGGCGCCATAAGACGCGGTTTGCAACCTGGTGGACGCAGGGCCGGAGTGTGGTAAAGCGCCCGCAGGCGAACCGTTTGCAGATGTGTAGGTCGCGATACAACGGAGTGCAGCCCGTCTGGCGTTGCAGCCATGGTGGACGTGCCATGTGATGACCCGGATGCCTGCGGACAGCACGGGAAGCGCTGCAGGAAGGACTCTGGAGGATGTACCCAGTCTTGAAGAAATGGTTGACTGCATTCCTTTTGCGCGGACGCAGCTGCTAAGTTGTTGATTGATACTTGTGCGCTGGTGAAAGGTGAACCTGAGGTAGCAAAATAAGTAAAAGCCCTCCTAGACGCGTTGCGTCTATATGTAATGTTATTTCTGTGGACCGATGCGCATGCCGCGATATGATATGGAATTTGACATGTACGGCTGAAAGTCTTCGCGTAGATCACCAAGTTGCACGTATTTCAAGACTAAGTTAAGATCATTTTTTAAATTCCCTAAAGGGTAAGGATGGACTTTATCCATGGGCCCCTTCCACCGAAACTCCATCGTCGGCATTCACATCAAACAGCACGAAGGGGACCTTGAAAATCGCGTGATTTCGCCCAAAGGTGCTATATCTGGACTTAACAACATTCATAACACAAGCGGACGCCGCCGGAGTGCCCAGGGCACGCGGGTTTATAAATGGCTCGCTCTGGGGCTCCTCGCTGTATGCCTATTAGCTTCATCGCTGTGGTTGCCTATACATCTAGGCGCACATAAGCCGCTCCCGGTTAACTACGCCCCTATTGACGTCGTCGGGGTTTCTTTGAAGCCCAGCTGCGTTACGCGGCAGGCAGTCCTCTCGCTCAACCGCTACCTTAAGCCGCGTGTCATTCATGTGGTAACAACAAGCAGCGATAAATGCAGCACCTACACCTCCTTTGCACCAAACGTCGTGTGTCATATCCAGGACGAGTTCCTGGATGGGCTTACATTGGAGCGGGTCGGCGAATACATCAAGCAGCACCTGGGCCTGGATGAGCATAAGCACTTCAAGGGGCGTGAGCTCGCGGGATGGTACATGCAGCAGTTCATGAAGCTTGGATCCGTGCTGGCGCTCCCGGACCTGTCAGAGCATTACCTGGTGTGGGACCTGGACATGATCCTGCTGTCACCCGTGCAGCCAGTCTGGCGTGGCAGTCATGTTGACAGCAGCAGCAGCTTGCCTGGGACCGCCCCGCCGTTCCAGACTCTTGTCAACATCGGTGGCTCCGTATCCGCCGGGTACATTGCTAGTTTCCGGCGGCTCTTCAAGCGCAATCTTGAGTTCGCCCCAGACGGATCCTCCTTCGTTACGCACTGGATGGTGGTGTACAGGCCCTACCTGCAGGAGTTCCTGCATGAGCTGTCTGGAGGGGGCGGACCGTTGGGCTGGGTCTGGCGCATCCTGGCTGCCGTCGACGCCAGCAGCGCTGACCTCGGCTTCAGCGAGTACGCGTCCTACATCAGCTGGGTGCGGCAGCACTACCCGCAGTCGCAGCGGCTGGCCACGCGGAAGACCTGGGTACGGCACCCCTTTGGTCAAACCACGGTCAAACTTCTGCGGCTGTTGCGGCCGGACCGGTGTTGCTGCCCCAGCGATTGGCTTTTGAGGCTGGTCAGGACGCTGGGGTTTGTGTACACGGGCTACGAGGTGGGGCACATTGAGGAGTGCCGGTACAGTGAGCCACAGCATGAGGTTGCGTATGGGCTTTAGCCAGGGCCTGCCGGCCCTGGGGACCGGTGGCGGGCAGGTTGGGATAGACTGTGCGGCGTTACTAATGACGTGTGCGCATGCATTATCAGACAGGATCAGGCTGTTGGTTAGCATTTGGGGCATTGGGCGGTGGCATGCGTTGTGTGCATTGAGAGACTCTTGGGATGTGTGCATGTTACTGCTGTTGCAAGCTAGCCGGCAAGGAACGGAATAATGGTAACAAATCTAACAACTAGATCGGCGATGCGTGCGGGGTGCGGCAGTCGAGCGGCAAGTACGGCGTGTGCATTGCGGTTGGGGGTTGGGACTTGGGAGCACACCTCGCCAATGTATGTCGCTAACGTTTGTAAATGTTTTCACAAAGGAGTATTTGTTGGGAGCGTACAATCGGGTACCCGCAAGTTGGCTGGGTGTTGATACCATGTCAGCATGGGGTGAGGGCAAAAGTGTTCGCTGGGTGTGCGCGACCACCATCGCTGCTTGTTTCCTCCTTAGCTTGCATGCCTTGTGCGGGGCGCCAAGCAATTGCCGGTGCAGGAGCGTCCTAAAGCTTGGCGTTTCTCACGTGTCTGCATGAAAACGGAGCCTAAATGTGGCGTTATGTTTGTTTGTCTGGTTTGTTTGCATGATCAGCCGCTTGCATGGTTGCATTACTGACCACGGACTGCGTTCTGTGTGTGTCACTGGGGGCGCGTTGCTGTTGCTGTTGCTGCCGGCGCTTGTCGGCATGTCATGACTTGTGAACGCGCGCTGCTTGCACAAATGCGTTTTCCGTTGAGAGCTTCCAAGTGCATAGCATGCAGTTGCATGTAAACGTTGTAGGCTATTGCTGCAGACAGCTGTTACGCTCGCGTAATTACCGTACACAGGAAAGGCCGATGTGTGGAGTTCGCGCTCTTTCCTGGCCCCTCGACACGGGGTCTGTGGTGGCAACCAGTGCTGTGTCAAAGGCGGTGACATGCATTTACGGGTTGGATGGAGCGACGGTGGCGTAGTGAGGACGAATAAGCTGCCAGAAGGGCAGGTTGGCACGTCACGTGTCCCAACAGCTTCGGAGCATTATCTTTTTAACAATCTCTCCCTGGTTCCGCATCATTTTGGGCTTTGGCGTTGCATGCACGGGCAGGCAAGAGGTAGCCGGTGTACATCCTTCGTCCGTCACATGTCGCCCACATGAAAGACCACCAACAGCCATATGTCAACATGCCCACGCGCCGCAACCAGGGGTCAATACCAACACCCCATCCAATCCGGCGACTCCATGCACCTGTACTTCCCTCCCGTCACCACCATTCTATCAGCTACGCATCCTTGCACCTCCCCACCACCACTGCTCCAGTGTGCGGCCCCTCAGTGCTCCCAGACACAGCTAGTGTTAGTTGCCCGAGTTGCCTAAACAGGACTTAGAGGGTCATTTACAGGGCCACGGTAAGCGCAACTGCTATGACTGACCCTACTACCCTGCCGTCTGGTGAGCCTGGTGAGGCCCCGCGGACGCCTCCCATGCTGCCCTCCGCATCACCCTACCGCCTGCTCGCCGACACCTGCAGACCCGACAGCGGGTCCACGAAAACGCGGCTGGCCAGCGCTGCTGCATCACCCCCCTCCTCCACCCCACCCTCGTCACCATGCGCTTCACCTGGAGCAGCCGCCGGCGCCTGGCCTCCACCCGACCCATTACCGGTGACAGGTCGTTGTTGCGCATAGGGGCTGCCACCGCCACTGCCACCACCTGCAGCACCGTCGTTGGCCTTTCCAAAGGTCTCAGTGTGGCCACCCAGCCCCCCATTGCCGAGCACCTCTTGCTGCTGCTGCTGCTGCTGCTGCTGCTGCTGCGGGTAATGGTGGTGGTCCTGCTGGTAGGCATACAGGCCGCCCAGCTGCTGCACCCCTCCTTCTTCTTCTTCTTCTTCTTCTTCTTCTTCTTCTTCTTCTTCTTCCCCTTGCGACTGTACGTCTTCCGGCGCTTGGACTGGATGAGTGTGAGGCTCCGATACCCGCGGCTGCAGCTCCTGTGGCGGTTCCGGCTGCTGCGGTGGTTGCTCTGCCGTCCAGACAGCTGCTGCCGGCGGTGCTGCTACACCCTCCTCTGTCGCACCCCCCGAACCCGCTGCAGCCTGCCCAATCTCCAACCTCGAACTCCCTTCCAGCCCCTCTTCCTGCGGTAACCCGCACATCGGTGCATCCTCCGCCTCCACCATGACCCCACCCTCCGCCGCTTCCTCCATGACCTGCTCCTCAACCGCCGCCGCTGCCCCACCACTACCCTCGGACGCCTCGCCAGCCCCGGCTGTCATGCCGTACAAGATCTCCAGCCCCGCTGTCGTATCCTGATCCTCCTCCGCCACCCCGGCTGGAGGCGCTGCAGCGACCTCCTGGGAAGGCTCCCCTAATGAGGCCGGCGTGGGCTGAAGCCCCGCCTCTATCGTCTCAGCCTCCGTGACCTCCTCCTCCTCCTCCTCCTCCTGCGTCACCGCCGTCTCTGTCAGCGATTCGCCTGGTGACAGCCCTACGCTCGCACTCCCTGTTTGGCGGTCGGGTTGAGCAGCCGCCCACTCCTGCATGTCTCCCTCCTGTACCACAGCCGCCTCAACCAGCTGTTGATTTGGGTCGTGAGGTGGTACGGACCCGGGCCTGCCCGCCACCACCTCCTGCTGCGCAACACCCTCCACTGTCGGCTCCTCCGCTGCAGCTGTACGCCCTGACGCTCTGTCATCCGCTGCAGCCGTGACATCCGTCTGGGGCAGCGGCGGCGGCGGCGCTGCTGGTGGCGCAGCCGTGGCAGCTGCACCCGTTGTGGAGGAGGTGGCCTCCGCGGACGGCTCCGATGGCCGTGACACCACGGCATGCGCCTCAGGCGGCGGTGGCGGCGGCGGCGGTGGCTCTTGGTAAGGAGGAGGAGGAGCAGCCGACGACGTCGAAGCTGCTGTCGCCGCCGGCAGGGGCGCCGTCGCTGCGGGGGCAGGTGTGAGGGGGGCAGCAGCCACCGCTGCTGTGCTGCTTGCTGCGGCGCTGGGCCGCGGCAGCGCGTCCGGCGGCAGCAGCCCGTAGTGCTTGGTGTAGAAGGTGGTGAGGCGGGTGACGTAGCTGCTGGCGCGCGCGGGGTCCAGCGGGAGCGCCAACAGCGCCTGCAACATGAACAACGCGTTGGCGCGTCGGCTGGCGTCCCAGGCGGCATGCGCGGAGGCGGCCGCCGCGGCGGCAGCGGCAGCAGCCGCGGCTGACGCCGCGGCCGCGGCGGCGGCTCCGCCGCCGCCAAGGCTGCGCAGTAGGCCTCCGGCCGGCGTTGGCGGCTGCGCCGGTGGCGGCGGCGCAGCCGCCGCCGTTGCCACCGCCGCCGCCGGTGACGGCATTCCATCCAGCAGCGCGGCTAACGTTTCGCTGCATGCCGCCGCCACCCGGCCGAATATGTACGACACCTCCTCGGGTTGCAGGATGGGCTGCAGTACGGAACGCAGCGTGCCGAGCTGCCGTACAAGCAGCCTCAGCGCCTCCGACGGCGCTGGCTGCGCCGCCTGGTGTGCTTGCACCTGGGGAGGTGCGCGGGGCCAGGCCTCCGCCTCCGCCGCCACTTGCCTGCAAAACAAAACACGAAACAAACGCACCAATTCCGTCAATGACGCCCCCTCCGTTCCCGGCACACGCTTACGCTCCACACTCCAAGCCCTCTTGTTCCGCCCCCATGCACCCCCTCCCTCCCCCCCACCTGCACGTCGCATGCACCCTCCCCCCCCACCTGCACGCCGCATGCACCCGCTCCTGCATGATGTCCACCAGCTTGCCGTGGATCTCCTCCACGTGCAGCGACAGGTCCTGCAGGCAGGCGCCAGGTGGGGGGCGGAGGGGTCCAAAGACGGTCAAAAGACCACACACCAGACCATGGGAAGCCACAGGTTCGGGCTAAGCAGTGGGGATAGGACATAGGAGGCGGCCCGGGTGTCATGACACCGCACCTGCGCCAGCCGGTCAAACTCCGGCAGCAGCAGCGCCCGCCGAGGCGCCTCCGCCACCGCCCCCGCCAGCTGCCACCGCAGCAGCGGCAGCAGCGCCGCCAGCGCCGCCAGCGCCTGAGCCGCCAGCGCCAGGTGCTTGGCGGAGATGGAGCGCAGGCCGCTGGTGCGCATGGCGCCCGCACCCAGCACCTGGGCAGGGGTGGTGAAGGGGTGGGGAGGGGAAATTAGGCACTAGGGCTGACTAGGGCGTAAGAAGGTGAAGATTGAAATCCCTATCCGCCCGCTTTACTGCGCTCTCCCACCCTTCCCGCCACCCCACCCTCCAAACACCTCCACCCCTCACCACCCATTTCTCTAAGACCCACCTGCTGTGCAGTGGTGGTGTTGAAGGCTCGGATCAGCTCCACGCAGCGGTGAGCCACATCGGGACCCAGCGCTGCCAGCGCCCAGCTGCCTCCGCCACCTCCACCGCCTGCTGCTGCTGGAGTTGCTGCCGTACCTGCATGGGACAACAGTCCCAGCCCCTGCTGCTGCCCCTGCTGCTGGTGCTGCAACATGCGCCTGGCGGAGGCAGACGCGAACGCTGCTCCTGCTCCTGCTCCTCCCCCTGCTGCTCCCCCTGCTGCCCCTGCCGTCTGCTGCTGCTGTTGTTGTTGTTGCGCTGCAGCCGGCAGCAGCCCCAGGTAGTGTTCGTCCAGCAGCTTGAGCAGCATGAGCAGCGAGTTGACGGACCAGTAGTGCCGCCCGCCCAGCCGCAGCAGGCCTGGGGTGTGTGTGTTTGGGGGTGGGGGTGGGGGTGGATGGGTGGCGGTGGCGGGAAGAGAAGGGGCGGGGAGGGGAGTTGGGAGGTGGGGAAGAGGTGAGGGGTAGGATTAGGGGTGAGGGCAGAGTCCTGGGTAGAGATGAGGGTGTGGTTGAGGGAGATGAGGGATGGCAGCAGCTGGCCGCTAGTTGGGTGGTTGACAGGTGTACACAGGCACCGTATCCCGGGGGGTAAAGAGGAATGGGGCGCCCCATGCAACCCGCCACCGTCACCACCCTCCTCCTCAGCTCCTCACCCTCCGTAGGCCGCACCACCACCACCACCACCGCCGTCCCGCCGCCCTCCGCGCCTCCGTCACCGCCACCCCTGACCACTGGCCCCGCTGGCCCCGCTGGCCCCGCTGCTGCCATGCCGGTGCCGCTGCCCGCACCCCGCCCCGCCATGCCCCCGCATCGCTCCTCCATCCTGTCAATGATGGTTTGGAAGGAGGCGGGCGCCTCCGCGGGTACCCACTGCTCCGCCTCTAGCAGGTGCTGCAGCTGCGGGGTGAGGGGGTGGGGAGGGGAGAGGAGGGGAGGGGAGGGGAGAGGAAAAGGTACCGGTAAGCGCTGCTGTAAGCAAGGGCTGTAGGTATAAGTGCTGGTGTATTCATGTGTTTCTATATGCCCTTCCTTCCTCAATCCCTTCCCCACTTCCCTCTGCCACCCTGCCACCCTGCCACGCCCCTGCCCCCCCCCAGGTACCTACCTGCATGGCGCAGCGCGCGTGGGTGCTCTCCAGGTGGGCCCGACACAGCGCCTGGCGGGGGGAGGGGTTGGGGTAGGGGTAAAGATATAAAGGAGTGGGGGTGAAATGGGCATGGGGTGGGTGGGAACGGGTGGGTGGTAATAGGACCATGATGTAACACATTCCGTGGCATTTCCCCGCCGTCAGTTGTTGCAGCGCTACCGGTAAAGGCGCAGCGTCAAGACACACCGCTAACCCCACTTCCCACCTTCCCGCTCCTCTCCCTCGCACCCCCCCCCCCCGCCGCCACCCCCCCCCTTCCGCACCTGCAGTGTGGGCCGGAGTGCCGCCCCCTGCCGCACCCCGAACTGCTCCGGCAGCCCCGCGAAGGCCTCACACGCGCCCAGCAGCGCGCGAAACTCGTACACTTTGAGCCGGCTGGCAGGCGGCAGGGAGGCAGGGAGGGTGCGGTGGGTGGGTGGGCGAGCGGGCCCCAGACGAGCATACACCCACCCCTCCAGCTGCACCCTACTACCGGTTCCCCCCTCCCTCACAGCTCAGTTCACGTACCCCCCTACCCTCCCCCTGCTCCGATCTGGTCTAACTTGACCCCCCTGCCCCCCTGGCCCCCACCTGTGCACATCGCTCCTGGCCGCCATCAGCTTGGCCCACCGCCCCGTGGCCACATCCACCACCCCCTGCAGCGCGCCATGCACCTCCCGCAGCAACGTAGCAGGCGGCGTCGTCGTCGTACTACCACTGGCACCGCTGCTGGTACCGCTGCTGGTACCGCTGCTGCTCCCCCCGCCTGCCGCCCCACCCGCAGCAGCACCACCGGAACCGCTAACCCTGCCTCCGCCTCCGCCACTACCACCCCCACTACCCCCACACCTCGCCAGAATGCCCTCCACGATGCCCCCCACCATTACACTGTGCGCCAGGTAGGCCTCCAGCACCGCCCCCAGCACCAGCAGCACCTGCATGAACCCCTCGTGCGGCAGCGCACACAGCCGCTCCGCAAACGATACCTCTGCTGCTACCCCTGCTCCTTCCCCTGACCCCACTCCCTCTGCCCCCTCCGCCTCTCCTCCTCCTCCTGCCCCCTCCAGTCCCCCTCCCCCTCCCCCTCCTCCGCCTCCGCCTCCCGCCCCACCAGCAAACACCAGCCGTTCCACCGCGTCGCGCACCGCCAGCTTCACCTCGGCACAGCGGTTGGCGCCCCACTGTCGCAGTGCGGGCTGCAGGCGGCCGCAGCGGGCCAGCCCCACCACCACGGGCAGCAGCCGGTCGTGCAGCTGCTCGCGGGTGGCGGCCAGCTCGGAGGAGATGAAGAGGGAGGTGGAGGGGAGGAGGGTGGGGGTGGTAGAGGAGGCGGAGGAGGTGGAGGAGGTGGAGGTGGGGGTGGTGGTGCTGTTGACGGGGGAGAGGGAGGAGGAGGACTGCGGCGCGGAGGAGAGGCCCAGGAGTGCGGCGGACTGTAGGGGGGGGGGGAGGTGGGGGGGGAACGGAGGGGCGGGGGGTGGGGCGAGAGGTGTGCCAGTTGAGTCAAGGAGCGGTAACCGGCGACGGCGCAACATGCATGGGACAGAACACCTAGTCACTCCCCTTCCCCCTCCCCTTCCCCCCTCCCCCCTCTCCCCCTTCCCCCCTCTCCCCCTTCCTCTCACCTCCCCCACCGCCCGCTCCACCACTCCCCCCGCCTCCCCCATCAGCCCCGCCCCCAGCAGCTCCGCCTGCAGCGCCGCCTCCACCTCGCCCCGCCGCTCCACCAGCTGCGGGGCCAGACTGGCCAGGCAGCGCACGCCGCCCGCCACCAGCGCCCCCGCGGCGTGGGACAGATTGTCAAGCAGTTCCAGACCGGCTGGGGGGGAGGGGGAGGGGGAATGGAGGAGAGGAGCAAGGGGAGGAGAGGAGCAAGGGGGGGAGGTGTAAGGGTGTGACTGAGGAGTGACTGAGGAAGCGGTACACCTGGCCCCCTTCCCCTCTTGTTAGGCGACGCTTCCCCCCTCCCACCCACCCCTCCCCCCCACCCCTCCCACACCTGCGTAATCTCCCGACTCCAGCAGCAGCGGCAGGGCTGCTCGCGCCGCTGCCACCTCCTCCAGTTGCTGGGGGGCGGGGGGTGAGTGGGAAGTGGTGGGGTGGATGGGTTGAAGAGAGGGAAGGCGGGTAGGGTGGCGTATGGCAGGTTGAAGTGGGAGGGAAAGCGGGTACTGAGGGTACGGGAGAGGCTTCATCTTGTCATTTGCCCCAGGGGTCATGGCCCCTGCTTCACTGCTGCCGGTCTCCCCGGGCCCCCTCAATCTCTCCCCCCCCCACCTTGACCAGCTCCAGTGTTGCCGCCAGGTTGCCCCTCCGCCGCTGCAGCGCCGCCACCCGCAGCGTCGCGGAGTAGGTCACCTCGTCCATGTCACTCAGCTGGGGGGGGGGTTGAGAAAAATACCCAATGTGTGGTGTGATAAACTAGGTAAACTAGCTGACAAGCTCTGATGGAAAATCAGCTGGGAGGGCCGGTGGGGGGGGAGTGGAAGGAGGCATGGGGGGAAGGCACATGGGGGGAGGCATGACAAGAGACACAGGGTCCCTCCGACTCGCGGCCAGTTTCCTTTACCCACCCCCCACCCCCCACCCACCCCACCTTGTCCCGTATCCTCTGCACGTGCTGCCGAGTGCCCGCCACCCGCGCATGCAGGTGGTGCACGCAGCTGCCCGCCCCCATGATGGCGCGGGAGCGGGAGGCGATCTCGCGCATCAGCTGCGTCTCTACCAGGTCCTGGGGGGGCGCCAGGGAGGGGGAGGGAGGCGGCAGGTCACTGTAGCAACCCATGGTGAAGCCTCGTCATTCAGAACGTCAGTCCCTTCCACTCTTTACCCCCGTTCCCAGCCCCCCACCCCCACCCCCTACCCACCAGGGCTGCGCTCAGCTTGTCTATGCGCTCGTACATCTCCCCGTCGTCCTCACAGCCGCAGATGGCCTCGAAGATGTCGGGTCTGAGGGGAGAGGTGGGAAAAAGGGAGGTGGGAAACACACCAGGGGTGGGGGTAAGGGGGGGTGGAGGTACCGGCAGCCCAACTGAGCCGCGAGTCGAGTCGGAAGTGGGGCGGGTAACGGGCCGCGCCCCCAACTGCTTGCAGCGACGGCCACCCCAGCATGTTCACTCATGTTCCACAGAGTCTGCTGCACATACGACATACCCCCCCCCGCTCCATGCTGGGTTGCTGGCAAACCCCCACCCGCCCGCCCACCCGGCCCCAGGTGCGCTGCCTTGGTGGCGAGGCGAGGCGAGGCGTACCTGCTAAGGGAGAAGTCCTCATTGAAGAAGAGCGGGGGAACCACCTAAGGGAGGGAAGGGGTGGGGAGCAGCCAGGATGGGGGGAGGGGACGCCGTGGGTGGGATGAGAGAACCGGACAGCACTGTGGGAGAAGAGCATTGAAGCAGAGCATTGCGCTGAATTGGTGCCCTTAGTGGCCACCCGTGATGCACCGCCCCGCCACCCCCTTCCTAAAAAGCCCCGGCATCCCCCCACCCTACCCCACCTGCAGCGCTGTCACCAGCCCATCGCCCTGCTTCAGCCGCGGTGGCCTCTCCCGCCTCCGCCGCCGCAGCTGCTGCTGCTCCTCCCGCTCTTCCTCCTCTCGCTGCTGCTGGGGCTGCTGCGGGTCCCCATCTGCTGTGGAGGGCCCCGGCGGCATGCCGCTGCTGCTGCCCCCGCCGCCGCTGCTGCCGCCATGCTCCCCTGCTGCAGGGTGCATGGGGGTTGCAGGCACACCGCACCAGGGTGCATGGGGGTTCCACATCAGTAGCGGACGTAAGGTACACAGTAATACAGCCGTCATACAGCCGTCAGCCAGCCGTCGTACAGGTAAGGGTATCCTCAGCCAGCCTCAGTAGGCTGCTGTAGAAGCGGGGGGGGGTCATGCAAGGATTTCCACGCAGCACAACCCCATGTGCGCCTGGTCCGGTCCCTTGGCGGGTACCGGTAGTTAATGGTGACCAGGGATTTCCCAGGGCTGCTCACCGCGCCCATGTTCCGCGCTGTATTCCCCTTCCGCTGAGCCCTGCTCTGACTGTCCGTATGGAAGGTACGCCAAGCCATCCTCGTCATCCTGCTCATCATCATCGTCGTCCGTGTCGCCGAGCTGCTGTGCAATGCCGCCAACTGCAAGGCTTTGGCGATCCTGCTGGAATTGTTTATAGCGACCTTCGGAGACCAGCGCCAAGTACTTGGCCAAGTCGCGGTGGGAAATGGGTGGATATCGCATGGAGTCGATGGGGGGCGGGGGTTCTTGCCAGCTGACATCTGGAACTCGAAAGCCCAAGCCTAGCCAGGTACCCCAATTCTTTTGGGCATCCGCCCTGGGGTCATTTACAACTGCGACAAGCGTCTGGCCAACTGCATAGTCTGAGCGGTCCACTTCCGGGCGCTTGTGTGATGTTCCATGGCTGCTTAGACCGACATTAGAGCTTTGCCGTCGAACATGACCTGCTGGAGGGCCAGGGCCTTGCTCTACATGCCCATGTGACCCGTTCTGAGGCTGTTGCTCGGGCGTCATATGGCACAGAAGCTAAACCAAACGCTTGGGAAGCATTTAAGGGCTGAAGCTGGATCCTGCTTAAAAGCTGATGGACTGTTTGGCCAGTACCCTATGGATCGGCATTAATGTGAGTTATCTAGGACAAGTTGGGGTCTGTGAAGTACATGTCTTTGGTAAGCTTTGACGAATAGATAAAGGTTGTAAACTTAGCCTGGTCGTAGGCTTCGCGGCAGCGGTGCTTGTATGCTGTATTTCCCTCACGTAGATGTTGCAGCGAATGCAATTGTAAGTAACTAAAGGTAAGACGTATCATACCTGCAAAAGCACCACAACTCGTTCTTTGGTATTCTTGCCGTCGCAACCGTCCAACCGCTGATGGGTCGATCGGGTTGCTCGGGCTCGCAGCCGTCTTCCGGGTAGGCAGGCCTCCCAAAAAATACGTTTGAATTGTGCACCTATGGGTATGTACCGAGGATTCAAGTGGAGGATTGACAGGCGATGGCTGCGTCTCGGCTGGGTGTGATTACTGGCTAAGAGTGGGCGAGAGGTCATGCATACCACAGCCTGCATCCCCTTATTGGACGTGGCGGAGTACCGCTTCGAAGGCCGCGAAACACGGTCCCAACCATGTGTTTGCCGCTGTGGTGGCGCCTTCCCTTCTCTTTCATTGCCATTGCCCACCCTGGCGCCTGTCACAACCTGGCGAACGGAATACCGTCTCCCACATGCGTGAGCCGCCATACTCGTAATTGGCCAATTCCTGGCCTACTCCACCCAACCAGGGGCCCGAACATTTGCCTGGCCGCCGGGAACCTCAACCCTGGGAGCCCCAGCACTGCCCAAACACCTACCGCGCTCCCATTACTAGCATCGTACCTCTCGACGCTTGCCGTGTACTGTATGGGACCTAACCAACTTTTCAACCCGAGTCTCTTTGCCAGCCACAATTGCAACCCGCTGCCAAATTGGCTGGCTGCTTCCGTGGTTGCTCCGTCTTAGGGGCCCCGCCCTGGATGTGGCCTTCGTAGCGAGTTGCCGAACGCGGACATACCTACTACACCTGTACTACATCCTTTGCAAGGGCAAAGTCGGATGCCCAGCCAGGCGTGTTGAGCGCTAACAAACCGTGTGCACAAGGGGGTAAGAGGGCCTGGTGCAGCTTATGTGAATTGTTGGCGCAGGAGCCGTTTCAGGATAGCGATGTTGGCATGGTTGCCCTCCCATCAACGGAGTATATGGGCTACGATACGCTCTGAAGGCACGCCGCGAGACAAGGGCGAATTTTCCGTGTAGCACCCCTACCTTCGTATAGTTTTTCCTACTTTTGTCCTACCGTCGACTCATGACGGATAGTCAATGAGAGGATGCACACGCATCGGCAGCCTTGGTCACGAGCTTGCTCTGGCCTAAGGACGTTTGAAGGAAACGTAAGGTAGGCTAGCTAGGTTGCGAGGGGAAGGCTATCTGGTCGCGAGATCCAGCGATGTACGGTAGCTGTCGCCCTTCACCATCTAGTCGGTTGCTGGTCTCCTCTATAGTTCATTACTATCGACATAGACTCTGACCCCTGTAGATGACGAACAGACATACTTAACACTTTGACCAGGTAGCTGTTTCGACTTACCGGCCATGTCTGACAGAACTGATGGAGACGTTGAAACTACGTATGATGCAAGCAAGGGTGGCAAAGTAGCGCGGAGAAGCTTAGGTTTCTGGTGTCAAGTAGGTTCATGTGTCTTCTGCCTTGTAGCGCTGACAAGGCAATCTGCGACACACAGTCAATGGAGTCTTGCCGTGTGCCGCAGTTCAACAACTGGTACCGTTCGTTTTGGGAGGCAGAGGGGAGACGCCCAAGCGTAGTTGATGTGAAGAGGTGAGGCTATAGGCAAAGTTAGGAGTTGTCGGAGCCCCGGTCGCGATCAAGTTTCTTGGCTGACCTGCTGGTAAAAGTTATAGGCTCTATTTCGTCTTTTCCATGCTACGATGTGGTGCTCATAGTTCCGGGCTTGCGATACGGTCCGAACTCGTTGACCTTGCTAGCCATGCTGACATTGCCGAACCTCCGCCTTGGCCCGCGAGCCAGGTGGTACGATCAGGCGGCTGACCTGTGCTGGGGAGATATGAAGCCGACATGGGACGAGACCAGGTAGGCCTTGATCTTACTGCCAAATATTGCACGAGCGTGACACTTCTTCCCTAGTCGCCTAACCCCTATCCACCCGGCAGGACTCACAGTAAGTGTCTACGATCCCTTGATCAAGTACGCAGCTACTTCCGGCAATACCGTGCCGCAAAAAAGGTGTGTCCGCTGTCTCCCGTCCTGCGGTTGCCACTTTAACCACTTTAGGAGGTGCTAGTCATGGGTATTCTTGCCGCATCTTTGCTAATAATCCCCATCTCAACTAGCTACTCCCCCCCTAGCTCCACTAGTGTTCCTGTCGACTGAGAACAACCGACTGACAGGTCCCTTACACTGCCCTTGTTGCCTCCGCAGCACGAGCAGGAAAGCACCGATGGAAGCAAGCCCGATGCCAGGAGGTCATGTGGGAACGGAGGCCCTTCGCAGTCGCACTCGCTGCATACAGACAGCCTCACCGCTACGGGCCAACAGGTGGGGAGGTACCGGCACACACTCTGTTGCGCAACCGAATACAGCAAGCGCTCCACGTGCAGCATCCGTGCAGCTTCATATCGCGTAATGGATGAAGGTTTTAGCTGGCCCGTAATCCAAACCTCGAAGAAGAAGACGGAGAATGCCCTACCAGCTCATTACTGGTCTCTGGTCACAAGCTTTTGGTGTTCGATCTTCCCCACAGGACGATTCGCTAGCCGGTACCGACGCCTGCTTCTTCCGCGCGACCAAGGTTCGCCGCCCCTCCGCGGACTCGGACACCGCAGAGGCCAGCTTCTACGGTTTCGCCACCGCGGTGGACCCCACCGCCTCCAACACCGTCTCCTCCCCCGGCTCCAAGTACAGCAGCCACACGCAAGAACAGGCCGGCTGGGCCCCGTACACCCATAGCAACAAGACGGGCCACCCCGCTGTGACTGCGGGAAGCCAGCGCGGCGCTACAGCACCGGGTTGCGGCAGCAGAAACTGCGGCGGAGCGGGCGGTGACCCTTGGCGCGACACCTCCGCATGCGACGCCTCCACCAACAACGTCCTCGCAGCACGCCCAGCCGTGCGCATGGTGTTTGGCGAGGATGCCGCTGGCCGCCCAGCACCCGTCCTCATCCAGCGTGCCCCAGGCGATACGATGCCCTTTCCCATCCCCGTCTCCGCACCGCATGCGGCAGCCTGGATGCCGCCACGTCCACACCCTCCATCGGGCGACAACAACCGGCCCTCTGGACAGACCTGGCAACAGCAGCACCCACCGTCGCTGCCTTGGGGGTGCGCAAGTCACCAGCTGCAGCCGCCGTACTACGTAGCCCACCCGTACAACTCAGCAGCATCCCTTGGAACGCCCGCGGCTCATGACTTGACATCTCCGCCGTCCACATGGGTCGAGTCCTCCGACCGCCAAGGCCTTCGTCCTTTGGCAGCCCTTCCCGCGCACCTGCCGCACTCCCATCCGGGGTCAGGATCGTCAGGCAGCGTGCGGCCCTGGGCCTCTGCGCCCATGCCCGGCATTCCCTTTCCGCCCGCGCACCTCCAGCACCAGCTTCCGCCGCTGCCGCCGGCTGGGCCAGGGAGGCCCGGTCAGCAGGGGGTGCCGGCACAGGCTACCAGCTCCGCCGCGGCAGCGGCTGCTGCTGCTGCCGCCGCCGCCGCTACGGCTACGTCAACTCAGCAGCGGGAGCTCCGACAACCGGGTGCAGCGACCTCTGCTGGTCAGACAGCTGCGAGTGTACCATCCAGCGACTCGCAGCAACAGCAGCAATGCAAGGCTGCGCAGGCGCCGCCATTCCAAGCCAGCGCAGGAGCAGTCCAGCAGCAGCCTTTGTCCGCACCTGCGCCACCATACCAGCTCCACGCACATGCAACCCAGCAGCCGTATCCACAGATGCCGTACGGGGCCGATCATGCGACCATGTGCGGCCAGCACTCCTACATGGATCCGTACTCGTATCCGTACGGCATGCCCGATCCAAGCATGTCGTACTGGGGCATGTACCCGTACTACCCTGCACATGGACCTTACCACGAGCCATCACCGGCAACGCATATGCGGGACTACCAGAGTGGCTCTGATGCAGCACTATACGGCGGTCTCGGGGTTCCGAATCCGGCTGCCCAAGGCTGCCAGGCAAAGCGAGCAGTGGAGGGCCGCGACAACGCCCCGCATCCTCAGCGGACTGCGCTAGGGACGGCTGCGTTACCGCCGTTCCCTGCTCCGCCAACGCACTACCCTCCTCACGCGCTGTACGGATTTGCCAGGTGAGCTTTTTGTAACCAGGGGCCACTTGTTGCTTCTGATGTACTTAGGGCAACCGTATGTGCATAAGAGCATTGACTCTTGCTTACCTCGAAGATTGCGTTTCACCTCTTGGCCCCCGTGCCGCTGACGGCATGAACCCAAGTTACTTACGGTCGTTACGGACTTGCCCACCCTCAGGTACCCCGCCATGCCGGCATCCCAGCAACGGACAGCACCCCCAACCGGCGTCGACATCGCCACCAGCAACAGTACAGCTGGTGGTGGTGCACCGCCTGCGGCTCTGCATACAGCCCCGCCACGCTGTGACTATGCCAGCGTTGCTGCAAACCCGGGTGAGTTCAGCCACTTGTACGAGTCCTATTTCACCAACAACACCTCGCACGATAGCCGGTATGGAGAGGAGGAGGTGCCGGCGGCCCCAGGGGAGGGCAGCCATGCTTCCCCCTCGCTATCCTTAGGAACGCAGCAGCTACAGGCACCCAAGCAGGAGGGGCAGGCTGGCAGTCGCCAGGCGGCAGAACGGCAGCAGGCGGCTCAGGCAGCTACCAAGCCCGCTACGAGTGCTCTGGAGGGCAACGTCCGGGTCAAGGCACAGGACCCCTTAATGGCAGACTGCAGAGCCGCGGGCGCATGCGGGCAACCTCCCTTCGCTGGCAACAACAACTGCGCTGGCACCGTACCTGGGCACCTGTCCTCTTTCCCGTCTGATCAGCTCTCAGCGGGTTCGACGTTCATGCCCCTGGCGACTGGCGTTGCCGCTGCTCAAGGCCGCAACGGCGGCGTCGTCGTCCCAGCTGCTACGGCTCAAGACGTGGCGCGGCACGGCGCTTGCGAAGCTACGGCTGCTGCCCATACAGCCGGCCGCGACGATGCGCCAGGAGTGGCGCAGAGTGACGTCTGCGATGTGACGGTCGTAGTCCGCGTGCCATCACTGTCGCGCGCTGTCAAGTCCGACCCTGAGGCCTCACCCTTGCTCGGCAGAGGCTTCAGTTGCGTCCTGGAGAAGGACGAAGACCTGGGCTTTGACCTCCCAGGCCTGGACACGGACCCGCGGTTCGACAGCCCCGGCTTCTTCTTGTCTCCTGGCCTACGCCCACCACAGTCCCAGCCTCGGCATCAGCAGCAACAGCTGACCGGGGTGCTGGCCGCAACGCCAGCTTGCCGCCTGAAGGGCAATGGCGGTGCTGACGCTCTGGCAGCGCTGTCGCTGCCGACATGCCTCGACATGCTGCCACTGCCAGACCTTGGCGCCCTTGGATCCGATCTAGATTTTGACTGCGCCATGACGTTCCTGTCCGGCTCGCCCTCGGCCCCTTAAAACCCTTAAAAGGGGCCGATGTGATGAATGCCCGCAGTTACCCGTGAGAAGGGGGTTGCCAACAGCGGCGTTCCGAAGCTGCTGTTCTAATCGGCGCCAGCAGTCTCTGTGATGTGGTTCTGCCTATGGCGCGTAGCAGTACAAGAGGGTTGGAATGTAGTGCGGCCGTGCCCATTGATGGGATCGCTTGTGACGGTGCCAGTTTCGGGAGGCAAAGAGACAACATGTGTGACCGTGGAGTGTACTAGATAGGTACATTGGTGTCGACACTGGGAGTGTACCCGAGGGGTGTTCCGTCTACTAGACATTCGAGCAGTACTAGACGTTCGAGGTGCAAAAGACCTTGTGTCGCGTGTATGGTGCACGCCGATCGGCAATAAGCCTACTACTTGGTTATAACCTTTGATTTACTCGTTAGCCGTCCTGTGATCCCCAGCCAATGCTGCATGCATGAAATTGATTGAGCCATGTCTCTTGCAGCTACAAACGCATGCTACTTGTCTTATGTTGCATCGTCTTTTGTCCTACTCGTTTTTATGTTAGTCCCCTCTCAGCTTTCCTCTTTTACTAGTTGCATGCATGGCGGTTTTCCTTTTATGAGTCGCCTACTGTGCGCACTCTGCCCACATTTCGCGTGGCTGGGTAGGCGTGTCTGCCCTCATGTCCTAGCTTTCAGACATCGTCTCTTTCGTGTACATGTTTGTATATGGTTTGCCTGCTGTATCCACCCGTTCTGGTGTCCGTTATGATGGATTGTTATGGGTTATTTTGTTATGGGACGGCTGGGTGTGTACAGCCTGTAACTGCACTGCTGTTCGAACTCCCGGAAGAAGCGCGCCGCCGGTTACTCCTCATTGCCGGGCAAGCGTCAAGTACCTCACCCAATGCGTGACGACATTCATCCAACTGATCATACGAGAGTTTGCCAGCCGCTTTGGTGGAAGGTTGGTTTGCTGTTGTTGTGTTTGTTCGGCCTCCATGATGACCGGTCCTAGTCGTGCGTTTGCCTCGGCGTGTTGGGGATTCAAGTGCAGTCCTAGACTATGTGTCAATTTCGTTGCAATGTATGTACGGTAGATAGAGGTCCGCATATTCTTTCCTGTAGTCACCTGCTTGCTTGCCTTGTTCCAGGAAGCTGGTGTCAGTGCCAAGGGATTTGTGTTTTGACCCATGGGTCAGGGAGCGTGGTTCTGTGCAGGCAAGAGCGAATTGGAGGCGGCGTAAAGCACCTACAATATGGGGCACCAGAAGTGGCCTAATGGGTGCGAACGGTCCCGCATTGGTACTATCGCCCCTCTAGCCACGTGTAATTGGGCCCAGCGACATGGGGCAGCGCAGTTTGCAGTTTTACATTGTAATTGTGTTGCAAAATGCCACTCCCCAGTTCCTACTGGTACCGATAACCCGACTGAGGAATCCGACGCCATGTTTCATATGAAGCGCGAAACCAGCCATCACCTAGTGGGAAAGCCCCTACGAAATGTATTGGATCCATCATGAGGCTGCATGATACGTCCTCGTTCCACACCTCCATATACCGGAGCGCATTGCGCATACACGCTCAGGCGCATTAAGACGGCGCTAGGCAGGTTAGGCTTTGGGTGTTGCCGGTTACGGCACATGAATACAAGGAGCCCTTTTGTTCTGCAAAAGCTGTAGTTAGTCCATTTTCGAATGATCTATAGCAAGGTGGTATCAGCTTTTGCAGAACCTGCCGGTCGTGAAATGCAACTTGGATTCGACGCCGGACGCCGTGAACTGCTGGCAACCGGCAACGACAAAATTTGGTCAGAGAAATGCCATGTAACAACCTTTTAAGAAGCCTGCGTACGGGCTTCTTCCTTCCTCTGCTGTCCTGTCGGGAACCCAGCGCGCGCACTTGCGCCGAACCCATGGTCGACTTGTGATGTGCGGTTTTCCCGGACGTTGACATACATGGCTAAGCTCTACTTTACCTAGCTTTTAGTGCCCAAATCAACATCCAGACTGGACTTCCCGTGTAACTCCTGCTCGGCGGGTTGTTTGGGACACAGCCGTGGCCTTTTGCGTGCAGTCTGGAATGTCCGTGATTGAACAGGTGGGATCCTGCGACGCAGTGAAAGGATACCTGCCAGAGGGCCGCTCATCTACGCATCGTCCTTGCACAAATCCCTCCTGCCTCGTGTTGCACAACCGACGCCTACAATTTTAGAGGATCTATGATATTGGTTTGCTTCCAAGTTGCCTGCTTTTAGCCTGTTGATGCGTGTTGGGACCCCATCCTTGCAACAGACGCCGTTCTATACGCTCACACACCAAGATGACGGCCGTGACGAAAAGGTCCAGCTTACAGTGCAGCTCCCAGGTACAGTTTGCACAGCGGTAGGCGCCATGGGCGGTCGTCGTTGGCCTGCTTGCCTGTTACCCAAATGCCCCCAATCCGGACAAGTTCGCTAGCCTCCACAGTCTTTCGGGCCTAAGCATAACAGCCTCATAGTCTCCTTGCATCGCTTCGATATCCCTTCCCTGCTGCGTCCATGAAGAGGCCCTTGCCACCTATGTTCGCGGCCGCTTGCCTTCTGTCCAGGCCGATGCTTACACACAGGCTATCCCTCCAACACCCTTCCCCAGGCGTGGATAGCGCCTCAGAGCTGGACGTTACAGTGCGGCCCACCTTCTTTTCCCTGCGGGTGCCAGGGAGGTATAAACTGGTGAGTCGAACTCAGCTTCACTGGCTTCAAAGCAAGAGGGACTTTAAGCATGAGGGACTTCAATTATGCAAGGGCCAGGCTGTATGTGCCAAGGAAGGAGCGGAAAAAGTACATGGCGCTGCCCATGCGCTTCGTGACTGAAAACTCGGCCCCGCTTCATTTCCCCTCGGTAGGAATCCCCCCCTTTCCTCCTACCCCGCTACCTTCTGCCACCATCCAAACGGCCTCTCCCGCGCCGCCCCTCCACACCTCTCCCGTCCCCTCTGCCTCCCCCGCATCGCTCCCCCGCGCCCCCAACCCCTCACAGGAGCTCCACCTCGACCCCCCTGTGCTGGACAAGCCTGAGGTGCTGCGCTTCGTGAGGAGAAAGTCCCAGCTCAAGGTAAGGTAACAACTACTAGCCCAAGCACCTTTGCAAGCACTGCAAGCAATCACTGCCAATCCCCTATTGAAGCCTGGGAGAGCAGCTAGCCGTTAGGGGGTGGAGAGTGTTGGGTCCGAAAGGTGCGCGGATCCTACTCCTGGGCTCTGTGAGGAGAGGGAGGCCAGCGCTTGGATGTCTGATGAGGCGCCGGGGAGGGACGCCCTTGTGGACACCAGCTTCCCTGACCCAACCGCACTGAGCGAGTAGCACGCCGAGTGTGGCCCCGCGCGCCCTCTTCGCTTACGCCGCTTTACCCGCCCGGCTCCTCCTACACCAATCCTCTAATGAAAGCAACCCTGTCCTGCCCTCCCCCGCCCCTGGCCTGCCGCCCCCGCCTCCTCCAGGCCACGCTCGTGGTGGACGTGACGGCCCCACCCGCCACCTCCACCACCACCACCACCACCACCGCTGCCAAACAACAACAACACCCTCCGCAGCGCCCGTCCGGCACACCCACATCGGCAGCTGCAGCAGCAGCCGGCACCTCAACCGTCCCCTCCTCCTCCGCCTCGCCCTCCACAGCACCAACACCAGCCGCGTCAGGAGCCGCTTCAGGCACGGCCTCCGCCCGCCCCCCTCCGACACCACCACGCTCCGGAGCTGCAGGCGGCAGCAGCAGCAGTGAGGGTCGAACGGTGCATGACTCCTTCTACGCGGACGTTCTGCCGGGGCTGGTGGGCGCCTTCGGGAGGGCGCGGGGAGCGGCGGGCAGCAAGGCGGCGGCAGCAGCAGCAGCAGCGGCGGCGCAGGGGGCGCACAAGGCCCCTGCAGCCAGCCAGCAGCAGCAGCAGCAGCAAGGACAGCAGCAGGTGGCTGCAGGCGGGGCGACGGCGCCAGCTGCCAAGGGGTCCTTATCATCAGCAGCCCCGGTGTCTGCGGCGTCGGACGGCGGTGTGAAGAACGCGGCAGTAGGTGGCAGCAGCGGCAGCAGCACGGGTGGAACTACCGGCAGTGCTGCTAGCAGTAAACACCAGCAACGACCAACAGCAGCTGGCAAGTCATCGTCGTCGTCCCAGGCAGGGGGAAGAAACGCAGCGGGACATAGTACCGGCAGCACTAGTAGCGGCAGCGGCAGTGACGGCGGCGGGGGTGCTGACGCGGCAAATGTCGTACGTTCGTATTCTGGATCCGTACCGCTCGTGGCTAACCGCGAGGCCGCGGAGCAGTGGCTTGAGAAGGCGCTGGGTGCCTCCCGGCAGGGTGACGGCGGGCGGGCGGCGGTGCTGCTGGGGCGGGCGGTGGCGCTGTGTCCGGACCTGGCGGGCAGGCTGCAAGCGGACTACAACTCCCGCTGCGACCCGGAGCACCGAGTAGACCCAGCGGGGCAGCCGCAGCAGCAGCAGCAGCAGGAGGCGAAGCGGCAGGAGGGGCGCAAGGGGGCGGAAAACCGCAGCCCTGGACAGTCCAATGGTTACCCAGCCTCTAAACAAGCGCATCAGCAGCATGCCCAACAGAACGGCCATCCCTCATCCACACCCGCAGCAGCAGCAGCAGCAGCGGCGGCGGCGGGCTCCCAACCTCAGCCACCGCAACCATCGCAGCAGGGAGGGCAGCCGCAGCATACGTCAGGCCCCCGCAACACATCCTCCTCCTCCTCCTCAGGCTCCTCTGAAACCGACACCTGCGGGTGTAATGGCGCCGGCCCTCACTCCCATTCCCACTCCCACGGCGGGCGCACCAGCCAGCCCTACTCCTTCACCAAGCCGGAGCCCGAGCGCTTCCGCACCAACCCCAACCAGCCCGCGGGAGCCACCTCAGCAGGCACTGCACCTTCTGCAGGTCCTGCCGGCGGCGGTGCTGGCGGCAGCAGTGGCAGCGGAGCAGCGGCGGGCGGTAGCGGGGGGCAGAAGCCCGCCGGGGGTGCCAGTGCAGGCACTGCTACTGGTGGAGGTGGGGGTGGAGGCAAGGCGGGAGCCGGGAAGGGTCCGCAAGGATCCGCCAAGAGCGGTCCGCAGCAGCACGGAAAGCAACAGCGTGGGGCAGGGGCGGGGGCAGGAGCAGGGGCGGGGGCGGGGGCGGGGCGACCACAGGGGGGTGCGCAGCAGCAGCAGCAGCAGGGGCATGCAGGGGCTGGACCTGGCGGCGGCACGAATGGCACATCAGCAGCAGCAGGTGGAGGTGGTGCGGGGGTTGGAGGCGGCGGCAGTAGCGGCACTAGCAGCAGCAGCCATAACCACAACCGGGGAGGAGGAGGGGGAGGGGCGTTCAAGCAGGAGCCACGGGCTCGGCCGCCGCCCTCAGCCTCCTCGCGGTCGCCTCCTGCGAAGGAACAGGAGAAGGATGAGGGCGGCGGCGGCTCGGAGGCGGGCTCTGACGCGGGGGGCGGCGATGGCGGCGAGGGGGAAGTGCGGTGGGACTGGTGGTTCACCGGGCCGCTGGAGGCGCTGCGGGCGGTGGTGGAGCCGCACAAGGAGGGTGGGTGGCGGGGTGCTGGGTGGGCGGGTGGGCGGGTGAGTGCGTGATTGGGTTGGAGTGTTTGAGGAGGGTCTAGGGCGGGGGGAGTGTGTTGATAGAAAACTTTATAAACCCAGCCCTCCCGGACCCTACTTCCCATCCCTCCTGCACAGCTATCAGCATACGTTTGATGGCTCGTTTCCATTTTTCAGGTAGTCAGCTAGTCACCGGTAGTGGCCCTCGCCTCCCCCCTCCCTCCTCTTCCCCGCTGGCGCAGGTTGGGCTGGTGTGGCGCTGTGGGGGCTGTACACGGCGACCTTCTGCTGCCTCATGGTGCCGCATGCAGCCATCAGCTTCCTGGCAGGTGGGAAGAGGGGGGGAAGAGAGGGGACGGCAGCAGAGGGGGTGTGAAGGGGGGAGCAGGGACAGCAGGGGCAGGTGTGCAGCGTGCAAGGGGGGGTGAGGGAGGCAGAGGCAGCGGGGATGCGGCGGGTGTGGCAGCTGGGCAGGGGCAGCAGCTGCCTTCCTCTCCCTTTCCGCCCTCCCTGCCTACCTGCCACCCTCCCCCACCACCTCCCCCTCCCCCTCCCCCCCAGCCCTGCTGCACTTCCTGTTAGAGGTGGGCGGCTACTCGCGGCTGGCCAGGAGGCTGGAGCGCAACAGCAAGAAACACGCAAGGTGGGCGGGAGAGGGCTGGAGGGGGGCGGGGGCGCACGTGTTTCTGGCGGGCGCACGTGCTTCCTGGCTTCGAGGCAAAGTGTAGTCTGCAAGCACAATGCGGCACGCCTACCCCCTACCCTACCCTACCCTACCCTCATCCCAAAACCCTCTCTCCCCTGCTCCCGCCCGCCCGGTATGCGGCTCCTCCCCCTGGGCTCAGGTGGATGCTGGGCTCCGCGGCCCTCAGCGGCGCCCCCATCGCGCTGGCGCTCTACCTGCTGCGGCGGCCGCTGGCGGCACTGGCGGGGGCGCTGTGGGGGTGAGGGGGGGCCAGCGGGGGGCGGGGAGGGGGGTAAAGGGGAGGGCATGTGTATGGGGTTGGCCTCAAACGAGGAGGGGCGGGGAGGGGAGAGGCGTTGCAGGTTTGGACTGGGCAGTACCCTGGTCAGCACCGGTACGGTGGTTAGTGAGGGGGGGGCCCTTCCCGTAATCACCACCCCCTTCTTGGTTTCCCTCGCCCCACCTCCTCCGCCCCCCCTGCAGCTTCCTGCTGACCCCCCCGCTGTGGCTGGCTGCCGTACAAACCCTCGTGCTGGTCGCCCTCACCGCCGGCCGCCGCACTCGGCCGCTGCTCGGCTTCCTGGCGCCCCTGCCGCTGCTGGCAGCACTGGGAGGTGGGTTGGGGGGGGGGAGAGGGGAGCAGATGGGGGCGCGTGTGTGTTTTGGGGGGCTTCTAGGTTACCATTACGAGGCTTCCTTCCGCTCTCATTCTAGTTCCCTCCCTCCTTCTCCCGCCTCCCTCCCCCCTTGCACTTATTTATAATTTTCCCCCCTTCCCCCCCGCTCCCCCAGACACCCCCTTCTGGCGCCTCGGCGCCTCCCTCATCTACACCGCAGCCCATCTGGTGGCCCCGGGCCGCCTGCGCGCAGCCGGCCTGTCCGGCCTGGCCGTCCTCAGCTGCCGCTCGCTGGCCTGGTACCAGGCGCTTCCCGCCCTGCTGCTGGAGTTCATACTGTGGCTGGCACTGTCGGTGGCCTCATCCGCCTCGGGAGCAGCAGGAGGAGGAGGAGGGGGAGGAGCAGGAGCAGGGGAGGGAGGGGGAGGAGGAGGGGAGGAGGAGGGGGGGTGGGGAGGATGGGGGGGAGGGCGGCAGCAGCAGACGCCGGAGGTACCGCGGGGAGGGCGGCTAGCGCCGGAGGTGGTGCGGGGGGCGACAGGTGAGGGGAGGGAGGGAGGGAGGGGGGAGGGTGCGAGGAGGGGTGCCAGGGAATGCATGGGGGTGGTGGAAGGTGTATAGGGACGTGTCGTGGGAGGAAGAGGACACGCTACGTGTCTTGCCGGATGTCCCTTGGCCGTTCCGTTGCACACCGCCATGTGACTCTGCTGCGCACAGCTGTGCTTCCAACGGCCATGTCCCCTCTCCCCCCCCCTTCCCCTTTGGTATGCTCTTTGACCCCCCTTCCCCTAAATCTTCTTTTTTCCCTCGCCTCCCCCCCCCCAGGCGAGATTGCCCGCGTGCTCTCCGCCCGCGATTACTTCTCCGTGCTGGGTCTGAGTCCCGAGGGCGCCGAGGCGCTGAGCGACGAGGCGGTGAAGGGCGCCTACCGCCGCACGCAGCTGCGGGTGCACCCGGACAAGGCGGGGCCGGACGCGGCGGGGGCGGAGCAGGCCAGCAAGCGGGTCAACGAGGTGGGCGGGGCGGAAGGGGGGGAGGAGCAGGGAGGAGGGAGGCGGAGGAGCTCTTTGCCGTACTGCTTCTACTACGGAATACGACGACGCGTGGACCCGGTCGGGGTCCGCTAACACAGATGCGTCGTATCCCGTAGTAGGAGCAGTACGGCAGGGAGCTCCTTCGCCTTCGAGCCGGAGTAGCCCCGGGCGGTGCCAGCAGCGGTGCCCCCCTGCGCGCTCCGTTGCATGCTCGCAGCTCGCCGGGGGGGGGACGTGACCTGCAGCGTCTCTCCCCAGTCGCAAAGAACTGGGGACCCGCGTGGAGGTGACCGTCACCGGAGCCGGGGGGGGGAGCGCGCCGGGCAGCGCTAGGACCCGCACCACCCGCACTTCCCGCAGCAGAGGGAGGGCGGATGGAATGTCACATGCTACCCCCTCCTCTTCCTCCCCCCTCCCTCCTCCCCCACCCCCCTCTCAGGCCTACAGCCTGCTCCAGACCGCCGAGGCCCGCAAGCGGCTGCTGCAGCAGATGCGCGCAACCACCACCTCCTCCACCTCCGCCTCCTCAGCAGCGGGGGCTGCTGCTGCAGGGGGAGGAGGAGGAGGAGGAGGTACTGGTGCTGCGGGCGCCTCCTATTCCTCCGCCTCCGCCTCCTCCGCCCCCTCCCCCGACTCCGTGATGATGCACTGCTGGCGCTGCCCCGACATGCACGAGGCCAAGCTCTTCAGCATGGACTGGTGGGGGGGAGAGGGGGGCTGAGGGGGGGAGGGGAGGGGCCCAAGGGGACGCACCCCTAACCAACCTCCGATACTCCTAAACACACGCCGGCATTCCTCCCTCATGGTACTGCCTGCTACCGGCACTGTAGAACAGTCCTTTGCCGCCACTACCCCTACCTACTTCACCGCACTTCCCATCTCCATCGTCTTCTGTTTTCACCCCCCCTCCCACCCACCCCCCACCCCTACTCGCCCCCAGCTCCCGCGCCCGCTTCTGCTCCGAGTGCCGTACACACCACCCCGCGGAGGAGAACGACGTGTGGATCTGGGAGGACCCCGCCGCCTTCCTGTTCCCCACCAGGAAGATGCTGCTGTGCCTCAAGGGAGTGGTGAGGCGGAGGGGGGGAGGTGGGGGGGCGGAGAAGAAAGGAGGGGAGAGGAGGGGAATGGTGAGGGGAGGAGAGAGGAGAAGAGGGGAATGGTGAGGTGAGGTGGCTCCGCACAGCGCTGAGAGGTGTGATCGGGATGGGATGTCGGCGGGTCGGCGGGTCGGCCCCGAGGTGCAGCAACCGGGGTGGTGGCGGTACGGCGTGGGGTCACGCATGACGATATGAGCTGAGGGCTCCTCCGCCCCCCCATGTGGGTTGTTGGCCGGCCTGGTCGGCATAGTTGGCTTCCTCCTTCACACACCACCCCCGGCCTCCCCCACCACCCACCTGTGGTTTCCTATGGTTAGGTATGGTCTTGACCCCCCCCAACCTGCATGCATGCGCGCAGGTCCTGGACATCACCGATATGGCCACCTGCTGCGGCATGTTCCACGACCCGTACGGCAAGAGGCTGCCCGCAAACACGCACTACGCGCAGTACAGGTGGGAAGGAGAGATGGGGGCGAGGCGGGGAGGAGAGGTGGGAAGGCGGGTCTGAGCGGGGGAGGGGGGGGGGCGGGGAGCTGCTGCCAGGGCGCTGAGGCAGGGGACTCACCTAGGGGCGTTTGGCCCCACCTGCCTGACCCTAACCATCCCTAAACCCTTTCATTCGTCCCCGCCTGCCTCCCCCACCCCCCTCCAGGATCGGCCCCCTGGGCAGCGGCTCCAAGGGGGCGACAGGGGGCGGCCAGTTCCGGGGTCGCGGGGACAAGGGGGGCAAGGGGCGCAAGGGCAAACGGAGGTAGCGGGTGCTGCTGCTGGGGGTGATGGTAGTGGTTGGTGGTGGCGGTGGCAGCAGCGACGGAAGGGGTGTTTTACAGAGGGTAAGGACGAAGGGAGGAAGGGAGGAGAGCAGGAAGAACGGGGTGTTGGGCGCGGAGGGGCTTGAGAGCGGCCCTGGAAAGCAGGGCGGTGTGCTCAAAATGCGGTGTCGTGCTGTGAGATAGGGCAGGAAAGGAAGGAGTCGGGGCAGGATTGGGAGGCGCGATGGCTGCACATAGGGTTCAATATGGCCTTTATGAGCCAAGGAGCCGAGGGAGGGGGCCCTGGAGGACTGGGGAGGAAATAAGTTATCCGGCGGGAGGATCGGGCTTGCAGCTGCTTACACGCTCTCCCTGCATGAGAAGGGAGGGGTGAGTGAGAAGGTGCGGAGCGCACAGGACGCGCACATGAGGGGGTTTGTGCACTGCAAGGTGGCAGGAGCGGAGGATCGGTGCCGGGTGATCGGGAATAGGGGCATATGGTGGCTGCGGCAGCGGGGGCTGTAGCATGGGGCTGTGGGATGTGGCGGGTGTTACGCATGCAGGCGTGCATGGGGGCGGGAAGCGTTGAGAAGTGTGCGTGCTGGGTTCTGGGTTTCGGACATGAACCGTAGGAGGCAGATGTGGCGAGGTGTTGCCCCCCTTGAGCTTACACGTGTTGAGGGGGTGGGTCAGGGGTGTAAGAAGACCTACCTGGAAAGGTTATCGTTAGGCGGTGTGAGGAGCCGGGGAACGCATCGGGGCCAACCACGGTATGGGTGTGGGTATCGGTGTGGGTGTGAGCGTGTGGCGTCTCATAACAAACAAGTTCGTAAGAGGCGTGGGAGCCGAGTAGCGCACGTCGTGCTTCCCTCCTCCCTATGTTTTGTCACCCATTGGTTGGTAAGAAGGTGTGTGGAAAACTGGAACTGTGCTGTGGAGGAGGTGTGCTACCCGGATCGCAGCAACGCATATGGGTCGGTCCGTGCGCTCCTTTAGACAGTATCCGGAGGGGAGGCTGCATCCATGCTGCACGTTGGGTTCAAATTAGCCATTATCGTTGGGATTGGGAGGCACAAGGGAGGAGATGCCGCTATTGGTGAGGATTTGAGGCAGGTAGCTAGGTAGCTGGGGGCTGCAAGGGTAGATGCGCCACACACATGCGGGGTCACACAAAAGTGAAGCCCCAAGGGGATAGTAATCCCCCAGATGGGGGGGAGGCAGTAAAGGCAGTATCAACAGAGTACCTTAGGGCAGGCAAGGCAGGGCAGAGTGGGCTTGTGTTTGTTGACAGTGCTTCGTTCCTGAGTCGCCGGTAGTGTAGATGGTACGGAAGAACCAAACCAGCGGCACAACACTGTGTCAAGCGTAATCTTGAAGCAGAGTGGTTGCTTTGTACGACGCCACGTGGTCGTCTGCCGTACGTTACGGCAAATGAGTCTTGTGCTGTCCCTCTGCAGCCTCCCTCATCTTAATTTGATGTCTTCAGTATGTATACCGTATTTGGTTCTACGACTTCCCACTGGGAGGCTCCACTCCCTTCCCAATGCAATCCCCCCATCCCCCACGCCACATCCCAACCCATCTGCCGCCTCCACCGCCGCCTCACCTTGTGGTTTGGTCTTTCTTCGACCCTGCCCTCCTGCTGCCCCCACCATCTGCACCTTCTTCAACCCTGTCCGACCTGCTGTTCCCTCTGCTATGCCTGCCTACTCAAGCTGATGCGCTACCCACTTCCGCACCGCAATCCTCCGTTTCCCCGTTCTCTTCTCCCCCACATGCCCGTTAGCAGGGTAAAGGAGTTTGCAAGTCGGCGTATCCAGAGGTCGCAAAGTAAGGCCCCGAAACCCTGTATATCCTTTACCTTTCTTCCAATAAGCCAACTATAGCTTGGCTACAGGTAATAAGACAGGTAGTACAGGTTACTTATCACCTTAGCGCTTCTCTTCACTGCGCCACTTCTTCCTTACTAATATGACATCCAAAGCAACTTTGCGACCGGCGCCCATGTTCAAATAATTTTTACAGTGAAGTGGGCTTCGAGTGCCACCGTTCCATGTGGGTTGTTTACCTGACATAGATGCCAACGGTTGACGGCAACACCCTCCGGGGACTATTAGGATTTTGGGATCCTTTCGAGCTCCACCAAATGCCGTCGTATGAAGAGATGTCACCAGCATAGTTGTGCTGGTCTCCACATTAGGTAGCAAGTACTCGATACACGTGTTTTTGCCAAAGCACAGCTTTCACTGTTACTTTACTGTCCAATCCCGGGTTGAATATGGAGGGCTTGGATAAGCGCTATATCTTGCCTTATGGTAACTCGCTTGTAGCTGTGCGTAGCTTTGCGCCTGGTGATGTCGTCATTCGAGATACTCCTCTCCTAGCTATTGTTGAAGCTGAAGAAGTGCTTGATAAAGTCTACGAGACGCATTCGGAGTTCTGCATCAGAGCGGACTTGCTTGGGAAGGATGCCTCGATCGACTTCAGCTTGCAGATGCTGCAGTATAGCTCTGCAAGCGACCATGTCAAAGGATGTGTAAAGCGGCTCTTCACGCCGGACATCCAGCAGTCTCGGGAAGAGCCCTACGTACGAGCAGCTCGGCAATACGCTGACCAGCTCTCGGCATTGCAAACATCCCGGCCCGAGGCGCTTGCTTGCAGCATCCTTGGCCCCGTAGTCTCGACCTGCACCTACGACGAAATTGTACGCGTTGTGTTGGCCTGGGTCTGCAACAGCTACGCGACGCGGGATGGCGGAGCAGCGCTGTACGAGCATGGCAGCCTGGTCAACCATTGCTGCGAAGGCAACACCCGGTGCGTAGGTGCTAGCGGAGTCGGGCACAAGCAGGCGGCTTCTGCTGTGTGCACATGCCGCCTGAATTGTTGCTGCTGCACCCGTTGTGGTTACACTGTGTTGCCCAGAACCCGGTTCTGAAGTATTGCTGACGGTATGCTTCCTACTCGCCTGTTACAGGTACCGTTACTTGGAAGACGATGCGGATGACGATGAGGAGGATGCCACTAGCGAGAGCGGCAGCAGCCACGGCGGGTACGGCTTGTTCATTGCCGTACAACCAATCCAGCCGGGGGAGGTCATCACCACCTGCTACCTGGTAGGCGCTGAAGCGGCGAAACCCTACCCTACCCCTTGCCGTTTCCCATGCTGCCCCTCTCTCCCCTTACCTTTCCACATCCCCTCCTTACACAACTGGGTTCTCTCCCCTTCCCTCCCCTCCTCCCCTCCCCTCGCCCCAGGGCTGGGACGAGCAGACCCTCATGTCCACCCGCATGCGCAGGAAGCTGCTGGTGAGGGTGGGAGAGAGGGGCTGGAAGGGAGGGGTGGGAGGAAGGGAGCGAGGGAGGGAGCGAGGGAGGGAGGGAGGGAGCGAGGGAGGGAGCGAGGGAGGGAGCGAGGGAGGGAGCGAGGGAGGGAGCGAGGGAGGAAGCGAGGGAGGGAGCGAGGGAGGAAGCGAGGGAGGGAGCGAGGGAGAAGCGAGGGAGGGAGCGAGGGAGGAAGCGAGGGAGGGAGCGAGGGAGGAAGCGAGGGAGGGAGGGATGGGGCGGCGCGTGGGTCCATGTATGCGCCAGATCGGGGCAGGCAATGGTGCCCTCCTTCGGCCTTCCCTGCCCTCTTCCATTGCCTTCCCTCTCTCCTTGCCCTTCCTCCCCGCCAGGTTAAGACCAAGCTCTTCACGTGCACCTGCCCCCGCTGCAGCCGGTCTCGGGACCCCTACCGCGCACTGCCCTGCCCCGCTTGCGGCGGCGGCAGCAGCAGCGGTGGACGCGGTGGCGGCTGTGGGGGCGGTAGCACCGGCGGTCACGCAGAGAGCAGTGGGGCGGCAGGAGCAGCCAGCAGCGGCGGCGTGGAGGGGGGCGGAGACGAGGGTGGCGGCGGCGGCAGTAGCGGCGGCGCTGCGACTGAGGACCGGCGTGGTGGTGGCGGCAGCGGTGGTGGTGCTGGAGGTGGCAGCAGCGGAGGCGGGGGATTCGTGTACTGGCGGGGCGGCAGCAGCGGTGGAGGTAGTGGCGGTGGCGGTGGCGGGGGCGGCAGCAGAGGAGGCGGGGGAGGCGGCTGCGGGTCTGAGCCCCGTCCCTGGGAGTGCGATGTGTGTGGTGGGAGCTTCAGCGAGGCTGAGGTGGGTGCGGCTGGGAGGGCTACTCGCTTGTTACGACTGGTTACGGTTGTTGCGATTGGCTTGTTGCGGGGCGGGGCGGAGGGCAGGTGCATGTCATTGTCACGGCGGCATGCTCCTCTCGTTCCTCACCCCTAAGTCAGTTAGTTGTTTCCTCTTTACCTCCCTCCTCTCTCACACGACACACCTCACCCCGCAGGTCCGGAGGGAGCTGAGGCGGCGAGCGGCGGCGGCGGGTCTGGAGGGCCCCGGAGGTGTGGCCCCGGGTCTGGGGTGGCGGTGAGGGTTGATGAAAGGAGATGCGCGGTGATGGTAGTGGCGGCGTGGTGGACGATTGTGGTGGGATACCACAGGTCGCGATCGACCCAGGGCTCAGTTCCTCTCCCCTCCCTCCCACCTTGTCCCTCCCTTCACCCCTTCCTTCCCTCTTCCCCCCCCCCCAGGTTCCGATGACCCCGAGTGGGCCCTGGAGGAGGAGGTGCAGGAGGTGGGCGAGCGGCTGGACTGGTGGGACCTGGCGGTGGGTGAGGGTGGGGTGGGTGAGGGGGAGGGGGAGGGGGAGGGGGAAGCACGGGGGGCTGGGGTATGGGGGATGGAGGCGGGTGTATGGGGAAGGGCGCGGACGGGGTTAAGGGGCAAGGGGTTGTGCGGAAGGGGAAGGGGAACTCCGCGGAGGTGGCAGCGGCAACTCGCCTTCCCTCTCAGTTTATCTAATCCCTCTCCCCTCCTCCCCGGCCCCCTCCTGCCACCCAAGGTGAGTCTGGGTGCCGTACGGCGGCTGGGCGCCACCTGCCAGGCGGTGCTGGGGCCCCGCCACTGGGCCACCAACCGCTGCCGCTACACGGTACTGGAGCTGTGTACGGCAGCACTCAACCGTACGACAGGCGCGGGGGGCAGCAGCAGAGGTGGAGGGGCGGGAAGTGTGTTTGGAGGAAGTATAGTTGACATTCTTAGCTGCAGTGTTGCTGGCAATAGTGTTACTGCTGCGGGTGTTGGTGAGGGTGCGGGTGTTGGTGCCGGGGCTGCAGGGTGGGGTGGAGGGGGTGGAGCTGCTACAGCTCTCGGAAGAGGTACTGACAACTGCGGCGGCGGCTGCGGGGGCGGTAATGCGGGATTTCAGCAGCGGGAGGCGGGGCAGTCGGACAGGAGGGTAATGGAGGGGGCACAGGAAGAGGAGGAGGTGGGGATAGGGGAAGGAGAAAGCAGGGGTGCCTTACCAGCGGCGAAGGCGGAAGCGGAAGCGACGGAGGTTGTTGCAGGGGTTGGTGTGGCGGGAAGAGGCGGAAGTGGAGTGGTAGGTGGAGACGAGCAGGCAGCGCTCGCAGCGCTGCAGTCGCTACAGCGGAGTGCGCCGGCGGCGGCGGCGGCGGCAGAGGAACCCACCTCCTCAGCCACGTCACAACCACCGCCGCATCCTCCATCGGGCTATCCTGCCCGGCAGCCCCCTCCTGCCTCGCCTCCTCCCGACGGCCCGCCTGCTGTCGAGGCCCCCTCCTCCTCCTCCCCCTGCATGGGTGGCTGCCCCCCGCCGGCCCCCCATCTGGGTCGTGAGGAGCTGCTGCGACACACGCTGCACCACCACCGCCTGCATGTGCGGCAACTGCAGCAGCAGAGGGAGGAGCGGGAGAGGGAGCAGCAGGAAGAGAGGGAGGAGCGGGAGCAAGGACGGCAAAGGGAGCAGGAAGAGCAGCAGCAGCATGGGGAGGAGGGGCAGGGGAGGGACCAGCTTTGCGGAGACGGCGCAGGCGGAGGAGAGGGCGGATCCGCACCTGAGCCGCCACACGGTACGACAGCTGAGGGTGCGACGGCAGGTGCCGCAGTAGAGGGGCCCCAGCAGCAGCAGGGGCAGCAGCAGCAGCAGCCGTCCGCCTCTGTTGCGACTGCTACCACCACCACCAAGCCGTCCTCCTCCTCCTCATCATCATCATCATCTTCCTCCTGCAGCTGTGCCGGCTTAGCCGCGCATGGCAACGCCTCCACCACCACCACCGCTGCCGGCCAGGCCCCTCCCGTGCCTGCTCCTCCTTCCTTCACCTCTGGGGCTGGGGTATCCGCTGGGGTTGTCGGCTGCGCCGCCCCCTCCGTTGCCGCCACCGCCGCCAGCAGCGGCGCCTGGTCGCTGCACGAGGTGGATGCGCTGGTGGGCTGCGTGTGCGAGGAGCTGCAGGTGGGGGCAGCAGTGAGAGGGGGGAGGGGGCAAGAGGGCAGTGGGCCGAGGGCAGTGTTCAGTGGGTGTACGGTGTGCGAGCGAAGGACTGCGCAGCATGTATGTATGCGTGGTGGGGCGGCGGGTGTCGACGTCACAGCGTACAGCTGCAATGCTCCATACGAACCCCTTGTGATTCAATCTCCGCGCCACCGGCCTCCTTCTCCCTCCCCGCGTAACCCCCGCCCTGCCCCCTGAAGGCTCTGTGGCAGTGGCAGCAGCGCCACACGCCCGACGAGCCGGCGCAGGTGCTCAAGGCGGTGGCGGGGCCGGCTGCAAGTGCGCTCATGGATGTGAGGAGAGGGGGAAAGAATTAGTACCCAATGAGGAGGGGGGCGGTTGGGGCAGGCGGAGATGGGCTGGGGTCCAGGAGCGGGTCACGGGTGGGCACCTGGGCGCCCGGTGGCAGAGGTGGGCTAGGGCTCTGTCATGCTCCTCTGCCTCCTCCTCCTGCTCCCAAGACCGAAACCCCGTATCCCGGCCCTCCCCCGCCCCCCAGGTTGTCAAGGACGAGCTGTGCAGCGGCGGGCGGCTCTCCTCGCGCGCGCTGGCCACTGCAGAGGCCACCGCCGCCCGCCTGGCCGCACTGTACGCCTCCGCGCCCTTCTTGGACGTGACTGGGCGGGCGCAGGGGGAGGCGCGGAGTGTGGTGGCGCTGTGCCCGCTCATCCGCTGCGCGCTGGACTTAGAGTGAGCGGGATAAAGAGGAAGGGGGAAAGGAGGAAGGAGGAAAGAGGGAGGGAATGAACAGTGGAGTAATGGAGTTCCAGGGGTTGGAGGGGAAGCGTGTGAGACGGAGGTGGAAAGGGAAAGGGAGAGGAGCAGTGCCTGTGTATGTGGGGCGCATGGGGGCGAGGCAGGCGGGGGGTGGATAGTGAGGTGGCGGTGGGGGGAGGGGCGGTGTTGGAGCTGCACGGAGGTTGCACGTATGTCTAAGTGCCGTTGGCGGTTAAGCTCTTGAGGTGGCATGGATCTGGTCTTTTCATACCGCTGTAGACCTCATGACCATTCCAAATTTCCAGTGCTGTTTATTATTACGCCGTGCACGCCTTGTTAACGCTAGTACTGCCCGGTGACCCTGCGGCAACATGACAATTGCCTTCCAAGCTAGCTTGCTTCAACCATGCTCGGCCGTAGCGCCTGCCGATAAGCGGTGTTTGTAGGATGGGGAAGTGCAAAGCAAACAAAGTGCGAAGCAACCGAAGTGCGAAGCAAGCACCCCTTACAAGGGGTGTCAGCATCTCCAACAAGGCATCCAGCTCTCCGCTTCATCAAGTGGAAGGGCTGTCAGCGGACACACGGAAAGCGCCAGCACCGTCACAGTCCGTTGTTCCTCGTCGTCATGCGGTCCTGTCCCAAACAAGGGGCTAAGCCCTTTCTGCAGCTCTGCGAAAGCTCACACCCCTCGTCACCGCCTCTCCATCTCGGCCTCACGCCCCCCGTCCTCCGCCTTCCTTGCCACAACAGCACCGGTAGCACCACAACAACATGGGCGCCTCGACGCCTCCCCTTCCCCCCTTGCACCACGCCCCGCACCACCCTCCGCTGCGGTATAGTTGTACCGCCGTATCACACACACAAGGCACCCCTCGGTATGATATCCGGGGTGAGAACCTTAAACACCCACCACTTGAGGCGCCCCACCTCACCACACAGCCCTGCACCCTCCCCCTTCACACCTCCCCAACCACCCCAACCTCCTCAACGCCCCCAAGCTACCGTTACTACACCTCCCTAGCCTCCTCCCCCCTCCTCTTTCCTCCCTCCGCCCCTTACCATTAACCACCCTTACACCCTCCCGATAGCCGTCCTCCTCCCCCCTCACTCGTCCCCTCCCGACGCCTTCCGCCGCTTCGCCCCCTTGGCTGCCTTGCCCCGCGGCCCCAGCTCCTTGCGCTTCTCCGCCTTGCCCTCCTCGCGGTACCGCTTCTTGCGCTCCTCCTTGTTGAACCTGGCAGGGGCGGGGGGCGGGGCAAGTTAGGGTAAGCCAACGTAAGGATAGAAAGCCCCACCCAAAAGAACCCATGGCCACCGTCCCCCATGGCTAACGGTACCCACTTTGCGCGCCACTCCTCCTGCGCCGCCTGCTTCTTGGTGTACTGCTCCCGGCGCCGGCTGCTCTGCTCCCGCCGCTTGCGCGCCTTCTCGTTGCGGATGGCGTTGAGCTGCTGCAGCAGCGTGGCGGCCTTCTTCTCGTCTGCGGGGGGAAAGAGTAGGAGATGGACGGGTAGAGGTGTAAGCAAATGACGGGGTTTATGTGGGATTTCTAGACGCTAGAGGTACCGGACCAGGTAAGGTTTAGTAGGGCACAGCTTGCAGCAAAGGGAAAGTAGGCTTTGGAGCCTAAACAACTGGCCCCTCTCCCTGTCCTCTCCCCTCCCAGCCCTCACCCTTCTCCATCACCACCGCGCGCTTCTGCTCCAGCGTCTTCCGCTTCCCCTTGGGCTCCAGCTTGGGCTTGCTCTTGAAGGGCAGTGCCGCCTGCAGCGCCTTGGGCACCTTGAGCGGGTTGAACCGCCGCGGCGCCCGCTCCACATCCCGGTACAGGCTGTCCGTGTGGCGGGGGGCGCCAACACCCAGCGCGCGACGCAAGTCCGCGACCGTACGCAAACCAACCCAGCCCTCAGAGCCGGGGCCGCCGGCGCCGGCGGCGCCGCCAGCAGCACCCGCCTCCGGCGGGATGCTGCCGGATTGCAGCACCGCCGCTGCCGCGGCGGCGGAGGCCGCGGCCGCCGCGCTGGCCGCCGCCGCCGCCCCCGCCGGCCCTACGTCCTTGTAGTAGCCCAGCCCCTGCGGCCCCAGCTTGAACACCATGCCGGGACGAGGCCCGTTGAACGCCGGTGCCGCCTGGAAGCCGGCACCCCCCGCTCCCGCTGCTGCTCCTCCCGCTGCTGCTGCTGCTGCAGGCGCCGGCAAGGCCGGCACAGCCGCAGCCGCCACTGCTGGCTGCTCCTTACCCGCACCCGCACCCTCCTCCCGCTTGCCGCCGTGTTTGGGTGCCCGCTGCGGCACCTGCGGCGCCGCCAGCAGATTGGTCACCGGGTTGTAGAAGCGCGGCAGGTCCAGTGCCACCCAGGCGCGCAGGAACACAATGTCCGACAGCAACGGTTTGTCCTCAAAGGTGGCGCGGAAGGCCCCCTCCTTGGCCCCCTCCACCCCGGGCCGCAGCGCCTTCTTGATGGTGCCGCGGATGCCGCTGACGGTGCGCACCGCGGCGCCCTCGAACTTGGTGACCTCCAGGCGACTGTTGAACATGCCGCCCACGAAGGCGGTGTGGCGGTGGATCTTGAAGGGGGTGCCCACCTGGGAGGGAGAGGGGAGGGGAGGGCGAAACATAAACGAGAAGTGCAGAGCAACTTGAATCCCAATCCCTTAGTGGAGAGGAAGGGAGGGGAAGAGAAGGTGGAGCGTGAAGGTCAAGGAGCAGATGATTTCCCTGGCGCAGGAAGATACACGCAGGTACAGCAACGTCAACTCCCCCACCTTCCCTTCCTTCCTTCTGCCCCCCCTAGGCCCCTCCCACCCACCAGCTTGAGCTTCTTCACCACCCGCACGTCCGCATCCAGCTCCGTGACCACCCCCGTGGCCGCCACCCGCCACCCCGCCACCCCCCCGTCCAGCCGCTGTACGGCAGCCACCCCGCTGTTGGGCGGCGCCAGGGGGCCGTACAGCACCGCGATGCAGTGCATGTGCTCGGGCGAGTACTTGAGCATGCGGAGGCGCCGGTTGTGGTCCTCGACTGGAGGAGGGGCGGGGAGGGGAGGGGAGGCGGGTTAGGATTGTGCACATGCGGAGGTAAAGCAGGAGAGGATCTCGTGCAGCAAAAAAACTCTAACCTGCGGTTTCATTCGGTTTATGGTCTCACCCAACCGACTATCCCCGCCACCCCCCCTCCCCCAACCCAGCTCACTCGCATACACGGGCATGCTCTGGAAGCGCCTCCAGCCCACACTGAACACCAGCGGGTCGCGGCACTTGAGCAGGCGGGGGAACCAGCGGTGCCGCTTCAGCCGCACGCGCATCATGCCCAGCTTCTCCTCGCCCTGACCCAGCCCGCCCACCAGCAGCGGACGGCGGGGGTCGTGGTGCGCAACCAGCTCGCAGGGGACACCTGAGGGCGGGGAGGGGTGCAGGGGGGGGGGGGGGTAGAGATATACCGTGTCAGAAGCACAGGTTAGGGCAAAGCAACGGCGATAGAGTGGCGTGTGGGGAGCCGTCGCATGCAGCTTGGAAGGAGGGAATGCAGCGCTACTGAGCGCCCCAACCCGAACCCAGGACCAGGACCAGGATACCCGTGCACCTGACCCTGCTTCCATCCCGCCTCCATCCCCCCCTCCCTTCCCCCTCCCCCCCGCCAGTTCCCTTATCCTTAACCCCCTGCCCCGCCTCACCAGTGAACCTCATCCGCACGTAGCAACCCGGCCGGTAGCCCTCCATGGCCAGCCGGGTGGCCTCGTCCAGCCCCGACAGCAGCTGCCGGGTGGCGGCGGCGCGGGCCGCCATGTCCTTCTTAAGCGAGTCGTAGTACGTCTCCTCGTCCTGGGGGCCTGGCCGGCCCGGAACGCCCTTCTTCCCGCCCTTGCCACCCTTGCCGCCCTTGCCACCCTTGGCATCCTCCTCTCCATCGTCTCCGCCGGCGTCCTCGCCACCACCACCACCCTCCTCATCGTCGTCATCCCCGTCCTTCTGCCCCTTCTTGTCGTACGACGCATCGAATGCCGCCTTCTTCGCCGCCTTGGCTGCTTTCAGTCGCTCCGCCTCGGCGCGCGCGTCGGCTATGGCGCGTTGAGCCGCAGCGGCGACTGGGTCGCTGCTGGCGCCGCCGCCCCCACCCGCGGCCTTGCCGGAGCCGTTCTGACCGAACTTCAGGCCGGTTTCCAAGTCCTCGAAGTCTCCAAACACCTGACCATCCTCCCCCTCGCTGCCCTCCTCCTCATCATCATCGCTGTCCCCCCCCGGACGTGCCTCCGCCCGGCGCTGCCCCTCCGCCCAGTCTCCCGTCACGAAGCGGTTGCGCAGTGCGGCAAGCAGCTCGGCAGGCGGGGCGGAGGAGGCGGCGGTGGGAGCTGAGGAGGAGGAGGCGGGGGGTCGCCAGGCTGCTAGGATGTCGGGCCTGGGAAGCACACGACTGGTGTCCAGAGCTGTGAGGGGAGGAGGGATGGGGGGTTGAGTTAACAGGCATACACGCGGAGGGAGGAAGCCGGGGGCCGACTCCACGTGAATGACGTGATACAAGCAGAAAACCTACACCCCTGTTTGTTGCACGCCCCTACCAACCCTCGCGCTCCCCCCCACCACCACTTTAGCACGACACTGCAGCCCCTATACCCACCCGAACGTCCCTGCGTCCCTCCCCCACCCCACTCCCCACCCTCCCCACCCACCATCCACCACCTCCAGGCTCCCCCTCCTCGCTCGCTCCGATCCATCCGAGCGGCTCTTCAGCCGGAAGAAGTCATCATCGCTGTCCCCACTGCCGCCGCCCTCCTCCTCCTCCTCCACATCCCCCAGCCCCTTGCCCCCCTCCCCACCCCCCTCCTCCTCCTCGCTGTCCCCCTCCTCCCCTGCCGCCCCCGCCACCGCCCGCTTGCCGTACACAAATGCCGCCAGGTCGGAGGAGCGCTGCAAGAAGAAGGAGGCGGCGCGGGAGGACATGCCGGCCTTCCAGCGGGCGGCGGCACCCATACCTGCGGGAGGGGCAGGAGGAAGGGGAGGGATAATGTGTATGGGGTTACTCGTAACGGGCTGTACATGTTTTGGGGGAGAGGGACATGCAATGCATGCAATGCTACCCCTGAGCCCTCTATGCACCGGCATCTGCTGCTTCGCTTACCCTCCTCATCGTCCTCCTCCTCCTCATCTTCTTCCTCATCATCATCATCACTCTCGCCCTCCTCCGAAGCCTCCTGCGCACTTCCATCCGCCAGCCGCCGCCGCTTCCTCGCCCCCTGCTGCTGCTTCCCCTGCTCCTCCTCCTCCTCCTCCTCCTCCCCCTCCTCACTCTCCCCCTCCTCGCTCTCCCCCTCCTCCTCATCCTCCGAGGGCTGCTGCAGCAGCGGCACCGGCTCACTCCCGAACAGCGCGGCGCGGCGCATGCGGCCGTCGGGTCCAGCCCGGGGGGCGGCGGAGCGGGGCAGACCGCGAGGGAGGGCCCTCTTGCGCGGATCTACACCATCCTCCTCCTCCTCGTCTTCCTCCTCCTCCTCATCATCATCATCGTCACCATCCTCGCTGCTGCCCTCCTCCTCGCTGTCCTCCTCCTCTCCCTCGCTCCCGCTCTCCTCCTCCTCCTCCTCGCTGTCCTCCTCCCCAGCCATGCTGCTGTCCCCCCGAATGGCCCGGCCCCCCGGGAACAGCCGGATGCTACCCGCCCGCAGAGCCTCGTCCACCGGCTGCTGGGTGGCCTGGGGGTGTGGGTTTAGAGGTGGGGCAGGGCGCAGGGGAGTGAAGGGGTAAGGTGAGGAGGAAAAACACAGCCGGAAGCAGGCACCCATGCCGTAGCATGGTAGCCTGCGGACACGACACCGCCCAACTCGGCGCATACGAGGGGTACGACACCCTCCAACAAGCCCCATCCGCGTCCGTGCCGCACATCGCACTGTGTTTTCCTCCTCTACCCGTATCCCCCCCTCCCACCCCCTCCCCTCCCCTCCTCACCTGCAGCTGCCGTACCATGGCCTCCCCCTGGTCCGCAGCCCGCCCGGAGTCACCCGTGTACTGGACCTGGCAGGGGGGAGGGGAGGGGAAGGGGGGGAACGTGTGAGGGAGAAGGAGCCGGGAAGTTGGAGGCAGCCAGGCAGACGGGGGCGAAACGAGGGGCGCGATGCGAGCAAGAGAGAAACGAGGAGACACCCCAGCGTCCCCTCCCCTCCCCTGCGTGTCACTAGAGTAGTGCCCCCTCCTGCGCTCACTGCATGGTGCATCGGAACAAGGGATTGGGACTCCGGTTGCCCCACCTCTCATTTACCGGTGTTTCCACCACCCCCGCCCTCTCCCTCGTCATTCAGCTCGTCAGTTTCCTCTCTCCTCCCCTCCCCTCCCCTCTCCTTCCCCCCACCTTCCAGTCGGGGATGTCGATGTACACCGCGTCCTTGTCGTACAGCAGCCCCCCCACGTCCGCCATGGGCGCGTACAGCAGCCGCTCCTTGTCGTTCAGCCCGCGCCGCTTGACGGAGCCGGGCAGGGGGCAGGGGTCGGGCAGCGCGTCCAGCTCCTGGAGGGGGGGTGAGGGGGGGAGAGAAAGGGGGGTTGATGGGAGGGGGAGGATCACATTCATTGCCAGGACGATGATTGGAAAGGGGCGATGGTTGGTGACTGCAGTCAGGGGAAAGTACCCATGCAACCCATAACTGCCCACATGCCTTTCCTCTCCATGCCCGCATGCCCCCTTCTCCCCCCCTTCCCCTCTATCATTCAACGCATGGCTTTCCCCCTCCCCCCCCACCCTCCCCCGCCCACCTCACCTGCAGCGTGAAGTCCCCCACCCCCGCGATGTGCACCCGCTGCTGCGGCTTCATGTTGGTGCCGCGAAGGTAGCCGTACAGCACCACCTCGCGGTCGCACTTGGGGTTCACGCGGACGGCCTCGCGGGGGGTGACGTCCTGGAGAGGGGGAGGGGAGGAGGAGAGGGAGGGGGGCGGTTAAAAGGATGAGCGCGGGGGTATAGGAAGACGGCTGGGGAGTCTTTAGACCTCACCCTTCCTGCATACTGCACACCTTTCTAACGCCCATGTCCACCTCCTCCTTCTCTAACGTCTCTCCTTGACCCGCCCCTTGGCACTCCACTGCTGCACTTCTCATCCAACTCTCCACTCCCCCCCTTGGGTATACTTCTTTTCCCCTCCCCCCCCCCTCCCTCCCCCCCTCCTCACCTCGAACCTATCCGCCAGTGTGTAGGGGTGCGCCAGCCGCCATGTGAGCGGGCGGTGCTTCATGACGGAGATGAAGCGGGCCATGTTGAGCACCTCGCGCTTCAGGTACTTGCCTGGGGGGGAGGGGGGTGGTGGTAAAGGCGTGTTAAAGGCGAATACCCCATGTGTTGAATGGGACTGGTAACCGAGACATGGGGGCGAGACATGTGGGGGTCGCAAACAAGTGAAAGTGAAGCACATGGAAGCTCACATGGAAGGGGGGGGTGTATGCAATCTTCTATGGAGCCACGGTAACCGCAACCTGCAGCTGCAGCTGTCACCCCTCCTCCCTCCCCTTCCTTCCCCGCCTCCAATCCCCCTTATCACCACCCACCCACCCCCTCCCACACCCCCACCATGCTGCAGCCCGCTGAGGTAGAAGAGCTTGGCTCCGTCGTAGATCTCCGTCCAGAAGCGCTGCTTGAGCTTCTTCTTGGTCTTCTTGAGGCGCGCGGGGTCGCGGAAGCCGTCCAGGTGGGTCAGCACGCCCATCACCTTGGGGAAGCCGTGAACCTGGGGGGGGAGGTGGGGAGGGGGGGTGTTTAGGGGGGTAAGTGGCGCGATGACATAAGGCCACCGAACAAGAAGCCGGTCTGGTCCGACCGCCGACCTGGCCTAAGGAAACGATACCATTATTGCCTTGGGGGCAAGGGAGACAAAGGGAAGGCACTCCCCATCCCCTGAACCCTACCCCCTACTCCCCCACCCCTCTCACCTGCAGCAGGTTGAGGAACTCGAAGGTCTCCATCTCGAACCCGAAGGAACCGTCGATCAGCAGCAGCACCAGGTCGGCGTACTTGGCGGCGTCCTGGGGGGGGCGGAGGCAGGCAGGGGAGAGGGGGGCAGCAGGGATTAGGTATACGATAATGAGCCGCGGAAACACTTACTCTAACCGTAGTAACAGGGAGGGAGGAGGGGACTCTTTCCATAGGCTTCCTTCTTCATCCTCTTCTCTCCTTTCCTTCCCAACCCCACCCCAGCCCAACCCCATTGGGTTTCGTTGAGTTTCGTGTTACACCACCCAGCCCAGCGCAGTCCGGCCCCCACCCCACCCCCTCTTTCTCTTTAGCCCCCACCCCACCCACCCCACAGTCAGTCTCTTCCTCTCCAGCCCCCCACCCCCCTCCTTCTCCCCCCCCACCATCATGCCGCACAGGTCCGACGGGCACTCCACCAGCGTGATCCGCCGCTTCTTGCCCGCCACCACCGTCACGGGGCCCAGCACCTCCGCCAGCGTCTGCCGCGTGTAGTGCTTCACCAGGCAGCGGATCAGGGTGGACTTGCCAACCTGGGGGGGGGGAGGGGTTGGGGCAGGGAGGGGGGTTTGGGCACGAGGTTACGAGCACTGCCGGGGGAAGGTTGGGGGAGGTAGATGCCGCCAGAGGCCGACAGACGGGCCCTCTAACCCCCACGGTGTGCCTCCTCCACTCCGACGACCCACTCGCCCACCCGCCACAGGCCGCGACAGCCGCTGCTTCTGGAGCTGCTTCCGCCGCTGCTGGTGCCGCTCCTCAACACAGCCCCTCCACCTGTTGCCGCCACCCTTCCACCCAACCCCCCCTCACGCGCACTCATGCGCACTCCGGTCCGGACTGGATTTGGGTCACCGTGTACTCCGGGTACCGTGCTTACCGGTAGTCCCTCTCTCTGTAAACCCCCGCGTCCCCAGCCCCGCCCCCTGCCCCCCGGCACCACTCACCCCCGGCGGCCCCTGCACCAGCACCACGAAGGGAGGCGGCTCCTCGCCCTCCTTCTCTAGCAGGGGAGCTGCGGGAGGGTGGAAGGGAGGGTTGAAGGGTCGTTGGAAGAGTGAACGAAAGGAGCGAAAATGGTGGGAAAGTGGGGCTCGGAAGTGGAGGCAGAGAAGGGAGAGACGGTGGAAGGAAGGTGGCACTCGCCCTTTCCTCATCATTCCCCATCATCCCTTCGCTACAGCTTCGCATACTTTCACCTCCCACCCCCTCATGAGGCCGCGTGTGCAAATGTCCTACCATGCAGGCGGCGTTGCTCCCGCTCAGCGCTGCGCGCCTGTTGCGCCTTGGCCTTGCCGGCGGACTGGAAGGCAAAGGCCCGGGGATTTTGCTTCCGTTGCTCCTCTGTTACTCCTTTCTTCTTCTTGTCTGCGATCTTCCGCTTCTCCGCCTTTTTGCCGGATTTGGATTTGCGATGCTCCTTGCCGGCCATGGTTGCGCCGAGCCCTTAGGATCGTGCGCTCAGGCCGTAACCCGCTGAGCTTGTGTCCGTACAACTAGAAGTGAGATTATGGCCAGCAAAATGCTGCGTACTCGTCGGCTGAAAGCGTCCTCCGCCGCCGATAGCTATGCGGCGGCCAGGTGTTCTTCTCCAACCTTTACGCCTTTAATAATGGGTCGATGATAAGATATGGGGTTGCCGCCTCCTTCCTCCAATAACTAGTCCAGCAGGGATTCTAGATAAATGTAGTTGGTAACTAGTAGTATGAAGACAGTAAGTTCGAAGACAATGGGTGTAACCCTGTGTAATTTCTCCTATGGAACTAAGTCCCTTGCAAACAAGTTGCTCTTGATGTGGAATGAGTCGCCGTAAGTGTTGGCGTGTCGCCGCTGGCAAACCCCAAAGATCCTACCATCTACTGATGAACAACATAACTGTCACAGTAGCGTATGAGTTCTCACGTTGAGCCTAAGGCTAGCTCCGGAACCTGGGCTGCGGGCATGGCACGCACAGCATGCGGCCGTGATACGGCACCTCACGGAGGTATGGTCTTTTGCGAGCATATCCCTCCTGCACGCCCACGATAGTGTTCTTTGATGGAAGTTTCTGCGACTGACTCGAAACAATGGGGTAGCCAAAAGTTCCACGCAACATTTCTCACATTTGCTGACCCTTGGACGCTATTCGCGCCAATTGCAACCAGCACTGCTTGATCACGAAGACTGTCAAGTCACACAAGATCTCGTATAGTTGCATCGACGCCCTGTGAACGGCTGGCTTGGCGGGCGTGGCGCCAGTCTATAGCAAATGCATATTAAGCAGGTTGGGTAGCCCCGAATACCATAACCTCCTGTAATGAGCTTGAACCTGCTACATATGAAGCTTAAAGTGCTGCTCGGGGTTGGAATTTGACGGAGGGCAGCGGTTGGCTTTTTGCAGGTGCTCATCGAGGGCTTCAAGAGCTACAAGGACCAGACGCACACCGAGGAGTTTGACCCTAAGATAAACGTCGTTGGTGGGTTGCTGGCACGCACTGTCCCCGCTTTGACAGCCCCTATGCAGTTGGGATGTTAAGACATCCTTTCGGGATGCCTTACAGCCTTTCTAACTTGCGTCCGTAACAACCACTGTCACCAAAAACACCGTTTTGTGCGTTTGACGCTTACCACCTCCCTACAGTTGGCGCAAATGGCTCCGGAAAGTCTAACTTCTTCCATGGTGGGTTTGTCTTTTGGCTCCATATCAACGCAAGTCCACTGTCTCGATGGTGTACTGGTCCCCGGCATATGGAAAAGCCGATGGCGAAGAGACCCCCGATAGCCGAACCATTGGTTGCTTTCCTTCGCTGCTTTCCTTGCTACCTTGCACAGTTTGGCCTTGCATTACCTCTCTGTCTTGCCGTCGGCCCCCTCCAACAGCAAAACACCACGACCCAGATCCAAGCGCACCCCCTGCCTGCTTCACCCTCCCACCCCATCCTCTTCTCCCTGCCTGCTGCTTCCTCCGACCCCACCCTGACTCTTGACTGTCCTGACCGCCGCCTCCCTACGACCCACATTCCCCCTGCAGCCATTCGCTTCGTGCTGAACGACGCCTTCATCAACATCCGGGGAGACGAGCGGCTGCAGCTGCTGCATGTGAGCTGGCTGGGATGGCAGGGGGGCGGAAGGGGGGGGGAGGGGGAGAAAGAAGAAACCACTTATGTGACATGGCTGCATTATGAAGCCGCGCAGGGGGGATTAGGGGGGATGGAAATCCCGGTGGGGAGAATGGGGCGATGGTTATAATAAGGTGATTAAGGCACCATAGCACGGAAATTGACGTGCGTGGGCCAGTTTGTGCTTTGCACCTTTTAGATGGGTAATGGAATACCTAGAGTATCCTCGACCCAAATTGGGGGTGCACTCGAGGTGGGTCAGAGTCTGACCCCTTCCTCATCTGGGTCGGACCACCCCCTCCTCATCTGGGTCAGACCACCCCCTCCTCATCTGGGTCGGACCACCCCCTCCTCATCTGGGTCGGACCACCCCCTCCTCATCTGGGTCGGACCACCCCCTCCTCATCTGGGTCGGACCACCCCCTCCTCATCTGGGTCGGACCACCCCCTCCTCATCTGGGTCGGACCACCCCCTCCTCATCTGGGTCAGACCACCCCCTCCTCATCTGGGTCAGACCACCCCCTCCTCATCTGGGTCAGACCACCCCCTCCTCATCTGGGTCAGACCACCCCCTCCTCATCTGGGTCAGACCACCCCCTCCTCATCTGGGTCAGACCACCCCCTCCTCATCTGGGTCAGACCACCCCCTCCTCATCTGGGTCAGACCACCCCCTCCTCATCTGGGTCAGACCACCCCCTCCTCATCTGGGTCAGACCACCCCCTCCTCATCTGGGTCAGACCATCCCCTCCTCATCTGGGTCAGACCACCCCCTCCTCATCTGGATCAGACCACCCCGTGTATATTGCTCCGTTCTGCTGTACTTCTTGCTTGCTTCCTTGTCAGCGAGCTGCTGCTGCTGCTCCCAGTGCGGCTGCCTCCCGGCGCTCCCCATTGCCAGCGCACCTCCCCTCCCTTCTCGCATGCACCACCTCCCTGCTGTTTGTTGTTGCCGCTGCTACTCATCTGACGCGATTAGTGCTGCCGCCTTGCCGCCCTGTTTGCTGCCCTGCCCCGCCCCCCCTGCCCCGCCCCCCCTGCCCCGCCCCCCCTGCCCCGCCCCCCTTGCCCCCACTCCCTGCTCTGTTGCAGGAGGGCGCGGGTCACCGAGTGTCTAGCGCCTGGGTGGAGGTGGTGTTCGACAACTCGGATGGGAGGTTCCCGGTGAGGGGGGAGGGAGGGGGGTGGGGCCAGTTTGACAGCAGAGGAAGGGGGTCAAAGACCATACCAAACCATAGAGGGGGGGTAACAGCAGAGGAAGGGGGGAGGGATAAAAATGGTAGAAGTAAGGACTGACCTCGGACAAGGCCCAACCATGGGATGCGTCATGACTGGCTGCTACGTTCTACCCCTTCTTCGAGCTAGCCAAGCTTAAGCGGTTCGTGAAGTCAAGGCTCCCCGTTTCCCCTTTCCCCCCACCCCCCTACCCCCTACCTATTGGGGATTTTTCTTTCCCGCCCCTCCCTAGATCGACCGCAGCGAGTTGCGTCTGCGTCGCACCATCAGCGCCAAGAAGGACGACTACACGCTGGACAAGAAACACATACCGTGAGAGGGGAAGCGGGAGGGGGCGGGCGGGCGGGCTTTCGTTACGGGCCATCATGGTCTTTAACCTTATCCCCCTCGCCCTTCCTTCTCCTCCCCTTACCCCTCCCCCCTCCCTCCCTCCCCCACCCCTCTTTACCCCCTCTCCTCTCCTTCCCTCCCCAGTAAGTCCGAGGTGAGCAGCCTGCTGGAGAGCGCCGGCTTCAGCAAGAGCAACCCCTACTACATCGTGCAGCAGGTGGGTGCGGAGGGGGGGGAGAAGAGGGAACTGACGAGCGGTATGACGAGGCGTCACCATGGGTTTGTGGGAGGTGGGGAGGGGTGGGGGAGGGGTGTGGCAAAGCAACAGCTCGGGTCAGGATTGCCTCTGCTCTGGACAGCTGATGCCGCAATAGCAGGTATAGAACCCCATAGTGAATGTTAGCCCCTCCCCATCTCCCTCCCTGTCCTCCCCTTTTCCAACGCATTGGGTCTTCCCCTTCCCCCCCTCCCCCCCCTCACCCGCTTCCCCCCCCCAGGGCAAGATCACCGCCATGGCCGCCATGTCCGACCCGCAGCGGCTGGAGCTGCTGAAGGAGATCGGCGGCACGCGGGTGTACGAGGAGCGGCGGCGGGAGAGCCTGCGCATCCTGCAGGAGGCGGACAGCAGGGGCGCGCAGATACGGGAGATGGTGGGCAGGGGGAAGGGCGGGGAGGGGGTATTCCGCGGGGGAGGCGGGCATAGGGGTACAGAGAGAAATAAAGGTTGCATGGCCCCACCCCTGGTTTGTTGTGAGTTGGGTGGGGGTGGAGTCGGTTTTTTTGGGGTTGTTGTGGGAGGTGGAGTTTGGTAAGTTTGCTGACCGTCCAAACGCCGCACGTTCGGCTCGACTATCTTGATTCCATTCACCAGAAGAGCTTGTCGTCGTGTTTGCCAGTTTCATCAACACACGGGGTCTCTGAACTCCCCTTCCCCCTAGCTCTCCGAGATCGAGTCCAAGCTGCGCGAGCTGGACGCCGAGCGCGCCGAGCTGGCCGAGTTCCAGCGGCTGGACCGCACCCGCCGCTGCCTGCAGTACAACCTGTACGACAAGGAACTGGGGAAGACGCAGGCGGAGGTGGAGAAGGTGGGGGGGGGAGGGGGGTGTATGGGGGGAGAGGGGAGGAGGGGGCGTGGAGGGCAGGGGACCTGAGGGAAATGGAAGAGTACCCAAGTAGAGTGAGATTGGCAAGCAAGGACCGGAGGGGGAGAGTAGTTGCGATCCCCCCACCCACCCACCCCATACCGTAATGCAGTACATGATCTAGCCACATCTCATCACATGGTTCGCTTGCTTCCCCATCACCCCCCAAGTCCCACCCAAACTCCCCTCCACCCCCCTCCCCAGTTGGACCGCGAGGCCGCCCGGCTGCGTGAGGCCGCGGGTGCTGCGGGGGAGGCGGGCGGGCGGGGCGGGGAGGCGCTGCGGGAGGTGGAGCGGGGGCTGCGGGCGGCGGAGGCGGAGGCGGGGGCGGCGGAGGAGAGGGTCAAGGAGCTGCAGGTGGGGCAAAGGGGGGGTTATTGGGGATACATCTTCCACACTAGCCTGCGTAGTTGGGTTAGGGGGGGGAGCGAACATGTACCGACCTATAGGAGGGGGAGGGAGGGAGGGGTTAAGGCGAAGAACTCATGGGTTGGGTTGGGGCCATGAACACAACTGGCCTCAGCCCATGGCCTCAAAAACTCTCCCTCCCCTCCTGCCTCCCCCTCTCTGTTGCTTCACTTTTCATTCATTTTTGCTCCCCCCCTCCCTCTCCAGGCTCGTCGCCACGAGCTGACCGCGCAGCGCTCCCGTCTGGAGGTGGAGGTGGAGGAGCTGGGTCGGCGGGTGGGGCGGCAGGAGGTGCTGGCGGGCAGTGCGCGGAGGGAGCTGGCGGGGCTGAGGCAGCAGGTGCAGGCGGAGAAGGAAAAGATGGAAAAGGTGAGGCGGGGGAGGGGTGGAGGAGGAGGGAGGAGGGGCATGTGGGAGGAAGGAGGTGAGCCGGCGACTGTGTATTTTGTTCTGCCTGATCCACGCACACGTCCATAACCCCCTGCCCCTCTCCCCACCCACGCTGCCCCCCCCCCCCCCAGCTGCGTGAGGCCGCGACCACCGCCGATGCCTCTCACTCGGAGCTGCAGGCGCGCATCGCCGCCGCGGAGAGCCGGCTGGCCGCGCTGTACCGCAAGCAGGGGGCGGTACGGCAGTACGGCAGCAGGGAGGAGCGGGACGCGGCGCTGAGGAAGGAGGTGGGGGAAGGGGGTAGGGGAGGGGGTGGTGGTGTGGAGGGGTAAGGGGACAGGGAGAGAGCGAAGGCGTTTTGTTTTGGCTTTATGGGAGCAATGTCATACACGGTTCGTGAGCCCCAACCGCCTCTGCCTTAGCCTGCTGCTGATGACCCATGGGTCACATGGATCATGCTACCCCTCCTCCTTGCTATGCACCTCGGCACCCTCTCCTCTTCTCCCTGCCTCCCTCCCTCCCCCCTCATCGCACCCACGAGGTTACAAAACCACACTGATTACTCCCCTCCTTCCCCTTCCCCCTCGCCTCTCCCCCCCAGATCTCCGCCAAGGAGGCGGTGCTGGCCTCCAAGCGGCAGGGCCGGGAGCGGCAGGCGGCGGAGCTGGTGCAGCAGCAGGAGGTGCTGCTGGAGCTGAGCCAGAGCATCGGGGACCTGGAAGGTGAGAGGAGGGGGGGGGTGAAAAGAGGAAATTGACAAGCGGAGGAGGGGGGTTGTTCAACACAGCAACGGTGAAACACGGTCTGTTGCCATAGGAAGGACGGAAGAGGAGGGTTGGGAGGGAGGGGATAACTGCCCCCTGCGCAGGGCTCTGTGCCTTCCCGCCTTTTGCTCTGGCACCTTTCATCTCCATTGCATGCACCATCGATTAACCCCATACACACCCCTCCCTCGCCCCCTCCCTGTTCCTATGCTTCCGCCTATCTCTGTGTCCCTCCTCCCCAGCCGAGGTCGCCTCCCTGGAGGGTCGGGTGGTGGATGCGGACCGGGCGCATGCGGAGGCGGGGGCGGCGCGGGGGCGGCTGCTGGACGAGCGGAGGGCGAAGCAGCGGGAGGAGGAGGCGGCGGAGAGGGCGGTAGCGGCGGCAGCGGAGACCGTCAAGGCGGCGCAGCAGGTGGTGTGTGTGTGGAGGGGTTGTGTTTGGGTGTTTGGAATAACCCCCCGTTTCCACCACAGCCTCCCCACCCCTCCCCTTCCCTCCCCCTCCCTCCTCCCTCCTCCCCCCCAGTCGTACGACAAGTGCATGCCGGGCGACGTACGGAAGGGCGTGCAGGGTTTGGAACTGCTGCACAAGCGGTTCGGGGAGGACATGGCGGGGGTGCACGGGGCGGTGATCGAGCACATCCGGGCGCACGAGACCTTCCATGTGGCCATTGACACCATAGCGGGTGAGGGAGGGGGGGAGGGGGAGCTAGGGGGGAGGGAAAGGGGACCGGAGGTGTTGGGGTAGGTAGGGTTGAGGGTACTTACCGCCGGAGTGGGGTTAAGAACGCAGCATTGCCTTCGAGGCAAACTCCCTCCCCTTCCCCCCTCCCCTCCACCCCCCTCCCCCTCCCCTCCCCCTCCCCCAGGCAACCACCTGTTCGACGTGTTGGTGGACAGTGACGAGGTGGCGGCGCGCCTCATCCGCAGCCTGCACGCCCGCAACATGGGCCGGGCCACCTTCGTGCCGCTCAACAGGGTGGGGGGCGGGCCGGAGGTGGAGCCGCCCAGCGAGTGAGGGGGGTGGGGGGGGAGGGGGGCGGGAGGGGAAAAAGTAAGGAAATTAGACGCGGGGGGGAAGGGACGGTGGAGAGGAGGTGGGTGTTGGAAGACGGAAGAGTGAGGGTTTAAGGGTAGGGCTGCAGTACTCGTTCGCTACACTCATGGGTGGGAGGGTACCGGTAGGGCCGTCTTTTGCCTTTGTGCTTCTGCCGTCCTCCCTCCGTTCATCCATGCTTTATGCCCATGCACGCGCCACTGACCCCCCCGCCCCGCCCGCCTCGCGGCTCAGTTGACCCAACCCCAACACCCCAACCCCACATCAGGTTCGGTACGGATGTGGTTCCGCTGCTCCGCAAGATCCAGAGCGACCCGCGGTTCCGTCCCGCGCTGAAGGACCTGTTCGGCCAGGCGCTGCTGTGCAGGGACAAGGACGTGGCGACGGAGGTAAGGCGGGGGGCAGGGGGCGGGCAGCAGGGGGGGAGGGGTTGGGGGCGGGGGGGAGGGGGAGGGAGGGAGTCCAATCGAAACGCGATGAAGCACTGATTTAGGTTGTCTGGGTTGCATGGGGGGGTTTCCCGGGTTGCTTGGGAGGGGGGTGTACATCCCCTCGACCCCGCGACATCGGTACTACCACGTACTCCTGCCCCCGTGCCCCCCGCCCCCCAGGTGTGTCGTACCACGGACCGGTTTGACTGCGTCACGGTGGAGGGGGAGAAGTTCGGGCGGCGCGGCAACATCAGCGGCGGCTTCATGCCCCAGAACAGGGCCCGACTGGCGGTGTACAACACACTCATGGCGGCCAGGCAGCAGGTGGGGGCTGGGAAGGGGGGGTTGGGAGGGGTAAATGAAAGACCAAACCATAGGAAACCATGAATGAAGGCAGAACAATGGGGGGTCAAAGACCATACCAAACCATAGGAGACCACAAGTTAGGGCAAAGCAATGGGGGTAGGAGTTGGCAGGGCGCCAAAAGTTGGGGGGGGGTTAGCCATACATGGGGTTCTGGGGTTGTGAGGCGGAGCAGGAAGGTGGGGGAGGGGGGTAAAGAATGAATGAACCCACGTTTCATGCCCCAACCCCGGCATGGTGTGTGGGGAAGAGGAAGGACCGGCCCATGTGTGACAAGGCCCCCCCGGCTGTCCGCCCGGACTTCCCCACACAACCCCTCCAAACTCCTCTCACTCCGCCTCTCCCCTCTCCCCTCTCCCCTCCTTCAGTTGTCTGAGGAGCAGCGCAAGCAGCGGGAGGCGGGCGAGGCGGCCGCTGCTGCGGGGGCGGCGTATGACGAGGCGGCGGGGAAGGTGGAGGAGCTGGATGCGCAACGGCGGCAGGTGGGGGAAAAGGGGAGGGGAGGGGGAGCAAGAGGCGTGGGAAAGATGGGAGGGGAGGGGAGGGGAATGGGGCGACATAAGGAGGGGCGGTGGCTGGTGGAAGGTTCCAATCCCTCCTCTCCCCACTGGGGTATACTCATCTCCTCTAACCCCCCTCTAACCCCCCCTCCATCCCTCTCTTTCCTCCCCCCCCCTCATCAGGTTCGTGAGGCCATGCGTGCCCGCAAGGCTGATCTGAAGCTGCGGCGGGAGGAGGAGGGCGAGGTGCGGCGGCAGGTGGAGGCGGCGGAGAGGGCGGTGGCGGGGTACGAGGCGGACCTGGGGCGGATGCAGGTGGGCGGTGAGGGGCGGTGAGGGGGTTGAGGGTGTGAGGGGGGCTTTGTATACCCGGGGAGGAGGGGGGTTGAGATGGGGTTTGATGGGTGGGAGATGATAGTTGTGGTGTAAGGGTTGTGTAGGGTAGTTGGGTCGGGGGAAGAGCCGGGGGTGTACAAGACGTGTGGTGCGAAGTCGACTGATATCGAACTGCTCCCTTCCCCATCCCCCCCCACCTACACTCCTCCTCCTTGCCCCCCCACCAAACCCAGGCCGACCTGCAGTCGCTGCGTTCCGAGTTGGACACCGACATGAACTCGCGACTGAGTGCGGCGGAGCTGCGGGAGATGACGTGAGGGCCGGAGGGAGGGGAGGGGGGAGGGGGGCAAGTATGACTGTGCAATCCCGTAATCCAGCCAAATGCGGATTATGTCTCTCTATTTACCCCCAACTCTCTCTCCCAATCACCCTCCCCCTCTCCCCCCCCCTCCCCCCAGCTCGCTCAACCTCTCCCTCACTGACCTACGCGAGCAGCTGCGGGCCGCCTCCGCCGCGCGCGACGCCGCCGCCGCCGCGCTGGCAGCCTGCGAGGCGCACCTGGAGGGGGTGCTGGGGCGGCAGGTTGCGGCGCATGAGGAGGCGCTGGCGGGGGACGAGGAGGCGGGGGACAAGTGAGGCAGGGGGGAGGGACTGGGAGGGAGGGCTGGGGAAGAGGGGAAGGTGGGGGGGGTATTGTTGGGAGGCGAGGAGGGGAAGGAGGGGGAATAGGATTGGGTAAGGGTCGCACCTCCGTTTGGTGGGCTGTACACATACCTTTAGAGTGCAAGTTTCTTGCACTTCTCCTCGGTTTCCTCTGTGCTCCCAACCCCTCCCCCTCCCCTCATTAACCCCTCCCCTTCCCCTTCCTTTCCAAAGGGCCGCTCTGGCGCTGCGCAAGGCCGACCTGGCCGCGCTCACCTCCTCCCTGGCGGAGGCGGGGCGGGCGGCAGCGGCAGCGGAGCGGCAGCTGGAGGGGGCGAGGGGGCGGGTGGAGGAGATGAGGAAGCGGAGGGAGGCGCTGAGGGAGGAGGCGGGAAGGAGGGAGGCGGAGGGTGAGGGGGCTGGGGATCTCTTGAGGGAAAGAACCCATCCTCCACCCCCCTTCCTTCCCCCTGCTTCTCTTCTCCCCCTCCCCCCTTTTTGCTTTGCCGTAATTCCTTGCTTTGCCGTAACTTTGCCGTAACCGTAGTTTTCTACTGTTTGGTACCTGGTCGCTGACCCCTCTCCATGCGTGCATGCATGCAGCCAGCGACAGTGCCAAGGCGCTGGAGTCGCTGTCGCTGCGCCGCGCCGCGCTGACCACCCGCGCGGGCGACCTGGAGCGGCGGGTGCGGGAGCTGGGGTCGCTGCCGCAGGAGGCCTTCGACAGCAGCTACCGGGACAGGAGCATCAAGGTGTGTGTTAAAATAACTGGTGTGTGTGTGGGGGGGGGGGTAAACTGACGATCAGGGGGAGGAGGTAAGAGAGGAGGGGGGAGAGGGTCGTGCTTATGGGGTTGCGGGCTGTGCAAGGTGGGCTGTGAGTGTTGCTGTAATGTGATCGCACGGTAAATCACAAAGGGTTGGTATTCCTTCACTCCCCTGACCCTTCAACGCAGCCAACCTGGCCCTTCTCCCTCCCCCCTGCCACACAGGACCTGATGCGCTCGCTGGACCAGGTGGGCGCCTCCCTGGAGCGCTTCAGCGGCGTCAACCGCAAGGCGCTGGACCAGTACCTGGACTTCAGGCAGCAGCGGGAGGAGCTGGAGGGACGGCTGAAGGAGCAGGTGGGGGGAGCTGGGGGAGGGAAAGAGAGTTAGTGTGCGGAGGTTGGAAGAGGAAGTGTAGGTCTAGGGTTTGTCCTCCCAGCCCGTTACAAGCATACCCCACCATGCACACGACCCCGCCTAAGCCAACCTCCCCCCAACTGCCCCCCATACATCCCCCCCCTCAACCCCACCCCCCACCCCCAGCAAGATTCCGAATCCAAGATCCGCGAGCTCATCTCCGCACTGGACATGCGCAAGGACGAGGCCCTGGAGCGGACCTTCAAGGGGGTCGCCAAGAACTTCAGAGAGGTGTTTGCAGACCTGGTGCCGGGTGAGAGGAGGAGGGGAGGGCGGGGGCGGGAGGGGGGAAAGGGGGGGGGGTAAAACACACACACTCGCGGTCAGTTTTCTTAACACACGCATACGTGCCGTAGTACGTTCCTACTCGCGGTTAGTATTCCTAACACACGAACCGTACAGCATGCATTGTCCCCTTGACCGTGTTGCTCTGTTGTCCCGCAATCCTTATGGCTTCCTTCCCCCCTCCTCCCGCTTGCGGGTTCAGGTGGCACGGGCGAGCTGGTGATGATCCGGGCAGCAGGCAGGGCGACGGCAGCTGCTGCGTTTGCGGGAGAGGGAGATGAGGAAGAGGGGCCTGGGGCAGGAGCAGGGGCAGGCGGTAGCGACAAGTACAGTGGGGTGAAGGTCAAAGTGCGGTTCGCGGGAGCAGGCGAGGCGGTGAGTGGTGGTGGGGGGTTGGGGGGGCCGGGGGGAAGGGAGGGAGGAGGGATGCGCGGGAGAGGCAGAGGGGTTATCACACTGAGGGCCGGGAGGGAACGCACTGTGACCCCCCTACCCTTCCCCCTTACCCTCCTCACCCCCCGTCCACCCAAAGGTCTCCATGCGCTCCCTGTCCGGCGGCCAGAAGACCCTGGTCGCCCTCGCCCTCATCTTCGCCATCCAGCGGTGCGACCCCGCGCCCTTCTACCTCTTTGACGAGATCGACGCGGCGCTGGATCCGCAGTACCGTACGACAGTGGCTGCCGTACTGCGGAGGCAGGCGGCGGATGCCGTACACCCCGCCCAGTTCATTGTCACCACCTTCCACCCGCAGATCGTGATGGAGGCTGACCGGGTGTTTGGCGTGTCGCACACCAACCGCATCAGTGCCGTACAGGCCATCACTGCGGCCCAGGCGCTGGAGTTCCTGCAGGTGGGAGGGAGGGTAGACAAATAAGGAGACTGACGAACTGGATGATGAGGTTTCACCATGCGTTGCTAATTGAGCCCGGCCCATCCCACCTATGGACAGGGGGGGCAAAGAGGAAACAGTGGGGGAGGGGAGGTTAATGGGCAGGTAGGAAAGGAGAAGGCTGATGGGGAGGGGAAAGGAGGGGAGGGAAGAAGGGGACCACCCGTACGCCTGCACTAGTGCCGTACGCCAGCACCTTCCAACAAGCACGTGGGTGTGAACCCGCCGCACCGCACCCCCCCCCCCGCCCTCCATGCAGGCTGCGGAGGACATGCAGCGGCAGATGGAGCAGCAGGAGGGAGCCACCGCAGGGGGAGGCAGCAGGCGGGGCGCGGGGGCGGGCAGGGCGGCGGCGGCGGGGAAGGCAGGGGGCGGCAGGGCGGCGGGGGTCAAAGGGGCGGCAGCAGCGGGTAATGCGGGGAGCAGGGGTCAGCGCAAGCGGGCGGCTCAGCAGCAGCAGGAGGAAGAGGATGAAGAAGAGGAGGAAGATGGAGCGGGAGAGGAGGAGGGGGATGAGGAGATGGAGGATTAAGGGGCTGCGGGAAAGCTGATGGCGAGTTAAGAAACGGTTACGCGGCAGAGGGAGCAGGGCTCGGCAGCTAGTGGCGGATCAGCAGTTCAGCGGCCCTTGCTCTGGGCCGCATGTGTGAGATGAGAGGGTGAGGGCGAGGATGAGGGGGGGGCAGGGTAGGACTGGCGAGGGGAACACTGTACATAGGAGTAGTGGGATGAGAGGAAGGGTTTGCGGTGGGGTGGGGTGAGGTCTGAACGGTGCCGTGATTGGTCCTGTGCCTCAAGACCCTTCTCTGTACCATGGGTGGTTGCTTCTGTTGTGAACACCTGTTGAATGAGGCTCCTGCGACCCATGGGTCGCTACGCGACAATGCGCGAAACAACTAGATACGACCAGTCCCAAGGCTGCTGTGCTCTTGACCGTATCATCTGAATGTGTTTTGCAACTCGTTTGCGTTATTGCGGGTTGCAACGGTGTGGGGTTTAAGGCTTGGACTTGACGAGGAGGGCTGCGCTGCTGCTGCGTGTTCTGTGTGTCACTCGAAGTGTACGAGAAGGGGGGGGCACAATGGGGAGGTTGAGGGTTGGCGGCGTATGTCGTGCGTCTGTTTGGTTCCAGTTGAATATGTTGGTGGTGCCTAGCCCGTGAACGGCACACGTTGGTTATGTCGTACAGTTGAAGCAACTGCCGGAACCCAAACTATACCGCAGGTGCATGTATGCTGGGGTGGGTTGGGGAACTCCACATCACCTAAGCAGTATAATCGCACTCTTTCGACCCTACAGGTCAGAAACACATCGCGCTGCAAAACACAGGCAACGCGAAGAGTATCTATACGGAACTTTGACACAGCTCCAGCAATCGCAGTACGTTCCGCCTCGCGACCAGTTATCTTAAGACAGCTCCTGCCAACGGGGAAGCGTCCTTCCAGCAGAGGTGCCTGCAGCACTGCCGAAGGCTGCCTACACACCAGTACTCCACTCCTGGGCACCATCCTCAATCTCAAACGCATGTGTGCCTCTTCTCCAAAGTTGTATCACCTGCTGCACGCGCAGCTCCCCTTTGCCCCGGCATACACTTACCACGGCACAGGAGCTAGGAGCATACTGCGCTACCGTACGCAACTGCAATAGTAATTCCGTTTCCCGAAGACAACGGCCCGTTGAAGGCTTCTCCCTCCCTAACCTCACCGCCCTGTCTTCTCTATCAGCCCCGCACGCAGCCTTCCGCTCCCTCCCCATCAAGCCCTCCACAACCCCTCCAACTCCTCCTCCAGCCTGTCCTCCTTCTTCTCCTCCTTCTTCCCCCGCTCCTCCCCCTCCCTCCCCCGCTGCTCCCTCAGCCATGCCTTCACCTCCTCGCTGCTCCCGCTCGCTGCCGTCATCGCGCCCTCCCAATCCACCGGGCACCCCTCCTGCAGCAGCCAGCCCAGCACCCCCAGCGGCGACCCGCCCCGCACCGCCTCCGTAAACAGCGCAGCCCCCAGCGGCCAGCCCAGGCGGCGCAGACAGCGCAGCGTGGCCAGGTCACCCCGGCGGCTGGGCGGCAGGTAGGGGCTGGGGCCGCTGCCGGCGCGAGCCTGACAGGGGGTGGGGGGATACAGAGGGCAAGGGGTTAAGGGTAGGGCAGAGAAGTGCATGTGAAGTAGACGCATGCGTACAGAGGGCAAAGCCTAGCATGTCAGGGTGAGCAATTGAGCAAAGTGGTGACCATACCTTGGTCGACAGAGGTGTGCAAGACAGGGTGCGCCCCATGCCCCATGCTGCTATATCCAACCCACCCAGCCCACCACCGTTCCCCCCCCTTCCTACCGTGAACTCCTGCGGCCCCATCTCCCCTGCCAGCCACTCCACCACCTCCTCGCTCCCCGCCTCCGCCCCCAGGTACACCACCAGCTGCTCCCCCCACCCCGCCCCGCGCGCCCGCAGCCACCGCAGCATCTCCACGCTCCCCGCATGCGCCGCACCCCCCACCAGCACCGCCCCCCACTGCGCCACCGCACCCCACCCGCCCGGCAGCGCCGACTCCGCCAGCCAGGCCAGCAGCCCCAGCTGCCCGCCCCGCGCCGCACCCTGCAGCACCACCAGATCCGACAAACGGCAGGCGGTAGCAGCAGTCCTCGTATCACCCGCGCTGGCCTCCGCCTCAAACAGCAACCCCATCTCGTGCAGTGCTTGCAACACCTCCAGGTGCCCTCGAGCCGCCGCGTTGCTGATCGCGTAGCGGGTAGGCCGGGGAGGCCCCGCCCGCTCTTCGGCAGTGTTCCAGCGTCCTCCAGCGGCGGGGGGTGGCGGCGGCGCCACCTTGGCAAGCGCGGCTAGCAGCAGCTGCAACCCCGCAGCGCTGCCAGACTCACCCACCACTGCGTTGACCGCGCGGGGGTCCGGCGGGTAGCCCCGGTGCTGCAGCAGCCAGGCGAGCCGCTCCGCCGCCGTATCAGGGGTAGTGGTGCTCCTTGCAGCAGCAGCAGTGGTGCTGGTGGTGCCGGAGGAGCAGTAGCCGGCGGCGCTGATGAGGGCCGAGGGGTGCTTGGGGAAGCCGCGTTGGGCGTGCAGCCAGTCCACCTTGTCGCGCCAGTCGGGGGTGGGGCTGGAGGCGGCGGCGGCCAGGATGTCCGCCATGGCTGCTTCGGACATCCAGCTCCGCCATTCCTGCTGTTGCTGGTGAGCATGCAGTCCTCTTTGCACAACCTGCTCCTGCTGCTGCTCCTCCTCGTCAAGGTGTTGGCGCTGGTTTCGGAGTTGTTGTTGTTTCAGGAGGTCGTACTGGTGCTGCAGGTCAGACAGCCCGCAACCTCGGGCTACCTCTTCCAGCAGACGGAGGGGCAGCACCGGTGAGCGCTCAGGACGTGCCCCGCGGCCCGCGCGCCGGTGGCCTTCTCCAGTTCTTAGAAGCTCCATCAGCCAGTCCATAAGACCTATGTGACCACCGCGAGCTGCGGCGTAGACCGCGTCCGCGTCGCAATGGATGCCATGGGCAAGCAGCCATTCGCAAGCGCTGCGTGAACCGGCCTGTGCAGCGGCTTTCAGCGCGGTACCCATGGGGCAGCCCTGCTGCAGCAGCCAGTCGCAAACTTCCAGCTGCCCCGCGGCTGCGGCGGCCTCGGCCACGGCCTCGAAGCTGGAGGTTGATGGCAGGCAGCCTGCAACCTCCATAGCTAGCGCTAAGTTTGTAATGTCGCCGCTGCGCGCGACTAGGCTAATGAGCTTTGTTCTTTGCTTGTAGGTGAGATGTCGCATGGAGCCCGGACCGCCCCAGCGTTCAGCGAAGGCATGGTGAGGGACAGGCTGGGACATTTGAACGAGGGTGTACTCCGATGCGCTGAACAATGCGGCTGTTGCCTTGTCGATCAAACGGAGGTTGCATGGCACTTCATTCCGCGGGAGGAAGCTTGCGATGCGGTAAGCAATGTCAGGTATCCATAAGCGGTGAAAGCTTGTCGGCCCCTCTACAGCAAGCTCAGACGTTTGCTGCGACAATGGATCCATCATAACCTGGATAGGGCTTGCCTAGAGCTGTTCACACGGACGCCTCAACCAAGACGGAAAAGCCTTGCTTTCCAAGTCGCCGATAGACGTGACAGTATCCGGTACCTCCGAACGCCGGCGACGTGCTCTATACAAATAAACAAATTGCTTAAATGTCCTAAAGCCTTGAAACAACGCACTGTGTACAAGATTTTCGGCCACAACTACCTTCTTGTAACTGCCCCCAGCAACTGCTCCCATGCAACTGCGGGTACTTGAGGGCTCCCCCCTGCACTTGCACCTCATCGCTACCTTCTACAGCGGTCCCTATGGGCTGGGGTCATCACGTTCACACACGCGTGTTTTCCCCCAACTCCTCGCCCTTTAGCGTCAGCCCCTTTAGGATTACCCATTACTCCCTCCGCCCTTTCCCCTTCTAACAGGCTGCCCTCGACCGGCGAAACGAAGGCCTCCGCAACCAGCAGCACAGCAAGGGAGCGCACAATACAGCAAGGCGAAGATGATGATGCGCAATGCAGATGCCTTCCTGCCGATCGACAAGTAAGTCAACTGTGTCAGGGCCAATGGCTGTCGCTGTCCTAATAGTGCGACAGCCATTACAACGCATCAGTTCAAAAATCCACGGGCTTCGCTCCCTTGCACGTCTTGCATGCGCAACGGATAACCATTCCCCCCTCTATCCACGAACACTTTACTGCGCCACTGGACTTGGACGACCCGGCTGTCGCTGCTGAGGACCTAAAGCGGCGTGCTGCCGTCTTGCAGCGCGACCATCTGATTGTCGGTGAGAACTTGCGCATTGCTCAGCATAGGGACACCCTGCGTTATGCGACTACGCGCAGTGGGACATACCAGCCACAGGTTAGGAGGTTCTGGGCGGGACAGTACGTGTATGTTAAGCGGCCAGGTGGCAATAGCGCGCTCATGCCAGATGCACGCCCTGACATCCTACGCGTAGTAGATGTACGGCCAACCGGGGTGCTGAAGTTGCAAGGCCGGTGCGGCACTGTCATTTCGGCACACATGTCTGCCTGCGCACCATGCCATCTGCCTCTTGTGTCCGCCGAGGTGGACCCACGCATCGCACGTCCAGCCGCTGATTTGCCATGCGAGGTTTGCAACTTGCCTGACAATGAGCATATCATGCTTTTATGCGACGGCTGTGGAACGGGCTGGCATTTGTACTGCTTGAACCCACCGCGCTCCTCTGTGCCACCGGGCACCTGGGTCTGCCCTTACTGTGAGGCCCATGGTGTTACCCCTGCGCAAGTAGAGAGCCGTGGCCTCGCCCAACGCCCCCAGCGCATTGCTGAGCCGCCACGCGTGCCTAGGGCAGTCCGCCACCTGCATAACGTCACGCTAACCAAGGTCATTCAGTTGCCATCCGATGCAGGCACTCGCAAGTTGACTGGCACCACTTCATACATGGGCTCCCGCCGCCGCATTCCGCACTTTCGCATCAGCTACGACAACGGTGATGAGGAGGTGCTTGCGCAAGACGCTCTTATAGCGCGCTTGCCCCAACCCCCTCAAGCCGAGGCCCCTGAGGCACCATCCGCCGCACCCACTACTCGGGCGCGTTCACGGACACGCCCCTCCGCCAATCTCACCTTTCTGGACCTCGGCATCGGGCAGTTCCCTGTCGGTTGGTCACCAACCACCCCTGAGCGCCGACTGCATGCGCTGCAGGTGCTCTGCCCGCAACTCGCATACTCACCCTCATGCCCTCCCGAGGAGGAGCACATTCCGCTAGATGCAAGCGATGTGGCATGCCTCGCTGAGTCCCTATGCTGGACCCAAGCAGGACCCACTTTCATGCCATGCCCACGGCATGACAACCTGCTAGCAACCGCATTGCCCCTCTCATCTGCGCCCACGTTCCCCACTAACAACATTGACGATCCATTAATGCCCGCCCTCTACGCGGCCGCCGCCAAGTCTGTGATGTCACCGCTAACGGCTGTCGTTGCTGGGTCCTCCAGTGACCCAGACCTCTATTTTGCCATCACTAGTGCGTTCGTTCGTGCGTTTACGTGTTTGCGAGTGTCGCCTAAGTTCTTCACGAGTGCGCATGAAGGTCGAGTCGCTTGGTTGTCGCGGATGCATGATGCTGGTCGGCTTTACGTTCGTTTGGCGCCGTCCGGTGCGTTGTGGGTGTTTCTGTTTCAGTCGCCGGTTATTAAAAGTCGTCTGATGTTGGGTAACGTCGTGCCGTCGTACTGGGTCCCGCTTGTGTGATTTTGGAGGAGGGGTCCAGCCGTTTGCTTCGCTGTTTAGATGGGATTTCTTAAGTCGGCTTTGGTTTCTTTGGTGAGATTGGAGTCAGGCGGTTTTATAGCTATCTGAGGGATTCTTTTGGTTGAGGGTTGGTTTCCGCAGGGGGGGAGTGCCCGCGTGTTACGTCCTGAATACGGCTGTTGCCGTTGTGCCTTTGTTTTCCAGCTTTTACAGCAGCAGCGTGAGACATCAGGCCAGCTACAGCCGTTAGTCAGCAGCAGCGCTTCGATTACAGCATCATCACTTCGTTATCAGCGCAGCACAGCTTCATCATGGGTTTACAGCAACAGTTACATGGGTTCATATGGCCATCTCCGCCCACGTGGGAACAGCCACGCCACCTCCGGCGTCTTGGCTGTTGGGGGGGAGATTGTGGGCGGTCTTGCCTGCTTTCTTCCTTCCTCGCTCACTCGAGCAATCCGGGGTCAACACCGCCGTCGCCGCCGGCTTACCCCAAATCTCCACCATCTCCCTTGGCTACTGCCACGCCTTCTGGTACCATCGGCATATTTGGTCGACACATTTGGTTGTTACACGGCGTCTACAACCTCGACCATCGGGCCCGCGCTGCTACTACGCTAGCGCCGCCCCTCTACGCGCATTCCAGGCCTCCTCCATATGGCCTCTCTCTCCACCACCTCCCAGGACGTGACGTCACCGTCCTGCTGGCTCATAGCCGGCGCCATGGCAACCCGCTAGTTTCATACTGGCGAGCTCCGGAGCTTTCACCTGAGGGGATTAGGGGTTTTTAGGGTTTAGTTAGGGTTAGTAGGATTGCACGAGAGCGCTGGGATCTGGGGGGGAGACACTTGAACAATGAGTGGCCACTAGTTTTGAGCAGTCGGTTAAGGATCTGGGGGGGAGCTGTTTGGGTTGTTTGCTTTGGGTAGCTGCGTGGCTTGTCGCAGCCTGTTGCAATAGGATAAGGTTTGGTCTTGTCGGAAGTGTACTTCGTTTTCTTTTAGCAAATGATGCGCAGCTGGTATGCTGTCACAACATAAGCGTTTCGGGAAGAGCAGGTTGTGAAATGTTGAGAAGGAGGGGAGGTTAGTTTTGCAGGTCGTAGTACGTAGCCAGACAGGTTTTTAGGCAGGTTTCCTTGCAGGCGCTAGATCCGTTGTCGTGGTTAAAGGAGGAATGATTGGGGTTTGGAGGTGCGACGTTGGCTAGCAGTCCAACAGGATTCAGCTTGGAGGAGGCGGAGATCGCGTTCTCAGCAGGTTGGTTTTAGAGCGTTCGGCTTCTTTGCCGTTCCTTAGCTTAGCACGCAGTTGCAGGGCTATCCTGGCTGGTAGTAGTAGGATTTGGGCGTTAGCGACCCACGGGTCAGTCCTTCGGTTGGCTTTGGCTTAGGCCGCTTGTTCATGTTTTGGCAGTAGGATAGACACAAAAAGAGGTGGAGGCGGAACAGGAGGATTGTTTTTTTCTGCGGACGGACGCAGTACACTGGATTCCTGGATTTGCTTAGCAGTACTTCTCGGCAGTGGTCAATAAGTTGTGCTAGGTAAAGCCGTACACTTGCTTTTTCGCCTTGCGTGCCAGTGGTTTTCACCATAGCATGCTTTGCTGGCGTTTTACCAAGTTCAGTCGCTAGGGCTGTTCTTGTCGCTCCGGCTGTCTTTGCCGGTTGCCTAATATCGTAGCACTTGTCTTTGGCTTTTTGGGGTTCTTTTGCAGTAGGTTAATCAGGCTTGGCGCTCTGTTTTCATCTCGCATCCTGCTTCGCGGCTTTGAGCTGGGGGGGGAGTGAGGCGCCAAGGCCGCACTATTAGGACAGCGACAGCCATTGGCCCTGACAGCTGTCAGGTCTGGATGCCGTCTAGGTGGATTTGCCGTCGGTTCGTTAGTGGTTAGGGTTCGTTAGGGCTTTCTCGGCCTTTCTAGCTGCCGTTAAGGCTTGGTTTCGTCAAGGTTAGTTTATGTTATATCGGTTATCTGGTTGGATGTACCTGAGTGAACGCAGTCAGTTGGTATCTTGGCGCGTATCTGGTGTCATCGGGTGCCATGTGGGCCCTGTACTTACGCTTCCCGCCTTGCTCTTATGCTGAGGAGGTGCGGCGCAGCGCACCTTTTGGCACTACCGTGCGGTTGCGGTTGTGTAGAGGCTCATGATAGATCATCAACAATACTAACAGGATTCCAATATCAGGTATTGCGTGAACGCGCCCAGAAGTGGCCTGCGCATCCATCGAGTATACTTGCGTCCAGCTGCCCCTAACGTGGCCTGCGCAGTCTAACAGTTTCGTGAACAGGTTGATATCTTTATTGAGTATCTGCATCCCTATTCTGCTGGGAGTGAGTTCGTGGCAATCTGTGCCCGATCCAAGAGATGACATGCCCGCGCTTTGAGGTATGATCCGAGTTGTAACACATATGGCTAGTTGATCTGATACAGTTGCGCTACAACACTGTGTGGTCTGGGCCACACTAGGGCAGTTGCCTTTGCTTTGCCTGATCATTAGAGGTAGTATACATTGCCTCAGCCTTCCCCCAGACGTTTAAAGTCTGGGGGATGTTCGGGATGTATGTCCCTAATGCTATCTCAGGCAAAGCAAGGCAATTGCCCTAGTGTGGCCCAGACCACACAGTGTTGTAGCGCAACTGTATCAGATCAACTAGCCATATGTGTTACAACTCGGATCATACCTCAAAGCGCGGGCATGTCATCTCTTGGATCGGGCACGGCTTGCCACGAACTCACTCCCAGCAGAATAGGAATGCAGATACTCAATAAAGATATCAACCTGTTCACGAAACTGTTAGACTGCGCAGGCCACGTTAGGGGCAGCTGGACGCAAGTATACTCGATGGATGCGCAGGCCACTTCTGGGCGCGTTCACGCAATACCTGATATTGGAATCCTGTTAGTATTGTTGATGATCTATCATGAGCCTCTACACAACCGCAACCGCACGGTAGTGCCAAAAAGTGCGCTGCGCCGCACCTCCTCAGCATAAGAGCAAGGCGGGAAGCGTAATACAGGGCCCACATGGCACCCGATGACACCAGATACGCGCCAAGATACCAACTGACTGCGTTCACTCAGGTACATCCAACCAGATAACCAATATTATAGCAGCTAACCGCAACATAACCAAGCCATAACGATAGCTAGAGATCTGACGAAGCCCTAACGAATCCTAACCGTTACCGAACCGACGGCAAATCCACCTAGACGGCATCCAGACCTGACAACTGTGCTGATCCACCCCTGTGCGTCACGTCCGTTCCGTGTACAGCATACCGGTACCCCATCGCAGCCCAGGGCGCTCCTCCCTTTCCCCTCGACTGCCTTCGCCCTCATGAATATGCTGCTGGAAAACGTGTCTGGTGTTGCCTGCCCTGCTTAGCCCTGAGGTCCAGAATATGATGTCATTCCTGAAAGGAAGTACGACTGAAGTTTTGTTGCTAGCTGCCGTGGTTTGTGGAAGCAGAAGGCGCGCTTGCATGGGTGTACGACAGCGATGGCGAATCGATCCAGCCTATCAGGGCTGTCCACGCGTTTGTGCTTTCAACTGCCGTTGTGATTGATAGTATCGGGTGGCCATCCCTCTGCCGGGATTGTGCCCGCCTGTAACTGGGTGCTGTCAGCACAATCGGTCACTATTGCATTTCACACATGGGTTGGGGCGTCGGGACGTGTCGGTCAGGGTTGGGGTTCTCGGTCGGTGTGCAGGCGACGTACGGTTGGTTGGCTTCGGCTTACACTATCTGATGCTGTACCGCATCACGGCAGCTGGAGCAAGAAACCTCTACTACCGACAGACGACAGCTGATGAGCTGAGCTGCAGCCCTGCCGCTGCCACAGCTGTGGCCGCCAGAGCCAGGTCGCTACCATAATTCGAATGAAATCCGCTCCGTGGCCGACAGTGGCGGTGGGTGGGGTTGCATGGGGTGCGAGGAATGGTGATTGGGGTAGGGAAGCAGCCCTATGTGGATGACCCGTGGGTCGTGGAAGTCACGACAACTAACTTACATGACGCGTTGGACTCTTGGGCGGGCCGGTAATATTTGCTGCCCATTGCCTTTGACGATGTTCCCGTAGTTGGCGCAACTTGCCGAGATGCACGAGCGAGTTCCTGTGTGGCGGAAGCGCCCGAGTGCCGACAGGGCCTCCTGTTGCTTAGGGCTCTGACCTTCCCACCTGGCAAGTCACGCACTTTGCAAAACGTTCGTGCGCGTGTATTCCCTGGAAAGAGGCACCGCAAAGCAATGGCACAGCTAGAGCATTGTCTTTCTTAGCACGCCGCAGTTCGTTGAGGAGCCGCCATCCAGAATGTCTTAGGTAAGAGCTCGTCTTCTCAGACAGACGGGTTATCGTAAGTGTTAACGGTTCAACGGCCAAGGACCAAACGGCGTGCAACAGGGAGATCGTGGATCGCAAACCATAAATATAGATGACTACTACAAGATGGTAGTATGTTCCTAACAAGGTGTGCAAGGCAAGTGTATTGTACTGCACACCAGGGGCCCATGGTGGAGCAGCCATACACGCCTGCTCGTCACACCTAAATCGTTGCCGCGTTCAAATTGTCTTCATGCATATCTTTTGACATGAGGTATTGACTTTTGCAGTTACGGTTGACTGCCCGACCCTGAACCGGACAGTATAGCACATACCCCAGAACCAAGGCACAACAAGCGCTGTTGAGTAGAAGGATAGCTCTTAAGATTGCTGCTTGCTGGCGCTGTAAGATAACTTAGCGGAGCATCATCTGAGTGACATTGTTAGGAGATAGGGGCTGGTAAGATTTTAATTTAGATGTTCAGTGCCGTTTAAGATGGTGCTTAGTACTGGCTTCTAGAGGCGCGCTCTCTGTCACGAACGGCCTTGCATTTCCCCGCCGCCTGTTGCAGCAAGCAGCTTGAGGTGCAGCTTGGATAGGACGCTTTGTAGCTTTCCTATTAATGCCTACAGCAGACTACGAGGACTCGGGAGAAGAATGACCGGCTTTAAGCCGTAGCCTCTTACCATAGCGTCCTTCATGGAGGATAACGCTGAGCCCACCGCTCTGCCTAAGCTGGCGTCTTCTGGAGGCAGGCGCATACCAAAGCGCACACCCAGCGGCCTGCTCGGCAAGCCAGGCTCATTGCAACTGAACCAGAGCACCACACCACAACACCACGCGCTGCCCGTGAAACGGCGGGGTAGCTTTCAACAACTTAAGAAAACTGGAACGCACGCGGGTTGCGATGGCGCGTCATCGTACCTCGACTCGGACTCGTCTCCATCAATCTTCGCAGTGGTTAAGAAGAGCACACACTGGGAGAAGTATGGCACCGTGCTCGTGTTGCTTGTCGCCGACGAGCTCAGCAGCGACAAAGAGGCAGTGCTGCAAATGCTGTCAGCGGAGGTGCGTTGGGCGGGTGTGCATCATCATCGGTCGTTGCCAGCCGCACGTGATCATACCATAGCTGCAAGCAACCAACGCACCCGTTCACCGTCCTGTGCAGGGGTATGACGACAATACCACTGACAACGCCCAAGAGGCGGTTAAACTCTTTGCGGAAAAGGAGGTAAGCACGATGCCTCAACTAATTGCCTGCGCTTCCCGAGGCTGCGGCTGTCGCTGCTGCTGCTGCCCCCCACCCCCGCACGCTTCTTCCCCACCACCCAGCAGCTCCTAACAGTTAGCTTACCTCCACTCACGCTCCCTCTCTCCCTCTCTCTCTGCCTCTCTCGCTGTTGGCAGGTGTACCCAGACATTGTGATCATCGACTCGGACAACGAGCTGGTAGACACCCGCCAGGTAAGCACTGCTCCTGTGTAGCAGTTGCGTGGGGGCAGTGGAGCGGACAGGCGGGGGGTGTATGTGTGTGAACACGCCTGTGTGAGAGGGCATGCGCTGTGCGTGGTCAGCCACGGCCCTCCATGTCCCCGCCTCACCCTGCCTCCCTTTCCCACTCACCCGCCCTCCCCCCCGCAGCTGATCATGCAGCTCCAGTCGCTGAACCCCACGGTGGCGGTGATGGTGCTGGGCGCCCGCGGCGGCCCTCTGCCGGCGGTGCAGGCGCTGCAGGCGGGCGCAGCGGACTTCATGGCCAAGCCGCTCAGCCTGGATGAGCTGGTGGCGCGAGTGGAGCGGCACGTGCAGCGGCAGGTGGGGCGAGGGGGGCGGAGGCGCGGGAGAGGGGGGTCAAAGACCATACCGAAAGAAGGAAAGAAGGATTACCAATGTATGGTGTGATAGTGGTAAACTAGCTGACAAGCCCTGATGGAAAATCCGTGAGTCGAGCCGAACTGGTGAGAGGTGGGGGTGGAGGTAGTGATCAGCTGTGTAAGCCTGCCGCTGCGCAGCGCAGAGGGGTGTGTGGAGGGGTGTGTGGAGGCACAGCTTGCTTGCATGGCACATGATGAGCTGCTGTTGGAGGGGGGCTGGATGGACGGGCGCTTGTGAGCGGTGCCCCAGGTGCGAGTGTGAGCCTGCCCGTCCTTCCCGCCCCTCCCCTGCCCCTCCCACCTCGCAGCACTGCATCAAGTTGGAGATGGAGAAGGCGCTGGAGGACGCGAAGCAGATGATGCAGCAGCTGGTGCCCGCGTCGCTGCTGGGGGACGTGGTGAGGCAGGGGGTGGGTCAGGGAGGGCGGGAAGGAGGGAGGGGGAGAGAGTGTGTCTTACTGCGGTCCTATCGCTGTGATCACGGCCACAGTGACTAGCTCCAGGCGACTCAGTTGCATGGGTCGCCACCCCTTACCCCCACCCCCGCATGAACCCCTTGCATTGAACCCCGGCATATCGACTCGCCACCCTCCGCCCCCGCATCACCCACTCAGATGCTGCGTAAGGAGGTGGCGGCCCCGGGCGGTGCGGGGGGCGGCGCCGGCGGCCCCCCCGGCGGTGGGGGAGCTGGCGGCAAGGCGGGTCTGAACAGCGTGGCTGAGACGGATTTTGAGGAGCAGATGAGCGAGCTGAGCGAGGAGAACCACCGACTGGGGCAGAAGGTGCAGGAGATGGAGCGGAAGCTGGAGCTGAAGGATAAGGTGGGGTGGGGGGCGGAGTGGGGGGCTGAAGACATACCAGAATCACCGGTTAAGGGGCGGGAAGGGGGAAGAGGGGGAGATTTACCCCTCTTTTCCACAGCTCCTCCCTCCCTTTCCTTGGTCTTATCCTCCTTTCCCCTCCCTCCTTCCTCCCGATCCCTCCCCCTCCTCAGGAGAACCGCGCCCTGGAGGCCAAGCTCAATGCCATCGACCAGCGGGTGGCCGCACTCGCAGCGGAGCGGCAGCGCGGGGCAGCAGCGGGCGGCTGTGACGGCCTGCAGCAGCACCAGCAGCAGCAGCTGCAGCAGCAGGAGCAGCAGCAGCTGCTGTTCCTGGGTCAGCTGGATGTGGTGGCGCGAGCCAATCTGGACCTGCGGCACAAGGTGGACGAGCTGGAGCGGCGCATGCAGGCGGCGCAGGGGGGGGGCGCGCCGGCAGCAGCGGTGGCGGTGGCAGTAGCAGTAGCAGGAGCAGCGGAGGCGGTGGCAGGCAGGGAGGTAGGGGTGGTGCAGGCGGAGGCGGTGGCGGTGGATGCGCCGCCGCCAGAGGCCCCCCGGGAGCAGCCGTTGGGAGTGTCGCAGCCGCAGCCGCGGCAGCAGTTGGAGGGTGGTGAGCTGCAACTAGAGGAGGAGGAGGAGCAGGGACAGCAGCGGGAGGGAGAGGGAGGGAAAGGGAGGGAGGGAGCGGAGGAGGAGGAGGGGGGAGAGGGGCTGCAGCAATAGCAGGAGGGGAGGCGGCATGGCTGGGTAGGGGAGGTGCAGGAGGCCGAAAGATTGCCGAAAGATGTGTGAGGGGTGTGTGTTCTGTGAAGCCCGAACGAGCAGTTTGAGTATACGTGTCTCCTCTCTCCCTGTGTTGCTTATTTCTGCGGGTGTGAGGAGGGCGCACGAGATTGATTGCGACTTTTGCTGAGTGAGTGCGCAAGTGCGGCATATGTGTGTGCATTGCAATGGGAGGAGGGAAGGAAGGTGTTAGAGAAAGGTGCGAAAGTGGTAGTGGCGGTGGTGGTGGTGGCGCCCAGAGGTCTTGTGGGCTTGCTTGGTCGCAAGGGGCATGGAGCGGTGCGGTGCGGTGGGGGAGAGCTGCGAGGGTTGTTGTTAGCGAGTGGAGGTGTGTGAGGGTTGCATGGAGGGATGCTGGGATACTGGGATACCGGTTAGGTGGGGAGGTCGGCAGCGGTTGTGGCACAGCTCTGTGGGATCAGTGAGGAATGGTGGTGGAGGTGGAGGTGGTGGTGGAGGTTTGTTGTGGGCCCTGGGCGCAGCATGGGTGAGAGCATATGGGGTGCAAGAGTGCGTGCATGATATGGCAGTGTGTGCGGTTGCTGCTGCTGCTGCTGTGGCTGCTCTGAGGGCTTCGTGGAGGTGTAGTGGTAAAAATAACTGGCCGCGAGGCGGAACGTACTGTGATTGCCGAAAGATGAAGTCCTCCCCCCACCGAAACGCCACAGGTGAAGTGAGGTCCGTCGGCTATGGTGTAATACAGGTATTGAGTACGGTCGGTGTAGTGGTGTGAGGTGGTTGTAGTGGTGTGTGGTGGCGGGGAGGTGAGGACCATTCCTCCTCCTTCTTTCTGATGGAGGTGAGCGCCACACGGAGCACACATGCGGGAAAGAAGTGGCCACAGCGGTCACTGAGCAGCTCCTCTCCTCGCCTGCCTCGCACGCACGTGGCGTGGCGCGGCGCTTGTATGTAGCAAAGAACCATGCGGCGTATGCGGAAGGGGCGGTGACCGTTCAGAGGGGCCGCGTAAACTGCCGTGCGTGCTGCAAACGTTGCAACAACGCTTATCGCGAGCGGACGGCTGGGAGCGAGTGTGAAGGTGGGAAGGGAAGGAGCAGGAGGAGCGAAGCATGAGGGGAGGAGCCCGGTGGATAGTGTGATTGCTGTGATGAGGGGTTTGGAAGGTTGCGGGCTACGTGAGGGGCTGCTGGGGAGGGGTTGAGAGGCAGGGTGCCGGTAGCCTGCTCCGGGACGAGAACGCAATGCTCCCCGGGAGTGGAACAAGTCCCGCCAGCCGGATTACCGTTGTTGCTGTTTTTTAATTATACCGGTACGGTGATCTTGCAAATACAATGATGAGGGCCAGTGTGCGTGTTTGGGGGGGAGTGTAAACCATAATGAGGTAATTGGGGGGTGGTATTGCCGCGGATTGTGTGTCTCTTTGTGAGGGTGCAGGAGGTTATGTGTTGATCGTCCATCATGCAGGGAAAAGGGGTGGGGATGCAAGTGGAATGCGCGCATGTGCGCTTTGGTTTTGGTGGGGGGGGCTTGTATGTGAGGCGTGGTGTGCTGGCGTATGAAGTGATATTAACAATGATGCCGCTATCCTATCAAGAACGTGTCGAGGTGATTGCCGTGTGGGAAATGAAGCAAGTCAACAAGTGCCACAGTCTTACGCGTTGTTCCCTTTTCCTTGTATCGTGTCATACCAATATATGCGGTTTGGTGTATGGCACACATGCGTTTCGTTGCCAGCCCGGTTCTAAGCCACAGCCTGCAGGGCTCTACGTGAGACAGGGGACGCGTGGACATTTGCGGTGACTTGTGCTGACATGTGTTTATGGACGAATTGCGCTGCAGATGAATGAGTACGGTAGTTCGGTATAACCGTCTAACGGGCTAGCTTTCTGTGCCTCGCTCGTCATGGCAGGCAGCCCATGCCACCTCCACGCCACCACCACTGCCTACCTGCCTGCATGCATGCATGCGGCACACGCGCACATCTACGCGACGGCTGCATGCAGCACTGCCCGCCATTCGACTGCTATAGTCAATTGGCCACCGTCCCAGCACCCCCTCGCTCACTTCCTAGCCACATGGAGAGTGCTTCAAACACCCCCACGCTCCACACCCACGCGCACACACACACACAGTGCGGCCAGTTTTCTTAACACACACAGTACGTTCCTACTCGCGGCCAGTTATTTTAACACACACCTAACCCTCACTCCACCACCCGGCTCCTCCACGTGATGCCCTCCAGCCGCCACTCCACACCCCGGACATCCGCTGCGTACACCTGGAGGGCATGGGAGTGGAGTTCGGCAGGGGGGTGGGGTGGGAGGGGCGCGTGCGTGCGTATGTGTGTTTTATTTGGTGGGGATGGGTGTTGTTCGCAACTGAGCCGGGTGGACCCGTACTGCTGATGTGTGCTGTTGTGACTGGCGGCTGGTGGGGTGAGAAGCTCCCCGGGAGGGGGTGCGGGGGTGCAGTACTCGGCTTGTGGAGTTAGTCAGGGTCGGGACAAACCCGCCAACAGAATAGAAAAACCCATGCCGTACACGTGTCATACCGCCGCCGCCGTACACACTGGCCGTACCCCCCACACCTTGAGCCAGGCCAGTTGCGCCCTGCGCGGGTCCTCCCCGGCCGCGAACAGCGAGCGAGAGCCGTCCGGCAGCCGGGCATAGTAGCTCCCTGGGGGGGGGAGCGGGGGAGCGGGGGAGGGGCAATGAGGAAACAACGAACGAAACCGTGTGATGGGGAGGGGCGGTGGTGGAGGTGGTGGTGAGGAGGAGGAGGAGGTTGGGCGTTAGGGGCCGTGAGCTGGCGGCCCCACGGAGAACCGGTGCCGTACGAAGAGCCTCATCGGACGGACCGCTTCCCCACTCGCCCCCTTGCTACGCTCTGCCTCCCTCCCTCCCGACCCGCCTGCCCGCCCGCCCACCCAGTTTGCTCTTGGCGGTGCGTTCCTGCCCCCGGGGTCCTCGCAGCGGGATGTTGAGCCCATCCGCGCCGAACTGCGGCCCGCTGCCCGGGTTGTCGATGACGGCGAGGTTGGGGCCGCCGATCTGATGTGGGTGGGTGGGGGGCGGAGGAGGAGGAGGGAGGTGCAGAGGCGGGGCCAGAGGAAAATGGAGAGGGGGGTGTGGGGTGTGGGGTGGGTCGCTTGCTGGGTTGGTATTCGGGTTTGTTTAGGTGAGGTGGGCACCTTGCTAAGGGGGGGGGAGGGGCAGGACGCCCTAGCATCCTGGATTTGAGGACAGACAACCAGAACATCTCATCCGGCGGAGCTAAGCACCCCAGGCGGGCATCTCAACATGCGCCTCCACGTGCGCCACATCCATATACCCATACACACACGCTCCCCCGCCCCCCCTCACACAACACCGGGGCTTACCTTTGCAAGCTTGTACACCGGACCGCCACTCTCCGCTCCTCCTCCTCCTGCCCCTCCTCCTGCCCCTTGCGGCCAGGTGAAGAGGAAGGCGCCGCCGGACGCCCTGTCCTCCCCCAGCCCGATCCAGCCCCCCGGGTTGTACCCGCCTAGCAGCGCGCCGCCCTCACTGCCCGCCACCACCACCGCAGCACCCAGACCGTCAACCTGACGGGGGGAAAAAAAGAAATTCCAAAGTGTGGTGTGATAATGATACAAGTTGCTGACAATCCGACGACGGGGGACGGGGGGGGGGAGGTAGCGCGGCGGCGGGGTAAGCATGCATGCTATGCCTTGAAGAGGCAGGGCGCCACCACCTTTCTCGCCTGATCTTCTCCTTCTCGCCTCGCACACATGTGCACCGCCACCACCACCACAGCTCCTCAGTCGGTTGTCAGCGCACCTACCGGTAGACCGGTCGGACCTGGTCCGCTACCGCTACCCGGCCATCCTGGTTCCTCCTGCCTGCTCCTCCTCCTCCTCCATCATCATCAACCCGCGCAGCCTTTCCACTATACCATTATCCAGCAGCTGCCTGTTCCGCAACCATACCCTGCTGTCGTCCCTCGCTGTCATCTGTCCCCTCGTGCGCTCGCAGGGGGGTGCAAGTCCCTCGTGCGCTCGCAGGGGGGTGCAAGTCCCTCGTGCGCTCGCAGGGGGGTGCAAGTCCCTCGTGCGCTCCAGTCAGGGCAGCCACTCCATCACTCCAGCCCAACGTACCTTGGCGTGGAATGCGGCGGCGCTCCAGCCGTCCCGATCCGCATCGTACACGCACCTGCCCGCCCACCCGCCAGGGGACACGTCACCACACCATCAGCAGCAGCAGCAGTTCATTATCAGTCCGCCATCATCAGCAGCATTTCCACACGTCGTCAGCAGCCTTCAGGTACCCAGAAGGCATACCACGACCCATGGGTCTGTCCTCCCTTTCTCTCCCCTCTCGCTTCGCTTCCCTTCCCTTCCCGCCTCTCTCCCCCCTCCCTCTCCCTCCCACCTGAGCGGCAGTGCCTCCAGCTGTGTGGCCGCCAGCAGCGGCCGCAGCAGCACCACCAGCGGGTCCGCCTCGTCGTCGGCAAGCGGGGCGGCGCGCCTCGTCAGCTCGCAGTACTGCAGTGGTGACGACATCCGTACGTGGTACGACAGGGGGGAGTGAGGGGTTGTGGGGTTGCTTGGTTGGGGGCGGGGTCGGGGTTTTCCTTGGAATGATGCAGGAATTCGCGGTAGTGGCCAAGTCGGTTGGGTGGTTGGGTGCAGGATGAAAACAGGGTAGATACATTCACAGGTATGTGACGGAGGGGCGGACACCATGTTGGGTGCACGCGCGCTTTCCATTTTGTTTCTCCGTGCAAGCTAGGGTGCCGGGGCGCCTGGTGTGCCTGCGTTCTGCAGTGTAGGAACATGCGGTATGGGGATTGATTTATGGGGATTCGCGACGCTTGCAAGCCCCTGACTCTGCCACATTTCGTATCCTGCAACTGCCGCCTGACTTGCCTGATCAGGTAGCTCCTCAAAATTGATGCGCTTGAGGCCCATGGGGGCGCTGCGAGGCGCGGCGTGTACGGAAGCAATGTAGGGTTTCGTAAGCACGTGGCATGATCGGTGGTGTAATTCACATGCGACGTGCAGTGTACCGTAGTTGGTGGTCGTGCGGCATGGAACCGCTATTGTTTCCTTAGCGCATGTCGGTAATGCAGGCAGGCAATAGCCGCATGCGCAGCAGGAGGGCTGTACGGGGAGGAAGACAGTAGAACAGCGCATGGCGAGGCAATGTGTGGTGGCTTACTAGCTACGCGGAGTCTTGACGAACTTTCATTCCTAAGCACATGCTGTTTGGGCATGTCGAGACAACCAGTGCATTCGGTGAATGGCAGTAGCATGGTAGCAGTGCGAGCATCCAAGAAACATCCAAGGAACCAGAAACCAGGTAAGACGCGGGACGCGGGGCGCATACAACGGAGCTGCAGTTGTGGGTTGTTTTCGGTGGTTGCGGCAACGAGAAGATCACTGGTTGCCGTACAGTGTGCCTTTCGGAGGCTACCTCAAGGCGGTACCCACGGGTCAGAAAGGGCCTTGGGAAAGAAGAAGGAAACCATCTTCTCCACAAGATCCCACTCCTGTGCACCCTCCGATTGTTGGTCTTTGGCATGGACCGTCGTGCGGCATCGCCGCGTCCCGAACGCATGGCAATGAGTCCTTGGGTAGGACAGGGTGTAGCACGACCCAAACGCAGCGCGCGTGCGCCCTGAGCGCGTTTTGTGCGCCCGGCAGCGCTGAAGGTCCCTGCCTTGCTGGAGCATTGAAAAAATGCAAGCTCCTGATTAGTGCGACTGTCGTTTTAGTGCGCTGAATCTCAACACAGTTAACAGTATGTTCATAACTAGTGCATTTGAGCGCGATATAGTCCGGTAATAACTGGCTGCATTGTTGTGAAAGCGTTAAAGGGTCGACCTCTCCGTGGGAAGAGAAGTTTGTACGGCATACTGGGATGCATGGGAAATGATGAAGCCGCTTGACAACAAGTGCAAGTCGCGACTGATACTGCGTTGGATTTCTCTGTAGTTTGTGAGCCTTAAGATGGCCCAGAACGCAAACATTACGTCGCAAGATGGCATGCTGTTGGCTGTCCTAGCGGACGAGGTATAAAGACCGGAATAGTCTTTGCTCATGACTATGGTTAGCCGGAAGTAGTCCTTATACAGCCCGTTGCCTTCTCTTTTTCAACAGGATACCATCACCGGCTTTTTGCTGGCTGGTGTGGGAAACGTAGACCTACGGAAGAAGCGGAACTACCTAATAGTAGACTCAAGTAAGCCTTATGGTTTGAAGCAGCAGCTCCTGGCAGGACGTTCACGTGTTGCCACATCCCCGCGCAGAGACTCCTGCGCGAGCAATTGAGTCCGCGTTCAAGGAGTTCGCTGCCCGGGACGATATCGCAGTCATTCTGATCTCCCAGCAAGTTGCCGGGCAAATTCGCAATGTTATCGAGGCTCACAACAAGGTTGGTACCATTTGCAAGCCCCTTTCCCTTCACTCTCACGGAGGCTTACCGCATACGTGTCCCGTTGCAGCCTATCCCAGCTGTGCTGGAGATTCCCAGCAAGGACTGCCCATACGACCCGTCGCAAGACTCCCTGCTCACGCGGGTAAAGCACATTGCGGGTTTCAACTAAGCGGACTTGCTTCGGACTTGCTCCTGGAGCCAAGCAGCTGGGTTGATCACCGTAGTTTATTGCTAGCATGGAAGACACGGCCCAGCCGCGGCGCATGTCTCAAAGGCGTGGTATGGAATGCAGGGGGAGGCCCCGTGGGGTAGGTAGTGGGTTTTCCAACATGCGGGGTGTGTAGGGAAGTGTTGTTTGGGGTCTTCTTCGGAATACCCCATGAAAGGGTTTCGCTTTGAAAGGATGCGCCGTAGGGAAGGAGGAGGGTACAGGGCCGGGCTACCGGTGGGCTACATGCGGCGGCCGAGGGTGATCGCTTCATGGGGCCTGTGGGGCTTAGGGTTATAACTTCAGGCAGTCAGCACAGCAGTGGGACCTCTCGGACTGGCGGAACATCATCGTTGACTGCTCGCATCAGACAGACAGGCTTAGGGCGGCGGCTTACATTAGAGGAGGAACGGGCTAGGATGGATGGACGGCGATTTGCCGCCTCCAGGGCTTTGCGGATGTCGCACGTAGGACCCACGGTGTGAATGCTTCTTTCCATGGGGCACTCACAAATACAAACGAATGATTTTCGATGCTACGGTGGACACCACCGCGGACGTACATGTAATCCCCATGGTTTCGTACAGCACCCCTCCCCGACGGCCAGCAAAGCCGCACCTTGCTCTATGCAGCAGGGTTGCCTCATCAGCGGGGCTTCCTTTCCTGCCGTTACCTGCATGCTGCGCTCTTGGCAGCAGCCCCCCAGCCGTCCTTTTTGTCTCGGTTCCTGGTCGCCCCCTGGCACGGGTGGCGTGCTCGTGCGGTGACCCACACAAACAGCTGTTGGTTCGGATCTGCCTTCACTTGGCGGGGGTGCAGCGGTGTGCGGTGCGAAGGCGTGTTATGGTGAGCGCGTATCGTTGCGGGTGTGTGATTGTTGGCATGCATTGGAGTGACGCTGTGGATGGAGTGGCCCAAGGACGGGGGCCTACGGTGAAGGGGAGGGGATGGGCGTGGTGGTGCACTGCTGCTGACGGGGTTGTCTGGTCGTTTTGCGGGTTTGCGCATGCTAAGTACTGGTAGGGTAGCTCCAGAGTGCCTTCTGGGTTGTTCCTAAGGGTGCATGATTGATTGGCCGAGGCGAACATGTGTGAACAAGGTACGGCATGGCACAAGCGGGGCTCTCAGGTGCTAGGTGGTGATGGTGGTGGTATATGAAATATGATGCCAGTTGATGTGTTCTCCAGGTGGTCGAGGCTCTGGGGTAAACGGTATGTGCGAGTTGGGAAGTAAGCCTTACATGCACCGGTCAGCGGGACGTGTGGGGCTTTGGAGCTTACTTTGGGATGTCCTACTTTGAACAGGAGAAAGCCGTCTTGCGCTGGCATTGGCGTGGGGTGTGAGACAGCGGCGCACGTGTGTCAGCGAGTGGCTGGTTCCGAAACCGCATGCAACCTCGGGTTGACCCAGGAGCCCAGCTAGGGGGCAGCCAGGAGCTCCTTCGGTTGGGGCTGTTTCGGCGAAGGCTTCATCTTCCCACGACCACAGTATGTCCTTCTTCGCGGACAGGTTTCTTAACACAGGAGCAGAGCAGCAAGGGGAGGAACTCCCTCGGGTACCGATAGATATCCGCATAGAGATCAGCTAGCGCCTTCCACGCTTCCCTCCGCCTGCCTCACTTGCTGACTTGTACCACTCGCAAGAAATGAGACACACAGCACAAACCCCGATCTAACAAACAGTCATCACACCCGCCCGCCTGTGCCCACCTCTCCTGCACAGTTCCCCGCCGCCACCATTTCCTGCGCAGCGCTCCAAGGATGCGTGTGCGTTGTCCTGAATGACAACATACCTCCGACAGGACTGCTACCACACCCAACGGCACGCGGGGGCCTTGTTGTCTATTGACCTCACTACTTGAGGTTTCCTCCAACGGGTTGATTTCTCTCTGAATTCTAAACATGTATGTAGGCAAGACAATTCAACCGTTGTTATGTTATGTTGCGTCATAGTCTGTTTTAATGTATGCAGCCCATTGTCCCCTCCCCTTCTCCTATCCCACGCTACATCTCCACCCACCGTGCTTGCGTTCCATTGCATTTGCCTCCTCGTCCCACCCCCAACCATTGCGAATCACGCCATGCATGCTACCTCCCACCCCCAACCCCGGACGGTCCCACGGACAGATGTGACCCACGGGTCATCACCGCTGCCCCTCGGCCGTCCCTGCGCTCGCTCCGCTGCTGCTGCCCAGGTGGTACTGGATGCGCTCTGCCAGCTGCGCCTCGTTCAACACCCCCTCGAACCGGAACACAATGTTGCCGCCCTTGAACAACGCAATGGTGGGTAGCGCCTGAGGGAGGGGCGGGATAATGTGTGTATGGAAGAGAGAGGAGAGCGGAGGCATGGAGGCGGCGATTACCAGGCATGGCCGCATGGTCCCATGCGAATGGGAGTAATGGGAGTGGGAGAAAAGGGGGCACCTGATCGCTGCAGCCCCAAAACCACACCCACCGCGCCCCGCCCTCCCCTACTTCCCGCCCCCCCTCCGCCCTTCCCGCACCCCGGCCCCGCACCTGCACTCGGTACTTGCTTGCCACCCCCGGGTAGCGGTCCGTGTCTATCTTGACCACCCGCAGGCGGTCCTGGAAGCGCGCGGCCATGGCGCCCAGCACCGGGGTCATCATCTGGCAGGGGCCGCACCTGGCGAGGCAGGGCGGGAGAAGGGGACAAGGAGGAGGAGGAGGCCGGAGCTTCAGCGCAGCCGGCGTGGCGACGCGGGCTTAGGAGCGGAGACATGGGAGGTACAGGGCAGGGCAGGCGCGTGGCATGGGGTGATGAGGTGTTGGGAGGTCATGGGGTGGTGTGGGCCACAAGGCATGGAAGCAGGAGGAAGTGGGTTCCTGGTGGGGGCTCCCCATGTACGCAGTGTAACAAGGATGACCCCAGGTGACCGGTCAAGCGGCTCTGCAGTTTACGTACCATGTAGCGTAGAAGTCGACCAGCAGGGGGACGTCTGAACGTGTTAGCATGTCCTCAAAGGATGAGTATTGCTGCTTCTGAGCAGACGCTGCGACGCGACGCGATGAGGCGGGTTTGGTAGCCGGCAGCACCGGCAGTACTCGACGAACTACAGGTTGAGCTTTTAACACCTTGGCACCAGTTGTGCAGCGTTGTGAGGAGGAAAGCGCCATCCTGGCTAGGCGCTGGAAGGTCTTCCGACGGAGTATACCGAGTTACCGACAGACTCGGAGGTAGCAGTTGCAGGAGGGCAACTTGTGTATAGCTGAGATTCTTTGTTCCGGTATCCTAGATCACTGGAAATGCTAAAGCTTTCCAGTCCCGTATAATAACGCCGTACCCTGAGCGCGTCCGCGTTTCCTGCAAATCCAGTGAAGTAAAGCAAGTTATCATTTAAACTTCCATTCAGTTGCAGGCAGCTAGTAGCGAGCACGATCACTGCCGGACAGCGCAAGATACTGCCGCGACAGATACCACGGAACTATAGAAGCTACTAATGGCTTTCATGACAAGTGCATTAAGTAGGAAGCGTGTGGACACTACATGCTGTTTGCGTTGACTGTGGAGTAAGGAGTTGCCAATGCCTGAGCACATGTAATCAAACTTGGTGAGCAGACAGCAGCGTAAGTCAGCAAGAAAGCACGTATTGCATGCCTCTCCTGATGTCTGACGCACGAATTTGATAACATGGTGCGCGTGTTATCTATCTGGTGGTTGGGTACTGGCGGTGTTCCACGAATGCTCAATTTCCCTTTGCAGCATTCCAAGCGTATGCCTCCCCCCTGGGGCTACCCTTATCATCCTCGCGCCAGTAGCCAGGTCAAATGACTCCATGCCCGTCCTGCATGTCCTTGCCTGGCCCTTGCAACCCCGTTCCACAGGAACCTCGTTCCAGTGACGCGTCACGAGCACCAAGCCAGGACACCCAACCCAGCTGCATGCCTGTACACCCTGGCTGTATGACGCCATCCGCCTCATCCGCACAACGCACCAACCTCGGCCACCTCTATCGCTGCGATTGCAGCACTGGACGTGTAAGCCTGGCCGCGTCACCTTCCGCAGCACATGGTACCAGGAGCAGCAGGCGGACAACCCAGCCACTGCTCACGCTGCTCCTCATCATCGCCCTCTTCGGCTGCTTCGGTCCGGCGCAGCTTCAGTTCCACTCCCTTGGAGCGGAGGCCCTGGTGCTGGGCGGCGGCAGTACGGCACTGGATGGCAGCGGCATTAGCAACACAGGCCGTAGTAGCATCAGCGGCAGTGGCGGCAGCAGCAGTGGCCGCCGTACCATTAGCAGCAGTGGCAGTCCTGGCGGTGGAAGCAGCAGCGGCAGCACCGCGGGAGGTTACAGTGCGCTCTGTGCGGTGGGCAGGAACGAGAACCGCTACGTGCGGGAGTGGGTGGATTACCACAAGTGTCTAGGTGGGGGTCGTGGGTGGGTGGGTGGGGGCTGAGGCAAGGCTGAGGGGATACCGGTAGCCCGGATGGGGTGGTCCTGCAGGGGAAAGGCACCTGCACATGCTGGTGCCCGTATGTCTGGTACATGGAGAACCCCATCGCGTGCATGAGGTCGGTACGGGGCAGCACGACAAACCGCTTGCAAAGCTACGATTCACACGGACGTTGGCTCCTTCAAACCCGTACGGCAGCGTCCCCTTACCTGCAGCTGCTCCCAGCAACCTGTCGCTCTGTCATTACCGTCTCTCATTACGTTACCTCTGGCATGACGCGTTTCTGCTGCTTCCGTAAACCCCTCCCGCAGGCTTCTCCCGTATCTACCTCTACGATCACAACAGCTCGCAGCACATGTCAAACGAACTAACCGACCACATCGCCTCAGGCTTCGTGTCGTACCGCAACTTCCAACCCACCGTACACCGGAAATTCAACGAATCCGAGGGCTTTACTTCCGACCTCGACCGTTTCATGACCACCGTACAAGGCCAGGCCTACAAGGACTGTGTACAACAGTACGGCAGCCACCACACTTTCCTGGGTTTCATCGATTTGGACGAGTTCCTGGTGTTGTACGACAACAGTGTACGGCACGTGGACGAGCTGTTGCGGCAGTACGAGTCGTACCCTGGGCTGTCCGTGTACTGGGTTCTGCTGGGCAGCAGCGGTCACGTGTCTCGGCCGAATGGCAGTGTGGTGGAGTCGTACACTCGCTGCACGCCGCATGGGCACAAGTTCAACACCCAGGTGGGAGGAGAGGGAGGGTACGTGAGGGCCGAAGAATGTTTGTAACAGCTTGTGCCACAAAAGGGGAGTGTGTGTGACAAGCCACACGTGTGAGGAGCCGGCTGGGTGGTAGGGCTAGGGAGGAGGGAGGGCTGCAGGGCTTGGTAGGTAGGGGTGGATCGTGGATGGCTAGCTCCATGGCCTGAGTACCGTGGTGAGCTTGGGTTGCATGTACACAGCTTGAACGTCGTGGTGCATAAATAGGACATTACAGCGGTGACTGCTCCGGCAGAGAGATGCAGTAGTAGTCCATACCTCGGGGCACCCGCCTCTGCAGTATACTGCAATGCAGGACGGTACGGTTTCCTCCATCCGATTGTTGACGGCCCTAGTTCCTCCATCCGCGCATCCCTTGAATGCTCTTAGCGAAACAGCGTCGGCCATCACCCCGTAACAACGCCCAAATAATTCTCTCCTTGTCTCGCTGTAAACCACTGCCCCATGGGCGGGGTACTGCACATTTAAGGTCGACTGCTACTGCTCTCAACTATCTGCTGTGATGTACAAATCTCCGGACACTTATGTACAACATTCCTTCCTATCCTCGCCCACGCCTTCTACATAACAGCCTTTGCGCCTGCCCACCCTTCCACACATGCCACCCACCCACCTGCACTTCCTGCGCCAAATGCCCACCAAATAACAACCCATGCTGGTACCCCCATGCTCCCTTACCCCCACTGTCCCTGTCCTTATGCTGCCCCTGCTGCTGCTGCTGCTGCTGCATAATTCACCCTCGCCCTCGCTACCAGCTCTCCACCCAACCACGACCACAATGCCACCCCCAACCCCCTCCCTTTCCTTCCCCCTTCCACCACCGGTCCCCCCAGTTCAAGACCTTTGCCAACACACGCTTCCACCCCACCATGTACTCCCCCCACCGCGCCGTCTTCGCCGCCCCGCCCGACCCCGCCACCGGTGCCGAGCCCTACATGGTGGACGAGGACGGTCAACGCATCGCCCGCGGCCGCAACAGGGCCGCCAAGCACCGCCGGGCAGCCGTCTACCACTACGTCACCAAGTCGCTGGAGGACTACCAGGGCAAGATGAAGAGAGGAGGAGGAGCGGGCGTTACGCGGCCCAAGTACTACTTTGCCCTCATGGATAGGTGGGGCTGGGAGTGGGGAAGGGGGTGGGGGTGAGGTCATGGGAAAGACTGGCTGCGTGTGCTGGTTGACGGATGCTGCTGGTTAGCAGTACAACAAGGGATGGGTTTAAGCAACCCTGCTGCTGCTGCTGCAGGTACAGCAAAGAGACGTGTGCGGGGGCGCTGCAGACGCGCCGCCGCTTCTGCGGGCTGTAGGCAGATGCGGCCGGGTAGGGGAGGGAGAGGCGAGAATCCGCAGCGACGGACGGCAGCGAGCAGTCCATGCCGGCAGCAGCGAGCAGCGCAGAGCCAAAAGCGAGGAAGAGGAGCTTTGTGGTGGTGGTGGCGGTGGCGGCCGAATAGATTGCGTCGGACGAAAAGCAGGGTGGTTGTATTCCTTCACTTAGTATCAGCAGCAGCAGCCATAGCGTGTTCGCCTGCTTCCTTGATCCTTCTGCATCTCCCTCCTCCTTCCCCCCGGCGTTCCGGAAGCAATTCCCTGAGCGCATCACCTCACAGGCACCACCTCCCCACCTCTCCTCTTCCCCCACCCCTCTCTGCACCTCCCCCTACGCGGTCTGCGACATCGGCCGCCACCCACCCCGCCTGGCCAGCAGCACCCCAACCACCACAACCGCCACCGCCCCCACCGCCGCCGCTGCTACCACCTGCTGCTGCGGCCGCTGCAGCCGCCCGCCCGCCAATGCAGCCCACCAGCCGCCAGCAGCGGCACCGCCCGCCACCGCCGGCGGCTGCAGCGCTGGGGCCGCGGCTGCGGCCACAGCCGCCCCAACCGCTCCTGGAGCCGCCGCAGCCCCAGCACCCGCTGGTTGTTGCTGCGGGGGGGCCGCCGGTGCCTCCGGCTGCTGGTCGTCCTGCGCGTTTTCCGTTAGCGGTTGCGTGACGTACTGCGTGAAGAGGGCCTTCATCTTGGCCGCCTCACGCAGCACGCCGGTCCAGCGGTTGGAGCGCAGGGGGGCGGTGTCGGGCACGTAGTTGTCCAGCTGCAGGCCCAGCACGCAGGTGCTGGGGGGAAGGAGGGAAAATGGCAAGGGAGGAGGGAGGAATGGGGGCGGCAGGAGGGGACGGGTGTTAAGAATGGGGGTTCCCGGTGCGGGAATGGTAAGGGCGGGAAGTCGCCATGGGTTAATGGACGTGGTTAGGTCCGGTGGTGGTGGTTAGGTCCGTCACAGAGGTGTGTGGAGGGAGGATGAGCGGGATGGCGGCAGGGCAGCAACTGACAGGACGGGGGGCGGAGCTAGTCCAGGTGAAAACGTCCTAGAAGCTTCCGGCAAAGACAATTAAAGACCAGCGCGGATTTTGATAACGGCTGGTAACACAGGTTTTAAGCTATTATGCTTTGTGTCCTAAGAAACGCTAGATGGCTTGAAATTGTTGGTCGGCTGACATCAAGGGGCGGGAAGTTTTAGCGACGTAGTCCAGCAGACAGCACGTCGAGGCATGCGAACACTCCTTTTCTCGCTACTCACTTTCCCTGGTTGTTCTCCTCCGAGGCGTGGATGTACATGCGCTTGCTTCGCGCCTGGAGCGAGCAATGCAGTGTAAACTTCCGGGCCTTGCCGGGCTTCGTGTACTCAAACACCCATTGGTCCAGATAATCCCCATTCCAGTTCCTATGCGGCATGTAGCGTGCCTCGGGAGACGGGTTGGCCCCAGCTTCCGTGCCTAGCACGAAGCCTGCTTCAATCATCCGGCAGTGCAAGGCCAGCGCCAGTACCGGGCCACCGTGCGATGAAGCAAGGTATGCTGGTCGTGGGCACGCCTTCTCCAACAGCTGCTCAAGGACCTGCTCCTCCCTTTCCGGCATTTTGCCTGGGGCTTCAGTAACGTGCGTTAAGGGACTGGTAACAATTACTTTAGCCTACTTAAAGTATGAATATGTGGGTTGAATTAGCTTTTATACTGCTGCAGATCGGCATCGACTACAAAGGGGAAGCCAAAAGCGGTTGCAGTTAGCCTGACACGACAATCGCGCAGACAGGACTTTCGAAACTGCTCATGGTAGATCCGTAAGTTCCGGTTGTAACTTATTCCCGGCAACAGGGATGGGGGACCAGGGCTCCGTTTTCCTACCCTCTTCGCGGAGGCGCCTGCAGGAGCTGTTTGGGGCTTCGCCGCAGCATATTAGCTCAAAACCTTTCGAGACCAGTTCTGTTGCTATTGGTTGCGACGCTTACGTAGAGCCCTATCCAGAACTTGTTGCCGATGACCAGCGACCGCTTAGCCATGAAACATGGGTAGCTGCTGGGCTAGATGTAGCTCGGCGTCTGCAATGCAGTCACGGAGGCTGGGTACTTACGCGTTGTACAGAGGCTGGGGAGCGCGCGGCGGTCGTCCAGTTGCTCGTTTACAAGGCCGATTGCGCTCCCATCTCAAGCCCAGCTCCGGCAGCGCAAACAGCGTATACTTCATCCGCATCCATAGGGGCAGCGGGGAGGCCACAAGTCGTTCTCGCCCCGCTCTTGGCTTACAACCTCGGGCTGCCGTACACCGTCCAGCCATTCCTCGACCCTCCGCCGGAGGACACCGCGCCAGCACCCCAAGTCACACCCCCTACCGCCACTGCAGCAATCCAACCGAAGTCCTGCTTCCCGAACGGCCCCAACGCACCGCCCCAGCCGCCCCGACTCTTAGTCCTACAACTTACCCAGCCCCTGCAGCTTCAATCCCTGACATCCGCCCTAGACGATGCAGCACTGTACTCCTCTTCCGCCGTACCTCGGTTTAGGCTGGACGCTGTACGGCAGCGCCCAGGTACGACAGCTGCTCCCGGCGCAGGCTCCCCCACTGCCGACGCGGTTCAGCTTTGCAAGGTGGGGGTGCCGCGGACCGCCCCCTTAGCCTCGGCGGCCGCAGGCGCATTGGGCCCAAATGGCAGCAGCAACAAAAACGGGGGATCCGGATCAGGAGGAGCAGGAGGAGGAGGTCCAGACAAGGTGGCGCCTGGCGGTGGTGGCGGCACGGGTGCGGGATTCCCCGCGGCGGCGGCAGGGGTGGCGGAGGATGAGGGCGGCGAGGACGGCCCCGCTTCCGCGCCCTCTTCCTCGGGTGTGCGGGATGCAATGGCTGGGTCGCTGCAGCGCTTCTTTCAGCAGCGGGACAGGTGGGGAGGGGGCCGGGGGGCAGGGGGGTTAGTACGGTGCCTGGTGCGCGAAAGGCTGGTGCGAGGCTAGGAAGCTGGATGGGTGTGTGGGTGTTAATACCCGTCACGTCACGCCCCCAAGGTGTCGTGTCAACCGCACCCCCCCCTCTTGTCCATCCGCGCATGCATCCCTCTTCATGCCCCCATGCACCCCCACAGATATGTCACCCCGGGGGACATGCTGGCAGTGCCGCTGCTGCCCTCACATCTCTGCGGCCCCGCATCGGCACCGGCAGCAGCGGGGGCAGCAGCAGCAGCAGCTCCAGCCCCAGCGACCCAGGGGTCACTCGCCAGCCGCCACAGCACCACTGGCAGCGGCAGCGGCGGCGGCAGCGGCAACGCCTCCCGGCCTAGACTTGTGTACTTCAAGGTGACGGAGGTACGGCAGGGGCAGCAGACGTGTGGTACGGCTACTCCCGCTGCTGGTGCTGCTGGTGCTGCTGGCGGCACCTCCTCCTCTTCCACTCCTTCCTCCTCCTCCTCCCCTTCTTCCCCTCCGCGGCTGCCGCTGCTGGTCAGCCCGGCCAGCACCCGACTGGCGCTGCAGGTGGGGGTCGGGGGCCATGTGGGGCCGCACGGTGGCAGTATGGTGGCAGATAGGGGCAGGGCGAGTGAGCCCTGTGCAGGGCGTCAAAAGCGCAGCGGAATGGTGTTGTAGGGGTGCACCTGCTGCTAGCACGCCCTCCCTCTTCTCAGTCCTCCCCATATCCGCATTCTGACCCGCCCCGGCCTCCGCCTGTTCCCTCCTCCTGTGTGTACCTCCCTCCTTCCCTCCTTCCCTCCCTCCTTTCTTTCGGGGCCATCCTGTCAGGGCGGCCTCTGCCGCGCCCCCCTGCCGGTTGGCTGCGAGGCGCACCCGCACCCCCAGCCACACCCCCACCGGATGCCCGCACCGCCCTGCTCCTCCGCCCCCTCCCTGGCGCCCCCGCCGCTGCCGCTGCTAGGCTGCGACCCCGCAGCACCGCTGTGTGGGCTGCTGCTGCCGCCGCCCTCCTGCTCCTCAGTCTCTACCTCCGCCTCAACAGGGGGCATGCAACAGCAAGGGGGGCAGCAGGGGGGGCAGCAGGCGGAGGTGCAGCTGGGTCCGGGTCTGGTGGGGACTCCCGGGCCGCTGCTGCCCGCTTGGAGGAGTGTGGCGCAGGTGGGGCTGAGGAGGGGGGGCGGGCTGGAGGGGCTGAGGGGGGAGGGGGAGGGTGTGGCGGCGTATGCACGGTGGGGCCTGGGCCGCGCCGTAACTCCGGAGCTGCTTACCTACCGGTAGATTCCGAACCCTCTTATTACCTCATCCAAAACACACACTCTATCTCCCTTGCTTACCTCCCTTTCATGCCCCCTTCCCCTCCCCCCCTCCCAGCTGCTCGCTCCCCTGCTCCACCCCGCCACCCTCCACCTTGACCTCCCGCCCGTCACCCTGCTGCTGTACGGGCCCCCCGGCAGCGGCCGCCGTACCGCCGTACGAGCAGCCGCCGCCGCGCTGGGCCTGCACCTGGTGCCCGTGTCCTGCCATGAGCTGGCTCCCCTGGAGCGACAGCAGCAGCAGCAGCAGGGGGGCGCGGAGGGGGGGCCGGGGGGGGTGGCTGGCGGGCTGGCGGGGGTGCTGGGGGCGGCGGAGAGGTTCGCACCGGCACTGGTGCTGCTGCAGGTGGGGCGGGGGGGGGGAGGAGAGGGGGAGGAAGAGAGGGAGTGCATGTAGTAGCGTGTCTTGCCCCCCCAACTGACTTGGCTGAGCCCTCCTCCCTGCTTCCTCCTCCCTCCCCACGCGTATCTACCGGCAGTACCTTCCTGCCTCGTTCTCAGCCCTGACAGCTGAGACACGTATCCCCTCCCCATCCCTCATCCCCCCCTCCCCATCCCCCTCAGGACCTGGAGGCCCTGGTTGGCACCCGCAGCGCTGCCGACTCCGCCTCCCCCGCAGCAGCAGCAGGGGGCAGTGGAGGTGCTGCCTCGGCGGCTCAGCGCTGCGCGGAGGTGCTGAGGGAGGCGTGTGTGCGGGGCAGTGGGGCGGCGGCGAGGGCGGGGGTGCTGGCGGCCGGGGCGGTGGACGTGGTGGGGGCGGCGGCGGCGGGCGGGGCGGCAGGGGGGTAAGTCGGCAGGGCGGCTAAGAGGGATGGGGAGTTGTCGTTGTTGTTGGGGGGATGGGGCGGGGTGGATTGAGAGCGGGTGGGCAGTGATGTGGAGTACGGAACCGGTGGTTGGGGAGGTAGGGGAATTGGGGAGGGGGGTGATGGTGTGCATTGTCGTACACATGCCATGCGGTCCATGCGGTTCATGCACATCAGCGGCTACCGGGTAAGACGCGTGTGTGTGTATTGACACCAAATGATGACAACACCCTATAAAAGCAGCTCACACCCTGAGAGCGCGCTGGCGCTGAACTTCTCGCCCTCTCCTCCCACTCCTGCCCCCACCCCCCAGTTCCCCCGCCCGCCCCGCCTTCGTGGCCCTCGTCGCCACCGCCTCCTGTCTGGAGGACGTGCCGCTGCCGCTGGGTCGCTGCTTCTCCCACACCCTGCCCCTCTCCGCGCCCGGCCCCCAGCACCGGGAGCTGCTGCTGCGGCACCTGCTGCGGGCGGCTGCAGCGGCCACACGCGCAGTGGCTGCTGCTGCTGGGGGTGCAGCTGCGACGGTAGCTAACGGGGATGCTGCCTCGGTGCCCCTCTTGCAACAGCAGCAGCAGCAGGCGGGGCAGGTGCTGCCCGATGGCGACGCTGCCGTCGCGGCTGCGGTGGAGGCGGCGGTGGGTCCGCTGGTGTCGCGGACCGCGGGTCTGCTGCCTCGGGAGCTGGTGGGGCTGGCGGCGGATGCAGCGGCGGCAGCGCTGGGGCGGGGGTGGGGGGCGGGGCTGGGAGCAGGGGAGGGAGGGGAAGGAGGGGGGCTGCTGGCTGGGTTGGGAGTGCGGTTGGGGAAGGAGAAGGAGGAGGGTGGGAAGGTGCGGGGGAGGGCGAGGAAGGAGGCGGAAGGGGTAGGAGGAGGGCAAGGGGGGTTGTTGGATCCGGAGGGGGACGTGAAGGCGGCTTTGGAGCGGGTCAAGGCACGTACGGCAGTGGAGGTGAGAGGAGGAGGGACTGGGAGGGGGAGAAGGGAGGACAGCGGGTTTGGGGAGAAGCGGCTAAATAACACCCAGTCCCAGTCTATTTCCTGCTCTCTGCTTGGTCATCCTACTTCACCTCACCTTCACCCCACCCCACCCGCACCCACCCCCACCCCCTCAGGTTGGCGCCCCCACCGTCCCCGACGTGCGCTGGGAGGATGTGGGCGGGTTGGAGGGCGCCAAGCGGGTCATCCGCGACACCGTGGAGCTGCCGCTCCGCCGGCCGCACCTGTTCGCTGCAGGGCTGCGGAGGAGGAGCGGCGTGCTGCTGTACGGGCCGCCGGGTGGGGGGGGTGGGGGTGGGGGGGTGGGGGTTGGCGGGGGGCCGCTGTGGTGGCGGAGGATGGAACTGGTGCAGTTGCGTGTGTTGTGCGGTGACGGATAGGGCTAGGGGAATGTCAGGGGGCATGACAGCAAACCAGCAACTCCCTTTCACCCCCCTATCAGACCACCACCACCCTCCCTCCTTTAACCTGTGGTCTCCTTTGACCCCCCTCCATCTTCCTCTCCCCCCTCCTCCCCCCCCCAGGCAGCGGCAAGACGCTTCTTGCCAAGGCGGTGGCCACCCAGTGCGGGGCGACCTTCATGAGCGTCAAGGGGCCGGAGCTGATCAACATGTACATCGGGGAGAGCGAGAGACAGGTCGGGGGCGGGGGAGCAGCGGGGAGGGGAGAAGGGGGATGGTAAAGACCGGGGCGAGGTGGGAAGGTATGTCGGGAGGTGTGGGTGCACCTCCATGCCGCTGCTGCTGTCTCGTCGTTGTTGGCACCTCTGCGGTCGCCCCTCCCCCCTCACTCATGCGCTCCCTGCATGAGTCGGGATATGGGATTGGGACTCGTTGCTGCACTTATCATTTATTCCCCCCCTCAGTTTCCATATTTTTACCCTCCCCGCCCGCTGCTCTACAGGTACGCGAGGTGTTTGCTCGCGCCCGCCGAGCCGCCCCGTGTGTTGTGTTTTTTGACGAGCTGGACTCGCTGGCGCCCGCGCGGGGGGCGGCGGGGGACTCGGGTGAGGGGGGAAGGGAGGGGAATGGGAGAGGGAGGGGGGGAGGAGGGGAGGAGGGCCTGGCTTGAGGGAACAAGTGGGAGGGGGGGGAGGTCCGTGGGGGGAGCAGAGTAGGGAGGGGACTGATGGGGAAGCCGTCATGAGAGCAGGGGCTTCCAGGTCTCATAGCTTTCCCCCGCCGTTCCTGTCTTCCGCTCCTCTGATCTCTGTTGACCCCCCCCCCTCCCCCCAGGCGGGGTGATGGACCGTGTGGTGTCGCAGCTGCTGGCGGAGATAGACGGACTCAGCGGCGGAGGTGGCGGAGGTGGCAACAGTGCGGGACCGCCCCCGCAGGTGAGCCTGAGGGAAGGTCTGGAAGATAGTCGCCTCAATAGGTGTACGTCCGTCCGTTCGTGCGTTCGGGAAACCCCAGGCAACACCCCTTCCCCCCCCCCCCTCCCCCCCCCCAGGTGTTCATCATGGGAGCCACCAACCGCCCCGACCTGCTGGATGCCTCGCTACTGCGGCCGGGGCGGCTGGACGTGCTGGTGTATGTGGGCATTGCAGAGGACGCGGGGTCCAAGGTCAAGGTGCTGCAGGTGCGGGGGCCGGGGTAGCGGTGCGGGGAAAGGAAGACCTGTTGAAGAGGGCCGCGTAAGGAAAGGGTGTTGCTACCGCAAACTCCTCCACTTCTTTTCCCTGTCTCCCCCTCCCTCCCTCCCCTCAGGCACTCACCCGCAAGTTCTCCCTGTCCCCCGATGTGGACCTGCCCTCCCTGGCCGCCGCCTGCCCGCCCTCCCTCAGCGGCGCAGACCTGTACGCGCTGTGTGCGGACGCCTGGATGGGCGCCCTCAAGCGACACATCCGGCTGCTGGAGCAGGGAGGGGCAGCAGGGGAGGGACAGCAGCAGCAGCAGGAGGGGCGGGAGGAGGGAGCTGGGCGGGAGGGGTCAAGCGGGGCAGCGGTGGCTGCTGGTGCTGCTGCTGACGGCGCTGTTGGCGGCCCCGCTTCCTCGCCGGTCGCTGCTGCTGTCACCGCCACAACCACCGCCAGCAGCAGCAATGCGGATGATGCAGAGCTGGTGGAGGCGCTTGGGTCGCTGGGGACCTCCATTCGGAAGAAGCGGGCAGCCAGGGCAGCAGCAGCGGCGGCAGCAGCGGCAGCAGCAGCGGCGGCAGCGACCGCGGGGACGGCTCCCGAAGCTGCGTGCGAACCTACAAGCGGTGCTGCGGCGTCAGAAGCAGCTGCAGCAGCAGCAGCTACCGGTTCTCATGCTCCCCAGCCGCCACCCGTGGCCGATCCGACAACCATCCCCGCCGCCAGCAAGCCAGCCGCCGCAGCAGCGGGTGCTAGCAGCGGCGACGGTCTCGGCAGCAGCAGCGGCACCACGGCCTGCAGTACCTGTGCGAACGGCAACGGCAATGAAGGGCGGAGCGGGAGGGAAGGGGGCTCCGGCACTGGCGGGAAGCAGGAGGAGGAGGAGGACGGTGGGGTGGTTGTGGTACGGCAGGAGGATTTCCTAGCTGCACTCGCCTCGCTGACTCCCTCCCTCAGCCGCTCTGAGCTGGCCAAGTATGAGGCGCTGAGGCGGCAGTATGAGGGGGAAAAATTAAATAAGTGAAACAATGAGGGGGAGAGGGAGAGGAAGTAACTGGGCGGCTGACTGCAGGGCGGCGCTGTTGGGGCGCCGTATGGAAGGGTTGCTGTGCGGGGGCTGGTGGGGTGGCTGGCTAGCCTTCAGGAATTATCCCAATTTGCGGACCTCTAGGCTTTCTCTTGGGTTGTCCCTCCTTACAAGAGTAGTAAACCCCGCAACCAAACAGTGTGGACGGGAGAATCCGAACTGCCGCGTTTACGCCCACCAGCAGCCATCGTATTGGGCTACACCATGCATACAAGTTTGGCATCCACCGCTACTGTCCACACCCCTCTTGACCCCTCTTTTCCTATCCTCCTCGTTGCACGATATGCACCTATCCACGATGACAGTAAAGCTGGACATGCTAATTGTTGCCTCCAGAGCACCATGCATGATGCGCAGCAGATGCTGCAGTATGCAGGCAGACCACATCCAATATGCAAGCAGGGTACAGGCCCAGCTGCCCGGATGAACTTCAGCGTGTATCCCATGCTGCCTGGTATCGTGAAAACCACCAGGGTACATCGCCGCTGCCGAACTGCATTCACCGGTAGCTGCACACCATCCAGGATCCAGGAAAATGCCCACACACTATGACACCATGACACCATCCTGTGTTACTCTATGACACCAAGCCTACTACAGGACAGGAGAGAGGCAGCGCGCAAAAGGAAGGCTCACGACTTGGAGGCGGCGGAACAAGGCGGCACTGAATCCACAGCAGCAGCGGAATGGGTTATAGCGGACTGCCGTACTCCAGATGAATGGCGGTGTGCGAGGAGAGAGCTCACGGCAGCAACTGTGTGTGACCTGTTATCATATCGCGACGCAACACCCTAATGAGCAATGTGTCACGACTCACGACTCCTTCACGCGTGTGCAACATCATCAGCACCATCTACTTAAGCGGACATGGTAGGAGGGGGATCTCACCCTAATACCTAGCCATGGGGGAACATGCTGGGCACCATCTTGGTCACGGCGTTAGCAAAGCAATGGGCCACCCCGCCACGAGGTAATCCAAACGCCAACAGGCCATGTACGTACGACATGTGGCGTACGACCACCCGTACCGCAACAGCAACGTGACCAAGGTAGTCGAGAAGCTGCGGCAGTTGGGTGGGTTGTACGGCACACGGCAGCAGTCAACTTAGCGGTTATAGAGTAGGTATTATACGCATCCCCTGCACACCCCCCACTCACAACAGCAACTGCCGCCCCGGCTGCTTGCAGACTTACGGGTCGCGAACAGCGGGGAAACGTACAACCGGCGAGACATGTGGGGGGGCCCTTCCAAGCACGGTGTATGCAATAACACCGCTTTCCACTTGCAGCATCACCACCCCCCGCGACAAGACCCTACACAACAACACGGGCTGAGCTCAGCAAACGTCGGCCCAGCTTCTCCGAGAGTGTGCTTGCTGAAACACCCGCACGGCCTGAGACTTTTTGACAGCATCGAAGGGACGCAACCCGACCAGACCTGTGGACCCAACCCCAACAAATGCAAGCATGGTACAAATGCTGGCCTACAAACCGCAGATCCATCAAGACATCCATAGCAGCAGAAAACGTTACGTTACCGGCGAGACGAGCATCAGCAGCGCCTGCAGCAGCCAGCATCTTAGGTAATCGTCCACCAAGCAACGGCTGATTTGAAACCGGCCTCCCTCCTTGCATGCCCCTCCTTGCATGGCTTTCCAACCGATCCGCATGCATGCCAAAGGGTCCAGGCCCCCCCGGGATGAACGGGCCTTATTCATGTAAACGGCGCATCACGCCTATCACCACACGCCGTTCTCTGTGCTTGCATCATCCAGTTCATCCTCCCTCCTTCCATATCTCAAAAGCAGCATAGCCGTTAAGCAGATAGGCACACTCTGTGATTGTTCCATGCAACGCCGGTGGGCAAACGACGCAGTTCAGTTGGCGTCTAACGACAAAACACACAAGTTCGGAAACACCCTTTCGCTCCATAATTGTATGGTTCAGCTAATCAGTCACGAGGTACTAGTAAGATGCGTTGAGCAGGCCAAGTCAAGACAACGTCGCGTGCGTCCTGTGTAACCCTTTTGCAAAGGAGGAGTACCGCTCTTTGCAAAGCCAACGACGTCAACAGCGCCCAGAGAGACAATGCAGATCCCTTTCCAGCCCCAAAAGCCGAAAAGAACAACAAACGAACAGAGGTTGACGCCCTGCCCGCCCGCCTCGCAGCACATATGCGTAGCTCACAGCCCACCCATCAACACAGTGCACACCTGTAGCGCACATCCCTAGCAGCAGCTAACACTCGCGCCACCACCACCATCACCTCCCTCCTTGGCTCACACGTCCTCGCAGCCCCCCTGTCACACGGGCGTCATACACATTGTCCGCCCACTGCTGCCCAGGACACCATCACCCACAACCGCCCAAACACGCATGTGCTCTCAAACACATCCAAGGTTGAAACGACATCGACAGCATGTCGCCTTGTACCGGTATTCAATGGATTTAACCACTAAACCCGCAGGGATGGTGCATGCAACGTGTTTTCGCCTCCTCTTTATTCTATAGAAAAGAGCTAGCTACAGCCCCACAGTACCTCAAATGATCAACCACCTGCCTACAAAAGCGTACTGCCTGCGCCACAACGTCAGGAACAAGGAGCCGTACATACTCGTACGACATGCTTGGCCGTACAACACCCACAGCGCCCTCCATGCCGCCATCCCATGAACAACTTGCAACCTGCAAATGCCGTCTCTTGCCTTCACCTATCTCCAGCGCTGCTGCTCACAGATCCACCTGCCTAAGAGACATTCACGCCAGTCCACCGCTTTCATTGCTTCTTGCCCCGCCATGTCAGAGCATCACCGCCTAACCGTCATTCAGCAGTGCAGTGCCCTAACTGCCTCTAACCACCACTGCTGCTACAGCAACTGGTTCCACCGCTTCACGCACCAATCACCCAACCATGCTCAACGCTGCTACCAGACATGCACACACGTACAAAAGTACTATTATCAATGTTCGCGAGGTAGAAACTGAGGTGCACCACAAAAGGCAAAAACACAATTGTTTTCTGATGTGCCCGATCCATTCAGTGGTAATCGCTTACGTAACGCTTTTCCGGTACATTTGTTGCTACCAAAACAGGCTGGGGCCAAGCCCTCCAGGATGAAAAATATGCTTCACCCGATCCATTGAACAGCTCTCAGTAACACGCGCTTTCTCGCCAACTACCAAACCGCGTCAGCCAAACCTGGAATAACAGTAAACCCCGAACCCGCCAACCGAACCCCACCCTGACACATGCAGCCCAGATTTTGAAAATCCCCTTGATTACTTCAATACTCCCTATCCTCTTCTACGCAACATCGCCCAAACGGCAAGGCAGCGCCACACTACTTCACGCCCTAAACCACCTTGATACCAATCTTCTGGCCAGCCTTCCAAACGCAACCCCGAGCACACCCAATACCCCCCCGAACTCCTGCCCCACCTCATCCGCCCTCCTCGTCCCCCTCCTGTATCGCATGTTGCCGCAGGTCTTGCAGGGTGTGCCCCGCCGTTGCTGACGAATGCTGCGGTGCAGGCGGCCGACCCTCCTCCCAACCCCCCTGGAGTGCATGCGGGTGTTGCGGCGGGTGCAGTGGCTGGGGATCCATGCCAGCAGAGTAATGCACAAAGTCCGCCCCCTCAGCGGCCTCCGGGGAAGCGGCAAGGGACGCAGCGTATGCTTCGTACGGCAGGACGGTGGCGCTGGAGGCGGACAAGGAAGGGACGTGGCCTGGAGCATGCAGCAGGGAGGGGGAGGCTCCCAATGCGGCGGCGTAGGCCTGCGCATGGGGTGGCAGGTACCATCCCTGCTGCTGCGGTTGTAGCTGCTGCTGCTGCTGCCCGCCACCAAACGGTTGCTGCTGCTGGTGCTGCTGATGTGGGTAGATGCAGGCATGACCCGCGTAGGGGAGCTGCCATTGCTGCTGCTGCCACTGCTGGTGCTGCTGCGGGACCTGCTCCCCCGGGTAGGGCTGGTTCGGCTGCCATTGCAGCTGCGGCGGGTACTGCTGGGAGGCTGCGAGCCGGTATGCCTGCATGGGCGGCATGTTGCCATGATGCTGCTGCGGGTGCTGCTGGAATTGCTGCTGCGGGTGCTGGTAATACTGCTGCTGCTGCTGGGGGTGCTGAGGGTGCGAGAACGAGTGCTGATGCGGGTACGGGTGCGGGAGAGGAAGCGACGGCGAGGGGGCTACGTCCACTAAGGGGTGCTGGAGATGCGGGTGCGGGTGGTCCAGGTAGCCCAGCGAGATGGAGCCAAACACAGGCACGCGAGCGCCGCCTCCAACCACGCAGCCGACGCCAATGCCGGAACCGCCACTGTTGAGGTTTCCGGTGGCACCACCCAGACCGCTGCCACCGCCTGCAGCAGCCGCACCCATGTAGCCCGCACCGCTGGGAAGCACCACCCGCGGTAGGGTGCCAGCGCTGCCGCTGGTGATAACGCCGCCGTTGCTGTAAACTCCGTACCCCGTACCAACATACGGCAAATTCGTCGTACTTGGATCAGCTGCCGTACTTGTCGCAATCACAGTTGCCGCCGCCGCTGCCGCAGCTGCAGCAGCGGGCGTCGTCGGCGGCGGCAGATGGTGCATGAAACCCGCTCCTCCACCTCCCGCAGCTGCAGCTGCTGCCGCAGACCAACCGGATCCCCACCCTCCTCGAGGGGTGCCGACCGGCAGGCTGCTACAGCTCTGCTGCACAGCACTGCCGTACAAGGGGCTGCTAGGCTGCAGCTGTACGACGGCACCTCTCGGCGCCGCCGCCGCCACCGCCGAAGATGCAGATGCCGCTGAAGCCAACAAGGCAAGACGCTCTGTAGCCGCCATGGCACCAGAAGTGTGGCCCGAGATGTGCCCCGCATGCGGGGGGGTATGCGGTGGGATGTACCCGCTTCCCTCGTACAACATAACACCACTGCCAGCACCCCCCACACCGCCGCCATAACTCCTGGGCTCATGCGGCGCTGCATCCATCCCGCCGCCACTCATTCCAGCCGACAGGTTGGAGCCGGCAGCCGGGAAGTACACCGCAGCAGAACCCCCAACCGCAGCCCCCGCAGCGTAACGGTGGTGCACCGGGTAAGCGGCGGAATTCGCCATGACACGGCGTTGCTGTTGCGCCATTGAGAAAGATGCGGATGCGGAAGCAGGCACCAGACCTCCGCTGACGGGGTGCGGCCGTTGCAGCGAGGCACTCCAACTGCGGCCGCTGCCGCCGCTAGCACCCGCGGCAGCAGCAGCAGCAGCAGCCAACATGTCCGCATAAGGACCCATTGCAGGTGATGCCACAGCCGACGTCGACGCAGCCGACGTGGCGTCATAGCCGCTCCATCTGCTGAGGTGCGGAGAGGAAGACGCCGCTGCAGCCGCCGCCGCCAGCGCCGCCGCTGCTGCCTGCGCCTTGCCCTCATTCCGCACGTTTGCCTCAATCACACCCAGACAGTGCGCAATCTTGGTAAACGGCGGCCGCTGTTTCTTGTCAAAGCTTAAACAGGCCTGCCCCAGTTTCAGCAGCATGGGGTGCGTGTCCGCGGGCCAGGCCAGCTGCAGCTCCCCGGTGCACACCCCCACCCACAGCCGTCCCGGGTGCACGTCCGAAAAGGGGCGCTGCCCGCTCGCCAGCTGCCACAGTATGACACCAAAGCTGTACACGTCAGCCGCGGGGCACATGGAGCCGTTGAGCACCTCGGGAGCCATGTACGGCAGCGTGCCGGTGGCGTCCGTGTCGCACTCCAGGGCGCCTCCGCCTCCCCCCCTGTCGCCACTGCGGGACTCCAGCTGCAGCACCTTGGACAGCCCAAAGTCGGCGACCTGGGTCAGGGGGCGAGGGCGGGGGCAAGGGGCGAGGTGAGGAGCGCAGTCCTCTGTGATGGACTAGCCAGTTACCGGAGACTACCATGCAGCAGCCGTGTCGTGTACCTTGTGGTGCCGCATGTCAGGTCGTGCTACCCCAACAACCCCCCCCCCTTTCCTTCCTTCGCTCCCACCTTGGCTATGAAGCCCCGCCTGTCGGATCGGCTGCTCCGAAGCAGCACGTTGCCTGGCTTGAGGTCGCCGTGCACGATCTGGCTCGCATGCAGGTGGCACATGCCCTGGCAGGGAGAGGGTAAGGAGGAGGGTAAGATGAGGTGGTAGCCCGAGGGAAAGGGCAGATGGAAAGGTCAGCAGCAGCAGAGGTGGTGAGAGCCAAAGTATGGTCAACGCATGAGTTGAGAGCATTGGGGCGCTTTCGGGCAGTACGGCACTCCCCCACCTGGGCCACCTCTCTCGCCGTACGCAGCATGGCCCGCAGCGCCACCCGGGCTGTCCAGCGGGGCGAGGCGCGGAAGAGGTTCTTGTCGATGGCGGACTGCAAGCTGCCTCGATCGCAGTACTGCGCGGGGTGACAGGGCAGGAGAGGGAGGGGGAAGACATGAGCAGGCGGTGGGAAATGCGCTCCATGTGATGGCGTTACAATGTGAAGACAGGGGCTACCTGCTGTGGCAGCGCCTTCTCCTACTACCGGTATAGTGCTACTGGCCGCGACCGGTGTGTCAGTGTCAGCTCTGCAGCTGCTTAGTTGCTTGGACCCGCACGCACACGCACACGCACCTCCATGATAATCTGCGTGAGGAAGTCCCGCGGCTTGGCCTTGAGCTGCCGCAGCAGCTGCCGGTACTGGGCCGCCAGGCCGTGCGAGGGCTTCAGCGCACGCGGGCTGTGCGAGGAGCCCTCGTCGTCTTCACCCAGGTACGGAGCTCCGAAACCGTCACCGCTGTGGAAGGACTCCAGCCCACTCCCTTCAACCGTCAAAGGCGGAGGCGGCTCCTGCATGACCGCCACAGCAACCTGCTGCGGCTGCGGCTGATGACCCATGGGCCGGTCCTCTTGCGCAACCACAGACTCCTGCGCCTCACCGCCACCGCCAATGACCTCATCCGAGCGCTCCCAGCCCGTCCCCACCAGAATGGTTGGTGTGGCGCATTGCGGCCCTGCCACTCCGAAACCCGGCTCTTGTTCCAGCAGCTGCGGTGATGGCAGCTCCAAAAGCGAAATACCCTGCTTCCCCTGCCCATGCCCTTGTCCTTGCGTTTGCAGCACCGGCACCGGCAGCGGGTTGTGTAGCCTCTCCGCGGATGCCGACTGAGAGCGCAGCCCCACTCGCCCCGCCCCTCCGATCTCCCCTAGCTCTGCATGCTGCGACAGCAACTCGTCAGCAGAGTGCGGAGCACGCAGCGACACACTGGGAGCGAGCGGCAGCGGCGTAGACTGCTGCTGGTGGTGGTGGTGGTGGTGGTGGTGGTGGTGTGGCTGCAGTGGCTGCTGCTGCTGCGGGTGGTGGTGGTGATGGTGGTCCCCAAATGACGCCGCGGTGATCAACGTAGCCATCACAGTAGCCGTCATCTCAACAGTGCTGTTCACACCACCAGGCGCCATCGCTTGAAACGCCGCCGATTCCGGCTTGGACTCCAGCAGGAAGGCCGCGGTGGCGCTGCATGTCACCGTCCCCAGGCTCCTCGGTCGGGGAGTGGCAGGAGGGAGATGCTGCTGCTGCTGAACGGCGGTTGCAACCGCGTCGCTGTCGCTGTCCCCAGCGCAGGCAACTTGCAGCACTCGGTTGCGGTCCGGGACGGCATCACCTCGCTGAGTCCCTACCGAGTCGCTGTCGGCGATCCCTCCTCCTAGTATCCGCGACCTTGACCTCGACCCGCACCGCGACCCCGCTGCTGCTGCTACTTCAGCGCTGGCTGGTGCAGACATGTCGGGTGCATGCGAGGTGCCTGGGTCAGCAGCGCCAACAGCAGTGCCGCCTGCTCCTCCTCCTTCGGCCTCATCGCCTGCACAACTACTGGCGTCGGTTTGACCGGAGGCTGCGCTGGCAAGGAGTTGGACCAGGTAGCGGGTCAAGGCGGCTTCTGGACCGTCTCCGCTGCCCCCATAGCCCCTAGACGCCTCGCCTGCCGGGCTCTGCTGCTGCGGCGGCAGCACCGCCGGCTGCAGCAGCAGCTGACCGGAAACAGCGCGCCCCGGGAGTCCGCTGGCGCCTCCTCCTGGCTCACTAGGGAACTGCCGCGAGTCGCCCCGAGCGGCAGCAGCAGCAGCACCGTTCGAGTCCCCGGAAGCAGGGGCAGCAGCAGCAGCACCATGATGCTGGTGATGCTGGAGGTGGTGGTGCGGCAGGGAGGGCCGCTCCTCCTCAAAAAAATCTGGCGTGAGCTCCACCACCTTGCACGCAAATGTCTGCATGCACAAGGAAACAACTCCATTAACCCCACAGTAACTCCATTACCCCACCCCGGGCCAACCGGGGAGCCAACCACTAGCCTTCCCAATACTTGGAACCCAATGCATTACCCCACCCCTTAGTACAACCATCATTATCACACTGTAACCCCACCCCTATTCCTGCCCCACCCCACCCCCCCATGAGTCGGGCTATGGGATTGGGACTCTAATTGTTTGCATTTATTATATAATTTTTTAACCCCCACCTGCACCACGTTGGGGTGCGCCAGCAGCTTCGACAGCAGTGCCTCCGTGGCGCTGATCTGCAGCTGCTGAGTGGAGGAGGCCACCAGGTACTTGCACGCCACCGCGGCGCCCTGCCACACGCCGCGGTACACCACCCCGTAGCTGCCCTGACCCACAACCTCCAGGTTGGCAACCTGCAGGGGGGGAGTGAGGAGGGGAGTGGAAGGCAATGGGGAGAAGCGAATTGAGGGAGAAGGAATGTCATTGCAACGCAGCTCTCGCCCTCGCAGCAAGACGCGACACGCAGAGCGACAAATCACACCGGTTGGGAGAATCCACAAACCAACGTTACTTCCAGTAAGCGGAAGGGGTTTCGTTCATGCAGAAGCACGCGATGCTGGAAACGCGCCCAGACCGCATCCTCCCGCCCCGCCCACCTCCTCGTTCCCTCACCTCAATCGGCCGGCATCCCACACCCTGCTGCTGCTCCGCGCTGAGCTGCAGCCTCAGCTGCTCCACCGCCGAGGTGCTCACCGCGCCCGTCTCAGCGCTCAGCACGCTGGACAGACCCGTGGGCGGCGACTGCTGCCGAAACGTGTCACTCGACACCGGGAACGGCGGGAAGCCGCAGCCGCCAGCGGACGTAGCGGTAGCAGCAGCCCCGCCGCCGGCGGCCCCGCCGCTCCCTCCGTACCCGTGGTAGCCGGGGTTGCTGTCGGAGAGGATGGACGCGAGGATGTCCTGACCGGTTCCGGAGCCCGCGGAGCCCCCATTGTGGAGCGCGAGACCAGGGGTGGGAGGCGAGGGGAAGGGCCGCGGATCGGTGGTGGAGGGGGTGATGCCGGCCGCGATGGCTGTGGCGGGCAGCACGGGGAGCGGAGTGGAGGCGAGCTCCACGCCGCCTGTGTTGTGGATGCTGCAGGCGGTGGTGAAGGAGCTGTGGGCGCTGGCGAGGCATGGGGCGCCAGCAGCAGCAGCGGCAGCGGCGGTGGTGGTGGCAGTAGCGGAGGAGGAAGGAGGAGCGGCAGGGCCAGCGGAGGTGGCGGAGGTGGTGGCTATGGAGGAGCGGTTGAGGAGTAGGGGTGGAGAGGGGGGCTGCTCGGATGCGAGTAAAGGGGGTCGGCTGAGCAGGGAGGGCTTGTGTGTGAGCCGGCCTGATGAGATGGAGTGTTTAAAGATGGAACGGCCGGCAGCTGGGGAGTCGGAGTCGGAGCCAGTTTGGAAGGCGAGGTTGAAGGTGGGAATAAGTCCGGTATCTGAGGACTCGGGTGCAACTCCGACAAGGGAAACCGAATTGAGGGGTAGTGGAGGGCAGGATGGACGAACTGTAGCCTCCTGGTCTCTCAAGAGCGAAGCGTTTTGGGCCCGCTCGCTGGATGGAGTGTTGTAGTCATCCGAATCAGAACTGGGGCTTGTGCCGATCGCCTTGATGGATAGTGACCTGTCAGGTCCACCGCTGCAACAGCGCGTGCTGTCGGTAGCCTGGGATGGGCGTTGCTGCTTGCGAAGACGAAGCCATCCAGTTTGCTCCTTCCGGTTCAGAGATGAAGTAGATAGAGCGGAAACCGGCTGACCTACATCCTTTTTGCGGCTCGGGCGCTTGGCATTGGCTGCAGAGGTCGTGTCTGCCCGCGAGCCAGCAGCAAACCATAGCGCAAGAGGTAGGCAGCTGCAAGAAGCTTGGGAAGAAGAATCCAACTCTTCATCCATTGCGCTCAAACTTCACCAGCTTCCTGCCATGGCTCCGGCTGAACGAACAGCCGGTCACCTAGCAGCAAGTCGCTGAAGTCACGTCTGCATATATATGCGGCGCTAAGACACCCCTAGCTGAGTATAACCAAACTATCACGCCAGAAGGCTCGTCGCTGCAAAGTGGCGCTTGTCAGTCAAGCTATTTATGCAAGGGGCAACCTAACAGGGCTAATGCAAACGCATACGGGGTTTTGTTACAGTACTTTCTTCCAACCCTGCTGCGCTTTGTAGGCGATACCAGCTTTGCAGGCCACTACTTGTGCGCGTTATGTTTCCTTGAAGCCTGCCAAAAAAATGTAAACCACGATTCTTGCGCTAAGTGCGTCATATAACACAATTGAGTCTAATCAGTCTATGTGTCTATCAAGGTCCAAGTACGGAGCTGTACAACAAGTCTCGGGGAATTTTTTTACCTACACCTCGCACTGTGCAATGCGCTTAGTGCAATGTTAACAGGCTGTGCCGACTGCAGTGCCTTGCCGATACAGTACGAGTTCTAGGCGTCTGAACGCTCAGAACGTGGCCACCGAACGCTGGGATAACTAGGCAGGCTGCAGGATCTCACATAACTTCATAGTCACCATTCCTGTAACTATTGCTGCAACCTACCTCCACCTCGCGACGTGGTTCTGGGACACGATGGAAGTAATGAAGCCTGCAACTGTGCAGAGGCTCGTAGGCTTCGGCGCGGGCGCCATTGCGGCGTCGCTGGTGTACATTTCGACGATGCGACTCGTGTGGCGTCAAACCTCGGAGGTTGCTCAGCAGTACGGAGCACCGTCCCCGGAAGCCTACGTAGTAGAGGAGCGGCCACTCGTTGGCCCCAAGACCTGGGCCACGCTGACCCGGAAGTGGAACCAAGGTGTGGACGCCACTGTAGGCGCGTTGGCTGCCGAGCTTGCAAAGCGAGGGCTCTGAGACGGGGTGTGGACAGTGGTGGGTTTCATGGCGGCATCTAGGCCGCAGGAAAAGAGTGAGAGCTTGCCGATAGTTGCCGAGGCGTCTTGTTTCCCCTATAGCACATGTACATTGGCAACCTCGTAATGGTTACCCTTGGCGTGGCTTTGGGATGCCTTCTGGGGGGGCCTAAGCTGGTACGACAGGGGTTACGAAATCCCTACCTGTTTATGCACAGTGTGACTCATCCTGTTGCACCATGCGCACGGGTCAGGGCTGGTAACTGCCCCTAGGCCTATGCCCAGTTATGAGGACAGCTGTGTGTGCGTGAGGCTTTACTGTGGGAGGCTTTGCTGTGTGCAGCCTTGGACGAACCACACAGCGCGTGTGGGGGGCTGAAGCCTGGAATGATGTAAGGTTGTCGCTGCGGTTTGCATCTCTGCTCTAAAGATAGGTGGGCCCGTATGGCCACTTTAGGCAGTAACTTTACAGTCCCGGTAGTAAGTGCTAGCGATGATGCCTGGGCTTGCGTGCATGCCGCTCCATGTACGAAAGGTTGCTGAGATTGGACTGGGGTTACGGTGATAATGATGGTGGATGGAGAATGGAGATCTCAGGGGAGGTAGATGGGTGGGCGAGAAGAATTGTAATATAATATACCTCGGTTGAAACCCTTCATGCTCTAGAGAAATGCACGCATGAACCCAGGGTAAACCTTTACTGAGCCAGGTCCGCCAGGACAGGCAACAGAAGGATAGTCCCCCAGCAAACATGTACACAGCACATCGTCTTATAACAACCCACGTCCAGCAATCTGCCCTCTGATAGCAAGATAGCATCTCTCTTACAATGAACGTGGCAGCGCCCAAACCGTCCACATTTACAGTTTGCCACCTGCCCAACTGCAAAACCTAGCTGCCCACAAAACATTACAAAGTCGAAGGACTGGGCAGACCTCCCGTTACCCTGAGTCAATCGAACGTCAACGTTGAAGGTCAAGCCTCCTGACAGTGTTGGTACAATTGGGCCACAGGCGTCTCTCCGTTTGGACACGAGTTCTGCGGCCCTAGCTTCTCCGTACCGTCTCTTTCATGATCTGACAAAGGCGATCGTCAGCCTACCCGACCATCATAACTTAATCCTATCAAGACACTTTCGAGGAGCCCCTGACCCACATGACAATGACTCCGCGCTGTGGTCCATCTGTGTCTACCAGTCCATGAAAACGTTGTCTTCCCGTGTCCCAGCCCAACTCCTAGGTCGCAAACCGTCAGTCCGGCATTTCCTGAGAGTGGATGAGCCTAGCAGAGACACCAAGTCAGCACACCCGTATGCGCCCTTTGCAAAGTCCATATGTACAACGCGGCAACGCTGCTAGGTGAAGACGCGCGGTAAAACCCGCGTCACCGACCAACGCCACCTAACGTTGCAATGCCAAACCAAGCCTCTCTCGTCGGGTTATATGAGAAGCGTGTGTCAATGTCCCAGACACGTCTGCTGCGAGCTGTTGAACAGCTGAATGAAAAGGGTTCGGGCAAGTGTGCGTCAAACCGATGCCAAACCAAGGGCCGAAGCCACAGCCACCTAAAACGAAACCCACTACAGCGCAAATCCTCTTGGCAGCAGCCATATGAATGGAAGCTATTTCGGAAGCGCTGCTTTAGGAGAGCAGAGCCTACAGCTATTACGTTAAGCCGGATGCACGCGTGTGGGTTACGCCCAAGCCCACGCCGGCATGGGCATCACAGCCGCAGCAGCAAGCATTCCTGCTTCAGATCTGCTCTGACGCCACCGACCCGGCCGCTCGCCGCCGTGGCATGCCGGCAGCCCACAGCTCATGCAGAAGCCGGAAGCGCGTGGCCGTGAAGGCGCCACCGGCGGGAGGCGGCGTGATGGAAGCAACCCCCGCTCCGGCCGAAGACTTGGCAACCACCTGCATTGGGGTTTCGCGGAGCATGCGCTTCAGGCCTGTACTGTGTGCCTTTCTGCTGCCACTCACAGGGCAGGCTTTGGCTGGAATGCGGGCCTTGCAACAATCAACAAGCATGCAAGACAACATCCAACGAAGGCGGCCAAAAGCGCTCAGAAGACGTAGCCGCCCAGTCGCTCACCTGCGCCAACTCCTCCAGCTCATCCTCGCTGTCCGCATCGTACTCAAGCCCCGGCTCGGAGCCCGCCTCCACGCCGCGCAGGGCCGCCGAGTCGGGCGGCGGCACGTAGCCGCTGTGCAGGTCGGCGGCGGCGGAGCGCAGGTGGATTTGTGGCAGTGCGGCGTCGTCCTGCAGCGACTCCAGGATGGCGGGGCTGATGCAGTCCTGCGCGAATTCGTCCGGCTGCGGGAGGGGGAGAAGGAAAGAAGGGACGGAGAAGAAATGAAAAAGGGAATGTTTGGGGTCAGTGCAGGTGTTGATCGCGAAATGGGTCAGGTCGACAGGTACTGTTAACAAGGCGGTTTGGTGACTGACAACATGTACGGTTCACTAGAAGCGGCCGCCCCAAGCTACATACAGCACACGGAGGGCGTATAGCAACACCCATTGCGATGCCCCTCTCTCCGCCGCCCTCCTCCTCCTGTGCTAAGAAGCTCCAGTGTCCGCCCACCTGGAAGCGCTGCAGGATGTGCAGCACGGAGCGCATGGACAGCGCTGCGCCCACGTCCAGCCGCACCGCCCGGTCCAGCAGCAGCTCCTTGGGCATCATCAGCAGGTCCGCAGCCGCACGCAACAGCGGGAACAGCGGCCCCGTGGAGGAGGTCCCGGCAGCAGCGCCACCGACACTGCCGGCAGCAGAGCCGCGGTCGGCGCCATTGGCGCTGGCCGGCGCATCCCCTGCCAAGGAGCCGCCGGCGCCTAGCGCGGCCTGCCCCGTCGCCCACTGTTGTAGCCGAGTGACCGTCATCTTGACGGACATGCCGCCGCCAAACGTCAGCACGCCACGCGCAAAGGGCAGGCTGCTGTCATCCAGCTGTGGGAAGCTGCTGGGGCTGCCGGTCATGCCACCCGTCATGATTCCATGTGGGTCGTAGTCCGCCAGCAGCTCCGCCACGCCGGGCTGCTCCACACCGCCCAGCAGGTGCACGAAGAACAGCAGGTCAACACGTTTGAGGCACTGCAACAGCACCTGCTGCCGCAACAGCCCGCAGTGCCCGCCGGCGCCTCCCACCTGCCGCGCCAGGGCGCTGCTCACCGCCTCCAAGCCCTCAAACCACTTTTTGATCGCAGCCTCCTGCTGTGCGCGCCTGGTGATGGCGGTGGAGGCTCGCGCCGGCCCGTCCTTGGCAGCCGGCCGGCCCGACAGCCCCGCAACTGCGCCGTTGCCCAGGACAGAGGGCAGCAGCACGCAGCCCCACATGCGGCTCAGCATGTCCTCAAAGATGGAGCGCTCCAGGCGCCGCAGGTCGCCAACCAGCGCCGCGGCGGCCCAGTGCTCGCCGCAGCTGCCGCCGCTGGCGGCGCCCATGGCACCCGAGGCAGACGACAGCATGCCCGTAGCGGCGGCCAGCGACAGCCCCGTCAGCATGGCGCGCATGTGCACCGCATTGGACCACCAGTACGACAGCACCTCCAGCCCCTCGCGCGCCGTCGCCACCTGCGCACGCACGACCCGCAGCGCCGATGCTGCAAAGGCGGGACCGTCTGAGGGTCCCAGGCACAGAACCGTTCGGACCAGTCGCCGGGCAGGGGCGTGGGAGGCACGCGTTCCCGCGGCCCCAGTCATCTCCGCCCTGCTTGCCGTCGAAATAGCCGCTAGCGAGCCAGCGGCTGAGACGCTACGAGCGACGTTTGCGCCGGTGCCGGCGACACTGGCCTCACTCTTGGGTGGCAGGCCGGCGCCGTGGGGTCTGCGGGCCAGGTAGACGGCGGCCTCCAGGGCTGCGGCCGTGAGGAGCTCGAAGCGCAGGGCCACTAGCAGGTCGTTATCGGAGGCGGAAGCTGCCGCGAGGCTGATGCCGCTTCCGGCGGCACGCAGGGAACCCAGTGACCTGAGGGGTGCGGGGTTACGAGAAGGGGTGAGGAGTAATGAAAAGGATGAAAAGAGGTGGCTTGAGGACACGCTCAGGGGAATCAGGGCAGCATAGGAAAGTGACCAAAGGCAAGGAAGTTTGAATTGTTCTGTCACGTGCTCCTTTTGTTTCCTTGAGCTTACCGGTCTGCATCTACACCCGAGCGCCTGGCGACCCCTCCGATGCTGCCGTTGGAGGCCAGCGGGGCGCTCTCCACGGCGTCCATGCGCTTAGGGCTTGGAGAGCTGGGAGCCACGCTGCGCACAGGTTGAAAAGGAGCATTTAAAGATGTGTTAAGACGGCTGGGGTCGATTCCCCGTCCCGTCCCAGGTACTCACTACTTGTTCCTTGTCGCATGCGCCTCCCGCAGGCTCATGCCCATGACGCCAGCCTCCAACGGCCCTCCGCTGCCACCTCCGTCGCCAAAGCGCGATGAAACGTGAGGGCTGCGAGGACTTCACGAGGCAAGAAACGGGATAAGTAGGACAAAGCGGAACGTACGCCATGCCAACAAAGTGCAACCAATCCTTCTTTGCCAACAATTCCAGACCCCCCCTGTTTTCAGTCCCAATTCCCCATGCACCCAGTCTCACCTGGGATCCATGGCCCCCATCGCGCTGCTGGTGGGCGTGAGCTGCTTGTTGATGCTGGTCTGCGGCGTGAGGCTGCGGCTGCCTCCGGGGGTGCTCAAGGGGGCGAACACGGGCTCCGCGGGCTCGTCGTGGGACTCCTGAAAGGCAGGCGACCCAGATGGGGGCATGCCCCCGCATGCGGGATAAGAGAAACGAAAGGGACACCAGGGTGGAAAAACCCGCCAAGCACCAAGGAGCCGGGTGCAATGCGACTCTTCGTCCTATGCACCATGCACCTGCCCCAGAGCCACGAGCCTTCCTCCATGTTCCCATCCAATGCACCAACCAGCCCCCGGCGCACCTGGATCGTGTCCATGAGCTTGGGCAGCCCCGGCGGCAGCTCCCCTGCCGTGCTGGTGTTGCGCCCTCCTGCACCGCCGCCCGCATGCGGCCCAGCGCCCCCTGCGGACTCAAAGCCTCGCAGGTCCTGTTCCTCGTTGAGAGGCGCCATGCCCTTGCCCGTGAACTTGAATCGCAGGAAGGAGCTCAGGTTAGCCGTCATGCGGGAGCCTAGGGGTGGCAGGTAAGGTGCGAGAAGGGAGGGACAGCAGGAAAGTAACAATGGTGTTGGAGTGTGTAGCGCAACATACTGACATAACATAACCCTGCTTCTTCATACGCCTAGCATCTTCCGGTGGCCCTCCTCGGCGGGCTACTGCACAACAAGCATCTTGCGCGCCCTTGGTGAGCCCATCACACCCTCACCTGTTGTATCCGTGCTCATGGAGGCTGTTTCATCTGGAAGACCTGATGCGGCTGCCCCCGGCCCCTCACGTGCCAGCTTCTTCCATCGACATCTGTGGACAGCAGCACATGTGCAAATGCGCAATGAGATGCCGCTTCCTAAGCGGAGGTGGGCACGCTGACGGGGTATATCCCGGGTGAGCTAAGCCACGGCAGCTTGTAAGTTGTGAGGCTGGGGCATGGGGTTCCCTGCTCCGGGGTCCTTCCTTACAAACATCGCTGTCATCTCGTCATACACGGCGCCTAAGCGATGAAGGAGTAAGGCATGCAAGCACTTGCCTGATGGTTACCATAAGCTGGGGGTCGCCGACGGCTGCATGGATGGCTTTGTTGCACGACACCATGAAGGTGCGCGTCTCCTGATGCTCGATCGCTGCGTACTCTGACAAGTCGATGACGACGCGCCCCAAAGCGGCAGTGGCTTGTGTTCGGCCATCCGTCTCCAAAACGGCGAGGATCAGGCATTTCTTTTTAAAAGGGCCAAGGCCCCCGCTGCCAGATGAGCCACTATTTGACTACAGGGAGAATAAAGAAAGACGGTATAAAGATGAGCGATACGAAAAGCACGTAACGTGCCAGTCAGCTGCGGTTGGACTGGCACTACGGCCACGCCTACCTTGTAGAGCGTCACCGGCATGTCAAACCGCTCGTTGATGCGAACGACGGCCCCCAGACGCCCAGGTTGCCTGGATGGATACACCGAGCGTGTAGCGCCCCTGCGCCTCTTGCCGCGCTGATATCCAATTGCAATTGCGCGTGCTCCCTCCGGCCATGGTGCCAAGTTATGGACCACAATGGAGAACTCAAACCGGGTAGCGCTAAGCTTTTGTTTGACTTTTGACCCGAACGAAAACATTGTCACCGCATCCCCAAGGCCAAGTCAAGTCAAAGCGTTGCTACCTGGTATGTATGTCAGTAGTATGTAAAGCCTTCTATAAAGATCTCATCCGAAGTAAAGGGAATGGGCGCAGCGTAGGCGTCTTGGACGAGTCTGAGCAGATTGCCAACTACAGTACCGGTATACAACTCCAGCCAAAACTTATTGCCGCCTCAACGTCTTCTTCAAGCCATACTGAGTTTCCTGCTGTATCTCGGAATTTAAGTTGAACCCATGTTGCAACTGCCCTTCCCTAAACTCCGCGTTCTATCAAGACCGTCAGTTCTGGGCACCATGCTCCAGTGTTTTCTAAGAGAGCATCGGCATGATAAGGAATATGAAGTTTGTAGCTCGCTGTTCAGCCTGCGCGGCGTAATGCTCACCGGGAGCGGCGCGGTCACGGCTGAGGTCAAGTCCTGGGTCAAGTCTAGGGTCTTGTCCGGAGTCCAGGGGAATGGGAAGTCCCACTTGTACACACCACATTGTTTCATCTTGTGGAAAAATGCTATGGCTGGCTGCACTTTCATGCCTTGACGCGACGCAGCTTTGGCTGGTGCTGTGCAGGCAACCTTAGCGTGCTTATCGGCTACGACACTGGCAACGTGCACTGCGGTTATACTTGCCCACCACCTTCCATAGAAGCATACCGATGGCTATACATGCTGCTGGGCTCCCTACAACACTACCCTGATGCACATGTCCCTGTGCACTCACAAAGTCAAACCAAGGGTGCGGAAAACAAGCAATACTTGACCAGCAGTTTCCGGTTATACTGTCAACGGGAATGATCCACACTTACACTTCAACTGGGGCAAGGTGCTGGCCGTTTGGTACATTGCCTTGCGTGCATGGCATGCAAAGACCGTGTCGAGACCCAGGGGTCACCCTGTTTACATACCGGCGTTCAGCCACCAATACCACCAGGCATTTCCCCAGAATGCCCGAGTAGGGTTTACGTGCTGATTGGGCCGGCTGCCTCCCGCTGTAGTAATCCTCCCTGGCTATTAATCTGCACATCCGTACGGCACGCAAAAGTGCACAGCCACGCCAAGAAAACCTTCAGACTCCTCTGCCCCCACCGCATGGCGACCCAGCCCCCACCGGTACTACCAGTAACGGTAGTAAGCAAGTCTGGGTCCGCCTTACACATACAGGACAGCATCTGGCTATCAAAGGTGCTGCCTACAAAGGTAGCCAGTAGCCATATGCTGAAGGCTGCACCATTTTCTTTCCCTCCGCTGGTTTCTTGGTGGTCTTCCTGTCCTTCCTCTGTAACAGTCCACATCGGAAAAACAAACCAACCCAGTGTATCAGTAACGCTCAGCGCCACCTACCCAGCACCCTGCTGTTTCAGCTGCTCCGAAGGCGGCAGCGCACCGGAGCAGCCTCCCTGAAACTACACCGGAGCAGCCTCCCCGCAGACGCCCTCCTCCTCCTGCAGTGCCAGCTGCACCAAGCGGTGGAGCTCCTCCTCCATCAATCCGTACCGGGCTATCAGAGCGCTCCTCAGCTCGCCAGCAAGCGCAGGCCTGCTCTCACTCGAGCCTTCCACGGCTGAACCCTCCAAACCAACCCCCTGCGAGTCATTTTTGCGAATGTCCGTGAGAAGCTGGCAGGTGGCAACTGCAGACTGGCTGAAAGCTGCACAGTGCTGTGTGCAAAGAAAACTGGCCGCGAGGAGAAACGTACTCGCGTGTGTTAAAATAACTGGCCGCGAGTAGGAACGTACTGGGATGTCGGAAGATGAAGTCAAAGCAGCACAGGCAGCAGGGCGGCGCCGGTGGCTGGCCTCAGTGAGACTGCGACATACTACATACAGGATGCAGACCATGCAACATGGCATTGATGCAACATGCATTTGACATGACAGATTCCCCTCACACGCATGTGTACCGTGTCCTAACACCAAAGACGGCACCAGCATGTGGCACCCTGTGAAGCAGCATTCGAATTGAAGCACCTGCTGCTGCTGCTGCCACTGCTGCCCCCTCCTCCTCCCCCGCTGCTCTTCCCGCGTCACCCGGGCGGCCAGAGAGAGGTGCAGTGAGGTGCCTGGTGCCACCGCCGCCACCACCTGTTTCGCCGTACGCCGTAGGATATAACAACGTTGCCGTACAGCTGGGGTGAACTACCAAAGTGGTTATCAAGCAACAAGCAAATATCCAACGCTGTCTGTTGGCGTCGGGCGCATTCACGTTGATTTAGTGCGCCGAACGAGGGGAGGCAACACGCACGAGTACAGTTAGCGGGAGGTGGGAGCTATCCGTGTTATGAATACACTGGTACATACGCGACGCGACACACAGAGGACGCGCACTGGGAGCCTTGGTAGGGCCCAAGTTAGCGCCTTGCACACGCACCACCAACCTCAAGGCACGCTTGCAGGGCCCTCAACACTTGGACGTCACAGTCATGCAGAATGCTTTCCGCGATCCCGTCTCTCTTGCGACTCCTTGCCGGCATTCCTGCGGACAGGGACGAACAAAACTTGAAGGCAGGCAAGACATACTACGTACCCGCAGCTTCCCATCCGATCTCCAACCCAACCCCATGCCACACATGAGCACTCTCCTCCCTCCGATCCCCTCCTTCCTCCACTCCTACCCGCTAAAGCCCCGCCGGACAGCGGCCGCCATCCCCGCAGCAGCAGCAGCCCCACCGGTACTCCCGCCGCCTCCCGCAGCAACTCCGCCAGGCTCGCCCGCAGCTCGTAGGCATCGTACACGCTGGCCCGCACCCACTGTCGATGCCGCTGCTGCTGCTGCTGCTGTTGTTGTTGGTGGTGGTGCTGTTGATGTCGCAGCTTCAGGGCTGGCAGCCGGGCGGGTGCTGCATGTCCGGCTGCTGCTCCACCGCTGGCTTGCGCCGACCCCATGAGTGCCCCATCAATCGCTGCTAACTCCGCCGCCATCCGCCTATCCAGCCGTATCAACTCCTGCCGTACCGCCAACACCTGCAGTACGGCATCAGCGAGCCTGACAGCCCTGGCGGCGGCGGAGCTGAATCCGATTGTAGCAGCCTCAGCTGCACTTGCTACTGCTGCCATGGCTGCTGCTACTGCCGCTGTCGGGGCCGTCGTCTCATCAGCTGGTGCAGCTGCTGGTGCTGGTGCAGCTGCTGGTGCTGGTGCTGATGGGGAAGTTGAAGGCGACAATGACTCAACCTCATTCCGTGCCAGTACGGCAGTCACACTTTGCAGCTTGTCTGCCAAAACCCCGACCTGCGGGGTTTCCTCCGATAAACTACCGGTAAGTAATCACTCGGCATTGTGCTAAACATAGCACGGTTTGCATGCATCAGCAGGAGGAGCGCCAATACACCAGTGGTGTTCCCCACCTACCTGCGGCCCCCACATGTTGTTCACTCTGTCGTACAGCCGCTCCAAGGCCGCTTCCACGGGCGGCCCCAGGGATGCCTCAAAGGTGCAGCGCTCGCAGGCGCAGCGGAAGGCGTGTGTGCGCAGCGTGGCCGTCTGCCGTACGGATCTGAAAACGTACGGCATACAACATACAAGTGAAACGCATGCGGATATGTGTACCTGTATCTGTGTGCAAATCCATGCGGACGGGTGTGTTATACGTAACATACATGCGGATATCCGAGCAAGCGGATAGCAACAGATGGCAGCAAATAGCAGCAGCAAGAGACGCATCCTTGCGTGTTAAGATAACTGGCCGCGAGGCGGAACATACTGTGATTGACGGAAGATGTGTGTATCCTGATCTGCCAGCAACATACACAGGGTCGTACCGGGGCGCCAACAGCTCCCGGCCAAAGTAGCACACCGTCACCTGCGACACACGGCACACGGCACACGGCACGGCGGGTTGCAGGTGGCAGGGGGCTGCAGCGGTAAGCTGGTAACAGACAGGGATTCCGGCAGAAGAAGAGTCCATGCTACCTAAAGATCGCCTGGGGGGTCCGCCATGATTCCCGATCCGCCAACCAGCCTAGCGATTGTGTGTGGGATGTCTGCCATGGCACTTCAACCCAACCCACCCAGCACACAGCACAGACAGTGCGCGCCTACCCCAACAAGCTCGAGGCCGCCACCTGTAGCCGACACCACCCCTCCCGCGGCCTCTCGCGCTCCCCGCCGCGCCGACCAATCCATACCACCCACCCACCCACCCACCTCCTCCCAGAACCCACCATTCGCACCTCCTCCCCGCACCCACCCACCTCCTCCCCGGCGCCGATGTCCCGTGTGGCGCGCACCAGCATGCGCCTCCTCGGACCCCCCACCAGGTTAATCGTGCTGGGGCAGCAGGAGTGGTTAAGGAACGCAAAGTCAGCCCACAGGCCCATGAAACCCCCTGCCGCTGTCGTACCGCCATCATGAAGCGCTGTCGTACCGCCATCTCCCTCCCGGCGCTGTGTAGAAGCACTCGCTAGAAGCGGCAGCTTCTCTAGCAGAGGGTCCGGGAAAGGCTCTCCGTAGCAGTTGAAGGCGATTGCAGCGGCGTAGCTGCGCTGTTGCTGGCGTGCTGCTGCTGCTGCTGTCACTGCTTGCCGATCAGGGCTTGCTGCGCACGTTGCTGCTGCTGCTGCAGTTGGCTCCGCGGCACCCGCAGCGGCGGGCGAAGAAGAAGGCACCCGCAACCCCGGCAGCCCCTGCGCCCGCTGCACGGTACCGTCTGGCAGCAGCCACCCGCGCAGGCAGCCCTCCTGGGGCGGCGGTGACAGCTCCCGTAGCTCATACAACATCCCCACCGCCGCGGCTGCTGCTGCTGCTGCTGCATATTCGGGCTTGGCGACTGGTTGCTGCTGCTGCTGCTGCTGCTGTTCCGTCGGCAACGCCACGCTACCGGCGCAGCCTTGAACTCCAGCGTTATCACCTCTGCCTCCGCAGCTGCCGCCGCCGCCATGACTGCCACCCGCACCGCTGAAGAGTGCCTCCAGCCGCTGCAGCTGCCCCTGGCTCAGGCGGCAGGTGGCCAGCAGCCGCACCAGGTCCGCGGGGCTGGGCTGTTGCGGTTGCTGCTGCTGCTGCGGTTGCTCAGGTTGCTGCTGTCGTTGGTGCTGCTGTTGCACAGAACTGTTACGTAGTAGTCCTTTCCTAACATCTGGTGAGGCAGGGTTCCCCTCCACTCCACCTCCTGCGGCCCATCCACCGTTTGCCTCTACCGCTACCGCTGTTGCTGCCGCCGCTGTTACCCGGGCTGCTGTTACTGCTGCGGGTGTTGTTGTTGCTGCTGTTACCGCCTGCAGCCGCGGCGAGGCCTCCAGGAGCACTAGCGGGTCTGACGCCAGCAGCAGCTGGCCAGCCGGCAGCTCCTCGCGTGCTAGCACTCCCCGGCCCTTGCCTGTGACAGAGGAGAACGAGGAACGTGTGAGACAGGTGAACGTACGTACGCAAGGTGCTGGCATGAAAGGTGTACACAAGGTGTTAGGTCGGAGAGCCGTGAAAACGAGCGAATACGGCAGAAGGAGCAGCTACAGCCTGCCAATGACTGGTATGGCGGTGAAGTCCAAAACAGAGCGGCGGAAATGGCAGTAGCAGTAGCAAAGGTAGCGAAGGCAGTAGCAGTCGCAACAACAGGATGGAAACAACCCTGTCTGACGACCTTCAATGTAGGCTACATCAAGTGGCGCGTAGTGGCTCGAAGGAGTGTCCAGGAAATCGAGAATGGAAGCGGTAGGAGCGCGTTGGCTTGGTAGCGGTGTTCTTGGCTGTGCAATGGAAAGCGGGGTTGCTGTGTCACTCAAGACGGCAGCAGCAGCAGTCCTGCAAGAAGCCGAGCGGCTCGGAGCGACGTCGAGTATGCTTGCAGCGAAGGAGGAGTTATTGGTACTTTGCGAGCGAGGACATTCGCGGAGTCGTGTTCCTGATCCCCGTCGGTGGTTAGATTTAGACGACACAATTAAGGGTAGATGAAATTGGTTTACGGCGGGTAAGCTTGTCATCGTCGACGCAAGTAGTAAAGTTGCCTTGCCGTGAACGCGGCGAAGAACAATGCGGCCTTGCAGTGGCCTCAAGCCACACGCTGCTGCTACAATATTCAAGCCAACACACAATAAAAAATGCTTGTTGGTTTGCATGTTGCATGCCTTTGCGACGGGAACATCTGGAAGGTTCGGTACATTTTGCCGTACGATCCTCAATTTCAGCAACGTGCGCGGGAAACTTTCAATGCCACAACATGCGGGGTCCCAATGAATACTTAGGGATCCTTGGAAACGCTCAAAGTAGACATGGGATTAACGAAGGGCCAAGATGCGGCACCAGAGTTGACAGCTGGCAACATGGGTTGGATGGGGTGGTGAAGAAAAAGAAACACGGGTCGGGAGGGAAAGAGAGGGGGCCACGAGCCGCCTCGTCATGAACTGTCCACGTAAGTCTAGTTGGCTTGGGGAAAGCTGTTGTTGACTAACATTGCAGTCGCCAGGACGCTGGTGTTCCAAAGTCAACATGTACGGGTGACGTACGCTTGCCATTGGTGCGGGTGGGGTGCGGGTGGGGTACTCTCAACGCCTTGCACTGCCCTTCTCTTCTCTTCGCTCCGCCCTACCTCTGCCTGCTGCTGGTTTCCTCATTAGGCACGTACCGGCAACATGGCTACTACTGCCGAATAAAGGGCCACCCTCCTGCACCCTCAAGCTCCTTTCATCCCTCATTTCTCAAACCGCGCTAACACGAGCCCCCCGCACCCGCGACGTCGCTGGCCAGCACCAGTACCTTCCCTCCTTGTCAGGGTCGATAGGTCACTCATCAATGTACCTCGTACGCACCAAACCAATTCATCAAATGTCACTAGAGAACGCACCCACCATCGTAACGTCCTACACGCCTATACGTTTCGACCCGCGGCCAGTTTCCTGAACACACCATGGTAACCTCCTGTCGCCCTAGCGTCAAACACGGTAATAAGCCCCATACACCATGCACCTGTTAGTAAACCCATCACAGTGTACCTGTCCACTTGCCTGTCTACGTTCATCCATGCCCCACGTTCAGGACAAGCGGATACAAACAACAAACACAATTTCGGAACTCTCAGCTCCCATGCGGCGGCTGCACATCTCACGCTGACTGATGAGTGATGACCCTCGCTCTCACTCTCTCCCTCCCCTGCACACGCACCCCGCTCTCTCAATCTCCGCCCTCACACATGAAGGAAAAAAGAAACACCATATCACTTCACAACCACACATTCATCTTATCCACTCGTGTTATTATTGCACAAATAGTGATGTAATGACGTGCCCTCAGAGGATAAAAGAGTAACGACACTCAACCCTCTTGCTTACTCCTCCACCCACTCCGACCCCCAGCACCACCATCCCATCCCAATACCGTTCTCCTCGCTCCTCTCCCACCCTCTCCCTCTCCCTCTGTCTGTCTGCTCAAGCAGTGCCGGTCGCACCAGCGACTCAGGCGGGCGCCGCCCCCGCTGCCCCCCTCCTCCGCGACGACTGCTGCCCCTGCCCCTGCTGCTGCTGCTGCGCCCCCCTCCTCAGCAGTGCCGCCCGCACCGCCCCCCAACCGGGCGGCATCAGCTGCTCTCGCCCCACCCCCAGCCGCCCCGCCTGCAGCCCGGCCAGCTGCTCCACCACCGCCACTGCCACCTCCGTGGCGGCCTGCGCGTGCATGTGTGTGTGGGGGGGGTCAGAGTCTCAGAGATACATAAAACCCATAGGCTAGGGCAAAGTAATGGGGATAGAGGAAAGCAGTGTGTCACGAAAAAGCCGGGTTAGGTTAGTGGCCCCTACCGAGGGGTGGCGTGGTGGCAAGAGGACCCCGGCTAAAAGGGCCAATGCTGTCCCCTCCCTCTTTTTCCTCTTGCCACCTTTGTCGCGCCCTAAGCCTCCTCAACCCCCAATCACCAACCCACGCCCCTACCCATGCAGCGTTGGTAATCCCCGCAACCCCTATCCCGCACCCACCCCCGCCCCTCCGCCCCGCATAGAGGTCTTCTACTCCTCACCCTTCCACCCTCCCTACCCCACCCCTCCACTCCTATCTTATGTTTTACCCCACCCCTCCCTCCCCCTACCCCTTTAGTTGTTTGCATTTCTTATATAACTTTCCCCCTCCCCCTCCGCCCCTCTGCACGCCCTCACGCCCCCTCACCTGCCGGTTGTCCTCGCTGCCTCGCATCAGCCCTGCTAGCGCCCCCGCCAGCTGCCGTACCTGCTCCGGCGGACTGGCCAGCAGGGCCAGCAGGGCGGCGGGGGAGGACAGCACCGCGTCTTGGGCGGCGGGAGACACGCCTGGGCCCGGGGGGGGGGAAGAGGTGGGAAAACGGGTTGGATGTGTTTAAAAAACTAGCTACGAGTCGGAAGGTCGAAGAGGGTGGTCAGGGTAAGGAGGCGGGAAGACTGGAAGCCGGAATGGGGAGTGCAGCGCGGTGGTGGTGGGGAGCGTGGGGGGGTCAGCTGGAGTTCGTGGGAGCGGGCCCGCTTGAGTCTCGACCCGTCTCCTCCTCCCCTTCCACCTTCCCTCTCTTGAGTCTCCCACCCACCCAGTCAGCCTCGCCGCTGTCGTGCCCCCCCTGCACACCATATCTGCCTCCCCCCCCTCACCCCCCCCCTACCCCCCCTGCATGCACTAACACACCACATATTGGAATTCCTCCCCCCCCCCCCGCCCAGCATGCACTGCCCCCCCCCTGTCTCACCCAGCACACCGCCCGCCAGCTCGCTCAGCTGCTGCAGATACACCTGTGGGGTTGGAGCGGGGGGCGAGGTTCGGGGGGTGAGGTTTGGGGGTAAAAAGAGGAAACTGACAAGCTGCATGACGGAGCTACACCAGGGGGGGGGGCATGGTGGAGGGGCGGAGGGGGTGCGGGTTAGCCTACCTTGCTGCATGCCATGGTATGGCAACAAACCGGGCAGAGGTACGAGGGGAGAAGGCGGGAAATAAAGGGGCGAAAAGAAGCGAAGCACTGGGATTCGGATCAATGCTTCACGCCTTCCTCCTCCTGCCTTCCTTCCTCTGAAAGCCTACCCCACCATCCCCCCTCCCCCCATTCTCGCCCCCCCCTGCAGTTTCCTCTATTTACCCCGCCCCCCCACCTGCCCCCTCGTCAGTTATCCTTTACTTTTACCCCCCCCCCACCTGCTCCTCCTGCCCCAGCGGCGGCGCCAGCTCCTCCACCGCCCGACCCAGCGGCAGCAGACCCCGCCCCGGCAGCCACACGGGGGGAGCCAGCGACCAAGATGCTGATGGTGCTGATGACAATTGAGATGACGACTGCTGCTGTTGTTGTTGCTGTTGCACCCCCCCTTGTACCCCTGCCGCCGGCGCCAACGGTGGCAGCGGCAGCCCCATGAGCCCCGGCAGGAGCCGTCCCAGCAGCCCCAGCCCCGGCAGCCGAGGTGTGAGCGCCGCCTCCGCCAGCGCTGCCGCCTTGCGCAGTCGGTCCCGCAGCAGCAGGTCCAACCCGCCCGCCAGCCAGCCCACCAGCAGGGGGCGCAGCTCGCGAGCCTCGGGGGAAAGCAGGAAGGCAGCCATCTCCTGGGGGGGGTGGGGGGGCGGGGAGGGGGGGAAGGGGGGGTAAGGAAGAGGAATACCCAATGTGGGTGGGGTGGGGTGAGGAGGGGTGACGGAAGGAGGGTTAAAACACACACACGCACACGCACACGTGTGGGGTGAGGTGGGGTGAGATTGGGGCGGGAAGGGAGGCAGGGAGTGGAGAGGAGTGGGCGGGGAAGGGTGAGGGGTTTTCGGATCAGGGGACGAGGGTCTTCCTATGGTCACGGTCTAATCCCTCCCTGCCCCTCCCCCTCCCTGCGCCCCCCCCCACCTGCACGCTCGCCCCCTCCTCCGGCAGCGCATCAAAGTCCACGAACCCCTGACTGCTGGCGGCCGTGTAGCCCAGGGCCGCATGCAGCAGCGCGGCCAGGCGGCGGGAGGCCAGCTGGGGGGAGGAGGCCTGCAGAGGAACGGGGCGGGAGGGAGGGGTGAGGTGGGGTGGGGGTTGAGACTTGAGAGAGACAGAGAAACCAAGCCGGCTGAGGCCTCCGCCGCCTCTACCGCCTCCGCGCCTCCCCGCGGACGATTGAAGCCCCCCCAGTGGACATCCCCGCTCGCTCCTTCCCCCCTCCTCCCCCCCGCGCGCGCACCTCTCCAGCGCCTCCTGCCCCTGCCCCCGCCGCGTCCCGGATGAGCAGCAGGTCGCGCAGCAGGGCGGAGGCGGAGGAGGAGTCGTTGCGGAGGACCTGGGGGAGGGGAGGGGAATTGGGGGGTTGGGGGAGGGAGTCGGTGTGTTGGGAGGTAGGCTGAGGGAACGGGACGTACCGCTAACCACGTAAAGACAAAGTGAATGTGCTTAGCAAACTGGCCGCGAGACGGAACGTACTGTAAAGTGAGTGTGTATGGACGTGAATCGCAGACACGGCCCCCTGCTCACCTTGCGCGCCACGAAGGGGTAGGCCTGCGCCACCATGGCGTACTGCGGGTCGCCAACCAGTGCGATACCCTCCAGCGTGGCAACACTGGGGGGAGGGGGGAATATTGGGGGTTAATAGGGATGAAGATTCCGCATATAATATATGGGAATATGGGGGGCGGGATAATCCGCATGAGGGTGGGGATGCGAGGGAGGGAGGGGGGGGGAGGGTGACGTGGTTGGGGTTGTGTTTTTTTAAAAGGACGAAGCGGATAGGGAGAAGGGACGTGAGATGCGACGAGGCGGCGGCATGCGCAAGCACACTCGCATCGCTGCTGCTGCCGCGAACCCCCCTCCCCCTCCCCCTTCCCCCTCCCGCTGCTGCTGCCGCAACGGCTCCCCCTCGACCCTCACCGCTCCCCCCTCCCTCCCCCCCCCTTACCTGCGTGCCAGCAGGCTCATGTACGGCGGCACGGAGAAGGGAATCTCCAGAGTGGCGGCCAGCAGGTCCTGCGAGAGGGCGGAGAAGTTGAAGGCGGCGGCGCCCCCCCCGCGCAGGTAGGGGGACAGGACCTGGGGGGGGTGGGGGGTTGGGAGGGGGGAGAGGGGGGAAGGAAGGTGCAGTTAGGAGAAGAGAGGGGGGCGTCAAGGTGGGTTACAGCAAATATCCTCTACACGGAGCTAGCATGCAAGCTGCAACGGTGGCAGCAGCAGCTCTCCCTGCCGCCACCTAACCCCTTTTCCTTTTGCACCTGCTTAGTGATAGTTTCACATGCTAATGTCTCTCTCTTTTACCTCCACCCCCTCCATCCATCCTGTGGTTTGGTATGGTATTTGACCCCCTCACCCGTTGCTTCACTTTCCATTCATTTCCCCCCCTCCCCCACCCTCTTCCCCCCCCCCTCCCTCCCTCCCTCCCTCCCTCCCCCACCCTCACCCTGTCCATGACGGGTATGACCACCGCCCTGTCCGTCCGCTCCGGCAGGAACCCCAGCGCGATGAAGTCCCCGACCAGTGCACTCCAGTCGCGGTTGGCCAGGTGGATGGTGGCGGACACCATGGCCTGGGGGGAGGGAGGGGGGAGGTGGGAGGAGGGGGAGGTGGAGGTGGAGGGGGGCGGAGATGAGGGTGCGGTACGAGAATACGGCATGTGTGTGGGGTTCCGCGGCGCATAGTAGTGTCGTGCTGCATCCCTCACCTCCACCCACCTTCCCACTCTCTTTTGCCCAACCTACAACACACAGAGTGGAGTCTTACCCCTGACGGCCCCCCCGCCCCCGCCCCCGCCCCCCCACCTGTCGGTCCTCGGGCGGTATCTCCGCCACCAACCCAAAGTCAAGCAGCGCCAGCTTGCCCGTGTGGGGGCCCTCCGTGACCTGGGGGGGGGGGCGTGTGTGTTTAAAAAATTGTACTAAAAGCTGTGTCCATAAAGCTGGCCGCGAGTCGGAATATACAGTGTCTGCCGGGCGCTGAAGTCCCCACAGAAACGGAACGTGTGCGTGTGTGTTAAGAAAACTGGCCGCGTGTGTGTATGTGTATGTAACCCCTTCCCCTTCCGCTCCCCGCCCCCCCTCCCCCCCACCTTGAGCAGGTTGCCCGGGTGCGGGTCGCCGTGGAAGAACCCGATCTCCAGCAGCTGCGTCAGGAAGGCCTCCTGACCCACCTGGGAGGGGGGGGGAGGGGGAGGGGAGGGGTGGGGGGAGGGGTGGGGGGAGGGGTGGGGGGAGGGGTGGGGGGAGGGGTGGGGGGAGGGGTGGGGGGAGGGGTGGGGGGAGGGGTGGGGGGAGGGGGGGTGAGAGTGCGGCAGAAGGCAGTTAGCACGGCAGCTAGCGCATGCAGGAGGGACATGCGGAGCGGCATGCGAGCACAGAAAAACCCCTCCCAGCCCCCAACCCTCCCCCGCGAGGCGAAGCCTACATGTCATACAGCTCGTCAGTTCCCTCTTTCTACCCCCCTCCCTCCCCTCCCCCCCCCCCCACCTTGACCAGCCCCCGTATCTCCTGCGGCTCCAGCGTGGTCAGCTTCACACCCGTAACCCACTCCATGGTGAGTACACGCCTGCAGGGGGGGGGAGGGGACAGGGGGGGTTGTGAGGGAAGGTACGGCACATACACATACACATGGATGTCGTACACACACGCCTCGCTTGCCTTCCCCCTTCGTTCCGTGGCCTTCCCCCCGCTTGGTTCGGAACCCCCCCTCCCCCGCCCCACCTCGTGGTGAGCTCCATGTGGGGTTTGGGAATGACGATGTCGCGGCTGGCAAACTCACTCTGCTCAAGTAACTGCAAGAAGCGGGCGATGTGGAGCAGCGGAGGAGGGCGAAGGGGGTGTTTTGCAACAAGACTAGTGGGTGAAAGGATCAGCCTGGTTTACCTAGGCAGAGGGCGAACATTGGAACACTCAGCGGTCCGGCCCATAAACAAGGGCTGCTACGCTTGCTTCCCCACCTCCGCCATCCTCATCGCGTTCAGCGCCTCGTTCCGGAAGTCCATCTCCGTGTACAGCCCCTCCGCAAAGGTGGACAGCAGCCGCTGGTAGTCGGTGGTCTGCGCGGTGAAGCGCCGCACCAGCCGCTCGTACACACCAACTGCACGGCGCATGACGTACAGGTCCTGCATGGTGGTGGTGGGGTGTGTAGTTGAGTAGGACAAGAGCAAGCAGTTAGGATAGGTTCGCATGGTGTTGGGGTGTGTGTTGAAATAACTGTGTGTGGGGGGTGCGGAGGTGGGTGCATGCATACCCAGTCTGTGTGGGGCCCGGCTGGCGACGTTTGCCAGGAGATGCGTCAACATGTGCGACAAGCCCGGGGCGCCGCCTCTTCCCCCACTTCCTCCGCAACGCCCTCCCCCTCCCTTAGTCTCATTGAATACCCAACACACTGGGTATTCGCCTCCCTTTCCCCCCTCCCCCCCTTCCCCCCTACCTTGCTGATGGTGGCCAGTGCCTGCGGCCGCTGCACCTTCACCGCCACCTCCTCGCCGGTGGAACGCAGCCGGGCGCGGTACACCTGGGGGAGCAGGGGGAAGCAGGGGGGGGGTCAAAGGCACAACCGAACCATAGGAGACCACAGGTTAGGGCAAAGCAAAAAGGGGTACCGGTAAAAGTAGGAAACTGGTAGACTGTATGAGGAGGATTCACCAGACAGGGAGGGGTTTTGCGGGGGAGAGAGTGCAGTATAAACTTGTAGTACAAGCGCAGCACTGCAATCTCTATCCCAAGTGAAGAGGCGGGAGCGAGGAGAAAAGGACGAGAGGTAGGAGCTGTGGGAGGCCCCTCTGAGCGGCAGCACACTTCCCATTACCCCCCCTCTCCCTTCCCACCTGCGCCAGGCTAGCGGCCGCCACCGGCTGCTCGGAGAAGTGCGAGAAGAGCTGCTCCAGCGGGGCGCCCAGCTCCTGCTCGATTACCTGGGGGAGGAAGTTGGGGGGGGAGAGGAGAGGAAGGAGCGAAGCACGGGAGTCTCATGGAGTGCGTTCGTGGAGCAACACACGGAGCAGGAGGTGGTTTCGTGCCCCACTGGCCCCCACCCGCTAAGCCCCCGCCCCCGCCCCATGGTCATTCCCTCACTCCTGCTCATTCCTTTCCATCCCCCTCACCTTCCCCCCACCTGCTTTCCTCTATCCCCATTGCTTTGCCCTAACCTATGGCTTTGGTACATCTCTGACCCCCCACCTGTCTTGCTTGCTCGCACGGGAAAGGCTGAATGCGGTCCTGCAGTCGGGACAGCTCGCCGAGCACATCGGGGGGCAGCACGTCGGGACTGCGGAGGGGAGGTGGAGGGGGGGGAGGTGGAGGGGGGCGGGTGTAAGGCAAGGGGCGCAGCAGCCTCTTAACACCCCCCCCACCCCCCACCGGCATGCCTCCCTCACCCCCTGAAGGCCTGTACCGCCTCCCACTTCCCTCGTAACCCCCCATGCGGAACATCCGCCCTTCCCCCCCTCCACCGCCCCCTACCGGATACTAAGTATCTGCCCCAGCTTCACGAAGGTGGGTCCCAGCCGCTGCAAGTTGTCCACCGCCTCGCGAGCCAGCGCAGCCCGCTGGGCGGTGAGGCGGCCGGACAGCACCGCGTTAGCCAGCTTGGTCAGCCAGGGGGCTGGGGGGGGGAGGGGGAGGAAGGAGGGGTAAAAAAGAAATTCCAAAGTGTGGTATGATAATGATACAAGTGGAAGGAGAGGGGTGGGGGAAGAGAGAGAGAGCGACATGCAAGGGGCTGATGCTTTTACCGTACAAGGATGGGCCTCCCCACCATCATGCAACACATGGCGACATGGGGTATTCCTCCTCCCCCCCCCCTCCCCCCCCTTCTCTCCGCCTCACCCGACACCGCCGCGAACTGCGTCCACCTGCCCGCCAGCTCCCCCGGCCGGCCGCCCCAGTAGGCCGCAATGCGAGCCTCGTTGTACACCAGCGGCAGCCCCTCGCCGTCAACCGCATCGGGGTCGAAGTCGGCGGAATCCAGGCGGCGGCGGGAAACGTACGACACGGACTGGAGGAAGGAAAGGGGGGAGGGAGGGAGGGAGAGATGGGGTGTTGGGGTTAGTGTAGGAGAGAGTGAGGAGGCGCGGGCGGGAGCAACGCCGTCCCGGCTTGGGACTCACGTAAGAGCAGACTAATGCAACAGTTAACACCGTTCGGACATAGTAGTTTCACATTGTATTGTAAGCGCAGTACATGGCACATGTGTTGTTCAGGTTGGGTCGGTTGGTTTGTGGCATGGCTCAATGGCCAATCAACGGCATTTACCTACCCGCACATCGCGCAACTCCAGGTCGCGCATCTCTGACGACTCGACTCCCAGGTTTCTTAGCTCACTTATATCCTCTAAACGGGTGGTCACACCAGGGAATCCCCTGGGGCGAGTCGCTGTCGCGGCCACGATGACGCCCCGGCGAGGGCCCGCATGAAGCGTAGGCAACAGGCGTGCATTGCGAGCCTCAGGAAAGGTGTGTGTTACGTGGTGACCGAGTAATGACATGGTTCCAGCTAGTCTTGAACACGGTCCAGTCCGTGCCCCAAGCCTGTGGAGCATGCGGTGGTTGTAAAGGCAGCTCTGGGAATAACAGTATGCGCGCACCTAACAAGGTACAGTAGAGTTTCAGGATACTGTGCTTGCCAGTGTGATGCATTCGGCGGAAAGCGATGGTCTACACTATTGTACGACCGTTTCCAAACGACTGGCTAGAGCAGCTCTAGGCTTTTATGTTGCGATAGCTGCACGAAAGCGAGCTGTTTGCCTTGGCTTATAGCTCTAAGTCCAGATATACAAGTACCTAACCCTAATACCAACCGCTTGGGCAAAGTGCTTAACCAAGGCCGAATGGCTTTCCGCGGCCCCACTACCCGTTCTCAAGCGCGGCGACAGCGGACATGCGGTTGCGCAACATCGCAAGCCTTAGCCGGTCCCAGCGTTCGTGGTCGCAATTCTGACGAATCTACCTCGGAATCCCGGCTTCTGGCGCTGCCGCTCGACCTCTTCTTTGCGATCTGCAGCCACGTCCCCTCTAATGATATCGCATGCTCGCTAAGACTATGCTGCAAGGCACTTCGTGACGCGTTGTGCGCTCCTCAGCACCACGTTGTCCGGCTTTCTCAGCCTGTCCTTCCCCAGGCATTTGAGTGGGCTTTAAACAGCGGATCTATTTTTAGTGGGGGACAGCGCGGCGGGCGGGACGGCTCTTCAAGGCTAAACGGCCTTACATTCGAAGAGAAGCTGCTCTTCTCGGAGCTGGTTGCAGGCACCGGCGTCTTGAGCAACCTTGTAGCCCTACACCATGACGCGGAGTGTCCTTGCAGCTGCAGCACGTCCTGCGCAGCGGCAGCCGGCGGTCATTTACACATCCTGGAATGGCTAGATGGCGAGGACACTTGCCTGTGCTGCGTTCGCGTTCACGAGGCCGTGGGCGCACGCTCCACGCTTGCCATCCTTAAATGGTACGATGAACGCACCGACAGCGACCCCGCAACCCTTTTCGAGTACGCATGCCGCGACAAGGATGTCCATCGTCGCCATGCCAAGCTTCACTACATGCACGACAAACACGGCGTCCGCGTCCTCACCACCGAGGCAACCGCAGCTGCAGCCGGCAGCGGCGACCTCACCACCCTGAAGTGGCTGCGTGAGCTCGGCACCGATGTTGACGCAACCGCGCTTCTCGCAGCCGCAGCGGGTGGTCACGTCGCCACAGCCACATGGCTGATTCAAGACGGCCTGGGCTGCCCCTCGCTGCTCATGCTGCATACCGCCGCGGGAAGCGGGCAGGTGGGGATGCTGGAGTGGCTGGTGGCGCAGCCGGGGTTGCAGGTGCCTGCGGGCTGCTGGCGGAGGGCGTTGGAGGTGGCGGCGGGCGGGGGGCATGTGGGGGCGGTGGCGTGGCTGCTGCCGCGGCTGGGGGAGGAGGTGGGAGGCACGGTGGCGCTGGAGACGGCGGCGGAGGGCGGGCACTATGAGGTGGGTGGGGGGGAGTGGGGAGGTAGGGAAGGAGAAAGGAAAGGGAAAGGGCGGAGAGACAGGGAACCGGGTTGGTGCTTAGTGGGCTGGGTCCGGGTGTGCTGGTGTGTTGGGTTCGCTTGCTCGTAACTCTCCATATCCTCCTTCGTCAGGGGTTTTATCATTACCGGTTGCCGCTACCGTCACCAACGTTTGTCTCTTCTCCCTCGTCCTCCCTCCTTCCACCCTCCATCCTCCCCCTCAGGTGATGCGGCTGCTGCTGCAGCGCCCCGGGCCCGCCTGCGCTCCCACCCCGCTGGCCTTCGGTCTCGCGGCCCGCTCCGGAAACATTGCGGCGCTGCAGCTGCTGCTGGAGGCGGCAGCAGCGGCGGCAGCGGCAGGGGGTGAGGCGGGGGCAGCAGGGGGGGCCGGCCAGCAGCTGGGGGCAGCAGCAGCAGCGGCGGCGGCGGCCGCAACTCCGGGTACCAGCGCAGGTAACACACCAGCAGCAGCGGCAACGGCGGCAGCGTCCATCATGCACCCGCATGCGTACTTGGGAGCAGCGCTGTGCGAGCGCCATGAGCCCTGCATCACCTCCACTGCCACCACCTCCACTGCCAACACCACCACAGCAGCAGCAGCAGGAGGAGGAGGAGGCGGTCCCACCGCCCTCCTGACGGCTACACCCACCGCCACCTCCCTCCAGCTCGGCCTGGGTGCGAGCAGCAATGCCAACCCGCCTGCCGAAGGAAGGTCCGACAGCAACGCCGCTCCCGCTGCTGCTGCTGCCGCTACTGCTGCTGCTATCACCTCCTGCCCCTCTGCTGCCCCTCCTGCTCCTCCTCCTCCTGCTGCCGGCATCAGCAGCCCCGCCTCCCCATGCCCGGGTCTAGGCGGCCGCTGTCAGGACAGGCTGGATGTGTTGCAATGGCTGGAGGCGCGCGGGTGTCCGGTGGGGGACGAGGCGCAGCGGGCGGAGGCGCTGAGTGCTGCGGCCATGGTGGGTAGTCGGGTGCGGCTGGAGTGGATGCGGGCGCGGGGGTTCGAGTGGAGCGCGAGGGCGTTCACAACGGCGGCGGCGTCGGGGTGCATACAGCTGGTGGAGTGGATGGTGAAGCAGGTGAGGGGGGGGGAGCGGGGAGGAGGGGAGGCGGGGGGGATGCGAGGTAATGAGGTTGGGCAGGGGGTACTTGTGCCTACCCCTCCGTCGCCTCTCATGTCTCACATGTACTTCATCCTCTCTATCCAGCCCCTCGATCTCCCTTTACTGGACCTTGTCCTATTTCTTCATCCCACTCCCACCCCCAAAACACGCCACACGGCCAGTTTTTTAAACCCTTACCCTCCCACACACGCACCCCACAGGGCTGTCCCATGGGTCGCCGCGGTGACGCGCTGCTGGCCGCCGCCGCCAACTCCGACAGCGCCATGCTGGCGGCGCTGCGGCGACTGGGCTGCCCCTGGAGTGCCGACGTGCTGCCGCGCGCGGTGTGTGGTGTGTTACCGCTGTCGGCGAGCGGGGAGGGGCCGGGGCTGGCGGTGCGATGCAGGCTGCGGGTGCTGAGGTGGATGGTGGCGCATGGGTGCCCGGTGACTAAGCAGGTGCGGGAGGGGGGGGCTGGGAGGATGAGAGGACGGGGAATAGAAGAAGAAGAAGAAGGGGATACTATGCCGTGAAGGATTTAGTGGACAATGATAGTGGTGCTATGGGCTGGGAGGGGGGTCAAAGACCATATCAAACCATAGGAGACCACAAGTTAGGGCAAAACAATGGGGGTAGGAGTTGGCAATGGGGGGGGGCAGGGCAGGGAGGGGAGTATTGGTGGTCTTGTAAGAGGGTCGATTGGTTCTTTCGTTTATATGCCCTGTGTCCTGCGCTTCCCTGCTCCCACCCCCCCCACACACATGCACCGCAGGCCTACGATGTGGCCCGCACCTCGGGTCGCTATGACGTGGCTGAGTGGCTGAAACACTCGGGACTGCTGCCGTGAGAAGTGCTGCAGGGGTGCCAAGGTTACCATGAGAAACGGAGTTGGTCCGAGTCAGGGCCCCTAATGGCGGCCGTTTAGGGGAATCCAGCTTTTTGTATTCCAGCTGCTATGTTCGGGGGGGGCTGACGTCTGTGAGGACTTTAGCAGGAGGAGGCCAAGAGAGGTGGAAAGAGGGGGTTGGACACGCCAGTTCGGGACGGGGAAGGACGCGTTTTGGCTGGCTGTAAAATATGCCATGTGTCGAGTTGCTAGCTGGAGCTGTGGAGCTGTGGGGCTGTGGGGCGGTTGTCTTGACGGTGTGTATTATTATTGAGAAGGAGTTGGAAAAAGATTGGAAAAGGAGCTGGACAAAGTGTCGTTATGTTAAGTCATCAGGACGTGGTTATGATACGTGAGGGGTCACATGGATGCGCGCCTGTTGCAGGATGGCCAGGTGGTTTAGTGGTGGGAAGGAGGGTGAGGTATATACCCGGTATGACGTGCGCAGGGGGGGCTGCTGTTGCGGATCGGGACAACCTAGTTTTGACATGGCATAACCCCGACGTGTTGCAACAGCGTGTTGAGAAGTTGCAAGCCGTTTCGAAGTGGAAGCTGTAAGCCGCTTTAAAGTGGGGGCGGTTGGGTGTTCAAGTGTAGCCTCCCACAACGTACGGTAACTACGAGGGCGACGACACAGGTTGCCGTACAACACTTGTGTGCTCGGTTCCACTGAAGCAAGTGGCGTTGCGTCGCCCCCTAACGCCAGCCGCTACGTCTAGTAACTAGAGAAGCACCCGTTATATGTGCCCTCGTGGGGACCACCTACAATGTGTACCGTATTAGCCCTTCCTAAAGAGCGTCACGTAAGCATGCCTCCTCCTCACCTCCCTCTCCACCTCGTACAGGTGCAGCACTGCCGAACCGGTATGTCAGCTGCCGCACCCGCCGACACCGCCTTCATTCAGACCAGCACAGGTGCTCTGCGCCCTCCACACGCATGAGCGCCAACCACCTCCCAACCCCTCAGTCCTATCACGCCGCCTCCCCCTGCCTCCCTGCTCCCCTCCTCCTCTACCTCGCCCCCTCTGCCCCGCTCACGCCGGCCGCTTCACCACCAGCTGGCCCAGCATGTCGTCATGTCCCTTCACGGTGCACCGCAGCGGGTAGCGCCCCGGCTTCATGGGGATGAAGACCCAGGTGGCGGCTGCACCCGCCTTCAGCGCCACCTCGGCCACGGCGCCCTTCACCTCCACCGCGGGGTCGCCTGCCAGAACCTGGATGGTGAACACCTGGGGGGCGGGGAGAGGGGAGCGGGGGGGGGGAGAAGGGACATGAGCGAGGCAGTGGAGTGGGGAGGTGCGGAGATCGTTTGGGAAGTGGGGAAGGGGTTGTGATTCGTGAGTCATGCCAAGAGGGAGAAGCCACATGTGGGGGCGAGAGTAGAGGCCAGGGCGGGTATGAGAGCGCATGTGAGGGGGCGGAATAGCGGAAGCGGGGGTGTGCTTGGGTGGGTATGCTGCACACGTGCGGTACGCAGCCGGTGTCGTACGTACCTTCTCAGCAAACTCCAGAGGCGTGAAGTAGTGTGTTATGGAGGAGGGATTAGTCAGCTTCAGTTTGTAGATGCGGCCCATGGTGAACTCCAAGGTGCTGGGTGTGAACACGTATTGGCCGTCCTCCGTGCCCAACTGCATGCTGACCTCCTCGATGGGCGCGCTCGGGTCTAGATTGTAATCCTTCAGGGCTGCCAATGCGGGCGCTGGTGTTAGTAAGTCGGTAGTGCCAGCGGTAACAAGAGCCAGGGTTGTTCCGGACAGAAGGCCGAGGACGCCTCTTCGGCTGCTGGCTGGAGCGGAAGCAGGAATGCGGTCATGGTGCAAGTCGGGGACATGGGCATCCCTATTTACAGCGTGAGAAGAAATGACCGGCTTGGGGCTACTTTGGTAGGGCTGGATACACTGGCGCTTGTTCAGACGTGGTTGCGCAGCTGCCAGGCGAACGGAGGACTTCATTTGCATATCGGAGGTCGAGGTAGAACACTAGCAGTTTACCGGAAGGTGCGCGATCAGCAACGCTGTGCGTTTATAGCCTCAGGCCTCGGGCTGTCCAATGAGAGTAGGCGCTCGGTAGGGAAAAAGCGATTCGGCGATACATCAAAAGATTACGGTGGTTGCAGGTTCTGGAGCGACCAAGATTGGGTTCCTAGCCTCGTAGCCTGCGTTCCTAGCCCGACTTGCAAAAAAGCCAATTAGTGTAGGCTAAATGCGGATTAAGAAATACTTCGGTCCGGGCAAAAACTGGGCTGAGACTTCAGGTGAAAGCAACATCACGACATGTGCCGTCGCTGGATGGGAGTTATGCATACTCTGTCGCTCTAGATGGTTAACATGATAGTGTCTGATAGGACGGGCGTAGCCGCTTAGCGTGTTTTGAATCTGGGGTTGCATGCCGGTGATGCGACCGCAACCTTGCAGCGACCCTTTCAGTACCACTTGTGCTGGAAGCAGGCAATGCAATATGAAGAGCGTGCTGGATTTTGTTGCTTCGAATGTACAAGCGCCGTAGACTTCTAGCCTATGTAAGAATGTCCAAACCACCGCAGCGGTCCATAATGGTTTGAGAGATGAAAGGGCATTTTCATCTAGTCTATTTGCCACCGCTAGTGTGTCTAAGCGCGCATGCCTGTACTCGACTCGATTCAACGTTGCTGGCTTGCAACATTTCATGGAGCAAGAAGACCTTTGCCTGCTTCTGCACGTCGCGGTATGAGAACCAGTCACACATATTTGAACAAGACCGCTTGGACTCTGTAAATCTGACATTCCGAAATGGATCGTATGTGGCTCGCGTCACGTCCTCGGCGTGCGCCGGATCCAGCCGGATGCCGACCTCGGCCGCCCAACATTCAGTTTCAGCGGCACAACCGTCGTTCAATCCCTACACATAGGCCTGCATACTTCCTTCTATTCCTTCTTTTCCTTCTGTATAGTTCCCCAATTACAACCTCTCTAGGGACCCAAGGGTCCGCACTGCACCTTCCTTCCGTTCTCACTCAATCCGATAGCAACCACCGGCCGTCTCATATCGCCTCAAACCAGCTCACCTTTTGCCGGTAAACCGACATTAGCGCCCCAGGCTCTCAGCCTTAACCGCAATACTCTTAGTCGGTCGGACTACCGTAATCGCTAGCCAGCAAGCCTAGTCAGCATGGGACTGATCACTGGCACGCTGCTGCTGTTCACGGCGTTCGCAACCAGTCCGATATGGTTTCCGTTGATGATTGCGGCCATCATCGCGCCGCACTTTGTGCCCATTGTGCTGGGCGGACTGGCGCTGCTGACGGCGCCGCTGTGGATCCCGCTGGCTGTGATTGGCATTCCGATTCTCATCATCACCAGCCCCATTTGGGGTTTCTTGCTGCTGCTGGCGATTATATTCTAACGAGGCGCAGCTGCATGTTCGGACGTGGTTGATGCTTGCATGTGGCATGATAAGTGGGTGTGCAGGTGGGCCAGCCACGGCTCTGCTGTTACGGCTTCGGAGAGGGATGAGTGCGCCAGTGGCCAGCCAATAATGCTCAACGGCTGGGGTTGCATTGGTAATAATACACTGCATCATGGAAGAGGAGTATATGCATGGGCCGGTTGGGGGTAAAAAGTTACAATGAGACGATGCAACTGACGAGCTGTACCGGTTGGGGGGGGTGCGGGGGACGGGCTCCGTGTCTGCTAGTACGGGTGCTTCTTTGACGTACGATTCTTCGGATGCTTTGCATTGCGGTGTCTTGGCACACGGCTTGAATGGTGGTAGTGGGGGGGGGGGGGCTGTTTCTCGAACCGCAGCTGCTTAGAATGGACGAATGTTGGGACGGCCAGGGGGATGCTGGCAGGTGCAGGCAACGGTGCTGCTACATACCCCTCCGCTTGGCAGACGTACACAGCAGAGGCTGCCGGCGATAACAACATGTAACGATAACCGGGACGATCCTCGGCGCTCCTTCTGAAGTACGAATATCACCGATTGCAGTCAAGCGAAGGCCCCGCCCTAGCCTCTACCACATGCTTCCTACGTCCTACTTGGCAGTCGCTGAGCTAGACAGGGACTCGTTCCTTTGCCCCTTCCTACACGCCTCCTAAGTGCCAGAGGTCACCACCAACAACACCGACAACCACGTGAGCGTAAAAGCAGCGTCACCAGAGCAGCAGTAGCAACGCGGGCAGGGTCGTCCGGGGCAGCCGCGCATCAGCAGTAGCAACCCTGCAACGACGACGTACGGTAGGATTTGCGGTGCTGCCAGCACACCCACCGGCGGCGTAACTCAGCTAATATACATCAATTATCGTACTCGCATGCATTACAAGGACAAGGACAATACAGTACGTGACTTCTGCCCCGCATGGGCCATCACAGTTCCCGGAAGCTCAGAAAGTCATAGTATGTTCTCTCGTGCAACGGTAATGCGATAAACCAAGTGCTTTGATAACGCGCCATAATCGAGTACAGGACTTGTCGAAGCATGCATGGCTGGGTAACCTCCAGGGGTTGAACCACACTTCCGGCCAGCCTTCCATGCAGGGGTCTGCATTGACGTCGCCGAGGTATCCCCATACCACCCTTTGACAACAGCCCCCTCCCGCAAGACGACCTTTCCGAGATGCAGCAGTAACATGGATTCCATCCAGGCCGCACACAGACACACCTGCGGCCAGTTATTTTAACACATGCGTATCCCACCTCCTGCAGCAGCACTTTCAGCAGCACACATCATCCTACACACAAGTACACATGCAGCCAAAGTTCCAGGCGTAGGGGCACACTCCAACCTGAAGGAAGGAGAACAGGCTCTACCGCATCCCAAGCCTGCGGACCTCCAAGCTCCAACGACAAAAGACGCTGAACGTGTTGTGTTTCAAATGTTACCAAACCCGTTCCCTTACGCGCGTACCCCTTCCCGCAGCTGCAGTCCATGCCGCATCCTAAAACGCCGCCAGGACCTGCCACAGCTGCCTCCGCTTGTCCTCAATCCTAGCCCGCCGTTGCCGTCCCGACTCCACCAGATGCTGCTCAAACGCCGCCGCGTGAGGCGGCCGCCCTCCTGCCACGCTGCCCGCTGCTGCCGCCGCGCTGTTGCTGTAACCACCTGCAACCGCACCCGCACTCGCACCCACACCGCCTGCAGGCGACCTCAAACGACAGGAAGCGGCACCGCTGCTGCTGATGCCACTTGTACCTCCACACGCCCCACCAGCAGCAGCCCCTCCCGCAGACCCGCCTGCCATGGCACCACCCCCGCCACTGCTGCTGCTGCTGCTAGCAACCCCCGCCGCCCGCCCTCCGGCACCAGCATGAGCTGCTGAACCCGCCGACACGTTTCCAGCGACGGCTGATGCAGGAGCAGCAGCGGCACGACCAGCGGCCGATGCAGCAGGAAAAGCGGAGCAAGACGAAGAAGTGGAGCTCGAGGAGCAAGAGGATGCCTCGGCGCCAGATACATCGTTGACAAGGGCCGTCGTGTAAGCGGAGGCGGAGGCGGCCGTGTGTGCCTCGAGGGGCTCCTCCTCCTCCAACGTAGCCGACGATGATGACGAGGACAGCGGTGGTGCTGCTGCTGCCGCCGCGCCGTCAGGCAGCATCGTACGCATCCAAGTGGTTGCGTAGCTCGGCGGCTGCTGCAGCGGCCCTCCGAACGCCGTCGCCACCTGCCTCAACACCTCCGTCAGCGGCCCAGCTAGCAGGTCGGCAGGCAGCAACGGCTGCAGATCGGCCCATGCGGCCGACGTGGAGGAGGAGGAGGGTGATGCCGCTGTGGCTGACGCTGTGGTGGTTGCTGTCATGGTTGCTGCTGGCGTCGTGGTGGTGGTTGCAGCAGGTGCAGTGGGAAGCACCGGCAACGGGGGAACGCCGTCCGTGTCGAGACCTGTTGAAGGCGCACTCGCCGGATCTACGGAAGTACCAACACGAACGTCATCGTCATCATCATGGTCATCGTCGTCGTGCTCATCGTTATCACCATCGTTGGGGCTGAAGCTGGAGTCGTTTCCATTGCTTCCAACTGGGGAGGCGTCCTCCTCCTGACTGGCAAGGGCAATGGCGCCGGCAGCAGCCGCGGCGCGGGGGGTTGCTGCCGCCGAACGGGGCAGTTGGCGGCCCGGCAGGAGTGACGGGCCAGGCGGGGGACTGTCCGACAGGCTAGACGGGGCTGCTGCTGTGGAGGGCGTGGAGGAGGAGGTGGGCGTGGAAGGCGCGGCCTGCGCAGGCGGCGGCGGCGGCGGCGGCGGCGGCGGAGGCGACGCGGGGGGCGCTGGCTCCTCCTCTGGCTCGGCCTCGGGTGCGGCTACATCCGCTGCATGTACCGGCCCTGGCGCCGCCGCGTCCGCCGCCGGTGTCTCAGCGGCATCCGTAAGCCGCCTCGGATCCCCTCCTCCACCTCCACCTCCTCCATCACCACCACCAACGCCGCCGCCGCCGCCGCCGCCGTCAGCGCGTCTGGGCTTCTCGCGCGTCTTCTTCTCCTCCCTGCTGCTGCTGCTGCGGCCCCCTCCTCCTTCTTTGCCACGACCAGCTCCCCCGCTGCATCCTTCCCCGCCGTACACCGGCGGCGGGCCGTGCAGCCGGTCGGCCTTCCAAGCGGACAGCCCCCGGTAGGCTGCGTGGGCGGGGGCGGGGATGCCAGCCAGCGGGTCCTCGTACCAGACGTGCGGTTGCGGCTGCTGCTGCCCATGTACAGTGGAGGCACGCGACGGACGCGGCTCGTCATCGCCGTCGCTACTGCTGCTGTCGTCCTCGTCTTCATCCTCACTCGCATCGTCGTCTTTCTCGTCCCCGTTACCTCCAGCACTCTGCGCCGCAAAGCACGGATAGCAGAGGAGGTCAGGGACTTCTTTCTACACACATTCCTGTGAACCTTTGGGTACTTTACTTCTTTCTTTCTTCCTTACTTCCATTATTTCTTCCATCCTTCCTTCCTTCCTGCTACTCACCTGCTTTACGGGCGGCGGAGGCGCCCGCTTGCCGTAGCCCCGGAAGATCTTCTTTAGAACGACCCGTGGGTCGTCTCCCGGCGGCAGCAGCCCGTCCTTAAGCGCCTGGGCGAACCTGTAGAGCTGCCTGGAGGGGGAAAAAGGGGGTTGTGGGGGCAATGTTGGGGGGCGGGTGGGCAGCAGGGGTAAGTGGGATGACTGTGCAATGGTGCGTACCTGCATGGAAGCTACTCATGCATATGGCCAGTGCGCTCGCAGGTTTCGTAAGAAGGGGTGGAGAAAGAGACACGCACCGGCCTGCGCCCGGCCGCTCCCAATCACTGCAAGACCGCCAGTATGGTCCTTCCCCTACAACACACGACACACACCACCCCCATCCTAGCACTCCGCTCCATACCTCCATTACTACCCCTCTCATACCCCCATACCCTTCTCCCTATCCTCCTCCTCCGCCCCATACGCTTCTCCCTCTCCCCCTCCCTCCCCTCGCTCACTTGAGCAGGTGTGTGACCTTGTTGCGCCACCCAATGAACACCCCCCGGTCGAACAGGCAGCCGCAGTCGAACAGCACGTGCGGAGCCACCCGCGCCTGCAGCTCCTTGGCCGTCATACCCGGCTGCACGAACAGCGACAGAGCCTGGGGGCGGGGGCGGGCAGTGGGGAGGTAGGGGGTGAGTGGGTGTGGTGGGTGGGTGGGTGTATGCCATGTCCCCAGCAGCACACAGGTGTCCTTGCGGCAACATGCGGTCACGATGCTAGGCTGCAGCACCCACCATCCAGAATATCTGCGCAGCTGAGGCCGGCTGCCCCGCCGCCGCCCCACCAGCAGCTCCTCCTCCCCCTCCCCCTCCTGCCCCGCAGTCCTCCACCACGTGCCGTACAAGCGCCTCCACACAGAAGCTCTTGAGTTTGGGAACACTGTAGGCCTGCGGCACAGGCGCGCACAGCCGTTGCAGGGGCGCACACCACACCACACAGGAAGGACAGGGTTCGACAGCTCTGGTGGCGGGGGGACTGCAGCTGAGCCCCAGACGGGGTTTCAGCCGCCACCGCGTAACCCTGGAAACCTCCCTGGAGGGTGAAAGCCCTGGAGAAAAGCCCGCAATCGACTACCCCAACCTGCCCCCCCCCCTCCCCGGTCCACCCCCTCTACCACACCTCCTTCATGAAGAGCTTGATAGCCCTCACCGCCAGCTTGGCGGGAGGGCACTGCACCAGCGTATCAGCCACCTCCGACACCAGCGCCCCCACCGTTGCGAATTCGAACAACAGGTCAGCGGACAGCCGCACAGGCAGGGTGGGCTTGCTGCTGCTGCTGCTGTTAGTGCTGGTGCTGTTAGTGCTGCTGTTACTGCTGCTGTTAGCGCTGCTGTTGCCGCTGCCGGCGCCCGGGTAGCTACTCCCCGGAGAGCCGCTTGGAGCAGTAGCAGGGGGGGCGGAGGAGGCGGGGCGACCTGCAGCCGCCGCCGCGTCTGTCAGCGTAACGCTCAGGTCTGCTGACTTGCGGTGCCGCTTGATGCCCACGTGACGGTAGTCGCCGCAGCGCCGTAGGGACTTCTGATGGGTTTCGTGGTGGTGGGTTCCATGATGGTGGGTTCCATGGGGGGTTCCATGGTGAGTCTTTTTGGGGGGTTTTACGGAAAATGAGGTCCGGAGGAGTTCAGCTGTAGTTGCACTTCGTGCCCCTCTTCTTCACACCCTTGCACATCCATGCACTCGGATTATCGAACAGCACAACGACCCATGGGTCGTCCCTCCTTCTCCCGCTACCCCACCCACCTCCACCGCATCCAGCAGGCGGTTCTTCAGCCGACGTGGCACGTCGTACTGCGTCTTGACGAGCAGGTCCACGTCACTGTCCTGCAGCGCCGTGCCCTTCATGACGGAGCCTTGGGAGGGGGTGTGTTGGGGAGGGTGCATTGGGGGGAGAGGGAAGGGAACCATGCGTTGAATGATGGTGGCAAAGTACGGCAACAGGCGACGAGCTTGGGGGCGGGAGGGATATACACACATGTGTGACACGCGGGGGATACACCCAGTGTGGGGGGGTGGGGTACGGGGGTTAGGGAAGAGGGGGCTTGTGTGAGGGGACATGAGACCCGTGAGAGGGACTTTGCGGTAACCACCCGCCTGCTACTGCACGCCGCGTGGAATGCACACCTCCCTTGCTTACTAGGTACCGGTGCACATCACCGGGACATCACCAACACCAACACCAACACCTGGACCAAGACCAAGACCAAGACGCCACAGGCGCTCGACCCACCATCGAGCTGCATCTCCAACGGGTCCTTGCGACCCATCTGCGCAAGCCATGGGTGGCAGGGCAAGGAAAGGAAACAAGGGACGTGGGGGCAGTAGCTAAGTGGAGTAACTGGTTTTATTTTTACACCAACCGCTGACTGGTATATAGTTTCGAAGCGGCCCCATGGTAGCCTCGCCGGTATTCCCAGATAGGGCCCATGAGAGGGTCCCCATGACGGCACTTCCTGCCTCCCACAAAGCCACGGTAAATGCACGGCAGACGGCACCTTTCCCCGTTCTTGGACCCACCTTTCTGTACGCCGGCCGCAGGGCTTCGCCGATGCGTGTCATGAGGCTTCAAACAAGGGGGAAGGAAAAGCGGAGTTAGGTGGGCTACCGGAATGTTGAACCCCACAGGATACCGAGACCTGGCATCTTGCGTTCTGTTCGGACTCGATGGCACGAGTGCTGGGACCGCTACCTTTGGCGCCCGTCCAGTGACTCTTTCAAACCACTTACAGCTCATAGTGCTTGAGTTTCCACTCTGGCATGCTGGCGCTCTCAACCATGGCCTTCAGGTGGCCATCGATTTCACAGCAGAGGCTATCCGCGAGTCGTTGGGGCGCTGACCATAAGGTTGTCTGTGCGGGTGCTGAGTTGTGCAGGGAGCAGGCTCGCTTGCAAACGTTGCAGGTGCCTTGGCAAGCAACATCTGCAGGCTCGTCACGTGCAAGCAATGACCACGAGCTGCTCGATGACGATGCAGAGCTAGCCAACTCAGGAAAGGTATCCATTTCAAAGTGTTATTAGGTGTGCAGGTGTCTAGCGTAAGGAGAAGGAGTTTCCTCACAGTCGTTTCCTTGCGAAGCAACACAATTGGCAGCACCTCGTTATCACCTAATAGAAGTATAAGTATAAACACATCGTATGCCTGCCATTGGTAGCTGCTTCTGCCTGTGGATCTTGAACCTTGGGAAATGTGACTAGGCAAGCAAGCAACACAGGCAAAGCAACCTTTAGAAGGGACTGGACGACCGTAAGACAAACAGGAATACGTTTACTGACTCATGGCGTCTTACGCGGCGATTGTGTTGTTTTGCAATTGGTTTATCGTTGTCACTCGTTTACGACAGTCCTACAAGTACGACAGTCCCACTCCATTTTCTGCAAGAGGTGCAAGTGCTTAGTGCATAATACACATGCGCATGTAGAGGTCTAGCAATGTACCACAAAATACATCCCACCATCCTTCACACTCCGTACTGGCCAATCGTGAAGGGATGCATCCCCTTGGTACGGCGCCGACCGCCCTACCCCAACTGGCACGTCTCCTGCACAATGCAGGGAGCCATGCCCAAACAGGACGGCTGCAAACCACCTACACCAAACACGACCCGACTGAGAACCATCAAGAGCCACAGCAGCCAGTCCCGGCAACGAGCAACCACGAAACTCGCGTGACATGGTACGGTATCCACAATAAGCAGAGAGGCATTCGCCGAGGGGTCCCGCAAGCCAAGCAAGGTGTACGGTGTACGGTGTCGCCGCTACCGCATCCCTGTGGCTACCCCAGCAGCCCCGGCAGCAGCCAAAGCCAGCAGTCTGGTGGAAGGGGCGGGCGGCGGTTGCGGTTGGATGCCCTGCCGGTGGTGGTGAGCGGCGGAGGGGGGGCCTGCGGGCTGTGCACCCAGCAGGGGGTACCCGGGCTGTTGTTGGTGCCACTGCTGAGGCGCATGATTGGGCAGGTGAGGCGTCCGCTGCTGCTGCTGAAGCTGGTGCCGCTGCTCTTCATGCCGCTGCGGGGGTCGCAGCAGCGGAGGCTGAACAGTGGGGCGCAGTACCGGCGCCGCTGCTGCTGCCTCTACGTTGCCCTCCTCACCGCCGCCGCCACCTCCCGTGCCGTACAGCGCCGCCGCCGCCGCCACCACCTCGACGCCCAAGGCGGACTCCGCCCTCCGCGCCAAGTCCATGTAGCGAACCCAGCTGGCCTCGAAGTGCTGCGCCGCCGCCAGGTGCCGTTGCAGCGGCGGCAGCGGTGCAAATGTGATCCGCTGTACGACAGGCCTTCCATCGTCACCACCTCCGCCGCCTCCGCCACCGCCGTCATCGTCACCGTCGCCGCTGCCAGCTTCAGCTTCGTCTAGGGCGCTGCCGTCGGCATCGGCATCGGCGTCCTCGCTGCGGCTTACGCAGCTCTGGGCGCCGCCAACCCTGCCGTCGCCGCCGCCGACGTCGCCAGGAAAGCCCAGCGGCAGTACGGATGCTGCTGCAATACCAGACTGCGGGGGAGCCAGGCTGGGAAGACATGAAGCAGTCCATACGGGGAAGTAGGTCGCCGCAGCTGGTAGGGCCCAGGACAGCGGGGCTGACGGAGGTAGCAGCGGAGGCGCCGCTGGGGAAGCTGGCGGCGGCGGCGGCGGCGGCGGTGCTGCTACTGCATGTGCAGCTGGCGCAGCAGCCCGGCCGCTGCCGCCGGCGGGGGGACCTACCGGTAGCTTGCTGGTGATCGTTGCCGCCGTACTTGCCGTGATGGTTGCGAAGGCGGAGGAGGAGGCGTAGGCAGCGGGTGCACGCGGCGGCTCGCTGCATGAGGCCGCACTAGGCGGCTGCAGTGGCACGCAGCGGCTTTTCGGGCGCTGTTGCTCATGCGCGTCAGAGCCGGATTGCGCGGCGAAGTGGAAGAGCGATGAAGCTGACGCCGGCTGTAGCAACGCATGCGGTGGTGGTGGTGGTGGTGGTGGTGGTGGTTGAGATGGCGGTTGCGGTGGTGTTGGAGCTGCCGGTGATTGCAGCAACACGGGTGCAGCATCATGCAGCAGCTGCTGCTGCTGCTGTTGATGTTGGGGCGCCGCTGCTGCTGCCAGCACCGGCGCCTCTGCCCCTGCCGCCATGGATACCCTCGTTGCACCCCCTGGCTGGATCCCTGCCCATGCAGGCAACCCAGCTGTCGGCCGGCACACTTGAGCCAGGAGTGGCGCCGCCGCCGCCGGAGCCATGAATGCCGCCGGAGCCATGAATGCTGTCCGCGCCATGGTTGCCGCTTCTGACGTCACCGCCCGCGATACTGCGACCTCGGGTACCGGCGGCAGGCCGGGTGCCTCCGCCGCCTCCGCCCCAGCGGGCTCTGCCGCCAGGTATGTCGCTGGTGGGCGTGACGAGGATGCGGAGGATTTTTGCATTGACGGCGGCGGTAACGGTATTGAGGCGGAGGAGGCGGAGGCGGGGGCGAAGGCGGGGGAGTGCACTGCTGGGGGCAGCTGTTGGGAGCGGTAAGCCCACGACGGAAGCAACGAGGAAAAGCCCGACTGCTGCTGCTGCTGCTGCTCTGGTGACAACGGTGGCCTCGTTGACGCGGTTGCCCCAGTTGTAGTTGCTGCCGTTGTGACTGCTGCTGTTGTCGTTGCCCTCCCTACCTCAGCAGCCTGGCCGATAGTGGCCGGAGCAGCAGCATGAACAGCAGCAGCGGCAGCAGGGGCAGACGACGACACGCCCGCATGCGAGCCGCCCTCCTCGTGTGGAACCAGGCAGCCAGCTGGCGGTCTGCGCGCAGGTCCCGCCGTGGAGGACCGCCAGCCGCCTGCGCTACCTGCAGCAGCGGCAGCAGCGTCATTACCAGCAGCCGCCCTGCTGGTGGCGGTGGCAGCGGCGGCGGTGACGGAGGTGGTGGTGGCGGCTGCGGGTACCGCTGCCGGGGTATTGATGACACTCACAGGTGGTGGTGGGTGGGTACCGGACCCATCGGCGCCTGCATCGCCTCCGCCTGCGGGGCGGAAATTGCTGCCGCTGCTGCTGCTGCTGGCACCTTGGCTGGCGTGCATAGGCAACTGCGGCGGTGCGTGGGAGGGAGGAGCAGGCGGCTGACTGGTTGGGGTGCTGGGGCTAGAGGCGGCGACGGATGCAGCGGTGGTGGTGGTGGAGGCGGAGGGGGCAGCGGGAGCGAGGGCGGGTCTGCGGGTCGTGGAGGGACGGGGGAAGGGTTTGAAGCAGGCTGCATGGGCGGCTGCTGCCAGCGGATGGGCGAAGAGGGGCGCTAGCGGGTGCGGAACGAAGAGGCGCCGGGGGCCTGCAGCAGCAGGAGCAGCAGCTGGGGACGTAGGAGGAGGCAGAGAGGGTGGAGCAGCAGCAGTTGCGGCACCACCAGCAGCAGTTGGGGCAGCCGGGTGGGGCGCAGCTGAGGAGCAGCAATGCAGGGGCGACAGAGGAGGAGCGCAAGGCTGCTGCGGCTGCTGCGGCTGCACCCCACCGCCTCCGCCTCCACCGCTGTTGTTGTTGTTGTTCGCCGCCCCAGCGCTGCTGCCCACACTGACAGCGGGCTCCATGCCACTTCCTTCCCCGCCACTCTTTCCACTCCTGCCGCCATCGCCGTTATTGCCCTTCTCACCACCACCACCACCCCCTGTCGCCGCCCCCGCCGCCGCCAGCAGCCCCTCCAGCCAGCTCCCCAGGTCGCCGGGCGGCGGCTGCGGACTGCTCTTGTGACGCCACATGGTTCGCATCACGTGCTGCACATCCACCGCGTGGGAGGACAGGAAGGCCTCCAGCCGCTCCTCCGTGCCCTCCTCCTCGCCCTCAGCTTCATCGTCCTCCTCTTCATCGTCCTGCACCTCCTCGCCGCCTTCTTCTGACTCCTCCTCAGCTTCCTCAGCTGCCTCCTCCTCCCTCCCTGCAGCCTCCGCTCCGCCCGGACGTGCCCCGCCGCCTCCCTGCTCACGCCGGGGCAGGCACCAGGTGGGGGTCAAAGAACATATATCGCACCATGGCAGACACCAGGAGGGGGGACGAAGAGGAGGTCTTTACAACCTATTAACAAACCAGTGTGACACGGGCCCCCACCCCCACCCCCACGCCCGACCCGCACGCCCGCACGCACGGGGACCCTTGGACTTCCTGCAATCACAGTACGCCCCGACTCGCGGCCAGTTCCCTCAACACCCACCCGCACGCACCTGTTCAAACACCTGCCGTACCAGCTCCGTCTGCTGCTCCATGCCAAGGGGTCCGTCCAGCCCCCCCTGCGACGGCTGCCACAGTACCTTCGCTAGCGCCGCCAGCTGGCTGGGGGTGGGCCGGGAGGAGGGCGGTGGGGGGCGGGTTAGGGAGTTGACGAGTTTAAGAGGGTTTCCCCCATCGAGAGCCCTCACCCCGGCCTCGCCCCGCCCTCACCTTCCCCCTCACCCCGCCCCCTCACCCCATCATGTGGCGGCGGCGGAGGCGACGCGGGGGGCGCTGGCTCCTCCTCTGGCTCGGCCTCGGGTGCGGCTACATCCGCTGCATGTACCGACCCTGGCGCCGCCGCGTCCGCCGCCGGTGTCTCAGCGGCATCCGTAAGCCGCCTCGGATCCCCTCCTCCACCTCCACCTCCTCCACCACCACCACCACCAACGCCGCCGCCGCCGCCGTCAGCGCGTCTGGGCTTCTCGCGCGTCTTCTTCTCCTCCCTGCTGCTGCTGCTGCGGCCCCCTCCTCCTTCTTTGCCACGACCAGCTCCCCCGCTGCACCCTTCCCCGCCGTACACCGGCGGCGGGCCGTGCAGCCGGTCGGCCTTCCAAGCGGACAGCCCCCGGTAGGCTGCGTGGGCGGGGGCGGGGATGCCGGCCAGCGGGTCCTCGTACCAGACGTGCGCTTGCGGCTGCTGCTGCCCATGTACAGTGGAGGCACGCGACGGACGCGGCTCGTCATCGCCGTCGCTACTGCTGCTGTCGTCCTCGTCTTCATCCTCACTCGCATCGTCGTCTTCCTCGTCCCCGTTACCTCCAGCACTCTGCGCCGCAAAGCACGGATAGCAGAGGAGGTCAGGGACTTCTTTCTACACACATTCCTGTGAACCTTTGGGTACTTTACTTCTTTCTTTCTTCCTTACTTCCATTATTTCTTCCATCCTTCCTTCCTTCCTGCTACTCACCTGCTTTACGGGCGGCGGAGGCGCCCGCTTGCCGTAGCCCCGGAAGATCTTCTTTAGAACGACCCGTGGGTCGTCTCCGGGCGGCAGCAGCCCATCCTTAAGCGCCTGGGCGAACCTGTAGAGCTGCCTGGAGGGGGAAAAAGGGGGTTGTGGGGGCAATGTTGGGGGGCGGGTGGGCAGCAGGGGTAAGTGGGATGACTGTGCAATGGTGCGTACCTGCATGGAAGCTACTCATGCATATGGCCAGTGCGCTCGCAGGTTTCGTAAGAAGGGGTGGAAAAAGAGACACGCACCGGCCTGCGCCCGGCCGCTCCCAATCACTGCAAGACCGCCAGTATGGTCCTTCCCCTACAACACACGACACACACCACCCCCATCCTAGCACTCCGCTCCATACCTCCATTACTACCCCTCTCATATCCCCATACCCTTCTCCCTATCCTCCTCCTCCGCCCCATACGCTTCTCCCTCTCCCCCTCCCTCCCCTCGCTCACTTGAGCAGGTGTGTGACCTTGTTGCGCCACCCAATGAACACCCCCCGGTCGAACAGGCAGCCGCAATCGAACAGCACGTGCGGAGCCACCCGCGCCTGCAGCTCCTTGGCAGTCATACCGGGCTGCACGAACAGCGACAGAGCCTGGGGGCGGGGGCGGGCAGTGGGGAGGTAGGGGGTGAGTGGGTGTGGTGGGTGGGTGGGTGGGACGTGGGTGGGTGTATGCCATGTCCCCAGCAGCACACAGGTGTCCTTGCGGCCACATGCGGTCACGATGCTAGGCTGCAGCACCCACCATCCAGAATATCTGCGCAGCTGAGGCCGGCTGCCCCGCCGCCGCCCCACCAGCAGCTCCTCCTCCCCCTCCCCCTCCTGCCCCGCAGTCCTCCACCACGTGCCGTACAAGCGCCTCCACACAGAAGCTCTTGAGTTTGGGAACACTGTAGGCCTGCGGCACAGGCGCGCACAGCCGTTGCGGGCGCACACAACACCACACAGGAAGGACAGGGTTCGACAGCTCTGGTGGCGGGGGGACCGCAGCTGAGCCCCAGACGGGGTTCCAGCCTCCACCGCGTAACCCTGGAAACCTCCCTGGAGGGTGAAAGCCCTGGAGAAAAGCCCGCAATCGACTACCCCAACCTGCCCCCCCCTCCCCGGTCCGCCCCCTCTACCACACCTCCTTCATGAAGAGCTTGATGGCCCTCACCGCCAGCTTGGCGGGAGGGCACTGCACCAGCGTGTCAGCCACCTCCGACACCAGCGCCCCCACCGTTGCGAATTCGAACAACAGGTCAGCGGACAGCCGCACAGGCGGGGTGGGCTTGCTGCTGCTGCTGTTGTTATCGCTGCTGTTAGTGCTGGTGTTAGCGCTGCTGGTGCTCGTGCTGCCGGCGCCCGGGTAGCTACTCCCCGGAGAGCCGCTTGGAGCAGTAGCAGGGGGGGCGGAGGAGGCGGGGCGACCTGCAGCCGCCGCCGCGTCTGTCAGCGTAACGCTCAGGTCTGCTGACTTGCGGTGTCGCTTGATGCTCACGTGGCGGTAGTCGCCGCAGCGCCGTAGGGACCTCTGATGGGTTTCATGGTGGTGGGTTTCATGGGGGGTTTCATGGTGGTGGGTTTCATGGGGGGTTTCATGGTGGTGGGTTTCATGGTGGGTTTCATGGTTGTGGGTTTCATGGGGGGTTTCATGGTGGTGGGTTTCATGGGGGGTTTCATGGTTGTGGGTTTCATGGGGGGTTTCATGGTGGTGGGTTTCATGGGGGGTTTCATGGTGGTGGGTTTCATGGGGGGTTTCATGGTTGTGGGTTTCATGGGGGGTTTCATGGTGGTGCGTTTCATGGGGGGTTTCATGGTGAGTCTTTTTGAGGGGGTTTACGGAGGATGAGGTCCGGAGGAGGTCAGCTGTAGTTGCACTTCGTGCCCCTCTTCTTCACACCCTTGCACATCCATGCTCTCGGACTATCGAACTGCACAACGACCCATGGGTCGTCCCTCCCTCTCCCGCTACCCCACCCACCTCCACCGCATCCAGCAGCCGGTTCTTCAGCCGACGTGGCACGTCGTACTGCGTCTTGACGAGCAGGTCCACGTCACTGTCCTGCAGCGCCGTGCCCTTCATGACGGAGCCTTGGGAGGGGGTGTGTTGGGGAGGGTGCATTGGGGGGAGAGGGAAGGGAACCATGCGTTGAATGATAGTGGCAAAGTACGGCAACAGGCGACGAGCTTGGGGGCGGGAGGGATACACATGTGAGACACGCGGGGGATGCACGCAGTGTGGGGGGATAGGATACGGGGGTTTGGGAAGAGGGGGACTGCGTGCCTGGACATATGACCCGTGAGAGGGACGTTGCGGTAACCACCCGCCTGCTACTGCACGCCACATGGAATGCACACCTCCCCTGCTTAGTAGGTACCGGTGCACATCACCGGGACAACACCAACACCAACACCAACACCAACACCAAAACCTGGACCAAGACCAAGACGCCACAGGCGCTCGGACCCACCATCGAGCTGCATCTCCAACGGGTCCTTGCGACCCATCTGTGCAAGCCGGTGGTGGCAGGGCAAGGAAAGGAAACAAGGGACGTGGGGGCAGTAGCTAAGTGGAGTGTTTTATTTTACACCAACCGCTGACTGGTATAGCTTCGAAGCGGCCTCACGGTAGCCTCGCCGGTATTCCCAGATAGGGCCCATGAGAGGGTCCCCATGACGGCACTTCCTGCCTCCCACAAAGCCACGGTAAATGCACGGCAGACGGCACCTTTCCCCGTTCCTGGACCCACCTTTCTGTACGCCGGCCGCAGGGCTTCGCCGATGCGTGTCATGAGGCTTCAAACAAGGGGGGAGGAAAAGCGGAGTTAGGTGGGCTACCGGAATGTTGAACCCCACATGATACCGAGACCTGGCATCTTGCGTTCTGTTCGGACTCGATGGCACGAGTGCTGGGACCGCTACCTTTGGCGCCCGTCCAGTGACTCTTTCAAACCACTTACAGCTCATAGTGCTTGAGCTTCCACTCTGGCATGCTGGCGCTCTCCACCATAGCCTTCAGGTGGCCATCGATTTCACAGCAGAGGCTATCCGCGAGTCGTTGGGGCGCTGACCATAAGGTTGTCTGTGCGGGTGCTGAGTTGTGCAGGGAGCAGGCTCGCTTGCAGACGTTGCAGGTGCCTTGGCAAGCAACATCTGCAGGCTCGTCACGTGCAAGCAATGACCACGAGCTGCTCGATGACGATGCAGAGCTAGCCAACTCAGGAAAGGTATCCATTTCAAAGTCTTATTAAGTGTGCAGGTGTCTAGCGTAAGGAGAAGGAGTTTCCTCACAGTCGTTTCCTTGCGAAGCAACACAATTGGCAGCACCTCGTTATCACCTAATAGAAGTATAAGTATAAACACATCGTATGCCTGCCATTGGTAGCTGCTTCTGCCTGTGGATCTTGAACCTTGGGAAATGTGACTAGGCAAGCAAGCAACACAGGCAAAGCAACCTTTAGAAGGGACTGGACGACCGTAAGACAAACAGGAATACGTTTACTGACTCATGGCGTCTTACGCGGCGATTGTGTTGTTTTGCAATTGGTTTATCGTTGTCACTCGTTTACGACAGTCCTACAAGTACGACAGTCCCACTCCATTTTCTGCAAGAGGTGCAAGTGCTTAGTGCATAATACACATGCGCATGTAGAGGTCTAGCAATGTACCACAAAATACATCCCACCATCCTTCACACTCCGTACTGGCCAATCGTGAAGGGATGCATCCCCTTGGTACGGCGCCGACCGCCCTACCCCAACTGGCACGTCTCCTGCACAATGCAGGGAGCCATGCCCAAACAGGACGGCTGCAAACCACCTACACCAAACACGACCCGACTGAGAACCATCAAGAGCCACAGCAGCCAGTCCCGGCAACGAGCAACCACGAAACTCGCGTGACATGGTACGGTATCCACAATAAGCAGAGAGGCATTCGCCGAGGGGTCCCGCAAGCCAAGCAAGGTGTACGGTGTACGGTGTCGCCGCTACCGCATCCCTGTGGCTACCCCAGCAGCCCCGGCAGCAGCCAAAGCCAGCAGTCTGGTGGAAGGGGCGGGCGGCGGTTGCGGTTGGATGCCCTGCCGGTGGTGGTGAGCGGCGGAGGGGGGGCCTGCGGGCTGTGCACCCAGCAGGGGGTACCCGGGCTGTTGTTGGTGCCACTGCTGAGGCGCATGATTGGGCAGGTGAGGCGTCCGCTGCTGCTGCTGAAGCTGGTGCCGCTGCTCTTCATGCCGCTGCGGGGGTCGCAGCAGCGGAGGCTGAACAGTGGGGCGCAGTACCGGCGCCGCTGCTGCTGCCTCTACGTTGCCCTCCTCACCGCCGCCGCCACCTCCCGTGCCGTACAGCGCCGCCGCCGCCGCCACCACCTCGACGCCCAAGGCGGACTCCGCCCTCCGCGCCAAGTCCATGTAGCGAACCCAGCTGGCCTCGAAGTGCTGCGCCGCCGCCAGGTGCCGTTGCAGCGGCGGCAGCGGTGCAAATGTGATCCGCTGTACGACAGGCCTTCCATCGTCACCACCTCCGCCGCCTCCGCCACCGCCGTCATCGTCACCGTCGCCGCTGCCAGCTTCAGCTTCGTCTAGGGCGCTGCCGTCGGCATCGGCATCGGCGTCCTCGCTGCGGCTTACGCAGCTCTGGGCGCCGCCAACCCTGCCGTCGCCGCCGCCGACGCCGCCAGGAAAGCCCAGCGGCAGTACGGATGCTGCTGCACTACCAGACTGCGGGGGAGCTAGGCTGGGGAGACATGGAGCAGTCCATACGGGGAAGTAGGTCGCCGCAGCTGGTAGGGCCCAGGACAGCGGGGCTGACGGAGGTAGCAGCGGAGGCGCCGCTGGGGAAGCTGGCGGCGGCGGCGGCGGCGGCGGCGGTGCTGCTACTGCATGTGCAGCTGGCGCAGCAGCCCGGCCGCTGCCGCCGGCGGGGGGACCTACCGGTAGCTTGCTGGTGATCGTTGCCGCCGTACTTGCCGTGATGGTTGCGAAGGCGGAGGAGGAGGCGTAGGCAGCGGGTGCACGCGGCGGCTCGCTGCATGAGGCCGCACTAGGCGGCTGCAGTGGCACGCAGCGGCTTTTCGGGCGCTGTTGCTCATGCGCGTCAGAGCCGGATTGCGCGGCGAAGTGGAAGAGCGATGAAGCTGACGCCGGCTGTAGCAACGCATGCGGTGGTGGTGGTGGTTGAGATGGCGGTTGCGGTGGTGTTGGAGCTGCCGGTGATTGCAGCAACACGGGTGCAGCATCATGCAGCAGCTGCTGCTGCTGCTGTTGATGTTGGGGCGCCGCTGCTGCTGCCAGCACCGGCGCCTCTGCCCCTGCCGCCATGGATACCCTCGTTGCAACCCCTGGCTGGATCCCTGCCCATGCAGGCAACCCAGCTGTCGGCCGGCACACTTGAGCCAGGAGTGGCGCCGCCGCCGCCGGAGCCATGAATGCCGCCGGAGCCATGAATGCTGTCCGCGCCATGGTTGCCGCTTCTGACGTCACCGCCCGCGATACTGCGACCTCGGGTACCGGCGGCAGGCCGGGTGCCTCCGCCGCCTCCGCCCCAGCGGGCTCTGCCGCCAGGTATGTCGCTGGTGGGCGTGACGAGGATGCGGAGGATTTTTGCATTGACGGCGGCGGTAACGGTATTGAGGCGGAGGAGGCGGAGGCGGGGGCGAAGGCGGGGGAGTGCACTGCTGGGGGCAGCTGTTGGGAGCGGTAAGCCCACGACGGAAGCAACGAGGAAAAGCCCGACTGCTGCTGCTGCTGCTGCTGCTGCTGCTCTGGTGACAACGGTGGCCTCGTTGACGCGGTTGCCCCAGTTGTAGTTGCTGCCGTTGTGACTGCTGCTGTTGTCGTTGCCCTCCCTACCTCAGCAGCCTGGCCGATAGTGGCCGGAGCAGCAGCATGAACAGCAGCAGCGGCAGCAGGGGCAGACGACGACACGCCCGCATGCAAGCCGCCCTCCTCGTGTGGAGCCTGGCAGCCAGCTGGCGGTCTGCGCGCAGGTCCCGCCGTGGAGGACCGCCAGCCGCCTGCGCTACCTGCAGCAGCAGCAGCAGCGGCATTACCAGCAGCCGCCCTGCTGGTGGCGGTGGCGGTGGCAGCGGCGGCGGTGGTGGCGGTGACGGTGGTGGCGGTGACGGAGGTGGTGGTGGCGGCTGCGGGTACCGCTGCCGGGGTATTGATGACACTCACAGGTGGTGGTGGGTGGGTACCGGACCCATCGGCGCCTGCATCGCCTTCGCCTGCGGGGCGGAAATTGCTGCCGCTGCTGCTGCTGCTGCTGGCACCTTGGCTGGCGTGCATAGGCAACTGCGGCGGTGCGTGGGAGGGACGAGCAGGCGCCCGTGTGGTTGGGGTGCTGGGGCTAGAGGCGGCGACGGATGCAGCGGTGGTGGTGGTGGAGGCGGGGGCAGCGGGAGCGAGGGCGGGTCTGCGGGTCGTGGAGGGACGGGGGAAGGGTTTGAAGCAGGCTGCATGGGCGGCTGCTGCCAGCGGATGTGCGAAGAGGGGCGCTAGCGGGTGCGGCACGAAGAGGCCCCGGGGGCCTGCAGCAGCAGCAGCAGCAGCAGCAGCAGCTGGGGACGTAGGAGGAGGCAGAGAGGGTGGAGCAGCAGCAGTTGCGGCACCACCAGCAGCAGTTGGGGCAGCCGTGTGGGGCGCAGCTGAGGAGCAGCGCTGCAGGGGCGACAGAGGAGGAGCGCAAGGCTGCTGCGGCTGCACCCCACCGCCTCCGCCTCCACCGCTGTTGTTGTTGTTGTTCGCCGCCCCAGCGCTGCTGCCCACACTGACAGCGGGCTCCATGCCACTTCCTTCCACGCCACTCTTTCCACTCCTGCCGCCATCGCCGTTATTGCCCTTCTCACCACCACCACCACCCCCTGTCGCCGCCCCCGCCGCCGCCAGCAGCCCCTCCAGCCAGCTCCCCAGATCCCCGGGCGGCGGCTGCGGACTGCTCTTGTGACGCCACATGGTTCGCATCACGTGCCGCACATCCACCGCGTGGGAGGCCAGGAAGGCCTCCAGCCGCTCCTCCGTGCCCTCCTCCTCCTCGCCCTCAGCTTCATCGTCCTCCTCTTCATCGTCCTGCACCTCCTCGCCGCCTTCTTCTGACTCCTCCTCAGCTTCCTCAGCTGCCTCCTCCTCCCTCCCTGCAGCCTCCGCTCCGCCCGGACGTGCCCCGCCGCCTCCCTGCTCACGCCGGGGCAGGCACCAGGTGGGGGTCAAGAAACATGTCGCACCATGGCAGACACCAGGAGGGGGGACGAAGAGGAGGTCTTAACAACCTATTAACAAACCAGTGTGACACGGGCCCCCACCCCCACCCCCACGCCCGACCCGCACGCCCGCACGCACGGGGACCCTTGGACTTCCTGCAATCACAGTACGCCCCGACTCGCGGCCAGTTCCCTCAAAACACACACCCGCACGCACCTGTTCGAACACCTGCCGTACCAGCTCCGTCTGCTGCTCCATGCCAAGGGGTCCGCCCAGCCGGCCCTGTGACTGCTGCCACAGTACCTCCGCCAGCGCCGCCAGCTGGCTGGGGGTGGGCCGGGAGGAGGGCGGTGGGGGGCGGGTTAGGGAGTTGACGAGTTTAAGAGGGTTTCCCCCATCGAGAGCCCTCACCCCGGCCTCGCCCCGCCCTCACCTTCCCCCTCACCCCGCCCCCTCACCCCATCATGTGCGCAGCCCGCGTGTTCCACAGGCTGAACGCCCCCCGGTCGAACAGCGAGCGGCAGCACACGGAGCAGCTGCCCAGCACGCGCGCATCCAGGCAGGCGGCGTCGGGTTCAGTCAAGAAGAGGCCAAGAGCCTGCGGGCTGGGCAGGTGGGGGGGGAGGGGAGGAGGGAGGTCCTAAGATCTGGGCAGGTGGGGTCGAAGACCATACCGAACCATAGAAATGGGCCGCGGCTTTAGGATGCCGCGCAACTACTGCAGCACCCCCTCCTACCTCCTACGCCCTCTCCTCCCTTCAAGCCACCAAAACGCCCACCCCTCCACCCACCCTCCGCCCACCCACCATGTAAAAGGCTTGTGCCACGGATTCACTTGGCGTGGCCTGCACCACCTCGTCCCCTGCCGCCCCTCCGCCTCCTGCCGCCCCTTCCGAGGGTGTTACGGGTAGTGTGCCGCACACGCGGCCCCCGCCGTACTGCCCCACCACATGTCGTACAAGCGCCTCAATGCAGTAGCTCTTAAGCCGCCTGATGCTGCCAGCCTGAAGCAGAGGCAAGGAAGGATGGGGGGAGGAAAGCAACCGGGTGTTTAAACGTAGGAACAAAGTGACGTCTCCTACCAATTTTGGGCTGAAGTCGGTCATTCTTTGGCTGTCTGTTGGCAACCGCGACCCATGGGTCAGCAAGTCACCCCACTTCAGTACCCCTCTTCTACCGCTCCCTCACACGCACTCTCCCACCCACTCGCACCCGCACCCGCACCCCACTCCCTCCTGCCTTCCTTCCCTCCCTCCCAGTCCTCACCCTCTGTTGGAACAGCTTGAGTCCCATCACCGCAAGCCGCCCGCCACCACCGCCACCACCGCCACCCAGCGCCGGATCTCCCTCCTCCGCCCCCTCCAGCAACGGGCTCAGCGGCTCCCCCACCGTGCCGCTCTGGAACAGCAGATCGCAGCTCAGCAGCACATCAGCAGTAGCAGGGGCAGCAGCAGCAGCAGCAGCAGCTGCAGCAGTAGCAGCGGCCCCGCCCCCAACTGCATCATGCAGGGAACTAGGTGCGGGGACACCCGTCACCTGCACCACCAGCCTGCCTGCCAACCCGGGGCGAAGCTGCAGCTGCTGTTGCTCTTCCTGCTGTAGCTGCCCCTGCTTTTGCTGCTGCTGCTGATTGTCTACCTCCCCCGCCTCGTCCGCTGCCCCCGCCGCCCCCTCCTCCTGCACCGCGCCCCCAGCCCCCCCCTCCGCCGCAGTCCTCCTGGTCGTTACCCCGAACTCCGCGGACTTGCGACGCGGGTAGAAGGCGACCCGCCCGCGACCGTAGATGGAGCGTAAGTGGCGCTGGGAGGGGGAGGGAAGGCAGCGCATGGGAGCAGGGCTGGTTGGTGGTTAGGTGGGTGGGTACATGCGTTGCGATGCGATGCGTGATGGTCCTCCCCCTGCGTTAGCCCGCCCGAGCCGCTGCACCCCACCTGGTGTTGTCCCTGTCCCTCTCCTCACCCTGCAGCCTGCACCCCACCTGTATGGCCGTGTGCAGCCGGTTCTTGACCCCGCGCGGCACATGCAGCCCCCCCCGCACCACCACCAGGTCCAGGTCGCTGCCCGACAGCGCCAGTCCCTTGGGGGTGGAGCCTGGAGGGGGAGGGGGAAAAGAGGAAACAACTAACTGACTGAGGGATAAGGCGTCAACATGGGTTGCAACATGTGAGCCAGCCAGAACCCGCCCAGCCCGAAGGGAGGGGGAGGTGTGGGAGGGAGGGGCGGGGGGTGGAGGGGTGGGGGAGGACGGAGGAGCGGGTGCGGGTGCGGGCAGCTCGAGAGCAGCTCTGCAGGCAGGACACAAGGTATAGGAGTGCCCTGAGATGGCGGGGGTGATGGGGGTGCCGCCAAACCCTGCAGCTAAGTTGGCCAAGTTGGCCATGCAGCTAAGTTGACCCATGACTTCCGCTCGTCTCACAGCGACAGCCTACAGCCCCGCTCCCCCGCTCCCCTCCCCCCCTCGCCATCTGTCTCATCCCCCCCCCCCGCACCATCTGGCAGCACTCGGGCCTCTCCCAGACCCCACTGTGGTGCCCAGCGGGCGGTGGGAGGTGGGCGGGGTGGGAAGGAGGGCAATGGACGTTAGGCGGGTAGGCAGGTAGTGAAGGGGGCCGAGGGAGCGAGGGCTGTGCAAAGCTGGGAGCAAGGGCGGCACAGGCCCCGCATGCATGCAGGCAGGCAGGTGATAGGCACGCAGGGTGCACCGGGGAGGCTACCCGGCATGCGAGGCAAGCCACAGAACACACTTTGCGCATATACACACACACCCGGCTCCTGCGGCGGTTCTGTGGGGACTTCATCTTCCGACATCCCAGTACGTTCCTACTCGCGGCCAGTTTTCTTAACACACCCCGCCAGCTCCCCCCCGCTCCCGTCCGCTCCCACCCGCGAGAGTGCCATGTTGACCACCCACTCCACCTGGACCCGCAGCCTGCATGCATGCGGGGGACGGGAGGGGGGGGTCAAAGACCATAACATACCATAGGAAACCACAGGTTGGGGTAAATCGATGGGGGAGCCAGCGCCGGTGGGCAGTGGGGTATACGCTCATCTCAGTTGCAGGCGTTGGGGGGTACGGCAGGAGTAGGAGTCCGGCAGGGGACTAACGGATAACGGACGTGGGCAGTCGGGGTACGACAGCACGACGACAGCAGGGTAGCAGGACAGCAGAGGGAGAGGTCAGGAGGGGAGTGATGGCCAACTGGGCCCAACCAGGAACACACACACACATACATGCACATGTCTGGGGAGGTTCTATTCCATCGACCAAACTAGCACGGCCGCCGGGCAAGGGAGCGCATCAAGATGGAGGCTACTTAGCATAGCAGATAGGGAAGGCGTGAGGGCCCACCTCTCGTACATCTCCTTCTTCCATGCGGGCATCTCGTTTTGCTTAATGTACTCCCGCAGCGGTTGCTCCAGCGCCCAAGCGAGGTGGCTGGGCAGCATGTGGGGCGGGCGCCATAGCTGCTGCTGTTGCTTCGTCCGAGCGCCACAGGTGCAGGGACATGTGCAATTGATGGCAGATCGGGAGGCGTTGTAGCCATCCGGAGTTATTTCAACAGGCGCCTGCGTGCCAAGTTATGACATAGCGCGCGAGAGAGAAGTACAATTTTGCAGCGAATGCTACAACGGCGTACAAAGGGCTCGGTTGATACGGGATGCTGCTGATCATAATGCGGTTAGGACCAGACCGACCATCGTCGACGGCCGCAAGCTTCTAAGTAATGAGGTAAATGGTACAGCAGGTCAAAGAAAGCTTAGCGATAGTGCGCTACAAAGAAAGGTTACCTGGCCAGACATCCTATGATGGTACCCCAAGCCGTTCAAGGTTTGCGAGGCAGCGTAGTTGCAATAAGCTAAGTATTGTCAAGCATGTGTTTTCGGTTTCTCGGATTGTGAGGGAATAGCAGATCTTGTCGCGACTTTCTATTGAACGCAGCTTGCGCGACCGGCGGTTCAGGTCTAGCCCCTATTTAAACCCTGTGAAACGTATCCATAGTTGTATGATGTCATCTTTCCTTATGGCCATTTCAGTATAGCATAACCAAGAGCGATGTGAAGCCATGCATTAAGTATGCCTAAAGGCCAGCCTTAAACACTGATAACGCCATGCACACTGAGCCCTTTCTTCAAGCATGGACTTTTGCTTGCAACAATGTCAACGGCTACCGGTTGCACGAGCATGACAAAGGTATGTACGGCAAATGCTTGTTGACTCCCCTGTAAAAATCGCATACTTGTTGAACTCGTACCCGTGCTTAGGGGCATAGGTAGGGTGTAGGGGCACAAGTAGGGGCCCATATACGTCACAGGAAGGGGCCGAGGTTCGGCACAGGTGCTGCAAAGGGCAACGTGCCTGACAATAGGTATCTACGTGCGTGCAGGTTGCCAGGGAGTGCTGGGCGCCGCTGATCACATGTTTGGTCGCGCTTGGGGGATACGTACGGGATGTCATCCAAAAGGTGATCGGCCATGGATGTCCGCGGCCTGGCAGATACCACCAGGGTTGGCCACATCCATTACGGATGGGGTTGCTGTTGTTTTGCCTTGGCTCGGGTTGGCTCGTCTTATGAACAACAGGAGACATAGCGTCGTTCTTTGGATCGCAGTCATCCTTAAGCCGCTTAGTGAGTCTGCAATCCAGGGGCACAATCGCCAACAGTAGCAAGTTATGGAGCCAAACGACAGAGCTCATGCGGGTTACCTTCCCAAGCGGAAGTGGCGGCATTTAGCCTAGGTAAAAGCATTATGCGTGGCAGCTTGCGCGGGCCAAGTTGGAGCTCGAAAGTATGCGTACGCTCAACGCAACCGTACGTACTCGTTGTCTAACGGCTAGTGTGGATCGAAGGGTTCCTCTGGCAGCAATTGCATAAATAGATGTAATCAAATTCTTAAAGAGGTAGCTGCACTGCCGACCGGCAGGCCCTGCGTAGCGATCTCTCGCAGCATACGCAGCAGTCAGACAGCCAAAAGACAGCATGGTACAAAAGGGCAAAACCTTTAATAGGCAGAAAGCCTCGATGATTAGCATTAATACCAAAGTGGTAAGAAGGAGTTGCACTAACATATTCCGCAGTAGCAAAGTAACTGAACTAGACGGCGGCATACATACGCCGTGACATTGTTGGCTTATATGTGAGCCGCTATGACCTGTTTCTATAGCGTTTTGGGTCTGACAATATTCTCAGCACTTCTTGTTTCTGCTCAAGGGCCGGATTCAGGAGACATTAGCAGCAGTGACTATATAATCGAGCCGGACGTCAACGCCCTATTTGCAAAGAAACTTACGCTCTATAGGAGCACCTTACCTGAAGGGCTTCGGCAGCAAGCGACCACCCAAGATGCGCTCATGCAGCTTTTGCACCCAACGCTGCAGTTTTTGTACGCGGATAGTTATACCCAGATCCTGCAGCATCAGTTTATTGTGCCGGAGCTGGGGTCATTGTTTGACGGCGAGGTGGCCTCGCTACTCAGCAACATCACGTACATCCAGGAGCACAGCCATGAGCTGCCGTTTAAGTTGTCACTGCGCCTACTCCTGGCGACGCTTGAGATCTTTGATCCAACCCGCTATACATCCATCCTGACAGCGTACCCGATTAGCCGGCGTGCTGTGACAGCTTTCCTTCTTGACCATTACCTGCATGTCGGTAACTTCACGGCCGACGAGGGGGAGGTGGTCGTCAAAATCTGCAAGCGGCTGTTCCAAATGCACAAGCTGGCAGCGCTTACGAAGCGCATTGTAGAGTTCTTCCACGTATCCAAATCCGGAGGGACCAGCTTTTGCCAGCTCGGCAAATTGAACGGCTGCAAGACCGAAAACTTCACGACCACTCAGAACTGCCTGATTACCTACTTCAGGTGAGCCATGGAAGGGTTCATGCACCTAAGCCAAACCTATTATGCCCCCCCCCCCACACACGCCTCGCTTCCGCACCCCGGTCCTCCTAGCCCGATCCATGTCATGCCCGTTTCCCACACGAACCCTCGTCCCGCCCCCCCCCACCCGGCTCACCCCCTGCCGGGTATCATCCCCCCCACCCGACCCCCTGCCCCCCCTCCCACACTTATTTAATTATTTCTCCCCTCCCACCCCCTCCCTCTCCCCGCCCCCTAAGGGACGCCCCCCGCTGGACCATGCCGGGTGTGTTGGGAGAGCTGAGTGTACGGCAGGGCGACCCCTGGTGCGCCCGGTACGGCAGGCAGTACTCGCTGCGCTGGCACTGCCGGGCGCGGCGGCAGCTGCTGACCCGCATGAGGTGCGGGGGGGGGGCCTGGGGTGGCTGGGGGGTCGGAGGGGAGGAGCTCCTACTCCCTGGTATAATGGTAACCCTACCGCGCCCCTCCCGCGCCCCTGCCGCGCCTCCATGCTCGCCCCCCCCCATGGTCCCATGCCCCTTTCATGCCTCCCACGCCTCCCACGCCTCCCATGCCTCCCTGCCCCGCAGGTTCAACTTCTACTCCAACGAGCTGGTCATGCACGACCACAACCGCTCCTGGACCGGGGTGCACCCCTGCCGCGAGTTCCTCAATGTGGTGATCTTCAGGGAGCCGGAGGCGCGGGTGGTCAGCCACCTGCAGGTGATTGGGCGGGGGGGAATTATATAAGTGAAACAACGAGTCCCGATCCCATATCCCCGACTCATGCAGTGAGCGCATGGGGGGAAGCGGGGGTGGCTGCCGGAGGGGAAGGGGGCGCCAGAGAGAAACCAAACCGCACACATACCGCGGCCACTTTCTTTTACCTTACCCCCCGTGTATCGCAACCTTACTGCCTCGTACCCTCCCCACCCTCCCGCCCACCCCACCTCGCACCCCGCACCCCAACAGAACATCCTGAAGCTCTACGTCTGGTACTACAACGCAACCTTCTGGGAGTACTTCGACCCCGCCTCGCCGCAGCAATGGGCGCGGCTGGCACCCCCCGTGTTCGACAACTATGTCGTACGATCCCTCCTGGGCGGCCAAGCGTACAACATGCCGTACGGAACCGTTAACGCAACCCACCTCCTGGCCGCCAAAATCGTCACCATGCAATTCGAGGTGCTGCTGAGCCTGACGCCACAGAGCTCGGAGCTAACGCAGGACATCTTTGGGTTGGGGCTGGGCTGGCAGTACGATTTACGGCACTTGCACGCAAGGCCCACGGAGGCTAAATCCGTGCCTGTGTTTGCGCCGGCGGTGATGGAGGCGGTGCGGGCGGGGCGGCGGTGGGACGGGGAGCTGTACGAGTTTGCGTTGGTGTTGCAGTTGTTGGATGCGGTTGCGTTTGGCGTGGCGCACGATGTGGGTGGTGTGGGACCGGTGGGGGTTGCGGGTGGGGGTGAGGGTGGCGGTGGGGGTGCGGGTGGGATGGGGAGGAAGCTGCCCAAGGGGATGTGCGGGTATGTGGGTCTGAAGAAGAAGCCACGGCCGCCCAAATGGAAGTGGGCGAATAGCACGATTAGCACCGGTAGTGGTAGTGGTGATGGTGGTGGTATTGTTGTGGGGAATAGCAGCATTGGTAGTGCTGTGTTTGCGGGTGGTAATGTGACGGAGGGTGGTGCGGGTGCGGTGGAGGGAGGCGGGGGGATAGCGTTGCAATTGGCAGGGTTGGGTTTGATGGTGATTGAGGGAGGGCGCTGGTTCAATGGGACGTTTTACCGTAATGCGAGTGTGGCGGAGGAGTTGGCGGTAGCAGCCGCGAACGCTGCAGCGGCGGCGGCGGAGGCAGCGGCACTAGCAGCGGCGGCGGCGGCGGAGGCGGAAAGGGTGCGGGCGGAGATGGCGAGTGGGCAGGTGCGGTTGGGTATGGTGCAGGTGCAGGCGGAGGGTGCCAGCCTAGCTGAGGCGGTCAGGGGGCAAGCTCATGCGGATGCAGCAGGGCAATCGGTAGCAGGGGCAGTGGAAGCAGTGGCAGCAGCAGGGGCAGTGGAAGCAGGGGCAGCAGCAGGGGCCGCAGCAGCAGCACAGGAGGCTGCTGGAGTGCGAGCAGCAGCAACAGCGGCCTCCCCGCTGCAGGTTGCCTCTGCAGCCGTTGCCTCTGCAGTCCCCCAGGTGGAGGCGTCTGCGGCCTCTACGTCGTAACCTGCGGCGGTTGCAGTCCTTGCAGCAGCCCTGGTGGCGGCGGGTGGGACAGCAACAGCAGCCCCACCTGTTGCTGTCCAGCCAACACAACAGCGGGAAAAACAACACCGCCGACGGCACCGCCTGCAGCAACGTGATGAGTTGCGTACACGGGGGCGCCGAGGGTCTCCCTATCTATGATGATAACACAACCCATGATTATTTTTAATCCTTGTGCAGACTGTCTGCGTGCGTATTTTGGTCGTCGTCTTGGTGCTCAGTTGCGTTGTTCGCGTGCCCCGCGGTGTGAGGTGAAGTGCTGCGTGTGTGCTGTGATTGCTTGGTTTGTCATGAACTGTTTGTATGCTGTGCATGCAATGCGTGTTATGATATGAAATGATGAGCGCGAGGCCGGTGGCCGGTGGTGATGACGCCTGAAGTGGTCCCCATCCTGGACGGACGCCATGAAGCAGCTGGGAGGAATATCAAATGCATGTTAAAGGAGTTAAGCATAAGAAGACCATGTCTATGTGTGATTGCACCGGTAAATACATATCCGTACTGCTTTCGGTGGCTGCAAAGCAATTGTACGTCTCCTGACAAATGGAACATGACAGCTCTAGCGGCGGCGTTTTGGTTGGGGCAGAGGTGGTGTTGTGGGTTTGCCTGGGTGCCGTACGGTAGGTAAAGGCAGCATGGCGTGGTGCGTACGCCTGCATGTCAGCGTGTGTTACGAAACATCGAAAACTGGCTGCATGCGTGTATGCCTGTGTGTGTTTTGCATCAAAGAAAGGGCTTCTCCACATGTTTCCGCAGTTGAGGAGGAGGGGGGGTGCTCGCTGCACAGCAGTACCAGGGAGGCAGCACCTTTTAGCAGGCGAGGATGTCTTGCGGATAACTATTATAAACACGCGCGGCGCTGTGAGGTGCGGTGCGCATGATGACCGGCGTGAGGTGGGGTTTCCCTACCAGCTACCGGTTGAGAGAGATGTGACATGTACAGTGGTAAAGGCTGCGCATACGGTGCCAAGTCATCACCTGTACAGTGGTAAAGGCTGCGCATACGGTGCCAAGTCATCACTCCATATTGTTACATGTTTAAGACAAGGCACGCACGCACAGCTGCGCATACGAGCAGCCACACGTGCTTGACTCCTTATTCCCTCCGTCATTCGGCCCACCTCACCTACCTAACAGGGTACCATGGTAACTCCTCAACCGCTTTCACGTCGCCAATACCTCAGCAAACAACTGCCTCACGGAGAAATGTCCACGTTAATCCTGCCTCTCCCCACGGCATGCAAACCTCGTGTTAATCATTACATGTCGTACATATGTCGTTGTACGACCTAGGCACACAGTACGACCTAAGCAAGGAGAAGGGCCATGCCGTACCTTTACTGGCGTACCACCACCTTACTGTTTTTGCTTGTTATTTTGCTAACTGCAACGATCCAGCAAATGTGAGAACCTACCTAGCCCAGCCTCTCAGGGAAGCCACCAAGGGCGAGGTAGATAGGAAATGTCCTGCGGGCTCCCCTTATCATGCACGCCAAAACTGCCACCGTAACAGTAGGTAATGCTTGCAGGACGTATCAACAAGAGGAACGTCCCTAACCACCCAACAACAGAAATAACTAAATCGTAATGTTCTTCTCAGGCTCTTGCTCCTCGAGGCTCTTTCCCCCCTCGGCGACGACGCGACAGACGAGCTTGACGAGTTCATTGCACCAACAAGTACGAGGCATGGCGTGTTTGGTTGGTGCAGCCAGACACACCGTCTCGCCCAGCACCAGTTGTGACGAATTGGCGACTGCCCGCAGAGGTCAAAATGCTATCAGGCGCCGGCCCCTGTTGCGCAGCTCCGTGCAGGGGTAACCCAGCTCCTGACACTTCTCACACAGCTCTTCAGGGTGCGGCTTGGACGGGTCGATCTTGTCCTCCTCGTCCTCCAACTTCTCAAGCTTTTTCTGCTTGTACGGGTACACCAGGATGTTGCACCGCGTGCATTCCTGACCCTTGTTGGCCCAGCTGTTTCCGCTCTGCCACCCGCGTCGGCACTTTGGGCAGCGGAAAAAGCCGAAGGAGCGGAACTTCCCCTGGTAGGGAGTTCGCTGCTTAGGCGCATCGCCGTCGGTTGCGACCTCCTGCTTCTTGCTTCGTTGGCTTGCTACGATGATAAGGGAACGCGGCTGTGCGATGACATAGTGGCTACTTTTCGCGGGTGCGGATTGCCTCGTTGTTGGGCGGATGGTTACTCGCGAGCAACAGCCGAGGAGGGCAAACATGGCTAAACTTGCGCTATGCACTACAAATAAAAAGCGTGAGTAAAAGTTCAGATCAAGATTGTCTTTTCAATTCCAGCAACTGGTATTTAAGATCGTATCTGTCATATCAATCGCCGTGCCTTTCACGGTAGTTGACGGTACATACTGGGGATTAACGCTGCTGCCTAGCTTATGCACTAGGAAAATTAGCACAGTATGTAGCCAATAATGAAAGGCTTGGGGCATTATAAGCTTCCACCTTGTCCTAAATGCCGATTCGTCTTCTTCAGGAGACTTTTAGCGAAGGGACGGTTGCAGACCTATGACATACAAGGGGTATAAATCATATAATGCACAGGACTCTATTTTGTTACAGTTCAGTCAAGGGCTGTCTCTACTGCGACAAATCTGATGGATTATTGGCGACGCTTCCACTGAGCTAGCGGCGCCACACCCCATTCTGCGTCATTTTGGCATTCAAAGTTCCGTCGGAGTCTTACACCCTTAAAACATCTCATGCCCGAATTAAAAACGGGATTGGGGTTGCGAGGTGCTTCCGACCCACGGGTCAAACGCTGCGTCTAACCGACGTCCCACTGCGACACCCCCACATAAGCAACCTGACCCCAACTAAGCAACGCATGCAAGTGCTTCTCTCTTTTATCTACGGCTTCCCTGCCATTCAAAATAATTCAGCTACGAAGTGTCGTACGCACGTCCACTGCCGATCTCCCGTCTGCAGCAATTTCATACATGCGTATACCGTAACCCCCATACCTATGCAGTTATTTATGGGTGCTTGCATGCCCCAACATACTATCAACAAACCAGCCGACCAACCAGTACCAACGCAGTCGTACAATACCGTTGCTTGGTGCTGTGCACTCCTGCCTCTCAAGTGTCATGGGCAAAACCCCCACGCGCAACAAAACCCCCTGCCCCCTTCCATACCCCCTCCAACCTCCCCACCTGCTAAGCCCGCTCCTCCCAGCATTGCTCCCTCATCTTATACTGCCTGACTTGCAAGTGCCTTGGGCCGTGCCCCATGCGCCTGCAACAACTCACCTACGCTGCTACGCATGCATCCCTTCTTCCCTTGCCCTGCCACTACCACCAAGACGACCGGCCCCTGCTGCGCAGCTCCGTGCAGGAGTAGCCCAGCTCCTGGCACTTCTGACACAGCTCGGCAGGGTGCGGCTTGGACGTGTCGATCTTGTTCTCCTCGTCATCCATCTTCTGAAGCTCTTCTTGCTTGTAGGGGTACACCAGGATGTTGCAGTACTTGCACTCCTGCCCCTTGTTCGCCCAGCTGAAGCCGCTCTGCCAGTGTCGACTGCAACGCGGGCAGCAGAAGTAGCCGAAGCGGCGGTCCTTCCCCTGGTAGGGCGTTAGGTTATACCGCTGCGGCTTGCCGCCGCCGTTGCCGTGCTTCTTTCGAGCCATGAGACGCGCCCAGGAAACTGTCGTGCGTTACGTGGGTGTTACTATCCGTGACCGGATCTTCAATAGTGGATGAAAAGGATGTAAGCACGCAAGGAAAGGCGTGTCACAACCAACAGCAAGTGCCCAGCATGTCTAGGCTGATGGGCTGTACGAGGATATGCGCATCTTCACCCCCACGGCTACTCGTGACGTGACCCGTGATAACCCGTGCTGACGACAAGGCGACCTCTCTTGGACCTGAGCCGGCCCCCGCATAGATTGTTGACCCGGAAGCAAGTCAACCCTGAGCAAGTTGGGCTCCATTGTGTGATACCGGTACGCACGTTAAGGGAGCACCTCCACCTCATCAGTCGGCATCAGTCATCACACGTGGGGTCCTTACAAGAAAGTCCGGCAGGATATATGAGCCGTCATAACTAATTAAATATGCATGCATGCAGGTATTTGTCGAACGTCCGTAAACATCAGTGCGTAGCTGAATCCCCCTCCCTTCCTCGTCCCTTGCATGGGCGAGCCCGCTACAGCCCCTGCGCTGCCTTACCTCCCTCCAGTGCCCTTCGAGCCTACTTCCTGACAGTAACAACCAGCCTACCATACATAAAAAGCCCTCCTAGTTCAGCATGCCCAGTCGTTTGTTGTCACAATCCAACCACGGTTGGCGCCAAGCGTACAACCATATCCCTTTTGGTCCACCTCCCATTAAAAACCGCCTTTCCTAAGCGCCGTGTCACCCCCCAGTCATGCACGGTCGTGTTTTACTCATCCGGGCATCTTCTCACCATGCACCTACACATTCCACACAATCACACACACATATAATATACATAAATGCATTCGTTGGCTGCCAGATTCGCATACCACACAGAACAACAGTAACACAGCGCGGTCTATCACAGCGCACCAGTACGTGTAACTAAAGCTGCTGCCGTTCATCCGCGGTGGCGGCTGTAGCGCCCAAGCGCCAGCAAACACTCTGTCATTAACAACGAGTATCAACTCGGCACTCCCCCTACTTTGCGCTGCATCCATACATCAGCATCCATTACTAAAATCAGTGCAAGTGAAGCACCGCGAACGACAGTCTTATGTCGCAACCTTCACAATATCCAACCTAAACCGCATGAACCACCACGCCATAGGAAAACACCTCCCCAACCGGAATGCGCATCCCTCACCCCCACCCCCCCGCGCACAGGTCTCTCGACCCACGGCCCCATAGGCTCCCCAACAACGCCCCGAAGGGTTAGGTTGGCCTAACCATCCAATTAGCGAACGGTGACAAATCTGACAATGCGGGGCACGCACGGCTCGTGCGCACAACTGTTTGCAACGCATGAGCGTCAGACAACGCGGAAGATGTTGAGAAGTGAATAAACGGACAGACGCGGCCATGTAAAGCCAAGCCAGCGCGCGAGAGGGAAGCGCTCCAGAGTGGGGTCACGATGGGTTTAGAGACGGGCTAACCCTACGCCACATTTAGTTTTGGCGTGTAAGATAACCGTTCTACCAGGGGTGTTACGAGGCATGTAGGGACGCACGTACGTGCGCTACCCTTTTTGGCCCCGTCACCACTCTGCGACGTACGTCTCCCATAGACTACAGCCGCCACCTCCTCCTACTCGTTGAGTACGGGGCTCGGTATGGTTCCTTATCCTAACAAGCAAGAACTTCATCCGTCCACGCAAACATATCTAGCAACAACAGCAACCTGCAGCCCCACGGGTCACAAAATAGCGGAAGCCTCCGCCGTCGACCGAACCGGTCTTGAGAGCCAGTTTGTTTAACACACAGCTCGTGCGTTCACAAGAAGGTACCGTTATCGTTCTGTGTCACATCTCATTCCTTTAGTGCTGCAACGCAACGCAACGTACGTAACCGGCTTCCTAACTTGCATGCCGCAGCGCCTGCCCACCCGCTCAGCATTTTTGAACATCCCTGAGCCCCCAGAGTAACCTACACTCTAAACCCCGGCCCACACTGTCATGCGCCAACACCCGTACTAACGCATTCCGTGCATGTTTACTCTTCCCAACATACCTAACGCTTGGAGTCACACGAGTCCCAGCTCTTCCTTCCAACTAGTGCTCCCCAGTGCCGCAGGCTTGGTCCTTCTCCCCTTAGCCCCTAGCGTACCCCTCTGCTCCCCCATCTTGACCATAAAACTCCCCATTCTTCCATCCACACCTTCCTCTCCACACACATCATCACCCACTACTCACCCGCCAACAACCGCCGCCACCCGCCCCTCACCCAAAGCCCAGGTTAACAATGCCCGGACCCAGCGGATGCTGACCATGGTACACCGCCCCACCGGACAACAACTCCAACGCATTACCACCACCGCCGCCGCCGCCACCCCTGGAATGGTGGTGCTGGTAGTGGTGGTGTCCGCCCCCTCCGCCGCCGCCTCCGGGCCCCTCCCTCGCCTCCCGACCGCCCCGCATGTTCGCACCGGCGGTTAGGGAAGCAAGACGGGAGCTCTGAACGGGGCCGCCCGCGGAAACGGACCCCATGCGGCCCGTCGTCGCAGTCCCGCCGCTGCCGCCGCCGCTGCCCCCGCCACCGCCGCCGCCACCACCTCCATGCACGTGATGCGGCTGCTGCTGCTGTTGCTGCTGGTTTGCAAGGCCGGCTTCCACGTCTTGGATGCGGTTGCTGTTACCGGTAGCGAAGAATGAAGCGCCGCTGCGTACCGCGCCCGTCGTGACCGACCGCCGGCGGATGTCACGGCTTCCTCTGCCGCCGCCGCCGCCGCCGCTGCCTCCGCCGCCGCCGCCGCCGCTTCCAGCCCCCTCCACGTCGCTGCTGTCTCCGTCCTTGTCCTTATTAGATTTGGACTGCATCAAACGGTGCCACAAGGAGGACATGCCACTACCCAGGCTGCGTGACATCGGAGCCGCCGTTCCGCCCGCCTGTGCCTGCGCCGCGCTGACGATGGCGGCGAAGGAGCTTGCGGCAGATCCGTTGGAGCCGCCGCCGCTGCTGCCGCCGCCGCCGAGCATGAAGTTCCTGCCGTCGGTGCTTTGCGTCCTGCTGTTGCCTCCGGTACCGCCGCCGGAGCGCTGTTTTGACATTTGCTGCGCGAAGTGCGTGCGTTGGGGTGAGGGTGTGGGGACTGGTGAGGTGTCCTCTTCAGGACCCGGCGGCAGCTCCAGCGTGGTTACCGTACGCGGTACGACAGGTGAGTTTACCGCGGTGGCGGCGCCGCCGCCGCTGCCTGGGGCGCTGCTGCCGCCGCCTCCGGAGCCTACGCTGGCACCGCCAGAACGTGTCAGCGCCGCCGCCGGTGACGTCAGCGTTCCGCCAGGCAAGCCGTTCAGCCCGGCACCCACAACGCCGCCGCCGCCACCAGAGCGGCTGACGGCGTTGAGGAACGTCATGACGTCAGAGACCTTGCGCATGCGAGCCAGCATGGGAACCGATGACGCCAGGTCCGCCGTCGCATTGACGTCGGCGCCGGCGGCGCCGCCGCCGCTGCCGTCAAGGCCCGCTGCCGCCGCTGCGGCGTTTGGATCTAGCGCTCCTCCCGCAAACTCAGCCGACGCGTCGACCGGCGGCGAGACCGGAGTCGTTGCCTTGGATAGGATCGACGGCGTGTGACTGAAGTTGCGGAGTCGCGAGGCGCCACGTCCCGGCGTGACGGCGCCCGGAAGGGCCCCCGGTGCCGCGGGCATTTGCGGCAGCGGAATGCCGGCAGCTGCCCGTGACGGTGACGCCGGGCCGAGCGTGAGGGACGACGTCCGGCGAGGTATGCTAGCACGCAGCGCTTGCAACCTGGCGGCTTGACCGTCAGTAGGCGTGATCGGGACCTCCTGCGAGACAGCCTCGTCGCCGCCAGACTCAGCGCCGTCCGCGGAGGCGTGCGCCGCCGCCGCCGCGGCGGCGGCGGCAGTCGCGAGCGCGGCATCCTGCGGCACCACGCGGTTGCGCATGTTGCGTGCACTGCTGACCCCTCCCTGGATGGCGGAAAGGAAGAGGCTGGCGGCGGACAAGACGGAAAGCGGCCCGGAACCTGCAGCGGCGGCGGCGGCGGTGAAAGCGGCGGCGCCGTCAGGTTGGCCGGTGGACGACATGGGTCGCTGCAAGCCCAGCATGCCGGCGGGGGTCCTGACGGAGCTGCCGCTGCTGACGCCGGGTGTGGCGGCGGCATGCCCGGTCACCGCGTTGACAGCGGCGATGAAGGCAGAGTTCCCGCCGCCGCCGCCGCCGCCTGAATTAGCCGCCGACGGCGGCTGTGTCGCCGGCGCGGATGCTGGCGCTGGCGGCGGTGGCGGCGTGGCATCTGCTGTTGCTGCTGGAGTTGAAGGAACGGGGGCAGAGGAAACGGACTCCAGAGGCTGGGTGCTTGGAGTCGCCGCGGCGGCGACGCCAGCGGCAGCACCAGATGCTGCTGCGCTGGGACCGCTGGCGGCGGCGGCGGCGCCGCCATTTCCATCAGGGCTACCGGAAGCGGCGCCAGCGGCGCCTGCCGCCGCGGTGGCGGTGGCGGAGTCCGCGCCGCCGTCAGCCGCTGGCGGGCCGCTGACGTCCGTCGCGGCGCCGCTGCTGCGTGGAGATGCAAACTTGACGGAACGCCGCCCGCCTGCCGTCGCCGAATTGCCGCCATCAGCTGCCGCAGAAGCCCCGTCTGAGGCCGCTACCGCCGCCGCCTGCGCCGTTAGGCTGCCACTGCCAGCAGCGCTGCTGCTGCCGCCAGCCGCCGCCGCCCCTGCAGCAGCAGCACCAGCGGTAGCAGCAGCAGCAGCTGCTGCTGGCTTCGCGTCCTCATCATCTTCCATAGCCCAACGTAGTCGATTAGCACGAACGCCGCCGCCGCCGCCTGCACCTCCCCCAGCGGCGGCGCCTCCGCTGCCCACCCCTCCCGCGGCACGCATCCATGCAGCCGCCGCCGATGCCCCCGCGCCTCCACCAGGCGCTGCCGCTGTCCCTTCCTTTTCTCCCGCCTTTCCCCCGGCCGCCTCCTTTCCGGCCTCCGCACCCTCCTTGGGCGCCAGAACAAGCACTGCCGGCGCGCCACCTCCACCTGCGCCCACCTCCCCGCTGTTATCACTCGTCAGGCCGCCGCTGCTGCCGGCGCTGCCGCCGCTGTTCGCCCGTGCAGCTCGCGCAGCAGCCATGCGTCGCGCCTCGCCCGCCGTTGCCGTCGCCGCATCCCCGATATCCACATCCAGTAAATCCTCATAGTCATCATCGTCCCCGCTGCTGCTGCTGAACAGCGTGCTGGCGTGGCTGCTGCCCGCTCGCGACGCCGTGTCTTCATCTGTGTATTCGTCCCCATCTCCGTACTCGTCGTACTCGTCCTCGTCGTATTCGTCGTCGTACTCCTCGCAGGATCCAGATCCCGACCATTCCTCCATCTCGCGGTTGGCACGAAGCGTGGCATTGTAGGCGGATCGGACCTGAGCGGGGAGTAGGTGGGGCAGGGAGGAAAAGGGTGGAGTGTGAGTTGGTTTGGCCCCCCCTGCACCCCTCCTCCTCTCGTCGTACACCCTCCCTCCTTCCCCCTACGGCCGTACACCCGCACACCCATACCCTAGCATCGTACTCCCATACTACTTCCGTATTCCCACGCCGCCGTACACCACTCCCATACCACCACCCCCCGCCGTACCCCCCTGCCGTACACACCCAAACCCACACGCCCCTCCCCCCCCCCAACTCACCACCGCCACGTCCCTGAAGAAGTCCACCAGCTCCGGGTAGTAGTCCGCCAGCGCCGCAAAGTCCTCGCAGTGCAGCTTGTACAGCTCCACGCACTCGTCGGCGCGCGCGGCGGCGGTGCGCACCCCCAGTTGGCCATCTAGGTAGGCCAGGATGCCGAACTCGCCGAAGTGGGAGCCCTGGGGGGAGGGGTGGGGGGGTAAAGGGAGGGAGTAATGGGAGGGGAAAGGGAGGAGAAAGGGAGGGGGTGAAATTGGGCTCTACCATACCATGGGAGGCCACAGGTTAAGACACACCCCCTCCGCCCCTTCTCCCCACCATGCACCCCCACCCCCTCCTGCCCCCCCCACCTGCGCCAGCCGTGTGAGCAGCGCCCCGGTCTCATCGCTGATGGACACGGTGCCCTTCAGAATGAAGTACACCGCGTCCGCGATGTCCCCCACCCGGAACACAAAGTCGCCCGCAACGTGCGTCTCCCGCTGCAGCTTCGCCACCATGGCGCGCACCACTATGGGCGAGCACTCCAGGAACACGGGCACGGTGGCCACCAGCTCGGCGCACAGCTGCAGGTTGATGTCGGTGCGCAGGCCGGGGGACAGCTCCTGGGGGGGGGAGGGAGGGGCGGGAAGGGGAGGGGATTACTAGGGATACATATTCCGCAGGGAAGGGGAGGGAAGGGGATGATCCCCCTCATCCTATTGGGGATAGGAGCAGGGGGAGGCTACCCGCCCTTATCCTCTTTCCCCCCCCCTCGCCTCTCCTTCCCAGTGGTCCCCCAGCCTCGTCATACGGTTCGTCCGTTTCTTCCTCTTACCCTCCCCCCCCTCTCTCCCTACCATGAGCATGGTTGAGTCGTCCAGCACCCGCTTGTTGGAGTGCGCGGTGTTGATGTAGGCCATCACACGCCGCCGCAGCTCGCCGGGCAGCCGCCGGTAGTGGCAGTAGTCGCGCCAGATCTGGAGGGGGAGGGGGAGGGGGGGGAGGGGCGGGGGAAGGGAAGGGGAGGGGAGGGGGGAGGTTGAGGGAGGGGAGGGGAGGAGGAGGGGAGGGAAGGGGGGTCAAAAACCATACCAAACCACGGGAGGGAAGGAGGGGCTGAAGCGAGGCACTTCCATGCAACCTTCCCTCCCCCCCAAAGACGTATACATCGCCCGTTTCCTTATTTTTACCCCACCCCCTTCCCTGTCAGCTACATGTACCACTATCACAACACACATTGGAATTTCTGTTTTCCCCCTTCCCTCACCTGCAGCTTCTCCACGTACATCTGGCCGGAGCGGTTGAGCGAGAGCACGATGGAGGACATGATACCCACCTGAGGGGGAAGGGGGGGGAGGGGGGGGTAGCGGGTAAATAACAGGGATACACATTCCGGCTTAGGTGGGGAGGGGATTGGCATTGCAAGGTGAGGGGCGGGAAGCACGGGGCCCCAGCGTGTGCGTGGAGACGAGCAGCAACACAAACCCCACAAAAGCCCCAAGGTCCACACGTGGCCTCCCAGCTGCCCCTTCCCCCCTCCTCGCACCAGGATTGTGTAGAACACCACTCCGACTATGTAGGAGCAGATGGTGAACACCACCTCCACGCTGCTGTTGGAGCTGACGGAGTCGACGTTGCTGCCCATCACGACCTGCATGCGGGGGGGGGCAGATGGGGTGGGGGGGGGAGAGAAGGAGGGCGGGCGGGGGCGCAGTGGGCGTTAGTAAAGGAAAACGTGCGGATGCAGGGAGTCGCACAATACACACACACGCTTAGACCGTACCCCACGTTCCTCCCCCCCCCACCCTCCACCCTCCCCCCCTCCCACCTGCAGCGCCCTCAGCAGTGCGAAGTTGTAGGTGATCCAGGCGCCCTTGCCGTCCAGCCCGCCCAGCGCCACCCAGCCGTCCTGCGGGAACTCCTCGATCATCTGGGGGGGCGGGGGAGGAGAGGAGAGGGGGGGCGGGGGAGGGATTTGCAGGGGTTGCAGGGGGGGAGCATGGGGGGCATGGGGGCAGGGGTGAACGCGGGTGAAGGGGTGAGCGAGATGAGGGGGGCAGGGGGGCAGAGGTACTTACAAGGGAAGGTATACTGCTAAGTGCTAACCCCCATTTTGTCTTGTGACACCCTGCCGCCTCCTTATCCCGCTGCTTTGCCCTAACCTGTGGCTCCCTATGGTTTGGTCTGGTCTTTGAGACTTTGACCCCCTCCTGCTCCTCCTCCCCCTCTGCCCCCCCTCCCCCCCCCCTACCTGCACGAAGAAGCTCATGCACGCGAAGAGGTGTGTGAAGATCATGGCCAGTCCGAACAGCTTCACCAGTCGCATCATGTGGATGTCAACATCCCAGGTGTCCTGGGAGGAGGAGGTTGAGGAGGAGGAAGCGGAGGAGCAGGGTGAGGAGGAGGAGGAGGAGGAGGTCGAGGCACGTGGAGGAGCGGTATCCACACAGAGGCATTCAACGGAACAGCGACCAGGGTCGTACCGTCGAGGTGCCGCAGCACGACCCCCACCGTCACCCAACCGCACACTACTCGTTTGGTGCCCCGTATCTACTACTACCCCTTCTATTTGCATTCCTCCCTAGGGAAAAAAGGTAGACCACCTGCCACCCACCTGCCACTTGTTAAGGTAGTGGAAGAGCCGCGGCAGGGTTGCAAGCCCCAGCAGCGACCAAAGCCGCAGCATCAGCCCGCTCCGCACGCTGCAATGCCCCTCAGCCACACCGTTGTCCACCAAACCCGCACGTGCCGTGCCGCACGCCAGTACCGGAATGAGAATGTACGGCAGCGCCCCCGCGATGTCTAGTACGAGAAATGTACGGCAGTAGCGGTTCCGTACTTTTACGGCATCCATCACGATGACCCCATCCTCGTCGTAGCCGGTGAGGAAGTTGGATACGACGTGGGCGGTCCATGCGATGCTGCATGCGAGGCTGAGCGCGACGTACATGAGGGCGGTGTTGGGGGTATTGAAGGCGACTTGGAGGGGCATGCAGGTGGCCACCAGCACCGCCACCCCCACCCACAACATGTCCAGCCGCATGCGCATGTTGGAGTAGGGGTGCAGCCAGACCTTGGGGGGGGGGGGTGAGAGGGAAAGAGGGGGCGAGGGTTAGAGAGGGAACCGAATGGAAGGAAGGAGGGAGCCGTGAGGCATGGAGGCACACCCAACCCAGCTCACCAGCACCCAGCCCTCATATACCCAACCCACGATACCGTTCAAACCCTCTTCCAAACTCATCCCCACCACCTCCTCTACCCACCCACCCCCGCGCCCCCATCCCTACTCCCTCTCCACCAACCCACCTGCATGGCTCCTCCCACACCCTCGTCCCCAGTGCCGGCCACTTTGGTGTAGGCACTCCCGAAAATCCGCAGCATGTAGCTGTCCGCCCCCGCATCTCGACGCCGCATGCCATGCGCATCCGCATCCTCCGCACCGCCCGCAACCGCCCTCTGCCGCTCCAACTGCAGCTGAGCCTCACGAACCATGGTGATGGTCGGACCGCGGCCGCCGGCGGCGGAGCCGCCGGCCGCAGCGGCGGCGGCGTCCTTCGCCGCCGCCTCCGTCGCCTGCTGGTCTCCCGCCGCGGCGTCGACGTCAGCCTTGCGACCGACGGCGACTCCGTCGGCGTCGGCTTCGTTGCTGGCATCCGCCGTATCTTCAACGCCGTCGCCGGTGCTGCTGGTGCGAACGCCGGCGGCGGCGGCCCGGCCCGCGGCGGCGGCGAGGCTGGATCGCAGCACGCCCGCCAGACTGACACGACTGGGGGCGGAGGGGCCGGCGTCGGTTTCAACGCTGTCTCGACGGCCGCCGTGGGAGGCGGAGGCGGGGCGGGTTTCCGCGGTGGAGATCCGCACGCGGGGACCCGCAAGCCCCGTGGTAGCGGCGCGAGTGAAGGAACCGCTCGAACGACGTACACGTCCGTCGCCGTCGTCGGCGTCGCCGTCAGCGTTATCCGCATCGGCGCCGCCAGCGCCTGGCGTCAGCAGCTTGGACATCATCTGTGATGCCGCGGCGCGAAAAGATACGCCGCCGCTGCCGCCGCCGCCGGCACCTCCGCTAGCAGGCAAGATGCCCGTGGCTGTTTTGCTGCGACCCTCCGCCGACCGGGGCTCCGGCGCGCCGCCAGCAACGTATTCGGTGCGATCGCTGGGCTCGAACCGGGTACCTGTGAGCTCGTCCTCGTCCTCATCGTCGGCGGCGCGGCGGCGGGGCGGCTGGTGGTGTGAGTGGGAGGAGGAATGGTGGTCGGACGCCTGGCGTCGGGAGGCGGTGGTAGGGCGTGAGGGGGCGGCGGTGGTGGGGCGGTTGCGCGCTGCTGTGGTAGGCCGGGGCTTGGCGGTGGTGGGTCGCAGTGCGCCGCGGCTGGGGGCGGCGGTGGTGGGGCGCGAGGGCCGGTTGGGGGCGGCGGTGGTGGGGCGCGGGGGCCGGTTGGGGGCGGCGGTTGTGGGGCGCGAGGGCCGGTTGGGAGCGGCGGTGGTTGGGCGGGATGTGGTGGGTCGAGCGGTGGTTGGACGAGCGGTGGTTGGACGAGCGGTTGTGGGGCGGGCGGTGGTGGGACGGGCGGTGGTTGGTCGTGCGGTGGTCGGCCGGGCCCTGGCTGTGGTTGGTCGGGCCCTGCGGGGTACGACACGGTAGGGAAGGTGTGGGAAAGGGAAGACTCAGCAGACGAGCGACAAGGCACGCAGGAAGACTGGAGAATTGGTGGGGCTGTTAGCGGTTGATGTGCATGGTGCATACGTGCATTGGAAGCTGCTTCTTGCAACGTACTGGCAGTTAGTTCCCTTCCCAATTCCACACATTGCCAAAGCAGCCCATGGCTAAATCTACTGCTGACTTCCCCGGTCATCATCCCGCCCTCCTCTCCACTCCCAAACAGCTCCGCCGCACTGAGCGCCCTTAGCACACCACCCTTCCCCTCCCCCTATACACCGCAACTCCTGCAACCTCCCAACCACCCCATCCCATCTCCCCACCGCACCTGGATCGGTGCCCGTACTCCTCCTCCTCCTCATCCTCGTCCTCCACCACACCACTAACCGTTGTACCGCGATGCTCCCCATGTAGTGGACGGCGCACCGCTGGCCGTACAACCATCACATCCATAACCACCTTGCGTCCGCCCTGCGCGTTACCCACCACAGCCGTGGCTCGTTGGAGCTGCTTCACCGTGCCCGCGTCTTCCTCCTCTTCCTCCTCGGGACGTATGGACGTCATAATCCTGGATGCCGCGCGGGAGGAAAGGGAGGCGTTCCGAGGGAGGCCGCTGCGCTGCGTGCGAAGTGGCGCCTCCGCGGCTTCCTCGTCCTCATCTTCATCCTCATCGTCATCGGATCCGTGGTGTGTTCGACGCCGTCGGTTGCCCCCGCCGCCCCCGCCGCCGCCGCCGCCGGTTGTCCCATGACGTCGGCTTACAGCGGAGTACGGACGAGCTGCAGAATACGGACGTACAGCAGAGTACGGACGAGCGGTAATTGTACGACGGCGGTCGTCGGGAATCGCGTCGTCGTCGCTGTCCTGTGCACGACTGTCATCATCATCGTCGATGATGCCACTGCCGCCACCACCACCACCGCCGCCGCGGCGGCCTGGCACGTACACACTGCGTTTCGGCGGGTTGTACACGCGCCGATGCGCCTCCGGATCCTCCTCCGCCTTCTCATCGCCATTGTCCTGCACGTCAGCAAAGGTAGCACGCCGGCGTTGTGCCGTCACTGTGCTTCCAATGCTTACCGTGCGATCGCGCGAAGACGGCCCCGCCTCCGACACCCCAGTCGGCTCCGCAATCACGACCACCGCTCGTCGTGGTTCTGCAGGTGGCGGCGGTGGTGACGTCGTTTCCGATGCCTCATGCAGTTCTGCAGGAAACCGCACCCCCGATGTTGTAGCCGAAGGCGGCGGCGGTGGTGGCGGTGTGTAATGCGGCGGTGAAGAGTCCTCCTCATCGTCCCCATCCGCAACGCCAGCCGCAAAGCCCACCCCTCTTGTTCCCGAGCTCCGGGTTTCCGTACCACGATGACTTGCACCGCCCCCGGACCCCTGCGTCGGCACCTGCTGTGACAGATGGGACCAACGGGACGCCTGCCTGCCGCCGCCGATCGGCTCGTCGTCAATATCACCATCATCGCTCTCGCCATCGTCATCATGGACGTCCTCCTCGTCCTCATCCGCGCTGACAGCAGCCGCGGCAGTGGAGTAGCGGCCTTGGGAAGCGCTGCTGGCAGCAGCGATCCGCACACCAAAGTGCGGCCGCTGCTTAACCGCGGAACCATGAGGAGGAGGTGGAGGGGCGGCGGCAGCAGCTGCATGGACACGGCTAACCACGCTGTCATCATCTTCTGCATCATGGGTGGCTTCGCTGCCACGAGGCCTCCCAGCACCATCATCAGCATCATCATTGTCGTCGTCCTCGTTGGCGCCGTAAGCACCCCTGGCCTCCCTCCTGACACGGCCGTCCTCGTCGTCCTCCTCCGCCTCGTCGTCATCCTCCAGGTCAGCCGTCGACCCCTCCGCCACGGGAACTCCCGCGGGTGTTGTCGGCGGTGCTCGCAACATGTCACGCGGCGACGATGCCTCCGCTGACGACTGCTGCAAACTCCACTCCTCCGTTGGCAACAATGGCAGCGGCAGCGGCGGCTGTGGTGTCGACAGCTCTATCGAGAAGCGCGTGGGCTGCAAGTCCATGTCCCCGTCCAGGTAATCCGCGTCGGTGTCGTGTTCCGGAATCGCCGCCATCGTCACGCCTCCCCACGCATGCTGTGGCCCGCTGCCCTCCCCAGCATCCTCCGAGCCCGAACCCGCGGGACCCGCGCTAGACCGCCGGCTCGGCGGCGCGACTGCTGCCACTGTGCCCGCCGCTGCTGCTGCTGCCGCCGCCGTCTCCTCAGGAAACATGTCAACCACGGAAGAGACGGAGGAGGTAGGGCTAGGCAGCGCCTCCACGGCATCTCCCGTGGCCTCCCGGCTGCTTGGCCGCTGCGACGCCTGGGACGGCTGCTGCTGCTGTTGTTGCGGCGGTGACTGTCTGTGACGGTGCTGATGGACGCGATGATGTGAACCGTGCGCTTGCTCTGGACTTGACGCATTTGCAGCAGCAGTAGCAGTAGCAGCCGAGGCGATTGCGGAAGTCCGTGTGCTGGTCGTCGGTGTTACCGGCCGGGATGTGGACGCCGATGGCGGTGGCGGCGGCTCTGGGGCGGGCGCACCCGGCAGCGGTGGCGACGCCAAGCCGGTGGGCTCGTAGCCCTGCTTGGGCGAGGAGGATCCCGGCGACGGCGGGTACATGTGCTCGTACTCCTGCCGTAGGTTTTGCAGCTGGGACTGAAGCGTACCACCCGCCGTCGTGGCCGATGACACCACACCGGATGCCGGCGGCGACGATCCCCCGGCGCCTACGCTGCCGTCACCAGCAATGAGGCTCACCGGCGCTCGTTCTACCCCAGCCGATGCAGCAGCAGCCGCTACTGCAGACACTGTTGCTGTGGTGTGCGCGCCGCCGCCGTAATCTGAGAGCTGGCTGGATCGCCGGGCGTTGCTCCGGCGATTGGCTACTATACGCACCCCGTCGCCGGTGTCGGAGCTTCGGACACTGCCAATGGGGTGATGCGAGGAGGACCAGCGGCCGCCGGCGGCGCCGGCCGCGCCCTCACCTCCGCTGCCGGAGGACGGGCGCCGCCGCCGGGTACCTCCGCTGCCGCGGCCACCGTCAATGTCCACAGAAGGCCGATACCTCCCGCCCGCGGCACCACCGCCAGCGCCGCCGTCGATAGCCGTGTGCGACCGCCGTGCCCCTGGCGAAGCGGGCGACCCCGCCACGGGCGCGAGCACTGCTGCATCGTTGGAAAAGCTGGGCATTCCGCCCGGGGCGTCCTCTACTTGCGGCGCGGACATCGTGCCGCCAGCCTCCGCCGCCGCCGCCGCCGTCTCCTCCCATGCATCACCTCCGTTGAGTCGTACGGTGTGCAGCGCCAGCGCCGCCGCCGTCAGCGGCACGGGGCTGCGCGGAGCAGGCAGCGCATCCGGTGGCGAGCCGGGTATGGAGGTATTTTGCTGCTGGGTAGTGTTGTCGACGCAAGGTGAGTGCGGCGAGGGGCGCGGGGATGCAGAGACGGTGTGGAGGAGACTCGCATGCGGGGGACTGGCCGCCGTTGCAGCAGCCAGTCCGTTATCGGAGAGCCGAAGAGCGGTTGGTGGCGTCGGCGTCGGCGGCGTGCCGGATGGCGATGCCCGGGGCTGCGGCTCCGGCGGCGAGGCGGGCGGGGTGGATAGCAGCTGCTGGCTGGGTTGATACTGCCGCTGCTGCTGCGCCGGCGGATCCCGTGAGGAGCTATGCAGCGTGTGTCGAGAGGCGGTTCGGGAGGCCACGGCTGCCGCTGACGCCGTGGAGGGTGCGTCGCTGCCACTGGCAGCGCCCGACATCTTAAGCGCTGATTTGAGGGGCTGTGCGGCGCTGCTGCCCGTCGCTGGATCCGTGAGGAAGGACATTGTCCCGCCGGTGTTGGAAACCCTGTTGGACGGCAGGGGTGGAGGCGTTCGCGTAGCGGTATGGGTGGGATGAACGGACGAAGGCTGACGCACGAGGACACACTCGCATGGACTGGACAGCCGGTAGGCTGTAAGCGGCACACACTTCACCGGAGCAAGAGAAATCCACTGCGACTGCCTGCCTTCACCCCTCCTCCCTCCTTCCCCATCCTCCCTTACCTTGCGCTCCGCCCCAGCACGACGCCATCCCCCGTCGCGGAGGAGCGCTTCATGGCTGAGCGCAGCGGCGGGGGCAGGCCTAGCGGCGGGGGCAGGGGCAGGTCCTGGGAGGACGGGTAGCCGTCCGTGAGGGAGGGTCGCGGCTGGCGGGGGCGCACCCCCACGATGTGACCCTCACCCGAGGCCTGGCAGGGAATGGGTGGGTAAGAGGGACAAAAGATGGGTGGGTGGGAGGATGGGACGGTGCGGTGGATGCCCCTTTTTACGGCCTCCTAACGACCCCGCGCAGCCACCCAGCCCTCGCCCTCTGGAGGCATCAGATCACGATGTACGGCAAATGCACTATTCTCCACTCACCGTCCAGCCGTCGCCCCGGCCGTCCCCCACCGGCGGCGCACCACTCCTAGATGCCCGCTTACTCCTCGGCGACGGCTGCGGCCCAGGTCCCAGCCCCAGCCCCTGCTGCTGCTGCGACCATGACAGCGGCGGCGAGGTCTCCCCACGCAACGTCATCACCTCCAGCCCGCCCCCTGCCGCCGCATGTGACGACGAGGACGACGGCTGCGCGCCCATGCGGCTGCGCCTGGGCTGCAGCTGCGGCTCGCTGCCGCTGCCGGTACCGGTGTGCCCGCCGGTGCCGGTGCCGGTCCCCGTCTGCCCCCGCATGGTGCTGGCGGAGTCCAGCAGCGCCGCCAGCGCGTCCAAAGAGGCGGTGCTGTCCTGGCCCATGACGACGACTGGGGCGCGAGGAGGCGAGGCGCCGGGCTGCTGGGGTTGCAGCGGCCCCAGCGCAGCCATGCCTGTGGCGGAGCCGTGTCGCTGCGCGTGCGGCAGCGGGGAGTACATGCCGCTGCCACTGCTGCTGGCGTTGGTGCTGCGTGGATCGCGGCTGGGGCCGCCCTCCGGGAGCTCCCGCAGGAGCTGCTCCAGCTGCTGCTGCGCGACTGCGACTCCGACGGGGACACCTGCAGCGGCGGGACGCGGGGGCCGGGAGGAGGGGGAAGAGCGGGAGGGACCCGCGCCCAATGGCTGACTCTGCTCTTGTGGCGTGCTGGTGCCGGTGCTGGCAGCCTGTCCGCCTTTCGTGGAGCGCTTTGGGGATTTATTGGCCGGCGCTGCGGCGTCGCTCTGTCTGCCATCGCCGGATTGGGAACTTCGTGCTGCTGGTGGTAGCCCGCCTGTGCTCTGTGAGGCTACGCCTGAAGACGAGGTTTGTCGCCCCTCCTTTTCTGCTTGCAGCTCGGCGAGAAGCTGCTCACGTGCGATTTTCCAGTCCATGGTGCAAGGTCAAAGACAAGGCGAGAGACAAGCTTCACTCGCACAGGTCACATGTGTGCGATTGACACGGTTGAAAGCGGTCAGAGACGCTGAAGGAACTGCCGCTCCCATACGCTCCGCCTTGCACGAAATCCATTTCTTCTATGCGCCTTATAAAACCAGCAGCGCATCGAACATTTTATCAGTGTGGTCTTAAAAATAGTCCGGAAAGCTTCTAACAAAGTTTTCAATGGAGTCCCAGTAACCAGGGACGAAAGAATCGGTAACGTGGTAGGGACTGCCTAAGTTCGCTGCGATCAACTTACGCATTAACATAACGTATTGCTCTGAAACAGGGGTCCGCCAGAAAGACCTCTTATGTACGACACTGAACGTCTGCTTGATGTAAACTAGATAGATGCCTGGTACGCATATTAGGGCTGCCCCTTACCCTTCAAGTCATTCTTTGCTTGCATGACACCCTTGTATACCCTCGGTTACAAAGCCGCGGTCGAAGGCGGACAGTTCGGAGCATCCCCGCACGCGGCTTTGCCTGGAGGTTTATTTAACAACATGCGTAGATTTTGCGTACCATTGGCTCTATGCCTCGACGAAACCCTGGTGCGGAGGATGCGATGCGAGCAGACTAGCTCAACCGACTTAGCGTGACCCATCCCTCACTGTTGTTGCCCAGGTGAAATAAGGTATACAGGGTATAGGTTGATCCTATGTAGGCTTAAACGGATAGCGCTGAAAGTCCGTCGTAGGCTGCTGCCGCATCGGCTTCGGATGCCAAAGGTTGTGACCTTGTCAGTATGCCAATCCTCGACCTACACTTGCAGCACAAGTGGTCTTACACCAACGTTACTGACGCCTGATGCAACAGCGCACGAGCCCACGCCCAAGCCAACTGCTGTTGTTGCATACTCCTTGGACGCATGGTATAGCCGGCGGCCGGCCGCAACCCTCATGCCATCCATGCAGGTTTTGGGAACCTGGTGGGGCGACCACACTAGCGCTTTCAATGTACGGTATTGGTATGGGCGCAGGAGTAGTAATTATGGCATGCAGAGTTATCAACCGAACGGGGCGAGCCCTCATACCATGCTCTTGGCCGGCGGCTCTAGCTCCCACATAGACCTCTCCTCCCCAGCGCCATTGCTTCATTGACGGCTGCCTTAGGTTGGCTGCAGTAGGGACCTCTGCGGTAACGTTAGCAGCAGTAGGGACAAACACCTTGCCGGTGCTGCGGCTGGTCGATCCTGGCCCCAATACCGGAGAGAGCGGCAGAGGTTCATGCAGCTACTGGTGCAGCGGAGGCAAGCAAGAAGCAATGGTAGATGAAGAGGGGCCGGCTCGCCGAGCTCTGTTAGTACCGCATGTGGGCTGAAGCAGGGACGGGAAAAGAAGGTAACCAGGCGGTGGGACGTGGGTGGGATGCGTAAGCCCCACAGACCCAGCGTGCGGAGATTGAGGCGTCCTGGGGGCTGCATGACAAGACATTACGTTTTTGGGTCTGCTATTAGTGGCATAGGCTAGGAGCTGGGGTACATTTCTGTGTTCATATTGGCTGTTAGGGGTCGAACACAGGGCGCCAGCGGCATAGCCAGATAGCCTGGCGCCTGAGCGGGCACTATCGTAATACGCTCCATAGTGCAGGCAGCAGTTGTCTCGAGGATAAGGTCATGTGCGTGAATTAGTTTGCAATTAGCTGGCCGGTGGGATGCTTAATGCTTGGGTGGGTTCCAGAGGGAAGCGCTCATGGCGCGAATGGCAATAATGTCAACATGGACGGACGTCGACTCCGTGAAGGCGGCTCCACAGACATACATGGATGCCCGATGCGCACGTTACGCGACACACTCTGCTTTTGATACGTTGCGATGCCTGCATGTGGTTCCAAACGGAACGGAGCCACAGAAACATGTCGTCGGGAAGGACTAAAGAACTTATACGAGAAGCTGTCCCCAAGCTCAAAGTGCGTTGCAGAATGTAGGAAATCCGCTCCTTTTTGCAAGGTACCGCGAGCCAGTTTTCCCAGGAAAAGTCTCAGGGCTCAGGGGGTAGGCAGCTCCTTTGTAACTGGCGTACCGGTAAACAAGTTTCAAGGCATTGGTGTTCAAGCTGAAGCGTCAGTTTTTTGTCTATCGTGCCCACAAAGCTGGATTTTCAATGTGCCGTTTGCAGGTCATCCTCACCACAGGACAGAGTATCTGCTTCTGTCTTAGGGGCCCTATGGCCGCATTCGTAAAGTATTGTAACTTCTCCGCCAACGCCGAAACTCTACATAGCGAACGTATAATCAGCCCACTGGAATCTCTTACTTTTGGTGCAGAACCTCATTCTATACCTGCATAAAAGGTAGCATCCCAACTCCATGGTCCTTAGGGCCGAGCGGTCACTTGATACAAAGTGCTGCGTTGCCCTTTTGTTGGCGTAATCTTGTTACTTTGCGCATGCATTAAACCTTGCTTTGCGCGCAAGAGTTAGCGTAGTCCCTTGTGTCCCTCTGTTCACGGACTGGCCGCATTGGTTAGTCGCTTTTTATCAGAATCGAGGCAACGACTTGGACGCTGAACTCCCCTCACCCTGCCTTTCGCAGTTGCTCCCAGCCCAACGCTCCCGGTTCCTGGCGTCGCCCTTCCCGCCGAGGAGGACAAGCGTGTAGGAAATGCCGAGCATGAATCTTCTCGTGGTAGGGGAGGAGAAGTCCCTCCCGGATTTTGAGGATGCCTTGGAGACCTGCAAGCGATACGTCGGCCCCATCAAGTTGTTCACTGCGCATAAAGCGGTGGACGCAGTGAGCAGGCTGCAGGTATGCACATGCTGATTACCTGTCTACCATTCGCTGGTTAGTACACTGCCCCGAGGAAAATTGCTCGTTACCGCATGTCATGTCCGGTTCCGTTGTCTTTTGCAGAAATTGATTCAAACCTGTGGCCACTGTCACGCGGCCTTCCTTAGCCACCACTTCACTAGCCCTGGAAAAGAGGAGTTCAGCGAGACGCTGCGCAAGGTCATAAAGGAGAAGTATCCGGATGTGCCCGTTATCTGCTGGGGCAACCCGAAGAAAGGCGGAGAGCAAAACAAGCACTATCACGTCGCATTGGTAAGGACGTTTAGTCCCACTAACACGTTGCCTCCCACGCTCTTTCCCACATCCTCCGCCTGCCGGTCCACTCACCAAGCTCCCTGTGCGGCCCCCACCCGCCATCACCGAACAGTCGCAACACTGCTCCTACCAGCCGCCATGTAAACCCGCTCTCCAGCCCCGTTTTCTAAACGCATCCTCAACCTCCTCCTCCTTTCCCCACCACCGCATTTGCATAAGGACTCCAGTGCTTCACTACGTAACATTTCACCCTCCACTGCAAACGCAGGAGTTCATCAAGGGCGGCGGCGAGGTGAACGCGCTGGTTGACATCCTGAAGCAGGTGCAGGCGGGGCAGATCCGCACCGACTACCTGCACAAGGACCAGCGCAAGTCGCTGGAGCGCCGCAACTCGCTGGACAGGTAGAGTGGGGGTTGCAAGGGTGCGGGTTGGGCGGGTTGGGCAGGGCTGTGTGTGGTGCGTTGAGGTAGCTAGCAGTGCACGGGCGGGATGAAGACGGGGGCGCTGGCTAAAATATACAAATGCATATACCATGTGCACGCTACCGGCATACGTCCACCTGTCTCTCTCTCACCTGCGACCCACTATCCAGTTCCGCCCGGCTCACCTTTCTGGCCTTCCACCACCTCTCCAATCCTACCACGGCCCTCCTTCCTCATCCTTTCCAACCTTCCCCATTCCCTTCCCTCCCTCCCTTCCTCCCCGTTCTCTCCGCCCCCAGGTCCGACTCCATCCGCGGCGGTCTGGGTGGCCGGGTGGACTCCCTCATGCGCCGCACCGAGTCCCGCCGCGGCAGCGTGGACGGCCCCCGCCCGCCCGCACTTGACCGAGCCCTCTCCTCGCGGCGCTCGGATGAGGAAGGCGGCGTGCCGGCAACAGCAGCGGCAGGCGGTATGGGGGGCAGCAACCCCACCCTGCGGCGCAAGAGCGTGGAGCAGTTTGGTGAGTGAAGAGAGGCCGAGTGAGTGGGCGCGTGTGTGGGCGGGTGAGGGTCATGATGACAGGTAGGAGCGGCCGGGTTTGGATAACCGTTTGGCTTTGTGCAGTGTACAATGTCACTTGTTCATCTATACTGCACTTGCTGCTGATACTGGCCTCCACCACACCATGGGATGCGGATTCTGTTTCCAAATTAACCCCCACACCAGCTCTTCACTGACACGCTCCCTGTCCATGGCTCCCGTGTCTGCTTGCAGGCGGCTCAGGCGGCTTGCCCACCAGCGCCTCCATGGCTGCCGCCGGCGGCGGCATGGGCGGCCTCAGCAGCATAAGCAGCATGGCCGGCAGCGTCAGCATGGGGCCGCCGCTGCGAACCGGCAGCATGGTTGCTCCCATGGGGGCCGTCGGCCTGGCGGGTGGACCCATGGGTCCGGGCATGGTGGGCCCTATGGTCGGCAGCCTGGCTACCTGCCCCAGCGGAAACATGGCTCTCGGCATGGCGGCTGGGCCCCTGGCGGGCGGTGTCGGCATGGCTGGCGGGGCGGCGGCAGGCTACGGGGCCGCTGCCTGCATGAGTGGGCGCATGGGTGGCGTGGGCATGGGAATGGGCGGCATGGGAATGGGAGGTATGGGCATGGGTGCGCCTGCTACTGCGGCGGCGGCAGTCATGGGAGGGCTTGGCGGCGGCATGGGCGACATGGGCGCTGCGGCGGCGATGGGAGGCTGCATGGGAGGTATGGCGATGGGTGGTGTGGGTACAGCTGGTGCGGTCGGCATGATGGCACCGGCTGCTGGGGTTGCGGCTCCTGCGGCGCCCATGGGCGGTGTTGCTGCTGCTGCTGGTGGCGCGGGCGGCGGCAATGGCGGCGGCAACGCTGAGCTGATTAAGATGCTGGCGGAGGAGGTGGTGCGGCTGCGCAAGGCGGTGGAGGACAAGCGCGCCAGGGAGGCAGCGGAGGCGGCGGCTGCGGCTATGCAGCAGAAGCTGGTGCTGCAGCAGCAGCAGCAGGTGGGGGGCGGTGTTATGGGGGGCATGATGGGCATGGGTGGTGGGATGATGGGCGGCGGAATGCCGTTGGGAATTTAATAGTGGGGAATGAAAGGAAAAGGAAAGGAGGATAGAGAGTTGGAGGGAGGAGCAGGGCTGCGCCAGGCATTGTAACTTGCCATCGGTTGTCGGCTGTCCGTTGGGGGTTGAGGGATGCTGATGGTCTTGTTGAGGAAAAGGCTCGTTGTACTACACATTGACTCGTTAATGGACGGTGTCGGGGCTCGTTGTCTGCGAAGCCTTCCGCGCCAGACCTCAGAGCGTTACTGCCAGGTTGCTTCACACGCATACGTCGTATAGTCGTGCATGGTCTTTACTGTCGCTACATGGTCAGTTCCTTGTTTATGTGAAAAGCAAGGTGTGACGGGGGAGAGATTCCGTGGCCGCGCACACATGTCAAGAGTGCCAGGCACGGTCCTGCTCCAAATGCGAACCAGTGTCGTTCCTCTTTTTGTGTTTTGCGCAGTATGTATGGCGCAGGTAGCAGATTACAGTGTAGAGGGTTCTCATCAGAAGAATAGCGCTCGCTATACATAAACAATAAGAGCCATGCCTGTGGTGCGTGTCAGAAGCGTGCTGCAAGCGATGCTGGGTTTGGGACTTCGGGCCACGATGTGCAGGCGGTTGGTGGGCCGCGCCGTACCTGGCAACGGGGTGGGTCCGGGTGTGCGCGTGAGCTTTGGTTGGCTGTGTGTCCTTGACTACCCTGATTGTTTACTGGGGTGAGGCCATGTGACGCCGACCCCAGGCGGCCAGGTACTGGTCTTTCGCGAGGGGAAGGCCGGTAAGGGCTCGGAAGGCACCCACTCGTCCCATCCTTCGTTCTTACATGTCCAGTTGTTGAGCGCAACAAGGCACGGATGGGTGTATGGCCGTGGTGCGAAATATCAAAATAAGGTGTGGGTGCGTGCCTTCAGGCCGTTCACGCTAGTTTGGTTGAGCCGTTTGCATGGCCCTCAGCCCGCAAGGCTCGGATACAGGTCCTACAGCGTCAGGGCGGTTTCGCGCGTTTACAAGGTTACAAGCCGCATGGGAGGGCGCTGATGGTATTGGCTGCAACGTTTGCGTGGCTGTAAGAGGTTGAGTTTGGCGGTCTCATTGCTCATTGCTTTGGCCACGTGTTGGCAAGGAGTTGTGGGCTGCGCATGTGTTCGCCTGGCGTGCCCTAGGCGCGCTGCGTGCATCCCCAGCGGGCAAAGCTGTTGCAGCTGACACCTTGTCGGGGGCAGTGCGTGGAGTACTGGTACGCATAGCTGTGCAATCTTATAGACAGTTATTTCGTTAACGGCTCCTGTGGGTTCGTTAACGGTTCCTGGCGCTCAAATGTCTTCCAGAAACAGGCTTGCCGCCCTTGTGCGTTTGAATGTGCAGTTCTGCATAAGTGGGGGAAGGGAACGAAAGGGCACATCCAGGGAGCGTGGTGGACGGATGGATGATCCTTCGGTTGTTTACCATGCGGTTTGCGGACTGTCGTACATGAATCCGTGATCCCATGAAGCGCTTTTGTGATTGTGATAATGGTGGCGGTGCTGCTGCTGCTGCTGGTGATGATGATGGTGATGACGATGGTGGTGCGTGGTGGCGTTGTGCATGTGTGAACATGTGTTGAATGGGCGGTTCCTCGTTGGCTGGGGCCGTGCGACTGTGTAATGGATACATGCTTACGTCCCCCCTGCTGCACTGATGTTGATTTCTTAAACTACTTTGCCGCCGCTTTCCCTCTTTTGCGGTGCTGCTGCTCGTGACCTACGACCCACGTGTGTGAAGCGTGCGTGTTGTAGCTATTAACTTGTTACTTTTCTGTACCTTGTGGTGGCAAATAAAGGAAGCATGCAAGCTATGGTACAACCTGAACAAAATTTACGGCAGCGGTCCGTGTGTAGGGCCGCTGCCATTGCATTAGCACGTACGAAGTAAGGCACCTAGGAGTTGACACATGGTGGTGTGTGTACGGCGGCGTGGTGGGCACGGAGCGGTCACCCCTGCCGTAACTCGTAAGTGTTCTGGATTTGGGTCCGTCTGATTCGGAGTTTGGAGGGACAAACTCACAGTGGCTTTACGGCTTTGAGCGATGCTGTTAGGCGCAATGGCTGATGCTCTGGGTTTACGGCATGGCGTTGATGGGCTTGCGTTGTGAAGTGGTTTACGGTTGGCGTGACTTGAAGCCGAAGTATTCTGGTTGCCAAATAAGGATCCACATGAAGCCGGAAGATTCTTTAGACAATGACGAGTTTTTGCAGCTTTTCATCTTGTTGCGGGCGGCGGCAGTGCTGCTGGAGGCGGTGGTGGCGGTGTTGCGGCAGTGAAGGGATTTCTGCTGAAGTCATGAAGAATACCGGTACTAAGCGTGCGCGCAAAGCGCAGACCTTGTGCACATGGGTGTTGATAACGGGGTGAAACCGGGGGTGTTGCCAAGTACGCGCTTTTTTTAGTTTATATTGCATGAGCCGAAGTTGTTGTTGTTCTGACCACCTTAACTTTCCTGTAATGCATACGGGGGAAAACATGAGTGGTGGGGTGACAATATCGGCACGGATTACATGCCTCATCCCCAGTAAATAATGCATGTGACGCAGCCACGGGTGTTGCACACATGCCCTTTCTACATGCAACTTCCTGTCTTCCTGTCCTTCCTCTGTAACAGTCCACATCGGAAAAAATAACTGAAATGGATTTGGCATCCGTTAAAAGTGCGGGAAAGGCACGTATCAGCGCTACCTTTTAGCTAGCCAATTAAACGTCAAGTTGCGAAGTGCCGAGCAGCTATGTCCGAGTACTCATGGGCATTGCGAAGCCTTGCAAGCAGGTACGACAGATCCAATTGGGTAGGACCAATCCTTGTGATTATGGGTTGTCACCCTGTACTCCAAGCTATATACCGGTACTCCTTGCTGGCAATTGCTATTATAATTGTTCTTATCTTTGTGTAAAAGCGACAGTTCCCACTTCCAAAAATGACAACAAGGAAAATATAGCAAGCACATACATATCAATTACAGCTCAAAACACACAAAGATTAGTTCGAAAAGAGTTGTAAGATGGCCCGGGCTCTAGGCGCAACCAACTCGCAAAGATGCCTTGCACGGCCCACAACAAAAATGCGAAATCGGGCAGTGCTTCCGATATCAAACGCGCGACAACCCATATCAACTCCAGCTAACGAAGCGTCTACCTCAAAACCTTGCGAGCTGGTTACACTGGAGGAGGTTACATGGGCCGCACGTCGTAGAGGCCTCAGCATCACTGTGAAAGAGTTAGGACCGTTCTATCGTATAGTGTGCCGGGATGGCGACTCGACGGGCCGCGTGGTCGGTGTGACAAGCGGCTTCACGGCGCCCCTCTTCGGTATCATGCACTGCGACATGCTGCAAATTTTCACACGAGGCCTAAAGGGTAGGTGCATGCTTCCTTTTGAATTGCTGTTAGCTTGCCATGCAGCTCATCATCCGCCTTTATGCGATACTCATCCATCCACTTTCTTTTGGTCCTGCCAAGCCCAAGAATTGCTTCCCTCCTTTCGCTCCCCTTCCAGTCGACCGCCCTCTGCCCCATTACAAATGGCCCCACATCACCCCGCCCCTGACCAACCCCAGCACCGTCCACCACCCGCCCAGCACCCACCTCCAACCCCCACCACGGCCGCCCAACCACCAACCAACCCCCAGGTGAAGACGGTCAACGGCTGCGCGGAGGGCCCCTGGGTCTGGGGCTGCTGATGGGCGCCGCAACCTTTGCATTCGGCCACCAGCGGGGCTGCCGGGTGGCCGAGATCCTCGCAATCAACGACGATGACGCCTGGCACGAGCGGCTGGTGCGGTACTACAGCTACTTTGGCTTTCGACCCGTGGGTCGCGTGGGCGGCAACGGTCTGCGTGATGTGCCACACTTGCTGGTGTGGGGCGGCGAGGGAACCCGCATGGATGCGGACATTCAGGCGCTGCTGCGGAGGTGGAGTCCGGCGCTTCGGCAGAACAGCCTGAGGACGTCAGGTGGTGGTGGAGGAGCGGGTGGCGGTGGTGAAGATGGAGGTGATGTGGAGAGGATTTAACCTCCAAGGTATTGTCCTGAGGGGCAAGGGGTGTGGTCTGGATGGAGAGCACGAGACATGCGAGATTGTGGAGGTGGCCTGGGTTGTGATGCGGGTTGGGCGTTGGGGTATGTTGCTGGGAGGCTTCAAAGGTTGGGGCCACCGGGCACCATAACTCGGGAGCTGTGAACATCTTTTTTACGGCTGCTGCTGCTGCCTTCTTGCTGCATGGGGGCTACATCGCCTGCATGGCACATGGCGTGGGAAGTGCCTGGTTGCTTCCCACATGTGTCGCAACATCCTGCTAATGCACGGCACTGCAGGACAGCCATCTGGACCAGCACGGGCCTCAATTTGGACACATGTAGACATGCGTACAGCGTTGAATTGCAGGTTATTCAGTTAAGAGTACAAGGCAAGCGGCAGTGCTGGCAACGGACCCACGGTCCAAGGTGCCGGAGCTGCACATGCCGCCAATACCGTATGCGTGTTCAATATTACCGGTACAGCAGCCATGAGATATACAGTGCACAATGGCCCAGTTCAAAGAACATACCGGTAGCAGCACCAGCAATAGAGATCAGATCAGAGGCCACATGAAAGCAGGTCGAAAGGTTGTTCACTGCAAGTATTGCCTGAATACTAAAAGACCAATCAGGCTGTAAACGTCCAAGGTATCGGTATACTGGGCACCCATCCTCCTCCCCAGCCAAGTGCGCCACCAGGTTCGAGCTAGCAAGATCCAGCTTGCATTCCCACAGCCTCGCACGGGTAGCAGCACATGCCGAAACCAGTATGCGCGCGAGCAGGGACTTGTCGGTCCCGCTGATGCAAGCTAAGGTGTGTTGCCAAGCCGCCAGAAGCCAACCCAAGCCCGCACGCGTGTGCGCACTAGACGTGCGGTGCCTGCTAGCACTGCGCCTCCGTCCCGGCACCACAACCGCCCTCATGTCACTTCAGCCATTCTCATTGAACAGAGCCACAAAGCATTAACGCGCAGCCGATCCCCAAGCCGTCAAATCGCGACAACGCAACGGGACAGGGCACCGAACTCAGATATGAATGCTGGAAAAAGATGTACGTTATTCGCAAAACTACGTTCCTGCCCACGTGGCCTGCGTGTTTGTAAGTATGCGCCCCCAACTACCGAACACAGCGGCGTACGGTACGGTGCCGTAAGCCCCGGCATCCGCAACCACATCGGCGCCCGGACCACCGTAAACGCCAGCCTTACAAGTATTGCAACAACAGTGTAGAGCTTATAACAGGTTTATTTCGCCAAAAACGGTGTTACTGTACGGTAATAGACATCCAAGGTGCCAACCTGCATCAGCTACCGCTATTTAGAATCAGGTAAAAGCAATTTACAAGTTTTCTTGCGCTGGGAGACACCCTACTACCGGTAACAGCAGAGCCCTAGCTGGTCTCCAACATGCACCCGCATCCTAAGCAAATACTGAGCACCATGATGCAGCCGGCGCCAAAAGCGCTTTTCTCAGCGCCTGATAAAGTGCCGTACAATCATTTCAAAGCAAGCGCTACAACCAAGAAAGCGTTGACCAACGTAGCCCACCTACACGCAAAAACGTTGCCTGAGCGAGTGAGATGAATGGTCAGAAGCGTACATTGCACAGCATGTTTCCGCTGCCAAAACCAGCAGAAGGTATGCCTTGAAGGACAGACACAGCCCCGGCTCACACACCACATGATGTTCATCGTTAAGCCGCCAGCATCTATTCAGCAAACAACCGCCCCGGCCGGCGGCACCTGTAGTTGCAGCTGCACCCAAGTACGTACCGGTGCCAACAATAACGAGGACACACGGTCCATGGCAGGGCTGATCACAGCACACGTTATGCCTGCCGGACATCGACGTCATCCCGCCTCCACCTCTCAGCAAGGACTGGTGGCATCACAGCCCAACCCAAAGGTATCCAACAGCTTGGGATTCCTCATTAGGCCCAACGAAACACAACACACCCCATCACAGAAGCTTCCCACGCCACGTATTCTCACACCGCCGTGCAGATAGACACATGCTTGCAATTTCCCACCAATCCCAAGTAGGATCGCCCCAACAGGCCTGCGTAACAGCGTCAACACCCATCAACAACCTCACCACGGCTTGCCACCTTACACCAGCACCCATACCCTATCCCCCGCCCCATTCTACCAGTACAACAAAGCGCGGAAATGGCCTCACCACCGCTCCGCACGAACCCGCACGAACATGCCAAAAGACCTAACAAGACCTGTGAACAGGCCTGGTAAAAACCTCAACGCCGTTACTGTGTACCCATATCCTCATACTCTGACAGCGGCATGAGTCGCTTCACGTTCCGACAGTGCAGGACATGAGAGTGTGTGTGAGACATATGACACGAGCAAGGATGCCCACGCGACGGTCGAGCCGACATAACTGCGACCGAAGGGGTGCAACGAGTAGTCACCCTTGTAACCTGCTGCAAGCGGTCACGGAAGGGATATAACCGACGACGAGGTGGATGAATCGAAGCATATAGCAACACAGCCCCAAATGTTCTCACGACAGCACCTTTTGCCACTTGCCGCAGAAAACGGCAGGGCACCGCAGTACGGCAACAAAGCAACCATGCGACAGATGCATGTGACTCCATCGCTGTCTTCTTTGGCCGAGCATGACAGCAAAGAACAAGAACGATAACAAGTACATTCAACAACAGTCTTTCGCTTCGTATACGGTACATGAAACATCCAGCCATTCAACAGCAAAAATGTACTCCCAGTAGCCAGTACCCTAGACCCCAACGTAAACGGCATATATAAACCGATCGCGTTGGGATTGACTCCCCTACTACCAAAATCAACCACGACACCAAGCCCCCTTTGTTCATTTTTCTTTCTACCAACAACAGATTCACACAACCAAACCTTTTCTTTTTGAAGCAACTTGTAGACACTTGTAGGCAAACAACACATTGCAATGTTCGTTGCAACGCCACATGTCTTCGCCTCCAACTTTTCATACCCCAAAATCCCGCAAGACGGAATCGCACCCAGAGTCACAATACACTTCGCCAATCAGGCCCAACCAACCACCCTCCCTTCGCAGTATTCGTCCCCTCCCAACGGTTCACGTGCTGAGATCTCACTGATAGTACTGTGCTCGTATCGGTAAGCAACAAGCAACGAGACAGTCAGCAACAAGAGAGCAATGCCCTGCCAACAGTGCCACCGAAGCCAATGAGGCTATCAGCAGCAACTCCCACCCAAATAGTTCGTTGACAACACAAGGGATAGCACAACAGCGAAGAGATAAAAGCCCATCAAAATTTCTCAACGCCAACGTACAGAAGCAAGTTCCTTCTCCTTCTCCGCTGTCGGAGCAACGCAGTGCAGTTGCACTGGCGCATGCACGCCAGGGATTCTCCCCCTGCCGACCCCTACACCCCGCACCAAGCCGCCGCGACACATCTGATGCATTCCTGCCCCCCCCCACACACACACCATGTACGTTTCGCCTCGCGGCCAGTTATTTTAACCACCATGTTCCCAGTACGTTCCTACTCGCGGCCAGTTTTCTTAACACACACCATGTTCTGTCCTTCTTCTTCTTCTTAACGCCCCGTTTGGTTGCATGGCAACTTCATAAAGGCAATTCAAACCCGTTTGGATCTTCCAGTTCTACCCGGTCGAGGTCAGCTCCCCCCCATGCTGCAGGCACCCCATGCATGCTGTATAGCCTGCCAAGACCACCCCAACCACGAGCACATCGTGTTCGAGCTTTGTAATGACACAACAGAAACCGTGCATTCCTGCCATGCGCCATCGTGTCGACCGCAACGAAAATACAGCACCACAACCACCCGCGCTTCGCTCCACAACACGCCTCGTACCTTGTGCCCCACGACTCGCCTTACGCTGCAGTGTCCGTGCCGCCGTCCGTCCACCACTGACGCCACGCCCCCACCCCCTCAAGATTGCGACGTCTTCACCATGGGCAGTAGTCCCGGCGGCATACCCTGCCAGGCGCCATCCAGGCCCCCGCGCTTGGTGTTGGTTACCATCAGCGGTGGCGGCTCCTGCGGCTGCAGGCCGCCCTGGCCCTGGCCCCCCGAGAAGCGCATCGCAAGCAGCGCCCCCTGTAGGTGCGTCTGCGGGTGCGAGTGCAGCGGCGTCTGCGGCGACACGGGGGAGCGCGCGTGCACATGCACGTCGGAGGTGAAGCGTCCACGAGCCATGGACTGCCGAGCTTCAGCCATGGAGCGTGTGGGGGTGGCAGACGTGGCCTGATGAGGTTTAGGAGAGGTGGCGGTGCTGCCGCGCGGGATTTCACCGGCAAAGGAGAGGGCACCATTGGCCAGCCTGCTTCCTGCGCCACCGCCTCCACTGCTGCCGCCTCCGCCGCCGTTTCCCGTAACCCGCATGCCGCTCAGCACGCCCGGCGCCGGATTGCCGGCACCACCACCCACACCGGCAGAACCGTCACCCGTGCCGCCCCTGCCGTTGTAGGAAAACACCGGCGGCGTCGGGCCGGCAAGACCGCCCGGACTGCCGCGGCCATCCGGAATCCCCACAAGGGCCGACGTTCCGACAGCAGGCCCGCCCCCAGTAGCGCCCGTGGCGGATACTGTAGCCGCCATGCCTTGGTCTCCTGCGGCCTTACCAGGACCCCACTCGGTGGGCAAGAACACCTGGCCCGTGGAGATGCTTTGCTGACGGGTGCGGAAGCTCGGCATCTTGGCCAGAAAACTGTTGCTGCGCGACGAAACACCGCCCGCCAGGCTAGTGACCGGCGACTGCCCAGTTTCTTCCCCTGACCCAGTGCTCGTTCCGCCGGAACGCCCCTTGCCCAGCCACAGCGGCATCGCCAGCGGTCCGATAGCCGGCCGCTCAGCCGAGTCAACAACCCCGCCGCTAACGCTCGTTATACCGCCAGTACCACTGTTTAAACCGGTAGCGGCCCGATGCAGGTTGCTGCTACCACTGCCTCCGCTGCTGCTGCCGTACATCGTCGTGCCGTTGAGGCTGGTGGCAGCTCGGCTGTAGAGATGGCTGCCACGAAGGTTCGAATTCATGGTTACCAAACCACCCGTGAGACGCTGCGGTGGCTCCTCATCCTCTTCATCTTCCTCGTCGGCCAGCAACGAGGCCGGCGGCAGGTCGCGGCGCTGCAGCCGCCAGTTGTGGAAGCGTTGAAGCAGCGAGGCGGCCCGCTTGGGCGAGGGCTCATCGCCGCTGGCGACGTCCGCGCTGTCAAACGATGATGCAGCCTTGGGCCCTTCGCGTTGTTTTGGCGTGCGCATGGAGGTAAAGCGCTTGGAGCGCGGGGAGCTCGCCACGCCGCCGCCACCGTTGGCATTGACTGCGGCTGTTGATGCAGGCGGGTGCGGCATGGTGGAGGAGGAGACGCTCCCAGCGGTTGTCACGGAGGAAGAGGCAGCAGCAGCAGCAGCAATGGCGGAGGCGGAGGCAGCGGCGGCGGCTCCGGTGCCAAAGGTGAAGGACTGGCTGGTGTGCTGCGGGCGGATGTCTTTAGCGCCGTTGGGCCTCAACCGAACTGTGCCGTCACGGGAGGTAGTAGAGGAGGCAGCAGCAGGAGCAGCAGCCCCTGCACCATTCGGATTGCCGCCGCCGTTGCTTGGTTGATCTGGGTCAGCCAGCATGTCTCCCATGGTGCTCCACTTGCGAGAAGCGCGCCAGGGGCCCGGGAACTGGCCGAGGCTGGGTTGTGGTGGCAGCTGCTGCGGGCTGGGTTGCGGCGGGGAGGGGCGAGGCGGCGAGGGTGCGAGGGAAGACTGGGAGACGGCAGCGGAGGCTCCGGGGCGAGGGACAGAGGTCGTAGGTACGAGGGATGAAACAGGGGAGAGCGCGGTGGGGGAGGAAGCAGTGGGTGCTGCAGCAGCAGCAGCCGCTGCACCTGCCGCTGCTGCTGCAGCTGCGGAGGACCTGACGCCCAGGTTGGATGTGGCACGGCGGAGGGAGGGCTTGGATGTCAGGCTGCGGGCTGGGGTGTTGGCGATGGGAGCAGCAGCGGGTTGCTGCGGCGGCTGCGGCGGCGGCGTTGGGGCGGCTGCAGCCAGGGCGCTCATACGCTCACGGCGCAGGGTGATGAGTGACTCGAGGACGGGCAGCACGAGGCGGGTTTCCTGCCTCTCCTCCTGCGACGAATCAGGCGCCGATTCTGCGGGCGGATCCTGGGATTCGGCAGCAGCGTTGTCAGGTGCGGCCTCAGGGGTTGCTGCTGCTCCTGCCTTGTCGGCTGCATCCGTTGCTTCTTCGGCAGCAGGAGTGGCTTCTGCTGGGTCGGCGTTGGTTCCCGCCTGTTCTTCTTGCGTTTGCGCTGCTTGCCCGCTTGGTGCTTGTTCCTGGGCTCCTTCAGCCCCAGATTGCTCAGCTTGTTGCTCTTGGAAATGATGGAGTCTCTCCTCCTCCATCATTAAGGTTCTTCGCAGCAGGATCATTCTGACCTCTCCGGAGCTAGGCGCAACCGGACTAGGCATAGGTAACAAACCAGATGCCTCAAATAAAAGATCGTGTAGTGGATCGTCAGGCCCGGAGTACCCCCCAGACCCTTGGTTGGGCGTCCAAGACGGCTTCGTCCATTTGGAAGGGTTATACAGGTCATCCGGTGCATCGCTGCCACCGCGGCCACCACCCAAGCCTGAGGGGAATGGCGACGAGTAAGAAAGGGCACAGAGATGGCAAGAAACGCGGAATACCAAGTGTCGGAATCGATCGTTGTACCTGCGGAGGAACCTCCATCCGCCGGCCCTCTCATCCAGCTGGCACGAGCGGAATGCATAGCCGCCAAGTTATGAGCCACAGAACCTCCCGTGCTTTCATGGGATTCTTCAATGCGCAAGTTCCGTCTAAACATTTTTCAAGGACAGAGGAAATGGTACGCTTTGCCGCCTTAGCTATAGGAAAATTGGGCGTGGATGCTACCAAGCCTCACGGCCCTGACGTTTGGCAAGCTCGGCTTTCTGGAGCCGTAAAGAGAGGTCAAGCCCTACACATACGTAGTGAGACGTCCAGCCCACAATCATGCAATTAACATCGCAAATTCAGCAAGCGTATTCGTTCTCAACGGGATGGGGCTGCATTGATGGCTTCCTGGCTTCGTACGACACGCTCAGTGCGCTTTCACGCGCACTTTCGCACCCATATGAAGAGTTGCCGGATAAGGCAGCTGTTCTTTCGTCTTACATGGGTCTGCTGCACAGCTGTGCTTGCAAGCTACGTATAATTGGCAACCGGCAGACGTGACCGGCAGATACGAATGCTTTATGCGAAGTGCTGCATCCTAAGAAAGACTTCTTGCCCTGGCTTTAGCAGCTGGAAAGACAAGCATAGAAACGCATGCGCGCGTGTGTGTTTTGGGGCTGGTAAATAGCCCCTACATCAGTCGGCGATTACAACGCACACAAGGAGGCCCCTCAACAAAAAGAACATTACTAAAGAACACATATTCCCTTGTTAGCATCATTAACACTTTGCACTGAAGATAGTAAAGGTTCGGCAACACCGTTCAACGGTCGGGGTCGGGATTCCCTCCTTGGTAACTGCAGTCGCCTCTGGATCAATAATTTTTATACTCGCCAACACTCAAGCGCGGCCGGGCCTGACTTACAACTATACAATACAATCAACAACGGGCCCCCCTATCTCTGGCCAGCAAGAGGAGTAAACAACAGAGCGTACGTTCAATATAGTGCGGTAAGCAAACCCCTCGCAACACGCGCGCGCCCAATTCAATCATCTTTTGGTGATGCAGCCCCTCCTGGACTGACCACCGCCCCTTCGCCCTCCCAACCCCCCCCCCCCCCCCATACACACGCAGCATCCATCCTCGCCGCCTCGCGGCAACACACCGCAGTTTAAGACATCATCGTCAAAACGTTGTCACATGATCAAATGTCACAAACACTCATCCCCCTCCTGCCCAGCTTCCGACCGCTCTTGCTGACTCCACAACAGCTCAACCCCGTATAGCTTGGCATGACATCCTAAAATAGCCTGGCTTGACGGCCTTATAAATAGTCGGTGCGAGCATAGCTGCACGCCGTGTCACGTCAAACTGTGGACCGCGCCCGGGTGTTGCACCGGACATCTTCAACAAGTAGACACCAACCACAGTAGGGCAGAGTACGGTGCTAGGGCTGGGGAGCGGCCACAACGCCACCCCTCCCAAAGCTTTCGGTGGGTCCTCACATAAAGCAAAGCCACATAGCAAAGCCAGAACCGCAGAAGATTTTAAACAGCAGGGGTGCGCCGGCATGCCACTTGCCGGCAGGAGGCGGGGCCTGCATGAGACAGCGTGCAAGCCAGGCCTGCACTCAGAAACTACACCTCTTTTGAGCCAGAAAGCACATACCGGTATTGATAAATCTGGAAGAAGCCTCAGCCGCTTGCCCGGTATCATGGTACCTAGACAGCAGCCGGCAGGTTCTCGCACTTTCCGCCACATCCCGCGCCAAAAATGAATAACCCTAACCATTACTGACTTGAGCCATACTGCTACTATTACCAGCCCCGTCTGCGGGGCACATCGGATGCATCGCAGCAGGTAGTTACCCAGCACCCAGTCGCCACAAGCGGGTGCGGTGAAGCCTGTTGACTGCACACCACGTACAAATGTCTCCCATCGCATCTTGGTACGGTACCCTAAACGCCTAGCGCGTCCAGATCAAAGCACCGCAAGTCCACAACTACACCAATGGCATGCACGGCCCCCAAAACGTGCGAGCAGGCTTAAAAGCATGCAGTTCTCATACGCTCCCACGTGCTTGCTCCCACAGCTCAGTTCCAGCACACACCCCCCAGACATGCATCAACACATCAGACACATGCCTCCCACACAGCCATCCTCCCATCCTGCCATAGTAAAGTACACCCCCAACAACGCCATCACCCACAACGCCTTACCCTCGCAGCCCCAGTTCCAGTCCCAGACGGTACAGACAAGAACACCCTTCCTGAAGCCGGTCCCATCCGTGTCCTGTACCCTCGCCGCTGCTGCTTCGCACCATCCCTAAACCACACGTCTGCCCTCCTCTCCACAGCACCTGCATCGGCTACATGGCACCTCGCCGCTGCGGAGAAGCCGGTCCTAGGGTCAACATGCTCACCGACAGCCGACCCGCCGCAGCCCCACTCGGCGCCTCCCCCAGCGGACAGGCCGGCGCCCCGCTGCTGTGCCAGCTGCGTCGCGAGGAGGAACCCTCAATGGGCGGCAGCTGCACCAGCAGCTGCTCGCGACGCCCGCCGCCGCCGCCACCGCCGCTCGGATGCACCGCCAGCGGTTGATACGCAGGCGGCGAGGTGCTCAGCGCCCCACCTGGCTGAGTGACGTAATGCAAGCCCGACCCAGGGGTCGCTTGTGAGCCCGTGGGGCTTATACTGGCCTCGCCCGCGCCTCCAGTCGCCGACACGACATCCAGGCTGGCGCGGTCCCCACTGGGGTGGACACCGCCGCCGCTGCTGACGCCTCCGCCTCCGCCACCGGCAGCAGCACTGCCTGCTGCGCTGGCATTGGACCAGGGCCACATGCTGCCGCCGAGCTTGTGGGTCCAGGAGAAGAGCGCCTTTGAGCTGATGCTCTTTCGTTCCGAGGCGCTGCGGCTCATGCTGCGTTGGGCGGTGGTTGCCGCAGTCGCCGTCGCCGCCGGGCGAGGAGCAGCAGCAACGGGAGGCGGGGCGGGCGCCAGCGTAGTGGCAGAGTGGTGCAGCGGAGCCGCGGAGGGGGAAAACGAGGTGGCGGGGGACAAGGGGCTGTGCTGGGGGTGAGGGTTGGTGCTGCTGCCGGCGCCGCTCATGGTACCTGGCGCGACGTTGCCGGCATATCCGCTGGTGGCCATGGTCGTCCCGCAGTTTCCCGCCGTGAAACCAGACGCCGTAGTAGAGCGCCCCGGGGGGTCCCGCTGGCCCCGAGAGGCATGGAAGGAGGCAGAAACAGCCGGCGGCGCCGTCGGGTAGTTGTGGGGGGTGTACGACAGCGCCCGGCCGAGCGGTTCCATGTCTTCGCCATACAACGCGCCGCCGCCGCCTCCGGCGTCGTCGTCCACCAGCGCCGATTGAGCCGGCGGCGGCGAGGACACCTGGAAGGACCGGGTGTGGGTCGCACGCCCCAGGCGAGTCGAGGTTTCAGGCGCTGGTATGGTGGAGCAGCGCCGACGCGCGGGGGAGTTGACGAGCGAGCCACAGCGGGTGAGACCACCGGGGCCGGTGCCGCTGCTGCTCGCGCTGCTGGCTGCGGCGCCGCTGGTACTGACGTTCACACCGCCGCCAGCCCCAATCCTGAGCGTGGGCTGTGATGACATGCGTATGAGCGATGGGTGGCCGCTGAACTGGGGCCCGTGGATGGAGGGGCGCTGCGCCGGATGAGGCCGTTGCTGCGGGGGTTGCAGCGGGCTGACACCGTCGCTCATGGCTAGGAGCGTCCGCAGGGCTGGGAGCACCAGACAGCCGCGTTCGGTTGCGGAATCGCCTGCAGGAGAGGCAGTTGCGTCGCAGGCTCCGTCGCCCGTGCCGGTTGCGTCGCGCTTCGTGGGTGTCCCTGCGCTAGCCACGTCACCGTCATCGGTAGCGGTACCGCCCAGGGGCGCTGAGGCTGAGAGTGCGCCGACGTTGGTTATGGGTTCTGAGGGTGATGTCACTTGTGGTTGACTGAGGTACGAGGCTGTACGGACAACCATGCCATCGATACTGCTGTATGTGGCGCCGTTTTCGTCCTTGGTAATGAGGCCGAGGGAGAAGGACGCTGCACGCTGTGGCAGCAATCCGTCGGGAGATGCTTCGTAAGGATGTACCACGACGCGCGTGCGGCGGTCTTCAAGTGCGCTAGCTACCTCAACAGCAGATGGCGCAATTGGCGCTGCGAGCGGTAGGGAGCTGTGGAGGATGTGCTCCGTGGCATGCACGCGGAATAACACGCTATTTCGAGGGATGTCGTGCGGACCGCCCTCTTCGGGAACCACAATAACCGAGGGGCCAGCTTGGCTCTGCTGAGGGGACGAGTGTCCATCACCCACGCCAAAGGTACCTTCGTTCCCGTTGGAACGAGGGTTGATTGCGGTTGCCATGGCAGCAGGTGACGAGGTTGAACCGTCGATAGGCGTGTCATCCCATAGGTCTGGAATACGATGGATATCGGTGCGCTCTTTCGATGCCCACGACGCCCTAGCAGCGGCAGCTGCTGCGAAGGCCAGGTTTACAGGCGTCCGAGAGATAGGGCCTTGGCTGCTGGCCTCCACATCATACTTTAAAAGCACCATTTCTGTACTTTCAGGCCACGGCTTGTGCAAGGCTGTAAGACTTTGGGTAGAAGTCGCTCTTCCTACCGGCGAAAACTGTAAGAAAGCTTAGCGGAGCCAGAACTGCGACGTAGCAGCATCAGCACATACTAGGGCTATTGACCGGGCCAAAGGCTTAAGTTCAATCGCTACGATACTGCCGTGGCGGACCTGGCTTTGCAAGGAATTAACGAACGGTGTGTGCGCGCCAGTGTCTAGGACAATATTGCAGTTAGTTTGTCCTTTCGGTACCCGCGTTGAGACCAGAACAAGCGATCTTCCATAGATAGACGGTACTTCGTTTCCGTACTGCTTACGGGGCTTATCGCTCAGTGCACGCCTTAATCAAGAGCAACTGCCTCTACCTTAGTGGCCGTTGTTTCTTTGAAGAGTATTACAACGCATGGAGCTGCACGGTCTAGAATTACATGTGATGGTTACGTGGGTTGTCACCCGTAGACACATTTAGGATGGGAATTTCAATCAAATACATGGTAGGTAGAAGTGCGCACTGTCCATGACTATCGGTATTTCAATGCAACGCACAGTTGGTAACCTTCAGTATTACGTACTTGCAATGTGCAGTTCCCCTCCCAGTGCAGGGTTTGAAATGTTTTGGCATAAAGGATTGGATACTATACTGAAAACATGTAATAGAACGCAACTCACATCGGACGTTTCATATTCCTTGAGCACTCACAGAGCTCATGAGCCCAGGAGGCCGCTGATGCTGCGCGCGGCCCTTCCGAACTGAAAACACAGTAAGCTGAAAGGACGTTCACACGGCTTGAGCTTACAAGTCAATTGAATTTGTCATTTACTCACAGTCACCACAGCGTCTATTACACACCAGCCACCATGCAGCTATCTGAAGCTTTCGCCGGGCATCGGTTTGGAATACAGTCCATGCGTCTTTACCCCGCTCCCCCCTCGCATAATTCCTATAACCCAAAGACGTGTGCGCAGTACAGTTCCTCGGCGCAGCTTAACGCCTACCTTTGATCCCAGTGGAAAGAGCCAGAAGCGCATGGCCAACGCCTATATCGCGGTTTGCTCCCAGGGGCCCTTTAGAAGGCCTCATCCATTCATCCTTGCATCCTGCTACCTTTTTGTATGCACACAGTGCCGTCACACACCCTAAGCAAGGAGCACAACCCCTGCCCAGCCAACTTGCAACGTAACAATCTATGAGCGCACGCTCCCTTCTTGGGTTACGCTGCACTTCTATGAGCAATTAACATCCCTCACCTAACTTTCCCTATCATGCAGCATAATTGCGTTTCATCATCCAAGCATCCACCCACCTCACTGCGCCCAGCTCTGCGTTCTTCCATGGGAGGCGGAGCAAACCGCCCACTGCCGACACATGCCGTCCTCTCCCCACTTAAACGATCGCCATTAAGGCTGGCAAGCACATAATGCCGACTTACACCACAAGGAAAGGTACGAAGTCCACGCCCATGCTTTACTACACCCTCCTCGTCACGGGGATCACTCTTGCGGCACCTGACGATGCTTGGCCTAGCTAATCATATGTTGTCATAAACCATGCACCGCGCGACCTCCTCAGGCTCCACCCTTTCGGCCGCCTCCCACACGCCGCCTCTTAAAGGACTTCACCCAGGGCGTCACAGAAAGTCATGTTGCCTTCAGAAACGCAGCGCATCATACATCACACCAGCAGCAGATCACACCAGCACGGACCGCACGGAAAGCCTGGCGGAAGCGGTTATTGCTTGGGAGTCACACATCCTTGCGATTAACCGCACCGTTATGTAGGGGTACTAGGAGGACGTGCACGACCTGACCAGCACAGCTATATATACCTCTTGAGCATTGCTGGAAGGAAGCAAGCAGGCATCTAAAAGGGTGACGATGACCGAAACCCTAACGTTCCCTTGACAATGCACGACAACAAGAAGTACGGTATACACTAATAGACCAGTCAAAGGCAGGAAGGGCTGTCCGGGTACCCTGAGCAATGTGTTGCGCGCAAAAGCTCCAACTCAACACCAACGTTATGTACGCAATGGGTGGTGTGCGCACGCGTGCGGTCCGTCCAATGTAACATCAACAGTATACACAACCTAGCAGACGACTACACGACTACTAGACGAATACCTCCACAACACCAACGCGCATGTTCGCAAACCCGGGTGTCGGGGGTTACCCCGGTGCGTGCCAAAACCCGCCATGCCACCAAACACATCCGGCCAGGCTAGCTGTACAGACGCTTCACACCAACAGCACTCGCATCACTGCTCTTGCCTCCTCCTGACGTCATTTTGCCGTCTACAGCTTCCCGCGTCACAAGTATACGCACCAACACTCCTGCGCTGCCGTTCCATTCGCACCCCTACCGCAAAAGCTACAGGTGCTCAACGCCTTAACCAGCAGGCTCCGACCCTTACAAGCGTCATCAAGCCATGTATAATGAGTTAATAACCCCTCCGGTGTGAGGTCAGCAACTCACACATATCACCGTGTCATGTGCCCCATGGACTCATGCTTACTCTCAGCCTGGCCCCTGGCAGACAGCGACATTGCAGCAAACAAGGCGACGTCTGGCGGAGGTTCAGCGGGCGCAACAGCTGCACGCTACTCCCGCTCGCTCTGGAGGCGATTCAGCCCAGGGGTCTGCGCTGGCGCCGGCGCCGCCGGCGGGACTCCATGGAGGGGCTTACTTGATGCCGCCGTCGGCGTCAGCGTCGGCGTCGGCGCCGGTGCGCCACCTGTTGGTGATTGAAGTGCGGCTGGCGACGTCAGCGCTGACGGCGAAGCAAGGCTGGGCAGTATTAGCTGTTGGGATGGCGTGCGCTTGACCGGCCCTGCTGGAGCTGCTGTTGCCGCCGGTGTTTGCGGGCTGATGATGAGAAGAGCCGATGCGGCTGCCGGCGCCCCAGCCGCTGCCACCGCCCCTGCAGCTGCGTTCTCACTGTGGCCGGGTAACTGCAGACCGGTTGTGGCAGCAGCAGCGGCGGCGGCGGCTACGGCTACGGCGGCGGTGGCGTCATTCGCCGCAGCGGACGCTACGGCGCCGCCGCTGTCAAACCCCACTGTTGAACGCGCACGGCTGCTCCGACCGCCAGCCCCCGGAGGAGTTACAGCCGTCACCCGACAAGGCGTTGCCGCGGGGTCAAGTAACGAGGCAGCAGCAGCTGCAGCGGCTGGCGGCGGCGGCGGCCAGGGCTTATAGCCCACGGCAAAGGGTGCCGGGGGCCCTACCGCACGGCGGTCCGAGTCTAACCCCAGCACCTCACCGCCAGCACCAGCAAAGGTACAAGCTACACCGCCAGCAGCAGCAACAGCAGCAGCAGCAGCAGCGGCTAAAGGTGTGCAAGGGGTCCTGGGACTTGGCTGCACACCCTCCCGCCGCACAGCCCGCATGCCACTTACCGCAGCCGCCCCAGCCCCCGAACCCACCGGCGCCGCCGCCGCCGCAGCAGCAGCACCTCCCGCTCCCTGACCCTCAGTACAACCACACGCCACGTTGTCTGCTGCAACCCCTGCGACCACTACCGTCGCTACAGCGGAGGCACAGGGCGAGGTGGCCTCCGGGATGCCGCTGCTGCTCACGCTGCTGCTGCGGCTGATCCTGCGCTGCCCCGCTAGTACCTCCAGCGCCTCCCAGGGACAGGAGGGCGCCGCCGCTGCGGCTGCCGTACCGCAGCCGCCACCGCCGCCACCGGCGGTGGCGAGGCTAGGTCGACTAAACCCACCGCCTCCGAAACCGGGATTTCGCAACGTCAGCGTCAGTGTGCCAGGACCGCCGCTGCCTCTACAGCCCCCGACCGGTGACGGCGCCGCCAGCGTCTGCGTCTGCGGTTGTTGTTGGGGCTGCTGCTGCCAGCTGTCAAACTCGTCATGACTATCTGTGAAGAGGCTGTGCCCTGCAGCCTTCGGCCGTCCTTCCGTCACGCCGCTGTCGCCGCTTTGACGGCAGGCGGAGCTTCGGTTGGGCTGCAGAAGCGGCGGCAGACGCAGCGCTGCATTGCGACTGCTGCCGCCACCGCGACGTAGCTCCTCGTCGTCTTCACCCTCGTCGTCACTGGGGTGACTGCCTCGGTCGCTGCAGTCACTGGCGTTGTCGCGTGCCACCTCGCGTGCGCGCGCTGGTGAGGAGGAAGCCGCAAGGTACTTGCTTGCGGCGGCTAGGTCTAGTGTGATGCTGGGGCCGGAAACGCATGGGAGCTTCTGGGAGTCGCTGGGCTGCCTGCGCGGGGGCCCGTGGTGCGCGAGTGGCGGGTGCTGCGGGAGGGACGAGGGCTGAAGAGGCTGTGCTGCAGGGGGTGTTGGTTGCTGTCGGAAAGGCACAGGTTGCTGCAATTGGGCTTGCTGCTGTTGCTGCTGCTGCTGGTAGTGTGGTAAGGGATGATGGGTGTTTGGATGTTGCTGCTGCTGCTGGTGTTGCCGCAGGACCATGGCGCTCGGCACTCGGACGGGCGGCGGCCACAGCCCATCACCCGTGGAGCGCTGCGCCCTGCAGGCCATGCGAACATACTCATTCGGCGGCGCACCACCTGCACTTGGCATTGCGGCCACGTAAGCGCTCAACAGTGGCGCAGCAGCAGCAGCGGCGGCGGCGGCGGTGATGGGCGCATGCGCCTCCGGACCTCCTACCCGAGGGACCTCCCCTCCACCGCCGCCGCCGACGACGACGACGCAGGACGACAAGGTCGCGGCCCCCAGTCCCGCCCCGAAACCCGGCAATACGGCCCCGCCAGCAGCACCAGCGGCAGCACCAGCCTCAGCGGCGGCGGCGCTGCCGGGCGGCTCAGTTATGCGATGCCGCTCCGCCATGGGCGTCGTACGGCGCATCCCGGGGACTCCGGTTAACCCCGACGTCGCTTGTGGATCGGAGGCAGACGCCGCGGCAGAGGAGCCGCTTGTGGCTGAGGTGAAGGAGGAGGAGGAGCAGCGGAAGCGGCCGCTGCTGCCGACGGCTGCTGCTGCTGCAGGGGTCATGGCCACCGGGCCTGGCGCTTTCCTTCCGCTGTGTCTGAGATCCATGTGCTCATCGGTGACGGCGGCGCAGCTGCTGCCAGCTGCTGTCGCGGGTACGACAGCAGCAGCGACGGGGATGCCGCTGGGGGTGCCGCTGTACGGCGGGGTGCCGGTGGCGGTGGTGGTTGCGGTGAGGATGCCGGGGGTAACGCAGGAGGCGGGGCTGGCGGAGGAGCCGCTGCCGTCGCTGCTGCTGCTGCAGCCGGGAGCGTGGTAGGGAGCTGCCGCGGCGGCGGTCAGCAGCGTTCCGGACCCTACTGGCGTCCGGCGCAGGGGCATGCCGCTGTGGGAGCCGCGGGAGGGAGGAAATGCGGGTGGGTTGCAGGTGGGGTCGGGGAAGCGGCAGGTGCTGCCGGCATCGGCTGTGGTTGCTGCAGGTAGGACGCAGCTCGCCGGGGTAACTGGCGGAGGGGGCTCCGAGGCGTGCAGCCCCGCCACCCACACACGTGTGTCCCGCAGCCGGTCCCCGTGGTCGCTGTTGCTGCTGTGCGCGTGTGCGGCAAGCCCAGTGGGAGTCAAGGAGGCGTCGGGGCGGCTGCTAGCAGCAGCAGCAGCGCTCCCAGCTCCATAAACTGCAACTCCCGGGGTGCCAGCAAGTCCAGCAATGGAACAACGGGAACCTGGCCTAGGAGGAGGTGTCTCCGGCCCTGCTGCCGTCTTACTTTGGCCCAGATGGCTGTTTTGCTCGTCGAGTATGCTGGCCTGCTGCCCAAAAGGTACTTCGCCGCGCCGGAGTGCCCATGGCTTCCTTGCCTCGCGCCCGGGACGCCGTTGCCGATCTGGTGAGTGACAAGGAGAGTACACTAGCCGCTCTGAGGAAGCATCCACAGGTGCTTTTGCTTGAAGCTGTGGTATTACGAGGAACATGTAACCTGGTTAACCTCCATGCGTTTCTGGATGGAGAAACGTAGGCTGACATATTTAATTTCATGACAACTGAATCCCTGATATGTACGTGTTTCCAAGAAATTCGGCGCAGTTTCTGCGAACGTGCGAAGTCACAATGCAGTGCACTCAGAAAGCGCACCTGCGCCAGACCATCTGTATCCAGAGCCCAAGCCTTCATGAGTTAACGCACTGCAGTTGGAAGCTGAAGACGTGCCAAGCACAGGTTACAACGGCTATCTCGTTCATGCCGAACCGGCGCTTGCGCTGCGTCACAATAATATACTATCAGGGAAACTTCACTAAATGCATGTGCTTAAGAGCCTTCCCGTATCGTGTAGGCGGCAGGCGATTACCGGACTCTAATAATGGACTAAGAAGAGCTAATAAGGGTGATGTGTGCAACTGTGCATACTCATTTTGCAGGTTTCCAAGAGGTGGACCTGAACCAAACTCGTAATTTTAAACGCAAGGGAAGCCTTCGTCGCAAGCGAGGGGCCCGGCGTACGTCCTACTCGACTGCATGAGGAAAGGCTGGACGTCCACATCGATCATCATTTTTTTCGCAATAGGCGTATACTCGCGAACCGAGGCCAAAAGGTCGGGGCGTCTCGCAGCCATTCGCCACAGCGACGGTTCGTACCCGTCAACACACCAGCAATAAACAAACCGTTTCATTGGTCGTCGAAAAGCAGTTTGTTCGCTAATTGTGAAGCGATACCAATTCATAAAAGCAGCATAAGATGCAAAGCCCGCCGAAACGCTAACTCAACTGACCTGGGCTTGCAGGCGGTTTCCTTGGCCGCAAGCCAACTAGCCCACATTGACTGTTGACGACACCATGCTGATGCGTTTTGCTGACCTAACCCGAATAACCCTCCGAAATCCCGCAGCGACCCATCCTGCCACAGCCCCGTAGGTTCTCACATGCCTCAGCCCGTACGTTAGGTTAGGATCTCAGCCACAACGCAAGTTGGGCATCCGGGATCACATCCTGCGGATAAATTAAACTCCCAGACAATCCTTCATTACCCGCTAGACAACCAGCCAGGACAGCAACCATTCTGCGGCTGTAGAGCAAACCGCAACGCATATGTCAGGGGCACACATCCCGCACAGACGCCTCTCCTTAAAGTCATTGCAACGTCGAAACGGTTATGGTTATGTTTAGCAATGTCAAAGGAATCTGCGTCCATTCGCAAGGGAGTAACCCTTTAGCGCTTGCCTAGGAGATCCCCTAGAGCAGCACAAGATGCAAGCGTACCACATGCCGTACACCAAACACACAAGTTGTCCGAAAAATCGTTCTTAAACGAAGCTCGCAACAAGCCAACAAGCTATAGCAAGATAACAGAACACCTACTGCACATGCGCTACTCAACTCTTGCATTGCACGCCTTAAATAAGGCCAACAAGTGACGACGCCTTCATAATATTATAACCCACGAACAGGAACGCACACGCACGAGGCGCAAGAGTTACACAGCTAAGTACTAACAAGGCTAATAACGCACGAGACGTTGATGTACACCCACGCAGCTGCGAAAGCTGCCCATGTCTCCCTGCCACAACGCGACACACGATTACCGACACAACCCGTCCCACACGACATGCACACAACATAAGCAGCCGCGGCGCTTCTTCTTCTTCTTCATAACGTTCCGTCGTACCACCAACCGCCAACCGCCGCAAACCGTTAGCCTCCTGGATTCAGCCACGTGCTGGCACCTAGGTCAGGTGGACGGAACCAAGGAATAGGCGTGTCCAAATGCTTAACACGGCGGGTGCTACAGAACTGTACACACAAGTTATGCACGACATACCGGTATGCTCCACATGCTCCGCTGCCTTTTAGCCAAACAAAACATATCACGCAGCTCCGGACATCTGCCAATCATGAGGACGGATGGACGGTTACCAGGACCAAGCGTGTTGCCAAAGCGAATTGCAACATGGTGCAGTGGTGTAGCGGGGGGAGCCGCTGCAGCCCCGCAGCTGGCTGTGCCCTTCCCCTCTTCCCACTCAGCAACCAAACCTCTCCCCACCCCTTCGTACCAATAGCCCCCCCTCCCGTTGGTTCTCGCGGCTCAGTTTACCTAATCCCCCCTCCCGTTGGAATCCCCATGAGCGGCCAAACTTCCCCCCAAAACCAGTCCTCAAAACCAGTCGTCGCAAGCACTGCCGACCCGCAAAATATCTTCACAACGGTCTCGATCCTCGCACCCCAAACTGTCGCTGCGTGTTGCTCACCCGCACCTGAGACGAAGCAGCCCCTACCAGTGGCCCGGTGGCGCCAGCAGCTGCAGCAGCTGTGGCGGGGGCACCGCCACCGCCACCGCCACCACCGCTGCCGCTGGCTATCCCAGCCACACCTGCCACAGCCAGCGCCCCACCCGCAGACCCAGCCCCGGTCACCGCCCCAACAACCGCCGGCCCAGAGGAAGCGGCCGCTAATACCTGAGAGGTGCGTTGCAGCTGCTGCTGCTGCAGTTGCGCTGGTTGCTGTTGTTGTTGTTGCTGCTGCTGCTGCCGGTGGCTGCTGCCATGATGACTCCCCGCATGCTGAGAAGACGAACCGTCACTGCCTGCAGCCAGAGCTTGCAGCAAGCTCACACCGCCGCTAAGCCATGACGTCGGGCTGCCAATGGCTGCCGTACCGCCTCCGCCACTGACGCCACCGCCGCCTACGCTGGCTGCTCTACCGGCGTTGCTGGTAGGAGGCCGGAACTGAGGAGCCGCGGCCGCTGGTGCTACTGCTGGTGCTGCCGCCACTGCCGTCGCGGTACCCTGCTGCTGTGAAGACGCATAGCCCACGGACCCCAGTAGTCCCTGTAGCCTCCTGGGCGACGGCGGAGGCGCAACCGCCGCCGCTGCCACAGCGACAGCAGGCGAGAGACTGCCAGCGGCGACTGCGGCAGGCACCCCATCTGCTGCTATTGCTTCGTGCTGCTGCATGGGCAACGGCAGCGGCAGCGGTGGGATTGGGGGCCCTACGAGGCCAGGCGACAGCAGTACGCCCGACTGGCTGGCAGCAGCAACCCCGTTGGCCCCAACCAAGCTGGCACCTCCTGCGCTCACAGACGCTGCCGCTGCCACATCAGCCGCGGCGGAGGCGCCGGCGGCAACACCTCGAGGCCTGGCGCCGCCTTCGCTAACTGCCACCGGACCACAGCCGTCATTGCTTCGGTTCTGCAGGCTCGCGCGCGCGTTGCCAAAGTCTGTTAGGCTCGGCCGCCGCTGCCTTCCACCACCAACAGCACCGCCGCCGCCACCACCGCCACCCTTACCGTACTGCTGTTGCTGCTGCTGTTGCAACAGGAGCAGCTGCTGTTGCTGTTGTTGCAACTGCAGCTGCTGCTGCTGCGCCAGTTGCAGCTGCTGAAGCAGCAGTGGGCTTTGGGCAGCCAGCGAAGCCGCATGCGGCTGTAGGTGCTTACTGTGGTGATGGTGGTGGTGGTGGTTATGATGGGTGGTGGAGTGGTGGCCACCGCCACTGCTCGAACCTGGCCAGAGGCCCCCGGAGGAGGAAGAGGCCGGTGTGTTTGTGTTGTTAGCGGCGGCCGCAGGGGAGGCAAGAGAACCGGGGGGCACACCTGACGGCCCGGGTGCGCTTGCAGGCGGAGGCGGCAGCGGCAGAGGCAGAGACTGCGGCAACGGCGGAGGCACCCCACCTAGACCTGCCGCGGCCGCCACCGCTTGTGCCTGAGCCTGCACTTGTGCGAGCGCTTGGGGGTCGACGACGGACAGCATGTGGTTGGGACCGGCGCCCATGGCATGGCCCTGCAGTCCCGCGGCGATCACGGTTGTGGCTACTGCCGGCGAGGGTCGTCTGGGCGCTGTTTGAAGGTTGGCCGCATCGCGCTGCCCCGAGCGACTGGCACGCAGGGTGCCGTTGGCGGCGGCGCCGCCAGCACTGCCGCCGCCGCCGCCACCTCCGGCGGCGGCGGTCGTATTCGCTAGTAAGGCATTGTTGTTTAAAGGACCCGAGAGCGCCAGCTTGCCGAGGCTGAGATTGTCAGCGGTGGTAGGTCCCAGCGTAGCCGCTGGCGTCGGCGGCGCCGTCAGCGTATCCAGCAACTCCGCCGCCGCGACGGCGGCGTGCCGCTCTGGCGTCAGCGGCAAACGGTGCCGACGGCTCGCGACCTCACGAAGAGGCGGTGTGAAGCCACCGCTGCTGCCGCCGCCGCCGCTGACACTCCCAAGCAGCCCCGGCGGTGTCGCCGTACCGCTCACCGCCGCCAGCGCCGCCGCCGCCGTCGCGGTTGCCGCCGCCGCCGCGGCAATGTAGGCTGGGTTGGCGACCGCCGTCACATGGCCCTGCATTCGACTTCCCCGTAGCGGCCCTTGGATGGGGCCTAATCGAGGAGGTCCGTGGCCATCCTCCCGCTCCCGATCCCGCTCCCGAAACTCCTGAAGCGACACCGGCCGGGGTGGCGAGAACTGCTGCTGCTGGTGCTGCTGCTGGTGTTGATGTTGCAGTTGCTGCAGGTGCTGTTGATGCTGCTGCTGCAGTTGCAGCTGAAGCGCCGCCGCATGCAGCCCGGGCGGCATCGTCAGCGATGCGGCGCTCTCGCTGGACGTCAGGAGCCCCGCCACGGTAGCCGCACGCAGGGGAGGACGGTCCCGATCCGAGTGAGTGGAACTGGCTCTGCTGCTGGCGCCGCCGCTGGGCCCCATGACACCACCGCCACCGCCACCGCCGCCGATAGCAGCGGCGGCGGCGTCCGGGCCTGGCAGAAGCCCGGCGGCGATGGCGGCTGCTGCGGCCGCGCTTACGTCAGCCAGCAGCGACACCGGCAGCGATGCCGAGGTGGACAACGAGGCACATGATGCCGAGTGGGAGAGCATGTGCGGTGCGATCCAGCTGCGGTTGGTGACACCGGCTAGCATGGCGCGTCGAGGGTTGGAGTGCCAGTTAGGATGCAGCGGCTCGCGGATGCGGGGCCGCACTGGCAGCGACTGTTGCTGTTGCAGGCAGGGCGAGGATGAGGATAACGGCAGGGAAGCAGGCGAAGCTGCGGAGTCGGCGGCGGTCCCTGGCCCCTCCGCGGCAGAGGCACCGGGTTGCGTCCCCGCTGCTGCCGCTGCCGCGGCTCCTCCTTCGCCGGCAGGCAGGGATACGGAGGCCCCAGACGCCGCTGACGGCATCGCTGCTGAGTTCCGGAGCTCAGCGGCGGCGACAGCGCCGCCGCCGCCGCGAGCCCGGCCGGCGCCGCTAGCCGTCACCGGCCGCGGCGCCTTTCCGCCAGCCGTTGCCTTTCCCCCACCGCTGACGCCGCCTTCACCTTCGTCGCCACTGCCGTCGCTGCTGCCGTCGCACGCCCCTTCGGGGTCGCTGGAGCAGCCGCGTGAGCTGCAGGTACGGCTACCGGTACGGCGGGCGCCCCGCCGGCTAGCACCGCGCTTGGCGGCAGAGCCGCCTCCGTCGGCTGAGGGGCCACCTGTGGCGGTGGCGCCGCCGACGGAGGTGGCTGACTCCCTGTTGCGGCCGTCGGGCACCCAGGCTTCCTGCGGGAAGGAGGGGAAGTACGGCAATGGAAGGGATGTTTGCGTGTTTACTGCGTCAGCCGACTTTCACGCATGAGTGTTGCCAGTGGGAGGGTTGCCAGTGGGAGGGTTCGCGCAGAAGCACACGATGTCTACGTAGTCTGAATAGTACGTCATGTGCATGAAGGGCTTCACGTTGAGGTCATGAACGATGGTACCTTAGACGGGGGGTACCTTAGACAACCCTAGGGCTGTCCGACAACAAGACAGAACAGGCTGGACGAATCCCCCGGGTGTGACTGTGCTGATCGACACACCTTTGCAGTAATTGACTGTGCCAGCGCCCGAGACCCGTCGAAGCCTGTCATGGAATCCCCGCCCGCCGATGGCGCGAAGGCAGCTGTCCAAGGCCCCGCCAGGCCTAGGAGCGCTCGCAAGCGAGCCGACTTTGAGTTTCCCCAAGGCTGAATCTTAACAAGCAACGACAGCACCCGCTGCTGGGGGCCGCGCCCTCCTGACCCGGCGGAATGACCCTGCATTTGGCCGCTGCAAGATGCGGACGACCACAGCTGTAGCGCAGTCATGTTCTGCGCTGTCGTAGTCTTCCCGTGTAGCGATGTTTCTGTTGGGAATCTTGCAGCTGGCGAGCCAAGGGGTCCAGCTAGCAGTCCGCACTGCCCTCCCTCGCTCGCCACGGCCATGGATATACTGTCGGGATCTTAAATGGTATCATCGTATGAACTCGGTCTCCGACCGTTCAAAGACGTCAAGAACGAGGACTTCCATGGTAAGAAAACCGGGGCGCCGCAGGAGCGGTTCATCAGTATCCGTGTATATGTACACACAACATGAATACATAAGGGGGCTCGCACTAGCGAGACCCTATGGCGTTATAAGGGTAACGCGGGTGCCCATGCGTGCGCGTTCGCCGCGCCTGAACCGTATACGCTAAGAGGTAAAGGGCAATTGTATTCCACAAGTCATACTAGTCAGGCGCACATGATTAGATAGGCAGTTACTCGATAGATATCCTAGCTCATTGCAATACGGAATTCGTACCCCGAAGGCTCTGCTCTCACACAGATCCTCGGCTTTGCCAAACTATTTTAACATGTTTCTGGCTGTTTGACATACCAAATTGCAATTTTTACGTACGCCCTTTAAGATTTTACGCCGCAACATCGCTACTCCGCCGCCGCGTTTACGTGCCAATAGCTACCGTCAGGATGCCTGAAGATCCTAAGAATGTAGATGAGCTATTTGAAGAGGTGAGTAACCTTCCGGTACGCCGTAGTAACCCTTTTGTAACGCTGTTGAATTCCCAGACCGCCAGGACAACTCCCATCCTCTTATAGCCACAGTTCTGTTCATACGGGCACTCCAATCGCAGCATTCTCCGTGAAACCCGTGCCACCTCACCCCTGCCTAGTCACAAGCCCCAAAGCACACGCCCCAGCCTGGTTCCTGCATGCCCACTGCTGCTGCATCAGCTCCCCCCTTTCCCTCCTCATCCGCAGGTGCCGTGCCATAAACTGGCATTAAACTCCGCTCACTCCATCGGCACCCCATCCATTACTCGCCCCTTAGATCCTTCCTCTTTACCCCTATACCGTATCATCCTCACACGCCATCCCCCTCATCCCTTCCCTGGCCCCACTCCCAACCCCTCCCTCCGCCCCAAACACTGCCGTACGCATTAATACACACGGCACGCACGGCACGGCACGCGTCAGGCCTCCCGGCTCCACAGCTCCGGAACCAATCTGCCGCGTGCCGAGTCACTGTACCGTGCCGTACTCGCCGTACAGCCCCGCCACGCCCATGCGCTACATCAACTGGGAGCTCTGCTAACCCAATTGTACGGCAAAGAAAAGGTACGGTACGGTACTACGTCTGGCGACGCCGCATGCACCCGGTCTGGCACCTTGTTCCCTCTGACTTCGAACACGCGCTAAACCCCGCAACCTTGTGTACATCCCGTTTCTAGTGAACCTCCAACCCGCGTGTCCCATCCTCCCTCCTACCCCAACACAACGCATTGGGTATTCCTCTCCCCCCCTAAATCCAGCCTAATGCGGAATATGTATCCCTTTGAACCTCCCCCCCACCAGCTCCCGGAGGCCGAGCGGCTGCTCACCTCCGCCATCCAGCTGCTGCCCGCGTGCGGCCGCTTCCGCAACAGCCTGGGTGTGCTGCACCAGACAGCCGGCAGGTGGCGGCAGGCGGCGGATGCGTTCGAGCGGGCCAATGAGAAGGACCCCATGAATGTAGCGGTGAGGGAGGGAGGGTAAAGAGGAAACAGCTAACTGACCGTGTGATAAGGCATCACAGAGCAGGAGGGAGAGCGGGAGGGGGGGCGGGAGGGGAAACAGGGAAGGACCGAGAGCAGTTGGTAACGATGAGGCAGGTTGGCAAAACCCGTGTTATTATTAGAGTCCCGGGCGCATGGGTGCAAACATGAGAGCAGCACTGCTGACATCCTACTACGGCTCTCGACTGCTCGCACTACTGCTACGTAGTAGCTGGATGCTCCAACACCTACCTACACCAGACGGGCCTACCAACCACACACCAACCCACCCACTGCCAGTTTTCCTTATTTTTACCCACTGCCCCTCCCCTCCCTGCCTCCCCAGGTGCTCATGAACCTAGCCAGGGCCCTGCGCGAGGTGGGTCGGCAGCAGCGGGCTGCCGAGGTGTACGGCGCCGTCACGCGGCTGCAGCCGGACCACCCCTCCGCGCACTACCGCCGGGGGGCCATCCTGCGCTCGCTGCGGAGGAATGAGGAGGCGCTGGCGGCTTTCAGGTGGCGGGGGGGGAGCGGGGGGTGGTGGGGTAAAAATAGGTCAAGTGTGACGGGGGGGGGGCAGGTGTGTGTGGGGGGGGGGTTTGCCCCAACGCAGGAAGACAGCGGAGGAGTGTCCCCCACCAGACCGGGGCAGGGCCGGCCTGGCAGAGGCCGGTTCTCCCGGCGTCCTCTTCCCTCTCCTTCTTCCACTACCGATACTCCTCAGCTGTTTTACTCCCCTACTCCTCTTCACTCTTTTGAAGTAGTCCTCCTTCCACGGTGGCTTCTTCCTTCTCCTCTCCAACCCCTTCTCTCACCTCTCCCCCCCCAGGCAGCACCTGCGGCTGCACCCGGAGCACCAGGCCTCCCGCTTCTGGGTGGCGGCCATCACGGGGGATGTGGGCGGCATGGCGGCGGCACCAGCCGACATGGTGGCGGGGCTGTTCGACCAGTACGCGGACCACTTCGATGATCACCTGGTGGGGGTGGGGGGGCGGGGCGGGGCGGGGTGAAGAAAGAGGGAACTGACGAGCTGTTCAACGAGGCTGCACCATCCATGGGTTGCTACATGGAGCGGTGGGTGGGAGTGTGGGGGCGTACATGATGGGGCTGGGGGAAAGCACAGCTGCTGCCCAAGCTGGGGTACCTTTTTCCATCACCCTAAACCCCTTTCCCTTCCCTCCTTCCTCCCTTCTTCCCATCCAAATAAACACGCATGAAACCCCTGAAAGGTCAACAAACTGCAGTACCGCACTCCCGAGGCGCTCCGAGACCAGCTGCTTGCATCGTACGACAGGATTACCGTACAACCCGACACCTCGAACAACAGCAGCAGCGGCGGAGCTGTAACGACGGCAGCGGCGGCGGACGATACCGAGCGGAGCAGCAGCAATGCCGCTGCCAGCACTTGTCATGGCCCCCACAACAAGTCCAGCAAGAAAGACAACAACAGCAGCATTGGCGGTAGCAGCAGCAAGCGGGTTCCCAGTTGGCGGCGTTGCGTGGATCTGGGTTGCGGTACGGGCCTTATGGGGCCGCTACTACAGCCGTACTGCAAGATCATGGAGGGCGTTGACTTGTCGGCCGGCATGGTTGACCAGGCGTCTAAGCGAGGCTGCTACAGCCGCCTAGCGGTTGCAGAGCTGGTTGCGTTCTTAGAACAGCAGAAGGAAGAAATAACAACGGCGGCGGCAGCGGCGACAGCTTTAGCAGCAACAGTCGTGCCGTACGATTTGTTTGTGGCGGCGGATGTGTTTGTGTACATCGGAGATCTGCAGCCGGTGATGCGGGCCGCGGCGGCGGTTGCTGCTCCAGGAGCGATTTTGGCGTTTAGTACGGAAGCCCTGGAACGGGCGCCGTCCGGGAAGGCTAACCGTGGCTTGACGCCGTCTGCTGCTGCTGCTGCAACGGAAACGGGGAGCGATGGAGCAGCAGCAGCAGCAGCAGCAGTAGCAGCATCGGAAGGGGATGCTAGCAGCAGTAGCAGCAGCAGTGCTACTGCCGGTTTGCGGTTGCAGGTAACGGGTCGTTACGCGCATAGTGAGGAGTATCTTCGTCGTACGGGCGCGGGTTGCGGTTGGGAGTTGGTGAGCGTGTCTCAGTCGGTTATTCGTTACAACGGTGGGGAGCCCATCTGGGGGCACCTGTGTGTCATGCGGATGGAGGGGAAGGGGGCGGGAGTTGAGGCGGGGGAGAGGTGAGCATGGAGAGGGGCCGGGATGGAAAGGGAGGGAAGGGGAAGGCGGGGAGATTGAGGAGGAAGAAGGGGAAGGGGTGAGGGGAAGCTTAGGGAGAAGTGGATGGGCTGTGGCTTGAAAGCTGAAGGCTGGAACCGCCTCCGTTGCGTCAGGCAAGTGGGGAGTTAACCATGCACGGTAATGGGAGCAATGGGAGTCTGTTATACTGGAAGAGTCTTTAAATGTGCATGACAGGTTTGGGCGCGGTTCAGCAGGGCATGTGAATGTCTGGCGGAAGCGCTGCCTAACTAGCACGGCATCGTACATATGCCGTTACTTGGGCTTCGTACAAGCAACCAACCGTTGCCAAATGGTATCTAGCGAAGTTTAGTGTTTATTTATGACCGCGGTATTTGCTACTGACGTGTACCCTGTTACTAAAGGTTGGAGTCAGTCTACGCCGAGCCGAGTACGTCCAACTCTATACCTTGAATGGGCGTGCTGCTGTGCCTGAGATGGCCCAAACAATTTGATGTATAGCATTCTACTTCCTGAAATACTGTGACTGTGGTTAAGCCCTTGAAATACTTAGCGTAATGGCGACACAGTTGATGCTGCTTAGTGCTGTTGCAGTTCTACTATGCCTGACGCCTATCCTTCAAGGGCCAGACGCGAAGTCCACTGTATCGATGAGCATGGATGCCAGCGGCCATGATCACCACCAGCATCAAGTTGCAGATGCTAAACAACACGCAATGCCGATGCAAATGGTCTTTGAATTCGGCTGCCAGACTACGCTATGGTTCTCTTGCTTAAAAACCAACACTTACATATCGTATATCGCAGTCCTAATCGGGCTGTCACTGCTCGCATTTGTACATGAAGGCCTGACAGCCTATCGCCGGAAGCTAGTAGCTTCTCTGGCCCCGTACGATGAAGCGGAGCCTGTGCGCTCGTCAAAGTAAGGCGGCCCCAGGGTTTCTTCTTCTTCCTGCCGAGTAATCCCCCCACGCTGCAGTACATACGTCATTCTTCCAACCCAATCGTCCACCCCTTTGCCGCCCCTTCCCCTTCCTAACCCCCGCAGGGTGCTGCCCATCTCCTCCTCCTCCGCCTCCTCCGCTGCGCTCACCGCACGTGTGCATCTCTCCGCGCTTCATGCGCTCAGTCTGGGTCTGGGCTTCCTGCTGATGCTGGCCGTCATGAGCATGAACGCCGGGGTGCTGGCGGCGGTGCTGGCGGGCTATGCGGCGGGGTACTATGTGTATCACACGGAGGGGGTGGTGGGTGGGAGAGGGGGCGGGCTGGCGGGGGTGGTGCCGCCGGTGGTGCGGGGCGACTCATGTCATGGGCATGGAAGCTGAGGAGGAGGTGAAGCTGAAGCTGATGATCATGATGATGATGATGATGAGGAGTGGGAGGAGGAGGAGCGTGGCTGTATGCAGTGTGTGGGGGTAACAGCACTCAATGCGGGTATGCCATAAAGCCGAAGCTGGTTGGATGAGATGGCATGCGGTGCTCTTAACCTCTAGAAAAGCTGTTTAGGCTGTTTCTGTGGCGTGTGATTCCGAGCTTCGTGGAAGCAGCGTCTTGTGCCTGTGTGTGATTACCAGTAGGCTACAATGAGCGCGAGGAAGGGAGCAGATGCGGGGAGTTGGGTATCACCTGCCTTTACTTTGTGGCCTGCGATTAAACGAACGATGCGTTGTGTGCAACGGGATGTGACGTAATGACCGCGATGTGACGTGTTTCCGTGCGAGACGAGACGTATGACGTGGATCCGTGGGTCGCTGCATACCCGCCCTTAGCCCCTTTAGGTATATGGTAGTGACCCGTGAAGTGCCTGCCTGCATGCATGCATGCATGCAAGAGTGCAGTAGCCTGGGACCTTTCGCGTGGCTTACCACGTTACCAGCTCTTACAGATTGTTGTATCGTGTATTCTGTGTTGCCCATTATGCTCAACAGCCTGATGCAAGTTCGCGCCGTACGGTGGAGAGGATGCATGATGCGGCATTCAGTTGGCCGTTGTACGGCCAGTTGTTGATTGATGCCTGATTGATGTGGCAACCGAAACCGCAACGCCTCCGATCACACATGACGATCCCAGTGACAAGGATTGTCTGTCGATGCACACGCGTAAGCACCGCTATAGGTAGTTCATTACATACGTAATCCCTGCCCATCTCTAGCAACCATTTCGTCGTAGGCAGCCGCGTAACAGTGGGCACAACTGTGTCCTCATTTGACCCGTGGGTCAACCAAGGCACCCTGCGCTGTGTACATTTCAAGAAATCAGCACACGCTAACCTCCATCCCCGAGTCAGCCTAGCGCGGGCTGCACACAGGGCCTTTCAGAGGCACACCAGCAACGGCAGGCAGCAAAGCGCGTACCGCACCACCTACGATCGCTGCAGCAGCTATCTCCCTAGCCCTAGTACCCCCGGGAGAGCCCTCACATACACCCTGCTGCCGCCCTGCTGCTCCTTCCCTACACCTTAAGAGCGTAAGCCCAGTCCCCTACCCGCCGCACATCCCACCACCATCACCAACAGCTGTCTCACCACCGCCACCAGCAGCAGCAGCAACTATCGCTATCAGCCACCACCACACCAGTAGCAGCATCACCCAGCCAACCAGCTCTACCGTTACTGCAGCAGCGAGCGCGTTCCGTCACAAGCGCTGTGTAGCGCAGCAGGCACACCGCCATGCCCCGTAAACCGCCCGGTAAACGCGGCGGCTCCGATACGCTGCGCAACGAACGGGAGCTAGCAGGGGGAGGGAACGACGCCGGCTGCCGGCACCACCGCCACCTCATCCCTGCAGCCCCTGCGGTCCCTCGTGCCCATGCTGCCGTACCTGTCCCTGCTGCTGGCAGTAATCCTACTAACAGCACCACTGGCGGCAGTAGTGGAGGTGGTGGTGGTGGCGGTGGTGGTGGTGGGAATCATGTGCGGTTGGCATGGGCAGTTCGGCTGCTGTTGCTGCCGTTGTTAGCGGCCCTAGCCTGCCAGGTAGGGTCCCAGCGGGGCGGGGAGAGAGGGCGGCGGGTTAGTGGGTTGCAGGGAGAAAGGGAATGATGGGCGGTGGGTTGGCGTACCGGTATCTTAATAGCCATCTTAATAGCTATCTGGCCGATGGCCTCATCCTCCGCCTTTCCAACGCTGTACCCTGCTGTGCTGGTGCCCTCAACCCCACAACATCCCCGCATGCCCTCCAAGTCGGAATATGGGATCGGGACTCGTTGTTTCGCTCATATACAATTTTTACCCTCCCCTGGTATGGCCCCCCCTTCTGTCCCCCCCTCTGTCTCCCTCTGTCCCCCCCTCTGTCCCCAGGCGTACGACATCTCCCGTCTGCAGCTCTCCCCCTTCCGCAGCCCCCTGCCGCTGCTGGTGCTGGGGTCGGAGGGGGCCGTGCGCAACGAGCCCAAGGGGCCGGGGGGGCTGCTGGTTAGCGGGTGCGGGGGAGGAGGGGAGGCGGGAGGAGGCGGAGATGACGGCGCGGCAGGTAGGGCCTTACACTGCTTACCAAGCTTCCTCTGCCGTTCTCTTCCATCCTGCCCAATGCTTGCCCCTCATCTTCTTCTCTCCCCGCTGCACCTCCTACCCCCAACAATTCGGCATTCCGCAACCCCGCACCCATTTCCGCCCCCCCCCACTTCCGTCCGCCCCCACTTCCGCCCGCCCCCAACCAAGACGGGGTGTGCTGCCTAGCGTGCGACACGCCTCCGCAGCTGTCGGTGGCGGTGGGGGTGGAGCTGCGCGGCAGGTCCTCCCAGGCAGCCGACAAGAAGAGCTACGGGATAGTGGGTTGGGGGGGGGGGCGGGTGGGGCAGTGGCTTGGGGGGTTGAGGGAAGAGCTCGAGCAGATGGGGGTTTGCCTGTTAGGAGGTCAGGGTTTGCATGGGGAGGGAATCGGACTTGAAAAGGTTCAGTTTCTGGCACCGGACTGGGAGGGCTGGGGTAGCAATGCTGGTGGGTTTAGGGAAAGAGGAAGGCGACCACGAAGGAAGCACGCGCGTGTTTTACCCCTTCCCCCACCTCTCCCACCGCCCACCGGTTCCTTCACTCCCTTCCCACCCCCCAGGAGCTGCGCAACCCCGACGGCTCCCCCCTGCGAGCCCCCCTGCTGGGTCTCCCGCCCGCCTCCGACTGGGCCCTCTACTCGGCCGCTCTGGACCGCTCGCTGCTGAGGGATGCGCTGGGCTTCGAGCTGGCTCGGGCGCAGGGTGGGTGGGGTCAAGGAGGGAAAGGAAGGGAAGGGGTGGATGTCCGGGAGCGAGCAGCGGAGGGCTGTGTGGGCCACAACTTGTCAGCATGGGTGAAGGGTGCCACTTACCGCTCCCATGCATGGCATTTCTTTTCGTTCCCACCTCCTGCCTCCGCTGCCCTAGGCCGCTGGGCCCCCCGGTTCGCCTTTGTGGAGCTGTTTATGGTGGAGGACGGGGCCGCCCAGCTCAACACCAGCAGACACTACAGGGGTGTGTACGCCGTGACAGAGACCATAGAACGCGGCCGGGACCGAGTGGATGTGCAGCGGCTGCAGGAAGGTGGGTGGGTGGGTGCCCTGCAGGGATCACCGGGTACGTTGTATGGAAAGACGGTTGGGTCCTGCCAACAGACAGACAGGGCGACATGGGAAGGGTTTGGCGTCACTAGTCAAGTCCCCCTCTCCTGCCTCTCCCTCTGCTGCCTCCTTACCTCCTCCACAACCCCTCCTTACCCCCGCCCCCCTGCTCACGCAGACGACCCACGCGGCGGCTATATCCTGGAGCTCAGCAACTCCGCTGCCACAGAGTGGTGGGCGGCGCAGCTGAAGGAGAGCCTGCCCCTCCCCGTCACTCGACTGGGACCCACCCGCGTAGACTTCAAATACCCCAAGGTGGGGGGCGGGTTGGGCGGGTGGGTTGGAATGTGCTGAGCCGTAAGCCTGGTTGGTTGGATACCGCACATGATGGGCTATTACTGGGTGCGTGGAGGGGGTGCCTGCATGCGCTGGTTGCATGCGGTGCCTGCATGCGGTGCTTGCATGCAAGTGCCAAATATCCCTCCCTTCCCCCCTCCCGCAGGCCTCCAAGGCACCCCCAGCCGCTTGGCGCTACGTCTCCTCGCTGCTGACCAACCTCTCAGCCACCCTCAGCAGCACAGCTGCCCTGGAAGCAGAAACCCCGGCACTGAGCGGCTCCATTGATGCGCTCTTGACCGACCCATGGGTCACTGCTGCCTCGAGAAAAGCCGAAGACGAAGGCAAACAGGACCACCCTAGCAGCGGAGGCGACGGAAGTAGCAGCGGCGGCGGTTTCTCCTCCCATCCCTCAGGCCCTGCCCCCCCTCCTCACGCTGGCAACGGCGGAGGAGAAGGCGATGAAGGCAATCATCATGGCGTGCATGAGGGGTCGCTGTCGTCCCTGCTAGACTTAGCCTCTCTGATAGACTACCTGCTTCACACGGAGCTCGCATGTGACTACGACGGCTACGTGTCCTCAGTCTACATGCACAAGGACCGCGGAGGCCCCCTGGTCGCAGGGCCCGTGTGGGACAAGAACCTAGCGTACGGAAACGAGGCCGAGGTGACGTCACCCGGCGGTTGCGGTTGGCGCTACGCAGCGCCTGCCGTACAGAACAGCGGCCAGGCGGCGGTTTGGTACGGCAGTCTGGCGCATGTAGGTTGGTGGCGGCAGGGGGTGGCGGCGCGCTGGCGGCAGCTGCGGGCGACAGGTGAGACCGCTGGAGGTGCTGTGATGAGGTGTGGTGGTGTCTCGGGGGGTCTTGTGAATTGAGATTAGCATGCGAGGGATCCACCCCCCGATTGCCGGGATGATGCTGTCGTGTCTCACCCCTTCCAACCCACCCTCCTCCAGGCCCCTCTAGACCGCCCCTCTCCACCTCCGCACCATTTCCACCTAACCCACCACACTAACACCCGCCCCCTCATTCACTCCCACCACCGCCGCCTGTCGCCCCCATCCCAGCCTGGTCCGACTCGGCTCTGGGGTCTCTGGTTGACTCCCTGCGCCGCCGCCTGCCGCCCGCCTCGGCGCACCGCAACTTCGCTCGCTGGCCGCTGGGCTCCATCGCGTCCAAGCAGCGCTTCGTGACACTGCCGCCCAGCCGGGGCTCGTGGGAGGCGGAGGTAGGGGATGAGGGAGGCGTGTGGGGCTGGTGGGAGGAAGCGTGAAATGGGAAGTGAAGCATGTGAGTCACATGCCCATGTCCAGACACACGCAGTGGGAGCGCATTAGCAGACGCTGCTCTAGGAACATGCAACTAACCCAGGGAGTTACCGAATGCTCGCTAAGCAGAGGCAGAACCGACTTGAGGAAGGAGCCGCTGTGGGAGGAGGAAGTTCGAGGGCTGGGGCAGTCTGGTGAAGAGGAGGAGGGTCACCTCGGACCTCCTCTAGCAGACAGCCATCGTGCAGAGCTGCGCACCGGTACATCCCACTCTGACCAAACCCCCAAACCCCTACCTACCGTACACACGATACAAGCCGACCTCCCCCGTTCCTTCCCTTCCTCCTTCCTTCCCCCCATTCATTCGGGATTGGGACTCCGTTGATGCACTTATCTATCGTATATGTTTCCCCACCAGGTGCAAGCCCTGCGCTCCTGGCTGCTCTCCCGCGCCCGCTGGCTGGACACGCAGCTGGCGGGCGGGGGCCCGCCGCAGCTGGCCGCCCCGCAGGCCCCCGGGCTGGTGGGCGGAGTGGTGGGGGCGGTGCTGGGGGGCCGGCCGGTGACTAGGGCGGTGAGGGAGGGGTGGGGGCTGGGCAGGTAGGGGGGCGGGGAGGTGAGGCGAGGTGAGGCGAGGTGAGGGAGGTGGAGGGAGGAGGAGGACGGAAGAGAAGGGCGGGGCGGAGATAATAGTAGTAACGGGTATAGGGACTGAGGAAGGGAGTGGGAGAGAGCGGTTCTTGACGGGGTTGATGCGGGGCCGAGCGCGGGTCAAGAAGGGTGGCTCGGGGAGGGGGGGGGCATGTGGTATGAGATAATGTACTGGGGGTGTGCAGAGGGGGCTGCTGGGTTAGCGAACCGTACATGGAGGACGCAGGGGCCGACCCAAATGCGTGCATGCGCGGGTGAATGTGCGAACATGCGTACGGAGTGTGTTGGCAGGGACGCAATTTATTCGAATAAACGTACGTAGGATGTCGGCACCCAGCCATGCTGGTGATACTGCCGTAGTTGCCTTTGTACGAAGTGTACAATACGACGGTACGATTTCTGCGAGCACGTACGATGTCAAAATCGCTGGCCCTCCCTTTCCTGTCCCTCCCTAACGTTTCTCCGCATGGTGTTTAATGAACGGTAATCACACGATTGGTGTTTTGAGGGCTGGTTCCCGATATGGCTGGCTGTGCGTTACGGAAACTGGGTTTTACGGACACTTGGCAGGACTGAAGTCTTTCTTCTTCTTGCAATCTTGTAAAGGGGAATACCGGTACTTTGATGTCAATGTTTGGCAGCAACGACCCACGGGTCCATCGTACAATGTCAATGTTTATTCGCCCATGCTGGACAAGGTTCTCACCTGCACTGCACGGTCTGAGCTTGTGGGAGGTATAAAACGAGCCCACTCGCACCAGCCGTTAGGCAGTATACGTTCAACACTTCAACAACCATCCTCCGTTGCCCGTTTTTAGCCACACAGCCGCATACGGCTGCTTCATGGCAAGTCAACACTGCCGGTACCCACCGCTGCGTTTACACATAACCCCGCTACAGCGCCAGCACACGCCAATAGAGCCAACGGAGCCAATTACCCCATGGCATGCCCGGGAAAACTCTCTTCCCAAACTCCTCCACCCCCTGCCTTCCTACATCCTCCTTCACCTCCTGCTGGAGGCCTTCCCAGCGTTTTAGATCAACTCCCGTTCACAGCTTGAAGCCCGAGTGAATGGCCACCACCCCCGCAGTCAGGTTCTCGTACGTCACCCCCCGGAAGCCCGCGTCCTCGACCATGCGGGCAAACGTCTCCTGGGTTAGTGGAAACGGGGTAGGGGAGGGGAGAGAGGTGGTACGGAAGCACAAGGGGTAGCGGCATAGGAAGGGAAGCTATAACCCCCTTGCTATAAGGAGGGAGGCTATAACCCCCCTGGGTAGCCCCCTTGCATCAATCCTTCAGCCACTGCCTCTCCCCCGCTACGCCCCTGACCGGAAAACTGACCCTTTCCTCCTTCCCCTCCTTTCGTCTGTGGCACTGTGGGCCGACCCGTTAAGAAATGTGATCTAGCCTCCTCCCCCCGCTCCCCCCACCTGGTCCGGGAACTGCTTGATGCTCTCCACCAGGTACTGGTAGCTGCTGCTGTCCTGCGCCACCAGACCGCCCAGGCGGGGGATCACAGCGAAGGAGTAGAGCTCGTACGCCTCGCGCAGACCCGGCTGCGTCACACGGGAGAACTCCATGCACAGGAACCTGGGGAGGCGGAAGTGGGGGGGGGGGGAACGAAGAATGCCCAATGTGTCGAAGTGTGGGGATGCATGATGCGTTCTGGAAGTTACCGGTATCGTGGCGTTGTTCGTGTGGTCAAGGAGGATAGAGGATAGCCTTCCCTCTTTCCGCCTCCCTCCCTCTTCCCCCCTTCCCCCGCACCTGCCCCCCGGCTTGAGCACCCGCAGCGCCTCCCGCAGCGCCGCCGGACGGTCTGTCACATTGCGGATGCCGAATGCAATGGTGTACGAGTCGAAGGAGGCGTCCGGGAAGGGAAGCGCCTCCGCGTTGCCCTCGACAAAGGACAGTCCCGAGTCGCCTGGGTGGGGGAGGAGGGAGGAGTGGATGAAGGATGGACGGAGAGGGGGGAGGAGGAAGGGTAGAGTGATACCGGTAGTGGTGATAGTGGTGGTGGTAGGACTGTAGCGACGAGTCGTAGGGGGTTAGCTGGCAAGAGCATGGGCGCCATAGCGCCAGGGTTGGGACCACACCACATCAGGACAGGGACGGGGACGGGAACGGGGGCGCAGCAGGGGAGGGGACGAACGACCCTCCTACCCTCCAGTACTTTGCAGGGGCCCCACAAGGGACACCTGGCATCCCCAATCCAGCCGCATGTTCCCCATGCACCCCGTGCATGCGCCCCGCCAACACCCACTGCAGCTGCCTCCGGTCCCTTGCCTTGCCCCGAATGGGAGCTGGCTGGGATGCCAGTGCTCCACGTCTGCTCCTACACCGCTTCCACCCCCAACTCCACCTCGCCCAACCGCCTCACCTGCCAGGTCGTGTGCTGCCGCCGCCTTCTGCTGCCCCACCCGCAGCATGTCCGGATTGATATCGCACACAACCACCCGCCCCGGGCTCAGCAGCCCACTGCTGCCGCTGCTGCCGCTGCCCGCTGCACTCCGCCCGGCAGCCGCCGCTGCCCCCACTCCACTGCTGCTGCTACTGCTGGCATCACTACCTGGCCCAGGACCCGCAGCAGAGGCGGCTTCCGGGCTAGGTGAAGGGGTCGCCGGAGAGGCTGAGGAGGAGGAGGAGGGGCCCGGTCCCCAGCCTGCTCGCCGGCCGGTGCCGCTGGTCCGGCCGGCCTTGGCTGCGGCCATGCGCTCCTCCACCTCCGCTGCCCGTACGGCGCGAAGCACGCGGAAAGCTACGTCGCCGGTGCCGCCAGCTACATCGAGGTGCTCTTGGCCCGGGAAGGGCCGGAGAGACTCCACGAGCCTAGGTAGGGAGGATTGGGGTTTGTGTGTGTATGTGGTATACGTGTAGAGGGAGGAGGGGAGGGAGAAAAAGGCGCTGGTTGAGGTCAAGGGGTGCGTGAAGGGGGTGTTGACTGGGAAGATCTTTGCCGCTTTGTTGAGGGTGTAAGCCGGGCAAGTATTCCCCGAACCCGGAGACAGAGTGGTGTACAAAGTGACTAGGCGCCTTCCCACCTGTCTTTCCAGAGGCGGTGCAAGCCGCCGCTCATGAGGTCGTTCATGATATCGTAGGAGGACGCCACACTGCTGAAAACCTGGCCGACAAGGCCCTCCTTCGCTTCGCGTGGCACCTGGCGGAAACCTGTGGTGGGTCATAATAAAATGAAAGTAGAACAAAAAGTTCGTCGTGGTATCCAGCGTTTGCTTGTGAAGAGGGAGCCACCATCGTGATGATTTATTTGTCATGTTAACTCCGCATCCCCGGGCAAAATCAAAGGTAAGTGAGGCAACTGGACATCACAGCGACTGTAACGAATAACGTATCTTACCGAAGTCAATGTTGGGGCTATCTCGATCGCCATGCCCCGAAGTGGACAGCTGCCGCCACGCAGCGCCAGCAAGTGCGGAGCAAGCATCATTAGTGGCAAGATGAAGGCGATTGAGAGCTAGTCCACCAAGAACTCCAGACAGCCGCGCGGCGCCTACTTGACCCGCCATCTTGGGTTTCGAAAGCTAAAAGGTAAGCACAACGCGTGCTGAAAAAACTATAAACGGAATAGCCGCTCGCATACAACAGCGTTGGATTCTGAGCCTAACGTTGTCGTACACCGCATTGACAGTTGCGAAGTACTCCATAAAGGAGCGCCCCAACGCCCCTGCAGTCGTTGTTCCTGACTAGTTCGCGTTCGGCTCATCAAAACCCATGCCGTTCTTTGCTATGCCATGCAAGGTGCAGGTCCAGTTCACGGAGTTCACGTCCAGTTCACGGAGCAGATGATGAACGCCAGGTCAGAACCGGGCGGTGGCTTTGGAAGGCATCGGCGGCGCCATATGCCTCCTTTTCCCTAGCGGCTATTTTGGATCACCAGACTACACTGGTGGACAAATAATGGCTGGCTTGTAACTTTGTAAGCACTGGTGTGGTGGTGAGTACGCACCAACGCCACCCATCCCATCCCTTCTTCTTTCTTACCCGTCATCCGCATGCACCGTGCCCTCTAACCCCCCAGGTGCTCAGACCCGCTTACCTGGCATCCACATGAGTCGCCACCTTCCCATCTCCAGCCTGTGCCTGATCAGAGGTACATACAGGGAATGAACGCCACCCATCCATTAAACCCCATGCAAAGGAAGATCAACTTGAGAGCCTGTAGTGCTAACGCCAAAGCTAAAGGCAAAGCTCATCCCAAAATCATGCGAGAGTCATTCAGAGGCCTTGGCTGTACGGAAGTGGTGTTGAGCGGTGTATAAGCAAAGCGGAGCTCAGGAACCTTCAGCAATTGTCGTGACCCATGGGTCCATACACAACAGTTCTTAACAGCTCTCCACGATGCTTAATACCATTCGCATGACCCCTGCATGCACCTCATTAACGCTGCTGTACCCACCTTGCCCGTTACCCTCCACCCTTGTTGTAGTCTTTCCGCCGTTCCTGTCGCCGCGCCACTCGTTACCCCCAGCTGCACTCCCGTTTCCGTTGCTGCCGTTCCCGTCATACATATGGCCATTGCTGCTCCGCCTGCTGCCTGCCGCGCTATTCATTCCACCGTTCCCGCTCGCTATGCTGCCGTTCACCCCTCTGTCGAGGCCTCCGCCGCTTATCGGCGGGACGACACCAATCCCATTACCAACAGTCCCGATGCACCCAGCACGATGGGGGTCGCGGCTGCCTTCATCAAGGTCGCTTTCAGCTGGGGGCGGTTGTCGGGGGGTGCTGACTCGAACATGGATCGCGTTGCGGTTGCTGCTGCCGGCCGCGCGAGCGAGCGCCTCGCCAGCAGTTAACGCGGTAAGGCGTCCGCGACTGTGCTTTCGGAGGATGTGGGTTGCAGCAGCGCAGGGGCTGATGAGGTGCATCTTGTTGTTGGTGCTAAACTGCTGACGAGGGACGTACAGTGGTGTGCAATTGCTGTTGTCTGTTAAGGCTATGCTTCGACCGTTTCACGCAAGTGGCTTTGTGTACTGTTGGATTTTCCTATTGGGATTGAAGCTGACGCCCGAGGTAAAAGTTAACTGCTGTTCGCATCTCGTGACGAGGTACGGTTGGTTGGCGAAGGCAGTTAAATACTAATACACGTGTTATAGTAATTATTTTCTATGGTCCTTGAAGGTTTGCCCTATTGTGTGGTGTGCTGGGAGCCAAGCATGTCAAGACAGCCGTTACTGCCAAAAGCTAGCGTTGGCGTTGTCGGTTGCCGCGTCGCGCTCACGCGGGTATCATCTCATACATCCAGTCGGCATAGTCGTCGCCCCACAGGAGCGTACTAGGATGCAACCTAGCTGGCGAACGGCTGATGAGCTGATGAGGCGGTTACGTCGTTTCGTACTGCTTCTGACATAAGTCACCGTTTTTGGGGGATGATGGAAGAGCGCTATTTGTCATAGTGCTTTACATGGAGGCGAGTGCTAAGCTGTAGCAAGGTTACGGAAATAGCGACTAACGCCCATCAGGCATCCGGCGGCATGACTTTTGCGCCCCAGGGTTCATCCCTCGGATAGTCCCGCCCCGGATAGTCACGAGGTTGATCGGCAGAGGCATGCAATGGGCAGCTCTTGAACCAGGCAAGGGCAAGCGAGGGAATCGACGAAGGCATACCTCCGAATGCGGTACCCCCGTATCTGATGCTGAGGTCCGGTGTACGGTAGCAAGTGCAAGCCTGCCACTGCATGTTACAGATGGCGGTTGACAATTGACTGTTATGTAGGAGTTACGGCGATGCCAACTCCGAAGCAGGGTATACTGTCCGGGTCTAGCCGGCAAAGGGAGATATCATGGGGTTGCCGTGCGCCTCTGTCCTTAGACAGGCATGAGGTTGGTGTGGGGCCATGGGTTTGGCTTGCTGTGTAGGCACACGTTAGTAGGGAGCCGGTGAGCAGCGGGTACTGCAGGGGCGAGCGGATGAAACTGCGCTGAAACGTACGACAGACGGCATGTGGGTCGCTGTTCCACGCATCACAATTAGACACAAACCGACGCTATATGGTTGATCCGGAGCAATCAGAAGAGCACACCTTTTAATACCTTAAAAGTGTTGACTTGAGGTGACAGACTTGGCATTGCATAGCGTGAGCTTGCACAAAAGGAGCGACATCCGCTTTTTATATTTGGGTCGACGGGTATTAGATGGCAGCTCCCAGGGCAGGAGGTCGTAGCATACAGTTGCTGCTGGGGCGTGCTTTCGGCGTCAACGAGCCATGCCGAATTGCTCCGTGGCTGGCATCGTCGAGTGACGAACCCAGCACAAGCACAAACGTCAGCAGCAGTAGGGAAAGTAACGGAGCTCCATCTGGAAGTCCACCCTTGCTTTCCGCTGGTGTTGCATCTCGTGGTACTGGATGCTTGCCTACGCTGCGATCAAAATGCGTACCGGTACTCTCCAGCAGCTTATGCGCCTCACAGAAACGGCTAATGTCATGGCGACGATACGTGCCAACGTTCGGCGACTTCCAAAATGGAGCCCAGGATCCCTACCGCCAGGTTACCAACCTCTTTTTAGCGCTTAACATCGCGACGTTCATCCTTGCAAAGTATGACCGTGGGATCGTGGTCAACATGGCTGCCATTCCGTACTCCATCGCCAAGGGAGAGTACTACCGACTGCTCACCAGCGGCTTCCTGCACACCGACTTTATCCACCTACTGGTGCGTGGGCTTTGGTGGGCAGCCATCGTTGAAGGGGGAGGCTGCTGGGGACTTTCAAGCATGACCAGCAGTGGTGACCCCTCACACACCTCCTGTTCCAACGCCCCCCTCCCTCTCCGCATGCCTCACCTCATCCCGCTGTACCCTCCTCTCCCAAACCCCACCCCTCTTCCACTTCCTTCTCCGCCTTCCTTGGACCTTTCCATACTTGCCCTGTTCCTTCGTTCCCTCCCCACTCCCTCCCCCTTCTGCCTTTATTCCTCCAGACCAACATGCTTACCCTGCACTGGCTGGGTCCCGAACTCGAGTCCGCATGCGGCCGCAGCCGATTCGCCGCCATCTTCGTTGTCAGCATCATCAGCGGCGGCTGGCTGCAGTACACGATGGGCCCGTTCGCGTCGGTGGCGTGGGGGGCTTCGGGTGCGTGTGTGTTTGGGTGCGGGGGGCTTCGGGCGCGTGTGTGTTTGGGTGCGGGGGGCTTCGGGCGCGTGTGTGTTTGGGGGGGGTTTAGGGGTGGGGGAAGTGGGGTGACGTGGGTGAAGGTACGCCGAGGAGAGGGGCAGGTACGGCGGGGCACGGCAGGAGAGCGGGTGGTTGTTTCGTGTCTCTACGGAGGCGTGTTCCCCTTCCCCCCTTCCACCGGCACCGCACCGCAGCGCAGCGCACGTACAAGGTGCTTGCCCGCCTGTCCACCCGCTCCACGGACTGCGCCACGCAGCAGACAGTCGGCTCCTTCGCAAGCCCCATGCATCCCTACCCTTCCTAACCATGTCCCCCCTAAGTCCTAACCCGCCCCACTCCCCACCCTCACTCCACCCCTGCTCCGGTTTGGTTGTGTCTATGACCCCCCCTGCCCTGGTTTGGTGTGTTCTTTGACTCCCACCCCCTGCCCTCCCCAGGCGGCATCTACGGCCTGTTCGCTGCCTACCTGGTATACCGGCTGCGCAATCGCAACTTCATCAGCTGGGAGGCGCACGACATGCAGTGGCTAGCACAGGTGGGCTGGGGCTGGGGGGCTGGGAGGGGGCTGTGCAGGGGGAAAGGGGGAGGTTGGGGTTGAGGTGGTGCTCCATTATCCCATGTCCAGCTCCTCTTGCGATACCAGCCTCCCGGCTCAGTTCTCTTTTCCTTCCAGTACCGGTATTACGGCTTTGTCATCATCCTGGGGTGTCCTGTTCAGGTACTCGCCATGCTTGCTAAGGCCCCCCCCTTTTTTCGCCCACTCCCTCCCTCCCTGGCCCCCCCTTCCTCTCCCAACCCCCAGGTGGTGGGTCTCAACGTGCTGCTGGCCTTCATGGCGGGGGGCTCCCTGGCGCACTGGTAGGCAGGGGGGGAATGAATGATAAGTGCAGCAACGGAGGGGGGGGAGGAGGAGGGAGGGGGGGACAATGAAGCAGGTACTCGTCCCTCAAGAAAAGCAGGGCCCTCACTGCTCACTGTCACATGCCCAAGCAGCCAACTCCTGTCCCACATGCTGCTCTGGTTACCGGGTCCTTACCCGTGCTGCACCACCGCATTACTTGCCCCACCACCACCACCACCAAGGTCTTTGCCCCCCACCCTATCCCCCCTCTCCCCCCACCTCCCCCTGCCAGGTGCCACCTGGGTGGCGCGCTGGGCGGTGCCGCGGTGTGCTGGCTGGCGGGTCCGCGGTACCGCTGGCAGGGGGGCCGGCTGGTAGACAGCCCGCTGCTGCCCTGGTTCGCACCGCGGAGGTGATCGGGAGGCAGGAGAGAGGTGGTGATTGTAAAGACGAGGTAGTAAAGAGGTGATTGGTGATGGGAGGTGGTCAGGGGGTATCAGGTGGCAAGGATTGGGGTGACGAGTTGAGGCATGGGGAAGCTGTTTCTCTGGCCCGGAAGTGGGCCCGGAAAGCGGGGAAGGACCACCGTGTGAGGAGGAGGGTAAGAGGGGCCGGGGCTGCTGTCTGCTGCCCTGACAGGATAGCACCGGATAGGAACACCGCAGAAGAGGTGACATATCGTGACAAACGTGATGTACCGGGTCCTATGATGGCGGTGACCGGGTGTTGTATTCTTATGTAGGGAGGCACTGCGATACTGCCTGGTGTGCATTGGCAACGTGCGTGCCGAGAGGCCGAAGAAGCGGGGTAAAGAGGAAACAACTACCGTAACTGAACGTGTGATAAGGCAGGTTTGCAACATGTACGGAAGAGCCGGGGAGGAAGCTGGGGTACTGAAGAGGTTCATGGGAGGAGGAGCAGGAGCGGAGGCATGGCTCCCATGACTCCCAGCCGGAACGGATGGGGCAGTACAACAAGTATGCACACATGCATTGCAGCAATGCACCTTCTTCAGACGCCTTCGGTGTACAAATCCGGGTACTCCGAAACGCTTCAAAGGAAGTCAGCACTCTTCGCATCCCTTTTGTAACAGTCCGGGATGTAAGTCAGGCGTGGGTGGTAATGGGATGTAATGCTCCGGTAGAGGAAGGCCCCAAGGGAAGGACGCACTTCCAAGCCTTCTGCTCATCACACGTGTCACACGGCATCCAATCGCTGTTCCACTCGTTTGCCATGATGTACAGCCCGTAAAAGTACGGCATGAAGTACGATACGTTGTCAGACGACGTCATGTACGACACATACATACGCCCTGTATACACCTTTATACCCAGCGCGGCACACTCCACGTCTATCACAACAGTACGACAAAACCAGCACGGCATCTCACACACGCCCCACACCTCCTCCTCCTCCACCTCTATACGGCATCCTAGTTTCCCCCTGTCAAACAACACACTGGCTCTCCCTCTCCCCCTCCTCCTCCTCCCCCCTCAAAACGGACTCGTTGCTGCACATATCATTCTTCCCCCCCTCAATACGGAATCCTGTTTTGCAGCGCCTGTATGTAGTCATAGAACCCGGTGGTCCACTTCTGGTAGGCGTCCGCAATGGCCCCCCGCATGAAGGCCGCTGCAGCGCCGTCGCTCATCTCCAAGTGGAAGCGCTTGCGTAGGTTGGCCAGCGGGCGGCCGTAGCCGAAGCAGGGCAGCCCGCTGGCCGCCATGAGCGCCACGGTGGCGATGATGGGCTCGGCCACGGTGCGGGCCTGGGAAGGGAGGGAGGAAGTGGAGGTAGGGGGGTGGGTGGCAGGCGGAGGAGGTGCACGTGCAGGCTGCAGACACATGGGAGGAGTGAGGAGGTGGATGACGTGCGCATACCGGTATGAGCAGCCCACCCCTCCGCAAGGCTACAATCACACTCTCACCGCCAGGTATCCCCGCACGCACAGCTCCTCGAAGCGCCTGAAGTGCTCCGAGTTCCTGCAGCCGCCCGGGTCCAGCAGCTGCGCCATCTCGTGGCTGAGCTTGAATGCGGCGCTCTCAAAGCCCAGGTTGCCTCCCGGGCTGATGTCCAGGATGAAGCCAAAGTCGATGTGCACCAGGTGCCCCTCGCAGTCCACCAGCAGGTTGCCGTTGTGGCGGTCCTTGGCCTGGTGGGGAGGGATGAGGTGGAGGGTAAAAAAAAGAAATTCCAAAGTGTGGTGTGAGGTGGAGGGTGGGAGGGTGCAGGGGGGGTGGGGTAAAGAGGGGAGGGAGGTCAGGAGGGGATGGGTATTTGCTGCGGCTGGCATGACGCGGTAGGTGGTATAGTGGTGGTGTAGATGTTGAGTATAGGCCTAGAAGACTGCGCCCCCTCCCTCATCCTCCCGCCCCCACCTGCAGCAGGAAGGATGCGACGGCGTACCCCGCCTGGCTGGTGATGAAATTGCGGCGCGCGTCCTCGAAGCGCGCGCTGCCGGGGGGGCCGAACTGCGACACGAAGATCTCGTGCAGCCCCCGGTCCGACAGCTCGCCCATGGCGGCACTGCATGCGGGGGGGGGGAGAGGGAGGCAAAGAGGAAATAACTAACTGACTGAAGGATAAGGCGTCAACATGGTCTGCAACATGTGAGGCAGCCCGACCGCAGGAGGGAGGCGGTGCACTAGATCAGCTCCGCCGCGCACTGTCCTTCCCACCATAAATCCCCCTGCGCCGCTCTTAACCACTCCCCTCCTACTTGGTCTCCTACTTCACCTTCTCCCTCCCCTCGCCCTCCCTCCGCTCTCCCCTCCTTCTCACTCACATTGGGTGTTCCTCTTTTCTCCTCCCCCTCCTCACCGTGACTTGGTGTGCGGCACCACCTCTATGATCCCCCGCTCGTAGCCCGTGGGGATGCAGCCGTAGGGGCGCAGGTAGAGGTCCAGTCCGGCGGTCTGGAAGGCGCTGCGGAGCAGCGAGATCACCTGAGGGGGCAGGGAGGGGGGGGGTGCAGGAGGGAGGCGGGTAGCGGGCGTCATGAGGCGGGCGGAGGGGGGGTAACATATCGAGTGCAGCAGCAGGGGGTGGTGCGGATGGCGAGAGCCCATCTGGGTACAGGTATCTGCTGACTTGCAGAGAGCGCACTGTCGCCCACAGCGAGGTATTTCCTTCCTAGGTACTCATCCCTCCTCCCTCCCTCCATTCCACGCACACACACCCCACCCACCTGCAGCGCCAGTACGTCCTGCCGTACATCGTCCCCGACCTTGAAGATGCAGGCCAGGGTGCGGCTGAGCGGCGGCGGCAGGGGGGCGGCGGTGTCGGGGGGGGACTGCTGTTGGGGCTGCGGCTGCTGGGGCTGCGGCTGTTGGAACACCTGGAAGGCGACCAGGATGGGAACCTACGTGTGCGGGAGGGGGGGAGGATTGACAGGGATACGTTATCCGCATGGGGTTGGGAGGAGAGGAGGAAAAGAGGGGTTCACGGGGAGACGTTCCTAACCTCCTCCGCCCCCCTATTACTCTCATCGCAGCATCCTCATTAGTTGCACATTCCCCCCCGCGGCGGCCGTGTATCCCTCAACCTCCCGCCTCAACCGCCCCCCCCAGCCCACCTTTGCCGCGCTCTGCATGGGCGTGCCGCTCTCCGGGAGGTGTGCGAGCACGCGGCAGTCGGGGTTGGTGGGCACGTACAGGTCGGAGCGGGAGGGCGAGATGCGGGATAGCTCGGAACGGATCTTGGCGCGCCGCTCGTCCGGCTCCAGCTTCTTGAGGATGCCTGGGTGGGGGGTGGGCGAGTGGGTGTGTTAAGAAAACTGGCCGCGGGTCGGAAGGTACTGTAACTGCCGGAAGATGAAGTCCCCACAGAAACGCGGGTGTGTAGTTGAGCGGAAAACAAGCGCAAGCAGTTGGGATAGGTTCGCATGTGAACCACGAGGTACAGGCAAAACAGAGGTAGACAAACCTGAAACATAACTCAAAACTGCTTAAATAGCTGGTGCCGGTTGTAAGAAGAGTGGCGGGTTGACGACGCATGTCGGTGATGCTGATGGTGTCGGAAAACACGCGTGTGTGTGTTGGGGGGGGGGGCGGGGTATCGGTATCCTTTTTATAGGATACACCCAAGTCCTTCCCCTACCTCTCTTGAACCCCACCTCCCAGCTCCTGCCGATCCTATCCCCATTGTCTTGCCCCAACCTGTGGTTTCCTATGGTTCGATATGGTCTTTGACCCCCCTACCCGAGATGCTGGTGACCTGGTCGAAGTAGCGCTCCTCCGCCTCCCAGAAAGCGGCACGCGGGGGGCTCAGCGCGCCCAGCACCGCCGCCTTGAGCTGCGCCGCGGGCTGCCACAGACCCGTCTCCTGCGGGGGCTGCCAGCCGGAACTGGGAGAGGGGGGAGAGGGGGGAGAGGGGGGAGGGGACAGGGCGGGTGGTGGAATGGGAGCTACCGGTAAATGAACTACATAGGAACTAACCGTGCGGCAAAGGTGCCCTAACAGGTGGGGGCTGCATCACCCAACAAAGCGGCAACGTGCTCCACCACGAACTCATGGGATAGGGACATAGGGGCAGGCGCAGGCGCCGGCGTCCATGGTAAGATTGGTAGCACATACGTCAACCGCCTGCCGCCCTCCCGCCCCCCTCCCCTCCGCCTCACCGTTTGACCTCCGGGTTGAAGGCCTCGGGCGGCGGGCGCTCCTCTGTTGCCAGAGCCCAGATGAGCTGGTGCGCGAAGAGGTCATCCGAGGCGGCGGTGGACAGCAGGAAGCGCGAGGTGGCGCCGTCGGCGTCGGAGCGCAGGGCCTGCGACGTGGGGGCGTCGTGGAGACATGGCGGGGTGTGATGGTGTGGTTGGGTTGCGGAGGAAACAAGAGAGGAGCGAAATGACAGCTGTTATCGGGAATGGAGGACGGCCTGGCGAGCCCCTACACACAAAGTCACACGCGCCCGCTTCCACCCCTCCTGGCACCCACCTGCACCAGCTGCGGCAAGAAGAACGCCACCTTAGCCGGCGGGGCCGCATGCAGGCAGCGCAGCGCATACGCCTTGATACCCGCATGCAGCTGCGCGGCCCCACTCATCAGCTCCAGCCCTTCCACCGCACCCGCGGGGGCCCACGTGGCTAGCGCTGCCAGGTACGGCGCGTCCCGGCGAGCCGCCTCGGGCGTTGCGAGGACCAGGGCGGCTTGCGGCAGCGCTTGGACCCGTGGGTCGGCCGCCGAGGCGATGAGTAGGGCTTCCAGGGTGCGGTGCGGCTCGCTGGAGGTGGGAGGAGGCGGGCAGCGCTGGACGATGGAGACGGCGAGTTGAGGAGAGACCTGTGGTTTTGACGCGGGGGGGTTGGGATGCAGCGTTGGGGAAAGGAGTCGAGGACGAAAGCCGCAGCACCCTTTACCCACGCCCTCAATACGCCAAAGAGCACCGCACAGCATCGCACCGCAACCCGTCCATCCAACCGCACCCAACCCCAAACCCCACCTTCCATGCCGTCTTCACGTGCGCCTCCGACAGCACCAGCGGCGGCTCCCCCGCTGCCCCCGGCTGCACCAGCGGCCGCGCCCACACTCGCAGCCGCGCCACCTCTGCGCGACACAGCACCTGCAGCAACGCAACGGCGTCGGCCGTACGGAGACCCTTGGCGGCGGGGCCCCACACGGCGGCGCTGACGGGCGGGTGGGAGGCCCACGTGGCTACGGAGGGGGAGAAGGAAAGAAGGGGAAAGGGAGGCAGAAGGACATTTCGGGGGGGATGAGACGCTGTATGCATGCAAGCATGGTTGGTAAGAGCGGAATGTTCGGTAGCCGCAGTAAGGAAGTACATGGCATTGAGCCCGCAAATGTTTCGGCGGCATGACCCATGGGTCGCCACACACCGGCATCCACCGCCGACGGCCCATGCTTGCTCTTGTCGTACACTGGCGCCGCCGTCACCGCCGGCCAGGCCCCCGCCGACGCCAGCAGCGCAGCAAAGTCCGCAACCGCCGCATGCTGCTCCTCGGCCTGCCGCTGAGACATGCGTGCCGTGAAACCCGGGGAGTGAGCGAACCAAAGCAAACCCGCACGGACCAGCCTGTCGTACAGTAACGCCTGCGGCGGCGGACAAGGCGCCCCCGCCGGCCGCAGCCGTGCGCAATGCAGGCAGTACGTTAACGCCAACCGCAGCAACCGAAACAACGGTGCTGCGGCAGCGGGATGCGTGCTCAGTCGCTCGGGCGCGGAAAGCGAGTGATGCAACAGTCGGTCGTACACTGACGCTAGCGCGCGCTGCTCCGCGTCGGTTCGGTCGCCCGCCGAACACCACATTTCGTACAGGAAGCCGATCCACTGGTGATGACTCGCCAATGTGGATAAGAGCTCCGACTCGGCCTCGCTGCAGCCCACGTCGCCGTTGCCATCGCCGCCGCCTTCGGCGGCGGCGTCGCCTTCGGCGCCGTCATGCTCACTTGCGACCCATGGGCCACTGAACAGTCCCATGCCCCGGTCCACTGTTTGCGCCCATGCGGCCCCCGTGCGGCTGACCAGCGGCACCAGCCAGGTGGGCCCCGCGGTGGTGATCCACGTCCATGCGAACACGGCCAGGCTCATCATGTCGGGTGTAAAGCTGCGGGGCGGAGGGAAGAAGAGCAGAAGAGAAGGGAAAAGAGGGGAGAAGGAAGAAGTTGGCCGGATGGTAAACAAGGATGGGGCGACGACCCGCTGGGCGGAGACAGGGAGAGAACCCCAGCAACACGTGACCTGACCGGCCGGTGAGTGTGCTACGCTGCTCTCACGGACAGCACCATGGAACACGGTGAACATGCCCCGTACCCCCTCCGCCACCCGCCCCCAACCCCCTCCCCCACCCCCCCACCTCCCTCACCGTCTCAGCGGCGCCATGCACAGCCCCTGCAGCACCCGGTAGCACACCGCATGCGCCGCACTGCTCACCAGCGCCGCCTCCGCCTCCTCGTCCGCCTCCCGCGCCAGGAAGGCAGCCGCGCCCAGGTAGCGCTGCTCCAGCAGCCGCACGTTGTGGTGCGCCGCCGCCAGGCCCTCCTCCAGGGCGGCGAGCGCCACTTCGGCGACGGCGGCGGGGCTGGCGGAGGCGCCGCCGGCGGTGTACTGCACCCCCACGATGGCGCCTGTCGTGGGGTTTGGGTGGTGATGGATGGGGGTCAAAGACCATACCGAACCATAGGGAAGGAAGTAGGGTGGTTGGTAGGGGTTGGGAGTGGGGAAGGGGGCCAAGGAGGTGGCATGAGGAAAACTGAGAGCCCACCCACCTGCCTGCTGGCTTCTTCTCTACCTAGCAACCCATCCACCCGCCTACCCACTCACCCGCCTACCCAGCACCTACCAGTGTAAAAGAGCTTCATGCACAGGGCCGCCATGGTCGCATCGTCCGCGCCCGCACCGCCCATGCCACCTGCTCCCCGCCGCCGAGCCTCCGTGCAGATCGCCAGCAGGTCGGCCGCACGCCGCCGAGCCGCCGCGTGCACTCGTTGCTCCGCAGAGGGGGCGGCGGCCGACAGGGAGGCCGAGGAGGAGGAGGAGGAGGAGGAGAAGGAGGAGAGCGAGCCGAGCGTGAAGGCGGCGATGCTGGACTGTGAGGGCAGGGGAGGGGGTTGGGCATGGCGGCAGCAGCGAGGGGCAGAGGTACCGAATGTTGAATGGAAAAAGAGGTTTTGGAGGTTGGGGCCCTTGGGAGTTATCCCATTGTTAAGGAACAAAAGGATGCCTCTTAAGCCTGCATTCAAAGCAAAGTGGTGTGCTCCTGTGCCGCCAAAGCCACCCAAACACCGCCCAACCCTCCATCAGCCTCACCACCCACCTGTCCCAGGAACTGGTGCAGCAGCGCCTCGGTCCGCGACGGCGCCGCAACTGCCGCCGCATGCACCCACGATCGCAGCCAGCCCCACACCGTACCCCCACCCCCACCACCACCCGCGGACGCTGACGTCGCGCCCGCACCACGGCTACTACCGCTGCTGCCGTTGGAGTGCACCTCGCTCAGCGGGCGATCCAGCCCCTCCTCCGTCTCCAGCTCCCGCAGCAGCGCCGCCACGCATGCCTGACTCCAGTAGATGGGCGGGTAGGCGCGGCGCAGGCGGTTCAGCAGCCGGTCCGCCACGATGGCTGCTTGCGGCGCGACTCCCTCCTCATGGCCCCCCGCGGCTCCCAAATGACGGATCAGCGTCACGGCGAGACCTTCCAGACAGCGCTCGTACACGTTGGCAGCGCCGCCGCTGGCGCCAGCGCTGGCGCCGCCGGCGGTGCCGTTGACGCCGTTCGCGCCGTCTTCATCGCTATCGGCACTGTTATTGGAGAGGCTGACGCCGTCGCCGGGCCAGGCGGATGGTTGTACGGCGGTGGGAGGTACACCGTCGGGCAGTCCGGCGTATCTGGGTCCGTGATCGCCGGGGAAGGTTGAGGCGCGTCGGTGGCTGTCGTCGGGAGCGGCGCCGCATGCAGAGGTGAAGGAGGCGGAGACGGAGGTCGGGACGGCGAAAAGAGGGGGTTGGCAGGAGGAGGAGGGGGTGGTCATGGCGGCAGCGGCGGCTTCCTCCTGCAGGCGGGCGAGGTAGGTGGCGAAGGCCTTCTCCGCGACGGCTCCGTACCATGCTGCGTCCGCAGATTGCGGGTCCGCCGATTGCAGGTAGGTGAGCGCCACGGAAATAGGGCTGGACTCGCCTGCAGGGGGAAGGGGGTCAGAGATATATGTACCAGACCATAGGAGACCACACACCACAGGTTAGGGTTTAGCAATGGGAATACGAGGCGGCAGGGCGCCACAATACATAAGGTGGGGGTCAAGAGGATGGATAAAACGCCAGGGCTGGAATGCTCCATGCACCCCTCCATGCACCAACGCTCCATGCGCACCCACCATCAGCCACCAGCGGCGCATACTTGGCCCTGCACAGCTCCACAGTCGCCACCGTGAGAAGGTAGGCCTGCTTGAAGGCGTCGGGCGGCGGCTGCGGGGTGCCGCCCGGGGAGACGCCCAGGGTGGCCTGCAGCGAGGCGCGCAGGCGGGCGGGGGCGGAGGCAGCGGGGCCCGCCAGCCGCAGCCGCTCGCCTAGCTCGGCCTGCGCTCGGGGGCGGGGAGGGGCGAGGGACAGGGGCAGGGTTGGGTAGCCCTATGGCAGGAAGGCTGAGGCGGGAGGGGCTTAGACGTGCAGGTGGGGAACGAGCGGGCGGGGAACGGGTTGACGACAGGCCCCTCCATGTTTGCACCCCATGGTGAAGCCTACACGTCATACAGCCCCTCAGCTTCTTCCTCTTCACCTCCGCCCCGGCCCCCGCCCCGCCCCCCCCACCTTGAGCTGCTCCGCCATGTCCACCTCGCTGGTGGGCGCCTCCCCCAGCAGCAACACCGGGGTCACTGCCGCGATGCGCCCCGCGGCCGCCTGCTGCGGCGGCGGGGCGGACTGCCCCCGACACAGACCGAACAGCGCACAGGTGAGCCACAGGTTGCGTAGCAGCTGCGGGAGAGGGGGGGGGGGGGAGAAAATGAATACCCAATGTGTGGAAGGGGGAGGAGGGCGGAGGGGGGGTAAGGGCTCGACTGGGCCACGAAGAAACACGCGGGACGCGAACGCAGGATGGCCGAACGGGGAAAGAGATGGACTGTGTGTGTGCGAGTTAGCAAAGCAGGAGTTGACCGGAGCTCAAATGCACAATGCACCCCCTCCCCCTCCGTCAACTGCCTAACCGCACCTTAACCAACTGCAAGTCCGTCTTGTGTCCCCCCGGCCCGCCATTCCGTTGCTGTTGCTGCTGTTGCGCCGCCAGGTCATGCAGGCTGAAGCGACTGGCGGAGGAGTCATGTCCGAAGGCCAGTCCGCCCTCCAGCCCCTCGCACGCCTCTGCCACCGCCGGCAGCAGCTGGCCCAGCTCCGAAACCACACCCGCGCCGCCACCCGGCCCCCCCGCTCGCAGCCCCAACTCCCCGAACTGCACCAGCAACCGATTGCGCAGATCGCGACGAGCCGCCGGCACGGCGCCGCGCATGCCTGTGTGCAGGAGAGGTGGGGAGCAATGTACAACATGACCCCTCACTCCAGCCCGCTGCAGTCAAGGTGCGACGTTTTGGCGACCTTATACGTTTCCACCCAAGCCTAGGATACCTCAGTGTGGCGATTCTGCTTCCCGCCGAGGCCATAACAGCTGGCACCCAACTCACCACCAATCCCCCCCCAGACGTGCCCCACCACTCACTCTTAGCCAGCGACAGCAGCCCCGCACACAGCGCTCCGGCCCCCGGGCCCGCCGCGCCGGCCACCAGGCCCGCCGCCGGCGCCCCCGGCTGCCGTGCGTCCAGCAGCAGCCGCAGCAGCACGTCCGTGATCTGCGAGTAGGCCCATGTGGTGCCGCGCTCCGCACGCACACTGCTGGCGGCCATGGCTGCGGAGGAGGAGGTGCAGGAGGAGCAGGAGCAGGAGCAGGAGCAGGAGCAGGAGCAGGAGGAGCAGGAGCAGGAGGAAGTAGTGGGTGATGTGAACGCATGAGGGAGCAAGGATATAGCAAATGAGGTTTTGTGTTAAGCATGCATGGGGGAGGGCACGGAGATGAGATGAGCTACACACGAATGCTCCTTTCGCTCGGCTTCCTCCGCTTGTGCCCGTCAACTCCTAAGCAAAATTCCTCTACCGGACCCTCTCGCTCCCTCCGTTCCCGCCGATTACTGCACCCATCCGCCCACCTGCCCCCCCAATCCTAAAATCCAGCCTTATGCGGAATCTTCGTCCCTATTAAACCCCCCCACCCACCCACCTGCCAGCGTCTGCACCACCGACGCCTGCAGCGACACCCCCGCGCCGCTTCCCGCCGGCTGCCCCAACACGTCCGTCAGCAGCGGCACCATGCTACGCGCCAGCTGCTCCTCCCCCCGCAGCAACACGAACAGCCGCCCCATGGCCAGACTCAGCACCTGCGCCTCGTTGCCCGCCGCCGGCGCCGCTGCGTCCGGTAGGCTGAGCGGCAGCAGCAGCAGCGCACGCACGTAGGCCCTGGCACCCGTGTGATAGCTGGCGGCCAGGCCGCAGGCAAGGGCCTCCGCAACGTTGCAGCACAGGCGCTGCGCGCCCCAGCCGGCCACGCGGCCAACGTTGGAGGCGTAGGAGGCGGTGAGCGGACGGCTGATGTCCCATGCCCAGAACCGCCGCCAAGCGGCAGCGGAGTCGGCGGCAGCGGGGTTGCCGTTTGTATCTTCGGTGGGTGGTTGTTCGTGGACCGGGCGGACCAGGGCTGCGGCGGCGAGCAGGATGGCTTTGAGGCGGGAGAAGACGGTACCCACATCCAGCGCGGCAGCGGTGGCGGTGGCGGAGGCGCGCGGGGGTGCTGGTGTTGGCGAGGCGCCGCTAGCGGAGCCGCTGCTGCCACCGTTGGAGGCGGTTGAGGTTAGAAGGGCGGCGGCTGCCTCGCGTGCAGCTATGATGATAAGGGAGGAGCAGTCCTCCAGGATGTAGGCGGCCGTGTCGAGCATCTGTACGGCAGGAGAAAGTACAGCAAGAGAGGAGAGCCCAATGCATGATGTGGGTATATCGGTAGGCGTACGCCATGACCCAGTTGCGCCAATATGGGCGGAAGAGTGCAGGGTCTATATCTTATTGTACACACGTGTCCTACAGGAGCCCTGATATCACGACATGAGGAGGAGCCCCATTCCTGACTCTCTTTGCGCTGAACCCGGCAACCTATACCATCCGCCTCCACCCGCGCCCCCCGCGTCCACCCTCTCGCACCTTGTCCGAAGCCGCCACCTGCGGCCCAATCTCCAGCGCCGCCGACACGCACGCTTCCGACATGTCTAGCAGCATGCTGATCACATCCCGCAGCTGACCCCTCGCCGCATCCGCTAGCACACCTGACGGCGCCGCTGCCGCTGCTGCTACTGCTGCCGCCGTCCCGCCCGCCGAGCCCGTAGCAGCAGCGGCAACACTCGCAGCCCCCACGCTGCCCGCCCGCAGCAGAAGGCCGTACATTGCGCTAGCAGCGAGGCGTGCGGCGGCGCGTGTGACTCCCGCTGAGGGCTGCGGCGCGGCTGTAGCTGGCTGCTTCCCAGTGAGCAGCATGGAGCTCAGAGCCTCCACGCCTACGGCCGGCTGTAGCAGCTTCGTCAGCACGCTACGCACCTGACCCATGGACCATGTCAGCAGGGTGGTTAGCAGCACACGCTCCCGAGCAATCAGCTCCTGATGGGCTGCGACGTCGCCGGGGGCCGCGTCGTCAGCAGTAAGAGCGGCAGGAGGGGCGGCAGCTCCACCAACGGATATGAACGGCCGCTGCTGCTGCTGTCGCGCCGCTGCTAGCATGGTTCGGACTAGCTGAGCCATCAGCAGCAGCACCTTTTCGTCTGCAGCGGCAGCCGCGCCGACGGCGGCGCGGGAGCCCGGCGGCGGCGTCACGGGGCCTGTCGATGGTAACCTGCCGCCTGGTGGCAGCACGCTCTCCGCCATCCACGACAGCAGCGCATGCGCATCCGTCGACAGCAGCGGCAGGCCGGAGCCCGCCGCAAACGCCTGGCTGCGGGTCAACGTACGGAGCAGTATCTGCGCCGGGGCGGCCGCAGAAAGCGGTGACGTAGGGGCGGCAGCAGCTGGTGATGGTGCTGGTACTGTTCCTGCTACGACGGTGGCGGCGGGCTCATCCTTGCGCATGCGTAGCACTGTCTGCAACAGTCCCTTCAACAGTTCCGCCACTGCGGCGCTGAGGGCCCGGCGCCAGGAGGCTTGCACGTCCTGGTTGGCCAGGAGGCTGCGGCGCGCACAGGAGGGGTAGGGAGGCTCACAGCAGTTGTACGGTGAGATGCGTCCAGAAAAAGTGTGAGAGAACGAGGAGTTATAGTCCATTAGGGCCAAACCGAAAGGCATCCTGGTTGCAGCCCCGTGGCAGCAAATCCACCCTGACCCAAATCGGCGCTGACCCACATCGCCACCGGCCCACCTGCGCAGGCTGGTGAACAGATCCTCAAATAGCCGCTCAAGGGCATCGGGGTCCGACACCGGGTCGTTCCAGGAGGCCGCCACCAGCGGCAGCTGGCGGACCACCTCAGGCATCACCAGGTCCACCCGCTAGGCGTTCCGGCATGGATTTGAGATGCATTTGTGAGATGAGGGAGGGATGCAAAGGGGGAAAAGAGGCGTGCGATTAAAGCTTCCCAAAGTGCCTGCTGGATGGTCACATGGACGCCTGACTAACTGCAACGATCTGGGAGACGCGGGGGATTCTATGTGAGCTCTGATACGAGCATCGCGCCGATATTGTATGCATCGCCGGCGTCCCCATATGTCGCACCTGGCCACCTGACTTGTTCAGAAAGCTGATCAACGGAAGAATACTTGCAACCACATCCCCTGCGTTGCAATATGCTTATATGTAAGGTACTAGCTAGCAAAGGCCATCCGTTTATTGGCATGGGAGGTGCACGAAGCGGTCCAAGCCATGCGAATTGCCGGTTCAATGCCGGTTGGGTTTGGACGATTCAGCAGACGAGGCTCTACAGTACTTACGGGCGGCGTGTGAAGCTACAGAGCCTCCATCAAACTCGTGCAAGGGCTGTTGACCGCATAACTGCAGCAGCAAAGCTACTTTGCCCTCTTCAACTGGGTTGAGCGAAGCTAACGCTTGTGCCCAGCTGGAACGCAGCTCCAGTAATGTGTTAGACACCATCTTTGACGTGTAACCTTAAGACTATACGCTTGTGTTGTTCATGTCCACATTTTGGCAAACAGTGGTACTATTATGCAGTGCTGCTAATGGGTAACTGTAATGGGTAACTAACATCTTAGTCAAGAGTCAGGCAGGGTCACGCGTTCAGTAAAAGTGTAGCAGTGCTGTCTTGCTGATACAATAGCGTACGAACAACCAACCGCATTTTGAGTTCAGGCTACGATCTGCAGCTACTACGTCTTCCATCCTGAGATGAAGATGATGATGTGGAGTTCCCGGTTTAACGCTGGACCTGGTGCTCCGTAACCAGAAGCATATGGGTACGACATTTTGCTTTTCATGGCGAACCCGCTTTGTAGCGGTAGAACGTCCAGGGCGTGACTTTCGACGATATTGGTCACTGAAGCTGCTTTTACCATAAAGCTGTCTGCGCGGACGCACCTAAGTGCGTCTGCTTCCTTCGAAGTCGTCTGGATAGAGGGCTAGCAGGAGGCTTCACACCATTACGCATGTTCCGGCTAGCGTGTAGCCTTTACAGAAGATATGGCGTCCTAGGTAGTTCTCTTGCCTGCTGAATTTCACCACATTATCAATTTCTCTTCGAGGCTCTACCAAAATGGACTTCGCCGAGAACTGGTGCTCCTTATTGGAGCTCTTTGTATCGGTAAGTGGTTACAAGGGCGCATGTTTGCCTGCTTCGAAGAGCGTGAAGTCTGCATGCGCTGATGTAAGGTCCTCCAAAGTTTCCTGTGACAACTGTATGTCGGATATGTGCCCGGCTCCTATCAGAAGCCTGTGTCATATACCCAGATAGCATATCTTAGAGCGGTGGCAGCATCGCACCAAATGTCTAGGCAGCCTGTTATGTACACGCTTGTCGCGCGGACAAGTTCAGTGGTCTAACAAGCTCCCAAATAAAATGAAGCCTTACATCGCTTTCGAGCGGCAGCATGCGATGAATTTTTTGCCTTTCTGCCGCCGATGTGCAGAGCGCGGGCCTGAAACTCCGTATGCAAATGGTGGATACCGTGCTGATAAAAACGGGGCGTGTACTTGGACACTTCTACACGAGCAAGGACGGCTACATCTGCCGCTTTAGCGCACATGAAATAACTCGTCAAGCCGTGTATCAGCGCCTTGCCTCCTTACACAGCTTGGACCCACAGCTCAACCCCTTTGGCTACATCGCCGTAGCACACTATGGGACTGGTGTATCTCGGCTTCTCAAACGTGCTGAGCTTCAGGAGCTGGTGAGGCTACCTGGGGCTGGAGTATGGGGAGGGAAAGGGATGTCAACTGTCCGGCTTGACGCTACCCCACGGACATTTTCTAGGACTGCTTCTTGTCCGTAGCTGGGTATTCCTTGGACACGGCCGCTTTACATGCTGCCGGTGAAGCTGCCAATGAATCGTTTGTAGCCGTACCATACCCCTAAGCTCCTCCCTTCGAAACCCCTTGTTCTGGGTCTGCCCAGATGGCAACCATATGCGGCCCATACGAGTTCGCGGAGCCGTCACCGCTTGCTGCTCAGAACGAAAACCTATTCTGTATTCAGTCGTACGTCGTGCCGCGCAAGGACGTGCGGTACATCGCGTCGTACGATGTACAGGAGGGTCCGCTCTGCACGGTGCTGGCACGGCGGTTCAGGTTAGTAATATTGCCGTGCTGCGGCCTGGCTCAGTCCCATCCTTTCTAGAGGTTCAATTTCGTCGTCAGTGTTCGGCTGTCTGCCTCAGCGCCTGCTGTGGCAGTGGTAGCACCGCCTGAGAAGACCCAAAATGCCCACCTGGCATGACACCAAGTGCTTGAGATACTTGCCTCATATGGCGATATGGGTCCGGGGCCTGGGATCTGATAAGGCACGTGTGTCCATCTATACATCCTTAGGCATGCTACCAAACGCTTCGCCGGCTCGCTTGCCCTACGTGCGCGCATCTCGGGCGGCGTTCACCCCTCCTTACACTCCTCCCGCCCCTGCTTCAACCCGCCACAGCTCCCGCTACACGCATGCCATGGACGATCCGGGCACCCTGGTGACCGATCCGGTAAGCAGGAAAGGACCAAAGCTGTATTTCCGAGAGCTATCTCTTCTCTACACACTACAGTCCACAAGGGGGTTCAGCCGCCGCATACCATACACCCACCTCTTGCCGTATCAACACCACCGACATCTCACCGTACCCAACCCCTGTGCACTCTTCTGCCCGCACCCATGGCACCCACTCATCCGATCCCTTCCTCCCTCCTTCATTCACTCCTTCCTCTTCAGTTTGAGGACACGGACGAGCCGCCCACCGCCTCTGCCATTATGGCCTCCGCCGCCGCCGCTGCTGCTGCAGCCGCCGCTTCCGATGGTTCCCCCGGCGCCGGCGGTCTGCGTGACGACCCGGGCGCTCCTGCTCTCAGTGCGGATGAGCTGCTGGTTGAAAGCCAGCTAGTGGCACTAGGGCTGCTTGAGCCGCGGAGAGTCAAGGACGGGGAGGCGACGGGGGCGGACAACGGCGAGGAGGGAGGTGATGGCGATCCGCCGATGTCGCCATCAGATGGTGAGTGGGCTGTCGCGTTCGGGGGGTCATTTAAGGGGTAGTTTGCCTCACGGCTTGCTTTCGCAGTAATACTGTTCGGCACGTTGCAATGGTAACGATTGCCATCTTGCCATTTACCCTCCCCTTCCGTTTCTAACCCTACCCGCCCACCTCTGCCCCTTGCAGCCGTGTCCACGTCCATGCCCGCTCCTCGCCGCATCAAGGACGACATCGCTCGGCTGCTCCAAGTCCTCTCCTCCTTCGTAGAACGTGCCCACGGTCAACGCATCGTCGGTCTTGTCGCAGAGTTTATAGCAGCCGCAGGCCCCGTCGCCGGCGCCGCCACCAGCGGCGGAGCGCCCCCCGCCGGCGCGCTCGTCCTCATGGCCGTACACGCCGTACAGCTTGACCCACGGGCCAGTCGCGGCCGACTGGGGACCTTCACGGAACGCTGGACGGACTATCTAGAGGGTTTGGCGCCGGCGCCGGCGCCGCAGGCGCCGGGGCGTAGGAACCAATCCCCCGGCATGCTGCGTGCCGGAGACGCCTCGCTGGTCATGACGGACCGATCCAGTGGGCTGCTGGTACGTACCGCTCCCGCGCCGACGGGCCCGAGTGACAGGCTGGGAATGCTGGCGGCGGCGGCGGTGCTGGGTGGCCCGCACCGTCTGTCACCGGCGGCTGGCGGAGGCGTCGGGCTGGGCGGCGGCGCGACGGCGGCGGTGGTGCTGGGCACGCATTCTTTGCGGGTGCATGGCGGCGGCGGCAGTGCGGCGAGCAGCCCGGCGGCGAGCACGCTGACGCGGATCTACTCGGCGTCGCCGTCGCTGGCGGCACACCGAGTGGCGGCGCTGGCGGAGGCGGGAAGGCCCGGGTCGGCACCTGCCGCTGTGGTCAAGGTAAGGGGCCCGGCCAGACCCTGCAGCATATGGTGCATACATGATATGGCCAATTCCGTCGCACCTGAGAGGTTTATTTCGAAGTCTTTCTGCTTGCCCGTTTGTGCGAAGAAGGGAAGTGTCAAAAGGCAAGGAAACGTCCTGCTGTTGCTGCATCTCAGCAAGCCTACTTACATAACCCAATCCACCTGGTACCCCCCGAACTCCAGGTGGGTCGCCACGTCTCCAACTCGGTCCACTCCTCCGCCTCCAACGGCCACTACACGCTGCGCAATGTCATGTCAGCGGCACGCGCGGGCGGCGGCGGCAACCCCACCTCGGCGCCCACCGCGCCCGACAGCTACAACCTGTGGCTGTCCCGCGAGGGCGGCCCCACTGACAGCATGGTGGCTCGACTGGCGCTGGAGGTGAGGAGCTGGAGGTTTGTCGTCGCATGAAGGGCAGTGGCAGTAGGACAGGAGGCAAAGCCGTAGTGACGAGGGATGACGTGGGAGTTGGGGCGTGGCGGCCATGTGGGTTGGTGGCTACCTTGCGACATATGGGTGTTTCTTACTTGCGGCATATGGGGGTTTCTTACCTGTGGTTTTAGTGATATTGGCGGGTTAAACAATGGGAGGCGCGTGGGACGGATGCGAGGCCCTCTCACCTGCCGTGTACCCGCCACGTCCTGACCCCATGTGCTCATGCTCTGTTGCTCCGTCACCATCCTTGCGCAGGTGGAGTCCCTCCGCGAGCGGCTGCAGCGGCAGACCGACATCGCGGTGCGGGCGGAGGCGGCGCTGCAGCACCTGGCGCTGTCCAGCCGCAGGGAAACCACGGAGCTCAGGCAGCAGGTGCGGGGAGGGGGTGGCGCAGGGTTGGGAGGAGGGGCGGGGTGGAGGTGGCATGGGTAGCATGGGGCAGGGCACGAAGACGGCTGTGCCGTCTTTCCGTCGTCCTTGTATTGTTTACTGCGCATCTCCTCACACGCGGCTTGATAATGCGCCCTCCCACGCCCTCCTTTTCCCCATACATGCTAAAAACCCTCCTCCCTCCCTCCGACCCAGATCGAGGAGCTGCGCAACGAGGTGGGGCGGCTGGGTGAGGCCAAGCGCAACCTGGCAGTGGAGTACGACAGGCTTCGTTCGGAGCGGCTGGGGCTGCAGGCGGGGCGCAGCGAGCTGAGCGGCGAGGTGGAGCGGCTGCGCGGGGAGCTTGCGGGGGAGCGGGAGACGCTTGCGCGGGCGGTGCGGGACGCCACGGCGCGCGAGGAGCAGCTGGAGGTGAGGAGGAGGAGGAAGCGGGTGCTGGGGCGCAGGGGGAGAGGCTGCGGGTTGGCGTGGGTGTAGGGAGGATGCGAGTGGCAGAGCAGAACGCACGATGCTGCTAGCGGTGGCGAAAGGAGGAGGAGGAGGTTGTAGAGAAGGGAAGGGAGGTAGCGAGCGGATGACCCCTTTCCAGATGGCCCTAACTGGCCCTGAGTTCCTAACCCGCTCCTGCCTTTGCCCCTGCCCCTCAGGCCCAGCTGCGAACCGCCCGGGAGGAGCGCGAGGAGGCGCTGAAGCAGATGGGCGGCCTGCGGAGGAGGGTCGAGGTGGGCGGGGGGGTCGTGAGATGTGGCTACGGCGTTGTTCGGGGCCAGGGGCTTAGGCGATAGGTGGTGCGCGGCTGGGCTTGGAGCGTGGCCTGAACGCTGGGGTCTGGAGCGCTGGAGCGCCTTGGCGTTGTCGAGGGCATGAGGCGTATGCCTTGACAATCGGCCCAATGGCTTCCCATGTTGCTGGCTTACCTTCACGCATCTCTGCCCACTTTCGCCATCGCCACTCAGTCCACGGCAACGTGTGTCCGCTGTGTGTGCACGCAGGAGGAGAGCGAGGTGGTGGAGGCGCTCCGGGGCCAACTGTATGACTACAAACAGCTAGTCGCGCAGGTACGGCATGCCGCTGGTCGGGATGTTAAAGGGATGCGCACGCATCCCTTTCATGCTCAAAGGGATGTGTGCGTGCACGTTTGTGTAGCATGGGAGCACAACGTGTAGGCACTGGCCATTCTCCCACCCATGTATCCTCTTACTAAAGCGTCACGGCTTTCCTTTCCTCCACCTATCACCTCTTGCTCCTAAGAAGGGCATGGCACGCTTACCCAATTGGCCCTCCTCGCCCCTAACGCCCATTCCTCTTCCCCTACCCTCTCCCACGTCCCATTTGGGTTCCACCCTCCTTCCCACACGCAGCTCCAAGCCCAAGTGCGCCGAGGCCGCAACAACAAGCAGCTGGTGTCCCTCCAAGGCCTGCCAACCACAATCGCCTCCTCCGTCAACATCCCCTCCGGCATGACCACCTCCAATGCCGGCGGCGGCGACGCTGCCACCAGCAGCAGCGGCACGCGTGTACGGCATACCAAGGACGGCGAGGATTCCGACGCAGAGACGGACCTTGTGCTGGCCGGCGGCGGCAACGGCGGAGCGGGAGATCAAGGCGGCATGGGCGGGCTTCACAGCAGCGGGAAGGCGATAGGCGGCACGACAGGCAGCAGCAGGTTGGGCGGCATGGGTGGCGGAGGTTATGGGAACCGGAGGTTGTGAGGGGTACGGGGGTTGGGTTGGGCGGGGCGGGTTGGGTTGGGTGAGAAGATAAGGGTTGAGGGTTGTGGATGGTTGGGGTGAAGGTAGGGCGTATGTAGCGCGGGCTGGAAGGGTTGGTTGAGGTGGCGAGGTGGCGCGGTACGGTGTGGTATGGATGTGTTAAGGCTAAAGGGGCATTGTTAGGGGCAGGAACGAATGCAGGAAGTAAAACGTGGTGCTTCTCGTGTCTTTTAGTTTGCATGGTGCTTTCATCTCGTGCTGCTTCCAAGTTGGTGCACTGCAGGGTGCTGCGGGCCCTGGATCACCTGAAAGGGACGGTGGTCGGGGCGCGCGGGTTTCGAGGCGGCGATCGCTTTCTGTGGCTTTCATATGTATTTTCGCTTGTGCGTCTCATAGTATCTTTCGTGGCACAAGGGCTGTTGTTTATAGGTGCTTCGCGCTTACTGGCTTTCAGCTAAGTGACGGGCGGGGACCTTGTACAGCACCGCCCATGTGTTTCCAGGGCATGTGATTGCTCCCCCGGCGTGGGGTTCGCCGGGCGTGTATAGAGTTGGGCGCCTATTGTGTGCCTGGTCGGCAAAGTGTTGGTTAGAGAGTTATGTGCTGGTCTTTGGGGGCGCATAAGGATGCCCGGTCCCTGTCCCCAGGAATGACAGCGCGCTCTTGCCTCCGGGCAGCTGGGGGTGCTAAGACTCGATCGAGGTCGCATGAGGCGTGATTTGGCTGGGTGGTTAGGTTGCAGCAACCTGCTGTGCAGTGCACCTAGCATGTCGGTGATGCCTGCAAGGGTACTGGCTAAGCATTAGGAGGAGCAGAAGTGCTAGTGTGACATGCACCTCGAGACTTCTCTTGGAAGATGGGGCAGGTGGAGGCGTTTGGTGGTTGTGTGGGGCAGGTGGAGGTATTCCGAAAGCCCTCCCTACTGCAGCGTTGAGTAGCTGCAGTTTTGTGAATAATGCGTATGTAAGAGGTTGTTAGTAGTTATTGAGCCTGTGTCCTGCAATGAGAAGGCGGCGGGCGCGGCGGAGTTGCGGTATGGCGGCGGAGGTGGTGGTGTCGTGCGGTTGGTGCCAACGGCGGCGGTGGGGACTGCGGTGGCGGCGGGTGCGGTAGCGGATGATGTGTGCGGCCTGACGGTGCAAGAACCGGAAACACGAGCGGTCGGCAGAGGAACGTGTTGCGTGAAGTGGTGGTGGCGGTGGTGGTGGCAACGATGGTGGCGGTGTTGGGCGGCAGTCAGGACGGGGGTGGCTAGGGGCGGTGTGTCGGGGTTGCGGGCGGGCAGGGAGCGGGGTAGGTAGGCTGGCGGGCCGGCGGCGGCGGTGGTGGCGGTGCATGTGCTCTCGGTTGCATGGCACCAGCGCCTGCGGGGCCCCCTGGGGTGGTGAGGTCCGCGCGATGCGGCCCCGGGGGCCCCTCTGGCGGCCGCCCTGGAGTGCCGCCGCCGGCCCGCCGTACAGGGATTGGTCCCGTGGGTCGTTGTGTGCCTTGCCCGTGGTTGCCTTGCACCGTACACTGCCGTTTGCTTGCTGTGCTTTGCTTTGCCTGCCTACCCTGCCTTGCTCTGCTGCACCCCTCCACCGGCCCTGGCTGATCCACGCCTGCCTGCTTGCCTGCCTGCCCACGTTGCTGCTACCTACCATGCCTCATCACGGCACATGCTACGCCTCTACCACCTCTTTTCCTGGTTTCTGCCCGCCTTGCTGCCCATCCTGCTGCTGCTGCTTCTGCTGCCACGTGTCACGCCCCCACCGCCGCCGTGACCTCGCGTCAGGCCCAATCCCGCTTACACCCCTCCTCGCACCGCCGCTGACGCCTCGGCCCTCCTTTCCCTCCTGCCCCTTTCGCATTCCATCCCGTCCCACCAACCAACCACTCGCAACAACACCAGAGTCAGCAACGCAGAAGGCGGCCACTTGCATACCCACCGCCAGTCCTCCCCCACTCCGGGCAGCCACCACCACTTCCCCGCACGCCGCGGCGAGACGCCAGGCACAGCCTCGGTTAAGAGCCGCCGTGTGTCTACCGCGGAAGGGCCCCGCTCCCACTCCCCCAGCCGACACGGGCATTCCAACTCCGGAACTGCGCGCTCAGTCACCCTGTCCTCACCCAATCCACAACTCATGTCAGCCACGATATACGGCACCCCGCTTGAGCTCACACCAGATGCATTCACTGTCGTACTAGCCGACATTCGCCGTAAACGCCTCGGCCTTCCAGCGCCGGCAGGCCCCTTAGAGCGTCTGGATTCCGCCGCCACAACGCGCGACGGCCCCGGCGGCACCGCCCCTAGCACTTCCGGGGCTATCCTCGTACCGGGCAGCATCAGCAGCGTCGCTGCCAGCGGCGAGATCAGCCCCAGTCGGCTTGCCCCGCCGCCGTCGCCGTCGGCACTCAGCACCACCAGTCCCACGGGTCTGTGCGGGCGCAGCAGCAGTCCGGGCAGCACGGGCGGCGCGAGTGTGCGCGCGGGCTCGGCGCTGGGTGCTCGACCGATCAACTACGAGCAGATTATTGCACATGACCTGTTTCTTATGAGCTGGGCTCGGGAGTCGCTGACACCGAGGATGATTGAGTGTCATGCGATTGCAATACAGGTGGGTGGCGGGGGTGCGAAAGGGGCGGGCACGTTCCCGGACGCGGCTAGCGGCCGAAGGGCACGCAGGTGGCGATATTTGCGGATTTCTGATAGGGGGTTATAGGATAAGTTGAACCGCCAAGGTAAGCTCTTGTGTGTCCGATTCTCGCCGTCCTGAGGGCTGTGAACCCGCTCATCCCTCTTCTGCACCCCCATCCCCACCTCCCCGAGCAGTTGGTGGCAGCGGAGGAGGCGTCCCTCGCGGAGATCTTCAACTTCTATGGCCACCTAGGCCAGGTACGACAGGCGGGGGGTACGACACCTGACACCGTACGTGCACGATGGCACACACCGCGCTCTGAATGGGCCTAACCGCCTGACCCCGCTTATTACAAGTTATCACCGTACATTATTCTCAGCCTGCCTCCGCCGGCCCTCATCTCCCGTCCCACAGGTTGTCTGGCTAGACTCCCGCCTCACCATGAACGAGAAGCAGTTCATCAAGCTCGCGTGTGAAACGGGCGTGTCGGAGTCCTCCGTAGACGACATGAAGGAGGTATTCCGCAAGCTCTCGGACAAGACCGAGTTCGCCTCCGAAACCGCCGTACGACATCCCTCGCCGTACATCAACTTTGAGCAGGTGAGAAGCATGCTGCCGCCTTTCACACGGTAGCCGCGCTTACGTGGCGAATACGACGAAGCTGATGTTAATGATAGCGGTGGTGGTGGTGGTGGGAGTGTGCATGCGCCAGCGTATCAGGGCGGGCCCTTGTTTGCATGTACCGTTATGTACGTCGAGAGAGTAATCCTCCTTCCATACGTGTGGTTTTATAACCCGTGGCCCCTAACCCGCGTCTTCCTTCCTGCTGCCCATCCTCTCCCTCCTCTCCCTCGTGCCCCTCCTGCCCCTCCCCGAAGTTCCCGGAGGCGGTGCTACGGCTGGCGGCGCTGCGCTACGAGTGGCGGCCGCCTGAGAACCTGGGTGAGTGGCAGCACAGTAGCAGCAACCATGGAGGTTTCGGAGCTCGCTCGGTGGCTTTGGTACTTGCGGGGCTGCTTGTAAGGAAGTCATGTGGATAAAGACGCATGCCGGTACTTGAACTAGGAGGCCGGTAACCTTTTAGTAGGTTCCAGCCACCACTAGCCTGCGGTACATTTACCCATTCCGTGGTGGGCTGGCCCGGGCAGGTCCTGACACCCCTCCCCTGCCGTGTTCCTACGTTACCTGACCCACCATCAAGTTGTATGAGTGCTGTATCCACCGCCCCCCCCTCAATTAGTTGGTTAGTTAGTTGTTTCCTCTTTGCCCTCCTTCTCCCTGGCTGCACTGCAGAGGACGCGGAGGAGGAGCTGTATTTCGCCTCGCCGCCCTTCATGCCGCCGAACCCTCGGGAGGAGGAGGAGGAGGTAGAGGCGCCTCCGAGACCGCCCGAGACGGTGTACGTGCAGATCGTCAAGGCATACCTCAAGGTACCGGTATGCGGGGCTGCCTGGATGGGTCCTCAGGGTGTCTTTAGGGTGCGTTCCTAGGGGTGAACAGGTGATGAGCGCGGCTTGGCTTGGATGCGGCAGGGCGCGGTGTCACCGGGATGGTGTTTTGTGGTGGTGGTGGTGGTTTCTGGGCTGTAGCAGCGGGCGCATGGTTCACTGGTGCTGGAGTCAAGCGCTACACTGGCATGGCATGGCCGCCTGCCGTCTAACAACATTATCGGTACCTTACGGTGGTGGGGTGGTGGTATTACCATCGTCGTCACCATGTGGCTTGCCCCCAGTCTGCCGCCATCTCTGCATTTGAACATGTATGAAAGGTGAGGTACCTTACGTATCAAGCCTTAATCCGCCGCTGTGGTCGCATGCCCCTTGCAGGACGACCTGGTGCCCCGTGCGCGGCGCTTCAAGACGGCCGGCAGCGCTCGAGCCAAGTACCGCTCCCTGACCCGCACCGCTCCGTCGGGGCTGTGGCTGAGCAGCAAGTCGTTGACGGCGGGAGTGAAAGCAGCAGACATGCTTGCAGGGGTGTAGGCGTGTAGGCTTATATCGTGTATGCGTGTAACGCCCTCCGCCTGCGCATGGGGTGTAGGGGTGTAGGCGACACACTCTGTGTTGCAGAAACTTTCCAGCCGTCGGTCGTCGATTAAATTCGGCCGACGCTGAATCATACTTTGGCGACTTACGGGTTGTACCGAAACTTGTACGGCTGACGCTTAACGAAGCGGTTTATAACGTTTTACGGGTAGGAAACCAAACCAAAACACGTGACGAATAGGACTGGTGGTTACCTCTTTGCCTGACGAGTGGATGTTGGCCGGTGCGTGGGGGCCTTACTTGAGGGAAACGGTTTGGGAGCCGTTACCATATGCGGGGCTGTGATGCCCCGCCCTGGGCCTCGTTAGCCTCTTAATGCCATCGCTGTGCTAGTTACTTGGACCGTGGGATGTGCTCCCATTCGACCTACCATACTGTACGAACTGTCTTTGACTAGCTCTTCATTGGTTTGCACGAACATTAGTTTACGCGTACTTGTCTTATGTAGCTTAGATGCGCGTGTTTTTAGCGGGCGGCCTGAAGGCTGTTGCTGACTTGCATGGGGGGAGTGGGTGTGCGACACTTGTCGCGCGAGGCGGCTTGGTTGACCGGACTGCATGCCTTTTGACTGGACTGCATGCTTTGTGAGACACGCATGGACGGTTGTGTTACTGCAAGATATGGAAGAGACTTACCGGTATGCACAGTGACCCATGGGCCGCTTATGCTTTTGATATGATGTGCATTAGTCGCCCTGCCCCGTCCCTTATCGTAGCAACTCTCGCAGTCCTAGCTACTGTGCACGCATATGTCCATCCGCTTGGTGCTATATTGGAAATGCGGCCTCCCAAGGTGCCGTATGCCGCGTGTATATGCTGAGGGTACGCCGCTGTTGGGCCCCTTTCCTTGACGTTTCGTGTTCAAGCCTGGTTCAAGCACCCCAAGCATGCCGTACAATAGCATCTCCGCATTTGCTAGTTGATTGGGGGAAGCGTCTGCTGGGTACGAGTACCGGTAGGTGTGGCCGGGAAAGCGTCGGCGAAGAGACGCATTTGCGGTGACATTTGTGTTTTCAGTTTATCCGCGTGTAGCGACGATATGTAACCTCTCATGTCCTAACAGCACAACTCCCCTTTCCACCGGCCAAGCCTTCCCCGAAGCCGTCGCTCCAACCCACAACCTAACATAGCTCTAGTGGCATTAAGGTTGCACGCCACACTGTGCAACAACAATGTAAAATCCAGGCCGAGCAAACTCACGACATTACCAAGGTCTATATGTGTGCACCACGCGGCCGACTGCCCACCCTGCTCGAATGCTAGGACAAAAGCCAACCATCGCTTGACGTGTCTACACTCTCGCATGCCAAGCCTACATACGCGGCCACCTGGACGCTATCCCCATTCCAACCACTTATGCACATGGCCCAACGCGCCACCCGCAACCCCGCATCTTCACCCGCCTAGCCGTACGTCCTGTGCCGTACGTCCTGTGCCGTACTTCCTGTGCCCCCCACCAGCCCCCCACCTCAATGCTCCCAGGGCGCCATCCGGGTGGCAGGGTCGCTCGCCGCGGGGCCGCCCGCCTCCCCACCGTCCAGCTCACTCTCCGCCTCGCCTAGGTTCCCACCCTGCAGATCCACACCCTCCGTCACACCTGCCATCACGCCCTCCGTCGCACCGCCGGCATCCCGGCTGCTGTTGCTGCCACTGCCGCTGCCGCTGCCGCCTTCACCACTACCATCAACACCACGGCTACGACCACCAGTCCCGGAGGCAGCGTCGCGGGCGCGTACGTCCACTGCGCCCGTCACCTCGCTCTCCATGCGGCTGGCGGCGCCGCCCGGCCTCAGCTCCGGCGCCACACGCTGGGGGTCAGCCTGGTACTCCAGCACTGCGCGAGCTCCTGGAAGGGAGAGTGGGGAAAGAGGGCCAGCAGGCATGCAGGAGGGTAGGATGGAAGGGTAGTAGGTGGCTGTGCAGAGGGAAGGGGTGAGAGCCGACCCATGGGTCGGTGCCGGCGGTATGTGTGCATGGCTGACGGCAAGCGTACGACAGCTCATTCCGCAGCGGGCATGCATGCATCTGCCTTCCCTGCCACACCAGTGACCCCACAAACCTAGAAACGCACCCTGCGGTGAGATGGTGTTGGGGTCGCGGGACAGCACGCGCTCTGCCTCCGCGGCTAGTTCGTCGGCAGGCGGCTGGCGGCGGCCGCTGCCGACGGCGCCGCCGTCCTCGCCTCGGCTGCTGACGCCGCTGCTGCCAAAGCTGCGGCTGATGAGGGCGCAGGCCCTCGCGCAGCTGACGTCGCCGGCTACGGGTTGCAGTGGGGGCAGTGGCTGTTAAGAACTGTACTACGGAAGTTAGAGATAGAGAGCCACCAGTGGCAGCTCTAGACGTCCCGAATAAGTTGTATGATGCCGGCTAGCAACGGTCAGGCGGACGGCGAAGGGACCAGCAGCGCTTGCGGCAGCGCGACGGTCCCATGGGTTACGTGGCTAGCAGCTCTCGGTACATGTGCTGAACGTTTGCTAAACTACTTCTGCTCCGCAGAGGTTCCTCGGTATTGGATTCTTCTTCTTCTTCTTGTGCTACGCCCACTGGTGAAAGGTGGTGAGCTTCAGGCCCTTTCCTACTTGCCTTGCTTGAGTGTCTTGACAAGTAGTATTGGTCGGATTGATGCCATAGTAACCGCTTGTAGCTTGTTCCTAACTGGCCGGGTGCTGGTGCGAATGGAGTAGGCTTTCGGCGTATGTAAATAATACGATGACGCACGCTTCTACGGCTCCTCAGGTGTCGTGGGTGCAATGGTTACTGGAGATGCGCAATGAAGGCAGCGGAGAGGCTTATACCCGCATGCGAATATTGCATCCTTTAGCAGGCATGACGCAAAGCAAATGGTCTTCACACATGCAAGGACAAGAAGGCAGCCAGTGTGCCGTAGTCGGGAAGCAAACGTCTCCATAGGAGGATGCGGAAAGCATTATAGTGTCAAAGGCTGGCCTTCTACTTGCTTGAACTGGGCTTGCCAGCCACCTGAAGACCTGATCTATACCATTCCGAGCGGCACAGGCAAAGCCGCTAGCCTTCATTCCTGGTATTCAGAGAGAGGTGCAGACCTTATCTACATGGCTGCTGCTTGTATTCCATATTCGGGTAACTGTGGGTAGGATGTTGCACCAGCACTTGCCGGAAGGGTTGGAAGACGTGCGCAACCAACGCAAACATCCCTGATTTTTATTACAACTACACTGAAACGCCGCATTATGGCTGTCAAAAGGTGGGTAATCGCGACGGCTAGACGCGAAAAGTAGTGGTTGACGGGTGCGAGGAACGGTCCCTTCCCCCAGGGTCAGATACTGAAGCTTACCGAGTGCAAGATAATAGGAGCGAACGGCTTTTCTAGAAGCAAAAATTGCAAGGCTTGTTCGGTCATGATTTGGGTCAAAGCATGCGGTAAACGATTTGAAGCATTCATCGAAGACTCTATCCTGTAGAAGCACGTCTAGCCCGTGGGAGGCCTCGAGGTGTAGAAACCATCGCTCCAAAGGTTTCCTCCAAAGACGTACGGCGGCCGGCTACTTGAAATCTGTGCGCAGCTGCTTGACAACAAGCCTTCACAGGCATAAAGGGAAAGTCATAAAGTGCATGATCTTACACGAATTGCAGCTGTTGTTTATTCTGAACCGAATTTATAACCACGGCAAATAACTTAACCGGAACGTTCAGTCGCCTTTGTACCAGCTGGTGAATGCTCTGGGGATCGCCCTTCTTCCAGCCCCCATGTTCCCTGCTGAAGGCCCTGTTGGCAGCGCGCGGGACCCAACTGCTGGTGCACTGCGCGCAAAGACAGCTAATGACAACCGCCGAAAGCAGGTGGGGACGACACAGATCTTGCTAAGTCCTTGGATGAGGAACCCTTATCAGTTCTTCTATGCCCTTTGCAGGAGGGCAACTACGCATCTGCGGGGGTTGCTAGTCAGCTCTACACTAGTAGTAGCAGCAGCAGCAGCGGCTCCATCGCTAACGTGGATGTAAAAGGATTTCAGTTTCCTGCTGGCCTTCTCGACCACTATTTTGTGCGCGATGCGTCCTGCGACGAAGGCTACGATGTGAGTAATCACTTCGCGCCTATTTTCCGGGCACAAGAGACGTCGATGTTTTCCTCACATGGTGATAGAAGGCCAAACGAAGTTTCAAATTGCGCACGCTGCTTATGATCTACCGGGGCGTATGGAATTGGGCTCTAACGCCATTGCCGAGTTACAATGTCTTCACCCTTGGAGGCTCGACCAAACCTTCTAAGGGCATTTACGCATCTCGAGGAACATGCACCTCCGTTACGTCTTAGCAAATGACAGTTTGGATGTATGTGAAGGGAATTACAGGTCGCCGTCTATTACATCACATGTGCACAAATAGCTTTTCCAGCCTGACCCAGATCAAGTTTAGGCTCTTCGGCAACATTCAGCTGTTAGAATGATTGATAGATGGCACAATGGGACCTTAGGGTGTCCTGTTACACATCGACCGGCTTGTTCTTCCCTGTCGCACACTCGCATCACCCTTAACTCTCGAGCACTGCTTTCCTCCACCAGTTCTTCCTCCACCAGTTCTGAACTGACTTCCCAACGCTCGCTGCCTTATGCTGAACTTTGCAGATGGACCTCCGGATCACGCACACAGAGGCGGTGCCTATCCGCGTGCTGCCCCCGCCCAGTCCTTGCGGCAGCTACAGGGGAAGTGTGACCGCGTCGTCCATAGCGCCCTCGGAAGGCGTTGCATCATACCGTCTGGTGAGTTTAAAAGTGGTTGGAGAATAAAAGAGAATAAGCTGTAGAAGCGAGTGGGGCCTTGCTTCCTGCGGCAGCTATGCTTGGGTCTGGCGGGTACTGTGTTTTAACCCACTGTGTTTTAACGTGAGATTCCGTAACCCTCAATACTGCGGTCGTTGGTTCCTTCCGTATGCAGGGTGCCAGCGGGGGCCCCCTCAGTCCAAGTCGCCGTCAGGACCTTACACAAGATCAGCTGCTACAGCTCCTAATGCAGCAGGGGGAGCAGCAGGACGATGATCACGTGTTGGGGCAGGCGCAACGGCTTGCGACCGGAAGGAGGACCCCCGAGCAGCGCCAGGTGTCTCAGAGCATGTCTCAGGCGCGCATGGGCCCCTCGCCAGCAACCTCGGTCCTTGCAAGTAAGTTATTGGGGTGTTGGGGAGAAGGAGAAGGGCAACGCTAGGGAGTGTGCTAGCAGTAGAACACTGATGCGCTTGCCTATATCTCTCCCTGTGAGATACCAATTGGGGCAGATCTGGCCTCCATGTCATCTCGCCTGCTCGCTCATTATGAGTCTAAACGCATCCGTATCCCTTTTCTCCGCTTGTGCCTCCGCAGCCTCGGTCTCGTCACCTCCTGTCACTGGGGACCCTAGCCTTCGCTTTCCCCTGGGGCCAAGCAGCTTCGACGCCACGAGCCGCCTTCGCCTTAGTGAGCAAGGCTCACAGGGCATCGGCCGTTATAGAATGGATGGTTGCGGTGGTAATTCCAGTGAGGCGATGTGGCCACCCCAGCCGTACGGTACCCCGGACTCCCGCAAGAAGGGCCCATCATCAGTCGACCGTGCTCCGCAGACATCTTCAAGGCAGGAGTTGCGCTACAGCACTAGCCGGCTCCCTTCAGCTCCAAAGCCGAAACATGACGTCAGGAAGGGCGAGACAGCCACTACAGAAAATGCCGAGGAGCAGCCATCCACGCCACCGACGGTTCCAATTCCTGAAGCAGCCTCTGCCGTGTACGGCAGCGGTGGCGGCAACCTGGGGCTCCGAGGGGGAACACCACCGCGGGCCACCACAACTGCGACATCTCCTGCCGGTGAGCAACTATCGCAGTGTCGCTCCCAACGGCGGCTGCCGAAGCCTCCGGTTTCGGAGCCTGGGTCGGGTGCGCGTCGGCAAGGCACGAGCAGTCGCATTGGAGCCGGCGTGGCTGCAGCAATGCCAACTACATCGGTAGCAGCGGCTGAGGTGGAGGCTGGTCCGGAGCCTGGCAGCGATGGGGATGATGGTGAAGTGCGGCAGCAAGGATTTGAGCGTCAGGTGCAGGAATCTGGTGCATGGCAACCCGCCGGCAATCCCGGCGACGATGACAGAGGTAGTCAACCATCACCTGCCGGTGACAACTCCCAAGGTGCCGCCGCCAGCCATCTGGGTCGCCCCGACGACAACCCTGCCGCGGCGCACATGAACCAAAGCCCCGCCACGGTCGTGCCTCTTAGTACAGGTCGCAATGCCGGAACGTCCTACTCACGCGACCGGTCCAGCCACATTTCGCGCCTAAGCCATCTGACAACGTCTGGCAAAAGCTCGACTAGCGGCGTCGGCCGGACACCAGGGTTGGCTTCGCCGCTCGGGACGGATGAGCCGGGCAGCCTCAAGCACCGTCGCCAGGGCAGCGCGGACGCAGCGGAGGTCGCGGCGTCGACCAACTCCGACAATCGCAGCGCAACCGCAGTCGCCGACAAGCCAACCGGCGTTTCCCCCACGAGCTCGCCGAATATCGCTTCTCCTAACGGCTGCGGTGATGGCCTGCCGGCAGTTGAGACCCCAGGCAGTAATGCTGGTGCCACGCCTGTCGCAGGCGTTAACGGAGCTGCTGTCGCCATGAACATCCATGCAGCCCTGGGGCCGTACGGCAGCAACCAGGTGGGCGACCTTCCGCACCGCCGTACGGACAGCCCCATGCACTACGAGGTCCACTCGACACCGCAGGGCACCACCGTCACCCTGCTGCATGGCGAAGCCGACAGTCCCTGCCTGACCACAGCCACCTCGGCATCCAACACGGACAGCCACATCGGCAGCTTCCAGCGCTTTGGCAACCCGCTGTACTCCAAGCCCGCTACCGGTGGCGGCGAAGGCGATAGCCATGCTGTCAGAAGCTCTGGTGGTTTCATTGGTACTCTTGGCAGCACTGGGCCCAACTCACGTGGCAAGCTTGGCGGCGGCATCTCCACTCCGGCGTGCAGGATCAGCACCGATAGCGGTCTTAACGCCACATCACCGTCCTCCATCTTTGCTGTCTCCCCCATAGCGTCGGCGATAAGGGCAAGTCCTGGTCAGATAGCTGAGGAGGAGTTGTGGTGCCTCGAGAACGGGGGTGAGGCCAACTGCCCGGATGGCGACGTCACATCGCAACAGCTGCCTCCGTTGCCGGCGGGGCCGCCGCATCCCAGCAGCTCCGCAGGCGGTGTAGCTGAGGCAGAGTTGTGGTATCGTGAGGATGGGTGCCAGGTCGATACCTTGAACGGCGGCGGTGCATCGCAGTTGCCACCGTTGGCGGTGTCGCCACAGCCCAACGGTGCTGCAGACCTCCAGTCCCGCACCCCGTTGGCGTCCTTACTGGCCTCGATGTCGGCCTTTGCTGCTGCGCCAGTACCGGACGAGCAAGAACACGTACTGCAGCAGCCACACGACCAGGAGGTGGAGGCAGAGGTGAAGGCAGAGGCGGAAGCGGGTGATCCAGGGCCTCTACTGACAGGCGGTGATGCGGAGGACGCAGAGTTGGACGTCTTCTCCATGCCCCTTCCCAGTCCTGCTAGCCTTCGGATGATGGACAGCGGCAGCTACGCCCTCAGCCCGCGTCAGGAGCTTGGCGGCAGCAGCCGGCTCAACAGCCCCGCCTGGTGCGCTGGCAGCGTCTGCAGCAGCGGTGGATACGGTAGCTGCGTTTCCGGCGGTAGCGGAGCAGCGGAGGGTCGTGGCGCCGCTGCCGCCGCCGACGTGCAAGCCCTCAATCTGACGGGCCTGCAAGCATCATCGCAGCCCCAGCAGCCTCCGTCTAAGCCGTACGGAAGCATGCAAGCGGGAGCTGCTGCTGTTGGCGATGCTGTAGGTGTCGAGGAACAGCGGGGAGGGTGCGGAGACCAGGCGGAGGTCGAGGTGGCGGACACCGGTGCAGTTGCGTTTGTTCATACCCTCGACATGCCCTTGATCGGTGCCAAGCAGGTCGTGGGCAAGGTGGCCACTGGTGCGGCTAAAACGGAGGGGTCCCATGCGGCAGTACGCCCTGTCACAGCCTCACACAACACCGCTGCTACCACCAGCCGCCTGCCTTCCTACCCTGCTGCTGCAAGCTCCCCAGCAAAGGTAGAGCCCTCCCCGCCTAAGTGGACTGGCACGATGGGTTCAGCACTGCTGCACCGCCGCCTGCGCTTCCAGACGCTGGCCGCCGTACGAGCGGTGGCGTCTGCCACTGCCATGACATCGGTGCGGGCCGCCGAGGGTGAGGAGGCTGCCCTGGAGCTGCTCACCGGAGGGCGGCTGGAAGGCGTCGCTGTTGGAACGGAGCCGGCAGCGACGGAGTCGGCTGTGGTGCCGGCGGTTACCCAGGTTTTCCAGCTGGAGGAAGTACTGCCTGTCGCCACGGCCGAATCCGATGCTCACATTGGTGGCGGGGTTGAGGATTCGGTGGAGGCTACGGACGCGGTGTCGCTGCTACCTGAAGTTGCAGCCACGATTGCCATCACCGCACCAGGTTGCATGCTGGTTACCGGCACCAAGGTCATCAGCGACGAGGGCGCTGCGAAGGCTGAGGCCGTTGATGCGGAGCCGTCTGACTCCGATGTTCTGCTGGCTTCCCCTGATGCTGTGGCGGCCGCTGCCGGGGCTGATGTTAGGGAGGTTGGTGAAGACTCCGCCGTCAGCGCAGCCGAGGGTGATAACGAGGACGAAGACGAGGACGAGGACGAGCCGGCTCCGCCCGGCAGCTGGCTTGCTTTCGGTGCAGGGTTGCTGGGCTGCGTGGCCCTCGCAGGCGCCTCGGCCCTGCGCATGACCGCCACCCAACGCGGCTATGAGCACCAACCCGCAAGCCTGAATACCCAGGTCGACGCCGGTGTCATTGTTGGCCAAGAGGTTTTCCATGGACGGCCGTCGGAGGCGTTTCCGTGGCTGGTTGAGGAGGGGCAACAAGCCCCCTTGTTGCCGCAACAACAACCTGTCGCTTCTCTGGACGTTGTCTTTGCCATGGAGGCTGCTGCGGAGGCGCAAGAGGCTGGCAGCGGCGTCGGTGTGGCCCCGGCTCCCGCAGCTGTTGCAGCGCTGCTGTCGCATCCGCAGTATGCGGGATCGGAGGTTCCGGCCTGGCTGGTTCGTGACCCACGGGTCGTGGCCGACATCGTGGAGGAGCTGTTGGGCGCTGAAGGGCCGTATGCTGAGGTCGAGGCGGAGGTGCAGCAGCCCTGGGAACCCCCGACTGAGACCGCCGCCGAGCCGTTGCCGACACAGCCAAGCTCCGAGGTTGGGTTGGAGGCTGAAGATGCAGTCAGCTTTGGCAATTGGGAGACATCGGTGGAGGCGGTTCAGGAGGCAGCGGCGCTGGAGGAGGCGGCAGTCTCCCCGGTGCAGCCTGAAGAGGAGGCGGTGGATGCGATTCAGGAGGCGGAGGCGCTCGAGGAAGCGCCGCCGCCCGAGGTGCAGGCGGCGGAGGCAATGGTGGATGCGATCGAAGAGAACATGGCGCTGGAAACGCCGGTCTCCGACGTGCAGACTGAGATGGAGGCGGTGGATGTAATTGACGGGAAGGTGGCGAATGAGGAGGCGACGGTCCCCTTTGTAAAGCCCGAGATTGCAAGAGGCGAGGAGGAGCTGGGCGGTATCGGCGAGCCAGTGCTAGTGGAGGAGGAGGAGGCTGAACATGCAGCCGAAGCGGGGCTTGCCGAGGTGGCGGCGGCGGCGGCGGATTTCGAGCAAGACCTCTTCAGCACGGCGGTCGAGAATAGCGCAGAAGCCGTCATGGCTGCTGAAGACTCCGCTGCTGCAGCAGATGCCTCATCATCATCATCAGCAGTACTTACCAGCGAGGTTGCGCCAGCAGCAACGCCAGCCCCTGCTACCAGCCGCCTCTCCACCCTGGCTGCCGGCATCTCGCAGTGGGCGGGTATTGTCCTCGCCCTGGCGGTCTCCACAATCGTGCTCACAATGCTCTGGGCGGGCCGCTCCTTCCGCCGCCGCAACCGCCACCCGGCCGGCTGGAAGTCCGTTTGGGATGTGGGTCCGGCGGCATCCGTGCGGCGCACGCAGGTCGGTGCCAACGGCGCTGCAGCCGCCAGGAACGCTTCCGCCGCTGCGGCGGTGGATGGACCGTACGACGGCGTCGGTTTCATTGGGCAGCCAGATCCCAGCGTAGGCGGCAATGGCATAAGGTACGACGCCTACGGCCCCGCTGCTGCCGGGCCCAGCGGCGTCGGAGGGGACTACTACGGCTACCCTGAGGCTGCTGCACCGGGTGCTGCGGGTATGGGCATGGGTGGGGTTCTTGGTCTGTCGCTTGGCGGCCTGTCAGAGGCCGCTATGGATCACTCCCACATCGACGACTACGACGGTTACGCAAGTCCGGACGAGCACCAACACCACCGCAGCAGCTCCCGCCGCCGTCGCGAGTCGGTCAGCCGCAGCACTCCGGTGCTGGACTTTTACAACCTTCGCAGCGGGCCCCGCGCCCGCATGACTCCGCCGGTGCCGCGCGGCACTCGTACCGGCGGCGGCGTCAGCGGCTGGGGCAGCGCTGTCACCAGCCCCAGGGGCAGCCAGGGTGGGGCGTCAGGGCCGGGTAGCCCAACGGGCAGTGTGAACTTCCGGTACCTCCGGAACCGGGTGGTGTCGTGGGCTGATGACGCGCAGCAGCTGCCGCGAGAGTTACGGCAGCTGATGGCTGATCAGCATTAGGAGCGCGGAAGGAGGGGGGTCCGTAGGGAGGTATACGTTGGATGTGTCGCATGCAGGTGGAAGGGCCTTACGCATGGGGCAGGTGGATAGATGATGAATACCGGTACATGAGATTGTAAGAAGGCAGGCCTCCGCTAAGGACGCTTAGGATAGAATAGGAGGTGTAAATCGTAAGCGCAGAGACGTATGCTGTTTCAAGGGTATGCAGAATTAAGTAAGGGTACTGGTGACGGCGGCGACGTCGTTTGGCAGGGCTGTGTTTTCCTGTGAGAAAGAGGGTGAGGGAGATGCAGTGTGTGCAGTTTTCTGATACATAATTTACAGATGGTGTGTACGGTAACTCGATAGGCTCCTTGCAAGAGCAACATTGCAAAGGAGCCCGGCAGCACTACGTGTTAATGAATTCTAACACGCGAGGCGTTTTGCATGTAGGTTTTGAGGCGTATTCGGTTTCATCTGCGTTACAATGTATCATGTTATGCCATACGTACATATGCATACCTTTTTTAGTGCTGTCCCTGTTTCTAATAGCGAATTCGCAATGCATGTGCTGTGTATGTAGCCGAGATGAGTGCGATGATACTAATGCTCCGTCGCCTGTGATGCGAACGGTAATGGTCACCATGTAATGTACAGCTCTCTCTTACGGGTAATGTACAGCTCTCTCTTACGGGTAATGCACAGAGTAAGTCATTACCAGTTGCACCCTGCGCCCAGCAATGCACAGCTGCGCAAGCTCATTTGACCTCATCATGCCCAACTGTCGCCTTACAACAGCACACTGCACCACTACACAATCAGCAATACACCATTACCGTACCACCGTCCTACCGGCCCCCAACCGCCTCCGCTAGCAGCCTCACTGCGTCCTGCAACCTGCCCCCCGCACGTGCCGACCCTTGACTCCTCACTCCCGACCCGCCGTCACGGGACGCCCCTAACCCCCCCTGCAGCTCGGGTGCTGCTTCCGATGCCCTCGCGGTGCCCGGGCCTTGCCGTATCCTCCCGCCGGCGGCTGCAGATGATGCGTGGGAGCGAGCGGCGCGCGTCCAGGCATCCGTGGCGGCCCGCTGCAACTGCGGCGGCAGGTCTCGCCATTCCGCCAGCAACTCGACGTCCGCTGAGGCTGTGTGCAGTGAGAGAGCCCCAAGGGAGGAGAGGGCCAAATGCGTTGCAGCACGGCGACATAAGAGCATGCAACCGCTCCATGCGCCAATGGAACACGGATGGAACACAGAAGCAGCCAAAGGTGTAAACGACAGCAACTAAAACTGCAAAACGTCCTTCTAGCCTCGCCCGCCGTCCTACAGCCGTCATACCACTCACTCCCGCCCTCAACCCCCACCCCACCCACCCACCGTAACGCCTGGTGAGCTCCCGCAGTGCCGCCGCCACCACTCCCTGCAGCCCCAGCACCGCCCCGTCTCGAGCCGCCGTCAGCATACATCCCGCCGTCAGCGGCCTTCCCCGGTGCTGCCGGCCGCTGTGCCTTCCGCAGCCATCTCGATGCTCGCGGCTGCTGCTGCTGTGGTGTAGCAGGGCCAGGGCGCGTTGGGCCGCCTGCGTCCTAAGCTCCGGAAGCAGCAGTCCCTGGCAGGCCTTGGGGGCGAGGGTAAACGTGCGGGAGCAGGTGGCACCGGTACGGGCACAGTAAGGGTAAAGGGGAAGCTGTGAATATGGCAAATGAAGGTCTAAGCATGCTTGAACGGCCGGCAAACGCGAACCCTCGGCATCTCCGCTGTGCATGGCAGACCATGCCGCCCCCTAATGTAGACCGTACAGTAGACCCCAAGTCCATCCAGCCCTCCTCCTTCCCGCGCCCACACCAGCAGCACTCACCAGCACCACACGCAAGCACAAGCGCAGCTCCCAACACGCCTCACATGCCCCAACCTCCTCCTCCTCCTCCTCCTCCTCCAGCAGAGCTCCGCCGTCCTCTGCGCCAACGCCGCCTCCTTCGCCAACGCCACCTCCTTCGCTGCCGCTGCGGCTGACGCCACTGCCGCCGCTGCCGCCGCCGCCGCTGCCATCGTCTCGTGGGCATCCCTGTTGTGCACCGCCCAGGGGCGCCCATTCGCAGGGCCGTAACGGCGGCAGCTCTGGAAGCAAGCAGGCTGACGCCGACCCCAATGACCCTGATGCCGATGCCGACGCCATTACGGCTGCTGCTCCTGTTCCTCCTGTCGCCTCCGGGCACTGTTGCGTGTGGCTTTGGTGACAGGTATGAAGGTGGTGGTGGTGGTGGTGGTGGTGGCGAGGGTCGTGCAGGTGCCGCAACACCGCCAGCAGCACCTCCGCATCGCAGCCGGGAGCCCGCAGCAGCTGCAGCCGGAGGGCTACCGAGCCCACCGAGCCGCCATGCGGGGGTGACGGCGGCACGGCAGGCCGCAAGTACACGCGCCCATCTTGTCCTGCAGCACCCCCGCTGCTGCTGCTGCTGCTGCTGCTGAAACCCCTGTCGGTCCCATGCATGCCAGCGCCCCACTCACCCCAGCGTGGGGAGCACAGAGCCGAGAAGTACTCGCAACCCGCCGCCAGCACCACTCGGTGTGCTGGGATGAGGACTGTACGACATGCAACGTGGCTGTTGCCGCCGTCTTCAGCATCGCTGGCGTGGCTGTTGTCGTGGCGGCGTTGTTTCTGGCAGGGGTGCAGCTGCAGCAGCAGCGGAGCCGCTAGTACGGCATCTGCAGGCCAGGGGATACCGGTAGCCTGGTTAGGCTCTCTTTCAATGGGGCTATGGCCGACCTCCTGTTCTTCTCCTCCTCCGCCTCCCTCCGCCAGCGGCGGAGGCAGTTCCAGCAGCAGCTCCGAATCCACGACAGGCCAAGCAGGCAGGCGTGCGGAGGAGGGGGAGCAGCTGGCGGTATGGGCGGCAGTAGCGGTGGAGGCAGCACGGGCCAGTCGGTCTTGCTCCTGCGGGCGCTCCAAAAGACAAGGTCGCAGGTTTTTTGCCGGCTGGGGATATATTCAGCCATAAAAGTGTGAGGCTAGGTGGTCCATGCAAAGCATGCTGGCGGAGCTTGGCTGGGCTCTGCTGTGGCTTCCCAGGTCGCTGTGGACACGTCACGTAACGTCTCGCGAGTTCATCGGGAGACGTGACGTGTACAAGGCGACCTGAGCGAACTCATGAACAAAAGCGAACCCGCCCATGACGTACCTCTTCCCAGCGTGACAGGCTGGCCAGCTGCTCCTCCAGGCGCGGGTGCGGGTGCGGGTGTGCCCGGGACCTTGGCGGATGGAGGTGCGACTCTGGTTGGCCCAGAGCCTTGGGAGGGGAGCCGCCACCGTCGCTGCACTCATCACGCGGTTGCATCCTGGAACCGTACGGCAGCGCCGGCGTTGACGGCGTTGACGGCGGCGGAGGAGGCGGCAGCAGCAACAGCTGTCGCGGCAGCAGCGGCGTCAGGTTGGGTGGCTGCGGCGGCGGGCGGCTGCCTGGTTGCGGAGCTGCCGCCCGGACCAGGGCTCTGAGCGCGGGTAGACCCAGCGCAGCAGCCAGGCCCGCTACCTCCCGAGCCGACGCCGCCGTACTGCCGTCGCCGGTGCTAGTAGCAGTATTAGCGGCATTGCCTATGGAGCCGCTGGCAGAGGTGGTGGCGGTGGCGGTGGCGGCGACGGCGGCGGTGGCAGCCATCTCAAGCAGCGGCGGCCCTCCAGCGGTGCGCCGTTGTACGGCAGCGGGTCCGCTGCCCGTGATGTACGACAGGAGAGTTTGGAAGGCCGCCCGGGGAACCTTGGAGCCCATGGGGACCTACGGGAGGTGGGGAAGGGAGTTTACCTGGGATAGCGGTAAGGAGGGTGGTGGAGGTAGACTGCTGTGCAGATGGAGATAGTGGAAGTCATGCGGTCTCCTAGCTACTGCTAGCTAATGGTAAGTGGGCTTCCCAAGGATCGTCCGCTGCGGAGACCCATTGTAGGCCATGACAGTAGACCAAGGCCGGCACATGCCTGAAACTCAAGGAGGCCCCAAGTGAAACCTCCACAACCTTTGCTAGCCTCGCGTACCTGCACGACTCGAGGCCACTCCACAACAGCTACGCTGCCGCCTCTTCTAGAAGCACCACCGCCGCCGCCGCTATCTCCCCCGCCGTCAGCCCCGGCCTCTATCGCCGCCGCCGCCGCCGCTGCTGCCGCTGCCGTACTATCCACCTCCGCCCCCGCCGCCGCCAGCAGTTCCCGCCGCATCCTGGCCGCCAGCAGCGGACACGCAGCTGCCACCAGGGCTGCGGGCGCCGCCACCACGGCAGCCCCCACCCGCCTGCCGTACTCCCCGTCCCTCTCACCGCCGGCGGCGGCGCCGCCGCTGACTTCAGTAGCGCCAAATGTAAACTGCACATCGTCGTATTCTCTGAGTTGGGACGTCGCAAAGGAGCTACAGAGCCCTGTCCAGCCGCTGCCGCCGTTACCTTCGTCACAGCCATGGACCACGGCGCTCAGTTGTCCGAAACACGCGCTCAACAGTACGGCAGCCAGGCACCGAGTCTCGCGACGTACGACATGCCGTACAGCGCAGTACAACGCAGCAGGCGCCGAGATCGCAGCCGCCGGCGCCGCCGGCGGGCGAGGATCGCCATGCTCGTCTGCTGCCGCCGCTGCGTCGCCGTCGCCACCGTTGGAAGCTCCGTCCCCAAATCCGCTCCTTCCTCCCTCATCGTCGCTGTCAAAGCTCTCACTGCCACCGCCGCTGCCGCCGCTCCCAACGCCGCCCCCACCGCCGCCCCCACCGCCGCCCCTACCGCCGCCCCTACCGCCGGTACCGCCGCCGTCATCGCAGCCGCCATCAGGCTCCTCAAGCCCCATGCAGTTGCCACGTCCCACTCCACCAGACTCCGGCTCCCCCAGTCCGACACTCCAGCTACAAAGGGCGGCGCGCAGGGCAGGTGTGCAGGCCACCACCACCGCCACCTCTGCATCCCGGCCTCCCGGCCTGCCGGCGTCGTTGTCACAGGCAGAAGTGGCGATACGTAGCACAGCCGCAAGGCAGGCGTGCAACGCGAGGTCCCAAAGCGGTGACCCGTGGGTCGCTTGGCTCGGATGAGGCGCATGGGTTGACGGAGGCCGAGGCGGAGGCTGGGAAAGCAGCAGCGTCTCGCAACACCGGCACAGCGCGAAGAGCCGTTGCTGCCGCACAGTCCAGTCGCTGCTGCCAGGGTACGACGATGGAGACGCTGATAAGGAGGGAGAAGATACGGAAGACGCCGACATGGAGGAAGGGTCTGCGGCTGTCGGCTCCTGGGGCTGCTGTCCTCGGTGGCCTCTGCCTAACATAACATCGCTGTTGTTGTTGCTGACAAGTCCGGAATCGCAGTGCGGTTTAGATACGCCAGTGGCAGTCGAATCGCCAGCAGCTCCCGTCCCAGTCATCGCAGCCAACAACTGCCGCCCATGCATGCATGCATGCAGGTCGCAAGGGGCCGTGGGGGGGGGGGTAGCGGCAGGGAACACAGGTAGAGAACAGGAGATCTGCGCCAGGGGCCGTGGGCTTCGTCACGTGGAATCCCAATCCTCTCCCTGCCAGTTTTCTTAACACTCCCTGCCATAATCTCCATGCCCCTTCCCGACGCACCTGCAGCCGCCGCAGCAGCCCCTCCTCCGAGGCGAGATGCGCTGCTCCCTCACCCGCGCCCTCGCGTGCGCCTCCGCTGCCGCCACCCATGGGACGGCCCTCGGGAAGGCAAGCCCTGAGCAACGCAAAACGATACGATGGCGAGTAAGGAAGGCACCGGTATGCAAGCCTAAACAGGCGGTTATCAGGGTTAAGCGACAGTGGGTGGGAGGCTGCCTCGCGACGCAGCTTGCTTTGTCGCTACACAACCACCTTTCGTCTCCCCAACTCACCTCTCCGGCCCGCCGCCGCCGCCACCAGCAGCTGCGAAGTGCTGCAGGAGCGACCAGGCAGCTGCCGTACACTGCACCTCCGCCGCCTCCGCCGTCTCTGACTCCACCGCTAACGCCGGCGAGTCGACTGATGCAGGCGTTGGCGCTCCTCGCTCCTTCGCCGCCGCTGCCGCCGCGGTCGCTAGCTTCGCCGCCCGCTGCAGCATGTCAAGTGACGCTGTCGGAGCCAGCAGCCGCAGCAGCAGCCAGGCGGAGGCGACGGAGTGTACGGCAGACTCCTTGTCGCCCCCCCCGCCTCCGCCGCCGCCAGCGCTGCCGTCAGGAAAGGGAAGGGTTGGGGCGACGGAAGGGACGCCGCCGCTACCGTACGCCCTCCCGCCGCCGCCGCCAACCCCGGATGCCGCCAGCAGTGAACGGCAGGCGACGGCCAGTATCGGCGCAAGCGCCTGAGTAGGTGCGGGCGAAACATTTGTTTTCGCCGCAATTTGCCCTTGTCCGTGCCATATTAGTAATTACGTTTCTCAACCGCCCCACATACCGGTAACATATTCCTATGAAGCTACGCTGTGCCCTACAATGCTGAGCTTCCCAGGAACTGACCCCCGGGTCGCTCCGGCCCCACCTGACTCCACAGCGGGCTGCTAGGTGGCTGCCAAGATGCCTCCTTGCTGCCGTACGGTACGGCACGCGGCATCAGCGCCGCCGCCAGTACAGCGAGCAGCGGCATCACCGCCGCCGCCGCCGCAGCTGTCGTCAGCGTCCCATGGGTCACAATGACTCCGCCACTGCCGCTGCCGCCGCTGCTGCCCTTACTTTTGTTTTCGAGGTCTCTCAACGCGAGAGCGTTGCCCCATTCAGCTAGCACCTCTAGGACTGCATGCAGTACGTCGCATCTGCTTGCATGCAGAGCGGCTAGGCAGGAGGAGCAGCAGTGGCGACAGTTGGCATCCCTCCAGAGCCCCGGGTGACATAGCAGGCCGGCGGCAGCAGCGGCGGCGGCGGCAGCAGCAGCGGCGGACGATGATAAGGCCGGCGACGATGTTGACGGTGCAGGGTGGTGGCGTTGGTGGGGTTGCGCGTGACGAGGAAGTCCTTCGGTCACTGAGCTGATGGGGGTGGTTTACAGGCGGGTGCGCGTGCGCGTGCGGGCGTGAGTGTGAGGCAGGCGGCGGTGGGTAAGAGAGGTGGGGAGGGAGTGATAAACACGGGGAGGAGGAAAGCTCCAGCCAGAAAGACACGTGCAGGCAGGACGTACAGGCAGACACTACAGGAGGAGTACCGTAGTGTAGCGCTGCCAAGTTACCTGCCGTCGCCAAAGGGGCGGGTCAGGCTCCCCCGTAAGCACCCCTGCAACGTTCCCAGCATCTTGGCTGCTAGCGTCATGTGGGTTGCTGCAACCGGGTCGCTGCCGCCACTGCTGCCCCGCCCACTGCCACCTTTGCTGCCGCCGCCACCGCTGCTATCGGTCCTGCCGCTGATGACATTGCCATTGCTACTGCTGCTGCAATTGCTGCGGCTGCGGCAATAACCAGTCGAATGAGCATCAACGGCAGCTCCGTGCCGTTGCGGCGGCGGTTGCAGTACGATAGTCCAGAAGCGGCGGTGGTTGGAAAGCAACCGCAGGCACAACAGTGCCAGTTGTTGAGCCTCGATGGCGGCGTTAGCGACGGAATTGGCGGCGGCTGCAGCAGCAACAGATGCGGCAGCAGCAGCAGTGGCACCAGTCGTGCCTCTTGCCGTACTGCGACCGTTAGGGTTCGGTACGGCGGCTGCCGCCGTGGCGACTGTGGTTGCGTCTAGTAGGGCGGGAACCCAGCTGCGCCGGGGGCGGCGCAGGTTGGGGAAGGGACTCAGGATTGGCAGGCGTCACGGTATTTCACAGACAAGTGGCAGAAAGCGTCAACGCAGGGCATCCCTTGTCCCTTTCGTTAGCTGTCGACATGCTCGTATGCTCACTCTTCCCTCAACCCGCCAATAATGCCTCAACACAACATGACACCGTTATTGCCGTATCACGTCAATCAGTGCAATGGGGTTACCTAAGCACATCTACCTTAATCCTCTTCCCTCCTCACCTGTTGCATGCTGCCAGCACTTCCTGTCGCACGACAGCAACCACCAGCAGCAACGAATGAAGCAGCCCCAAGGCAGCCGCCAACAACCCCGGTGGGCCGCCGCCATCCAAGTTTACTGCCGAGGGAACAGTCGCGGCAGCCAATGGCCCCGTAGCCGTTACGCCGCGACTGACGGCCGCCGCAGTCGCGGCGATGCAACACCCCACGTGCGCTCGCAGTCGCTCCGACCCATGGTTCACTCGCCAATGCGGCTGCAATCCCGCGGATCGCCAATGCGGCAGCACCGCCGCTAGCACGGCGACGCTGAGTGCGCCGGTCGTCAAGTGACCCGTGGGTCCTCCGACCCATTCTGCTGAAGACGGCGACGCAGCAACGGAAGATGTCGAGGCTGTGGCTGGTGGCGAGTCCAAGAGAGCTAACAGCAGGGGGCAACACGACGAAGGTAGCAACTGCGGTGCGGCAGGTAAGGGCCCAGTCAGGAAGGTTAGTGCGACGAATGTACGAATGTACGGCACATAGGAGCTGACAACACCCCATGGTCCTGTAAGGCACACCGTACGCTGCCGTACAAGTACCCGCACGCGCCACGCCCAGGCATCGTCCTGGATCCAGCCAAGCCCTGGCATGCACGACAGTACGACAGCCTGTTGTAACCCGACCACCTGGGGCATGAGTGAGGCCAGCTGGGCCACTGCGGGTAGCGCTAGGGAGCGTGCGGGCGGGGCGGCAGTGGGGGCGAGCAGGGCGGAGAGCAGCGGGCCCCAGGGCACCTCCCGAGCCGCGATGTGCCTTGGGATGAGGTTGGGAGGGACAGAGATCAATACCAAATCCACAGGTTAGGGCAAAGCCATTGGGATAGAGGCAGGGAGGGTGAGAGATGTAGAGGGTGGCAGCGGAAACCGATCTGGGCCCGATGGACGAAGCAGAGAAGGGACATGGCTGCGTGCCACTACACATGCCGTACACATGAGGCCTTGTGGCCAGCGTGCGTTCTGCACATTCAAGGCAAGCATAGGCCCCCGGATGTAACCGGCAAATCACCTGCAGCACCTGCGGCCCCAATCCGCGCAATCGCACCCCAGGACTCTCACCCCCACCTCATCTGGGGCTTATGCGCGAGCGCCTTGTTGCCTGCCAGCTGCGCCACCAGGCCTGTCAACCCGCGAGCAGCCTGCAGCTGACAGCTGGGGTCGCGCGAGCCACCCGCGCAGGACTGCACCTCCCAGCGCCGACCAAACTGCTCCAGCTTTTCTCGCATCTGCGTCGCTTCCACATCCTCCTTGCTGGGCTTGGAGTGCTTATTAGATAGTGCATCGCGACCTAGCCTAAGGTGCATACCGGGTAGAATTTGTTAACTATACAGATATAAGTAGATTACTAGATAGCATACGATAAAAGGTTATGCTACGGAACGCCTGTGCAACTGGATCGCGTTCATCATGGCTGAGCAGGATCCTACTTCCTTACAGTTTATTATTACAGAACACAGCGCTGTATGCTATGCAACCTTTTAGTATCGCAGGATACTCTGGGTTGGCTATCTGAAATTCCTAACCGCCGGTGATGACAAATGCCGGACACCACTTCGCGAGGACTGGCTATAGTGGCTATAACTTGGGCTGGCATTGCCTTCACTGTCAGAACATTTAGCTTTCTAAAATCACTATTCGGACAAATACTTAGCAACAATGCGCTACCAGTGTCTTCTGGGAATGCGGTCGCTGACGTCGGCGCTGAGCTCATTCCCCGCAACAGCTGCAGGTGAGGCGTCCCGCCAGTGTCCTTTAAGGCGTGTCAGCGCTCTCACTTCGCCCCTCTCCAGGCTGGGATGCCCTGATCGCTGTGTCGCTGCTTTCTCCGAGAGCAACGTTGCGTCCCGCGGGTCTCTGGCTCTCTTTTACCCTCATCCCTGATCGCCTTCTTGGGCCCAAACAAATAAGCCGTCCAAGCGACACCTGTTTTCCTACTCCCAAGGCTTTAATGCCGCCGAACGGCATCTGACATCATCCTGCTCGCTCCGTCCTTTTCCCTTTCCCTCGCTTTCTCTGCGTCCTTTTCCGCCACACAGAGACCATCTCCGCCGCCCGCAGCAGCAACAGCCGCGCTTCCGCCGCTGCCGCCCCCGAGCTCCTGCTTCGGCACTTCACCGCACGACCCGACACACCCATCACTGTCGCGGAGCATTTCGACCTCGCCGACGATCCGCAGGCGGTGCGTCGCCGAGATGAGCAGCCTGGCAAGCCGGGCAACGAGCGCAGCATTGATACGCCTTCAGAAGATAAGGATCAGCTGAAGCGAGCAGCACAGGAGATCATGTCGGGGCAGGACAATGTTCTTGCGGAAGGTAAGCACTTCCTGGGCTTTGCACTATTACATTTGGACGGTAACGTGCCGCCTGTGCTTGTGATGACATACATAATGCAGCACTGCTGCTGTCGCTGTGCTGGTCGGTGCTTGGGCTGGTCGCCAAGGCGGTCATTAAGTGGATGGAGGCAGGGCGCGCCTTGTCTTGATAACAACTAACCCATGGGTCCCTGTGTCCGTGTTGCGTACCGTCACATGCATGCATCCAGTGCATACCATCAGTCAGCAGATGTATGCGTTCCTCTGTTGCGCAGGCGCGCGGGTGATTGGCGACGCGAGGCTTCAGGAGACCCGACCTGCGCCGCAGGTGTGCGTGTGCCCCTTCGCCGCCCCTGCTTCCGGTATACCGCTACATGGCTACATGGCTCCCGGTTGCCGCTTGCCGCACTTCTGCCTGCCGCACCTGCTGCTACCCCCTAATTCACCTTTCCCCTTTACTCCATTCCTGTCTCCCAAGTAATACCAATGTAACTTTCACCCTAAAGAAATACATCACCTTCGCATGAACACATACACCGCACCCGCCAGGTCCGCCCCCGCGGCGCCGCTGCCAGCCTCCTCAACGACGAGGCGGACGCCGCCCACCTGCGCACCTCCGACTCCGCCACCCCCACCGGCCCCGGCTTTGCGAGCTCCCCGGGCGGTGCGGACGGCATCTCCCACGAGTCCATGACGGCTACCGGGGCCGCGGAGGATGTGGAGATGATGAAGGAGAGGCTGGGCGGGCTGCAGGAGGGGGCGGAGGGAGGCGGCGCGGGGAGAGGCAAGGCGGAGCGGGAGCAGACGGCGACGGCGACGAGGCCGGGAACCACGCCCATGAGCCCTTGAGAGGGGTTGCAGAGGAGTGGGGTTAGGATGGTGAGAGTGTGCGGAAGAGGAGGAAGAGCGCGTTTGGGGATGATGTTTTCAGTGGCATGGTGTTTTCCAGATGTGCATGATGTATCGTCCGGTGATTCTACTGGTTTTGTTGATTCGGTACGGTTGCAGCAGTCAAAGGTACGGTATAGCGGCAGTTAAGACTTGGTTGCAGGTGCAAACACCTTGGCGACCCATGGGTCATGACGTCATGGGAGGAACAAACGGGACAAAGGATGTGTTGGTGTCGGCCGGTATGCTTGTATGACGGACGGACACGCACGCGTGCGGTGCTGCAAGTGCCATACATAACAGCGCATACCGTATTCTTACAGGAGCACATGAAGGCCGCATGCAAACCAGCGTCACCGACAGCGACTATACTACATACATATTCTTGGTTGATGACAACCACAACACCAACAACGCCTGCGCCAACAGTCCATGTTGCGCAGCATCGGCATATAGCATCACTTGTATACCGATACACTGACTTCACAGCCACAACGAGCTACGGGAACAGCGCTTTTACTACGACGCGTCAAGATAACCCCGGCACTGCTCCCTCCTCCATACTCCCAACACATCCTCATACGCGGACGATAGCTTCTTAAACAACGCGACACCAGTCCCCCAATGTATACCCGCACACTTGTGTTCCGCCCCAGATCCGCCCCGGCAGCGGGTCTGTGTTTGGGCCCCTCCCTACCTCCACGGTAGGTGTGGGTGAGACGTCCAAGCTCCAACAGGGATAGTACCGAACTATTATTATATTATATATATTATTATATTAGGGGGCAAGAACTTTCAGCAAGAAGTCTCAAAACCTTTGAAGTTCTAACGCCATATCGAAGACAGACAGACGCCGAGGACTGCATGGCATGAAAGAGGGATACTGGAAGCCTCACCAGAAGGCGTCACCTCATGCCCCCCCCCCACCCACCCAAATGGTGAAGCCCTGTCATACAGCTCGTCAGTTTCCTCGTTTTACTCGCATCACCCCACACCTTGCCTCCTACAGTGGACCAGTCCTGGCCAGGAGACCAAGCCCATGCCAGCCTCCTCATAAACCCACACTTCATAAACCCACACGGTATACTCCATCTTTCCATGTCGTACTCACGTACGGTACGGCAATACCCTTGCACACGCTAGCATTAGTAAGGCCCATAAGCATCAATAAGGCCCATAACCGGCAGGTTGCTGCGAGCTAAAGCCGGCATAGGCCGTCCTAAATATTAGAGGAATCATGCGTAGAGAAATCAAGGGCCCGCTTCCATAAAACCACGACTTAACGGGACCGAAACAAACTATGTTTACCCTGGAAGGTCAGGAAGTTGACCCTACCCAATTAAACAAGTGTGATACACCAACCGTCCCAACCAAAACCCCACACATACAATGCTATCCCAAACCCTGCAGTTTTCCTGACATATCTTTTTTTCTAATGGCACAACACAAATTGTCAGTGCGCACAAGGAAGGGCGCTTCCCACACATTATGCGGATTTTTCTATTTTTTTTCCAAAACGCTGCATGCTGGCAGCCAGCTGCACACATCTCAAACAGTAGCTCCCCTGCCGCAGGCACACCTTGCGCTGTGCACTTAAAGTCAACATGTATTGTGCGCTGTAATCATCAAGTCATTAACCATCAAAACCTTGTCATTAACAGTGGAGGACCGGCTATTATTAGCAAAACACTGGCACCCACACGACATTCTGGCGAATCGCAGACACCACACAGAGATCACGGCATGCGAATCATATCCCATCCTTACCAACCACCGCCAGCACTTGAACTACGAGCATGGAAGGAGTCACGTCGATGCGTGGTCTAGCCGCACGCAACGATATACTGCAGCTCTATCCACGGGGTCAGCATAAAGAGTTAAAAGACTTATCAAGGAATGTAGCCGCATATTATGCGGAGGATTCAAAACCTAATGTACCATAGCACTAAATGCAGGTAAGCCAGCACGGCAAACCTGCCTGCCCTGCATCGACACATTCTGTAAAACGTCTCCAATACACCCGCAGAGACCCATCCAAGCCCGCTCCTTCCTTACCAGCGCACGACCACACAGACACAACACAAAAGCAGCATCCTGCATCCTTTCTCCTTACTGGTATATGCTAAGTAGCAAAACACCATCTCACCATTCACCCTTGCACCAAAACCACAAGCCACGGCGGCCGCTGCTGCGCACTCCTGCCTGCATTCGTTGCGACGGACCCATGGGTCACAGCCCCAACAGCCATCCACCCAGCTCCGGGACAACCACATCTAGCTTCCTCCTCCTCCCTGCCCTCCTGCCAAGCCCTCCCATCCTCCTGCCAAGCCCTCATGCTTGACCCTTGAGACCCAATCGCTCAACACCCCGACGTGCCGCCTCGTCCCAGAGCGTGTTGAAAGCCGCCTTCGCGCGTTTGGCGTAGTCCGATGAGTGCATAATACCCCACAGCGGCGCATCCCCATGTCGCCGCAGGCTCCGGAATGACGACTCCGACACCGGCAGCCCTCGCGCCTCCGCCTCCCCGCCAGCTCCCCCACCCGCCTCACCACCCTCGGCCTTGCCCGAAGCACTCCTCTTCCCCTCCTGACCGCCTCCTTTCCCGCTGCCGCTGATCCGTGCGTCCCCGTTAGACCCCGCCGCGTCCTTCTTCCCACTTCCGCCGGCCGCCTTGCACGCCTTTGTGACGGCGGCTTCAAGCAGCTCCGCCAAACCCAACATGCCCGGGTCGTCCAGGAACTCCTCGGCGTCTGCCAGCGAGTAGCAAGCGCCGGTGGCGAACATGGGCTGGGGCTCAGGCAGGGGGGCACCGTCGCTGCATGCGGCGTTGCGGCGGGTGCTGCCGCTGCGGCTGGTGTTGCGGCTGGTGTTGCGGGTAATATTGCGGCGGCGGGCGCTGGAGGTGGGCAGGATGGTGACGGTGACGTGGGCCTCCGTGACCCGGCCGCCGGGCGACATGTCTGGAGGCGGAGAGGGGGAGGATGAGGGGAAGGAAAGGGAAGGAGGGAAGGGATGGAAAAGGGTGTAGGTAGGTAGGCAGGTACCGGAGGGGAGGGGAGGCGTAACAGGGCGACGACGACGCGATACCACTTCGCAAGCTCGTTTGCCCAAACGTGACACAGATGCAAGGCCCAGGTGCCCAAATACGTAATCGGCTGCCTCGTCCGTCAAAATCCATCCCCTGTCGCCATGCCCCATGCTCCATCCCATACCACCACCATCCCACACCACCACCACCGCGAACAACCGCCCCGTACCTGAACCTGTCACACCAATATCCATGTCCTCCTCCTCCTCCTCCTGCTTGTCCCCCTCATCCTTGTCCTGCAGCTCCTCAGAAGGGTCCGGCCGCCAGCTGCCCCGGCGGCGCTGCCCCGCACCCGCAACCCCACCCCCACCCCCGCCTCCACCCCCACCCCCTGCTGCTGCTGGCATCAGCGCCACCGCCCTGAGGAAGGGGTGGGAGCTGCTATCCGGCAGGCAGCCCCCTACCAGGTGCGCTGCGCCCACCAGCGGGACCGACATCTGCCTGCAGGGGGGGAAAGATTGCGGGGGAAGGGAAGGGGTGTGAGGGTTAAAAAAGAGCACCATGGGTTGCTCCATCCCCATGCACGCATGCATGCACTCTCCCCAACCCAACCCAAACACCACTGCCCCCACCGCCCCCCCCCCCAGCTCACTCCGCAGCAGCCAGCCTCAGACTCCAGCTCCGTGTGAAACACAGCCGCCTGCACGTGTGCCCGTCGAAGAACTCGCTCGCACGCCGCGACGCAGCCCACGCAGCAAACAGCGCATGCGCGCCAGCCCGCGGCGGCGGCAGCCGCCCCGACACCGCCGCCGCCAGCATCATAAGCCCCTCCGAAGGCGCATACCTGCTGCTCCCGCCTCCCCCTCCAAGCGCCCCTCCTCCCCCAAATCCCACTCCTCCTCCGAAACCGCCGTAGAAGCTCGAGGCGGACCCAGACATCATGGATCCCGCTCGCAGCATCGTGAGTTGGCGATCCACTGCAGCCAGGGCAGCGGCGGTGGCGGCGGAGGCGGCGGCTCCGGGCTCCTCGTCGAAGGCACGGAGGGTGAAGGCGAGGGGGCTGATGTCGGGGGTTGTGAGGGGGTGCGGGTCAGACTCGGGGATCCAGCCGGTGTAGGCGTCCGCGAAGGGCTCGCCTGAGGTGGGGTTGGGGTGGGATTGGCGTAGTGGTGGGTAGGTTTTGAGGCAGTGAAGCCTCCAGCGACGCATGGGAAGCCTCCTTGGCTGATGAATGCAGGGACATCACCACAAGGGGCAGGGGCATCGCCGCCAACCGCCACGGCTCCCCTCCCTCTTCCTCCTCCCTCCTGCCTCGTTTCCATCCCCCCTCAGCCCATTTCGAGTAACCCAGTAGTGCCCCCCTCACCGCACCCCCCTCACCGCACCCCCCCTCACCGCACCCCCCCCTCACCGTACACCTCCTGATACAGTCTTGCCGTACTGCCGTACGCCTCCTCCAGCAGCTGCCGGTCCAGATCCAAGTAGGCCGGCCGCCAGCAGTATCCCTCCGCCGCCTCCGCCTCCGTACCACCACCCCCAGCATCTGGGGTTGGGGACGTCGCAGTCTCCTTTTCCTTGCCCGCCTCCTGCCTTCCCCGCCCGAAGAGCTGCCTGCATGTGTGTTCGTACCTGCCGCTCAGCCCCAGGTGCGTGTGCCATATGAGCGCCATGTCGGCTGCGGGCACCAGCAGCGAGTCGGGGTGGGCGGCATGCAGCCGCAGGAAGCGGAGGTACCTGGTGCGGGGGGTTGAAAGATGTGGGGGGCCGGGGGCGGGGCGGGAGGTGAGGTGAGGACGGTGGGAGGCTAGGGAGGGGAGTTGGGAAAACGCGGGTGCTGGCGGTGGTGCGGTACCGCCCCCCGCACATACCCCCACCCCCTCCCCACACCTCATGAAGGGGGGTGATGCCTCGGTATGCAGATTGCGTCAGTTCCTTCCGCTTCACCCACCTCTTTGTTGCCCGCTGCAGAAAGGCCGCATCCAGGTAGTGCGGCCGCAGCCAGGAGTGCAGCAGCCAGGAGCATCGGGACATGGCCTCAGCCTGAAATGGGGCGGTCAGGGATTTAAACCAAACCAGATGAGGGCAGGGCAAGGCAATGAGGATAAGAGAAGAGGGGGCGAGACGGGAAGGATGATGCGCAGTACCGCTTCGGGAGGCAGTTTGTAGATGCCGGCACCAACCCCAGCTTCATCCAACGCACGTACGGCCCCCACACGCACCAGCTGTACGGCCACCATGGGCCTCCTCCTGCCTAGGATGGGTGTGGGGTCGTGTTCGGAGCCGGGTGCGGGCGGTGGCCAGGCGGGTGGTGGGCCCGCCACCTTGCGCCAGGGCTCGGAGGGCTGGCTGCTGAAGGCGAAGGCCTGGGTGCCGTCCGCGGGGTGCAGCACCCGGCCGCAGCGGCGGGCGGTGACCTGCTGGTAGTTGACTGGGAACTGCCTGTGGATGAACCTGCGAGGGGGAGAGGGGGAAAATGGGAAAGGGGGAAAGGGATGAGGGGCGAGGCAGACATGTATGTAGGGCGAGGTTCACGTTTGCCAGGTTTTGTAAAGCTTATCCTGGCTTACGACGCAGAAGGTTGCGACAATATGGTCTAGCATATCCTTTGTAACTGTAACGGGAGTATACTGCCGGACCAGTCTGATATGTCACGACACATGTATGGGCATGGAAGAACCTCACCAGGCCAGGGCGACATCGAGCGGCGGTGGCGTAGACGAACCGTGGTCTTTTAAGACTTTCAGCCAGATGTATTCGTAACGAAGCGCTGCCGTCAAGCCGTAGTACCCACTATACAGACCCCCTGCATCGTTGTAGGCGTGGTTTTAGGACAACGGCGCAAAAGTAGAAGGTAAGCCTGCATTATGGAATAGAGAGATGTACATGCCTCGTGGAAAGACATCCGCCGCGATAAGGAGCCTCAAGACCTCGACCACCTCTAACGCACTCGGTAGCTGTATGTCATCGTCTGGCACCCATTTGTCAGGCTGTGATACATTCATATTAGCTATCAAGAATTCAGTACAAAATTGTATTCTGACAGCGCGGATATCCAGAATGCAGGACCGTAGTTAATCTAGTTATACTTTAGGTAGAAGCTAAGGCCAGGTAGGCACTCGGGAAAGAACAGCGTTTGCATAGATAGAAGCAGCGAAACCACTGTTAGGCAAAGTCTTGGGTACTGGCAGCCTTCCGTAACGATTGTGATACGAATATTTCGGGTACGTCGGCGGAAGTCCTCTCCAAGTCCCTTAGCAGGTCAGCCGGCGGGACTCGCAATCGAATAGTCCCTATTAGAATACTTCAAATGGAAATCGACTGTTTGGGGTTGTGGGGTTCTACCTTTACGAGTTGTTGCGAAGTAAACGGTTGACGCTGAGTCTGTTGAAGGCTCTAAGCCAACGGATGCCAACGCGTTCATAAGCAAGTAGCACAATGCAGAATGCTGTGAGATACGTTCCTTGCAAATTCGTTTAAGGGTTGGTAATGCCTCGGTCACGTACGTGCAACGGCAAAGATCGCTACCCTCTCGACGGGTGCCCGATCATGCTACCTTCTGCAACCCCCATTGTAGATTTCGACTTACAGTGTTACTCTGAATGCTCGCCATTCCAAGTACAATGTATTGCTTCCCTAAGCAGCAGCAGCCGCTGCATGCTTTGCACTTGCCGCCGGCAAGCTGCAGATCCGCCTGCTTCAAAGCAACACCACTACCCATATGAAACCATGGTCAGCAAAAAGCAAAGCGTGCGAACCCAACGTCACAAACATGCATGCGCACGCGCATGCAACCCGCTCTTTGCCCTTACTCCATTCCGCATATCCAACACACATCCCTCCAATTAGCCTACGTTATTTCCGGGGCTTCCCAGTCCAGCAGTACATGTTTCCCGCCAGTCCCCGTCCCATCCCGTTCGTCAACAAGGCAGCACGCAAGTCGCACCACATGCAGCACACGTACCCCAGAGCGTGCGGTCCCCTCCACGATCGCGGATACCAACTCAAGGGAGGTGTCAGTTGTTGCCAGGAAGGAACGTCAAGTCACGCTTCCTCAACTCCCCAACCGCAACAGTGCACACCGCAGCAGGCTCTGCCGAGTCAACCCTCCACTACACAACCCTGTGTACGGCCCAACACCAGCATCAGCAATTGCCGTACAGTTGCCACAGTACATCTGTCCAGCTGTACAGCAAGAGGCACCGCCGTACAACTTGCCCTGCCGGCTGCATCACCATACACGCAACAGTCAGCGGGACCTTCTTTCGGCCCCTGCTGCCCGCCTGCAGTTCAGTCGGGTTGCTCATGTCGTCCAGTACAACACCCATCGCAGAGCCCAGCTCACATGCTGCTAAGCGAACTAGGAAGCACAAAACACGCATATAGAAGTTATGAGTGGGTCATGCTACGTACATGGTGGAATTCCCCTGCATGTCGACAAAGGAAGCCCTGGACAAGCACGCAAGGCTGGAGTCGCCATCCCAAAATTCCCGACTGCTCTTCTGACTGCTCCCGGCTGCTGCCCTCCAATTGCCATCCAATGCCCTATGTGCCTCAGAGTTCCGTAGTCTGCTTTCTTCTGCAGCTGTCAGTTCCACACGACAATAACCACATATTCTCCTTTTATGTGTCACACATACATCCACCACAGCGCCTCAATGGACCCGAATTCCAACACGTTACGGTACAATCAGTCAAGCAGTACTTCAGATGACGACCAAGCATTGACAACCCGTTATGCAAGTCCAAAATCGCTGCTAGCAGCAATACCGGTACACAGTCGCCATAGCGATCCACCTTGCCACATTGCGTGACACACACACACGTCCGACTCGCGGCCAGTTTTCTTAACACGCCCATGCTGCCATACAGCAGCGTCCGCAGGCCATCACACGCCAATTTGAACACGCGTGCTCCACCTCTCCACACGACCATGCAATTAGCCACCTTGCACAGCACAGCAGCGCGCCCCCTTACGAAGCCCACACGTCCTGCATCTGCACGGTCCGGCCCGTGTTGGTGGCCGCCTGCACGTGCATGTAGGAGCCCCGGCCCGCCGCTCCGGGCGGTGTGGAGGAGCGCCGGTTGGGTGGCTGCTGCTGGCCGGGGTGCTGCTGGGAGGAGGGTTGTGAGGAGGGCTGAGACGCGTCCGAAGGCGGGTGGCGTCGGGAGCCCGCGGGTGGCGTCTGCTGGTGCTGCTGGTGGGGTGTGGCGCCACGAGTCGCCTGCGCGAGGCAAGGGGCAATGGTGGCGGGATTGGCGGCGGTTGAAGGGACTACAGTTACCGATATTCACTTCTAGACCTATCACCTAGCACCGGTAACCATTACGTGCATGTGTCCTACAGTCCCAGTCGAGCCCACAGTCCTAACCGCAACAAGGCTGCGTGCGTGCACGACCCCAGCCTTCCAAGGAAGCCAGCTGGCAGCTCCCGCCCCCAACCACCCGCCCCCAACCACCCTCGTACCCACCGGTGTTCCCAGCACCGCCCTGGAGGCCTGCGTGAGCGCCTCCATCTCCGCGGGTGCGGGCACGGGCGCCGCCACCACGCTGAGGGCGCCGCTGGCAGCCGGCAGGGAGGGGCGCGGCTGCAGCACCCGCAGGATGCTGTAGCCCGCAGCCGGCTGCTGCTGCTGCTGCTGTAGGGGAGGCAGGGTGGCAGCCCCGGGCTGCGTGCCGGCGCGCGCGAGCGCCTTGGAAGCGCGGGTGGCGGCCTGTGGGGAAGGGACGGCGCGGGGTGTGTGAAAGGAGCAGTACCGTAGTGGATGAGTCGATTCTGTGCGGCGGCATGTCGAGGAATGGCGTGTACAGACGAGGACGTGCAACCTTAACGGGGTGCCCATGACAATTGGGGGGCCGCTCAGCCTGCAAAACCCTCTGAAACCAACACCACCACCAACAACACCCGAACCACCGAACCCCAGCGCCGAACCGCATCGCAGAACCCCAGCGCAGCGCCCCGTCGCAGCACCCACCTTGAGCTTCAGTTCGTGGTCCGCGCTGCGCTCCAGCTGCGCCTCCAGCTCCCGCTGCTGCGCCATGCGGGCCACCTCGCGCGGGTCCTCCGAAACCAGCCCCGCAGCCACCGATGTCACCACCCGGTAGCCCGCACCCGGTGTCAGCACCGGGCCCTGCGGAACCGGCGGTGAAGAGGAGTACCGAGGTGGCATGGCGCCCGACGCTTCATCTTCTGCATCATCGTCATCAACGCCGTCTGCTTCATCAACGGCAGCTGCATCTTCAGCGACGGCGGCGTCCTCGTCGTACAGGCCCTCGTCGCCGTCGACATCCTCGCCTTCGTACTCCTCACCCACAGCAGTGATGTAGCCGGCGCCCTTTCCAACCACAGCAGCCTCCACAGCTTCCTCGCCCGCCGCCGCCGCCAGAACCTCGCCCGCCGTGGCCCCCGTCGCGGCGGCAGCGTCGGCGGCAACGTCCTGCCGGCTTCCACCCAGGCTGCTGCTGCCCAGCCCACCTCCGGCCCCAGCTGCGGAGGATGAGCTCTGAGACGCGCGGCTGCGGCTGGCTGACAGGCGCCCCGATGGCGGCCTGCTCCCGGACACCTCCAGAGCGCGGCTGGCGGACAGCACTCGTGGCACGGACCGCCTGCTCCCACTACCCGGTGACGCCACCTCCCCGCCAGCGGCCGCAACCTCTCCGCCACCCAGCCCGACGTCCTCCAGCAGCGCTCCCAGGGCTGCCTGTGCGCCCTGCGACAGCCGGGAGGACGTGCGCTGTATGTGCGGCATGCCCAGACCCAAATCGCTAATGTCCGCTCCTCCGCCCATGTCGGCCACGCCTCCAGAACTTCCCGCCACCGCAACGCCGCCGCGACGATCCGACTGTTGCCCGACCGCGGCGCCTCCGACAGAGTCGACCGACCGAAGCGCGTCTGAGCCAGTACCGCCGCCAGCGGAGGAGGATTCGTAGGAGTGCGAGCCGGGACGTCGAGGGCCCAGTGAGGACGAACGACGCATGAGGTCGGAGCCGGCGCTCTGGCGACGTGCCGTACTGTCGCCGTCCACCTCGGCTGTACCCGAGCCAGAGGAGACTCCACGCACGCTGTACGCGGAATGACCGACGGCACCGCCGGAGCTCTGGTAGGGGGAGCCAAGCGGGATGGGCGGTACGCCGCTGCCGAAGGAGGTTTCCAGGTGCAAATCCTCCGAGCGGCGCGCGGGAAGCGGCACCTGCCCGGGTCCATACCCGAACACGTACCCGTTGGGCAGGCCAAAGCTGCCCGGTCCGAGCGCGCTGCCGCCCAGAGACCATGCGGTGGGTTCGTCCGGCAGATCGTGAGAGGCTGGCGTGGGCGGCGGACCGGTGGGGTGGCCATGCAGCCCCACACCACGCGCTCCCAGGCTGGCCAGGGACAGCACGGGGCCGAGGGAGGAGGAACGTGAGGGCGGACGGGGCGCGGAAAGGCTGCCGGCGGAGGCATTCAGCACCGGGAAGGCTGCAAAGCCTGTGGTGGAGGCGGCGGACGCGGACTCCTCGTGTCGAGGGGAGCCCATGGCGGCGAACGGAGTGGTGGCGACGGCGGTCAGCGGGTCCAGCCAGTGTGGCAGCGACGCGACAGCGCTGGCGGCGGCGCTGCCGCTGGCGAGTACGGCAGCGACGGCGGCGGTGGGTGTGGGCAGCCGGCGGTTGCTGGTAACACTGGAGAGGTACCGCGGCCCGCGCATGGAGCTGGGGGTGCGGTAGACAATCTCGCCCTCGGCGTATTCTGTCGAGTACTCGGCACCGGGGTAGTAGGTGTAGGAATCCGCAGCCGACGGCCCGATCGATGCCTCCGACTCTGTGGCCGCACCCTCCTCGCCCTCTCCGGCAGCGGGACGCGGGCTGCCGTCCGCTCCGGAACCGCCAGCGCCGCCGCGGGCAGAGCTGCTTGCGGACTGCCCGCCTGGCGGGACCTGGCCTGGCGCCAGACCGGTCCTTGGAGGCAGGCCCAACTCGGGGAAGATGTCGGAGCTGTAGCGGATATAGCGCCGCTTGGAGCGAGCCGAGGTGTGCTGCCCGTAGGAGCCGCCCGAGGCCTGCGAACCGGAATGCGTGCTGCCCTCCACGCCCTGCTGCTGCTGCTGCTGCTCCTGTGCCTTCTGCGAGCGTAGCCGCTGTTGCGGCGAGCCCGGCTGGCGGCTGCCCCGGCCGCGCTGCTGAGCCGCGCCGCCACTTCGTGAGGTGCCTTTGCCGTGAGTGGCAGGCGAGACCGTCAGGGAGGAGTGCGAGGTGCCCACCAGGTTGGTCACCACCTCGATCTGCTGCATCATGCGGCGGTTGGGCTCGGTGATCGTCTCCCAGTCGCGAATCGTCTGCGCCGCCAGCTGCCCTCGGTAGCCCCGTCGTACCGCCGGTGGTAGGTGTGCACGAACCGCCGCAACGGCACCCGCCGCCGCAGCAACCGCCTCCGCCGCCGTTGTGCTGCTCCCCGTGCGGGGGTGCGGGAATCGTACCTTGCGGGCTGGGGAGGAGCGCGGCGGGGATCCACCGCCGCCGGCGGCGCCAGATGCCGCTCCATGCGACTGTGGCACGCCTGCAACCCATGCCGGTGCCGCGCCACGCAGCTTCCGAGTTCCACTGAGGTCCGTCGCCCATGAAGCCGGCGGGCTGCTGTCAGCTGCGGACACAGCGCCCGTGCTGGCTCCAGTACCCGTGACTCCGCGACTTGACGGAGCGCCCTTGCCCTCGCCGCCGCTGCGGCTAGCGGGCGATGCCGGATCTTCGCTAGGGCTGCCAGTGGCCGGCCCGGCAACCTCCCCAGCCGGCATCCCTGACCTCCCGGGAGAGCGCAGAGGAGACAAGGGCGCTCCGTCTAGGGAGGGCGAGGCGCACGCGGAGAACGACAGGCTGCGTTTTCCCTCCGCCCGGGCAGCTACCGAGGCGGCTGCGGAGGCGGCAGCCGCAGCGGCAGCCGCCACCATGCCTGGCGAGGCGTCCCATGCGAGCCCCAGCGCTATGGGCTGCATGCCGCCCTCCCACCTGATCTGGTAGGGTTCGTTACTGCGGGGCTGGAACAGCGCCACGTGGCCTGGGCCCACAGGCCCATCCTTGTCGCTGGCACCGCCACCGCCCTGTACCGGGCTCCGTGGATGCTGCAGCTGGTGCTGCTGTTGGGACTGCTGCTGTTGTGGTTGGGACTGCTGCTGCAGGTTCTGGTGCTTCTCCTGGATGTGTTCCCGCAGCTGCTCGTTCTGCTGCTTCTGCAGCATGCGCTGCCTGGTGAGCGCCTTGTGCGCCTCCGCCCGCCGAGCCAGCGCATCCACCGTGCAGGCCAGCGGCGCGACGCTTGCATACGCGCGGTCAAGGTACGGCACATGACCGCCTCCCGCCACGCCGCTGCCGGCGCTGCCGCCGATGCTACCCATCCCGCCTGCGCCCACCGCTGATCCTCGGCTGCCGCCACCTGCACTGCCGCCATACGCTGGGTGCGCATGGGGTGCGACGCCGAAGCTCACGGGCTCTAGCGGACCCAGAGCTAGGCTACTCGGGTGCAGCAGCACGGGGCTGGGATCCACCCCGTCCAGCCCACTGACGCCCCCAAGCGTCCCAGCCGGCGAGCGCAGAGACGCCATGTCCGAGATCGCGGTCACCACCGACGCCCCGACCGACGCCCCAGGAGCGCTGGAAGACAGGGATGGTGAGGTACGCCTGGGCGGCGGTGAGAGGGCGCTGTGCTGGTAGACGTCATGGGGCACGGTGCCGGGCCGGCGCTGTGTATCGCGTGGCACGCCGGTGGCTGCCGGGCTTGAGACGCGGTGCAGCACTGCTGTGACGGTGCCTAGGTAGGCGCTGGCGTGACGGGAGACGAGGTGGCGCTCCAGTAGGGGGCTCACAGCGGGAGCTCGGGGGTCTTTGGGACCGCGGGCAGCCGGCAGCTGCGGCGGCAGGAGCATGGAGGTGGAGGCGGGTGCAGGGGCAGTGGCTGGCCGGCCAGGGCTGGGGGAGTCTGAGGAGCCATGACGGGGTGTACGGCTGCGGGTGGTAAGACTGGGAGACAGCGCGGATGCGACGGTGCGATTAGGGCTGGTGCTGGGGGCGGTGGTGGGTGGTCTGCGGGGTGGACGAGGAGGGACGCTGCTGCGCGGCGGTGTCCGCTGTTTGCGCCCCGGGGGCAAAGGAGCGTCGGCATCGCCGGCTTCCGCATCCTCATACACGATAACTGTGTTCAGCTCCTCTTCCTCGTCCATCATTAAATCGTTAATGAGCTTTTGCCCTACGGGCGACCTGCGAAGAGAAAGCAAGCATAGAGGTCTTCAATTATGGCATGGAGGTCGACGGCTTAGAAGTCCCTTCGAGTTGCCCAGCACCGCACCTGGCATCCTTAGCACTGATCATGATTTCTTAGTATTTAATTACTCCCTAAACACCGTTTCATAGCTTCTACTCATTTTCCAAGACGGGTCCTATCCCATCACTTGTCCCAAATGCGCCATGTGGGTCGAACAAAGCCGTTTTGTAAGTAAGATTATCGTGAAGGTAAATACAAAACAAATGGTATTCTTCATCCATGGGAAAACGAAGCGCACCAAAGTAAATCAGTATCAAAGCCCATGGCGGATGTGGCCATTGTACTTAAACGTTTGCAGCATAGCAATGATTAGGAGCGTAAAGGAAAACGATACTCCAAACCTAGCATTTGCTGTCGTACGGCTTTTGCTGGTTTCCGAGAAGGCGCAACTGTTGTCATGAGGCAAAATGTGTATCGCGGCAATTATGTATCCTATAGTAGCTTGCTAGTTAGGCTCCCCTGGGCGTTGCGTTAACCGACCGGGGTTTGCCCTGGAGTGCGTTCACCGGCCTGTAAGCTCTGATCCACATAGGCACGTGCAAAAACCCTAAGTGATGCCATATGTGTCTTAAAATGCAGCTGCTACCGTAAGAATGTGCAGGCGCGCACTGGACGGAGACTAGAAGAAACACATGTGGCATGTCCCAGCTCCTTAGGCCCATCGGATACTGGATAATGTGGGCGTTGGTATATATGCAACTCCCTGGCATGCAAGCGAAACTCAATACTGGCGTCCAGAGAGGGGGGGTTCGCCTGGGACTGTTTTTAGCTCCATTGCGCAGTGAGTCCTGCACTTCTGCTCTCATCCTTTTGACAACATGTTGCCAGCAACTAAGATAAAAATACCATTGGTGCATTGGTGTGTGATATTGCTTCGGTCTCGGAGCTTTCGTCTGACGCTGACACGCAAGCATACTCATCGCACTATGCTGGCTTCTTAAACATATTATGAGGTTTTCGCTACAGAATGCTGTCTTGCAAGTACCCAAATGCAGACGCTTGTCCACAGACATGCATACGCGCAGCCCAAACTATGCGCCGACAGGAGCTGCCGGTCCTGCAAAGTCTTGTTAGCACTGCGTCATGGATCAGGCCTTAAAAGTAGCCCTACACACGCCTCTCAATTGGCAGCGCCTGCTGGTAGCCTTCCGGCTGAGCATGTTCATGCGCTTTCCAATTCTCCAAGCCCCATACTTCATCAAGAACATAGATACAGTGTGCGTGAGGACAGCACATGGCCCTGCCATGGACAAGTTCAGTTGCATGCCCCATCAAAAGAAGCCGCAGCAGCGCTGCTGAAAGCTGTGGCAGAGCCGCTAGTACGGACGCATCGGTGGTTGCGCCTTGGCGGGGGCCTCAACCACTTGCTCCTGTATGAGCTGTTGAAAGTCTTCGTGGCCTATGGTGGAGAACGCGAACTCATCCTTGCAAGCTCCGAAGAGCTTGACTGGTCTTTGCCGTACCAAGCCTGGTCAAATGGCTCCGCCGGCAACGGAAGCAACTCCCGTCCCGGTGAGGACGAGCGCAACGATGGCCACGGCGACGGCAGCAGCAGACGCAACAGCCAGGAACACGACACATTAAGACAGCAACAACGACTACATCACCTGCAGCAGCACCACCAGCAGCCTGGCTTTCTGTTGTTGCGCAGCCAGCCCCAAGACCATGCGCGCACGCAGGGCGCCGCTTCCACGTTGCATGCAATCGCAAGCGGCGCTTGTCGTCCGGTGTTGGTGGTTGAGATGTACGACAGTTGCGGTAGCGGCGGAGTCACTGGCGGAGAAGGTGATGCGGATGCAGCTAATGCTGCCAGGTGTCGGCTGTTGGCGCGTATGATGGAGGCCGCAACGCATGCAGCAGCAGCAGCAGCTACTGCTACTGCTTCTGCTGCTCACAGTGCGGCCGCTGCTACGACGCCATCCGCTCCTCAGCATCAGGTCGCGACCAGTCATCAGCAGGATGACAGCGGGGGTAGCGATGCACGTGATAATGTTGGGAGGAGCGGGAGCACTGCTAGCAGCAGCAGCAGCAGGTATGGCAGCAGCACGGTAGCCGCCACTGCGTCGCCGGTAATGGTCTGGGGGCTCCTGACAAGTGTACGGACATGGGACTTTTACTGTGTACGGCAGGTGTGTTGTACGACACAGCCGTCATCTGCCGTAACTGGTACGGCAAACAGCAACAGCGGACCGGGTATGGTTTACAGTGATGCTGCGGCACAGTTTCAGCTGTTCAGATCCCAGGAGCTCAGCCTTTCGAACGATGGTATGTCGGAATGGCCAGGGCTAGTGCCGGCGCTTGCAGCTCTGTACGGCATCATCTGTACGTCTGAAGGTCTAACTGTACGACAACACACCCAGCCACATTGTACGACAAGACCGTACGACACGCAGTACGGCTCCGACACCTCCCGCGACAGCCTAATGCGGCTGCACCTTAACATGGCTGCTAGTTCGTACGGCAAGCCGCTGTACGGAGCGGAGAAGGATTGGGTACGACAACGCTTGGACGAGTACGAGATCAGTAGGGGGCGGTTTCGCACTAGCCAGGAAGCGAGCTGTGCTACGGAAACGGGGACGCTATCGGCGATAAGAGCAGCAAAGGCAGCGGCCACAGCGTCACCAGTTGCCCCGGCGGTTGCCACCAAAGCTGCTGCTGCTGCTGCTGTGGATGGCGCAGCAGCAGCAGCGGAAACGGAGACCGCTTCCGCTGACGGGGCAGGCGCACTGGCGGCTGCGGCAGCGGTTGCGGCTGCTGTACAGGTGGTAGGAGGCAGTGGGGTGTGGGATACGACTGTAGCCACGAAGACACAAGGAGGGGCTCAGGGTCGTGCGAATCACCTGGCAGCGACAGGGGCCATCACCTCGCATGCGGAGAATGCGCCAGTGACAGCTGCTGTGGCGTGTTGTCCGGATGTCGTGCAAGCAGCTACACCGCCGGCAGCCCTCACGAGACCGGCAACAGGAGTGGAGGCGGGGATAGCAGCAGTGGACGCTGGACGTGAGAGGCAGGCAACGGGTGCAGCGGAGGCAGAGACGGAGGTGCCTGTTGCCGCTGCTGCTGCTGCCGCTGCTAGTACCAACTCTCATGACGCACACTCTGCATCCGCCGCCGCCGTCGCCGCCTCTGCTGCTGCTGGGTACGCTACTGAGCGGCGGCTTGCGGAGATACGCGAGCAGCTGGCTGGGACGCGGGAGCGGGCGGCGAGGCTCCGTGCCAGAGCGATGGGTGCGCCGGGTGCTGGCGGTGGCGGTGGGTGTGGTAGCACTGGTGGGGTCGGCGGTAGTGGTGGTGCTGGTGGTGAATGAATGAATGAGTGGATGAGTGTGTGACCGCTGATGTTAGCGACGGCCGTAATTTTGATGCCGGTAGGATTTGCGGTGTTGAGGGAGGTACTGGAGTAGTACGGCAGTCGAGGAAGGGGAGTCAAGCAGGTGTGGGGAATGCGGGACACAACCTGCAAGTGATTATGTACGGACGTGCGGTGTTGCAAGTTGTTGAGGGGCATGGGCTGATGGGGCGTCTGGGTGGCTGATACGTGATACCCTGTGCGATTACACAAGGGCGATACTTGCATGCATGAATGCAATGAGTAAGAATGCTGAAATGCAAAGAGGTGTTGGGGCATGGTGATAAACTCCATTGCATGCAATGTACCGTATACTTGAGTGTCCTTACTGGCCATGGAATTGTCTAAAGCTGTGTTATCGGCTGGTAAAGTCCCTGCTGAGTTGGCTTCTCTCGTAACCGCGCTCTGCAGTTCTACGTTATGATGGTGACCCTTGGGTCGTGTTTAGCACCGCGTGGAGTGGTTGTTACGCCTTTACGACGTACAAACATTGTTATCGCGTGACAGTTATGTGCTGCTGTGCTGCCTGCATGTGTGTCTGATTCCTCGGCTGCTCGTTGCCTAGCATAGGGTTTGCGAGCCCAGAGCTTCATCATCGAGCTTTGTACGGGAAACGAGGAGCACACTGCGTGTTAAAATGACAAAGCGAGGGACAGCTTGCTCGCACAGCAGAGCGAAACGCATGACGATACCATCACTTCCTATTTGAAGCTTCATGCAGTGCAAAATTGGTCAATACTGTCTGCGTAAGTGGATTGGGCCGTGGCCCAGGCGTCCTGCAGACGGATGCATTGCTCCAGCCATGCATGGAGTCCAACGTCCAGCAGCAGTAAGCCAGCATACCAAGCCATTGTGACAGTCCGCAACCCATGCAAGTTTACCAACGAACAAAACTAACCGCTCGGATAATAACCGCACGTAGTAGACGGTCATTAACGACGTCGTCCTTCGCAGGGACGGTAACAACTCGCGTTATAGGGAATGGCGACGGTATCTAATCATACCAAGCTCGTGACACATGGCTGCAAGTGACCCGTGGGTCAGCCACGAAAGGGTCCGGACTAAACACGATACACAAAACACAATGCTTACACAATGCCATTACTCTAGGGCTACCTCATGATAGTCGTGGCGCGGCCTGAGTCCCCAGACTGCCGTTTCACACAGAGCCCATGCCCACAGAACATGCACCGCAGCGCACCTCAGCCATCGCATCGCCTCCCCTTCCTCGCCTCCCTCCTGCGCCGCCCCATGGCCCCTCATACCGCCTTCCGGATGTTATTATTACCAGTAGTGCCCCCCGGACCACCCACGAAGCGCGTCACAAACCGCCCCACCTCCGGCACACCCGCACTCGCCGAATCACTGCCGCTACGCAAGCTGCTGCTGGATCCAGATCCAGATCCAGATCCTCCGATGTTGGTTTCGGAGGCCGGCCAGTTTGGCACCTGCCCCATGCCGCCGCGTGCCGCGTCTGCAAGCGCCGCATCCATCCACTTGGCTCGGTCCATCAGCCAGGTGCGCAGCTGAGCTACCTCGTACTGCCATTGCTCCAGGTGGGTGGTAAAGAAGGGAGTGTCGAACACGTTTCGCCAGCGCCTGAGGAGGGGCGAGCGAGGAGGGAAGGGTGGCGGTGGTGGTAAGGGGAGCGGGTGGTGGTCGTCAGCGGATGCATGGAAAGGGTTAAGCATAAGCGAGTCGTGGGGCCTTTCTTTGCCAGTGTCCTCACCAACGTCAGCGTCATTGCGCTTTAACCCCGCTGTGACCCATGGGTCACACCATCCACATATCCGTCATCCCTCTCTCACTTGTAGTTCCTCATGGCTGCGTCCTTGATGAGGTCGACCTGCGCCGCCAGCATGCCCCTCAGCACGCCGTCCGACAGCGGCCCAGAGCGCAGCTGCTGCCAGCGCTGAGCGGCAGCCGACCGCACGGAGGAATCCTGGGAGGGCGCGCGGTTGGGGTGCGGGGGTGAAAGAAATACCAAAATGCGAGTGAGGGCAAGGTAAAGGAGATAGGAGAAGACAGGGAGTGTGTGGGCATGCGGTCTTCATCAGCAGATGTTTGCTATGTTAGGCCTATGGGTGTTAAGGCCCATTTGTGGACTGCAAGTGAGCCGCTGAGCCTATGGAGGCGGGTGTACTGTGTTGGGTTCCCACACCCTCCCAGCAGCGGGTTTACGCAACGCACACGCCTACCCGCCATGCCGCTCGGTAGTACTGCGAGATGCCATCCAGTGGATCCTCTCGGCACCTGGGAGCCGTGGTGATGCAAGAGGGCCGGCACGAGGTGCAAGGAGGCGGGATGTTGTTACCTTGTTAGGCGACTGGGGCACGACCCTATCCAGTCAGTTTGCACAGTAGCGACCTCATCCGACTTCTCCAGACGGTCACCTAGAAGGGCCCTTCAGGCCCTTCAGTGCAGCAGCTACCGGTACGGTACTTCTCCCGTATGCTGCCGTACGCGACGCGACGTTTGTTTCCCCGCCCTGCTGCTGCTCACCTCTCGGGTTGGTCGCAGATGTTGAAGCGCCAGCCCTCAGGGCTGATAGCGCTACCGCCGCTGCTGCCCGTGCTCACGCCGTTCCTGCAGGCATGCATGGGGCCATGCATGGGGACAAACGATGTTGAAGCCGTTACAAGGCTTTTTGCGGATTCAGGTAAGGACGAGCCGGCGTGGCCTGGGGTCGCGTTCCCTTTCCAAGCAAGATGAGCTGCGCTGCAGCCCCCTGGGCCTCCTCATTGCATGTACGGTTTGGGTGTGTGAGCATGTATGGGTGTGCAAGACCACGGCAGCCTTGTTCCTCTGGACTCCTGTCACACCTGTCAAAGCCCGCAATGGGGTAGCCGCAGCACACGCCAAACGCCTCGTTGTAATCCTGCAGCCAGCAGCAACGGCGAATGTGCAGCAAAACGATCTGCCAGGTGGTGATTTCCGATAGTGTACGGCACATGCTGCAGCAGCCGGATCACCCTCATTGCCCTAAGCACTGCTGCAGCTCAGCAGCAACTCTTTGTCACTCTTCGCCAAGGGCCCTACCCGATACCTCAGCACCCATGCCAGGTGGGTTCATGACGCATCACGGCACATCCGCAACCCACCACCGCGCAGCACCCACCCAAGGCGGGCCGAACTCGATGGGTGATCCAGCGTTCTTGCTCATGTAGACAGAGCCCCGATAGCCGTCGGGATTCTTGTAAAACTCCGTGGCAATCCAGTAGTCGAGGAATGAGCCAACCTGGATGCATGCATGGAGGAAAGTACATGTAGAGAAGAGGGAGAAGACGTGGAATTTGTGACCAAATTCAGGTCGTACGGTTAGGGAGGACTTACGCAGGGGAGGGCAGTGGCTTATGTTACCCCGGTCGATGTTGGCAACCTAGAGCAGTATACGGTAGCCAAGGAATTGAACGGCAGTACGTGCAGGGAGAGGTCTGTGCGTCTGTCTTCACACCTACATCCCACTCACCTCCACCAACTCCCGCCAGCCGCCGCCAGCCTGAGGTGGTCCGCCCGGGGCGCCCACTGCTGCCGCCTTGGTTGGGCCGTTGGGACCGTTGGGGTAGCCGGCACTCAGCCCCTTCGATAGCAGCGGCAGCAGGAGCACCGGTTTTACCAGCAGCAGCAGCGACAACCGTGTTGAAAGTATGTAGATGCTTCGGGTTTTACCACGGCTACCAGGCAAGCAGACTCCATGTCAACACTGTCCAGCAAGTGAGGAAAGGAGGCTCAAAGTGCATCTAGTGCTGATATACCCGACAGGCCCATAGCGGTAGCCCAACCTGTCCCCATCCATGTCTTCCTTTCAACCCTCCACACCCCCTCTGCCTCACCAGCAGCCGTATCGCGCCCGCCTTCGCTCGGAGCGCGGATTGCCCCGGGAAGCCGCTCAGCAGCGAGGACTCGAACTGGTTCACATAGGCGCCTATCCATTCCAGCGCCGCCTTCTCCTTGGGCGTGGGATGCGGCGCTCCGGCTCCCTTAAGCGGTAGGTCGTCGAAGGTGGGTGCATGCATGACGAATGTTAGCAGGGAGGTTGCGGGGCGGAAGACCAGGTCGTTGGGGTCGATGTTGTCGTTCTCGTAACCGAGGACGTAACCGCCTGGTGGTTGCGTGGGTTTGGCGGTTGACGGTTGGCGGTTGCGGTTGTCGGTTGGAGGTTTGGAAAACGCAGGCAGCAACAGGAAACCGGATGAGGAGGAATGGCCGGTGTCCTGGTGTGGCAGAGCTAACCCAACCTGCCTGCCTACCTACGCCCACAATCCGCAGCTCCCAGTAGCCCCCACCCAGTAGCCTCGTCATACAGTTCGTCAGTTTTCCTTAATTCGCCCCACCTGAGAGGTCCTTGTCTGGATCCATGCGCCGCACATTGACACGGTTGGGGCCCACGGTGACCCGCTCCGTCGCAATGAAGAGCCCCACATAGTTGGACGAGGTCACTGAAGTCGAACCGTCATCCAACAGGAACACCTCACAGTAACGTGTGCGGGGCGCCCAGCGCCCCATGCGGCGGTAGATGCCGTACGCCAGCACGTTGCGCATGCCCATGGTTTTGTCGGTTTCGGGGCCGTATAGGGCCCACTCATCGTCCGCGGGCATGCCCAGGAGTGGGACCTGATGTTTTGGTGGTCGCATGGGTACGTGTACGACGGTTAGCAGTGAGAACGGGCTACGTCAGGGTGTATTTACGTATGGCTAGCTGGAGGGAGTGTCAAAGTAGGGGTTACAGAGTAGCGAAGACTGCTAATAGCACAGCCCCGAGAACAGTACCGGAACTCAGGGGAGCCCCTTCCTGCACCCAGCGACGCACCCAAACTAGCGCGTTCCATTCTGTCGCACGATATGTCAAGCACGCTTTGTGTCATGACGGACCAGCAGCCTACCATGAGTCGTGAGGAGCCGCCGGAGCTGCTGCGACTGCGGAACTTCAGGTTGTAGCTCTTCTTGCTGTTGTGGGTGGATGAGCTGCCTCGGATCTTGATCTGCACTTCCGTGTTAATGTCCTGGTAGGGCTGGCCGTCCTGACTGCCGCCGGAGGGGCTGCGGAGGGGGTTAAAGATATACCAGAACCACAGGTTAGGGGTGGCAGGGGTGGTTGGCAGTGGCGGTGGAGGGACGGGGGTTGGTAAGAAGAGGATAAGTAGGAATCTCATGGCAATGCAGGTTTGGACCCTAAGCTGCCCGTCCATGCGAACTCCTTGCAATGCGGGCAACATGCTTCAATCCGGATGGCAGCCCCAAGCGGAACTTATATCGACTTTGCAAAGGTATGGAGGTCCTTTCTTGCTGCTGTTATTTACGGGCATGTTCTGCCACTCTCCTCACCTGCATGTGCAAATGCTGGCCTTTACGAAGCTCTGTTTGGATGATATCTTGGTGCCATGTGTGTCAATCAGCACCAGCGGTAGGTTACTGCTGAAACCAACCGACCCACTGGTCAGACGCGAGCAGCAGTCTCCAGCGCCACCGCCGCCGCTGCCTGACTCCAAAAGCCTGCGGCTGTGATTACGACTGAGGCTGAGGCTGTGACCGGCAACTTCACTGGCATGGTAGCCGCTGTCAGCTAGGGCAGTGGAGTTGGTCGCAAACACAATGGATTCAGCCTGGAAGTGGGGCACTTGCGGCGGTCCTGCCGCCAGCGCTATAGGGCCCACATGTGGTGAAAATTGGTGGTCTTGGGCGAGTAGATGGCGTCGACCAAGTTTTGGTGACCCACGGGTCATCATGCCTTGCGCGGCCCCGGACACGTAACGGCTGGTGGCAAGCCGGGCGTGCTTGCCTCTGGGGACGGTGGCTGTGGCAGAGGTCATGTGGAGTGCTAGGAGTAATAAGGACAGTAGAGCTAGTGTCGCCAAGGCAGCTGCATGGGTTCGGAATCGCAAACGGGGGCTGCTGGGAGCACGAGTGTTGTTGCTGCGGTTACTGCAGTTACCGGCGGGCCGAGAGGGTTGCGGAGCCGCCGCGACCGCAGACTCCGGATCCGCTAAGGGTGGCTGCGCAACGCAGCATGCCTTGCGATGTCGCGCTGAATGCATCGTGGTAGCTATCGGTACGTCCTCAATCAAGTCTTGCCAGTCCAAGTAGCCTTTTGCACTGCGCCCGTATCTGCTATGTTCAGATGCAGCAGCCTTCACCGGTTGCTTGATGCGCCCGAGTGGGCCCTCAGAAGCAAAAGAGTATCGGTCGGGAGGTATGCGGAGTATGCTACTTGCTTGAGCTGAACCGGTATAGCATTAAATCCAAAGCGTGACGGAAAACAGAAGCACTTGCACGCATGCACGAACACTTGGGTAGCCGAGGAAGCGGTCGGCTGCGTACGAAGTTTGATGGGTACCGTACATTTGACAGAGGGGCACACTTCGCCTGGACTGACTGATAGCAGCACCTCACCTATCCAAAACAGTGCATCCTGCTTCGCCATACGAAGATACGATGCTCCTCAAACCTCTAGCAAGACGTGCGAGACCCATGAAACCATCTCACATCAAAGCAAATGGATAGCGGAATCCATATATGAAACACCTGCCTCCAAGCACGTACGCGCGGCCGCGAACTATCATTCACCATTACTCTACACCATTATCAATACGCTAAACATGTTATACGGTAGTAGTTCTACCATAAACGTCCTCATCATAGCCACACACCAACCTGCTAAACAACCGTAGCGACGCTCAGGCTAGCAACGTCGTTCAGCCGCACACAAACTTCCGCGCAAACAGCAGGTACCCCGTATGCCCGCGCGCCTCCATCGCCGGCCGGAAGCTCACGATCCGCGTCATCGTCGCCGGCCCACTCCGCAACCCGCCTTGTTGCCGCCCCTGTGCCCTCTGCTGCTGCTGCTGTTGCCCCTCTTGCTGCCGTGCGTCGCTGCCAGGCTGCGCCTCTCCCTCAGCCCCCGTCGCTGCCCCCGTCTCGCCGCTGCTGCCAGCAACGTCCCCACCAGTACCCGACCCAGCCGCCTCCGCCGTCTCCCCTTGCGCTCCCTCCGAAGCAACCTGCGCCTCTGCCCCTGCTGCAGGCGCAGCTGGTTCGGCGCTGGGGGCTGCTTCGCTCGCGTCCTGCTTTGAAGCATCCTCAGCGGCTGCCGCCGTCGCCTCCGCAGCTTGCGCAACCGGCTCTGCCGGTTTGGCGTGCGCGGGGTTGGGCCGTGGGCGCTTGGGTGCGGGGCCCTCTGCCAGCTGGATCGTGGTGGCTAGGGTTTCCCGGTGAACCTGGAGGTGGTGGCAGGGAGGACAATGCGCGCGTGCGGCTTAACAATTTGGTCCATCAAGCGAACCGCAAATTTCATTGGGCAGCAAATAAAGTGCAGCACGTACGGAAAGCACAAGAAACCGGAATCCGCAGCTTGCAGATTGACGCACCAATGCCATCAGCAGGCCTATGCTCCTCTCTCTCCCGCCCTCACCTCGTACTCCCGAAGCAAGCACTCGTAGGTGATGATGTCCGTGAAGCCGGCTGCCGACAGCGCCTCAGCCGTCTTCTGCACCTGCTCGATGCAGGGGCTGAAGGCGCAGAAGCGGCCGTTGGGCCTCAGGCAGGCGGCGGCGCTGGGAACCACCTTGTGGGGGCCGGGGAGGTCCAGGAAGATGGCGTCGGCGGCGCCCTGTAAGTGGGTCAGGGGTGCGGAGGTAAGGATTAGGGATTAAGTTGGAAGTGCGACTGGTCTAGGTTGGGTTGTGGGTTGTTACATGCACCTCGGTGCCCGTGTTGCATTTATTGCAATGGTGAAAGCGTCGACAACAATGACTCCAGGAGCGTCATTAATACGCTACCTGATGAGGCAGCGAAACCTCTCGTGGGAAGCGGCCCGAACGCGCGTGTCTAGTCGGGTGTCACACCACCGGTGGCTGCATCAATTGCACCTTCCCGCCCGCCATGCCCCCACCCACATGCAGGGTCTCCAGGAAGCCCTGCTCCTCGATGTTCCGCTGCCGCACCGTCACCAGCTGCGACAGGCCGTGCTGCTTGAACTCCGCAGCAGCGTCCTCTGCGCATGGGTTGGGGGGGGGGGTAGCGGGTTTGGAGCGAGGAGTTGGAGGGGGTCGTCCTGCAGCAGCTGCATAACGAAGATGACATGGAAAACGACATCTGTGTGACGCTCAGTGGACGCGATATAGACACCTGTGCCGCCTCCTACCCCCTTCCCTCCCGTTGCCCCTGCATGGCCCCTCAGCGGCCTGAATACTCACCTCCCAAAGCACACCCTCACGCTCATCCTCACCTGCTCTCCCTGCATGGAACTCAAAGGTGTGCACGTGCCCTGTTGGCGCCACCGCCCGCACCAGAGAGTGCGTCAGACTGCCGCTGCCGGTGCCGCTCTCCAGCACCACACTGCCTGCGTGCGGGAGAGGTAAGACACATGAGGTAAGAAACATGCAGCAATGCCATGTCCGGAACGAGGAGCAGAAGCCTTTTGGGTCGGCTTCTGGGCGCCGGTCGCCGGTCGCAGACATCACGCCGCTCTACGTCCGCCTCTGCCCCCTTCGCGTTCCCGTGGTGTATCTCCATCCATCCCTCCCACCTGGTCGCAGGTCCAGCTGCATGACAATCATGCTGATGTCAGCAAGGTAGAGGATCTGGGTCCTGTTGGGTTGGGGGTTGGGGGAATTGGAAGAGGGTTAGGGGAAGGAGCAGGGTTTACATGAAAGGCATGCATGGAAGCGGGACGCCCAGGCTCAGCTGGGGTAGGTGGTCACCTAGACGTACAATGGGCATGACGCACAGTCATGCCAAAGAGCACATGCTTATTCGCTGGAAGGGAGGAAAGGCACGCGTGCGCCTGTGTGCATGCAGCCGCCGCTCACCTGTGGCGCAGCACTTGCGTCCAGAGCTCCGGAGTGGGCCGCAAGAGGTACACCCAGCCGCCACCGCCCGCGTCGGCCGTGACTTTGATGCCAAAGGGCTTCCCAATCCAGGACTGCGGTGTGAGGAAGGTGGCAGTGCGGTTGGGGTTGTGGGGCATATGGTGGAGGTATATAGGGGTTATGTTCCACTCTGGAGTTTGGGGTGACTGGTCAAGAGACGCAGGCTGAGCGGAAACTCAGCGCCGACTGGGCTGTTGGGCATAAGGGATCGCTAGGACGCCGCCTGCCCATCCCCCCGGCGGTTGAGTTAGGGAGACACCCGTGGGGAAAAGCTTTACAATACCAAAATTCCCGACTATAAAGCTATATAAGCATATTCCCGATGCGTAAACCAAAAACCCCAGCGTAAAAGAGGTGTTGTGCGTGAATTGTCCGCCGCCATCCGCTTTGCAGCACCTACCTGGTGCTTGAAAACCCCAAAACGGTTCTCAAACCGGCCTTTGGCTGTGATGTACACCGCTTTCATAGAGTTGACGCCCTCATAAACGATCACGCAGTCCCCCTCCTTTATCAGGCATGGCCCTGAAGTCGACGCCCCATCAGCAGACAAGCGTGTTGACGCAAGAAAGTTCATTCTACTCGTTACTCAATATCAAAAAGGGCAAGGCACGTCTACAGCAATCAAGCACCAACACGTCGCAATCAACCATACACAGATCCAAGTTGTGTATAATGAGCCAGTCTGTACAGGCTTGGCAAAGTGATGTAAACTCGGAACGATTAAGCAGGCATAGGGCATGGAGGGCAGGTGTACGGCAACTTAGACTGAAAGCTTTGGGACGGGACGGTCAACAACACGAAAACAAAGATATTATGACTTTTGGGTAACTATGTTCGTAAGCCTTAACACGTTTAACTATGCGCTTACTAGCAAGAACTAAAGATGGTCACGCACTCATGTGAAGGATAAGATAGCTACAGAGTCTTGACCTTTTAGCCATGGATTGGGATGATTCACACGTCTATGGCTTGGGCAAAAGGTATGCCATCAAGTTACGTAGGCACATGCAAGGCGTCGACTGGCGATGCTTACGCAATATGCTATCAATTCTACAGGCCCGTCAAGCAAACTCTGGAAAAGAAGATGCAGATTCCGGCGAAGGTGCAGGTATGGCTGTGGTATCCCCCGCTGCAACGTCCGCGGAATTATGAGCTCTTGTGACTTACAACCTCTCCCGATGGGGCAGGTTAAACTGCCCAAGTCGCTCTTTGAGTCTGCAATGCAGTCGGGTAACCCACTGCTTGCGGAACGGAGCCTAAGGCAGGAGTCTAGCCGGCCCCCCGCAGGTATGCCAACCCCCCAGAACGGGCTATGGGGTGTACCCAGGCCCCATACCAACGCGGTACCCCAAGGGGGTCTTTGATGAAGGGGGCAAGCGACGTATGGCAGGCAATCTGGGGCTATTTGACCATGTCCCAAAATACCTGGCATCCCTTCAATATGGTGTTTGACTTGCTCCCTATACTTCGGCCTCCATTGTCTCAAGGGACCCTGGCCCCAGGCTTCAAGATCCCCGCAAAGCCGCCAGCCACCCTCAACTCTCCCAGCAGCCCAGCAGCACCAGGCAGCCCCAAAGCCATCCCCAGCAGCCTCGCCATCGGCGCCGCTGCTGCCCCCAACGGCAGCAGCAACCCCATCCCAGCCATCCCGCCCCAGGCCCCGGTCCGCCGCGTCCCACGCTGCGAATACTACTTTGACCCCGCCACCGCTTCCGACGTCTTCCCACCGCGGCCTGTGGACGGCTCCGCGCTCTCGGACTACTTTGTCGGAGCCACAGCAGCAGGCGGCAGCGCTAGCAGCAATGGCCGCAGCGAGGAGGTGCAGACGGAGCCCACGCACCCTCTGGGCTGGGTGCCTGCTGAGGACCAGCAGCTAGGGACCCGGCTGCGGCCGCGTACGGGACAGCTGCCGGTGCGCACCACCACCAGCATGCCGCTCGAGTACTTTGACAGTCCGGAGATGGAGCTGATCGCACCCGAGCGGCGGCTGGCGGAGGCCAGGGAGGCAGCGGCGGCGGCGGGCGGGCAGGTGCCGCCAGGCGTGCTGGCGTACAGCCGGTACTTTGATGCAACGGGGACGTTTTCCTGGGCGGCATGCTATGTCACGGACTACGACAGGTGCGGGGCGGCAAGGCGGGGATGCGGGTGGGGAGGGGGTGGGATTTGGCAGGGTGAGCAAGGGCGTTTAGAGGGCTGGTGGTTGGGCACGTGGGTTGGTGGCTATTGTGCAGGGCTCCGCTGGGCATGGCAGGTTGCTTACATGGATCCGAAACCAGGAATACAGGAGCAGCGGCCGGTAGCCCTTATAGGCCGTTTCGGCGCTCTATAAAGCAAATCACCAGCCATGCGGAGCAGCCCATACCTGGCTTTACCTGATACGGACTGGTTGCTGCACATAAGATGGGCGCATGGGCCCGCTACGTAGCTCCTCTTTATGCAGCCACCCACGGCCTCTGTGGCTCATGTTGCTGCAAGCGAGGCCTTGGCATCCCTGTCTACCCACTGCCCCACGTGAGCAGGTCACAGGACATGTACCACATCACGTGGCAGTCCACCGGGAAGACCAAGTGGGTCAAGCGACTCAACTTGCTCTTCGCGGATGAGAGCAAGGCGGGCTTTAGCTTCAGGTGGGTGGTGTGCGGTCACAGCAAGCTGGGTCACTGCAAGATAGGCAGTACTGCGCTCCAACAACAGAGTTGTGGTTCATGGGAAAGGGGAGGGGTTCAAGGCCTGGGGCTGCCGGGGAGCACGTCGGGTTGTGCCGCTGGGCCGGGCAGTTGCAGGCAGAGCCAGGGTTTAGCCATGCCCCATGTTATAATAAGCCAAGGGCTAAGCCTGCTTGCTTCGATCCCGTTGCCACCTGCAGGTTGCGGCAGGCGCGTCGTCGTCGTGATGAGGTGAGGACTTGGGAGCCGTGGTTTGTGGGGTGCATTGGATGATGGAACCGTATACCGGTAGTGTGGGGAGAAACCCTGGATGGCGCTATGCGTTTCGAGGCCGTCTGCCTTTTCATATCCTTTAATGCGCTAATGCCCCACTCCCATTCACCGCATGCCTTTCAACTCCCGCGCAGTGTGAGGCGGAGGCGCGGTACTACGAGTATGTCAGCAAGCAGCCCTTCACCAACATCGACGTCCTCGACGACACTTTCAGGTGCGTGTAGGAGCGGGAGCAAGGGATGTAGGCAAGCGCCAATGGAGGGGCCTAGCAGGCTCGGATCTAGTACCGACAGGACGGCTCTTGGAAGGAGGCTTTCTCCCTTGCACAGCATGCCGTTGCGCTGCCTTATGACATCATGTACACAAGAGCCCGAACGGTTGCGAACGGGCCCATGCCACAGGCGAAAGATTTTCAAGCGAGTGGGCGGGGACGTCACGCAGCGGCTGGCGACGAATGCCAGCGGTGAGTGCCCCGCTTCGACCTTCCGTTTGGAAGCCCCGCCTAGTATAACTGCACCTACCGGTAGCGCTGGCTGCCTGCTTGGAAGAGCACTCCACTTTCCAGTCTTGGGCCCAGTTGACCTCGTACACGGCCCAGAGCTCTGACTCGGACCTCACACCCCTCCACCCGCCCGGCAGGCCATTTTGAGGACTTCCGAAACAATTACAAGTACTCAGTCAAGTCCGCCATCGTGGATGTGCAGTTCGCGCAGCCGGACGCCGCAGCGCACCTGGCGGCAGCAAACATCCAGCCCGTACGACACAGCAGCAACCGCGCCGTGGTGCCACCTCAGGTGCGTCCGACTTGGATTCGAGCAAAAGGCAAAAGATGCCCATCATGCCCACCACTAGACCTTGTGCGCTACTGACCTGCCGTAAGTATTTGGGACGGGAGGGCACGCTTCGAGGCTTGCCACCGCTCGCGTGCGCTTTGTTGAGCCCCGCGTGCATGCACGCATGTGCCTGGTTGGGTTGGTTGTTCTGTAGGGTTGTGTGGACCTGTCATCACTGCGCCCCGGGCGGGTGGTCCTGGTGAACCAGCCGGAGCACCCAGCGGCCCAAGGGAAGAACCACGTGGCACAGGACGTTATCAGGTGGGTGCTTGGAGCGCGGAACAAAGCGGGAAGAATGGCCAGAGGAAAGGGAAACGTTCGGACCGTCTTCTGTTGTCTACGTGCCAGTAGGTGTTGATGAAAACGGCAGTCTTCTCAAATCCGCATGGCACGAGCGCAGGACGCACGGAAACCCTTCTCCGCATGCTTGGTGCCTCGCTGACTATGTTTTGCCATGCTCGTCATCGCCATGCAACGCTCTCCTGGCTGAACTCCTGCCTCACCTGCATGCCCGCAGAGAGGGCTTTGACTTGCTGCTGGCGGACGTGAAGCGCGGCGCCGTGGCGGGCCACCCCGCGCTGCTGGCGGCGCTGCAGCAAATGTACCGCGACCTGGACATCAGCGGCGTGGCGCTCACCGTCACAGACCTGCGGTGGGGCGGGTGGCGGGTGGTCGGGATTTCGGGGCTGTGCTTACTGCATCCTATTCAAGCGTCCCTATGGGGTCCCCGTGAGGTGTCGTTTAGGTTGAAGGAACGTGCTTAAGGAGCAACGGTGCTGCGTCGTGGCCGGTGCTACTGGCATGCCTTGTGATGGCCTGATGAGTCTGCCGCACCTCGGCGCCTGCTGTTGTCGTCCGCAGGGAGCTGCCCCTGCCGGCGCGACTGGGGGACTACGCGCGCATGCAGCGCAACCACTGCGACCTGGTGGCGGACATGCTGACCAGCGACTGGACCATCAAGGCAAGCGCGGGGTCGTGGGTCGGGTGGGGAAAGGGGCCATGGACTCGGGTACTGTTGGTTGCAGGGAGGTTTGTGGAAGAGGCGTCCCGGATGGAAAGGAAACGCGCAAGGGCGCAGGTACTGTCTCCAGCCTTACTGGTGAAGTCTATGTGTGCTGGAAGGGCAACGCAAGGTAGTCCTGCATTCGGCAACGTGCATGCTCAAGGTATGTCCCATCAGCTTCTTGCCTGCCTCACTCCTCCCTTTCCATAGGTAATCGCCATCGTGGAGCGCATCCTGTCTGGTGACGACCCGGAAATCATGGCGCTCGCAGCAACGGAGGCCGCCGTCTCTGGCGCCATCACCCCAGGCCCCTCCACGGTTCACGGCGCCGCGGCTGACGGCATCAACCCCTTTGGCCTGAGTCAGGCAGCCGTGATGCGCTTCATCAAGATGGTCTCTCTCATGATGGCAGATCAGCTCCGTACTGCCGTACTTTCGTCCATTAAGGCATGCTGCGACTTTTGGTTGCAGTACGACATTCTGCCGGGCAGCGAGCATGCAGTTGCAGGCTACCCGTTTGCTAATGCGAATGCAGCGTCGGGCGAGGTGGTGGGTCGGTTGGAGTCGGCGAATGAGTGGTTTCGTCGGACACATTCCCAGCCGTCCAAGTGGGGCGAGGACCTGCATGCGGCGTGGCCGCCACCCCTGCTGCTGGTGTCGCTACAGGTTCGGCATTGGGTGACTGGGCAGGGCGACACGGATAACGGAGAGGGTTAAGGGCTAGCATGCGGTCCTGTGTGTTATTTTCAGCAAGCCCTCTGCCTTTATGGGCATAAGCAGGGCATGCATCACTCCGAATGCTGCTGCCCCGCCTAGCAACTAGACCGCTTGGAAAGTCATGTGCCTTATGCGGCCTTCGATGTAACTTACCATTGACCACTGATGTTGATCAACGCGTGTGTGACTGCCTGCTGCTCCCCCCCCCCCCCCGGCCCGCATGCCTCAGGTTGTGGACGGCGGCATTCGCCTGGTGCCCGACCTGCAGGAGGTGGAGGACACCATTGTAGCCACCTTTGATGACATCATGGCGGCCACCGCAAAGTAAGGCAGCAAGCAGATACACCGTGTAGGCAGGGCCTGGGGCGGTTTCAACCACGCTGATAGGCAAGGAGGAGGTCAACAAGAGGCGGAGACTGGACGGCCTGTCGTGCATGGTTAACGCGTACCGCTCCCACCTACCAGGATACTGTCACCCTGCCGCTCCCGTCTGCACTGGAATGATAAGGCCGCAACCAACCCGTCCTCGCCACCCCCGCGGCCACCCCCTTAAACTCCATACAGGGTTGACGACATCTCTGTCAAGGTGATTAACATGGCCATGGAGCAGTACCTGGCCTCCGTGGACCCTGCCACCGACCCCGCGGCAGTGGCGGGCAGGGAGCTGGTGCGCAGTATCGTCACTAAGGTGGGTTCCCGGTAACGGAACACCCGAGAATGCCTGAGCCATCACCTCTGCGAAAAGAGAAGGTGGAAAAGAGAAGGTGGAAAGACTGCAAGGGATGGTGTCTCCAAATGCATCTTGCCCCACTACTATCTACCTGGCATGCACTGCGCCGATCTTGCGGGCAACCTCTGTGTCCCCACGTCTTCTCCGCCGCTAGTCAATGTCTAAGCACCTCACCTGGCTCCCATCCACACCCCCAGAACCTGGTTGCTCCCGGCGACCTGGCCGCCTCCTTCTCGGAGTTCGCCTGGCTGGTGACTGCGGACGCAGCGGACTTTGTGGGCGAGTGGGAGGCGGCGGGGCACACGCTCCTAGAAACGGAGGCGGAGGTGGTGCGGTTGGCGGCGGTGGGCGCGGCGGTGGCGGCCAAGTGTGAGGGGCTTGTGGCCTTCCGGCTGGTGTCCGTGGACTGCTCCGGAGCGCAGAGGTGGCTGGTGGACAAGGCGGCGGCGCTGCGGGGGGCTCTGCTGGGCTGGCAGGCGGACAGGTGGCATGCGGCCAACGTGGCAGCGGTGGAGCAGTTTGAGAGCATTGTGGCGCGACTGCACCAGGTACGTGTGGGTGCACCGGGAGAAACCCGCTGCCGCTTGCTGTCGTCAAGGTGGTATGTATGCATGTGCAGGGACGTACGGAGGGGTTGCAGCCGCTACAGTTTACGGGGGCCTACTGCCCAGTATTGGGCCCATCGCCCACCTTGCTTACAATAAGCCCAGCTGCAATCCTACACACCTGCGTCCCTTCACGCTTGACAACCTTCTTCTCCGCTTCCCCATTTCCGCTTTGCGCCACTCCCCCCCAAAGGCCCCCGACTCCACGGAAGCCCTGGACGAGCTCGACAAGTTCGTGGAGCGTGTGGACGGCCGCACGCCCGAGTTCGAGGCCATCGTGGCGGACAGCCGCGCTGTCGCGGACGTCCTGCACTCCGCGCAGCACGAGCTCGCCAACGAAGCTGCGGAGACGCACTGGCGGCTGCTGCGCTGGCCCCTGGACCTGGCCATCGAGCTCACGGAAGTCCGCACGCAGCTCGCGCGCTGGCGCGGCCGCTACCTCTCGCAACTCAAGGCCGACAGCGCGGCCCTGGTCGCAGACTTGGCGGAGCTCCAAGCAGAGGTCGAGCGGTTCGTGACGCTGGGCGACCTCAAGCAGGTGGACGACCGCATGGCGACGGTGCTGGACATTGAGAGCCGGCTCAACAGCTACCAGGATCTGGCAGATCTGTACGGCAACCGTGAGGAGATTTTCGGCCTGCCGCGCTCCGAGTACCCGGTGCTCGAGGAGATTCGCAAGGTGTTCCAGCCCTCCTCCGACCTCTGGCGTATCGCCAGTGAGTTCATGCGTTCGCTTCCAGAGTGGCTTGATGGGCCCTTCCCGGAAATCGACGCGGAGACGGTGGCTGCTGACGTGGACCGTTGGTGGCGCGCCACCGCCAAGCTCTCCAAGCTGCTCGACAAGGAGCCCGGTGACGTCGTGTCTGCCGTACGAGCCAAGCTCGAGGACTTCCAAGTCCACCTGCCGCTCATCACCGCGCTGCGAAATCCCGGGTTGCGCGATCGTCACTGGGAGCGCATCTCCGCAGCCGCCGGCTTTCCCGTGCGTGCGGACGCGGGCTTCAGCCTCAGTCGCGCGCTGCAGCTGGGGCTGCCCAAGCACCTGGCGGCGATTGAGGAGGTGGCGGAATACGCCAGCAAGGAGTACTCCCTGGAGCGTGCGCTTGACAAGATGCAGGCGGACTGGGCGGGGGTTGTGTTTGACACCACGCCCTGGCGCGCCACGGGCACCACCATCCTGCGTGCGCTGGACGACGTGCAGATGCTGCTGGACGACCAAATCGTGAAGACGCAGTCCATGCGTGCGTCGCCGTACATTGGGCCCTTTGAGGACCGCGTGCGGCTGTGGGAGGCCAAGCTGGGGCTCACACAGGTGGGTCGCAGGGGGACGGGTGCTGGGCTAGCATGGTTTGCGCTGGGCTAGCATGGCCGGGTGTGGGGGTGTCCTCTGGGTTGCGTGCGCTGGGCCACGTGCAGCAATGTCTGATATGAGTCACGTGGAGTACGTGTTGGGGTTTGTTTCGGAGCGTACCGGTATGCAGTTCCGGTAGGGCATTTTTACACCCTGTACTGCCCCTTACATGCATGGGTGCACCCCTTCCGCCACCCCGTATCGTCCCGCAGGAGACGTTGGACCAGTGGCTGCGCTGCCAGCAGGGCTGGCTGTACTTGGAGCCCATCTTCGGCTCGGAGGACATCATGCAGCAGATGCCCAATGAGGGACGCAAGTTCAAGGTGCGGGGAGTGCTGGGACTGCTGCTGGGTGGGGATTTAGGGCAAGCTGTTGGCACGGGTTACCGTACATGAGGGCAACTGGTGTCGATAATGGTCCTGGACCAACCGGCCGGTTGCTTGCAGACGCCATGTCGCTGGATGGCATTCGGTGGCCCCTCTGCACCTTGTTGGTGACCCCGCCCTCTTAACCTTTTCTCGCCTTCCCCCAGGCTGTGGACCACACCTGGCGTCGCACCATGGAGAAGCTCTCCAAGAATGCGGAAGTGCTCACCACGTGCGCAGACGACGAGCAGCTCAAGGTGCGATCCTGCTGTCCCCTCGAGGGCAGGAAAAGCGTTGCCGCTCGCTTGCCTTGCAAGCCAAGCAGGATTAGTCTCAGTCGGTTCCATCCCTCTTTCTTCTGACACGTTTGCAACCGAACACGCTGCCAGATAGAGCTCTGCGTTGTCAATTCGGTGTGTTCAACCCTCCGTCGCCCCATCTCGTGCCCCCGTGTTCCTACAACAGGCGCTCACCGAGGCCAACAAGCTGCTAGAGCAGGTCACCAAGGGTCTCAACGACTACCTGGAGACCAAGCGCCTCGCCTTCCCGCGCTTCTACTTCCTGTCGAACGATGAGCTGCTGGAGGTGGGTGCGTGCATGCGTGCATGCACGTTGGGTTGTGCTGCTGGGGGCGGGGTTGGGGGCCGGGCGAGGCGGGCAGGCGAAGCGGGCTTTAGGGGTTCGGACTTGCCACTCTTCCCCTCCCCTTTATACAACCTCTATGCCTTCCCTTACCGGTACTTGAGCCACTTATCTGGGATGCCTCTGCCCTCCTTCCCCCCAGATCCTGTCGGAGACCAAGGACCCCACCCGCGTGCAGCCTTACCTGCGCAAGATCTTTGAGGGCATCAACGCACTCCAATTCCAGGTGCGCGTGATCTGCCTGTCATCACCCAACCCTCCATTTGTTTGTCCTCACGCATGCCTGCAAAAGTAGGCATATGTTTTCATGCCCTTGGGGATCCTCCGAGTACGCCTGTGGTCAGGCATCAAACACCCTGAGCTCCTTCACACTTTCATAATAAACTCCCCAAACCCCGCATCCTTTTTGCTTCCTAGGACGACGGCTCCGTGACGGCCATGTACAGCGAGGAGGGCGAGAAGGTGCCCTTCAAGGACTCCTTCAACCCGCGGGATAGCCAGGGCAACGTGGAGCGCTGGCTGATCGAGTGCGAGATTGCTATGCGCAGCACGCTCAAGGTGCGTGAGAGGAGGGAGGCTGTGCAGTCCAGGTTCCATGCAGCTCCATGCAACCAGGAGTGCACCCTGCCCTCCATCCACCGCTTGCCCATGCATAAGCCGCCACCTACGCCTGCGCTAATAAGCGGCTCCACCAGTCCTCTTGGCTGTTCCCATCATCCGCTTTCGGCTGCCCTCCTGGCCAACTGCCTTCCGGCTGTAACGTCCACCCTGGCTGCTGCATGCGCCCCACCCGCAGGAGACCATCCGCCGCGCCTTCAACGACTACGCCCGCACGCCGCGCATCAACTGGGTGACCGCCTGGCCGGGTCAGGTGGTCATCTGCGTGGACTGCATGTACTGGACCAAGGAGGTGGCGGACGCCATCGGGCGCGGCACGCTGTCAGATTACTCGCGGCAGTGCACGGACGAGCTTATGAAGGTAAGGCGCCATGGTGGTCCGCATGCGGAGCCTGCGGGCTTTATTGTTAGGTTCAGTAACTTGCCGTTTTGCGCGCAACATGGACATGCATGGTGTGGGTATGAGCGTGGCGGGCGGCTTTGGGCGGGTTGGCTGGTTCAGGGTCGTCAGCGTAGATTGATTGAGGGAACAGCCAAGTGCCAGTGCCCCTCTGACCGGATGTGTGCCTCTGTTCCGGTACCTGCCCTCCACCCCGCAGGTCGTCAACATGGTCCGCGGCAAGCTGACCAAGCTGGACCGCAAAACCCTGTCGGCGCTCATTGTGATCGATGTGCATGCGCGTGACGTGGTGGCGGAGCTGGCGACCAGCGGTGTGGTCAACGAGAGCGACTTTGCGTGGAACAGCCAGCTGCGCTACGGCTGGGAGGGCGGCGAGGTGACGGTGCGCATGATCAACGCGCAGATCAAGTACGGCTACGAGTACCTGGGCAACTCCTCGCGCCTGGTGATCACGCCGCTGACGGACAGGTGCGGGCACAGGTCATGGATGGCCGTTACAGCGGTCTTCAAGAGCTGGGCTGGGGCGGGTTGATGCTGCCGGTACAGTGTTTGTATTTGGAGTCATTTGCACCATGGCCCGCAAGCGGAGACACAGCAGTATGTGAATTCAACTCCATGGTATTACCTTACTGATCGCGCCTGGACATCCCTTGACAACAGGTGCTACCGCACGCTGATGGGCGCGCTGCACCTCAACCTAGGAGGAGCTCCCGAGGGGTAAGCGAGCCCCGTGTCCCTGGGTGGGGAAAGGGCTACCCTGGCCAGCTGCGGGCCTTCCTATCCTGGGTAATGAGCCAATGGCATCCCTTAGGGGTGTGAGCAGTTGATCTCTGCGGCCCTACTTTCCACTCTTTACCCACCGCCTCCCCTGTTCCCACGTGTCTCCTCGCAGTCCCGCCGGCACGGGCAAGACGGAGACCACCAAGGACCTTGCCAAGGCCATCGCCATGCAGTGCGTGGTGTTCAACTGCTCGGATGGCCTGGACTACCAGGTGGGGGTCATTGGAGGCATGCCACATGCGGGGGGGGGAGGGGAATGAGGCCCGCATGCGGCTCCCTTTTGGCGCCGTGCCGTGCATGCTTTGCCGTGGCTAGCTGCGTGAAGTGCGTCCACGTTCGGCGGCCTCTCGCTCGTTGGCCTGCACCAAACGCACGTCTCTGAACTACACGCTCCTCCCCACCCGGCCCACCCGGCCCGCGCCCACTCCCTCAGGCCATGGGCAAGTTCTTCAAGGGTCTCGCCAGCAGCGGCGCCTGGGCCTGCTTCGATGAGTTCAACCGCATTGACCTGGAGGTGCTGTCCGTGATTGCACAGCAGGTGAGGGCGCTGCTGCCTGGGGTGTGCCTGGCATAGCGTTTGGCTGCTGCTTTGTGCGTGTTGGTCACAACGGACATACGCCACGGCGCACTTCCTTTTCATTCAAGTACCGGTAGCGTATCAGTATTGGTCTACAAGCCGCCTGACGCACCGCGTCCTGTTTTGCCGCCCCGCAGATTCTGACCATGCAGCGCGCCAAGGCCAGCGGCGTGAGCTCCTTTGAGTTCGAGGGCACCAAGCTCAGCCTGCGGCCCACCTTCTCCGTCTTCATCACCATGAACCCCGGCTACGCGGGCCGCTCGGAGCTGCCGGATAACCTCAAGGTGAGACGCGCGTCGTTGACGCCGTACCGTACCTGTTTTTGGATCTGCTTGATTCCCACCTGGCACTTGGAATGATGTGGCTCTGGGTCCGTAACACCTAGTAGCATCACTTGGTCCGCTTGCGGTTACCGTATGCTAATCCTGGTGCTCTCCGTAACCCCGTTCGCATCGCACCATTGCCCTCCTCTTGCAGGCGCTGTTCCGGAGTGTGGCCATGATGGTTCCCGACTACGCGCTCATCTCGGAGATCATGTTGTACAGCAGCGGCTACCTCAAGGTGCGTCGCGCGCATGCCTGATTACGTGTGGTTGGTCGCCTGGTGGGCGTGGTTGGCCGCCCTAGGGGTGGTGTGACTGGCGTCGCCTTATGCCACAGGTCGCCCCTCCGACCAAAGGCATGTACTACCCTTCCCTGAGGACGAGCCCCCCTTCTCAGTTTCAATGAACTCTGGCATCGGTGTTCATAGGTTGCGCCGTCGTATTTTTGCTTTGGACAAGGCTGTTTGCCCACACCCTCCCATTGCATCCAACCCGTCCCACACAGGCTCGTGACCTGGCTCGCAAGCTGGTGGCCACGTACCGTCTGTGCTCCGAGCAGCTGTCCAGCCAGTCGCACTACGACTACGGCATGCGGGCCGTCATGTCGGTGCTGCGCGCGGCGGCGGCCAACAAGCAGCGCTCGCCGGACACGCTAGAGGTGGGTGGCGGGCGGTGGGGTGATGGGTGTCCCAGTGTGTCCGCCCTGATTTGGGCCTGCATCACATCAGCGGCCACTCCTGGGCAGCTAGGACGTGCGTGCATCCTCGCATGTTCCACTGGCACATGCCAGCACGATAGGCAAGTTGATGCACAGACGAAACGCCGTGTCCGGACCAGGGTTCCTGCTAGTGGTGCAATCAACGGTGTGTGACCTCCGTTCACATGCAGGACGTGCTGATGCTTCGCTCCATCAAGGACGTCAACGAGCCCAAGTTCCTGGCGCCCGACCTGCCCCTCTTTGCCGGCATCCTCTCCGACCTCTTCCCGGGGGTGGACCTGCCCGCTACCGACTACTCGGCGCTTGATGAGCGACTATGCACCAACTGCACCCGCCTGAACTTGCAGGTACGTCTCTGCATGAGCAGCGAGTTGCTGTCCCGAGTGGCCCCTTCCGAGGAAAGGGCTGTGTACGCGTAAGATCCTTTAAACCATGCGTTTGCTCCCGTACCCTCTCTGCTCGCGTCCACGTTTACAAGGCGGCCCTGAAACCACCTGCTTGCTCTCCCTGGATTCCTGCCGCTATCAGTAACAACCTGGGCTTCTTCTTTCCCACACACACACCCACCCCCAACTCCTATCCCCATTGCTTTGCCCTAACTTGTGGTCTCCTATGGTGTGTTATGGTCTTTGACCCCCCACCCCCCACCTCCTTGCACAGTCCACTCCGGTGTTCCTGGAGAAGGCGCACCAGCTGTACGAGATGATCCTGGTACGGCACGGCCTGATGCTGGTGGGCTACAGCTACGGCGCCAAGACCTCTATCTACAGGGCACTGGCGGGCGCGCTGGGGGACCTGGAGACGGCAGGCATCATGGAGGAGCACAGGTGGGTGGGGTGTCATCCGTGAGACGCGGTTGGCGGTGTTGGTGTTGGTGTTGGAAGGAGGGCATGGTTTCAGAGTATCGGTAGAACGAACTGCGACCGCGCCGCTCGTTGGCTACCAGCGTGGCGGGATCGCATGGAGTTCAGGTCGTGCATGGTTGGTTTAAGATTTGGTCAAAGGTGTTCTTTCGATAGTCTGCCGGAACTCGACTGGATACTTTCTTCTTCCTGTCGCCTTCCTGTCCCTGCAGGGTGCAGCTGCGCATCATGAACCCCAAGTCCATCACCATGGGGCAGCTGTACGGCCAGTTCGACCCTGTCAGGTGAGGGTCGTAGCTGGCGGGAGGATTTCTAGTGGTTTTATAGGTTGGCACAGCCGTAGGATCGCGAACTCGCGATGCCATGCTGCGGTTCCTTGTGCCACTTACAAGTCAGCTATGCTATATTCTTGCCTAATCATGGTCCTGATGACAAAGCCACTGCCGCTGCCTTTCATACCTGATGTACCTACCCACTTGCTGTGCAGCCACGAGTGGAAGGACGGTGTGCTGGCGAAGCTCTTCCGTGAGGCCGCCAACGACACTTCGTAAGTTGTGCTGGAGACGGTAGCTACAGCCCTGTCCTGCTATGTGTATTAACACCGCCAGGCAACATCCTGGATGTCAACGGTGTACCGACTGCCTTGTCCTGCTTATGCGGTACCAACCTTGGCATCCCGAAAGTCCACTGATAATAGTATGTTGCTGCCTAGCTGCGCGTGGATGTCTGCCCCAGACCTACCCTCCTTTGTTCTTTCCTTCACCCAAGCTGACCCCCTCTCTGTGCCCTCACCGGACCCGACCACCACAGCCCCGACCGCAAGTGGGTGCTGTTCGACGGCCCGGTGGACGCGGTGTGGATCGAGAACATGAACACCGTGCTGGACGACAACAAGAAGCTGTGCCTCAACAGCGGCGAGATCATTCAAATGAGCGCAGCCATGGTAAGCTGGGGGGCTTTGGGGGCCCTAGCTAGCCTAGAAGCAGCGTGGCTAAAGACGACGGGAACGGGCTATAGAGGCGTAACGTTCATTTGATATCCTGGCTCACGGCCAATGCTCCAATGGGGTGCTCCTCCTCACGCCTCCGCCTCCGCCCCTCCTCCTTACCGTTCCTCTCCGCGGCCGTTTCCCGTCCACACAGAACATGATCTTTGAGGTTCAGGACCTTGCAGTCGCCTCTCCCGCCACCGTGTCGCGCTGCGGCATGGTGTATGTGGAGCCGCAGCAGCTGGGCTGGAGGTAAGCAGCTGGGCTGCTGTAGCCACCAATCCACCTTTTGTCGTGTGCGACCACTCCAGAAGGATGCGAGTGGTTCGGAAAGCCGGAATGGAAAAACGCAAACGCCTGTCGGAAGTGTCAAGACGTGTACAATGCGCACTTGAGTGGTCGCAGCTGGGCGGCCAGTTCCGGTCACGCCCCCTGCTGTGCTGCCGCGACCATCCAACTAACCACTGCCAACCAACTAACCAACCCACGCAGGCCGCTACGTGACAGCTGGATGGCCACGCTGCCGCCCACCCTGAGCGATGAAGCCAAGGCACACCTGCTAACGTTGTCGGAGTGGCTGGTCGACCCGTGCGTGGTGAGACCCGGCGAGGAATGAAAGCAAAACAACACCGTATTTAACCCAATTTGCACGCATGGTACCTTGACTGTGTGCGGAAACCGCGCCGATCTTGCAGCATCAACGGTGAAGCACGCATCCCGGATGGCGCAAGGCCGCGCTTGATTCGGCGCATCTTTGCGGCTGAGGTGCACTGCACTCTTGGCTCCTTCCACCTCAACAAAGCATCCCTAAACTGCACCCCCCCCCTACCCCACTGCCTGCCTTCTCCTCACTGCTACTGCCGCTGCCGCTGTTGCTGCTGCTGCCAGGCGTTTGTGCGCAAGAACTGTCGCGAGCTGGTGCCCACCGCGGACATCAGCCTGCCGCACAGCCTGATGCACATCATGACCTCCATGATGGACGAGATGAGGGACCCCAAGCAGGTGGGGGGGCAGGAGGCTTGGGGAGGGGGCGCATGTGGTGTTGGTGCTGCGCCCGTTGGGGGTCGGAGAACTAGACCGTGTTCCCCTGGCTGTAACTGACCTTGTTTCCTCTTGAAGACTTAGCTTGAAGACTTAGCATGGCATTGCCTTCCCGCCATGTCCGTTTTCCTCATGCCTTCTTCCATTCCCGTCTCCATCCTCCTTCCTCCTCCCACCTCTCGCCTCACACTGTATCCTCCAGATCGCCCTGATGGGTGTCCGCGAGGTGATGAAGCAGCTGGACGGCATGTTCGTGTTCTCCCTGATCTGGTCGGTGGGCGCCACCACGGACTCGGACGGCAGGGCGCGCTTCAGCGACTTCCTGCGCAAGCTGCTGGACGGAATGGTGGGTCTATCGGTTTGGCGCGCTGAGGAGGAGCTGTGAACAGCGAAGCCAGGAGGAAAGGGAAGCGGGGGAATTGATAGGAGGCTACGGGGATTGCCCAGGGCAAATGTTGGGGAATAGAAGCTGCACCGCTGTACACCTATGTCGGGCCGCTAGCAGCCACACCGTGCCGCTTTGCAACACAGCGCCCCTTTGCGGCGTCCTCCATCCCCACCCGACATTCCCCTTCTCCTCCCTGCTGCCTACGTTTCCTGCTGCCAGGTGGACCGCAAGATCACCCGCACCGACTTTGATCTGGGTCCGGGTCTGGAGATCTTGGACCCCGGCTTCAAGCTGGCCGCACTGCTGCCCAAGGTACCGTACACGGGGCTGCAGGGATATGGGGCCGCAGCAGAAACGAAGAGGAAGCAGATGACCATGAGGGCCACCGGGCACGCAAGTTGGGATAGCAAGGAGGGTCTGCAGCCGCCTGCCTTCTACCTCCCTCACCCTTCCAACCCTTGGCCCACTGCTCTACACAGCCGCCACCCCTCCCGCCTTTCCTATCCAACCAACTATCAACAAAACCCCACTCCTGCTCTCCACTCCTGCTCACCAGGACGGCCTCGTGTACGACTACCTGTGGGACAAGCCCCGCAGCGCCTGGCGCCACTGGATGGACACCCCGGGCGGGCAGCAGGGCGACCCGGTGGACGCGCCCATCCCCGAGTCGTCCTCCTTCAACGAGATCATCGTGCCCACCGTGGATACCGTGCGCTACACGGCGCTGCTGACGCTGCTGGTGACGCACGGGCGGCACGTGCTGTTCGCGGGGCCCACCGGCACGGGCAAGACGGTGTACGTGAAGGCGGCGATTGAGGGGCTGGACAAGGGGCTGTTCAGCAACCAGCAGACGGCGTTCAGTGCACAGACGTCGGCCAACATGATCCAGGTGTGCGCGAGGAGGGGAGATAAGGCCAGGATAGGCCTTGGCGTGTTGGTTCGGCATGGGGGTTGGGTTAGGGTTTCTAGTTCCTATGTAGGATTGGCTGGTGCTAGCTTCTTATGTTCAGGAAGCTGGCTGCAGTGCAGGGTAAGTAGCCCAGTGCTTAGGGAACCCCCTTTCGAGACACTTCTAAGCCCTGTTGGCGTCACCACCTGCGGCTTGGACCCCACAGGACATCATCGACAACCGGCTGGACAAGCGGCGCAAGGGCGTGTTCGGGCCGCCTGTGGGCATGCGCTGCGTGGTGTTCGTGGACGACGTCAACATGCCCGCCCTGGAGGTGAGCCGGGGGGGGAAGGCAGGCAGCGGTACAGCAACACACTACGGTCGCAAGTAGCAGGTGTAGCAAGGAAACGGAACCCCATGGAACGTTGGACCCCCTTCAAAGGAAGAGGAGGAAAACAGAGCCTTGTCCTTCCTCCTTTCCCTAACTGCATTCACCTCCTGAGAACAATTTCCATGGCCATAACCCGGTATCCTAACCAACACCCACCGCTCGTCCTCAGGTGTACGGCGCCCAGCCCCCCGTGGAGCTGCTGCGCCAGTTCCTGGACCACAGCGGCTGGTACGACCGCGCCGACAACACCTGGCGCCACCTGGTGGACATGCAGCTGGTGTGCGCCATGGGGCCGCCGGGCGGCGGACGCAACCCCGTCACGCCCCGCTTCCTGCGCCACTTCAACCTGGTGGCCATCACGGAGTTCGACGACGCCACCTACACGCGCATCTACGGAGCCATCTGCGACTGGTGGTTCCGCCGCGCGAGGCTGCCGGAGGTAAGAAGCGGAAGGGTCACAAGGCAGGAAGACAGAGAGCTGTATGGTACCGGTTACCAGCTATGTGTGTTTGGTGCGGGGTAGCAGGCTAGAGATGCATGCGCTAGCCATGAGGCAACTGTGAGAAGGGCCATCTCTTGACGCTTATTTCACCTACGGTACCGGCTCTCGGCCAACCTCCCTGGTCGACCGTCGCTACGTCTTGATGCCGTGCAGGAGGTGCGCGGCAAGGGCGGCTCGCTGGTGAAGGCGACGCTGGAGATCTACAACACCATCCGCGCGCAGCTGCTGCCCACCCCCGACAAGAGCCACTACACCTACAACATGCGCGACCTGAGCAAGGTCTTCCAGGGGGTGCAGGTGAGGGTGGGGGGCTGGCGGGGTGACGTGGGGAAGAAAGATTGCAGTACGAAGGATTGGGTAGAAACCCCCAAAACAATGAGATAAGGGTCGAATGGGATGTTGGCTGGGCAGGTATCCTGGCAGGGCACAGCTTACATGGCACGTCATGTGTACCCAATGGCGCTTTCGAATTTCCCTTTGTCCATGTGCCCACCTCTGTGTGCCCTGCCCTGCTCCTCACCACCCTGCAGTCCATCGGTGTGCCGGTGACCGACACCCGCTCCCTGGCGAGGCTGTGGGCGCACGAGACGCTGCGTGTCTTCCACGACCGCCTGGTATCGGATGAGGACCGCAACTGGTGCGGGGTGTGCGTGCGACGGGGGCTTAGGCCTTTTTGAGTGCACTCCTTCAAGTTGCATGGACCGTACCTCCGAAGCGGCTTTGTCCTAGCTAGGCCTGCCTTTATGGCTCTGCATAACCAATGCCGCGCAGTCCTCCCAAAAAGCAACGCCAACGTAAGCCCCACCCTTGCATCCATCATGCGCACACCCTTTGCACCCCCCATTACTTCAGGTACTGCACGCTGCTGAAGGACGTGGTGAACAAGGTGCTGGGCGTCAAGTTCGACAACGTGTTCGAGCCGCCCCCCGGCAGCGGCCTGGTGCGGGGCGACGTGGCGGTGCTGCGCAACCTGCTGTACTGCGACTTCCAGGTACAGGGCGCCGACACGCCCAAGTACGAGGAGGTGACGGACCTGCCCAGGCTGCTGTCCGTGGTGCAGGTGGGTGTGAGCTGTGGGGGGGTGGGAAGAGGGAGAGCCAGGAAGGGGGCAATACCGGTAGAAGGCCGGCGGGTAGCACACATGTCCAGACGCTTTTTGGACTTGACTTACTGGACACTTTACCTGGTCCTAAGCATGCATTAGGTACTAGGGCAACCCGTTTGGCCTACACAAAACCTTACAACCCCGCCCATTCTCTACCTCACCTCACCTCCTCCCCCCAGGACTACCTGGCCGACTACAACGCCCAGACCAAGGCCCGCATGGACCTGGTGCTCTTCCTCTTCGCCGCGGAGCACATCTGCCGCATCAGCCGCATCATCAAGCAGCCCTACGGCAACGCGCTGCTGGTGGGGGTGGGCGGCAGCGGCCGGCAGAGCCTTACCCGCATCGCCACCTTCATGGCCGACTACAAGCTGTTCACCATCGAGATCTCCAAGAGCTACACCGTGAACGAGTGGCGGGATGACCTGAAGCGCGTGCTGCGGCAGGCGGGGGGCGCCGCGCAGCCCACCGTGTTCCTGTTCTCCGACACGCAGCTCAAGGTGCGGGCGGGGCGGGGCGGGGAGGGTACGGTGGTTTTCAAGTGAGAGCCCTACTAGTGTATATGAAGGCATAGGGATGGAAGTGCAACGTGCAGGGGAGGCAAGACCGGTGGTACGTGGTTGTGGTGGGGTGTGCGAGTGGGGTTTGGCGGTTGGGTGGTGCGTGGCAGGAGGGTTGGTTGGTTGTGGGGTTCTGCATGACCCCTTCGCTCATCTTCGCTCAGCGGCACGGCTGTGGCTGCGTGGTTCATCTTGCTTTCTTAATCCCTTTCTGCTACACACACGATTTACCCCCCCCCTTGTCCACAGGACGAGTCCTTCCTGGAGGACATCAACAACATCCTCAACACCGGCGAGGTGCCCAACCTCTTCCCCAAGGTGCGGGCCTGTGCGTGTGTGGGAGCGCGCATGTGGCATGCTCTTCCTCTGCCACTGCTGCTACTTACTCTTGGCCCCCTCACCTCCCCTCACCTCCCTTCACCTCCACCTGCCTTCACCTCCTCTCCCACAGGACGAGCTGGTTTCCATCATGGAGCAGGTGACCCCCCGCGCCAAGCGCGCCGGCAAGCCCCTCACGCCCGCCTCGCTGTACGCCTTCTTCGTGGACTCCTGCCGCGCCAACCTGCACCTGGTGCTGGCCATGAGCCCCGTGGGCGGCGCATTCCGGGAGCGGCTGCGCAAGTTCCCCTCGCTGGTCAACTGCACCACCATCGACTGGTTCAGCGTGTGGCCCAGCGATGCGCTCAAGAGCGTGGCGTCCAAGTGAGTGGGTGTCCATGTGTCCCAAGGATCTGAGGAGTTGGGAACACAGAGGCGGAGGAAGAAGCAGGGGGAGTAGGAGTTGGGAGCAGCCTGTTGCCAGCGAGGGGCGGGCGGGTAGCCAGGTAACCTGAGCGGTAAGGAGAGGGAGGGATGGGTGCAGCCCGCGACAACTGCCTCTACGCTTGATGCTACCATCTAGCGCCTCCAACCCTCCCTTTACCCTGCCTTGCTCACCCCGCCCTGTCACACCACCCCAGGTTCCTTCACGACGTGGAGATGGACAGCAGCGAGACGCGCGGCGCCGTGGAGGACATGTGCATGGAGTTCCACGTGACGGTGCGGCAGCTGGCCAACGACTTCAAGGCCGAGCTGGGCCGCCACTACTACACCACCCCCACCTCCTACCTGGAACTCATCCAGACCTACAAGGAGCTGCTCTCAGCCAAACGAAAACAGGTGCGGTGGGGTGCGGTGCGGATTGAACTATGGAGCACTGGAGAAGCGTTGCGGTGAACTATGCTACGGTAATATAAGATGAGATGTCGATTCTTGAAGACGGTGATCATGGATGAAGCCCTGCAGCGTCTACCTGGTGCAACGGTGCCTTCCCCTGGGTTTGTGCTCAAATCGCGCACCTCACGCACTTCCCCCACCATGCCACCACCCCACCCCTCCTCGCCCCCCAGGTTCACGGCCTGAAGCGGCGCTACGAGGTGGGTCTGGACAAGCTGCTGGCGGCGGAGCACGACATCGGCGTCATGAAGGAGGAGCTCATCGCGCTGCAGCCCAAGCTGATCGAGACGGGCAAGGAGGTGGAGGAGACGCTCAAGGTGGGTGGGTGGGTTAAGGAAACTGGCCGCGAGTCGGAACGTACTGTGATTGGCGGTGTGTGTGTTAGAATATCTGGCCGCGAGGCGGAATGTACATGTGGGTGCATATGGGTGGGTGCGTCATGGAGGGTTGTATGAGGTGATGGGGTGATGTATGGGTAGATAGATACATCACGTGCCCTACCCAGCTAGTACGGTATGTAAAACGCTGAAACCACCCCCACCCTGGTCCTTGGAAGCGCCTCGCCACCTGCTGCTGCCCATTCACGCGCCCCCTGCCGCCTCCTGCCCACCCTCGCTGCTTCATCCCCTCCTCCTGCTGCTCCTCCGCTCCAGATCGTGGACCGGCAGACCCAGGAGGCGGAGGCCAAGAAGGTGGTGGTGGTGGGCGAGGAGGCGGTGGCCAACGAGAAGGCCGCCTCCGCCAAGGCCATTAAGGACGAGTGCGAGGCGGACCTGGCGGTGGCGCTGCCGCTGCTGGAGAGCGCACTCAAGGTGGGAAGATGGTGGGGGTGAAGAGGAAGAAACTGACGGTGGTGGCGGGCCGATGCGGCGAGGCGAGGCGTGGAGGGAGCAGAGCGGAGGGAGGTTTCTGAGTGGGTCCTGGACCCCGCCGTGCGTAGTATAGGGCGTGATACCGTGTTACTGCTTTCCAGATCCTGTTCCATGGCGTGTTCCAACTGCGCACCCCTCACCCCCCTTTTGGTATATCTCTGACCCCCCTTGCGTTTGCCCTACTGTTACCCCCTTCCAGGCTCTGGACACGCTGACCAAGGCGGACATCACGGAGGTGAAGGCCATGAAGAACCCGCCCAAGGCCGTCAAGCTGGTGATGGAGGCGGTTTGCCAGATGCTCAGCATCAAGCCCAACAAGGTCAACGACCCGGCCAACCCGGCGCGCAAGATCAACGACTACTGGGGACCCTCGCAGGTGAGAGGAATGGGCAAAGGGAAGAGAGGATGGTGGAGATGACAGGAAGTAACATGCCCGGAGACTACCGCTGGGTAGAAAAGGAGGAGAAGAGACCCATAATTAGTTAAGCAGTCGACAAGGAAGCCCCGCACCCCCCGCTCATTTCGACACCACCTCCATCCTCCAAACCCGCGCCCTGCCCACCCCACACAGGGCCTGCTGGCGGACACCAAGTTCCTGGACACGCTGCGGGCGTACGACAAGGACAACATCCCGCAGCCCATCATCGTCGCCGTACGGCCCTACCTGGAGATGGACGACTTCGACCCCAATGTGGTGCGCAAGGCCTCGGCCGCCGCGTACGGGCTGTGCTGCTGGGTGCGAGCCATGGAGGCGTACGACAAGGTCGCAAAGGTACGACACTTATCATAAATGAAAAGGCGTTCGTAGTAACCGCAACTCCGCCTTGGGGGTATTCAGTCACATGCAACGAAGCTTTGCGGGCCTGGCGGCGTTAAGGTTAGGTGGCATCTTATTGTTCTCGTGGATGAGTGCTTGCGTGACTTAGTCCTCCTCCTCCTCTTGTGACCTCTTATCGCACCGCTACCCTGCCCAGGTTGTTGCGCCCAAGAAGGCCAAGCTGGCTGAGGCGGAGGCGGAGTACAGCGAGCTGATGGTGGGTCTGAACGCCAAGAAGGCGGAGCTGGCGCAGGTGGAGGCCAAGCTGGCGGGGCTCAACAAGAAGCTGGCGGAGATGCAGCGGAGAAAGGTGGGAGGCGGGTGGGGTGAGGGTGGTAACGAGGAAACAACTAACTGACTGAGGGATAAGGCGTCAGGGGGGGCGGAGAGGCGGTAAGGGTGACAGGAGGGATTATGTTGAGAGGGCAGAAAGGAATGTGGGATGTAGCGTGCTCCTGCTGCCCCTCTCGACCCCCTTGCCTTCCCTTCCCTTCCCTCCCCTCAGGCCCAGCTGGAGGCCGAGGTGGACCTGTGCGAGAAGAAGCTGGACCGGGCCACCAAGCTGATCGGGGGGCTGGGCGGGGAGAAGAGCCGCTGGACGGAGGTGCGTGGGGGGGGGGGAGCTGAGGGCGGGGCTGTGTCCCATTAAGGGGTGCTCCATTCAGGGTGTTCAATTAATCTTTTCCTTCCTCCCACCACCCTTCCCGCCTGCATCCCCCCGCACCCTCCAGTTCATCACCCGTATCACCCTTATCATCACCCCTCGGGCACCACACAACTGTGTAACGTCATCACTCATGCCCCTCCTCCGCGCCCCTCCTCCTCCTCCCCACCCCTCCCCTGCCCCCCAGGTTGCCGCCAAGCTGGGTCACGACTACGTGAACCTGACGGGCGACGTGCTGCTGGCCTCGGGCTTCATCGCCTACCTGGGCGCCTTCACGGCCGCCTACCGCGAGAAGGCCACCAGCAGCTGGGTGGCGCTGTGCAGGGAGCGACACATACCCTGCTCCGAGCACTTCAAGTGAGGGGGGAAGCAGGGCGGGGTCAGGGTGGGGTGAGATGGTGAAGGGGAAGGGGTGGATGGTGAGGGAGAGTGTGGAGTTAGCTGCGTCCAGTGATAGACCTCATGCAGGCGCCACCTCGCGCTCACAGGTGCCACCTCACCATAAACAACAACTCCACTCGTCAACTCAGCTACCCCCGCAATTACCCTCCTCCCGCCACCACAGGCTCGTGACGGTGCTGGGCGAGCCGGTCAAGATCCGCGACTGGACCATCGACGGGCTTCCCAACGACTCCTTCTCCATCGACAACGGCATCATCGTGTCCAAGGCGCGGCGCTGGCCGCTGCTGATCGACCCGCAGGGGCAGGCCAACAAGTGGATCAAGAACATGGAGAAGAAGTTCAAACTGGAGGTGGGGGGGAGGGGGGCTGTGGCTGCACCGGACTCTCTGGCCTTTCGCTACACGGCTTATACCCCACCCAGGCATAGCCACTGACCTTGTTTGTCCGTTCTTTGCGTTTATAGTTGCCGGTTCATTACCATTTCAGTTACCCGCTGCCATTCCCACTGCTGGGATAGTCTGTAATGTACGCATCCCCGCTTTGTCCCGGCACGTCCGACCGTGCGCCCCCCCCCAGGTGATGAAGCTGTCCGACGGCGACTACATCCGGCGGCTGGAGAATGCCATCCAGTTCGGCACCCCCGTACTGCTGGAGAACATCGGCGAGGAGCTGGACCCCACGCTGGAGCCGCTGCTGCTCAAGTCGGTGTTCAAGCAGGGCGGCGGGCTGTGCATCCGGCTGGGCGACACGACCATCGAGTACAGCGAGGCGTTCAGGTGCGTGCGATGAGTGGGCGCATGGGGGGGGGGGGTGGCACAGGATGTGGATACTGGCACTGGTAACCGCTGGGCAAACAGAGTGCTCAGGATTGTGAAAATATCGGCTATTTTAAAACGTGCTCCGGCGGGTTTCGGCCTTGGCTGGCCACATTACACCACCTGGCTAACCAACCGACTCTCCCCAACTGCCCTGCCCTGGCCTGCCCTGCGCTGCCTGCCTGCCGCCCCTCCGCAGGTTCTACATGACCACCAAGCTGCGCAACCCGCACTACCTGCCCGAGGTGTCGGTCAAGGTGACGCTGCTCAACTTCATGATCACTCCCGAGGTGGGCGCCAGGAGGGAGGGAGGAGGGAGGGAGGGAGGGACCTGAAGGATAGCAGCAGGAAAGGCGCACACATTGACATGCCATGGTGCCTCACCTTCTCCACTACCACCTCCTCGCGCTCGCAACTCGGTTCCCTTCTTCACCCTCCTTCCTCTCATCTTCCCCTCCTCCCCACCTGCCTGCTGCCCCCTCCCTCCAACCCCCCTTCCCCACCCCAGGGTCTTGAGGACCAGCTGCTGGGTATCGTGGTGCGGCTGGAGCGCCCCGAGCTGGAGGAGCAGAAGACGCGGCTGGTGCTGGCGGGCGCGGAGAACGCGCGGCAGCTCAAGGAGATCGAGGACCGGATCATTGAGGTGCTCAGCGCCAGCGAGGGGAACATCCTGGAGGTGGGGGGGGCGGGGGGCTGAGGGGGCGGGGGGAGGAAGGGTGAGATGCGTGGAGAGAGATGGTGTGTGTTTCGGATGGAGCTCTGCAACTCCTTGTACCCTCTGACTGGTGTACCATGACGCTTCCCCCCTGTCCGCGTATTTCCCACCCCCTCCCCCTTCCAGGATGAGACCGCCATCAACGTCATCAGCTCCTCCAAGCAGCTCTCAAACGACATCGCGCAGAAGCAGCAGGTGCGAGCTTCGACCCGGCTCCCCGCGCACTCACCCGGGTTGGGAACAGCCCCCGGCGCCCCTGCTGCTGCTGCTATTGTGCAACGCCGTTGGGGGATGTGTTACCTCCTTCCACCTCCTTCCACCTCCTTTCCACCTCCTTTCCACCTCCTTCCGCGCCTGTTCCCCAATTCGAACACCACAACCCGCTTGCCGACTCCGCACCATGTTATGTCCCGTTTTGCATGGAATCCAACCCCACGCCACCCTCTCTCCCCACCCTCTCCTGCTCCTCCCCCCCCCCCGCTCCCCCCCCCGCTCCCCCTCCAGATCTCCGACAAGACGGAGCGCACCATCGACGAGACGCGGCTGGGCTACAAGCCGGTGGCCCGCCACGTGTCGGTGCTGTTCTTCTGCATCAGCGAGCTGGCGGCAATCGAGCCCATGTACCAGGTAGGCAGGCGGATTGGAGGGGAAAGAAGAATTCCCAGTGCGTTGAAGGAGAATGGCGAACCTGATGACAAGCTCGGAGCGGAGGGGGAAGGAAACTGGCCAACACGGGAACACGCACCCGAAAGCCATTAGCCTGGAGCCGCTGTACAAAGGGGCAGGTTCTGCACACCACCCAAGCCCAACCCCACCCTCACTCTGCCGCCCTTTCCTTATACGTGTGATGCAGTACTCGCTGTTGTGGTTTGTGAACCTGTTCGAGGACACCATTGCGCGCGCGGAGAAGTCCAAGGACCTCACCCGCCGCATCGAGGCGCTCATCTCCTACTTCACCTACAGCCTCTACATCAACATCTGCCGCTCGCTGTTCGAGAAGGACAAGCTGCTCTTCTCATTCGCGCTCACCGTCTCCATCCGCGCGCACATCAAGCAGGTGAGGAGGCGGCGGTAGGGGCTGAGGGTAGTGTGGGGTTGAGGGTGGGGTGGCTGAGGCTCGCGCGACTGCCTGCAGACGCATGTGCTGTTGAGCTGTCCTCACCGGCCTGTCACTGAGGACACTGTGTATTGCTGTACGCTTTCACACTTTTTGGATTCCCCACACCCTAACCCTCTCGCCCTCCTCCTCCTCTTCCCCGCCTCCAGACCCTGGACCTCAGCCTCTTCCGCTTCCTGCTCACCGGCGGCATATCCACCGCCGAGCCGCCGCCCAACCCCAGCGACTGGCTGGCGGACCGCTGCTGGGCGGAGATGGTGCGACTGGCGGAGCACTGGGAGGCATTCCGCCCGCTGCCCGACTCCTTCAGGGAGGACCCGGGGCCCTGGCGGGCCATGTACGACAGCGCCGACCCCACTCGCGTGCGCTTCCCGGAGCCCTGGCACAGCCGGCTGGACAGCTTCCAAAAGCTGCTGATCATTAGGTGGGGGGAACGGGGGAGGAGGAGCGGGAGTGGAAAGCAGGGTTTTATTCGTTTGATGTCTGCCTCAGTCTTCTTCCAATCTGCCTGTCTCTTCCAGGGTATTATTTCCTAACCCCTTCCAACTCCCTCGTAACATGCCCCTGCCACCTCCTTTCCTGCCCCTGCCCTGACTCCGTTGATGCATTTATCTATGTTTTCCCCCCAAAGGCTGATCCGCCCCGACAAGCTGGTGGGCGCCATCCAGAACTACGTGCTGGACAGCATGGGCCAGAAGTACATCGAGCCGCCGCCCTTCGACCTGGACCGCTGCTACCAGGACTCCACCTGCCTCACCCCCCTCATCTTCGTGCTGTCCCCCGGCTCCGACCCCATGTCGGGGCTGCTCAAGTACGCGGACGTGATGCGGGTCAGCGTGGAAAGCATCAGCCTGGGGCAGGGGCAGGGCCCCAAGGCGGCTCGGCTGATCGAGGCGGCGCAGGCCAACGGCGGCTGGGTGGTGCTGCAGAACTGCCACCTGGCGGTCAGCTGGATGCCCACCCTGGAGCGGCTGTGTGAGGGACTCAGCCTGGACAACACCTCGCCCGCCTTCCGCCTGTGGCTCACCAGCTACCCCTCGCCTGCGTTCCCGGTCAGTGTGCTGCAGAACGGCATCAAGATGACGAATGACCCGCCAAAGGTAAGCGGGGGAGGGCAGAGGAGGTGGGATGTGGAGTTGATGGAAGGGTGAGGGTGCGCGCCTGGGCCTTGGGCGTGGGTTTGGGGCGCTTGAATCAATGTAGTCGCTTATCACGTGTTATTTGTGAACTCGTAAATGTGCCTGGTTCCGGGGCCCCAGCGGGAACTCTTCTTAGTCCTCCCACACCCCCACCACCTCGTCCTCACCCTCTCCCCCCTGCAGGGCCTCCGCGCCAACCTCCTGGGCTCCTACCTGAGCGACCCCGTCAACGACTACGCATTCTTCGAGGGCTGCTCGCGACCCGCTGTGTTCAAGAAGCTGCTCTTCGGCCTCTGCTTCTTCCACGCATTCGTGCAGGTGGGGTTGGGTGACTGGGCGCGTGTACCTGCTGCTGCAGCGCTGCCTGCTGCCCCACCAGGGCTGCGCTGGACTAGACACACACCCTTCTTGCTCCACACCTCGTTACACCGCATGATGCGCCTTACCTTTCCTACCTTCAGTCCGAACCCCCTTCCCAAAACCTCCCACCATCCCGTTTCCCGTTTCCCAACCGTTTCCCAACCCCCAGGAGCGTCTCAAGTTCGGTCCGCTGGGCTGGAACGTGCCCTACCAGTTCTCCGCACCCGACTTTGTCATCTCCGCGCGCCAGCTGCAGATGTTCCTAAACGAGATGCCGCCCGGCGAGGCCTCGCCCATCCCGCTGCCCGCGCTGCGCTACCTCACCGGCGAGTGCAACTACGGCGGCCGCGTGACGGACGCGCACGACCGCCGCACGCTCATGAGCATCCTGGACATCTTCTACTGCGCCGGCGCGCTGCAGGAGGGCTATGCCTTCTCGCCCTCGGGCCGCTACTACGCGCCGCCCGAGGGGCCGGTGGAGTCCTACCTGGCCTACATCCGGGGACTGCCCATACTGGCGGATCCGGAGGTGAGGGGTGGGGTGCGGTTGAGGGGTGAGCCGTGTGAGGATGAGGGATGAAAGAAAAACTGTGTACCCGTACCGCGCTCTCCTTCTCCTCTGCCCCAACTCCGCTGCCTCCTCTTCTTCCCTAACAACAACCCTTTCAAACAGGTATTTGGTCTGCACGGCAACGCTGACATCACCAAGGACCAGCAGGAGACCGACCTGCTGCTCTCCTCCCTGCTGGCAGCCTCCTCGGGTGGCGCAGCTGGGGGCGGCGGGGGCGGCGGCGCAGCCGCACGCGACGCGGTGCTTGCCGAGGTGGCTGCGGACATCACCGCCCGCGTGCCGCAGCCCTTTGACATCGAGGCGGTGCGCTTCAAGTACCCGGTGGACTACTACGAGAGCATGAACACGGTGCTGTGTCAGGAGCTGGTGCGCTTCAACCGCCTGCTGGAGGTGATCCACAGCAGTCTGGCGGCGCTGCAGAAGGCGCTGAGGGGGCTGGTGCTGATGAGCGGGGACCTGGAGGCGCTGGGTGGGTGTCGGATGCGGGGGTTGGGGTGGGGGGGAGGGTGATGACCCGTGGGTCGGTGGGTTGGGATGGGCTGAGGACGCGCCGGGTTTGGTTACAATAACCTGACATGCTTGCACAGTTCATTCCTTGGTTTATTACTGTATTTAGGGTCGATTGACACAAGTCGGTACAAGGTATCATAACACGCGTGGTGGCCCACCTCTTCTTATTCTCCTTCTCCTTCTTCTCCCCCTCACAGGTTCCTCCATGTACGACGGGCGGGTGCCCACGCTGTGGATGGACAAGAGCTACCCCTCGCTCAAGCCGCTGGCGCCCTACGTGGCCGACCTGATTGAGCGCTGCCGCATGATGTCGGAGTGGGTGGCGCACGGCCCTCCGGCGGTGTTCTGGATCAGCGGCTTCTACTTCACGCACGCCTTCCTGACGGGTGTCAAGCAGAACTACGCGCGCAAGCGACACATCCCCATCGACACCATCACCTTCAGCTACACCTGCATGCCGGGCTCGGCGGACATGTACAAGGTGAGGGAGAGGAGGGGAGAGGGGGGGGGGTGGGAGGAGGAGGGATGCGATGGAGGAGTTCAAACGAGGAATAGGGCCGACCAGACATTTGCGCATGTACGGTCGTCGTCCTGTTCATTAAGATGCATGATACCGTAGTAGCACGTTTTTGATACCGTACGAACTCCCTTTATAACCCTCCTTCCCTTTAAACTCCCCTCCCCCACACAACCTCCTCACCTTCCCCAGTCTGCCCCTGATGACGGCGCGCTCATCAGCGGCATGTTCGTGGAGGGAGCCCGCTGGGACTCGGAGCTGGGGCTGCTGCAGGAGTCGCTGCCCAAGGCGAGTGAAGGAGGGATGCGGTGTCGCTCGCGCTTGCATGGCATGATGCCTGTGCCTTTGCGCGCGGCTTTACTTAGCATCCTTTTTCTCGCTTTTGGGAAAGGACATTCGTTGTGTGCCGGTACTTACCCACTTCCTATAGACTTACACGTTACACCGCCGTTTTCCGCCCCCCCCGGCCCCCGCCCCCCGCCCCCTTTCCTGCCCTTCCCTCAGGTGTTGTTCAGCCCCGCGCCGCTGATCAAGCTGTCCCCCTGCGACGTGGCGGAGCAGTCCACCTTCCCGCACTACGAGTGCCCGCTGTACCGCACGCCCGAGCGGCGCGGCGTGCTGGCCACCACCGGGCACTCCACCAACTTCGTCATGGAGCTCATGATCCCCTCCGACATGCCGCAGGTGGGGGGGGGGAAAGGGGGGATTAGATACCATGAAGGGGGGTGGAAGGAAAAGAAATGGGAAAACAGACAAGTGAAGCAACTGGAATTCAAATTCCATGGCCCAACTTATGCAATGGGCGAAGCTGGAACGTGGAAGGGGCGGTGTGATTATAAGTTTGGAGGGTGGTTCACGCTAGCGTGCCTTGCTTTTGCTAATAGTTGGGAGGCGTGTCCTTCGCAGCGGTAGAGCCCCGGTCTTGACATGTACTGTCCTCTTGCTTGTCCGCAGGATCATTGGATTCGGAGAGGCGTGGCCTTCTTGCTGTCCTTGGCGGACTAGAGCTGTGCGGCCAGGAGGGATGATGACTTGGGCGCCGCTGAACACATAGCTGCGGCAGCAGTGGCAGTAGCCGCCTACAAGCCAGCGCCACTGCCTTCGCGCGGCTTACCTTGTATCGACTGTGACGGGCACTTTCGCTGCTTACCTGCCGTTAAGCATGGCATAGCTTGGTGAAGTCGATGGTTATGCGTTTTAGTTATCGCTGTTTCTGACTAGGAAGTGACCTTACAAACTGTGGCAATGCTACCGTTATATTGCATCTAATACTTGTTCGTGAGCCGTAGGTAGGGAGCAGCAACTTGCGGCTTTCGATGCAGCTTGGATGGCATACATGGCCGGTAATGCTGGCTTAGCGATATATCCGCTGGCGGTTAACCATATATACCATAGTGACCTTAATGACCCTTTGTTAGCTGTGTGGTGAGAACCAGAAGTCGTGGACTTTGTGACGTTGATGGCGCCGTTGACATGTTGACCGTCGTGTGATGATTGTTGACGACGACGCGTTTGGCGTATGCAACGCGTGTACATAGGACGCCCAACCTTAACTAGGCACTGCGCTGGCGCTATGCCTACATGCTTGTGCTGAAAGGCCGTGATTGCTTCGGTTAACCCACTAGCACCAGCCTAGTGCAAAGTACAAATCGTAATGCTTCCACCATGCCGGTCACTCTCCCACGCCTGTCCCTGCTGCCAATTCCTTTTCCCTTGAACCAAATCTGATATTCAGGGCGCCAGGCAGTCCCCAGCCCTAGAGCCCAGGGTCCCATACTACGAACGGCAGAGTACAAGTTGCAACATCCACCGCTTGACTAGCTCTTCCGGCGTAGAGGTAATCCATAAATGAAATTCAATTCGAAACGCAGAATAACCTGGAAGAATACGGGAAGCTCTATGATCTGCACTAATTGCAGGTAGGTTTCGGAGGAAGACCAACGTCCCTTACACAGGTGCAACTGCCGAGCTGTTATGCGGATCACTACTGCAAAGTTGTCTGCATCTACGTGAATCACCAGCTATCGATTACCGCTCGGACAACGGCTTCAGCAAGTAAACAAAACCTTGACATCGAGGGAGAAGAGTATTTTTGCAGTCCCTAATCTTAAAATTAAATCTTAAAATTTAGCAGTTCCAACAAAAGTATAGATGCATGAGCGCATGATTCGGGCGATCCGCGTTGTGGAGTTGCTGGCTATTTGCCTTTTGCTAGGCCAGGCCCTGCTTTACGGCACTGCTGAAGCTCTAGAAGGTTTGCCAGATAGTTCTGAGCTGCTGGTTGTTGTACCTCATAGTTCGGCGTAAGGGAACTCTTGCTCCCTGCAGAGTCGTCGGAGGAACAGCTCATTGGCTGGCGAGGCGAAACATACAGCGGCCAGGTACGCGGCATATCATAGATGTCCACTACAGCTACCCTCCACACTAGCTGCGAGGTCATGCGGCGAGCTCCTAGGCGCGTCTCCCAACCTTCCTTGCTCGCATCTTCGTCCATCGCAACCTTTCGTCATAACGCTACTACCCACCTATGACTGCCGTTACCGCTCCAACGCGTGCCATTCTTCTTGCAGCAACCGCCCCCTGCGGTCTCTGACCCCGAAGTCGGCTGGATAGAGACCATTTCATGGGCTCCACGAGCATTCATCTATCATAACTTCCTGGCGCCCGAGGAATGTGACCACCTCATAAGCCTCGCAAAGCCAAAGGTGATAATCTGTAGGCGTATGCAGCGCTGACGAGGAACCCCAAATAAGTCCCGCGTGCGATTCGCACAATGCCGCGGCCCTGTGGGTTTGCCGGTATGTGTTTTTGTGTGTGTTTGCGACCGCCCAGTTTCCATCCCCCGTGCATCATCCCCCTTCCCCATCCCACACCCTCACAGTTGGAGCGCAGTCAGGTGGTGGGGCCGCCCAATCAGACCATCGACCCCATCCGAACCAGCTTCTCAGCTAGCATCGGGTGAGGGGGGTAGCGGCGGGGTTAGCCCTTAGTTAGCGGAGATTCCCACTGGGGAAGTGGGAGCGGGGGCAGGGTGTGCGGGACATGCACCCTGCCGGCTCAGCGGATTAGAGAGAAGATTGTTCACGTTCCACGTTGCCGAGCTGTCCATTACCGTACGTTGACGCCACAAGTGCGCCGCTGCATCTGCCGCCCCGCACGTGTTACAGGTACGGCGCAACCCCCATCGTCAAGTCCATAGAGGAGCGGATATCGCGATGGACGGTACGAGGGGGAGGAAGGCAGGAGGGGAGGGAGGGAGGCGGTGTAGATTTTCGTCCCATACAGGAATGGCTGTGACGCTTTTGCTTCCGGGCGCATTGTGAGACGCCCAGAGTTCCTGCCTGCAACGCTCGACTTCCCTTCTCTGGGCTGACCAAGCCATGTGGGGCCTGCTGCTGCTTCTGCCTCCTGTTGCATTGCTTCCCCCCTCTACCTGACTACGACTTCTTCCGCTTCCTAACCCCCTCCAACCATCCTTCCCACCTCCTCCCTGCAGCACCTGCCCATATCGCATCAGGAGCCCATGGAGGTACGTACGGCAGCGGGCGGCTGAGGGGGTGGGTGGGTAGGGCAATGAAGGGAAGCCCTCTCTGGATTCCAGTCCCATGGCCCAGCTGGGCTGGAGGAAGGGTGAGGGAGGGGGGTAATGAGGATGCCGTGTACCCCAAGTTGCGAAGAGAGGGACCCCGGTGGCACTAGTTGGCCAAACCAGCGTTGGGGCACGACGGGGTTTCCGGCGGTCGCATGCTGCTTGTCTCTAGAGTTCCGCCCGCCAGCCGCCACCCCTCCTGTGCATACCATAGCCAGGCGAGACGGCACGGGCACATGCCCCCCGACCTGACTCGACTCCATCCGACGCCCCGCTCCTGGCCCCGCCACTCCACCACCTGCCTCGCGCTGCACTCGCAGGTGCTGCGCTACGTGCACGGACAGAAGTACGACGCACAGTGAGTGGGTGGGTGGGTAGGCGGGAGCCCTCTGCTGGGGAGGGGGTTGAGGAGGATGGATGGGGTGTCAGCACAGGACTGGTGTTTAGTGGCTGTGGTTGTAGGTGGGTGTGTGACCTGGCCTGGCTTCCTGCCAACTAACAGTCCCCTACCTGCTGCCGCACCCCCTCCCCCTCCTCCGTTCCCCCTCTTCCCCTCCCTCGCCCCCCTAGTTGGGACTGGTTCGACAAGTCTGAGTACAACGAGCGGGAGGGCAACCGGCTGGCCACGGTGCTCATGTACCTGTCTGGTGGGGGCGGGATGGCAGGGGGGGTGGGAGGGTCCTTGCTCAGTGCCTGCACCGTATCACTCCCAACAGCCAACACGGCACCTTGGCCCCCTGACATGCCCCGCCCCGCCCCCTTCGGAGACTGCCCATACACAGCCGGGCATACGTTGCGCGTATCCTGCTAACCCCGCTGCTTGCCGCCCCTTCGTCTCCCTGCTGACCGCACCCTGCCCTCCCACCTCCCCTGCACCCACCTGCTGATGTTGAGGCACTTATCTATATTTTGCCCCAACCTGCTGCAGACGTGCCTCGCTCCGCGGGCGGTGAGACGGCCTTCCCGCTGGGGGTGCCCATCGACGAGGCGCGGCAGGGGGTGGAGGGGCGCGGCTACTCGGAGTGCGCGGGCAGGAGCGGCATCGCCGTGCGGCCCAGGAAGGGCGACGTGCTGTTGTTCTGGGACCTGGAGCCGGACGGTCAGCAGCCCGACCGGCACAACCTGCACGCCAGCTGCCCCACCTTCGCGGGTGGGACCAAGTGGACCGCCACCAAGTGGATTCACAACCGGCCCCTCATACCGGGGTGAGAGCAGCTGGTGTGGCGGGGTGGGGTGTAGGGCACGGAAGATGGTGGAGCGTCTGCATGTGTAGGTGACGAGCGTTCCCTGCATGTGGAGAGGTAGAGATGGCAGTGCGGCCTAGCGGCGAGTACTGCCGGTGGTGATGAGCTGATGGCAGGGTTGTCAGGTTGGCTGGTGGTGGTGACGGCTGTGACTACCGAGGTGCTGCTAGATGCAGAGAGGAGAGATGGATGTGGCTTTCCTGTGCAGACCTTTTGCTGGTCCTGGCCGCCTGAGTGTTGCACATACGCAATGGACGAGGGGGCAGTTGTCCCTGCATTCACCTAACTGTGTTTGCATGCGCAATCAGCTGTGAGCGTGTGTACAGTGACGGTGAGTTAGCTGATGCGCCATGGGAGGGAGGGAGGGCCGAATGGGCATGGAGGTGCTGTCCGAAGGCACTCCGTTGTAGCTGCTTGCGTGGGAGGAGGGTTGGTAGGTTGTAGGTATGTACCCACGTACATGGGGGACCTCCTCGACCTCCTCACTACCTCTGCCGCCGCTTCCAGCACCGCCACTAGCAGCTGCAGCAGGAGCAGCAGCGACGACAGCAGTAAAGTCGTGGGTGATCATCACACCGGAGTCTACCTTCAGCTTGCTTCCCGTTCCGACCCTACCTGCTGCTGCTCCCCCTCCACACTGGCCCTTCCCATGTCTACCATGGCCTCCTGCAACGTCATGTCATTTCCCCAACGGCCAAGCCAAAACGTTAGCAGTGAGGAGCACTGCTACCGGTGACACCGTGCAACCCCTTTTGCAGGCCCCATCATCAACACCCCCCCTGCTTCCCCCCCTAATACTAATGCTGCTCCCAGCCCTCCCCCAGCTCCACCACCACGGGCGCGTACTCGTCGTCGTCATCCTCACCCAGAACCTGGGAGGGGGGAGGGGAGGGGAGGGAGGAGGCGAGGGAGAGTTGTGTAGGGTCGGTGTGTGTCGGTCTGCTGCCTACCGAAGCCTATAGATAGCAGGTATTGGTGTGTCACGGCGGGGGCTACATAGCGAAAAGGTGGTGGCAGAGCGGCTCCTCGGGGCCCCTGGTGGGAAGGGGAACACCAGGCTATAGTCCCGCCCGCCCGCATGAACCCCATCCGCCCATCACAGGCCGCAGCTATCAGCCCTCCCTCCCCTGCTGCATGCCTCTTCCTGCCCGGACTCCCCCTCATACTCCTCCTCCCCGCCCCAGCGCTGAGGGTGTGTTCACACTCGCCTGCACTCCGTCGAACTGCCAGCCCAGCGCGCGACTCAGCAGGGCTCGCAGCTCGGAGGCCTGGAGGGGCGGGGCGGGTGGGGGGTGGGGTGAGGCCGCGGATGGATTGGCGCGCAGGAGGGCTTCAAAGAGTAAGATCCCGACGTGCTAGGCAACCGGCAGGAACTCCTGGACGGTCATACCGGTACCCACGTGTCGGTACATGTGTGTACCATCTCCTCCCCTCCGCCCCCCGCCCTGCCCCCCTCCTCACCTCCTGCCTCAACCTCGCATCCAGCCGCCCGCCCTCCGCCTCCCGCAGCACCTCGAAGAAGGTGCCCAGGTGGTGCCGCAGGAAGCACTCGCGGCCGCCGCCGGACAGCAACACCTCCTCCACAAGTGACCCGTGGGTCATCGCCGCAGCAGCACCCGCATCGCCCGCCAATACCTGCCCCTCCTCTGTACTACCACTGCTGCTGCTTGGGTTTCCTAGTGTTGCTGTTGTGGCAGCCGCGTCCTTGAGGGCGAGGGCGAGCTGCGAGCGCAGGGCGGCTAGGAAGGCGGTGAAGGCGGGCACGTGGGAGGCGGTGGGTCCGGACTCGCAGTTGAGGAAGAGCGTCACCAGCGCCCGCCACTGCCGGAAACCTGTGGGTGGGGGAGAGGGAGGGGACATCAGGAGGGAGGGGAAGGAGGTGCACGCGTGCACATGAGAGCAGCTCACCGAGGACTTCCATTGCCGTACCGAGTCCATATACCGGTACCGAACCCGACCCTCTGCTTCTATTCTCCAACTTCCCAGCCCACGTACCCATATAAACACAGCTCCCTCACCCGTGCCGTGCGAACCGCCCAGCCGCCGCACACCTCTCGCCCCATGCAGCAACCCTCCCCCCCATCTCCCCCTTGTCGTCATCTCAGTCAACACATTGAATATTCTTCTTTTCCCTCTCACCTTGCAGCGACTGTCCGAACACGAATGCGATGAACGCGAACTGCAGCTCCCCCACCAGCGCCAGGACACCACCCTCCGCCTCCCTGCCTGTCCCTGTCCCCGTCTGGCCGCTGTCCCCCCACCGCTGCGCAGCCGCCTCCAGCTGTGCGGTGCGATCCAGGTTGAGTGCGGTGAGCTGCGCGGGAGTCAGACCTGCGGGGCGGGGGAAAGAAGAATAGCAATAGCACATGGTGGGGAGGAAAGGGGAGGAGCGGAAGGGCGCGTGTCGTTGATTTTGCGCCTCACCTGCTCCCTTCACCAGGCGCGATAAAGCTGTGTAGTAGCAGCGGCCCGACGTGACAGCGGCTGCGGGGGCGGCGGCTCTCGTGCCACCATTGTCAACATTACCGCCACTACCACCAGCAGCAGCAGCAGCACCGGCCTGAGGGGCCGCTGAGTCCACATCCATGCTCGCTGCCTCCCCGCCGCCACCGCCACCGCCCTCCGCTGCTCCCTGGCCAGTCACGGCGGCTACTTGCCGGGCTGCCCGAGCGACGCGGCCCTCCTGGAGTGGTGGCGGGTAGGAGGAGGGTGTCAGGGAATGCAGAGGTCAGGGGGCAAGGGGTCGGCAGCAGGCTGGAGCAGGGATAGGGGAGCAGTGAAGAGGTTCAGTGAAGAGTAAAGGGAAAGCGAGCGCAAAACGTGTGTATAGTAGGGCGCAAAACATGGCCCTTCTCCCCCCCCCAACACACACACACATATACACACATGCACACCTGCAGCTGCTTCTTCAGCCTCGCCTCAGCCTCCGTCGCGGGCCGCCCCTCCTCCTCCCCCTGCTCGTCCAACCCGCCGCCCTCCATTGCCGTACAGATGTTCCCCCCAATGGGCTGCAGTGCCTCCATGATGCGCGCATCCAGGCAGCTCGTCAGCTCGCGCCACTGCCGCCACGCGTTCAGGTTGTACGGCGCCAGGCCCCAGTCGAATTCGTACCGCCGTACACCCTGGGCGTAGCGCTCCGCCTGCGACCAAGGAGTCAAGGAGTCAGCTAAGAACACACCCAGTACGGCAAGCAAGAGGCAACCGAATCCATATACCGGTAAGTGGACTGCACAAGAGCTCGTGAAGGTCAGAGGAGACGGGATGAATCCAGATCCACAGCCAACCCCACACCCACCTCCTCCTCCGGTAGCCCCACAAGCAACTCCTGGGTCGCATCGTACCGCCGTACAATTACCGTACCGCCACCTGCCGTCGTACTCCTGCTGCCGCTGCCTGCTGCTCCTGTAGCTCCGGCCGCCGTCGCTGCTGTTATGTTGACGAAGAAGCCGGTCAGGGGTCCCATGCCGCCGCCATGACGCTGAGAGCCTGGGACGCTGTAACAGACGAAATGCGGCCCTGGCGGTAACATCTTGATGCCGCGGAAGCGAGGTCCGCAGTGAAAGGCCTACAGCGAATAGAAGTTGGGGTCGGTTACGGGGCCGGGTGAGGTAAGCATTGACGCGAACATGCCGCATGTGGAACCAGCATGACTAGGCGTGGTATGCCATCAACGGCGAGTAATGTGCGTGTTAGCAGAGTAGCATAAAGGTGTCGTTGGCACTTTTAGTTTACGAGCTAACAAAAAGTAAGCATGATTTCAATAGTAGATCGCAAGGCTGGGCAAGCTGGTTCCGTTTGTGCTCCTACCATGTGATCAATACCGAAGTAAGACCCTTCTGGTAAGTCCAAGATGAGCAGAGCGCCGCCCTGATCGGCCAACTGCTGCGCCACGCCAGGGTCAAGCCGGACCGCATAGGGTGCCTGGCCGTCCATGATCACTTGCCGCTCTTACAGCTAAACCCGATTATGTTTTTGGTATTTTCTTTGTGAAGGATAACTTTGTTTGTACGCCTACATATGTTGTAAACACGGTTAGGCGATAAGTCGCGATAAGCAATGAAGAACGGGAGTTGTAACGTTGCTGTTATATTCTATATTCTGCTATATGGTTGCTGCCGACTTTTGTGATCCCGACTGCTCGACTGCTGTCGTACGGTCATATGCCGGGGAGAGCCAGGAGCTGCGCAGCTTAGCATCAGCCCCCAGGCATGGAAGACAGTTTGTGCTTGACTGGTGTGATCCTCTATAGATGTCACAGTTCATATCACTTTCGTCAAGCTAAGACACGGTCAAAGGCGGGCTCCGCATCGCAGTCAGGGGGATTCCCTGTCTGCAGCTCCCTGGCAGAGGGTTTCGGCCCGGCGACTGAACCTTAGGAGGGTCAGTAAGTCCTTCCCTAATTTGCACTTACTCTGTAAGCTTTGTGGATATCTTCTCAATTACAAGTAAGGGTAGGGCGAGTCCCCATACCCACATACAGACACGACCCATGCATGAAGCCATGCGGACGCAGACCGGTGGGACCTCAACAAAGGACCCCAAATGGCCCCACTCTCGACTCCCTCGCGCTCTACTTCATTGCACCCTCAATTTAGTCTCAGCTAGCCCAGCTAACGAGCCCAACAACAACGCACCAGCCTCTTCCGTACTGCCGCCTGTACTACACTGTACTACACACCCACGCACACCTGTATGCTCTGACACAGCACACGGCAGACGCTCAAACCTACAATGATTAAACATCAAACGAACGATTACTTTTTCGTTTGTTAACAGTAGCATGACTCGAAAATTGCTTGTCGAAGACCAATCTCAGTACGCATCTGGCGCATGGCAGCAGGTGTCCTGCAGGATATCATGGATATCAACACAGCGCCAATGGGCACTGCAGGACCGGGCAGCAGCAGCAGCAGCAGGAAGGGAAGGAGGAGTACTATTTTAGGGCGTACCAACCTCTGCCCCAGCAACAGTACCCAGCAACAACAGCAGCAGTGCAATGTGAGGTCGCATCAAACCTCTGAACTAATAACGACTACCGACCCAACGCACAACAATGCAACGTCCCCATCCGCAACACATTGCGGGAAACTAATGGACTAAGGCACTGCTGCGCATCCTGCCACTCGCAAAACACACTCACCGTGCTCCCGCGGTTACATTGACCCCTCTAGACGAAACGCAAGGGCTGTGAGAAGAAGGCCCCCACCTCATGGCCCAAACGATCCCCTCATTCGGGTCATCAGCATTCCCACCTCATCTACCGCAATTCCTCAGCCCCTCCGTCACCCCTCCGTGCCCCACCCCGCCCTTCCCTCCGCCCCCCCTACTGGCACTCCTCAATAGTGCACCGCAACCACACGCGGCCGTCGAATACGAACCGTCGCCACGCCGCCTCGTCCCTGTCTGGCGTGAGGCCGAAGAAGCCCCACAGACCCACGGGACACGCGTTCATCACATGGTAGCTGAAGCTCTTGCGCAGGCTGTAGCTGCCCTCGCCCAGCACCCCCGCGTCCTGGCGGGCGCACACCGTGGCCTTCACCTGGGAAGCGGAGGAGGAGGCGAGGTGGGAGGGGGGGAGAAGTGAGGACTGAGGCGGTGGGAGGAAAGAAGAATACCCAATGTGTTGAACGAGAGGGGGGGGTCAAACACCATAACGCACCATAGGAAGCCGCAGGTTAGGGCATAGCAATGGGGTTAGGAGGCGGCGCAGGGTGCCATAATACCATGGAGGGCGAGGGAAAAGGAGAGGTTCGGGTGCACGACTCATGATGTGTGGTGCCGTGCGGCTAATACGAGCTGCAAGCCCTTACGAGCTAAGCCACAGCTCAATCCCAACCCGTCCCAATCCCGTCCCAACCGCCCACCTTGACGCACGGCAAGCTGTGTTTCCGCCCCGCCAGCTTCACATTGCACGCTAGGCCCATGTGCTCCCGATACTCGGGGGGCTGGGGGGAGGTGGAGGGAGGTTGGGGTTAGGCAGGCAAGGTGGAGGAGGGAGGGGGGAAGGTACCGGGTACATGGCTTTCCAGCGAGAGACACGCTTTCACTCAAATGGAGCCCTTTTGGCACGTTACGCGATGCATGCTTGCTACCCGCAGACACTTGCTTCCCTCCTCAGGCTGCCTCAGGGCTAGGTTTCTTCATACCGTACACGTCCCCCCCCTCCCCCCCCTCCCCCCCCCACCTGCGATGCGTCCAGGTCGTATCTCAGCCACCAGTGGAAGCCCCCGAAGAAGGCGGGCTCGCTGGTGACTACCTGGGGGGGGGGGAGTGGGGGGGCAGGGGATTGGGGTGGGGGGGTGAGCAGGGGGTTGGGTGGGGGGTGAGCAGGGGTTTGGGGGGCAGCAGGATGCCACGTGCGAGGTCATCATCCTCGTGCATGCAGGAAAAAACGCATGGGTAGGGATGTGGAGGGGCGGGAGTGTAACAAATAGCGCCCACCCACCCACCCTACCTCCCACTCAGTTTACCCCACTCACCTGCAGCGACCGCGTGGCTCGCGAGTCGGCGTACAGCTGCTGCAGCGTCGCGAAGTCAATGGACCAGTCGAACGTCACTCGCTGCGACAGAGGCCGGGCGCGAGGGCTGAACGCAGGCAGCTGGGGCTGCTGCTGCTGGTGCTGGGAGGAGGAGGAGGAGGAGGAGGAAGAGGCAGGTGCAGCAGGCGCCTGCGGACCCGGCGGCGAAGCCGCCGCCCCGGCCGCCGCCTGCGGCGCCGCAGGCGCCGCCCCTTCCGCTGCCCCATGCTGGCCTGCCGCTGCTGCCGGCAGGGCCGCCGCCGCCGCCGGGGGTGCTGCAGCAGCCGCCGCTGTTGCGTTTTCAAAGTACCGTTCAGCCGTGTACACGTCGCGTGTGGACGCATCCGCTCGCGCCCAGCTCAGCGCCAGCAGCAGGCGACTGGGGTCCAGGGCGGCGACCAACCAGGGGATCTGCCCAGGGAGGGGGGGTGGGCGGAACGGGGGATAGCAACTTAGCATGCGACAGCTCGCACTTGACAGCTGTCACCCAACCCATTACACGATACGATAACACGAAAGGCCTGATACAGCTGCATTACCGCTAGCAACGTTACTGTAACCATCGTTACTAGTACGGCACATCAATCACCTGTTAACCACCGTCGCTTCTCCACCATTTTCCAGTCATCAAACCCCTCCCCGCCCCCGTCCCCGCCTCCTCTTCCCTCCCCCCCACCTGCGGTATGATGTACGACAGGTAGCTGTGGGTGCAGTGCTGCAGGCGCAGCAGGGCCGCCAGCTGACGGCGCTGCTCGGGGGAGGCGGACTGACCCGTGGGTCCTGCGCCCCACTCCACCAGCGCGGCTACGGCGGTGTTCTCGTTCCACACGCGCACCTCGTTGCTCTAATGGGGAGCGGGTGGGGGGTCACGGGACGTGGCGGGATGTACGGTGATTGGGCCAAAAAGGAAGCGCAATGGCAGGGCGCGGATGGCAGGCAGGCATGGGCGCAGGGAGGTGCACTGAGCAGTAGTGGCAAGGCAGGGCAAACGGTGAGGGGTTGCTGTAATAGAAGGAAACAGATATGATGACCCGCTGTTGTCGTACCTGCAGCAGCAGCTTCATGGCCTCGTACGGCAGCCCCACCAGTTGGGCCTTACGTGCCGTACAGTCCATCACGAGCTCCAGATCCCCCAGCTCCGAAACCAGCTTGTCCACCAGCTTGGATAGGGCTCCTGGTTTAGGTAGGTAGGGACACGCGGGCAGGCAGTGACCCACGGGTCGCTCCCGAGCAGGAGGTCCCCGCCAGGACAGGACAGGACAGGACGGGTGCGGGGGTGCCCGCGGCGGTGCCTTCCGGCAATCACAGTATGTTCCGACTCGCGACCAGTTTCCTTAACACACAAACACACCACTCCCAACCTCTCCCAATTGCTTGCTGCTGTTCTCCTGAACTATACACACACACTCACCCCTTCCTCCTTGACTGACACCTGTCCAACACCTGCCCCCCCTCCCCCCCTCACCCGCCAGCGCTCCCCCCGCCAGCAGCACCTCAGGCAGCTGGTACAGCCCCAGCAGCTGCTCCAGGGAGAGGCCCGGCAGCGGCAGGCCGGCGAAGGCGGCGTTGACCGCTCCCAGCAGGCGGCCCACCTGGGGTGTGGGGCGGGTGGAGAGAGGGGAAGAGACAACGCCGTGAAGAGGAAGGGGGATTGCTAGCTACCGGCGGATACCGGTAACAGATGCATGAATGGAATTGGTGTGTTGTTACAGGATCAAAGCAGCGTTGGCGTGGATAAACCTTGGCGGTAATAATGCTTGGCCTTCTCTATGCCGATACACTCCCTGTAGCCTACACCACCCTTCCCCCTTCCCCCTTCCAACGCATTATAAATAAATGCGTTGTTGCATTTATTTATAATCCCCCCCCCCTACCGCGTACTGGTCCGCCAGCAGCAGCAGCGACAGCAGCTGTGGCGGCGACAGCCCCGGCGGCAACCTCCCCGTGTACATGAACCTCAGCATGATCTCCGCCGCCTCCACCTCCTCAGTGTCAACATACATCGTCAGCACGCCGCGTTGAGGCTGCTGAGGCGATCCGGGGCCGGCGCCAGTGCCGCCGCCGACGGAATCCGAGGCGGCGGCGGCAGCGGAAGTTGAAGAGCCGCCGCCGCCCCCGCCGCCCGTCATCATTAAGCCGCCAGTCCAGCTCTGCAGCAGTGTACGGAAGTAGTCGCTGGTCGCCGCCAGTACGGCAGCGTGGACTGGGTACACGCGCAGCGGCGGCGGCCGCGGCGGCGCCGAGGAGGCTGCTCGTACGGTACGAGTGCCGGCGGCGGCAACGGTGGTAGCGCCATCATCTGAGGGCGGTCGGTTGTCGACGGAGGCGGCCCAGTTAAGGTTGGCGGCGCCGGCGCCACCTTCGGCGGCGGCGCGTTCTTCGCCAGTGCTCGTCCAACTGTCACAACGGCCAGGCGGGTAGGCGGCGGCGGCGGTGGTTGTCGTACCTTGCTCCGACGGCGGCTCGCCGCCGTCAATGAGTTCGCTCCAGCTGCCCGCCAGCCCTAAAGCCTCGGCGGCGGCAGCATCGAGCGAGTCGGCCATAGCGACGGCGGCGCCGTCGCCATCATTGTACGGCAGCTGAGTAAGCCTGCCGTACTGCGTCGCCGCCAGATCCTGCAGTCCCGGAGCTGAAAACGTGCGCGCAAGGGGCGGACGTCCATTGCGACGCGACGCCGACGCTAGCGGCAACGCTGGCGGCGGCGGCGACAACTGCAGCACACCCGCGTTTGTCGCCGCTGCCGCCGCCGCCGCGGGCGATTCCGTACCTGACAGGGCGCCTGCCGTACCAGAGCTTGAAGGGGAACTGGCGGCGCTGTCCGCGGGACCCGCTGGCCACAAGCCGGGATCCGCACCGGTGCCGCCGGGCCAGCCACGGTCTCGGAACCGAGCCGCCGAGCCGCCGCCGCCAGCTCCCGTGGGCTGCAACTGGTCGCGACCTGGAAGCGTGTCGCCGGCGCCGACGCCGCCATGGGTAGCGGAGGCGGCGGAGGCGGAGGCGGCGGAGGCAGACGCGGGTGAGCGCCGCTGCGAGGGGCTGCCGGATGCCGACTGTACGGCGGCGGCGACGAAGACGGAGGTACCCCCCGACGCCGTACCTGCCGTACCTGCGCCGCCGCCATGACGGCGGCCAGCGGCGGCGCGACCAGCAGCGCCGCCGCCGGGGACTGTCGCCACCGCACCGGTTACCGGTGCCGCCGCCACCGACGGCGGCGGTGGTGGTGCAATAGTCGCAAAGGAAACTCCAGACCCCGGCTGTGGCGGCTGCGTCCCTGCCCGGAAGGAAAAGGACCAGCCCTCCCGGCGATGGCCACCACTGCCGCCACCGCTAGCCGCCGCCGCTGCGGCAGCAGTAGCGGCGGAGGCGGATGCCGTTGATGCCGACGGCGCTGCTACCACCTGCCTGGATTGCAGGCTGGTGTACCGCACGCCCTCGCCAACATCGCCGCCCACGTCGCCGCCAGCTGCCGCGACTCTTAGCCTTCCTGCCGCGGCCGCCCCTTCAAATTCCCAATGCCGCGCGCCACCAGCATGCAAACCGCCGCCGCCGCGTCGCTCGCGATCGGGCGAGGGAGTCGCTGCCAAGGGTGCGGCCGTCGCGGGGGTGCATGCGCGGCGAATGGGGCTGGGAGCGGGGGGTCCAGAGGGCTGCGTGTCCCGCTCATCGTAATCATCATCCTGCAATTTGGGATCAAACCGGGGCACAGCTGGGTACTGGAGCTGGATGTGAGGCCTCATGGGGATAAGGACATAAAGACAGGACGCGCGGAAGACAGGGGGGCGAGGTATTCTGCTCATTTGTACAGCGGTTGTGATTGCGTTTCTTTATGTTTCCTCCCCCCGTAGTGGTCTTGATGCCTCTGCAGCAGCTGCTTCACCCCCGGGAATGGTTGCGACGGCCCTACTAAGCGGGTTCCCAACCAAAAGCCTGCTCCCTACTCTCCCAGAGGCAAGACCTTGCAAACGCGACACTCTTTAGCGCGGCAGATACAATATGACCCACGGGTCCGACGTCGGCCTAGGCACTTTGCCGCAATCCAACCAAACCGATAGGGGAAACAGCTTTTGCGAGCTGCATGCGGTCTGGCAGCTGGGAAAGCGCGCAACAAGTGTTTGTTGGGAAAGCGAATACGAGGGCTGGTCGGCTCTTCGGCTTCAGCAGCAAAGGCCCCTGCGCGATCACGGGAAGCCCCGCCCTCCCTCCCTCACCTGGAGTAGCTGCGGGTGCAGATGGAGCTCCAAAGTAAAGTCAGAAAACTGTGAAAAGGGCACAAAAGAGGCACCGCGTTGCAACGTTGCGTGACTCGCTTTTGCGCAGCACCTGCGACTCTACAATCCCGTCGATCCTAAAGCGCCGTTTGTGCCTCACACAAGGCACTACCGTCCAAGGCAGAAGCACCTTGAAGCTCAAGAGGCAAGCCAAGGGGTCACGGACCTGTGGATTCTGCCATAGCCAAGCAAATTGAAGTCCGGTATCGTCGGCTCCTAGAGACGGACCGCTCATAGTGTGTCCGTGTGCGTGTGAGAAAAGAAAAGTAGTGTGACGCACGCCCTGTTATCAATAATGCTATGTACAGCGCGGCAGACAGAGGGTGTCGAGAGTGCCGCGAGTATGACAGTGGCCTTGGAGACGATGGCACCAGGCTTTGGAGTTGAGTTTAAGGCAGGTCAGGTGTACCGCTATATTAGTCCCGCTATGCTTTCTGTCAATTACAATTGCGTAAAGAGTCCTCAGTGAAGGACCCATTTATGAGCGGTGTCGTGCCCGAGGCAAATCCAAGGCGTCCTGCGCAACATGCCGAATTCACGTTGACCTAGCGTCCTACGTTTGGCCCAACTTTTTCTGTTTGCATCCTCCTATTTAGCCATAGATAACACATGCATCTCTGGAAAGCACCAAGAATGCGTCCTGCCCGCCGGCCCGAGGCACGTGTTCTGCAGGTCCATTGCATAGCGGAACTCCAAGTCTCTCTCTCTGAATGCGGGAAGCGCGCACAAAATTGTAGGCTACAAACCTAGTAAAGGACCAGGCCCAAAGCTAGCATGTTGGCCAGGAAAAACACACTCAACGGCAACTCTCCACACGCCTTGCCGCTCTATATTACATGGGCGGGGCCTGGAAATCGCCCGCCAGCCTGTACAGCCCCAGCGCTGGACCCACAAACCGGAATAGAACCCATCCGCCCAGCAGCGCGAACACCGACGCGTACGCCGCCTTGTTCATCCAGAAGAGAACGCCACGACGACCAAGATACAGCTCGGTGAGCTTCTTGCCCAGGTCCATCTCCTCCCAACCATCCGGGAACAGCTGCCCCTCACGCCATTCAGCCATGTTCTCATACTGGCTGTCGACGGTGCGCTCCTGGTGGGTGACTCCGCGGATGGGGATGGGCTTCGGGGCTGACTTTGGAGGTGCAGACGTTGCTTTTCCACGGATGCTCGCCTCTAACCGCTCAAGCGATGTCTCCTTGTCGTCTACGCTTTTGCTGCCTGAAGGTCCCTCGCCGTTCCCTACTGCCCGAAGTAACAGTATCCTTTGCCTGCCTTGAACCTTCGTACCACTAAACGATCCAAAAGGAGTCAAATTGTGTAGCCTACATGGATGCAGTAAGCAAGCAGGTGCCATGGTTGAGCAGGATGTTTGAGAAGGAAAGTTCTTAGCAAAGAGCCGTCAAAAACATACAAACATGCTGATTAAGCGCTTACACCTCCAACCGGAGAAGAAGCGAGGGCTCCTTGCGACTGCACGACTTATGGCTTCGGAGCAAGTGCCGCTGTGTCCCCATGGTCCCGTCCCCTCCCACAGGAAGTTGCCACATTACCAAGGTGCCAGATACATTTCTAGTATAGCGAGAGGTCTAGGGCTATCATAGTTACTGCCACAGCCTCCTTAGCAAGATGCGTAGCGTTCAGATCACACGAGGGGTCCTAGCTCTCCTGCTAGCAAGCACGCTCTTGCTGGCCCCTATTCGTGCTGCTGATAGTGTTGTAGACGATGATGAGTACGCGGACGTGCAGCGGGCTCAGCTAGTGGTACGCAAGTTCGTCAAGGAGGAGCTGGTGGTGCAGGGGAAGAACGTAACGGTGGAGCTTGACATCTTCAACTCTGGTCTAAGGTGAGGACTTTAAATGGTTATAGCTGTTGTGCAGAGTGTGATCGTTTCTTCCTCCCTCCCTTAGCACTGCCGATGCGGTCAAGCTCGAGGACGCACTCCCTGCCGAAGCCACGCTTGTCGACGGTGCTTTGGAAGTGAACTTTGGCAAGGTCACTGTCGGCAGCCACGTCAAGCACAGCTATGTTATCGTGTTCAACACCGGCAGCGTGCAAGTCACGCTGCCTTTGGCTCGCGTCTCCTACATTGCGGAGACCGATAGCACCGAGCGCACTGTAAGTGTTAGTACTTATTGCATCCTGTATAAGCTCTTGCAACTTGCTGACGACGGGTTCCACGACTCCATCACAGCTGGGTGGCTCTTCGACCATGGCCCTGTACGTGATGACTCCGGTGCAGCAGCTGCAGCGGTACGCCCTCCAAGCGGTAAGCAGGGTGCCATTCGGGCCATCTTTCGTCCACCACTGCGACTCCGGTTACCCTACCTTGACGCCTTGGTACTTCCGTTGCAGGGTGCTTGGGCCAGCCTCGGGTTTGCTCGCACCCCCTCCGACTGGCGCAACCTGGCCATCGTGATCGGCACTGTGGGCACCGCTCTGGGCGCCAACTGGATGGTGAAGAAGGTCAACGCCTCGCGCGTCAACCGGAAACGCGCTGCCGCTCTGCGTGAGCTGGAGAAGTAATGGAGAGCTGCTGTGCGAGCTGTGGCGGACTTGGGTTGAGCTCTGAACCTGTCGCCAGCCCTTACTGTGTTTGCCAAAGCCGTAAGGCTCTGAAGGACGACTGGATGGGCATGTGTGAAGGCGTGTGCATGCATACCTGGTGGTCTTGGCTTGATGTGATGTGGGCCGCCCTTTGCTGCGTGTGCGGGTGTCTCTTCCAGGGGCAGCTGGATGAGCCCTTGACGGCGCCCCTGTTGCCCGCAATAGCGGCTGCGAGGAGGGAGTGACAGATGGGGTGGGGGTTTGAAGGGACACAGGCGATCCTGCAATCAATTCTAGATGTTGACACGGACCAAGGGCTGAGGAGGTATTGACAAACATTGACGGAACCACCGACCCTTACAACCACTTTTGACACAACCAAGCGTACCCAACAGGGTCGCTGCGATGTTCCTGCTGTGCTGTGCATCACCTGTGTATGTGTAAAAACACCTGTTATAATGAGTGTCATGTACTCTGTCGTACCTTCAACTGACATCGTACACAAGCTACACAGCGAGCGCAACAGGAATAAGCGAGAGCGATTTAGTCATTCCGAACAATGTCACCGACCTCTTGGAAGCAAACCTTACGCAGGTATACACGTCAAGTTATGACGCCAAACACTCAATCTGACTCAACCTAACGTAAACACACACACGCTGCCAGTTTTCTTCAAAAACACAGATGCCTACGGCACAACTTGGTCTTCTCCGCGTCCGGTCCCGAAATGGTTTCCCGATCCGCAACTAAACACCACCACACCCACCCAGAGCGCGCGCCGCTTCCTTCAGACGCTTCCTTCAGCCGCCTAGGCAGCTAGCAGAGTAGCCGGCCTTAGCCGAACACCTCCCCAACGCTCACTTGCCCCTCTATCCTAGCGCACCGCATACCGGGCAGGCAAAACCCGCAACCAAGTGAACCGCTCGCCGCCCACTACCAACCGCAATCCACATGCTGCTGCGCCTGGCACCAACCAACCTCCAACCTCCTCTAATCCCAACCACCCTTTCCCAAATCCGCACCCACCCAGCCATGCCACACAACCGCAACCACCACCACCGCCACAACCTCCTCAAATCGCCGCACCCTTATCCCCCTCCCCCTCACCTCCATGCGCCACCCCCGTCGTCTTGCCCTTCTCACACAACTTGCACAGCTCGCGTTCCCCCACCTCCTTCAAGCTCTGGTTGGGGTAGCGGATCAGGTAGTCCAGCGCAAACACGGTGGAGGGCACCGCCAGCATGAGGCCCCACACGCCCAGGTTGTGCTCCGATATCAACAGCACCGACAGCACCATGAGCGGGTGCAGCTTGAGGTGCGCAGAGTAGATGGCGGGGTTGAGGGCGTAGGCCTCCACAAAGTGTACGGCAGCCACCATCAGGATCACCATGGCGAGCTTTGCGAAGCCGTACTCCGTGAGGGCCACGAAGCCGATGGGCACGGTGGACATGATGCAGCCCATGATGGGGATGAAGGAGCAGAGGAAGACGAAGAGCGAGAGCAGGCCGACGCCGGGGATGGCGAGCAGCCACATGCCGGCGGCGGTGAGGGCGGTGTTGACCACCGCGATCTGGGCCTGAGGGGGGGGAGGGGTGGAGACAAGGGGAGGGAGGGGCGGCGAGGGAGGGAGGTGGTTGGGCGCAGGGTGGATCGTACAAGGCCGTACAACACACCAACCAACCAGGGCAACAACAACCGCAGTAGTAACCGTGGGGACCCCTTTCACGCTCCTCGTCCTCGCCTCCCACACGCGCCTTCCCTAGACTCGGCAGCATCATCGGCTCCACCCCTCCAGCTGCGTCCGCACAAAACACCCCACCACCACACCTTCCGTCTTCTCCCACCCTGCCCCCCCCCCCTCCACGTCAGTTGCTTCGTCAGAGTCTCATTATCTATATATTTTTTACCCCCTCCACCCCCACCCCACCTACCTGCACCTGCAGCGCCTTCCCGAACAGCTGTCCGAACACCGTGAGCACGGGCGCCACCTCGTTGTACATCGGGGCCAGGCGGGAGGTGCGCAGCGAGGAGATGCCGGAGCTGATGCGAGGCATGTCCCACACGAACAAGAAACCCAGGATCAAGCTGACGAGAGCCTGGGAGGAGGGGGTTTGGGGGGAGCAGGAACACCCAATGTGTTGGGGTTGGTGGGTGTAGGAGGTCTAGGGGAAGGGGAGGAGAGGTTGGGCTTTCGCTTGGCTCGCTGCTCAGTTACCTAACTGCTACCCCCCCTCTCTCCCCCAAGCCCCCACCTGCAGGCTGAACTTGGCCACGCTCTTGACGAACACTGCGGTGTACTTGGCTGCCATGGTGGTGTAGCCCTTGAGCATGGAGCTCACCGCCAGACCCAGCTTGGTGCTGCGGGGGCTGCACCACACCTGGGGGGGGGGCGGCGAGGAGGGGAGAGGGAGGAGAGGGGGAGGGGCGGGGGGTGAGAGGGGGGAGGAGGTGAGGGGCGGGGGGGTGAGAGGTGAGAGGGGGCGGCGGAGAGGTACGCAGGTGATCCCCGGGAGAGTGAGTGAGGTGGGTAGACAGGGATGGTGGCTGGGGGTGGATGGCGGACACGTCCGGCAGGTGCGGAGTTGGGGTTCATGGGGTTCATGGGGGATGAGGTGGCGCGGGTCCGGCACGTGCGGTATGTGTGTTTTACCGAGTGCGCACGGAGGGGCCCTGGATGGGTTGGTGGGGAGCCAGCTTCCAAAGCAGGGTTGGACCGCGAGGGCAGGACGGCATGTACGGCATGTCGTGTGTATGGGACCCGATCGTGTGGGCAAGGGTTCGTTCGAGTAGGGTGCGGTAGGGGGTTGGGGGGGTGGAGGGTGGGCGCTACATCGCACCATGTAGGCATTGTGAAGGTTTAACGTAAAGCGCATGGGCCAGAGTGGGGCCCGGCGTCCACAGCTTACCCGCTCGGTCGCTGTTTCCCCACGATCAGCCCAGGTGCAAACCCTGCTGTCATACCCGTGCGAGCGCGCACACGCACCCGCACGTTCTCTCGCGCGGTCAGGTTTCTCCGCACCCACCCACACCCCGCACCTGCGTGTCCGTGACCGCAGCCGCCGCGATGTCGTTGCTGGTGGCCAGGTACACCGCCTTCTCCAGGCTGTTCATCACCTGGTCGCTGCGGGGGGGGGCGGCAGGTACGACAGGTCAGTCGCATGTATGTGCTGTAGCCAACCAGCCATAAACATGCTGTTTGTAAGTTATTCATAGCAAGCAGGCAGCAGCACCCCCTAAAACGCCGACAATGCTCGGCCTTTGTGCACCCAACCCGGCAGCCATGTTAGCTAATGCTTCCGGTCATGTCCCCTTTTTGGACCTTTCAGACAACACCACACGGCACCCAACCCGGCTGCTCCTTACCCGACACCCCGCCGCATCTTCTCCACCAGGATCACCTGCGTACGCGGGGCAGCAGCAGGTGGTAGGGGACTTATTAAGCGGTAGGGGATTGAGTCGACATGTGGAGGAAAGGGACCGGTCGTGGTGACAGCGGCGGCGTACAGGGGCGGTAGGCTCAAGCGGAGATCATGCCGAGGATGCTGTAGTAGCTGCTGTCGTTAGCGTTACGTGTTGTAACACGGTGGTGTGTGTCATATCGAAGGTGAAAGCGGTCAGCCCTGAACTACACATGCTAGTACGGCAACTGCAGCATTTAGGCAGCAACAGCCCTGTACGACACCCACGTCGTCTGCCCTTCCTTTACCCTTCTGCCCACCCCTTCCCGTCGTATGGTAGGAACGTTTGAAACACATCATCTGCCACACTTGGCATGTCACGTGCCTAGGCTGCTACTACATGGCTTCCGTGCCTCCCGTGAATCCGTTGTGCCCCATGTCCTCACCCAGATGTTATCGCTTTGCAACCTCTTCACGAAGTCAGCGCCTTCGCGCGCAATGTCCGGGATGGTGAGCACGCCCAGCAACGTGAAGACGCCTAGGATCATGGAAAAGTACAAGAGCACCAGGACCTGCCGACGCATCTTCGGGGTTGGCAGGACGGATTGCACCAGCTGCTTCTCTTGCGCGCTCTCCACAAAGGAGTTCCCGATGAAGGACACAATGAATGTCCCGAGGACGATCTGTAGGGTCCGGTATCGGCAGAGGCGGGTTGCGAAATCAGTTGGCAACGGACGCATCGGACATGCAAACCCGTAACTGCCAGCCAACAACGCACCCCGGCAAAATCGTGCAGCTGGTACGCCAGCGCTGCAACGGTGCTCCATATCGCCAGCCGCTTAAATGGGATCGCGTTGATCAAGGACTGCAGCTCCGTTTGGGGAGGCGCATTGCTTGCTGACACGTCCGTTGTCGACGACGCCACATGCGCTGAACTATGTCGCACATGGATCGTGCGGCTAAATGTCCGATTCCGAGTAAACGCTACTGTCGGCGGTGGTCGCGCATAAGTGGGTGTCCGCACGTAAGACCGTGTTTGCGCGAGCAGCGGGCAGCCGCCTGTACAGGCGAGCCCCCTCATGGGCCTGGTAAGCCCTCCTGAGCAAAATGGCAACGGTGCCAACTAACCCGTTCGCGAAAAGCGCACGGTGAGAAAGGGAATGTGGGCAATTGACACCTCCGTAATAGTTGTTTCTACGCTATACTTGCAAGGACAGTAGTGTCTAATCGGTACTTGTCTACCGGACTCCTGGCGTTTGCGACATCAGGGCGTGCAATCACGGACCTCACCGTAACCGCCGTGCAGGCACGGTCCCATACGATGTTAAGCTAATTTGTCAGCTACTTCATACATACTGTCAAATAGCAAGAAGCTATCAATCTGATAAGCTTCTTTGGTGTTCTCGGTGGAAAGCCCCCGGCCCACTTACTGCGGCCGGCTCTTTCGCAACAAGGGCATAGGAACTAGGAGAGCAACAATGCCCAAGTCCATAGGCTTTCAGTGGGAGCGGTATGAGGCCTGGCGGCATCACCCTCTTCTCCAGTTCAACAAGCGCACCGCGTTCCCCGGTCTTGGCCTCGGCGTTGCTGCTTTCCTAGTTTACACGGCTTATGAGAAGACTCAGCCCAAGGAGGACCACCACCACTAAGGGCTCTGCAGCAGGCGCTGAGGAGCGATAAGCGTGATGCTGGTCTGCAAGGAGTGCAGAGGCGTTTCGTAGAACGGTCAAGCTGGGCTTCTGAGGATACGCGAGTAGCTTGGCATGTACTTCGTACGTGGATGGAGGAGGTGTACGCAGAGGCGAGCAGCGTGCGCTTAAGCTAGGCGATGGTGTGGTTCCAGTCTGGAACTTTGCGTGGACTTACTGGTGTAACACTTTGGCTCAACTTGTGTCCCAGTCCCCATTATACACAGCCGTTCTGGTACCATTCAGGGCGGGGCATGGCAAAAATGTGTATTGCCCCCACCAGCCATCTAGTAACCTTGCGCAGCAGTCCCGTGCGCAACGGTGCAACAGCGCAGCACGGCAGCAGCCATCTCGGCCATCCCCAGCGCAGGCACTTATGCACGTATACCACTCCCTTACACCTGTACCTGGGCCTCCCAGCCCCTGGAACCTGCAGTAACACACCGCACCAGCAACAGACCATTTACACTGTATTACACTGTTTGCTCTAGTCACCCTGTTCGTGAAGCTCTTTCACCCAACTACCAACCCATCCGTCGCGCACAACCCACAACCGCTAGGGCAGCATGCCCCATCAGGCCTCAACAACAAAACAGGGTTCACTCTGCAACTGCCCTGTCCCACTAGCCTCCAAACAGCCCCCAGTCCACCACACGCAGGGAGCTCAGCACCAGCGCCAGGACCTGCTCTGCCTGCCCCAGCGCCGCTGCAGCCTCCAGGGGGGTCGTGAGCGTTACCAGCAGGTCAGAGCCAACGTGCGGCAGTCGCAGTACGGCAAGCAGTACGACAGCGTCCTTTTCCTCTCGGCCATGTCGCACTCTCTGTCGGCCTCGTAACAGGCACTTGTAGCAGCCCTCGGGGACCCCGGGTACGGATGCAGCGTCTGTAGGGGCAGTGGGGAGATGTGGGAGGAATTCACTCCTACCCCTTACAGGCTCTCTGCGATGCGGCTTCAAAAGAAAATAATGAAGTGCTTGCAACCCATGCCATTAGCTTGAAAGACTGCATCTCCGCACGAACATAGCAGGCAAGTGAAAGAAAGGAAGGGGTTCCGATAAGGCAGTGCTCGTCCCTCGCCTGCAGCCCGCCTTACCTAGCTGTGTTATGCTCTCAACCGACGCCGCGGAGGCCTCGTTACCTGCGTCACAATGGGCACACAACAACATCCGGACCAGTCCGTCCCAAACAAACCGGATGTTGGTTGTGGCCGGGAGGAGGTGGTACCCTGGTATGGCAGGTGGCACACATGCGGGAGCCCGGTCCGGGGAATGCCGGAGGGGCTACAACTACCAAGACACGCATACAACTGCCTTCTGTTGGACGAGGGACATCACTTCTCGCAAGCCGCGCAAGGGCACGGCACACGGCACACGCCGGCATATCCCCACCCACCCGCACTCACCCTCAGCTGAGTCCTGGAAGATGTGCCGCCCGCTCGCCTCATCCGTCACAGCTACGTCGTGCTCCTGGGGTGAGGTGGACGGGGCAGGGTGCAATGGAGGAGCGGGGTTGGGGTGAAAGCGTGTGGATGGGATAGGGGTAGGACGTTGGGCCCTGGAGAGGAGCATGCATGCCGGGGGAGGGGGGTCATTTGAGTTCGAACAGGCAAACCCAGCCGTGTGCACAGCCACAGCCCGAACTCCGCCCCTCCCCAACCGTCCTCGCGCTCGCTCGCCTTCCGCAACTAGTCCCTGTCCTCTCACCCTGCCTGCTCCTGCGCGCTTCACCTCCCTGCTCCCTCCGCCTCTCCCTGCCCTCTCACCCTTCCCCCTCTCTGGACTCCCGGACATTGGGTACTTACGCCGCAATTGGTCTCTTCTTCTTCTTCTTCATCCCCCCCCTCAGCTCCCTGCCGCTCACCCTCCCCCCTCAGCCCTCGGACCCCGCTCACCACTATCTCCAGGATGAGCGCCTGCTCGCTTTGGGGCTCCAGGAAGGCCTCCTGGTGGTCAGGAACCTGCCGTACATCGCTCAGGTCCACCAGGCTGCACGGGGTTGAGGGCGAGGGAGCAAGGGCGGGAGGAGCAGGATATCCTATGCGTTGAACGGCGAGAGGGAGATCACAGCGGCAGAGGAAAGGGGTGAGGCCAGAGTGAGGATTGGGCATGTTGGTATATTTTGACACCCGGGGTTGTAGCAGCTGGACCTTGGTTGCACCACATGGAAGCTGGGAGGAATATAAGCAGTAGTTCTCTAAGGCATGCATCCAAACGTGGAGTACCTTGCCGGCACAGTGCATGTCACGGCGCCACCCCACAGCTCCCGCTGTTCGGTTGGAAAGCTTGTGGTGATCGCCATTCCTTGCGATCCAAATAACAAGTAATTATAGAAGATTCTACCACAAGCTACGAAGCGGTGGCCTTACTCCCGATGGCCAGGTAAATCAGCAAAGCGTACAGGAACGCGATTGACCCGAGTTCAGTACGATTCAATAACGAGTACTTAGGAATGCACACGCAACATCAATGACCTAGCAAAAGGCTTCAGTTACATGGTCTGACACATCCTCGCTGCCAATCGTTCTGCGCAACGAGGCCAACCTCCAAAGCCCAATTCGCATCGGCCAAAGATAATCTTGCACGTAATCATACACTAAACGATTACTACAACAAGGAATCGTGCTTCAATCGTCGCTCCTTAATCCTGCAAGCTCATAATAGCGGTTAGCGCACTTGAGGACACTTCGCTAATAATTCACAACATTCACTGCCAGCTTACTGAAAAACGGTTACTAGAAGCCGCTGCGGAGCGATAGAGGGATGTTGTCCGCGCAAGGTTGGAGCGGTTGTCCGAAGACCTCAAACTGCAGCGCCACTAGCGCAGTCGTGCCGAACGTAAGCGCTGTATTACAACAAGGCAATGTTCATTTTTTTCCGCAGCGTCGGCTCCGCCTTTGGCGTCGCGCGCACGGTCACTTGCATCTCAACCTCGGCCTGGCAGACTCCTTGCGCCCAGGCGCATTGGTCGCGCAAAGCAGCTCATTGTTCACGCGGGCAAAACCGATGGTGAGAATTTGCCTGCCTGCTCCTCTTGCGCGTGCCCTGCTGTAGCTCCAAGGATGCGAGAGTTGCTCATCCGTCGCGACAAGGTCGCCAGCAGCTCCCATACCCATCCTTTTGCGCGCTCTTCCAACTTACCAGCGCTAAGTACCGTAATAAAGTACACATTGTCCCTGAACCCAAAACTTCAGGCGGACGGCAGCCCTGGGACCTGCCGCGGTTCATCAGAACCGTCGCATTCTTCAATGAGCTGCCCACTCCCGCCAAACTCCTCAACAATCTTCTGCGCCAGCTGACGCCACAACCCCAGGTGCGGTGGGAAGGAGCTGCCCTTATTTATGGCCAGGGCCACGATACCTGACCATGTCCTGCTACCACTCCAGCCCTCTTTGACGTACCCTCCAACGACCTTCCAACGACTGCTATCCCGTACCTGCCACCAACCCCAGGGTGACCCCAGCGTTGTCCCTGTGGAGTCGCCTCCGCCCACCACCACTACCGCCACCACCGCAGCAGCAGCTGCCCCCCAGGTGCCCGTGGCGGGAGTCATCATGGTCACAGGTGTATGGGTGGGTGGGTGGGTTAGAGGGGGGGGAGCAGCTTGCGGAGGGGGGGTGGGGCCGCGTCGTGTGCCGGTCCCTAACCCACACGGCGGGTGACAGCTGATACTTGTGGGGATGGAGGGAGTGGGAATGCGTGCCTGCATGTGCGTGCGCCTGCATGTATATCGTGCATGAGTGTGTGTGTGCGGTTGCATGGTTGGGTGCCACGTCAGGTGTCGCATTGGGGGGCACATTGGGTGGCAAGTTGGGAGGCGCATTGAAAGGCACATTGGATGGCAAATTGGGAGGCGCGGAATGATGCCACATGGGAGCTGCGGAGCACCTGGCCGTACCCCCGCCATATCGCTACCCGGCCCCTCTTGTCTCCAACCCCTCCCCAATCCCTCGTCAACCCCTCTTCCCAACCCCACCTGCACCCCCTCCCTCCCCCTCCCTCAGGCGCCACGGGCGGTGTGGGCCGGCGGGTGGTGTCCCGGCTGCTGGCGGCGGGCAAGCACGTGCGGGCACTGGTTAGGGACCTGGACAAGGCGCGGCAGCTGCTGGTAGGTTGGTCCGGTACTCCTGTGCCCATCTCCCGCCCCTCGGCTGTGTCCCATACACGCGTCTATCGGCACCACCGGGCATACCCGCTCCGGTGGCAGGTCTTGCACGCACTTGTGGTTTCTTTTACAAGGGTTTGGCTTCCCTCTGACCCCCGCCCCCCCGCTGCTACCCCGCCCCAGTCCGAGCTGCCGGTGGCCCCCGGGGGCCGACTGGAGTTGGCGGCGGCTGACATCGTGCAGCGGCAGACGCTGCTGCCAGAGATGTTCGAGGTGGGCGCGCGGGCACGTGCGTGTGGTGTCGTGTGTTGAGGCAACTGGGGAAGAGGGCGCAAACCTGGAGATTGGAGAGAGGAGATGCGTGGCCGTCATACGCAGCAGTGCCTTTACTTCATATCCCTCTTGCCTTCTCCTCTCCAACTCACGCCGCCCCAACAAGCAGCCATCCCGCACCCCCCTAAGGTCCCAAACCCTCCCACCTGCCATCCTCCAAAATCCCCAAAAGGGTGTACGAGCGCTGGTGAGTTGTACGGCAGTCAAGGTTGCCCCCAAGGAGGGCGACACGGCTGACCGAGCCAAGTACTACCAGGGAATACGGTTCTACGACCCGGAGGTGCTCGGGGACACTCCCGAGGTGGGCAGGCGGGGGGGCACAGGGATATACCTGAAACACAGGTCAGGGCAAAACAATGGGGATAGGGGGGACAGGTGGGGAAGAGGGAGGGGGAACCTGACGAGCTGTATGACGAGGCTTACCCATGGGTTGCATCATCGTGGGTTGCCCAACGGACTTGTTGATGCTGTCGAGGCCCCCCCCTTGCCCCTGCCCCCGCCCCCGGCCCCCAGTCAGTGGAGTACATGGGGCTGGTGAATCTGCTTGACGCGGCGACGGAGCAGCTGGGAGTGCGGGGTGAGGCGGGGGTGGGGTAAAGAGGAAACATCTAACTGGGTGACGGGGGTGCGGGGTGAGGCGGGGGTGGGGGGTGCGGGGAGGGGAGGGCGTGTGTGACTTGTTAACTGGCTGCAAACTGAGACAGCCCTTGGATGACTCTTGACGCGAGTGACACCGGCCCCCCTCTTTCTCCAACCCGCTACCCTTTCTCCCACCCACCCCCCCACGCCAGGTGGTGCCTCCCCGCTATCCCCATATGCTTTGCCCCAACTGTGGTTTTGGTTATATCTCTTCCCCCCCTCTCCTCCTTCCCCCCCCACTCCCAGGTGGTGTGCGGCTGCTGCACCCCTCGGGCCAGTCCGCAGCGCGCTGGGGGGCGCTGGACGACGTGGTGATGGGCGGAGTGAGTCGCAGCGACATGCGGCAGGAGGAGGGCGCGGGGGAGGGCGGGGAGGCGGCGTGGGTGTTCAGGTGGGCAGCAGGACGTGGAAGGGAATGACCCGTGGGTCCGTAGGAGTCATCCGTGGTTAAGTTTGGTGCAAGACGTGAAGCTGACTCTTCTTCCTTCTCCCTTTTTAGTCTTGATGTACCGCATCTTCTGCTGCCTGTTTTGTCCTTTTGTTAAGGACTCAATAAAGTATCTCTCTGTCCCGCGACTCCCCCCGTAGTGGCAATGTGTCCACGGATAACTTCGGCGGGTTTGCGTCCGTACGAACACGCAATCTGGATCCGCCCCTAGATCTGTCGCCGTACGAGGGCATCGAGCTGCGACTGTACGGAGATGGCCAGGTGGGGGTGGGGTGGGCTGAGGTGGGGGGATGGGTATGGGTGTGGCGGGTGTGTGGGTTGCAGAGCACTGGGAGCTGCGAGGGATGGAAGATGTGACAATCTGAACACAACAAACACCACTCATATCCGCCAACCCCGCTCCAAATCCCCCCTTCCCAATCCCCATGCATGTCCACCTTCCCTCGCCCCACCCCGCCGCCCTTCCCATTCCCTTACCGTCTGCGTTGCTCTCCTCGCTCACATGTTGCAAACCATGATGACGCCTTATCACACGGTCAGTTAGTTGTTTCCTCTGTACACTCCTCCCATCCCTCCCACCCCTCCGCTCCTCCAGCGCTACAAGTTCATCCTGCGCCCTGACGCCAACTGGGATGGCATCGCCTACTGCGCCTCCTTCGACACCGCGCCCGGCACCTGGCAGACCCTGCGCCTGCCCTTTGCCGCCTTCACACCCGTGTTCAGGGCGCGAACGCTGTCGCCGGGGCAGGCGGCGCCGCTGGACCCCGCAGCCATCAGCTCCGTGCAGGTGGGGTGCAAGGGCAGGTGGGGCGCAGGGACAGGAAGAGTGGTAAGGAAGGAAAAGAAATTCACATGGCCTGACTCGCGCAGGGCAGTGGGGGAACGGGGTGAAAGGTGAGTGCATGAGAGGTGCAGGGATAGGGATAGGGCATAACGGTTGTGCTCCTCTTTCCAAATCATCCCCCACCTCTCCTTTGGGGCCCGGTGCAGCCTCCTGCTTCCCCGTGTGTCTTTCACTCGCCCCACACCCCACCCCACCCCAACCGGACCACTCAGATCATGCTCTCCAAGTTCGAGTACGACGGGCAACTCAATCCCTCCTTCCGTCGGGGGGAGTTCCGACTGCCCCTGTCGTACATCACCACCTACCTGCCGAGTCAGGTACGACATACCCATAACCATGTCGTACAATATTGCCGTATCGATTTACCTTTATCGTACACCGCCGTTTGAGTGACTATGTCGTTGCGGTACTGGAGTTGCCGCTATCGTACACTGCAACTTGACTGCTGCTGTCGTACAACCCATTTAACCGCCGTTGTCGTACATTACCACCTCTACCTGCCACAACAGGTACCACCTCGGCTGGTCCACGTCAGCTCGGCAGGTGGGGGGTGGGTACTGACGGGAAACAACTTACTGACCGTGTCATAAGGGGGTGGGGGTGGGGGGTCAAAGACCATACAATACTAGACCACAGGAAACCACGGGAGGTGGATGGGTGTGTGTGGTGGGCCCGCGGCCTCCCCTGATTCCTGCCATTCTGCCCCCCATTCCCCTCCCTCCAGGCGTCACCCGCCCCAACCGGCCGGGCATCAACCCCGACCAGGAGCCGCCCGCCGTGAAGCTGAACGACGCACTGGGGGGCATCCTAACCTGGAAGCTGGCAGGTGGGGCGGACTGCGCAGACACACACGGCACCTCTTTAGTCACTTCCCTTAACACCCGACCCGAATCCCCCGTTTTTTCCCCCACCCCTCCCCAACATACACCCCTGCCGTACATGCAGGCGAGGACGCCGTACGTTCCTCCGGTGTGCCGTACTGTGTGGTCCGCCCCACCGCGCTGACGGAGGAGGCGGGGGGAATGCCGGTGGAGCTGGATCAGGGGGACACGGCCAAGGTGGGGAGCAGGGCGGTGAAAGGAGGGGTGTTGAACCCCAATAAGGAGGGTCAGCAGAGAAAGCAAGCTCAAACAGCCTCCAATACATGCAACAAACAATGTCAGAATTACCGGCGAATTACCGGTATCCCCACCTTTCCCGGCCCCCTGTTCTCGTCTCCCCTCCCCATATTCTGCTGCTGCAGGGTAAGATCAGTCGTGAGGACGTGGCGGACCTGTGTGTGGCGCTGCTGGGCTGCTCCCCCGCTGCCGACCTCACCTTTGAGGTGCGGTCTACACTGCCCTTCTCGAGGACTTGGACGCAGCAGGACGCAGAGCAGGCAGCAGCGGAGGCGGGCACAGCGACACAGCAGCAGCAGCAGGGGCAAGGGCAGCAGGGGGCGGCCCAGGCAGCTGTCAGCAGCAGCAGCGGCAGGGTCAGGGACTGGTGCGGTGTGGTGGCGGCTGCGGGGCTGCGGCGGGGGGTGACGGGGCGCACCGTGGCGGGGGTGTACACGGGGCGGCAGACGGAGGAGGAGGCGCTGCAGGTGGGGGGGGGCGGAGGGCATGCGTGTGGGGTGGGGGGGTGAAGTAGTGGCTTGGGGCCTGGGGTTGGGGCTCCCCTGTTGACAAGGTTTCCTTTGCCTGCTTTGCTCCGCTGCACACACACGTTCGAGTTACCGTAATACCCTTTTAACCCCCCTTACTCATACCTGTCTTGTGATGACACGTACCCACGTGACATGCGCACAGGCGGCGGGCGTGCAGGCTACTGCTGCTGCAGCGGAGACCTCCTCTACGCGGGCGGCAGCGTAGAACCAAGGCGGCCCTTGTCATGGCGGTGAAGGTGGTGGTGGTGGTGGCGTCGCTGCTGTTGCTGCTGCATGCGTTTGGCAGTGGTCGAGTGGCATATCGTATGGCACGTTTGCAATTGTCCGCACAACACACAGCGCAGCGTTTTGGTGCGGTAGGCAGGGACACGATGCGTCCTTGGGATATCGCTTGAACAACAACGCATGAGCAGGGACGCCGTTTAGTGATGAAGTAGCAGCAGCAGCAGTGGGGCCGGAGCGGCGCTTGTGGAGGTTGGAGCGAGTATGTGGCACGTGTCGGGAGCTCATAACGTCATAAGGTCCGCAGAAGCCCTTAAAAGTGTAATGGAGCTCTTTAATTCTTCTGTTCTCAGCCATAGCTGGGTCTTCGCGTTTCCTCGCGATAGGTACCTTGAAGGCGACACTCCGCTAGAGCTTTGGAAACGCAGGTGAAGAGGCTACAACGCTAACAGAGAATTGTCAGCAATGTTATGGTGTTCAGGACGGGCACAAAACAGTTGGCGCTTGGTGCACATCCAGGTGGATACAAGTGGCCTTTTGTAATAGAGCTTGCTTACGAAGGGCAGTGTCCTATTGCAACTGGTTTCAGTTTGGTAGATTCTGTGATTCTCGCTGGACATTTCTCTATCGCATCTGTTAGCCAGTACCGTTTAAGTGCGCACGGGATCCACTGGATCCCGATAACCAGCCGTACCACGCTTAGCCTCACAGCCCTTACGCGTGATGCAGGCCATTATTTTACATCAATAACCGCTTGTTTACTTGCAAAGCCTAACCCAGCTGTCTGATCCGCTTGAATTGCTACGGTATTGGCCACACATGTTACTCCGCCTCCGGAACCCTAGCCGAGTAGGAAGAAACCTTGCAAGACCAATAATCGCTTGTTTATCCTCTCGAACCGCGTCAGTGCGAGCGATGACAACAAGCCAGTCGCCAGAGGTCGCGGTGGTTGGTGGTGGCATAGCGGGAGCCATCTGCACCAGAATCCTTGTCAGCCGAGGCGCGAATGTAACCGTTTTCGATATGGGCAAACATTTGCCTGGTAGGTAACGCGTTAATTCCACCGCTGCAGAGCTGCTTGCCTGGCGTACTTTGTCCATCCGTTTGTCTGGTTGCTGTCGTCCCATGCGCCGGGTCGCATTACGGACGGCGGAAACCCGCATCGCTTGCGTGGTTGCTAACCAAGTTACATGTCCTCTAGAAACGCAGCTATCCCTTTTCCTTTTCTTGTCGACTCTTCTTGCATGAAGTCCAAAACCTTGCTCCGTTCCTGGCACGCGCCCTGTTAACCCGGGGCCCCCATTCTCCCCCAGGCGGCCGTGCCTCCAGCCGCCTTCCCCGCACGGGCAACAACAACAGCAGCGGCGGCATTCCCCAGTTCGACTACGGCTGCCAGTTCTTCCGCGCCACCAGCCCAGCCGTGAAGCAGCTGGTGCAGGAGTGGCAGGCAGCAGGTGAAGGGGGTGGTCAAAGACCAAACCACACCATAGGAAACCACAGACAAATCAATAGGGGGGCCCGGGGGCTTGAGAGCGCGGATGGAGGGGCTGTGTCAGTAGGGTTGCCGGGAAGGCGATGGCGGGGAGCGAAGCGAGTGTCTCAGTGTGGCCCATGCAGCCGTCCTCGACTGTACGCTTGCGGTGTTGTGCACGCACGACCCCCCTAAAGGTTTGGTGGCGGAGTGGCGGCCCGTGATGGGAGTGTACGACACGGCAAGTGGCGCCTTCGAGCGGAGCGAGGAGCTGAGTACGGCAGACGTGGCGGCGGCGGAGGGCGGGTGAGGGCGAGGGGGCCGAGGGCGAGGGGGGTGAATAGTTGACGTCTTGACAAGGTGACGAGGACAAGGTCGCAGTCGCCGCTCAACCTCGCAGCGGGCCACAGAGCACAAGGAAAGCTTGAGCATCCAAGACCTTACTCCCTTACTTCCCAGCCCTTGCTTGTTGCGGAAGGTTGTCTCGGTACCCACGCATGCGCCGTCACCCGTACTTCCCAGCCCCCCATTGCCTGCCATCCATGACCTCGTTCTCCCCCTCCTGTCCCTTTCTCCAGCTTCTCAAGCTGCGTCTTCCCATCAGCCTCCTCCGCGTCCTCTCCCTCCTCCAGCCCTCCTGCCCCCGCTGCCCCTGGCCCCCTGTACGTGGGAGTACCCTCCATGGGGACCTTGGCGGCCGCCCTGCTCGCACCACCACCGCCACCACCACCGCCACCACCACCCACAACAACACCGCCCCCACCCTCACAGCCACTGCCGGACAGCAGCCCGACCACCACCCATCCCAACCCCGCCCCAATCCCAACCCCCTCCGGAAGCCACACGCTACACCTGAATACCCGGGTATGTGCGAGTGGGGCGGGTAATCGAAGGAGGATTTGGTGGCCGGCACCAAAGGGTGGCCGGTCATGTATGGCCACCAAAGGGTGGCCGGTCATGTATGTTGAAAGTTGCGCTCTCCCTTTAGGGCTGAGGCGTACCGCACTGACGTACGGCGCTCCCCTGCTGCGTTGCCGTACCGCTCAGGTCAAGAGGGCGAGGTTCGCTGAGGACCGCTGGTGGCTTGATGGGGAGCGAGTGCGTGGGTCGGGAACTGAGGGGAAGCAGGGAAAGGGTGACGTGGGGGTAACGGTAACCTTAGCCTGCATACGAGATAAGACAAGCATGTGAATGAATGCGGTTAATCCACAGGCCACTGATAGGGGTTGTGAAGCTATGTCAAAAGCCATATTTCGGTAGTAAAACAGAGCGAATGTCGCGGTCCCTCGCCTAAATGTGGACTACTGCTGGTATGCCTCCTCTCTCCGCAGCCCGGTGGACCCGTGGGTCACCACCCGGCAGCAGCAGCAGGACAGGCCCCTGCAGGCGGCGAGGGCAAGGACAAGGACAGGAACAGGGACGCGGGCGGGTGTGTGAGTCTGGGCAGCTACGATGCGATTGTGCTGGCGGACTGCCAGGTGGCTAGGCCAGGTGGGGGAGGGGGGGGGAGGGGGGGAGGAGGTGGGGAAGCAGCTGCACCTGGGCACTGGGTGTGGCTGGGCTCAAATACCGGTGTACTGTACTGCTGCTGGTTAGCGCTGGCGCGCAACCCATACCCTCGCACAATGGTACAAACAAACCGGCTGGCATCCCAACCTGCTACCCCACCCTCGCAGGCAGTCCCGGCCACATCAGCTTCCAGGCCCCCTCCTCCGGCCCGCTGACCGCCCTGCTGGCTGCGATGCGGGAGCTGCCCCGCCAGCCGCTGTTCGCCCTGATGCTGGGGTTCAGGGAGGGGGAGGGGCAGGGGCAGGAGGGGGAGGAGCAGGGGAGGGCAGAAGCAGCAGGAGGCGCGGTGCCGCTGGCGCTGCCCGGGGGTGCTGACGCGGTGTGGCTGCAGGGCGGGGCCGCCTTCCAGTGGCTTGCCAGGGACTCCTCCAAGCCGGTGAGGCGGATGGGGCAGGTGGGGGCGGGGAAAGGAAGGAGACCCAATGGGGGCGGGGGGCGGGGCGGTGTAGGCCGGAGTAAACCCCACTGCTCTCCATCACCACCTCCTCGCTTCCCATGCAACTCATAATGGAGCCTCGTCACACGGGTATTCCACTCTGCCTCCTCTCTCCTTCTCTCCCCTCCTTCCTTCCCCCCAGGGTCGGCAACGCTCCGACGGCCTCTCCTGCTGGGTGGCCCTCACCCGCCCCGACTTCGCAGCGCGGCTCTTGCAGGAGGACCTCGAGTCCTCCACACCGCAATCCTCGTCACCGTTACCACCATCCGCTACCACCTCTAGCACCACCACCCCCAACAACAACAACAGCGGCACCGACAAGAAGGCCCCCACCTCTGCACCCACCGTCCTGCCCCCCGCCGACGCCGCCTACACCTCCCGCAAGGCCCAACAGCTGTGGACCGCCCTGCAACACGACCTGCGGGCGCTGACGCTGACTGGGGCGGCAGCAGGAGGAGCAGGAGGAGCGCCAGGGCAGCAACAGCTGCAGCAGTTGCGGTTGCAACAGCCGGCGTACCTGAGTGCACACCGCTGGGGTGGGGCCTTCCCGGGGGCTACGTTGGAGGGGGCGGTGTGGGAGAGCCAGGGACGCTGGGCGGCGTGTGGGGACTACTGCGGAGGGGGAGGGAGCGGGGGCGAGGCAGCAGGCGGGCCGGTGCCTGTGGGGTTTGAGGCTGCGGTGTGCAGCGGTGTGGCTGCGGCGGGGGCTGTGGCGGAGATGCTGGGGCTGGCGGGGGAGCAGGATGCGGTAGCGGGTGTTTAGAGTTCGGGTCGGGCGAGAGGTGGTAAGGTGCTGCTTCGCACTCTGTAACCGGCCACTTATGAAGGTGTGTTTGGCCTGGATCGGGAGATAGGAACCGGCCCGTATTATGGAAACCACAAGTGAGGGCAAGCGGCGGAATGGGAGCGCTACGTGCGGACACGAATACGACACTTTCTTTCCTACCGCAGGGGCGCAACGTGTCGCCTAGATAGTCATGTGCATGCGGGTAATACGCGGGGCGGTTGGGGGGCACCAACCACCCTCCCAGCAGCCTTCACCCCCAAAGGCCTGTGTCGCCGGCTGCGCTGCGTCACTGCGAGGCAGTCACACCTCGCATCAATTCGTCCTATCTTGTGCAGTCATGCGAGGCGGTAAGCATGCCATTTCCCGACATGTCCGACAAGCGCTAGACACCAAACCACGGCTCCTGCATGCCCCGCATCCGAATTCCGTGCACGGTCGCTCGGTCCGCCGCCAAGCTACAACACACCGCCAACTTGCCCCGGGCCCCCGCCAGCAGCGTACAACAAGGAGGGCGCTACCATCCTTTGCCAGCATCAGGCCCCCAGGCAGGCGTTTGTACTGTTCGCGCCGCCATGCATCAACACCAGCTTCTTGAAAGGTTGCGTGGTTCGGCCTTCTGCTGCCTCCAGAATGCTCAAGTAACCTCTTCAGTGACTGTTTGCGCATGCACAAGTCCCTAAACCTCCCCCCCCCCTGCCCCATCTAACCCCATCCCGGCATAACCTCAGCCTCCCCCTCGTGCCTCCACCATCGCCCTCAACCCCCTCCTGCACCTCTCCCCTCGCCCCCGCCACAGCTCCACCACCGCCTCAGGCCACCCCCCTCCCACCTCCTCCTCTCCTCCCCCTCCCCCTCCCACCTCCTCTCCTCCCACCTCCCTCTCCGCCCCCCTCGCCACCGCCTGCAGGTAGCGCTCCAGCATCAGCCCCGACCCGCCCGCACCCGCCAGCGACGGGTGCAGCCCCAGCCGCCGGGCCACCAGCGCCGCCGCCAGTGCCGTACGCCGCTGCTCCGCCAGCAGCGCCGCCAGGCAGGCCAGTACGGCACAGGGCGCCGCGGCGGCAGGGGATACTGGTGATGATGATGAGGATGGTGGTGGGGCCGCTGGGAGCAACGCCACGAGTCTTGGCAACAGCGGGTGACAAGGGGAACAGGAGGTGGCGGCTGCGTCGGCTGCCACGGGCTCCGCGAGCCGCAGGACATCCCCCGAGCGAACCAGCAACGTGAGGAGCAGTACCGCCACATCCTCAGCAGGAGGCTGGTGGCAGCAGCAGTGCTGCCGTACAGCCTCCCCACTGCTGGCGACGGTGACGTCAGCGTCAGTGGCGGCGGAGGCGAAGGCGGCCCCCGCCGCCGACGTGGGGCGGAGGAGGTCCTGTAGCGCCCGCCGCCGTTGCTCCGGGTACGGCGAGGCCAGTCCCAGACACCAGGCCACGCCTGCAGCAGTATCAGTAATGCCCGCGGCAGTAGCAGTATCAGCCGGCACCGCGGCAGCTTGTGTCGTACCTTCGCTGCCAGCAATGCCGCCTTCGCTGGAAGAGAAGGAGGAAGAGGAGGCGGCGGCTGCCGTCGCGATGAGATTTTGCATGTCGGTCTCGCTGAGAGGGAGGAGGGGTGCCTTCCGGGGGTGTTGCCGTGGCGATAATGACGAGGGTTGTTGTACGGCAGAAGGGGAAGGTGCAGGAGCCCCGTCTTCACTGATGTCAGTGTTGTCTGATCCATCTTGCGCTGCTGTTGCTGCTGCTGACGCCTCAGCTGGACGAGCAAGGCCTTGTTGGGGCAGGAACGGGTCCAAAAGCCTGCATGTGTTTGGCGAAAGGCAGGATTTGGAAGCCGAGGTCATGGCCATGTGTACCGTAAACACCATGGAAGCATCGCTAGCAACCGCAACTCCCCTAATTTTCCTGTTTTACCCCTTCCCCGGCCCCCCACCTGAGCAGCTCCCGCAGCTGTCCCGCCCGCAGCAGCTCGCCTGCCAACAGCCGCCAACACCGCTGCAGGGGAGACACACCGCGTTTTCCGGAAGATCCATCCCCGCTGCCGCCGCTGCTGCTGCTGCTCACATCACTAACATCACCACCACCAGGTGCCTCCTGGCCGCCCTTCGCCAGCTGCTCCTCAGGTGCTGCTGCTGCGTCGCCGTTGCCGCCCTCCTCCTCCTTCTCCCTCCTCCCCTCCTCCTCACCGCCTCCGCTGCTCCACACCGCACCGTCCTGCCACACCTCCGCCAACAACCGCCACAGCAGCCGCAGCTGCTCGGGACGCAGCGGCGCTACCGCCACCACCTCACCCCCTTCCTTGCTCTCCTGCCACTTCCCTGCCGTACTGCCGTGCTGTTGCCGTACACCCTCCATTAGCCGCTCGAAGAAGCGTCCCGCGGCCTCGCAGCTCTCCACATCCTCCAGGGCTACCTCCAAGGCGGATGCGGTGTCGCCCGCCGCTGCTGCTGCTGCGGTGGTCGGCTGGATTTCCGTCAACGGTGATATCGGCGGTGCAGGGGGTTCAAGATGGGAGAGCAGGCCGCGTGTGCGAGACAGCAGCACCCGCAGGCGGTGCGCATGCGGGTCTGCGCTGGCACCGCCAGACCAGTCCGCCCATACCTGGCAAGGTGGGGAGAGGTCGGGATTGTGGGAATGGCGGAAGCTAAAGGTCGGGATCTGGGCCAATCCTGGAGAGTTGTTCAGGCGCAATGCTCGGCGGAACAACGCACGAAGTTGCAACCACTTATAACGCACGCACCCATCACGCGTGTGCACAACTGCCGTACAGTACAAACCCATGCCCTGCCCCGACCCATGGGTCTCTCACCGCGCATGTGCCCAGCGACGCCTGCAGGTCCAGCAGTCTTGCTGCCGCCGCCGGCATCAGCCGCTCCAGCGCCGCTAGCCTCCCCTCCGTGAAGCCCTGCAGCCGCCGCCAAGCCACATCCCGCAGCGAGCGCAGCACCTCGGCAGGCGGCGGAGGCGGCGCAGCCACCTCCCCATGCGCGGATGCGGACGTCTTCGCAGCAGCAGCCGGGGCGGCAGCGGCGGCCGGGCCCTCCTCCCTCCCCGCCCTGGCATCCGCTGCGGGTGCATCGTCAGCTGCCGTAGCGGTTGTAGCGACCGGCTGGGTCTCCAGGCACGCCACCACGCCACGAAGGCGAGTCATACCATCACCGTCAACGCCGCGACCAGCGTCGCCGCCTGCACCCGCGTCCGCGTCCGCTGCCTCCCGCATGATACCCTCAAGAGCTGCGTCCACCGCGGCCCCAACCGCCTCGGAAACCACCTCAACAGCCGCCGTCGGCGCCGTAACCGTAACCGCCGCGCCTGCTTCCTTGCTGTCGTACGCCGCTGCCGTCACCGATGATGATGATGATGATAACGTCACCGCCGCCGCTATCTCAAGCAAGAGGCCCACGGGACAACCGGTCGCCGCCAGTGCTGCCAACAGGCCCTGTAAGACAGAGCTGTCGTACGACGCAGTGGAAGAGGTGGCGGCGGCGGAATCTGCGTTGCGCCGCTGTTGCTCCTCGCCAGGATGTGCTGCCAGCAGCGCCGCCTCCAGGGCCTCGAGCTACGGTAGGGCCCACAGGAGGAGCGACAAGGGTACGCCGCAGAGCGTCAGAGGCAGAGGCAGAGAGTGGGACAGGAACCACGGGAAGACGGACAAAAGAGGTATTGCAGGTTTGTGATATTGCAAGGAAAGACGGTTTGCACTGTGGTTAAGCGCATGCCAAAACAAGCCCGAGCCAGCGCTTGGGGCATGCACGGTACACGGTACGATGCTGCAATATGCGGACAGGAGGTACTGGTGTGTAAGGGGGCTTGTTGCACGAGTGTCATGTAGAAAGGCTGCGTACAAGCACACTATAAGGTTCAAGCATTCCAAGCATGGCAAAGCGATTGGGCCCACCTGCTCCTCCTCCATCCGCCCCGCCGCCTGCTCCCTGGCCGCATGCAGCAGCCTCAGCCGGCGGTGCAGCGACCGCAGCCGCACAACCACACCCTCACCACCCGCCTCGGAAGCAGCAGTATCGGTGGGAGGTGCCGCAGCAGGCGGCTGCAGCTTGGGCATGCAAGCATCGAGCACCTGGGGACAGCAGCAGTGGCAGCAGTAGCGCATAGGAAAGTGGGCAGGTCAGGGCGTGCGCGAGGCCGGTTAAGGCCAGTCCCGCATGTAACCCCTACACCCCTACACAGCAATCACCGCATCCAGAGGGCCCGTACCCAACCTCCTACCTGGCCAAACCCGTACCCAACCCCAACAACACCTCACCGTCAGCCGGACCTCCGCTGGCGCCGGGCAGGGCAGCAGCGGTGCGCCAGTGACCCGTGGGTCCAGCGGGCAGGGTGAGGGCGGCAGCATCATGAAGGCCAGCCAGGCGGCCAGCTGCGGCTGCGGCAGCCGCACCGCATGCTCTGCCACGTGACCCCAGGCGGTGGCCATATCACGCTGGGGGGGCTGGGGGGGCTGCGGGGGCTGAGTATGCTGCGATGATAAGGAAGGTGAAGGCGACAGCTGTGGGGCCTTGTAGCCGATTGCCTTGACGCAGAGACACAAGTACGGCAGGCTGGGCGGCAACTCCTCCAGCACCCGCTGCAGATCCGGAACCAGCCGGGCTTGAACGGCTGACTGTTGTCCCTGCTGCTGCTGCTGTGCTGCTTGAGGGGGGTGCGGGTGTTGCTTCCTTGCCAGCGGCCCCAGCAGCTTGTGCAGTGCCGCCACCAGCTTGGCGGCCTGGGGCAGGCTGCTGGGCTTCATGTACGCGAACAGAGCCGCGGCAGCGGCGCCAGTGAGGCCCCCCGCAGCAGCAGCATCCGCGACACCTCCTGCTCCTCCAGCACCAACAGCGCCAGCACTAGCAGCAGCCGACGTTTCCCTAGCGCCCACCGCCAGCAGCCGCAGCTCCAGCCCCAGCGGCGCCAGCAGTGCCGCCAGGAAGGGCGCCAGTACGGCGGGCAGCCCCAGTCCCTTGAGCGCCCCCGCCGCCTTGTCCAGCAGCTCCCGCAGCTTGGACAGCAGCGGCGCGGCGGAGGCGGACAGCGCGGCGGCGGTGGGGTCGGACTGGGGGGGGCCGGATAAGGGGATAGGGTAAGAGGGTGCAAAGATGGGGAAGTGGAGAGGTGTGGCATGCGCAAAGATGAATGACGATGTAAATCATGTAAACCCTCCGCGCCCCTCCGCACCCACCTTCCCCGCCGCCTGCAACGCCTCCATGACCAGCCCCAGCAGCAGCGCCAGGTGGGGGCCGCTGGCGGGCGGCAGCTGCGGGTAGACGGCGCTGGCCAGGTGGCTCAGCAGCGGCAGCGGGCGAGACAGCAGCAGCGGGGGTAGATGTTGCTGCTCGGTGGATGGAGCTGTGCAGGCGTGCACCGTAGCTCGGAGCTGTAGGATGGGCGGCATGGGAAAGCGGAAGAGGGCGAAAGAGGGCGGAAGGAGGATCCAGTCAAACCGGCAACCGATAGGCAACAGAGCGAAGGCAATACCGGAGCCAAGGCACAGCAAGACCACTACACACCCCGACACCCGCTCCCACCCCCACTCCCCACCTCATCCGTCACGGCGGGAGCACTGGTGATCAGCGCGCACGTGTACTGCAGCTCCACGTCCCATGGGTCGACGCCGTACACCGCTGCCAACTGCCGCGCCTGCGCCAGCAGCTCCCTGCCGGACTGCTGGGGAGCGGGAGGAGAAGCGGATTGTTGCAGAGCGGCGGCCTCGGTCTGCCCCGCGAGGGCCGCCTGCTGCAGGATTGCCTGCAAGGGTTACGGATGGGGTCAGGGTAGGGGACAAACTAAAGGTACGAGCGGCGATGAGGGACTGAGAAGAGCTGTCTCATGCAGCCGCCAAGTTTGCTTGCAGCCTTTGCGGGGGTTTTGCTGTGCATGCAACAACATCCAAAACACACACGCAGGTGCACACACCCCCACGCACCCGCCCCCCGCCCACCTGTCGGCGGTAGGTGCTGTCCCCCCCGCAGAACTGCGCCGCATCCACATGCGGTACGTGCTGCCGCACCAGCCGGCTGTCACGAGCCGCCGCCAGGACCCCCGCCGCCAGCACCGCTGCAGCGGCCGCATGTGCGCGCTCCGGGTCGGGTGGGGGTGCTGCGGCTGCGGGTGCGGAGCCCTGGGCGGCGGGTGCCTCCTGTGGCAGCAACTGGCGAACCTGCACAGCACATGCAGCAACGAACGTACGTACCGGTATGTACACCATGGGACATGTGCATGTTAAGCCCCGTTCCCCACCTCCTCTCCTCCCTCCCTCCTTCCCTCCCTCACCTGCTCCAGTAGTGCCCCCAGCGGCTGCTGCATCAGCGCCAGCCTCTCCGCCCCGCTGCCGCCCCCCGCCGGCAGCAGCGCGCGCAGGCAGTGGCAGTAGCACTCCATCGCAACCACCCGCTGCAACTGAGCGTACGGCAGATCCGTACCGCCAGCCGTACCATCTCCATCGCAACCGCCGCCGCCTCCTCGTAACCCCTCCAGCAGCTTCAACGCAGCACCACCACCGCCACGGCTGCCATCATCACCGGGTGGAGGCTCCGAAGTAGAAGCGAAGGAGGAGGAGGGTGGGGGTGAGGGCAACAGTACGGCAATGGCCAGGTGTGTGTCCCCCAGGTACGGCAGTACGGCGGTGGGCGGGCAGCCGGGGGCGAGGTGGGGCGGGGGGGCCAGCAGGGCGCGGCGGAGAAGGCTCTCGGGCGGCTCCAGGGGTGCTGAGGCGTCTGAGGAGGAAAAGGGGAGGAGGGGAAAATAATTGTAAAGTGAAGCAAGAGGGGAGGGGGGAAGGGAAGGGTACTTATCTTCTATCGCCCCTGTCAGTTCTGCTGCTCAGTTGGGTTCATCCCCCACCCGCCTCACCTCCCCCTCCTCCCCCCCTCCGCAGCTCCACCCCCGCCAGCTCCTCCAGCAGCCACGTCATGCGCTCCGAGGGGCAGTACAACAGCGCGTACGACAGCAGCTTCTGCCGTACGGCATCGTCACTCAGCCGCTTGCATGAGCCCAGGTCGGCACACAGCGACCTGAGAGCGGGCGGGGGAAGGGAGGACAGGGCAGGAGGGCAGGAGGGGGAGGGGCGGCTTGCGACACGGTCACCTCATACGGCAAGTATGGCAACCATGCATGTGCGCAAACACTACAACGGACGGCGACTCGATTCGCGGGTGCACGAAGTCTGCCAGTAGGTGTCGGACATTTCGCGAGATTGTCTTGCGGTAGGGCAGGAGGCTCCTACACCGTACCATGCGCCGTAGCGGACACCTGCCACCACCCCAGTAACACCGCCTCTCCTTGTCCCCGCCAGCCCCCACCAGCCCCAGCCCTACCATGCAGGGGTGTACCCCGCCCCCACCAGCCCCAGCGCCAGGTGCTGTGCCGCCCCCAGGTCGCCCGCACGCAGGGCCGCGCGGGCCGCGAGGTCCTTGATCTGGGTTAGGGGGGAGAGGGAGAGGGAGGGATGAGGGGGATGTGGGTTGAGGGTGGAGGTGCAGGCAGCAGAGGGATGCGGGAGAGGGCCAGGAGTGGAGGAGCGGTAGAGGTGATGGGCATGAAGTTGGGGTGTTCTTCCAAGTGCTGCAGCATGTGCCGTTCTTGTTATACCGGTATCTTACCCGCAACTCGTCCTCCGGTCGATCGAGTCCCAACAGCTCCGCAACCTCCAGCAACCGACCCAATTGTTTGTACGGCGGCTGCGGTTGTTGGGAAGGTGACCCAGATCCATCACCACCACCACCGCCGCCGCCAGCGGAGGCGGCGTCAGCGTTCCTGCCGTACAGCAACGGCACTCCCGCCGCTGACGTCACCGCCCCCGCCAGCAACCCCGCAACAGGTACGACTCGGTCCGCAACCGCCCCTGTCATATTGGGCGCCACTCGCCCTGCAACCGCCAACAAACCGCCAGCGAGCGCCGCCGCCGCTCGGCCTCCCGCCGCCGCCGCCTGCCCCGCCGCTCGTACGGCAGCCCGACGGCGACTGTTACGACCGCCGCCGAGCGCCGCCGCCGCCGCCTTTGCAAAGGAGATCGCCGTACTGCTGCCACGCGCCATGCCGTACCGTCCGCGTGCGCTTGCCGCCGGGCCTGTACCAGCATCGTTATCTTCGTACTGCTGCAGTACAATCCGTACAACATCAAAACGATCCTTCATTTGCATTACTTGGACCGGCATTAGCTGCTGCTCGTCAAACCCAAGCTCCGGCAGTAGCTGTAACGCTCGCATTAGCCGCGCTAATGCTGTGGCGGGTGGCGAGTCGGGCGACGCGAGTGCGAGGCAGGCGGCCGCCTGCTGCGCGGCAGCGTCCCATGGGTCGTTCGCGCCCGCTAAGATCTCAGCGGCGACACTGGCAATGAGCGCGTCGGCGGCTTCCGGCTCCAAAAACACGACACCACCCTCGCCGTCTGCGAACGCAAGCACAAAACCAAAGTGCAAGTACGCGTCACTACGAAATTGCATCGCCCCAGCTGGAGGCTTATGATGCACTCGCCCGCATTCCTTCCCCACCCCTATTACCCTGCACCTCCATTCCCCCCTCACTCACCCGGCGCCCCCTCCCGCAGGTATTTCGCCGCCAGGTCCGTACGGCCGCAGTGCAGCAGGCAGCGACACATCTCGCTCAGCAGCAGCCGAGCGGGCAGCACCTGCTGCTCCCTCTCCCCCTCCCTGGAGGGCTGCTGCTGCTGCTGCTGGGAGGCGGTGGTGGCGGCGGCGGCGGTTGCGGATGGGGATGCATGGGGACTGCTGTTGCTGCCGGTTGTGGTTGCGGTTTGTGCAGTTGTTTCGGGCCAGCTCGCAGCACCTATTGGCGGTGTTGCGAATGCCGCGGTGCGGAGGGCGGTGAGGTCGGTCCAGAGCTGCGACCAGTCGGCGGTGGACATGGAGGGGGCGGACCTGCATGGGGAGGGGAGGAGGGGAGGAACGGAGGAATACGCAAAGCTGTAGGTGGAAATGAGACGAGAGCTCACTAAGTCACTACCAAAGGGTGTGCCCTTTGCAGCAGGATGCACCGCGATGTGGTACAAGGAGATGTAAGGCGGTCGCAGCTTGTGAAGGTAGAAGCTCCCCGCAGTACCATGTATACAGACTTTTAGAGACTTTAGAGACTTTTAGAGAGAGAGGCGCATTCCCGACAGCGCCTTCAGGCAGCTACGAAAAGCGCGATGCAGTGATCCAAGACCCAAGCTGAGGCAAGTTTGCAACACACGCCCCTCGCACCTGATGACGCGCCCCAGCACCTGCCGTACACATCTCGCCGCCTCCTCCGCTCCGCAGCTGCTGATGTGCCGTACAGTCAGCGGCAGCCCCCGGGCCGCTAGCAGCTGGCCGGCATGTACGACACCTTGCAGCCGCCGTAACGCAGCAGCGGAGGAGGCATTGGCAGCATCAGCACCTGCTGCTGCTGCCGCTGCATGTGCCGCATCTGTGTGCTGTAGCGCCCCAAGTGCCGCCTCCAGGGTGGACAGCAGGGCCTCCCACTCGTCCGTGTGGGGGCAGTCCGACACGGCGCGAAGGACGGCCTGGGGGGATGGGAGGACGGCAGGAGAGGAGAGGTGAGGTCCGAGGAGGAGTTGGTGCGGGGTTGGGGTTCGGAGAGGCATGGGGGACCCCGTCTGATGGCCCCGCTGGCGTCCAACACTTGCTGCCGGTGTTGGGTATTGCAGCTACTAGCGTGAACCGATATAGCCCTGGGTTGCGCTACCGAGAGTTTGTCGGAGATAACTAAAGTAATAATTAAAGCCAGAACTTCATTGCGGCTTACCGTAGTGCACACTACCCACCTCAGCAAGCTCAATGGCACTGGAGAACAGCCGTCGTCCTCCTGCCGCTCCTCCCGCTGCAGCCAGCCCCCGCGCCTCCGCTCGCACCAGCGCCGCCCCCCAGCCCGGCCGCCCCCGCACCTCCTCCACCAGCAGCTCAGCGACCCACCGACCCACCTCAGCCGGGTCGCAACCGGGGCCGTGCAGCACCGGGAGCACCCTGGAGGGGGGCAGGGGCATGTGGTGAGGATAGGGCGGGGGAAGGGGGGCGGGTGGGCGAGGAGAGAAAAGAAGGCGCCCGGAGAGCCCTTTCCTACCTTTCCACCTCCTGCAGGACCCTAATCCGCGTCCCCTCCTCCCCATGCAATCCTCCATCTCCACTCACTACCCCTGCTACCCCTTACCCCCACCCCGCCGCCCCCCTCCCCCCCACCTCTCCCTTAGCTCCCGCTCCAGCCCCTCCGCGCTGCTCCCCGCCAGCAGCACCCGCAGCCGCTGAGCGCCCGGCAGCCCAGCAAAGTCCCGCAGACTCAGCCGCCAACAACAGCCCCCACCCGCACCAACACCAGCAGCACCGCTACCGGCGGCACCACCTCCAGCGCTAGCAAGCGCAGCAGCACTGGAGCCGCCTGCTGCGGCCCGCAGCATACGAGCTGCCGCCAGCAGCTGCGCCATCCTGGTAACGCTAGCGCTAGCGCCACTGCCAGCACCACTGCTGCTGCTGCTGCCCATGTAGCCTCCCCCCCGTACGGTCCCTCCCAGCCGCTCCCAACCCAATTCCAGCAACGACAGAGCGCCCTCCAGCTGCCCCGCTCGCTCGTCCAGCTGCAGGGCCCGCTCGGAGCACCACTCCGCGAGGGTGGCGGGGGTCAGCCGCTGGGTGCGGACTGGATCCAGGATTCGTACGACAGCGTCCGTGGCTTCTGGATCCAGTGCCAGAAGCACCGGGTTATCGGGCAGGTGGTGCTGCTGCTGCTGCTCGTACTGATGTTGTTGTTCGGCTTCATTGTGGTCGTCGTCGGGGCAGCCTAGGCTGGTTACCAGGATGCAGGAATCGGGTGCGGTGGCAGTGCTGGAGGGGGTTTGGGCTGCTGATAGGGCAGGTGCAGCAACACTGGTAGCAGTGGAGGTGGAGGTGGAGGTAGCTGCTGCTGCTACTGCCGCTTGCAGCTCCCGCAGTAGCTCGGGTGACTCTACCCAGTCAGGGCGCCTCAAGGGGGCCTTGTGCTGCTGCTGCTGTTGTTGCAGCAGCAGGGGGCCGTTACCAGCAGCAGCAGCGGAGGAGGAGGAAGGAGCTGAAGGCGGTTGCGCCTCCTCACCATCAGCCTGAGGCAGGATTCGAAAAGGAAGGGTCCGCACGGTTAGGGAGTTGGGACGTTCAACAGGTTGTTACCCGCTGTCGTGAAGCGTATGACAATGTGTACTTCCCGTAATAGCCAGACACACCCTTCAGCCACCGACACACCTCCTGTAGCGGTCGAGGTAGCCGCAGCCACACAACCCACTGACCATTACACCAGCCCGCATCCCGCACCCGCACCATCCCAACAACCCAACCACCTGCTCCCCCACCCGCACCACCCTCACCCACTCCCCCACCCACCCTGGGCAGCAGGTTGCCGTACAGTCGGGGGCTGATGGTCTCCGGCAACCTCGCCAGCACCGCCAGCCGCCGGCCGCCCGCCAGCGCTGCGGGGTAGTGGCGGCACAGCACCCCCAGCGGCCCCAGCGCGCCCAGAGCGGCCCAGCTGGAGGCGGCGGAGGGGAGCGGCAGGTCGCGGAAGGAGGAGTAGGCGGCGGGGTCGAAGGACCTGTGTGGAGGGAGGGGACACGGGGGTGGCAGGTAACGGTGTAACGATGTACGGCAGTGAGAGGGGTGCGGGTTCGGATAACGAAAAGGCTTACCTCCTCTACTCATTCACGCCTAACTCCCTCCGCCCACTACCCCGGCCAGCATGTTGCCCCCTCCCGCCAAGGCTGTCAAGCCTCCCACCTCCACCTACTCCCGCCCCACCTGCCCTGCGCCTCCACCAGCGCCTCCAGCCGGTCGCTGTGCCGCAGCAGCCGCAGCCGCACACACCACCACCACCGCCGCAACCGCAACCGCTGCTCGGGTGATGACGCGCATGCAGCCTCCTCCTCCTCCTCCAGACCTCCCTCATCCGCGTCCTCCTGCCCCTCCTCCTCTCCTTCCGCTGGCGGCAGACCCATGGGTCGCCCCCAGCGCGCTGTCTCCCGCAGGCCGTAATCGATCAGCAGCCGCTGCCCCGGGTAGTCCCCGGCCACCCGCCGAGCGCACTCCGAAACCACCCAGCGCCTGCATTGAAAATGGATAGATGAGGGGGTAAGAATGAGGATATTGAAGGTAGGAGCCCAGGAGGTAGGGTCGAGCGCAGCGAGAAGGACAGAGGCAAGGGTGGAGGACCCCTTTGCCGCCAAGTCAGTTCTGACACACGGGCAGTCTGCAACACCCAGTCCATCCTAGACTCAGCTCACTCATGGCATCCTTGCACGCCCGCACACCCCCGCACCTGTTCCTCATGCGTGCCAAGTTGTCAGCGACGTTGGCCGCGTCCACCGCCCGCCCAGCCCAGCGAGCCGCGTACACCCGGTCCGCGTCCAGACGTGCATGGAGACGTTGACGGGCGGGCCCACCTGCTGCTGCTGCTGCAGGTGTTAGCGCGGCCGCTGCTGCTCCCGGGCTGCTGCTGATGGCGGCGGTTGAGGCACAGAGCTGCAGCGCAGCGTCCCACTGCTGCCGCCGCAGCAGGACCTGCGGATGCGTGGATGATGGGTGTAAGACGGGGAGCAGGAAGGGTAAGAGGGCGGCCTGGGCCCGGCGCATGTTGCGAACGAGGGTGTGGAAACATGGCAGGCAAAGACTGGCTAGCCCACCCCTAGGGCGCATCCGAAGAGGAGGCGCCCTGCCTACCTGCAGCATCTGCTCGGGGGTCCGCTCCGCTAGAAATACCAGTCGCATGCCGGGAGCAGGAGGAGGAGCAGGAGAAGAGGCTAGGAGAGAGGATTTGGATGGTAGCTGCTGCTGCCGCTGTTGCTGCGGCAGGTTTGGTGTGGTGGTGGTTGGTGAGGTGGTTGGGGTTGGTTCCAGCACTAGAATGCCTCGGGGCCCGGGGCCATTGGTCTTTGTGGCGATCAGGGTACCTGCGGGTGGGGTTGGGGTAAGCGAGTGGCCAGTCAGCCAACTGAAGGGAAGCGCCAAGTGAGGGGTAGAAGAGTACCGGTACCTTTACACCCCTACACGCATGACTCATCACACAATCAGGCCCACAACACGCACGGCACCGACCGTCAACCCCTACGCCTCCTGCCACCCACGTGCCCCTGTAACTGCAGCTAAGCTGTTCCTAAACTGCAGCTAAGCTGTTCCTAAAACACACCAGCCTACCCGGCGTGAACTTGGGTTGCTCGTCCCATGGCGACAGCAAGCTGTCGTACCCGGGCAGACTCGCCAGCCCTACCCTGCCGTACACGTCGCTCAGCGCCAACCGGGTTTCATCGGACCACCAAGCCACGCTGGCAGCGGCCACCGCGGAGCCCGCTAGGGAGGCCTGTGGGGACGACACATACCGGCACAGTCGACAACATGGAGGGGGGAGGTTCGATGCATCCTAACGCCGCATGTAGGCCGCTACCGGTGTTGCACTCTGTTGCGCTTCACCACATCTCATGCACTGCACGTTTGATCTCAAGCCCACCGCTAGTTTCGGTGCCGAACCCGTGCCATGGTCCCCGAAGGCAAACAGGCAATGGATCCAAGCACCTCACCTTGGGCGCTCCAGACGTCGCCGGAGGCAGCGGCGGACCGGCCGACCGCCCCGCGAACTGAGCCGCAGGGTCCACCGGCAGGCACTGCGGCAGCGACAACACCAGCACCCCCCCGCCGCCACCTCCTCCACCACCCGCTTTGCTGCCGGCTGGCTTTGGCACCGCGTGGAGGGCCACGTGCTCTCCCAGTGGCGACAACGACAGCATCCAACGCCTCCTGGGCCAGGCAGGACTAGCGCTAGGGCTAGCGGAGGCAGCGGAGGCAACGGGCCCTACGTAGGCGCCCAGCATGGCTGCCTTGACGGCGCTGCCGCCAGCGGATACCTCCAGCCGCCATGCACTCACGCTGACGTCAGCAGCAGCTGCCGTACCGCCGCTACCGCGCTGGCTACTGCCGCCAGCGCCAGCAGCGCCACCACGGCCGCAGCACCCGCCCTCACCCGCCACGACGAGGAGCGCTGTACGAGCATCGTACACGGCTGTTCGTACGACGCCGTGTGCCTTACCCAGGGGCTGAGGTCGCAGGGCGGCGAGGACACGAGGAGGCGGCAGCACCACAGCTGATGAGGGTGCTGCTGCAGGAGGCCCGGGGCGGCTGCCGCTGGGTGCTGCGGGGGCTCCGCCGCTAGGTCCCAGGGGTACGGCAAAGATCAGCGGCGGTCTCGCGGTTAGCAGCAGCAACAGCGAGGGTGACGGCAGCGCCACTGCGCCTGGCCGCTTGCCGGCCCAGGGTGTACCGGTGGGAGGAAGCATGGCAAGTGGCTTCCCGGACCTGTATGGTGTGGGTATTGAGAAACGGCGTGGGAAGGGGCTATAAGAGATGACGGCAGATGGGTGAAGTGAATCACTGTTGGCGACTAGGGAGGCAGGGGTAAGGGTGGCCTTGTTCAATGGCAAGCATCAGGGATGTTGCTCGGCAGGTCAACATGGACTTTCTATCATGGTCATAGTGGCTGACCAAAAGGCTGATTGTGAATAGCCCAGAACTGTGCAGCATTGCCCTCATATCGAAATATTCCCCCCTATCGCACCTGTCCAAAATGTAAACATGTCCCGATAGACAAGCAAGCGCCAGACGGATGCCATCTTCCGACCAGCAGACAGCACAAATGGCATCTGGTAGTGAAAGATTGCATTTGTCTATCCTCGTAGGCTGGAAGGTGCGGACAGCAGTGCATGGAGTAAGATCCTGACGCTTCCGCGGTGAATTGACGTCTGCTGGGGAAAGCTGATCACTGAAATGCAGAAGTGTCAAGGAAGTCGCTGTGGCATCGAGAATAGCAACTGCCGAGCCATCGGGCGAGACGAGCAGTCCACCTGTAGAAGGGCGATCCCGAGTCAGAAGCCACCACATAGTAAGGGTAGGGCACCAAATGTTTAACACGGTATGCGTACCCCGATCGCTCGAGTCTGCTGCTTGCCGCTTGTGCACCGAAGAGACAGCTAGAGCTCGCTCGCCGCTGCTTGCACCATAAAGCTGCAACTCTTCAAATAAGACGACAGAGCTGTCCGGTTGCATTTTCAGCTGCTTCCTACGTCGCTGTCCGTCGGCAAGGCAACATCTCACCCAAGCTTGTAACTCATCCTACCAGAATTCCATTGTACCTAGATAAACACACTACATAACGCACTTATATCATCTCCTCTTACTGTATACCTTGTAAGTGGACTCTACCGCTCCGTGCAGGCTACGGCCGTACGGCAGCAAGACAACCGTGATGTTTGGTATCCTTTGGTCCGGGAGGGCACATGCAAGCGAGGCAAGCCAGCGCTATCCGTTTCACGGGAGAGACATCCTTATGCTGAGCCCCAGTTGCCTAACATGCACGCTCTGCCCGCCGGTGTTATTTAGCATGTATCATCTCGCATGTGTGCCAGGCTGTGAGGCTGGACTCAGGACACGGTGACACCAAATAGGCAGTCAGGGGCCCAATCGAACTGGCTAGCATTGTGGGCTAGCAAGTGCATGCACATATACACCTGTACGGCGGCTGTAGTACGGTGCGGTACGGTCTACAGGGCTGCTTGTCAATTGCCATGCACCGATAGCTGTCGAGGTAACAGAAGAAGAACAGAACCGCTTCTGTACTGCCAACATCCTTGCGGACGGTCTTGGTTCAATAAGGTTTACATGAGCCCAAGCCCGTTCCTTGCTGGAAGGAACTGTACGGCCGCCCAGGGGTCACGCATGAGGTCCATGCTTTCCGTCACACCAGCACCTCCCCTACTCTTGGTGCAACACCCAACACATGCCTAACGTTCCCTCAGCGTGTGCGCAGCCCCCAAGCCTAAGGCTCCTCTACGCTTCCATGTCAGAGTCAAAGGTGTCAGTCCTGAGGCCCGCCCCTGCATGCCGCTGCCTGCCTGCTCAGCTCACCCCCTCGCGCCAACGTGCCGTGTGCTCACCCTCCTCCCACGCCCTCGATCACCAAAACGAGGTTATACGCTCCTTGATACACCTCCTTCTCAGCAGCGGCGCATCAGTATTCGGTCGCCCCTTCCTCCTCCCCCTTCCTCCTCTCGTCAAGTCGTCATGCTTGCGCTCCTCCCTACTCTCCTGCACTCGCTCAAGCACCGCAGCGCCTCTCTCACAAGGCCTACCTCAGCACGCCGAATCACATACGCTCTCTGCCTCTCCATTTCTACCAAGCCAGGCTCCTCTTCCCTGCTATCATTCTAAGACAAAACCCTAGACACGCCCCGTTCCTTATCCCCACGTCCCAGCTGCTGCTTCAGCCATTCATCTCCCGATCTCCGTACACCCATGCATGGCACCACAATGCATCCGTTTCACATGGCATGCGCAAACGCGCCCCCGAACTCCTCATATCAACACACACGCCGCACAGTGCATCAAGTCAACGTCAGCAACGCCACCCGCAGCCGGCCCCCGGGAGTCAACCCCAGCGCCGCATACACGCCACGCACCCGCACCCAGTCCGCAGTGCGCAGCGGCAGGGCTCCCGAGGCTGAGGCAGCAGCGGCAGCGGCAGCGGCAGGGGCGGGTGCGGCGGGCGCTAGGAGCGGCGCTGGTGCTGTGGCGGAAGTGGGCCGGGCCAGTGTAGTGGTGTTGCCGGCTGGAGGCAGACCGGCGACCCAATATTGCGGGTGGTGCGGTTGGTGCTGGTGGGGCTCCTGTAACCGCTGGTGGAGCTTGCCGTACGTGGCGGTGCGCGAGGTGGTGTACGGCACACATGCCAGCAGTACGGCCTCTAACAGCGCTTGCAGGTGGGGCGGTGGGGCGTGGCGCAGCGCGGCGTATGAGATGAGGAGCTGTGCGGAGGGAGGGAGGGTGAAAGGGAGGGAGGAAGGGGGGAAGGGAGGTGATGAGGATGGAGGGAGGGCGCAGGAGGGACACCGGAGGGATGGAGGATGAGGTACGGTGAGCAAAGCAAGGAGTGATATGAGGGGGGAGCAGGTACGTGAGGGGATGGCAACATGAGTAGGGTATAGGCCCCTGTGCCATGGCGAAGACGAAAGACAGGTAAGGGAATAGCGAAACTCACGTGGCCAGTACTGGCACCCACAACAAAGTAGAAGACAAGGGAACGCCGTAAGACACGCTTGCCCAATTGCCCATCCTGCACGACACCTGCTCTCACCTTCACCACAAGCTGGCCCCGCGAGTACCGCTGCGGCTCAGAAGAAGCTGCATCACCTGCAGCAGGGGCAGCAGTGCCGGCCCGGCGAGCCGAAGAAGCGGAGGAGGCACCTCCACGACCGAGACCATCACCAGCAGCAGCAGCTCTTCCCCTGCTACTGTACGACACACGTGTCCCTCCAGCCGTACGCCCGCCATGCTGTGCCATCGATCGCCGTGAATGGGACTCCCCGTGACGGGCCTCTCCTCCTCGGCTGCCGTTGGCGGCGCCATGCGGGCCCGCACCGTACGGCAGAACGTTCTGGCTTTCGTTGTACGGCAAGTGCGTACGGACGACGTCACCCCGGTACGACAGGCACTTGGCTACGTGCTCGTCCAGTTGCTGCAACAGGAACTCCCTTTCTGAGGCCATGTCGGCTTGACGTCGCGCCCTGAAGTCGGATTCAACAACATACTCATGATGTTGTTCAACCGCCTCATGCACGGCCGCGACGTGGGCCTTCCCTGCGGTTGTGGCGGCGGAGGAGGGGCCTGCAGCGGCAGCAGCAGCCTCCGCGGCAAGCGTCCCTTGCTCCGCCCCGCTGGAGTGGCGGATCTGGGTGCAGCTGCGGTGGCTCCACAGCACCGCCAGGCTCTGAAGCACAAACACGGTGTGGTGCAGGGGGGCCGAGGGAAGCAGCGCCTGCGAGGCAACACACCAAGCAAGTCAATTACGAAACCAAAGCGCGGCGCGGCGCTTTGCAGCCCTGCAACCGTGCGCCATGGCTAACCCTGTCTCAGGTGGCTGCAGAATCAGGAACAGCAGCAAGGTGCGCTTCTTCTTGCCTCCCTTAACTCCGTTCCTCTTACCACGTATCTCTGAATCGCTGCCTCCGTTAGGCCCCCCGCCATCAACACCGCCAGCGGTGAAGCCACCTCCGCCTCCTCCTCCGCCGCCTCCGCTTCCACAACCCCCGTCACCGCTGCCTGCCTCCGCGCCGTCGCTCTTCTCCCAGCCGCAGCCGCCTTCCCCGCCGCCTTAGCGCCCCCTGCCAGGCCGCGCAGCAGCAACAACACGTCCACCGCATCGCATGCCTGCAGCCCTTCCCGCGCACGGTTCAGGTACGTCTGGGCCCAGTCAGCACTGGGGGCTCCAATGCCGCCATGCACACGGGTGCGGAGGAATGCGGGATCGTGCCCCAGCGAGTGCCCCAGTCGCGTCAGCAGCAGCGGCAGGCGGAGGAGCTGCTGGCGGGGCAGCTGTCGCAGGCGGCCCAGGAGTGCGCCGCACAGGGCGTGCTGCGGGCAGCAGCGGAAGGGAGCAGAAGGCGGCGGGAGTGAGGGTGGGGTGACGTGAGGGTGTTGGCAGGTGTTGGAAGTGTGGTTGCAGCTAGAAGGCCCAAGGGGGGAAGGTGGTGGACGTAGTGTGGGATTTGTTAGGAAGCACGTACGGCATGGCGGGTTAGCCACTGAAGCCGGAGCTGACTTCGCACTGTAACATCCCTAGTTTGCAGGCTGGAGTGCCGTTATTGGGGACAACAAGTAAGTACGGGTAACAGAGGACGCGTACCGTGAGCTCAAGCGGAGGTCCCTCCCGGGGAGGGCTCTGGTCAGCTGGGGCTTCTTGGACGAGCAAAGGAGGAAGTCCGTCGTACATCTGGACGAGCGCCTCTAGCATTGCCATCAGGTAGCGTCCTGGCATGCGTGATAACAGGCTGCCCGTACACGGTTGGCTATGTACTGTATCGCCAACGCCGCCGCCGCTGCTACTGCTGCTGGTGCTGCTACCGTTACTACTGTTGCTTTTGTCGTATGGCAACGAATTGTAAGAAGGGTGTCGTACACCTTGCGGCTCCCCCAGCAGAATGCGCGTGTAGCGACGCATGAAGTCGCCGGGTGGCCGGCAGTTCATGCTGGCGGGCCAGACCAGCAGGGCCGCGGCAAGGCTGGGCGTCCACTCGTCTGCGAACTTCACGGTGTGCCTGCGGACAGGGACAGGGCCAAGGCAAGTGAGCGCTCTCAAAAGGCGGTTCCTAAGATGAAGCGCACCCGGACCTATCGAAAGGAGCCGACGAATCTTGGCTTACCGCTTACCCTACAAGTAGCAGCAGCAGAGCAGCAACCCATGTTCGTTATGCACTGTGGCTCGTTGGTGCTCATCCGTCATCACGCATTGCTACCCTCGCGACGACCGCCAAAACGCACCTCAACAACCGGCTGAGCGCCTTGCGCGGCAGTCCCTCATGCGGTATGCGCAGCCGCACCAGCGCTGACAGCGCCGTGGCTACACACTGCAGCCGGACTGTGGGGGCGTGCGGGTGACCATGTGGCTGCAGCTGCACCCCCTCCTGCTGCTGTTGGTGCGGCCCCTGCCCCTGCCCCTCCTGCTGCTGCTGCAGCTCGAGGTGGCTGAGGCGAGGCTGGCCGCGGACGTCCTGCTGCTCTTCTTGCCGCTGCTCTTCTTGCCGCTGCTCTTCTTGCCGCTGCTCTTCTTGCCGCTGCTCTTCCTGCCGCTGCTCTTCCTGCCGCTGCTCTTCCTGCCGCTGCTGTTGCTGCCCAGCTTCAGGACCGGTGGTGGTTGCAGTCGGCGAGGCTGCAACTCCAAGGCGGCTGGCGGTGGTGGAGGAGTAGGTAGTGCCCGTGGCTGCGGTGATCCTGCCTACCAGCAGGGCGCATGCGGCGGGTGAGCGCAGCCGCATGCGGGCCATGACAGCCAGCAGCCCCGCAGCGGCCTGTGCAGCGGGGGCAGGGGGACAGAGCAGAGGTGCGCCACAGCGTGTCAGCGGACAGCAGATGCCGCACAGCCCCGGGGTGCAAGTAGCGGCGTGGCAAACGGCAACCGCAGACGAGGAAGCGGATGCAGAAGGGGGAAAGAATCCTGCCGGAGCAAGCCGCGAGGGGCTGGCTGAAGGGCAGCGTTTTGTACCGCACAAACCCTACCAATGCAGTCACGACAGCTTACGACACCTTACCCCACCCCCACTTCCTCAGGATCCTCACCGAGGGCGACACCGACTCCGGCCTGCGCAGTGCGGCCCGCAGCAGTGCACCCAGCGTCACATGCAGCACCTCCCGCTGCCGCGGCGGCAGTGACACCCACCAGTCGGCACGCAGCTGCCGAGTCACCGCCTGCGACGCGAACAACAGCAGATGTGTGTTGCTAGGGCCTTGCCACGTGTAGACGGGTGTAGGAGGGAAAAGAAGAATACCCTGTGTATTGTGTAACCGTGGTGTGAAAAGGGGGGGGGGTGTTTGCTGGTTCTACAGGTATACCGTTAACAAACCGTGGCCCATGGGCCCATGGGATGTAGGCAAGGCCAAGTGCTTGGGCGTCCCTCCCTTCGGTGCCCCATTGCACCACGACAACTTACTTGCAGCAGTGCCAGAGCAGCTGGCGCCCGCAGCCTGTTCCCCACCGCCTCCAACAACGGCAGCAGCAGCGGCCAGGGTATCTCCGCCGCCGCCCGCCTCCCCACTCGCTTCACCGCTGCTCCTGCAGCCGCCGCCGCCGCGGTCGCCGGCTGTCGCATCGGCGTCCTCAAATGCGCCGCCAGGGTTCGGTTGGCGAGCCAGAGCTCCGCGGCGCTCGGCTCCACAGGGGTAACCCGGTGACTCAGCACCCCGAGCGCCCATTCCAGGGCAGGATCGAGCACCAGTCGGGGTGCACTGGACGCCGCTGCAACCGCTGTTGTGGGGGAAGGCGACCTGGAGGTGAATGCGGTTGCGGTTGTTGCTCTTGTTGCTGCCTGCGGGGCCGGAGGGAGCAGCCCAGCGGCCCAAGGCGGCAGCACCACCCCCGCTGCGGCGCACATGAGTGCTGCCGCCGCCGGGCCGCGCGCCGTCAGCGGCAGAGGGGGTCCCATGAGCGGCTCGGAGGTACATGATGGAGCAGCCATGGGAGCTGCTGCTGCTGCTGTTGCTTGTGCTACTGGAGAGGGAGGGGCGTCACTCCTGGTCGGGCTCGTGGCGACAGCGGCGGTGGCAGCGGTCGTGGTGGCGCTACTTGTGCCTGCCGTTGTACTTGCAGCCAGCGACGGCGCTGCTACCGTGGCTGCTAAGGGCGCCAGCGGTGATGCGGGCGCAATGGCGGACATCAGGCCCAGCAGGACTCCAGCTAAACCCAAGCCGCCCTCGGATCTGCCGGCGACGGTGGCAGCGGTGGTGGTGGCCGTGGCATCAGCAGCGGGGTTGGCGAAGCTAGCGGCGGCTGGTGTGTTGGTGCTTGCAGCATCAGGCAAGCGGTCCAATGCCGCAAGCAGCTGCGAGGCGGAGTGGGAAGCCAGGACGGCTGCAGTAGCGGTTTTCGCATGGCTAAGCAGGGGGACAGCGGCCGGGTGCGCCTGACCGCTCTGGGCGTGGCTGCTGGGGTGGTGAAGATTGGTGCTGTGGCTCGAGGGCTGCTGCAAAGCTCTGCTTGCTATAGCCCGAACCAGTGTGTCAACATCCGCAAAAGAGGAGGTCGACGACGCGGGAGAGGGAGGGGGAGGTGACAAAGCTGCAGCACGCGATGTGCTGGATACTTGTCGTACAGATCTGGGCTGGCGTGCCTTGGTTGGCAGATCCGAGGGACGCCGCACTGATGGCACGATCGTGCCTGCTCCTGGTGTCAATTGGTGGCCCTTGGGTGCTGCTGCTAGAACCGGCTGCCCCGGGCGTAACCCGAGCTGCTGCTGGTCCTGACGCGGCTCTGCAGCGCCCGGAGCTGCATGAACGCTTTCCTCGGTGTTGCTACGAATGGACCGCTGTCCATCGGCTAGACGATGGTTTGTTAGGGAAGAAGAGTGTGGGGGTGTTGGAGGAGTTGGATCAGCTTGCGCGAATTGCCCCGGCCGCCGTGGGGAGCCCTGCGGGCGGTACGGCGTGCCGCCCCAGGCTGCTGCACCACTGGCCGCGAGGCAACGAGTGGCTCTTAAGTTCGCTCCACAGCCGCACGATGAAGTCGCGCAGATTTGAGACAAGTTCCTATATGCCAATGCTGATGTGTTCAACTGGCAAACCGAGCGGCTGCAAGTTAACGGTGGCCTCTGGACCAGGGCATGGTCCAGCTGCATAGCTGGATGCTGAAATTCCCGGGAATTATAATAACACACAGGAAGCATTGCATCGAATGCGCATGCTCTTAAGGGCCATAGTTGCCAACTAAAAGCATTCGGCCATTATCCTTGCGGTCTCCTAACAGAAATCCTTGGCTTCAATCGCCGGTTGTAGACATATTATTAACATCTGTGAGACTGCACAGCAAATACTTCTGCGTATAGTTGTCGCCTCCTGAGCAGACAGTGTATGGTCACTGGCGTAAGGCCCCTGGCGACTGATTAATCAGGTGCTTGACTCGTGAGGTTGGCAAACTCCCATAGTGGCAAAATTACTCAAAAATGATTGCCCACGCTTATGTTGATTTGTTTAGGACCGACCAATGTTGCATGGTGGTTGCGCTCGCAGTGGCGTTGTCCGCTAGTTCTGGGGTGCCGGGACCCATGACAAAAGATGTGCTTGTAGGATTGAGGGTCGCACACTCGATGGCTGTCTTGCACATCGGCGCGGTACAGTTCCAACTTGCAGGACAGTGCATGCTGCATGGTGCTTATCCTGATGGCGCTAACCGCCATCTGCCCCTTCGTTAGAAGTGTGCTTCCATGTGCTCGTCTGTATAGGGCACCTGGCAGGGAATCTTGGGAAGGGTCTCTTAACTAGGTGCTTTCGCCGTGGGGATGAGGTACTTTTCGTAACTTCGGAGCTCTTAATAACAGAATCCACAGGTCCTTCGGGGATCAATGTATCAGGAGCAAACGTGGCGCGGTGGGGCGGGCGCGAGTAAGCGCATAGCACAGAACTCGATATGGGAGCCCACCCCGCCTTGGTTAGTTGCGGGTGGTCACATGCCAATAATGGACAACGGTGCTGCCACTGTGCAGTACGAATTGCAAGGTGCACAAAAACACACGACCCAGCGCCGTACTAAGCATGCCGATCCCCGGGAGCCCCCAACTTCACCGTAAATTACCGGTGTTACCTCAGCGCATCCTCACCCACGCGGCAACGGTCCCCCCGTTCCGTGAGGAAGCCACTCTACAAGGCCCCCCGATGCACCCCCTTGTCGACGTGATCGCTGCGATAAGAATGCCGCATGGGAGGATGGGAGGCTCCGTCAGAAGGCATGGCCACTATAGCTGGACCTAGAAGCCCCCGGCTAGGTCCCGTCTTCCTATTACATATAGTAAGCTGGCCTTGTGCATTTAGGCAACAGCATCTGCTGCAATACTTTAGCAAGTTCGCCTAGAAAGCGGAGCCCCAGTAAACTCTCTTTACGCAACGCTTACAGCATAATGCATTCATTAAATAGCTTACCATGGCCAGCAAGGAGCAAACATGAAGAATCGAGGGCCCTGTTGCCGTACAATAGCGGAGGTGACAATGGGCGAGCCGGACATGCAACGGCCCCAGGCCATTATAGAGCACAGTTGGAGTGCTTTAGGGCGGGCAGAGTCTTGTGAAAGGCCCAGTTTGTAATTTTCCGCCTTTCGGCACCGCCAGCCCCTCTCCTCTAGCTGCCGCCGAGCTACACCAAAATGCTGGGTGCCCTTCGTGTGCTGGCCTCGCCATGGGCAGGTGCGCTTTTATGGTCGGCCAGAGATGTCGGCTCATCAGACCGCAGGCAGCGCAGCCCTCCTCTGCACGCTGGCGCCAGACAGACTCCTTTTCAATATAATGCTCTTAAAGAGCTTGTCAGCTGCATTTTACGTGACTTTTAAACAATGTCGGCGGGCCTGTTCCGGGATCATGCTCTTTGCGGAACGTCAACCACGGCTTGTCTGATGCGGGTGCAGGTGCTCTGGAGCTGGGTGCTGCTTCCAGCAAGAACCTGGTTTCTGAGGTGGCCGCCAGGTATGCAGGGAGCCGGCTTACTTCCTTTCCGATGAAGCGCAAAGAACTGCGACAAAGGATTCGGCGGCGCAACTCGTTGTTGTTGGTATCTCTTCTTTTATTTATGGAATTACGGGTGTGATTATGGGAGTTGTGCGCCTCCTCATACCCTTGCGAATACCCGTGTCTCACCTGGCCCCTTTGTATCGGCTTTGCGCAGGCGGTTCGCTGCCGCTGCCGCCGTGCCGGTTAGCGGTGATGCCGCTGGCGTCCTGTCCTCCGTCGATGCTCTCCTGCAGCAGGACAGCAACGCCACCGGCAAGGTGCGAAGCAGCAGCACAGCCGAACCCCACGTTCTTGGCTTTCCCCCCGCTTCTTATGCTGGCTATTGGGACCCCTCCTTGTCTCTGTGTTGCCCTCGGCTTTTTATGAAGCGGTGGGGCAGAGTGCACATGAGGATATTTGTTAAAGCAGCCTATTCAATGCAGGTTGTATCTTGCATGCGTTACCCATTGGCCTTTCTCCTTTCATTCTTTCACAGGATGTGTCGGACGCCGCTGTTGCCCTGGCCTACCTGGGCGCTCGTGGCAACCGCAGGTAAAGCAGCCATACGCGTTCTAGGCCTGTCTGGCAGGCAAGCGTTAGACCCGCTACCCCATATGCATTAGAATAGCAATCCACTTTTCTGTTTAGGGGTCCTTTTTTGTTCGTGCTTTAGCTCCCGAAGTAGCTTTTCGGCGGTATTTCCTATCTTCATGGGGCTCCCATGCGGAGAGGACGACTGCAATTTGGCCATCCAACCACACCCTTTTCCCGTCTACTCCGCGCAGGGTGTGGGGCAAGGTCCTGGAGAAGGCTGCCTCCGTGTCCCTGGACGGCGCCTCGCTGGCCAACCTGAGCTGGGCGCTGTCGGCCGCCAACGTGGAGCACACCCGCACCGTGGCTGAGCTGTCGGGCCCCCTGGCCGCCAACCTCAAGAGCATGACCCCCGCCCAGGTACGGTGGAAGGCATACGGGGGGTCACTCGGATGGCGCTACCTCAAAATTTGGAAACCTCCTTGCTGCACCCGTCCATGTCTTGAGGCAGCGGAGGCATGATCGGGGATTTGAGGAAGTCCTGCTGTCCCATGCGCACAGGTGTCGTACGCCGTTGAGGCCATCGGCAAGTCGGGCGTTGCTGACGTGGAGCTGTTCGCCGCCGTGGCTGAGCTGGCTGAGGCCCGCGCCGCGGAGTTCAAGCCGGCTGACCTGGCTCGCCTGCTGTGGGCCTTCGGTGCCGCTGGCGTGCAGGTGCGATTGGGCAGATAGGTTTGTGCGCTCTTTTGCAGGCTTTCCGTGCTTGGAGAAGGCGACGGCATGGAGTCTCTAGCGCGTTCAGCTTGCTAGCGCCAATACAAAATAGTACAATAGCCTTCTAGGGACCGGAAGCTGTAGGGGAGGTGCAAAAGAAGCGTTGGGGATATGTGTGGCTGGCTTGCTAGAGATCTGCATAGGGAAGCGGTGTCTGCTATCGCACGTTGCACATGCAGCCTAGGGCATACGCCCTATATATGTGCATCTCTCTCCCTACCATCCGCAGACGCCTATGCGTTCCCTCCACCATCCACAGCATCAAATGTGACCTGCGCTTTCGTCTTGTTGCCGGGCTGATTACTTACCGCTTCCACTCCGCCGTATTACACGCAGGACGGCAAGCTGGTGAGGGCTGCCTCTGCCGGCCTGGCGAAGGCTGAGCTGTCCGGCCGTGTGGCTGCTCAGGCTCTGTGGGGCCTGGCTGCTCTGGGCCGCGTGCCTGACGCCGCTCTGGCTGGCGCCCTGGCTAAGGTGAGGGCCGGCGGTTATAAAGTAATGTGTGCCGGGGAGCTTCGAACATGCATGTGCCTCCCTCAGGCTCAGTTGGGTTCCTGTAGACGCGAGGGGCAGACCGCCCTGTATATCGAGGTTTACTAATATAATGCCATCTCCTAATACCACCCCCCTAATGCCGCTCCCTTCGTGCAACAGGGCATGAAGTCCGGCGTTGAGGCCCCGGCTGATGCCGCCGCCGCTGCCTGGGCTCTGGCCACCCTGGTGGTCAAGGCCGATTCCGCCACCGTCAAGGCTCTGTCGGAGAAGGCCAAGGTAGGACTTCTTCGAGGGGATCAGCTGTAAGGCTTACGGAAACAGCAGTATAGGATGCTAGGAAGGCTAGGCCGACCCAGCATTCAAGCGACGCACAGCCCTTTGCACGCCTTGCGGCTGTGAGCTTTGCACGATAATACATTAGCAAATGGAGCAACTTGGCACTAAGCTATCTCGCCCTCACATTGTTGCCCTGCAGGCCGGCGCTGCCGACCTGAGCGCTGCTCAGGCTGTGCAGGGCGGCTGGGGTCTGGCCCAGCTGGGCGACAAGGAGGGCGCCGCCGCTCTGCTGGGCGCCGCTGCTGCCGCCGTGCAGAAGGTAGGACGCCCCTGCTGGTTCGCCTCCGTTTACTTCTATAACCCTATTGTCGGAATACTCTCGCACATATCCCGCCTTTAGCCGCATATGGGCCACATATCCACTTGTCCTCGCAAATCTCACCCTTATGTTTCCCCTCCGCACCGCAGGACCCCACCTCCCTGAGCCCCTCCGCCCTAGCGCTGCTGCACTCTGGCGCCGTGGCTGCTGGCGCCAGCCTGCCCGCCCAGGTGGCCGAGTTCGCCGCCAAGGGCTTCGGTCTGGCGGTGGAGCACGCCCGCCACACCCGCAGCTCCGCGGCCGCCGCCTTCCACGCTGAGCTGGCGGAGGCTGTGGCGTACGCTAGCGGTGCCAGGTGGGTGATGGGGCAGTGACGGCAGGGGGATAGAGCGCTTGGCCGCTGAATTGGAAAGTTGGTTGTAGGGGGTTGGTGGTGGAAAGCAACTGAGGTTGGAGGTGGTCCAGGGGGAATTCTGTACATGCATGTAGCCCAGAGGCAGATTTGCTCCGTGGGGAGGGGATGCGGAGTGACAGCAGAAGGGTGCTGGAGGCCTTGACAGGCACGTGCACATGCTGGCATGTTGAAACGTAGGGCTACCTGGTCTAGCATTGCCCACGCAGTTGTCCTCCTCGTAACCGCCCTCCCTATCGCTCATGTCTCCCTCAGGCACCGGCCCGACGTTGCCGCCAAGGTGGCCTCCTACCAGGCTGCCGCCCCCGAGGGCTCCACCCTGGACGTGGTGGTGCCGGTGGACGCCAACACCAAGCTGGCCGTGATCGGTGTGGAGGCCGAGCTGCTGGCCGCCAACGGAGCGGTAGGTGCTGCCTCCGGATGCGCTTCTGGTTCGCTTTCGCTAGCGGGTGGACCCCTGTTCTCCTTGAGGGTAGAGAGCTTGAGGGCAAGCGCGCTGCCCGCCGCTACACATGCACAGAGCTTACCGGTGTCGACAGCATGGTGTACTACCAATATGAGGCTGCCTTGCAAACTTACGTGACCGCTGCCTGCTGCCCTGCTTCACCTACAGGTTCTGGGTGGCTCCATTGCCGCTGCCCGCGTGCGCGAGGCTCAGGGCTACAAGGTGGCGCTGGTGTCCAGCGCTGAGTGGCCCGCGGGCGCGCCCGTGAAGCAGCGCGCCGCCGCCGCCCTGGCTGCCATCAAGAAGTCCGTGCCGTCGCTGGCCTCCATGTAAGCGCACGCGCAAGATGGGAGTTCTTTTCGGTCGCTACTCTCCTGCCTTGCTGCTTTGGGGCATGCGGGAATCAATCATAACATTTTTGGTGGCGGTGCTGCATTTTGCCTGACTTTTCTTCCCTTTACTCGACGCCGCAGGGCTGACAAGCTGTCCAAGGAGCTGTAAGCGGATCGTCTCCGTTTCTTCGGGCTTAATGTGATGCTCCTTGGCGACAAGGGGCGTGTCTGTGAATCCGCTGCGGCGCACAACTGCGTATAGATAGGGCGCAACTTTTCGGAAGTCGCAGAGCTGTGTCGGGAAATGGGGTCCGGTTCATCTCGGGCATTCGGGCTGTTCTGGCGGGAAGCTGTAGCGCGCGATGCGGTGCGTGTGCGCATTCGTTACTAAGGACGGATGGCGGGTGCTTTGGTGTGTGTGTTGAAGGCTGCTTGTAGAGCGATAGAGGTCGCTCAACCTGGATCGGAACTCTTCGAGAGCTCGCTGCAACATTGCAACGACACCAAAATGTCCCTTCTCCACGTCTCTACATATGCCACACAAGTACTAAACAGGTTCGAAGAACAAGAGGAAACCGTTTCACCTTGCGGGTACTGTCAGAAGGTTGCGAAAAGGCACATAAAAGCTTAAGGAACAGGGGGGGAAGGGTTGTACAACACCTAGGCACGACCTACGTACAACTGATACGACGGTGTTGCATGATCAGTGGTTCCGACGGCACGCGACAGCTGTTGAGTGCCCATGGGGTCATGCGGCGTTGCAGATTAAGCTAAATTGCACCGTGCATAGGACCATGCCTAGCGACGACCATTCATGTTCGACGCTCCCCGGTTGTAATGAAGGCCACAGTCAGCTGCCACTGACGCCGTAAGGACGAGGCGCTGTTTGTAGAAGTATATCGGACATGGATATTGCTGCTTACCTGCGAGCAATTGGCTTGGATCACGCTTTGGTCAAGCAGGCAGATGTCAATGCCTTGAGACTCATTTATTCTCGCCACGTCAGAGTCGTGCCTTTCAACTCATTGCCAATTTATTATGGCACACCGATTGACACAGCGTTCGACTTGATCGGCCTTGCTGACAAATTGGTGAGCTCTACTCACAGCGGCAAATGTCAGCTTTCCCCGCGTGCTTTTGGAAACATTGCGATTTAAGGAACATTGCCTCACCAACCTGCACCAACTGTAATTGAGTGAGGAGTCGTGACCTGTGCCCGTTGGTTGTAACTGCCACATGTCCCTCATGTTGGTATGCATTGCGCAACGCCTATGTGCAGGTAACAAAACGCGTTGGTGGGGTTTGCATTGAGCACACCTTGCTTTTTAACCACGTGCTTGAGCAGCTCGGGTTCAACACCGTCGTCCTGGGCGGGGAGGTAAGGCATGAATCAGCCATGTCCTCAACAGCACCTTCCTACCGGTTTAGCATGCCAACCAACAACACCCATGCTGCGCGTAAAGCCGCTTTTCTTCACTCGTTCACTCCATCCCCGGTCGGGCTTCTCGGTATGTGTAGGTCTGGAATGGTGTTGGCTGGACCCCATCCAACAGCCATGCTAGCATCTTAGTCACCTTTCCCGCCCCGCCAACAACCAATAACTGCAGCGAGAACAGCGACAGCGGTAGCAACAATGTTGGCAGGCAACAGCAATACCTATGCGATGTAGGTGGGATGCAGCTGTTTGTTATTGTGCCGTGCCCTTCCTGCCCACCTACATGCATGGCCTTGCCCAGACCTGCGCACCCTCTCTGCTCCGCCGACTCTTCCTGCCCCGCCTTAACCCTGCCCGCCTGGACCTCTGTTGCCGTACACCGCCCTGCTGAACCCCTTTTGCCGTACACCGCTCAGATGGGTTACAGCATGCGCTCCTGCGAGCCGCTGCTGGTGGCTGACGGAGAGCTGCAGGCCCAGCAGGACGGCAGGTGCTTCCGACTGCGGGCGGCTCCGGAGGCCGCCGCACCCCCACCTGCGGACTCGGGCAGGACCAGCAGCAGCGACAGCAGTGCGGCAGCGGAGCCGGGTGCAGCAGCGGACTTGGCGGGCAGCAGCGGCCCATGGGTGTTGGAGTTGCTTGTGGAGGTGGGAGGAGTTACCGTAGACCTGGAGTCCCGGAATTCTGGTGTCCTTGGGTGCACCCCCACTCACTCTTCTCCTCAAACACCTCCCCCCCCCACACTCACCCTGGGCTTCAACCTGCAGGGCAGCTGGCGCCTGCAGCACCGCTTCCACCCCCAGCAGCCCCGGACCGCTGCAGACTTCCGCGAGCCGGCCGGCTGGGTGTGCAGCTCCGCGTCGCCCTTCACGCGCGGCTGGCTGGTGGGGTGCTGCCGGGCGCAGGACGCGGCGTGCATGACGCTAGCTGCGGGTGAGCTTGGAGGCGAGAAGAGGGATGGAGGGTGTTGGGTGGTGGGGTATCGCTTACCAAAGTTATGGGTATTATGGGGTTTACCGGTGGTGTTGGCAGCTGGGCAGCTGTGCATGCATGGGATGTGAAGGGGTGCATGGCTCACCGGCTTTGCTTCTCATGCACCCGTGGGGCACTTGTAGCCATGTAGCTCCGCTGTTACCACCGAACCGGTATTTGGCTGTTAGAGTTGTTCCACGTACCAAAGCAAGCAAGGGGGCGCGGGTGGTGGATACAACCCCTACACCGCACATTGATGTCATACTCGGCACGCAGTATGTGGCACTTCCTTTCTCACAGTGTCCTTGGCCCCCCCCCCGGCTCGCACGGACACACTGTACACGCGAACAGACTGTAACTGTAACTGGTACCATGCATACAACACGTGAACCTCCCACGCAAAACAGGTCCCTTCGCCGGCAGCCATGTCCCTGCTGACAAGGCCAAGTACGTTGTACGGAGGCGCCGAGACCAAAGGGACTTGCCCCGAGACTGCCAGAGCAGCAGCGGCTGTGGTGACAGCGACAAAGACACTGACGGCGGCTGCGCCAAGGGCGGCAGCAGCAACGGTGATTGCATTTCTGCCAGCGGCAGCGGAGGTGGAGGCGGCTACCGGGGCGGCAGCAGCGGAGATGGCGCCAGCAGTAGTTGCTGAGGGATCGTTCAAGAGGAAACGTTGATTCCGCTTGGTTCGGAGGAGCTGAGACGGGTACTTCGGGAGGAGTTTGGGGTTGCCTGGGAAGCGCCTGGGAGCTAGGAGGGCTGTGATGATGGCGTGACTGGCGATGTGCAGTGGACAGGGGAGGACGGGTAACCTATTAAACTCTATGCTGCAGCGATATTCATCATGCTGCAGCGATATTCATCACATGTAATGTTGGAGGGGCACTGGGCAGAAGCGTTGACAAGGTGTATAGTTGAGTAGAAACAAGAGCAAGCAGTTGGGATAGGTTCGCATGTGAACCGCGAGTATAGTCAAAACAGAGGCAAAGCAGAGATTGACAAGGTGTATGTGTATGTACGGCGTGATGACCAGCCGGTCACATTTAACCGTTGGCACCATTCTTCTTGTACTAATCAACACAAAAACTTCAATTCCGACGGGCACAACTCCGTTGTATGGTATCCCGACCCGCATGCAAGGGCCATGCCCCACCCAACAGCGCACCAACAACCGCAACAACGTGAGGCGTCCTCCCGGTGCGGTGCATGCAAGGCAGCAGGGCCCGCGCAGGCCCGTGGACCACGCAACAGCAACTACCGGTAGCACAAACACACACACACACACACACACACGCGGGAGGACTTCATCCTCCGGCAATCACAGTACGTTCCGCCTCGCGGCCAGTTATCTTAACACACCAGCGTATGTACACCGTGGGTATCAGTACATTGCATGCGCATAGTCGCAGCCACCGCATCCATTCGCCTCGCAGCGGAGCCTCGAGAAGCGTAGTGTACATCCGGACAAGTTGTGGGTAAGGCTGCCAGACTGATGCGATTGCTGGTGGCAGGTAGTGTACATCCGCGCCCTTCCTTAGGACCAGGGGCCGTATTAAGCACAAAGTACATCAAGCACCTCACCAACGAACGACGGTGATGTCCTCAACACAACCAAGAAGCCGAGAGGTGCTAGCAACTTCCAAACAATAGTACAGCATGCGTTTGATGTCGATGCACAGTGTGTCAGCGATTCAACATGCACAAGGTCCTAAACACAAAACACGAGACAGGTGACGGGCTACGAAAGCATAGCTCATGATAGCAGTTTGCAACCCTACGCTACTCGCTACAGCTCAGCATTCCTGCTCCGTTTCCGCCTCCGCTCATGGCCTTCCTGCTCCCCCTCCCCCTCCCCCTCCTCCGCCACTCCGTCCCTCATGACGCCCCTCTCGCCGGCCCCCGGCTCCGGGGTGCCAGTGACGGCACCGCCGCCCTCCACCGCGCCCTCCGCCCCGCCTGTCCGGCGCCGTTTCTGCTGCCTTGACTGTTCCTGCACAGGTACAGAACGGCAGGCGAACGGATCAGAAACAACCAAACGAGACATGCAATGCCGTAGCCACTCATTACCGGCACATGAGTGCGAACAAGTGCGGGTCAAGACCTTTACGCGTCAGCTTCTTCATCGGCGGTGCGGGCCGGCGATGGTGTTGCAACAAACCACGATTGCACTCCATCATGGGCGGTCCATGCCGGACCACAACGGCGCCCAACACCCACCTCACCCACCCCTCTACACCCACCTTCCGCCGCTCCTTTTCCTTCGCTGCCGCCACCTCATGCTGCGTGGCTGTCCGCAGCAGCAGGTGCAGCGGGCCGTCAGGGGAGGGGCGCGACCAGCCCAGGAACCACTTGCCGGCCGCGGCCCTGTGCAGGTCCGAGCCGGCGATGGTAAAATTTTTGTAAAAGTGCAGTGTCGCCCGTACGTAGAACGTCGGCGACTGCACCCGCCCGTCCAACTCAATCTGCGGTGCAACGGGGTCGTTGGGGAGAAGTGACGGTCACAGGGAACCTTGAAGGCACAAAGGTGCCCATCCAAGCGCGTCACAACCCGCGGCAACGCTCGCCGGCAGGGTCATGTCTGCATGCATGGGGGAGATGCATGCAGGGCTCACCACGACCGGGATATCCGACTTGGAGTTGGCGGTACCAAACCACTGGCGCGCATGGGCGGCGTTGATGTACAGGAAGCGGTGGGTGAGCAGCCTCTCCCGGTAGTCCTGCATGCGTGCGTGGGCAGCCAGGGGAGGGGAAGAAGGTAAGGGGGGGGAGCCGTGGAGGCGTGAGGAAACGCGCATGGAAGGGGCGATACGGGAGGGACCATGCGAGGGGATCGCTATGCAGGTGCACCCGCACCGCGCGCTGTCCTTCCCATGCCCCGGCCTACCACAACCCCAGGTTGCACGTTAGCAGCGGCCTGGCCGGGAGCCGCGGCTGAGGTGCCGGCAGCCGCTCCCCCGCTGCCGCCGCCCCCGGCAGCTGCGGCTGCTGCTGCGAGCCTACGTGGCGCCAGGAGGGAGCGATCAGCGGCTGCAGCCGTAGAGGCCGCTGCAGCCGCAACCGACACTCCAGCCGCAGCCGCGTCCGTCGCCTCCCTTGGCGCCGCCCCCCCGGGCTGCTGCTGGCCTGCAGGCGGCTCGGATGCACCTCCTCCTCCCGTTGCCGGCAGCTGCGAAGAGCGGGGCGGCAGGTGCGGCGGCGGGCTGCTCAGGACAAGGCATGCAGCGGAAACAACAGCACGACAGTGCCGTACACAACCGTTGGGTGGTGCCTGTTGGCGTGCTACCCAGCCGTACCAAAGGTTCGTTCCCCCATGCGGCGGCCCAATGCAGGTAAACATGCCCCCTACCTGCTGCTGCCGGCTCACCGGGGCGGCCTCCGTCGCCCCCTCTTCCACCCCGCGTTGCGCCGCGGGAGAACGCAGGTGCGCAACCAGCACACCGCCCGGGGTGCAGCTCCAACCCAGGAGGTAGTTGACCTTGAAACGGCGGCCCAGACCTATCACAAAGCAGGAACGTCTCGATGGATACAGCTTGAGGCTGGTCGTGTGCTCCTCGGGCTGCACCGCACCGTCCAGCACCACCTGCGGGGGAGGGGCGAAGTGGCGAGGAGGGCACAGCACTTGGCGAGGAGAAGGCTTGCAGCGGGCATGTGGCTGAGGCGACTCACTGGGGGCTTTCAAGACACGCATATGCAGTCAGCAAGGAGGTACCGGTATAACCACACGCTCAACTCGCCATAACCATGCGGATGCACGCCACCGCATAGCCGCACCTTCGTTCGGATGTCCTCGGCTGCGGCGGCGTCGGAGCTGCCGAACCACTCCTTGGCCCGGTTAATCGACAAATAGCAGCTTGTTGTCTTGACAAGCGGCGGCCGCAGCTGATCCTACGTTGGATTGTGGAGCGGCGCATGTAAGGAGACCACCAGCGGGAGAAGGGTTGTGTAAGATGCCCGCTCGTATAGCAGGGGCAGGCGAGGAGTGTTGACGCTAGCCTTAGCAACCAAGCCGTTGCAAAGCAGCAGTTCCTATGAGCAAGCGGCAGACGTTAAAGCACCTCGGTAGCAGCGACGTCTTACCTTGCATGGCTGCATGGGGCTCAACGGAATGTCCCAGGAGCCCGCACCCGCAGCAGCATCCGCATCCGCATCCGCACCCGCATCCGCACCCGCAGCAGCATCCGCACCCGCGCCCCGACCCTCGACACCGCTGCCCCCAGCCCGCCCGCCACTGCCGCCTGCGCCTCCGTGACCGCCCGTGCCGCTCGACCTGCCCGCAGCTGCATGCTGGGTCGGGGCCGCTGCATCTGCTAGCTGCTGCTGCTGCTGCTCTTGCCCACCAACTACTAATCCCAACTGCTGCTGTGGTTGAGGCTGCTGCTGTTGCTGCCCTGCCCCACCCTGCGAGCTGGGGCCCGCATGAGATGCTGCTGCCGCTGGTGCTGCTGGTGCTGCCGCTGGTGCTGCTGCTGCGCCGCTCATGCCACCCGCCGGTGCAGCCGCAACCGCAGCGGCGGGTGCTGCCGCAACAACACCGGGCGGGGCCGCCGCCGCCACCGCTGCCGCCGCGGTCATCCCGGCGGCTTTGACCGCCGCTGCAGCACCGGACAGCCGCGGGGCGAGCACAGCAGCGGCCGGCCCCTGAGCAGCTGCAGGCACTGCAGCAGGCGCCGCTGCTGCTGCAGCTGCTGCCACTCCGCTGCCTGCTCCTCCTGCCCCAGCAACCTGCTGTGGGTAGGGACACATGCTCACACGTGGGACAGCTCAGGCTGCGACAATGAAAGCCTGCTACCGTCTAGCGGCAACCGTGCGGGATTATACAAGCATTTCCGCAACTCCGCGTCCAAAAAAACAACAACCCGGACCTCCAGTGCAACCAGCAGCCTCCCCAACGCCCTCTCCCCCCACCTACCTGCACCCGCTGCTCCCTCTCTCGCACCGCCCCCTGCTCCTCCTCCGCCGCCACCCTTCGTTGCTGCTCCCCTGGTGTCCTCAGGTACAGCACCAGCAGCGCCCCACCCGCCACGCAGCTCCAACCCAGATGGTGGCAGCCCTCCGCCACCCGGCTCAGCCCCGGCAGCAGGAAGCGCCGCTGGGGCCGCGCGTAGCACAGCTGCGCGGAGTGCTCGCCGGGCTGCAGCAGGCAGTCCGACACCACCCGCACTCGCAGCGTGCGACCCTTGCAGCCCTCCCCGAACCACTTCCTGGCGCGGCGCCGGGACAGGCTCAGCGGGGTGGAGGGGCCCACCAGCGGCGGGTTCAGCGGGTCCTAGGAGGGACGTGAGGGGGGGGAGGAGGGGGAGGGAGGAGGGGGAGGAGGCGGCATGTTGTGAGAAGCACGCCAAGTGGGCTAGTACCCGAAGAGTATTCCGGAACCTACGAAGAGAGAAGTTGGTTACAGCCTGGTTACAGGCAACGATGCATGGCTGTTGGCCAGGGCTTTGACAATTCCTGGGCCTCGTACCTTGCAGGGTCGGGTGGGGTTCAAGGGGATGAGCGAGGCGTCCACACTGCCAGCAGCTGCTGCGGCAGCAGCAGCAGCACTAGCGGCAGCAGCACCACCAGCAGCACCACCACCACCAGCAGCAGCAGCAGCAGCCCCACTCCCACTGCCAGGCGGTGTCAGGGCAGCGACCTGGCGAGGAAGGAGCAGGGGACACCGAGAGAGAGCAACGCTTTCAGCACCTGCGTGCGGAGGCCGCCAGGCTCTTCTTCCAGGCACCCCCTGCCGCTTCCTATCCCCAGAGTTTTGCCCCAACCTGTGGTTTCCTATGGTTTGCTATGGTTTTTGACCCCCCCTAACCACTCCACCAAGACCCTACCACGTTGTTAATGCTGCCCCCGCCACCTCCACCTCCACCGCCGCACACAGGCAGGGCTGGAGCCACCGGCGCCGAGGCTGCCTCCCTAGCAACACCACCCACTGCTGCTGGCGGTTGTCCTCCTGCCTGCACCTGCTCCTGCTCCGCTGCTGCCGCTGCCGCCTGCTGTTGCCCATTACCGCTACTGCCGCCCTCTCCTCTGCCCCCGCCTCCCCACCAGGTGGTGGTGGTTGTGGTGGTGTGCTCCGCCACCCACTCGAGTATGGCGTCCTCCTCGAAGGCGGCTCGGCCCAGGTGGGCTAGGCACATGGGCTGGCCTGAGGGGGGGGAGGGGCGGGAGGGAAGGAGGGGTGCATGGGGTGGGAGTTGGCGTGCATGGGGGCTGGCGCAGTTCTAAGCCCTATCCGGATTTACAGCCGCTGGCATCTTCCCTCTACTTCCCTGGCTCTCTTCCTCCCACTCGCTACCATCCCACTCGTCACCCTCCCACTCGCTACCCTCCTCACCTGTGACCGGGTTGCACCCGTACTGCCGTACAAAGGCGGTGATGGCGGACCGCTCGTACACGCGCTCGGGGTCCCGCCGGTCCCGCACCGGCTCACGCATCACGCAGCGAGCCAGGGGGCAGAAGTAGGAGGGCGGTACGGCAGTCGCGGTGATGTACCGCTGGGCCAGCTGCAGGGACCAGTCGGGGGGATTGAGAGCCAGGGCCGGCACCGGGCCAGGCAACCTTTCGGGCTGCTCCTGTGAGGTCTGCTGGGAATCCTGGGATTGCTGCTGGATTGGGGTTGTCGCGGCTGGGGCCAAGGTGGCGTTTGCGGCCAGCCAGGCGTCAATTTCAGTCTTGTACCGCGTTAGGGTCGGGTTGTGGGAGACACCTGGGTCATAAATTCAGTGTTTACAGCGTACCTAAATTTGCAGAGGTGAGTGCCAGGTTCCGATCCCACCAAGACGCACCGCTTGCGTCGGAACGTCGCGACCCAGCCTCGACAGCCATGCGGTCTGCCAAGCGCCCTCCCACATCGGAAGTGTCAAACATAGGGTCGCTGATTATGCGCCAGCTTCGAAAACATAAAAAACGACGAGGCAAGCCTTTACGCAGGAAGAGCAAAGTGGGCTGGCTCAAGTTGGTTGCGCAAACTCCGGGCTCGCTACCACCCGCATGCGCCATATTGTAGCTCGAATAGTATGAGATCAACGTCGAAGCCAGCTATTTGGCTCAACAGTTTGAGATAGCAGCACCCTGCGTGTTATCCTAACTTTGACCGCATGACCTAAACAGCTAAGCACGACCCAATTCACGATTTAATTTAATGTCTTTTCTGACCAGCTTTCAATCTTTAAGGAGGTTTGCATTAGCAAATTGTGTGCGAAACAGGTGGTCAGATCAGTAGGGTGTTGTACCGTTAGCAAAGCAAACCCGGGGCCTTCTTAATCCAGCTTCATTTCTGTGAATTGTGTCGTGTTCCATAGTAACAGGACGACAGCGTCCCGTGCTCTGCTGTAGGTACGGCACCATAGACATTCACATCTTCTTGCTCCTACGCGAATACTGAAATGCTCGCATCCTACGCGAACCACGCTTGTCCTAAGGCTGCTGAGGGGCAGGTGACAATCGACCGCAGCAAGCGTGCCGACGCACGTGAGGGGCAGGGAGGGCGCGAGGCGCCACAACTGGCATGCGGCATGCCCTACATGTTCAACTGGGCCAGCGGCCGCAAGCTCATTCCTCCGTACCACAACCCTACTTGCGTCATCCTAGCAGGTTCCTGCCTCCACTATTTTGACTTGAAAGGGCCTTATACCCCCTTTCCCTGCTAATACTCCTGTTTCACATTCACAGTCCTAGGGACGCCACTCCTTCCATACAGCCCCAGGACAATAAACAATTGACATCTGACTGGCGGCCTGCAGCTGCGTACCGATATCCACAAAACACGCAACCCCTGCTCTAACACCTGCTCTAATGCATGCGCGAGCAACACCACGCTCGCACCTGCCCCCTTCCTATACGAGGCATTCCTGGTGCGCATACCCTGCGTGCTAAAGTAGCGACGGTGGCTCCTTCATTCTCTTATACGAAATCAGTGCACAACAAACAACACATACGGGTAGTAACGGCGCATGCCGGTTACCGCACGCCATGCGCTAGGTAGGCACACGTCTCTCTACCTCCCGCGGCAGAAGCTCCATGCACGCCTCTCCAAACAATACCTAGCAAGCTAGCGCTGCCCTGCGCCGTCGCCTAACCTTACGAACCGATATTTAATACCTTGATAGCTACAACAGCTGTGCTACTGGAAATTAGGAAATTTAAAATGTAATTAGCCCTCCTGCACATACGATGGAAGCACATCCACAGCCGCCCCCCTAACCCAGCCCCGAGGGGTGTCACACCCCGGGGGGAAGCAGCCTCCCGCCCCCCTACCCACCATCACACCCTCCTCCTCCCTCTCCGTCAAGAGCTCCCACCAAGGGGGTTACCGCATCACCCTGACATCACTGCCGCTCTCAGCGCGCGGTACCTCCTCCTCCTCCTTATTCCCCCTCCCCCTCCCCGCCCCCGCCCCGCGCCACTCAGCATGGCAGTCCCTCCTCCTCCTCCTTCTCCCCACCTTCAGCTGCTCTTACTCTCCTGTACTCTCCTGCACTTACTCATCACCTCCACTGCCCTCCACACCCCCTACTCCCCCCTACTCCCCCGGGGCCGCATCTGTGGGTCGCAGCAGCCGCACCATGTACCGCTGCCACCCGCCACCACCCACCCCCGCCTCATCCGCCTCGACCCACCGCAGCTGCTCCAGGGGCGGCAGCAGCTCCCACCCGCCCTCCACCTCCGCCTCACCACCACCACCACCGTCACCACCCGCCTCGGGGGCCATAGCCTGCACCTCCTCCTGCCCCCATCCCTCCTCCACACCGCACGGGGCTCCTCCTCCTCCTGCTCCCCCACTACCCGCCTGCTGCTGTTGCCAGCGCTGCTGCCAGCTGTCATCGTACGGCAGCACCCACCGATGCGCCTGCTGGTGCGGCTGATGCTGGGGGTTCTGCTGCTGCTGTCGTGCATGGGGCTGCTGCCCCCCCCGCTGCTGCTGCTGCTGCTGCTGCCCCGAGCGGCCCCCAGCCCCCCCCACCTGCACCAGCAGACTTCCCGGCTGCTGCTGCGGAGGCGGCTGGGGGCCCTGGGGGTGGTGGTGGGGGTGGTGGTGGGGGTGGTGGTGGAGGTGGTGGGAAGCAGCGGAGTGGTGGCGCGAGTGCGGGTGCAGGTGCTGCCAGCCACGCGGCCCGTGATGCCCATGATGCCCATGATGCCACATGCCGGCGTGTTGTTGGGCGGGTGAGGCGGTGGCGAGTGCGGAGGGCGATGCGGGGGGCGGGAGGGCGCATGGGGAGGTGGGGGAGGTACCCAGCAGGGCGTCCACACTGGCGGCCACGTCGGGGCGAACACGCAGCCTTCCTCCCCCCATCACCTCCACCAGCGTCCGGAAGGTGGGGGCGCCCCGCCGCTCGGTGCGCACCTTGGCACCCCCGTTGGAGCGAGCCGCGGTGCCGTCACCCAGCGTCACAGACTGGGGCAGGGGGGAGGGTGAAGGAGGGGAAGGAGGGGAGTTAAGAGGAAGGAGGAGGAGTGCAGGACACTGGATGCCCAGGGAGGGGAGCTGCCAGGGGGCTTGGGGGCGGGCGAAGGCGTAAAAGGAGGAGGGGCAATACCGTACATGTGAGGGAACACATACACGAACTGGGTCGGATGATAAGATACCCACGGCGGCCGGGACAGGACTTCCTGTCTTTCTCTCTCTCCTCCTCCTCCTCCTCCTCTTCTGCACACCCCTCCCCCAACCTCCCCCCCCCACCTGCAGCCCCCCCACTAGGTTGTTCAGCTCGTTGTTCCGCAGCAGCGAGCCCAGGTCAGTGCCGTGCGCGGTGGCCACCAGCAGCACTCCGCGCTGGGAGATGGTGCGGGCCGCGGAGACCTCCTGGGGGGGGGGGCAGGGGGAGGTGGGGGGGGGGGGCGTGAGGTGCATGTGTTGTGCTGCTCGCAGGAGGGAGGAGGGGACGCCAGCCACCGCAGCACGCGCTACCAACTCCGGTGTGATACACAGAGGTCATGTACGGCTCGCGGCCTTACGTGTGTATGTACGCCTGGGCTTTAGTCCCCCACCCCTTACCTCTGCATTCCCAATCTCGTCCACCACCAGCACCTGCGGCCCGTGGTTCTGCACCGCCTCCAGCATCACACTCGCCAGCCGGCTGCGGTGCCCCACCAGCAGCCGCCGGGAGCTGCCGATGCAGGCGTGAGGCAACACATCGCCGCCTGGGGGGGCCGGGGGGGGGCCGGGGGGGCGTGTGTGTGCAGGACATCCGCCTTTCACTGCGGGCGCTTCGACCGGTTCCTGTGTGTTATGGCCTACCTAACATAGCATGCATGCATGCCTAACAACAAGGAAGTGGTGAATCCGCCCGTGCTGTGTCTGCCATGTGTGTTTTCCTTGCGCCCCCCCCCCTACCCAGCCCCCCCCACCCGCAATCTCGCAGCTTGTGTCCACCACCACCACCCCCAGCCCCAGCCCGTCCGCCAGCAGCCTGCAGATGTCCCGCAGCAGCGTGGTCTTGCCGCTGCCGGGGCGACCCAGCAGCAGCAGCGAACTGGGGGGGCGGGGGGGGAGAGGGGGGCCGGGAGGGAGTGTTAGGGGGTGACGGGTGGGAGGGGAGGCGGCGGGGTAGGCCGCAGGTGTGACAAAGGCACAACTCAAGTTAACCGTCGCATCCGCGCTCTTTGCAGCATGCTACCCGCTGCGCCCAAACACCACACCCCCACACATCACCCATCACCCATCACCCTGTCAGCCATCAGCCACATGACTCACCCGCTGAGGTCCGGCCCGCCTCCCCCCCTCCCCCTCCCCCTTCCCCTCCCCGCCGCCCCCCCCGCCAGGTCCGCCAGCAGGTCCCCAAGCAACCCCGCCACCCCCGGCAGGTGGCGGCCCAGACGGTAGGTGAGGCCGTACACGGAGCCGTCTGAGGGGTGCCGCAGCGCGCTGATCCTGCATGGAAGGGGGGGCAGGGGAGGGGGCAGAGATATACCAAAACCACAGGTTACAGCAAAGCAAGGTGGACAGGAACAACAGGAATTGGAAGGAGGGCCAGGAGGGAAGGAGGAAGGTGCCAGACAACGGAGCTTCAAAGACGGTTTGGAAACTGGAACTGCTTGTTCCAGCCCACTGGGCAACACGCGAATACCCATCCCATCCCTCCCCCCTTCCCACACCCCCTCTCCCCCTTCCACCCCACCTGTGTAGTGTCCCCGGCGGGCAGCACCGGTTGTCACTGCCGAACAGCCGCAGGGCGGAAGCGGTGCTGGCAGCAGCGACTACCCCTTCCTCCTCCTCCTCCCCCTGCTGCTGCACGCCACTGCCCCGGGGCCTCTTGGCAGGGTGCTCTGCAGCCCCCTGGCTGCCACCCGATCGCCGCTTACCCACCCCGCCCGCCCCCTCCTCAGCGCCTCCTCCTCCTCCCCCCGATGCGGGAGCAGCGGCCTCGTCCTTGATCACACCCGACCTGCCGTTGCTCCCCGGCGGAGGCAGCTCGCCGCCTGCTGCTCCGCCTCCCCCGCGTCCTCCGCCTGCTGCCCCCCGCCGCGCCCGCCCCAGGACGTAGCGCTGCAGCGCCCGCAGCGCCTCCGGGATGGGAACCTGGGGGGCGGCAGGGGGAAAGGGTTGGAGGGGGGGGGAAGCCGGCTTTGCTGGATGGGGCCTGCACTTAATGGACCTGCGTGGGCCCACCAACCCCGGTCCACCTGTCCTCCCAGCTTGCCGTGCCGCCGCTGCTGCTGCAACCCCACCCGCCTCAACACACCCCTCCCCCCCCACCCTCACCTGGCAGCCCTGCAGAGTCACCTTGCTGCCGTCCGAGAAGGCCAGCCGCACCTCCCGCCCGCAGTCCACTGCCATATCCACCAGCTGACGGGAACAGGAGGAGGATGGGGGGCCGCAGCAGCCGCCTCGCGGCCCGGCAGCAGCAGCACTACCAGCAGCAGTGCCGCCGTAGGTGTAGCGGGGTGGCTCGTTCCCCTCCTCCTCCTCCTCCTCCTCCTCAGTGCCGAGACCGGTGCCCGAGTCGGTACCAGTGTCCGACTCCTCCTCCTCCTCCTCACCGCTGCCTGCGAGGCAATCGGGGCAGCAGCAGTCCCCCTGCAGGGGGTGGCAACCCGCCGCCTCCTCCTGCTCCTCCCCTTCCTCCCAGCAGCCGCAGCTCGCCCTGCTCCCGGCAGCAGCAGCAGCAGCAGCAGCAGCTCCCTGGGCTGCGAGGAGCCGCACCCGCGAGCGCAGGCTGCGGGGTGCGGAGGAGAGGAGGGGGGGGGGAGGTGGGTTCGGGGCGGAAGGAGAGGGGGAGGCGGGTGGGAAGAGGAGGGTACAGCCCTTGCACCTGTCCTTGACCAACAGCCTTAGTCAGTTCATTACGCGGCACGGTTCTATTACAACACTCGCGGCCGGCTTTCTTATACACACACACGCAGCCCCCCCCCTACCTGGTCGGCAGCAGCTGCAGGAACTCCTCCAACTGCTCGTCCAGTGTCGCTGCCAGCCCGCCTGCCACCCCTGCCGTACTCGCACCCAACCCCGCCGCCGCCCCCGCCGCATGCCCGCCGCCTTGGGGGGGTTGCGGCAGTGGCAGCGGCAGCAGCGGCAGTGTCACCCTGCCGCGCATGTCGGGCCCTATCTCAAACCTCAGCGGCCTCCCTAGCAGCGAGGCGGGGGAGGAGGAGGGAGAGGGTTGATGAGCCCGGCTGCTACCACCCCCTACATGCACCCCTGCTGCTGGTGCTGGTGCCGCTGCTGCTGGCGGGCCCCACCCAGCTGCCTCGCCATGCGGGCCCGGGCGTGCTGCTGCGCCGGCAGTGGGTGCAGGCAGGGGCAACGCCAGGCTGGGAGCACCGAGTGACGGTGCGTGTGCTGCTGGTGGTTCAGCAGGTGCGGGGGTGGGTGGTGGTGGTGCGGCCGCGGGGGCAGCCAGCGCTGCCGCCGCCGATGCTGCCGCGGCCACGAAAGCTGCTGGCGGGGCTGCTGCCGGTGCTGGTGCGGCCGCGGGGGCAGCAGGCGCCGGCGTCTTTGCAGCCCCGGCAGCAGCAGGCCCCGCACCTGCTGCCCCCCCGCTGCCGCTCGCCTTGTTGATCGGGCCATCCATGACCAGATGGAAGGCATCCTCCGGGTCCAGCGAGTACAGGCCCGCTAGCAGGTGCGACCAGCGGCCGCCCGCACGGCCAGCAGAAGGCGTGGAGACAAACGCGGCTTTCAGGTGCTTGCCGCGCCTCTTCAACTCAAAAAGGCCCGAACGCTGCAGGATGTCAGCAACCTTGCAGCCCCTAACTCGTGGGCCGAGCGCCTTCCGAACGTCTTTTTCAAGGGCCGACATCACCAGACGCCGGGTGCCTTGCTTGTGGAAGAGCGACAGCAATTCGCGGGTTGCTACAGCAGCCACCCGCAGGTGCAGGTCGTCAGCTGTGGGTGGGACTTGCAACCCCCCATGCGGCCCTGCCGGGGCGACACCCAGGGCGCACCGAGGATCCAACTCCGCTGGTGTCGGTGCGACAACAGGTGGTGCTGCAGCCTCGGAGGCTGCAGATGTGGGTGCCGGCTTGCCATCATCATCATCATCAGCAGCAGCAGCAGCAGCACCGGCGACCGGCTGTACCTCGGGCTCCCCTGTGCTCACAGCCGCAGGCGCAGCAGGGGCCGCGGGCCCCGCACCTGCTGCCCCCCCGCTGCCGCCCGCCTCACCGGTCGGACCCGGCATCAGCAGCCGGTAAGCGGTGTCAGGATCCAGAGAGTAGAGGTCGGCAGGCAGGTGCGACCAGCGGCCGTCCGCGGATGGCTTGGAACGGAACTCACATTGGTAACAATCGGGGTGGCTTCCCGTCAACTCAAAGATACCTGAACGCTGCAGGACGTCAGCAAGCGAGCAGCCGAATTCCTTGCGGGAGAACTTGCGGCCGAGTGCCCTCCGGACGGCGTTACCGAGGGCCGGCACTGCCAAACTCCGCATGTGCGTTTTACGGAAGCGGTACAGCAGTTCACGGGCTGCCGCAGCGACTACCCGCCGCTGCTGCGCCTCGTTTGCGACGAAAGCAACAGCGGCGATCGGCTCTCCCGCCGGCGCATTTGCAACCATGGCAGCAGGGGCCGCGGGCTCCGCACCTGCTGCCCCCCCGCTGCCACTCGCCTGGCTGATCGGACCCGCCATCAGCAGCTGGTAAGCTGTCTCCGGGTCCAGAGAGTACAGGTCGGCTGGCAGGTGCGACCAGCGGCCGTCCGCAGACGGTGTGGACCGGAACTCACATTGGTAATCGGGGTGGCTTCTCGTCAACTCAAAGATGCCTGAACGCTGCAGTAAGACAGCAAGCGAGCAGCCGAACTCTATGAGGGAGAACTTGCGGCCGAGCGCCTTCCGGACGGCTTCGCCGATGGCCGCCATTACCAGACTTCGCGTGTGCTTTTTACGGAAGCGTAACAGCAGTTCCCGTGCTGCCGCAGCGACTACCAGTCGGCGCTGCACCTCGTCTGCGGGTGTGAATTGTGCCGCCCCGTGCAGCCCCGCCGCAGCGACACCACCGATGCCGCCCCGAGCATCCGTGCCGGCAGCAGGCGTTCCATCTGCTGCTGGCCCCGGCGCACCAGCTGCCACCATGGGTGCTGTGTGAGCTGACGCATCTTGGTCAGCTAAGAGCACGCGCGTCTTGTAGGTGTGGCGGAAAAGACCGCTGTTATCAAGGATGTCCTGTAACTCGGCCAGGCCCATTGCCGGAAAAGACGCTACGCGAAGGCGTCGCGCGATGGTCTTTGTAGTTATTCCCGTCCCTTCGCTGGCGCGCAGCTCATATCGCAGCAAGCTGGCAGCGGCATTTGCGACTTCCCGCTCGAAGGCGGTGAGCTCCCGCTTGGGAGCGGTGCGCTTCGGCTCCGGGGCGGCTAAAGTCGTGCCGTTGTTGTCGCGTTTGCGTTTCTTACCCATTGCGTGTTTGCGTTATCCTATCGCAAATTTGCTTCTAACTTCTCCTTCCTGTAGTATGAGGTTTGCGGGCCAGCATAAGAGCCTGAGATGACCGCCAGAAAGCATGGCTTCGGAGCTCCATCTTTTGGAGGATGGAGAGTTATACATACAAAAGCTAGGAAGAGCTGTAGTTCAAGAAAATTCCCATTACAAAAATTGAAGCAAAGGCTGTTTAGGGGCAATCGACGGATGTTGACATCCTTGATGTGCGAGGTGCTGGAGGCCACCCGCGAAAACAACCGGGAGAGGGAGCGGCACCGGGCGGAGATCAGCTGCCAGCAAGGTGACAGGAAAGACATACAGGCGCGGGTGCAGGTGAGGGGGGTAAGGCGGAGGGAGGGAAGGGGTGTGGGGGTTGGGGCCTTTCCTAGCTTGTTTGCGCACATGAATACGCACAAGACATACATAACTTAGCTAGCCGGGTGCACACTATCTGCAGACCATTGATGAGAGTCCGATAGGCGCCTTGCCTCTTAAATACCGGTAGCCGTTTGTAGTGTTGGACGCCGTGATGTAAGGAACCCGGCCCACACAAGGGCAAACATAAGAGCAATGCGCAATTGAAGGAAACGCGAAAAGGCGGGAACCTGCCAACCGCGTGTATGTACGGCAGGTGTCCCCGAACGCCTCCTGCCGTACGTTGGGTGCCGCCGTAAGGGCGCCCTGGGGAGCATGCGCGTGTGGGGGCGTTTCCAGGAAGAGAGGTCCCGGACACTTGCGGACTTTCAGGGATACGCAGTCTCTACCGGTGCGATAACATGGTTAGAGCCTGCAAAGTGCTCCTGCCATCCTGCGCACACGTCCCGGCCGGCGTGTGCGGGACGTGTGCAATCCGGCAGCTGTATGAACCGCGCTCCACGCACCATGCAACCCCAATGCCAGGAAGAGTGTACGACCCCTTTATAAGGCTGTGGTAATGAAGGAAACACCGCACTTACCCGGGGGCACCCATGCTTTATTCATTACAGGGTACTGATAGAGTATGGATAAAAGTACAATGCTCCTCGCTTCTACAAAACTCCTCCCAGCCCCTCTCGCAAACCCGTTTGTACATAGTACGGCAACGCTGGGCTCGGTGCGTGTGCCGCAGTGCACTACAGCCGCGATGGCGGCATGCATCATCCACTCCATGCATCCATTCCATCAATTCCAATTGCATATTCTCCATGCACAATCCTTCCGGACCCCCTTGGAAGCCCTGCGATTTACTGCATGCCATAACCCCTACCTGCGCGTATATGTATATCGTACATTCGATACTCTCCTCAACCATTCCCGGCCCCATGGCCGCCTATCAGAAGCACAACGCAACCACCATCACGGTACGGCACACATCCCAACCTCATGACACACATCCCAATCCCATGCGCGACACGACATCCTGCCCGGCGGCCGCTTTTAGACAATGCTGCTGACAATGCGCCGAACCGCATGATTGGCCCCAAAACACATCACCAAACACCATCAGAACATGAGACCGCTGAACCAATCCTGCGTCGGGTCCACATCGTAATCCACACCCGCCATCATACCCCCCCTCTCGCCCCCACCCCCGGCGCTACCCCCCCACCCCTCAACCTGCCCCTCAGCAGCTGCTACTGCCATCGCTCCGGCTGCTTTTGCTGCTTCTCCCGCTACACCCGCGGCATGCTGACGCCCCGGCGGCCGCCACCCCTGCATTTCCGGCTGTTGCCCCTGCTGCTGCTCCTGCTGCTGTTGTTGCATATGAGACGCCGACGCCGGTGGCAGCAGCTGGGCCCAGTCGTCGCCGTCAGCCCGCCGCTGCGGCTGCGATGGGGGCTGCGATTGCACCTGTGACAGCGGCTGGCTGGGCACTGCTGCATCCTTGCGCTTCCGCATTCCAGCTGTCAAGCTAGCAAGCGCTAGGTACCGCGAGCTGCTATTGGCGGCAGGCCGCGATCCGTTGCCGACTCCACCTGCCGAGCCCTCGCCTCCCGATAACTGCTGCTGTTGCGCCCTTTGCTGCAAGCTGTGCCCCCCAGCCCCTACCTCCACGACCATGCCATCATTCCATGCAGCGTCTGCAGCGTCTGAGGCAGGAACAGGAGCCGGGGCAGGTGCCTCCACCACCATCGCCAGCAGGCTCTCCCGCCGCTGCCGCTGCAGCGGTTGCTGCTGCTGCCGTACCCCCGCCGCTCCCGCCGCCGCGGCCGTCACCACTCCCGTCGCGCTGGTGACGGCGGCGGCATGCGCCGCCGGCGGGAACTGAAGGCCACCACCCAGTGGCGCGGCACGGGGGGCAGCAGCGGACTGGCGGGGCGGGGCTGCTGCTGCATGCAACAGACTCCCCGCACCCGCACCTGTACGGCCGCCGGCTGACGCAGCCGCCGCTGCTGCCGTACCGAAGATGGCGTCGGCTGGCTGCCCTCCCAGGGAGCCGTTACTCGAGGTCGTTGGGGCTGCGAAGACCGCACCTCGGCTGCCGCCGCCGCTGCTGCTGACACCTGCATGTTGTGCAGCTGCTGCGGTTGCCGCTGACGGGCGGTACCCCCCGGTGACGGAGGTGACGGAGCCGCCTCGCGCTACCTTGGGAGCTCGCCAGGAGGAGGCGTCCTGCATCAGCCGGGAGCAGCCGGAGGACGGTGGGGGCTGCTGCTGGGCCGGGGGCTGGGGCTGGGGGTCCTGCAGGTAGGCGGACCAGCGGGAAGCCGGCGCCGCCGCTGATGCCCCGCGCAGCGCCGCCGCCGCCGCCAGGTGTGGCTGAGAGCCCCATGACGACAGCGGCGGGGTGT